CCTCACCGGTGGGCCAGAGGAGCATCGTGAAGGGGGTAAAGCCCCACAAGACGATCGCCCTGCCAAAATCGTCGAATTATTATTACGGAGTAGTATTACTTGCGTACTCGCGTAGTGTCGGCCGTTCGCTGGTTCACTGTGCGAGTGCCGACGCGCCTCTTTTTCATTTTTTTTTTTATTATTAAAATAATTTTTCCCCCCTTGGTTGATCGTGAGGCATTTTTGACTTGCAGTAGCTTCGGACAGGGTTCACTTTTCTGGATATCTAACTCTACGTATTCCTTCTATCTAACCTCAATGGGTGTAGACTGAGTGGTTTCTTTCCGTTCTCACCATGGAAAAGCCCGCATACAAGCTTTTGCTGACATCTCAGGGAAATTTTAGTATTACATTATTATCCGTATACTTGTCAATGCACGTATACTATACTAATTGTACTCCGTACTTTGTACATCCTCATATCTACAATTATCCCAAGCATAAATACTATAATCTCATTTCAGCCCGCTTCATCCCGGCCCTAGTTAACTATTATACCCTTTCTAATTTCACTAGACCCCAATAACTTGGGTTCGCCAAGCGATCCCAGCGTCTGTCGCCCGTTCACCCCAGGTTCAGTGCCATGGAGAAAAGTGACAAAAGTCTGGAGGACCCGGTGAATACTTTCAGAGTCTGATCTAGGCCGGAAAGTTTCAAAAGTTCCTTACAAAAGAGGAAATATTAGTCTTTTTTTTAATCTTTTAAATCATTTAAATTTTTTACTATGCGGTTCTCGCGCCTGCAGGGAAGCTTTTTAAGCTTTTATGAACTGGATGTTTCCGCCCGCCTCCGTTATCTGCACGATGTAAGGAGATGAACGTGGGATAGCGGGGGTGGATTGTATTCTAAGGTTGTTGAATTCGGATTCGGATTCGATGAGGGTAGAGAGTACGTACAGAGTATGTACTTCATGAGATGACATCTCTAATGCACTTTACGGAGTAAGTAAGACTCCGTACGGAATTACTCCTCTGCTCGGCAGATCGGAGTAAGCAGGCGAAGAAAATCGCGCGTCCATCATCTCCGTATCTGTAGTATCTGCAGACTAAGTCCTGCGACGCAGTGTTGGCAAGAGGGGGAACTAACGACAGTTGGACTAGACTCAATTTCCCCTAATTTACATTATCGACGTGGTTATGATTTCGGAACGGTGTTCCGTGACACGTCTGTGCTTTTATTCTCTCTCTTTCCAAGGTTCTACGCACTACTGGTCTAACTGGTCTAACATGGATGGAGTACTCCGTACAGGTACCTACGTAGTACTAAGTACTACTAACTAAACTAAACTACTAACCGCCTCATCTTACTAGATACAATTTCAGCAAACTATTGTTCTTGGTAGATCCCACTTATCTAATAAAGAACCACATATTTGATAATTGATTCCCACTCATTACTCGGCTAGTTAATGTACCTAATCCACCAGACCAGAAAAGTCCAGAAGGAACATCGGCATTGTCCTCGGCCATTTTTTATGTACATGCATCATGCCGAGGCCATTCAAGTTCACTGGTACTTCAGACCATTGGCACTTGAACTTGGAACGCCCCTCTTGCCGTAAATTCGGCGTGTCCGGAATCCCGTCAATCGGTCTACGCGGCAACGCGGGAGTCGGCACGGAGTTCAAGGCGAGTTATCTTGCGATTCATTGGAATTCAAGTTTTTTACTTGGTACATAGAATTGTGGGGGGGTTTTACGCTGCGTGAATTATGTATGCAGAATTTTCTTATCTTCCGACGGATCTGGATTTGGACCGGGTAAATATTGACTTGAGTCAACTGGTTAATTGGATTCTTTGTAAAAGGAGATTTTTATTGGTTCCAAGGTTACTGTGAGGTCTACTTTGTCCTTTTGAGGTTTGGTCTTATAGTATAGAGTATACATTGGATGTAACCTTGGAACTATCCATGGATCAATATGAAGTTTGTATGCATGTAATGTGTCCTCTTGTACGGCATCATATGGTGCACACCGTATGTAGTACTCCTTAGGCAGTTCTATGAGGACTCTACAAGTGAACAAGTATCCTCCTTGGCTACATCCCCGATAATCACCCCGTCGGAGTACGAGGTACGGATTTGTCGACCGCACTGCGGACACGGAAGCCATTCACTAAAGTGCTTGAGAATGAACCGCGGCTTATTGAAGCTTGAGCCGTGTCCGATATCGTAGGTCGGTCTATTACCCCATTAAGATCATCCACTAAATCCGAAACTGACCAGAGCTAAGGCCCCGGGTACCTACAGTAACAATTTCGCTTTGTTTATTTTTGACTCCAATGCAACTACGGCGTCCACTGGCATAGCATCACTGGATAACTCGGCACTCCTTTGCTCCTTTCAACTTGAAAATACTGATCCAAGTATCCGTAAAAGAAACATGTTTGTTGAATGGCATGTGTGACCAATAGCTATGATGACGTCGTACGTGTCAAAGGATTATAGACTATTTCCCCAACCCCCAAAACAAAGACCCACGACCCATACGAATAGAATAACAGTATGGAGTCTAGGTTCAATTCTGAATACAAGAACGAATCACACTGCTCAGAGTACACGGTAAAAAGCAAAAACAAATAATAGATCAAAACAAACCTGGAACAAAGAACAACCATTTCCCGCCCTTGATCGACAGGAGAAAACGCCATTTCAGGGGAGGTTCGTACCAATAATCACCTCTACAAAGACAGACCCCACACTCACGCCCCAATGCGAAGCCATTGTTTGGGGCCGCGGGTCCAAGCCAGCTTGAACCTTAGAGCTGAGCTAGAGCTAGAGCTCTATTCCAGGCAGTACAGAGTAAACTTGAACCATGAAAGAAGGATTGACGTTTTCAATCAAGTTTTCCAATCAAGTTTCTAGGGATTGCATACCGTATTGGGGGCTAGATACTACACTCTCCCTTTCATGTTCCTGTTCCTGCTGACACGATACTTTGGATCTAATGTCTGAGCTCTCTTTTAGCGTGGAGCTATGGCGCTAGCTAAGCTTGATCCTTGTACTCCGTGAGTGGACGGAGTAATTAATTTGCGTCTATTGTTATTGAGCTGGAGCTCACAGCTCACGCGGTACATAGAGTGGGGGAAGTGAGGGTATGATGTTATCATATCATATTATGTATGAGTATTATTTTGTCTTATCCGGCTATATTGGATGACACAATTTAGGTGAAAAGAGTGAAAAAAGAGCCGCGTTTTATTGATCGGCGCGTGTTTCTGACGCAACGATTTTGGTAGGTAGCCCGAAATAAACACGACATCATTCAGGTACCATTTCTGTCAGGAACGCCTCTTATTTTGTGGCTGGGATTACTTCGTAAAGACGCCGGGATTCGGCATTGTTATTGATATCGTGTTGCTTCACTTTGGTTCTATTTACAACTTGATTTTGAATTCCATTTTTGCATTTTCATTTTCAGTTTCAGTTTCTTTGTATTTGTTTTTCTTGTTACGGTTGATGCAGGTTCTCCTTTCGGATGTAAATGCATGACAACGGTTGGGACATGTTCGCCGAGCATTCGGGCGCATCGTGTCTGACACAAATAGCGGATTATTGGCCCGTGATTTGCGAATAGTTGACGATCCTGGTTCTCCGGCATAACCATGATGTCAGTGACGAAGTACCTGAAATTGCTGTGTTACTATTGTAGGAGAATTCTTTTGCCTAGCTGTGATTCTCTCAGCTGCACGTCGAAGTCTGTAGTGTGTCCAGTAGTTGTGTACTTCAATTGCAGTTTATTTGCTGTCACCTAACATCGATCTGCGTATTCTAGAACCAAGAAGACATCTGGATACATCACTGTACGAAGTACTCTATACTTCTCGAAGTACGTACATGCGGAACCTTCCTGTGCAGCGGTCTGCAGTCTTGGCTGCGTGGACGAATCGTTGAATATGCCAAGCAATACAGGGATATCTTCAGGGTCTTGATCGTCATATTGCCTGCCATGTTGCAGCCAAGACTATGCACACTGGGAGCTGGCATAAATTGTGCAGGACTATCCCTGACAGACGTATCCAGATTTAGGTTGAAAATCATCGTCACAGTGAATGGTTCCTAACGATCATGTGGAGGTCGGAACAATCCCTACATACAAGGGTACAGTATGAAGTATACTGAAGAGACCCAAAGCAACGGAAATCCAATGCATAATTGAACTTAGTTCCTCTTGGCTCAGTATACTCAGTTATCAAATCCATGAACTGATCAATGAGCATCATCAATCGCGCCAAGCAGACACTCTGATCAACCTTGCATCGTGTCAAAGGGCGATAATGGCGCTTGCCTAGAGAATAGTCTAATCTTGCATTCAGATAAAGTTCGAAATAATATGAAATAGCAAAGATCCAAGACGAGGCGCCCATGATTGTCTCAGAATTCAATAGTATAGCTCAAATTCGAGTCCCAAAACGGCACAATACTTAAACAAACTGGTCATCTGCCTAGAACTTATGCTTGGCGACGATGATATCCCGATAGGTCAATCCAAGTAAACATTGAAGATCGACTTCGCAGCTCTTGGAAGTCTTGGTGTACATCCGATACCGATAACACTCCACCGTCGTCATAGGCTCCCTCAACATCCAAAAGCAAATCCCTTCTATGCGGGTATCCATGCCCCTTGATTGACCAGAAGAGAAAGTATTGAGACTCGGATGTGTACTCTGTACCCCCGAAATCCGTACACATAAATTACTATGCACTATTTGATTTCTCCGCCCCTGAACCACGCCAAGAAGTGCCGTGCATCCCACTCGCATTATCGTCTTGGCGGGTATGACTTTCTGGGCGAACTCTACAACCCCCTTTCCAGCGTGGAATCCGCGTGTTTCCAATGTGTTTATGCTTATGAAGCACGGACTCCGAGTCCGGATGGGGCGGAGTGGAAGCCAAGCGATGGTGATGTGTGCTTCGGATGGATTTCTAGATACAGATCGGGATGAGCAAGGAGGGTTGCCATAATGGCTGCTGGGTAAGATGCTAATTCTTTGCTTGGCGGGGGCTGTACAGGGTGTGCCCAGCTTCAGTGTATACAGATTCAAAGGACCGCACAACTTGAGCGGTGGGAATGATTCTGGGCGTAAGCGTGCATCGGGCAATGAGCTTGGGAATGTTGAGGAATATGGAATTGCTGATGGTGATCACTGGCATATGGTTATTGATCTTCAAATTCAAGTTACTAGTGCTATCAAGTTGAGTCTATTCTGCCAAGAATGATTCGGTGTGATGTTGCCCAGAGGAATGAGCTAGTGTATTTGATTGTTCTTGTGATCCTCAGTAGGAGCATCTAGTAACCTTGAAATGATCTTGGCTGTGTAGCTTTCGCGGGTTACTTTGAGGGATAAGCCGACATGAAGGTTACACTGACACTTAGGAATCCTTTCAATTGATTGTTCGAATGATCATCTGGCAGATGATTATATGCTAATACACATGTGCGTGTCCATATATGATTATAGAATTTTAGGATGAAGGGAGATATGGTGACCGACTCTGATATTAGGATGTTTGAAGGTTCGTTCAGGTTCAAGTTGACATGAGACATCAATAATAACCTTCAGCGTTCAAGCATCAACATTCCGTTGTAGGATATGCAATTGTTCAATTTGAATCATATGAACTTCTTTCAAGTTACCCTGGATGTCTTGAAATCATTTGCGTATCGACTTCCAAGGTTGAGAGCAACTTGAGGGTTTCAATCACTTTAAATGTCAACCGTGCAAGTACAAGTGCATGAATACCGGCCACCTGGCAGTACACACACGAGTCTGGCGACATTTATTCTTTTAATCAAGATTAATGCTATAAGAGAGATTTCTATCCTAGTTAGTAGAATCATTATTCAAGTTTCAATTCGGTGGTGAAAATCTAGGTGCCTCAGGCATCAATTCATAGCCATATTTACATGTTGGGATCGTGGATGCTACAAGTAGTTAAGTATCACAATCTATAAATATTCATTTTTGAATGTTAAAACTATTATTACTATCATTGGTCTCAACATAGAACTCTTTGAGCTGAGGTTCAAGTTTTCTCGTGGTGTTTTGGGATGAATGGCGGAGTGTGATTGATGTGAGATATATGTATACTTGAGATATACTAGTAGGAGAATTACTAGACATGTGCACTGGCAGATGCTAACTTGAACACTGGCAGTTCAACTTGGAAACGCCCGCTTGCGCACGTGTTGATTTCGAATGTACGAATAATCCAACAGAAAAGCGAATTATTATAAATGACAGAGTCTTGACCCCGAATCAGTGGAAAATGTTGAAATTGAAGTCGAGTTCCAAGTCGCTGACATCCACTTTCCAGCCGCCACGACCTTGAATCGCTAGAACATCCACCTTATCGTCTATAGTGCATACAACAAAGCACACAAGCCTAAACAAGCATAGTCAAATTATTATCCACATACTTCCAATCACATGGTAAAAAATCCAGCAAGGGACAATATCATGCCAGATGATCGGAATTTTTTGGCAAGAAAAAAACCGTCAAGTTAGCCGAGGTCAAAGACAAGTTTCACCCCCTGACGGAATGTTAAAATGTCAACAACAACAATCGGCGAGATGCATTTCAAACAGCAGACCCCTTTCTCCACGTGGCGCATGACCAGAATACGGTTTACCTGCAAGGAACCCGGATCCAGGCACAATCAACATATCGAAGTACAGATACTAGTGATAGCATCAGAAAGTGATATTGATACCAACAGTACACGGCACTAGCGTTCCTGGCATGGCTTTCTCAATGGCAAATTTCGATCGCCAGCCTGAGCAATGGCCCGGCATCAGGACCGCCGGATCAAGGCGCTTAAGATCAGCAACTGTACTTTGAATCTGTGACTCTTCACTAGTAGCAAGATGAAAACCGCCGACAACACAATGAAGAGGGGTATTCACAGGCGCGAATTTCATTGCGTGTTTTGAGGCGTTGACGACACCACCGTGACTGCACCCGGTGAAGACAACAATGCCCTTCCCTGTATCACTACGTCAGTGGGAGATACATCGAGAAAGGTACATTTCAGGAACTGCAACATACCCTTCAGATTGACTGCGAGAAAGCGTTCATCGATGATAAGCTCATCAGAGTACCAATCTTTCGTTCCAGGGTCAAACCGTACTGCACCCTTTAGACCTGTCTCATAGGGCGTTACGCGTGGGATTTCGCCCGAGACGAGGAACATGTCATCGAGGATGGTGTGCGCTTCACTATGTTTCTCTATGATACCGCCTGCATCGGAGATTTCTTCGAATGTAGGATCTGCTTCCAAAGAGACGAGCATTTGAGGAAATGCAATGCCCCGATAAACGGGTCTATCGGGATGCAAGTCTACTATAAGATCATCTGTGCGACCTTGAGCGCTTTTGGCTTCTTTGATCATGCGGATTGCTCGTAGGAGACCACCTAGATCCAGTTAGATCAGCTAGAAACTATCTACTTGCAGAATAAAGGATGTGAAGGATGGGATTGATTTACCAGAGTGATCGCGATGCCAGTGGGATAGCTGGATAACTTCAATGGATGCAAGATCCGGTCGTAAGCGCTTGACATTACGCTCCCATGAGTCCTCCTCTGGACCAATATCGAATAGAACAGAGTGCTTAGTTTCTCCTTTTGTAGCAGTCTGTAAAGTATCAGTATATGATATTGACCAGCAAACAAAATTATCTCAAAATGGCTAGAAGCCTTCGCAGATAGAGTATATTTTCTCTGATGTGTTGATATCAACTTACCACAAGGATAGACAATCCATGCGCAGCACAGCAGATATCCCCCATCCGTAACTCTTTGCTCGCATCGCCACGGTCTGTAATATGGTTATCAGATCTCAAAGCTATGCTCGCCATCTGGCCCCCAATTCGAACAGTTTCGGGAGCTGCGGGTGACATGGGATCTAGCTCATTGTCAATGATGACAGTGGCCTCGAGCGAGTCCATTTCTTGAAGATTCAGAAACGAGATATCATCCATAATGGCGAAGTGATTTTGAGTGTTTTGTGAATAAAGAAAAAGAGAAAAGAAAATAAAGTGAGAAGTAAGACTGTGCGATTAGTGTGATTAGTGCTAGTGTCAGCCCCGGGTTTGTTTATTAGGTAGTCTTCAGTTGAACCCTTACCTTTACAGTCTCGCTACCTGAACTACCCCGAACACTCGGAGAGGAAGATTGAGCCTGTTCCAAGGCTGATAGTAGGCTCTACTTTGAATGTTGAATGTTTTGGAATAGATCAGGGATTATTCTTGGAAAGTAGGTTGACATCTAGAGTGGTTGGCCTAAGCCGATGAAGATGTGGGTTAATGGTAGAACCCCGCCTTGAGCCGAGAGGGTCCGCTTCAACGTTTTGAAACATTTATACCTTATTGAGAGCTACTATTTTCTTTCAAAACAGAATTTGCACAATTTAATTGCGTCCAATTGAAAGAATACTAGACGCTCCATTTCATATTCCTAAGACATACAAGATGGATGGATGGAAATACACCTAAGGTGAAAAGTGGTACAAAAACAATCATGGGCCTTAATGCTAGTGCAGAGAACAAAATCAAGTGACATGATAGCTTATTGATAGGTATAAGGAAACGGCATCAAGACGGGTATCGTAAATCATCGCTGAAACAAAATCGCTAGCATTGCATTGGCATCCATTCTTGCCCGGGATAAGCAGTGGGAGACATAACAATCTCATCACTTGTGTCATCTCGAAGGGCGAGTTCAACAGGTTGGGTATTGCGTGTCAATGTTCGAGACTCGTCTCGATGGGGATGCTCGGAATAAGTCACACTAGACATGCCCGAAACAGTGACATTTCGGGGCTCAATGTTGGTCATAGAAATGGCTGGGGCGTCGGTCGATTTGCGGGATCGGATATTGAGGTTGGGATTATGACCTGGGTGGGAAGGCTCATACTCATAATCATATTCATGGCTTGGACTGTGTTGGACCGCTCCTTGCATCGTCTGTCCCGATGAATCTTGTGGGCCTGGCCATCGATTCTCTTGAGAGATTCGGTCTTCCAGTCCATGAGGGTGGAATTCCATGGAACCATTATGGTCCGATTCGGATTGTGCGATGGGCGACAGGGGTTGACCCATATGGCTCATCAGAGGCATACTATTCACTCGGGTATGTTGAGCGGTAGAAGGGCTATCAGTAGCCTGAGACTGCGAGTAAAAACGTCCTGCTGCCAAAGCATTGGACGATGGACCGGAGGAAAGTTGAAAACTTGCGCGCTGACGGGCAGGTCCTTCATAGGACTGTCGTGACGACGATGTAAACTCAGCAGGTGGCGCTTCAGGCAGAGCTTTGTCGACGGATTTACGTATTTTCTGTGAATTTGGCACATTTTTTCGATCCGTTGATTTCCGTGGCAGATCTCTTTCATCAAGATCATTACCCATGGACTTTCGACGGCCGCTCTCGCCAGTCTCGGAAAATTTCGGCTCGGAACGCGTGAAGAGGTTCTAGATATTGTTAATACAGGTCCCGGGAACAGTGAATAGGTTAAGCATCACATACACTTATTTTTCCGAAAGTAACCTTGCGTTGATGTCCCTTCTCCTTAGCTTGAGGCTCTTGATGAATCTTCTGTTGAAGTCCCTGGAGTCCACCTTGGATTCCAGACAAGAGATCGCCCACCGAAGCCCGGCGCCGCTTCCCGAAACCCTTCAATTTCTCCCTCTTAGATTCACCATTTTGTGCCTGAGGAATTGACTCAATGTTAAGCGAGGAGAGCTCATTAGCAGGAGTTGTTGGTCGTGTCCCTCTGCCGTTATTACCCCAGCTTCCGAAACTCACCATGCTACTTCGGGTTGCCGGCGAGTACCTGACTTCATTTCGCAAGGGACTTTGCATATTCGGCGCAGAAGGCGGGAGCCCGCCAATTGACTTTTGGTTTGCATCAAGAGCTTGTGCCGATGTTGAGGGTCTGGAAGTAAACGTGGCTGAAACACCTTCAGCATCAGGCCGGCTTTCTTCGACAGATGGCACAGAAGTGTAAGAAGTTTTGGCTTCAGGGATAGGGCTGCCGTAAAAAGGAATTGGTGCTTCTGGCGAGGGAGGCTCAAGTGGAGATGGTGGAGTGTCAAAGTCATCATCCAGTTCATCAAATCCTCGTCTCTCATCAATTCCAAGCGTCGAGACGGATGGCTGGCGTGCGGCATGCCCTGTCTTGAGATGTGCGACATCCTTCGGCGGCGCTGGTGGAGCATTATCTTGCGGAGGAATCTCTTTTGAAATAGGATTGGGCGGATCAGAAGGCTTGACTTCAACAACAGGACGAATTGTAAGTATTGGGAGCTGCGACACTCCTCCAGCAGGCTCAGAGTTGCCTGACTCTGGCGATACAGGAGACACCGGCGCCTCAAAGTAGTCTTGACTGGAAGGGACCTCAGGCAGAGATTTATCTCTCCTTAAAGAATGACTTCCAGGTTGCTTCTTCTTCTGATACGCTTTAAAAGCGTACTTCGATGTTGGCAGGGGTGCCAGCGGTGCTTCTTGACTTTGACCCTGTTCGGAAATTCCACGCTCAAGTGGTACACGCGAAGATGATGTTGGTCCATCTATGACCAGCGGATCATACTGAGAGTTATTTGCAGTTGGAGAAAGACCAAGGGCAGAAATCATTTCCTGCTCAAGTTCCCCAACCCAACCTGACCTTTGACCATCTGCCGATGTCAATGGTTGTGAGACAGCCCGACCGGAAGGACCAACCCCTGGATCGGTCTGCGAGTGAAGGATATCTGTTGATCCAGTTGACTTGAGTCGCTTCCCAGAGTGCGTATCATTCCGTTTATCGTTGGGATCCGCGGAAGCAGCAGAAGGGTTCCTATTTTGTCCAAATTTGAAGACAGGCAGACTGCTTAAATTGAGAGAGTTGCGTTTGGGAGGTTCACTCTGGCATTGGGATGGGTTGGATTCGGGCGAAAAGTTGAAGCTTTCGCTGCGAGAATTTGATGATTGACCCTACAGACATTACCAACATTAGAAATCGGGCATAGACTAAGGATGAAGGGGCAGTGGAATAGGCCAATATGGAAAGAGGACAAAGAGAGGAAAAGTCAAACAGATGCATCAATCGTGTTGCATTCTAGTGTCCAATGCCAAAGCGATGGAAAATTACATCGTGGTATCGAGAGAAAAGAAATTGGAAACAAAAGCAAAAAGAGCCGAAACATCGCTGCGTTGACTGCACTGACACGCACGGGCTGCCTGGCGCGCCATTCCCAAGTGCAATATAACATCCTGATTATAAAACGAGGGAAGAAGATTATGAATCTACCTTGTCTCCACTTGCTCGAAACTTGCTCCTGCCCTTGGCAAACAAGCCCTTCGCTGCTTCACCTGCCTTGCCACCAAAAGTACCCGCCGTATGGAGAAACTCCTTTCCTCGCTGTTCAACATTTGACTTATTCATGATGGTTCCAATGTTACCCGACGGACGTCTTATGTGACTGGTAGCAGTAGGTGTAGCATCATCTCGAGACGTAGTAATCGCACCCAAAGATGTGAGTTTGGGGAATCGAGTCCGAGTCGGAGAGTTTCGATGCACAGCGGTCGGATTCTGGCTTGACTGAACCACATCGGCATGCTCTGGGTGATCGTGAATAGTCATTTGAAGCCAGTTATTCAGGCCAGAGTTCAGAACGGCGAATTGGTCTCTCGTCTTGTCGAAAGCTTTGGTGCGCTCACTGGTAGACGTAAGGTTGAGAATGTCCCGGAAACCCTGAAGTTTTTTCTCGTCCACAGTAGCTGCTCCCAAAGCCGAAACCTCAGGAATGTTTGTCTGAGGCTCGAGGCCATCAACTGGTCCCATGACCTGCACTGGAGGTGTAATCCCCCCTTCAGGAATTGGAGGTACAATAGAAAGTCTCGGCTTCTCGGTGCGCTGGCTGCCTTCGCTATCATAGTTTGGTAGCTCTCCACCGACAGGTCCGGGCGCACGTGTAGCTGACTCCTCGTCTCTCGAGGCCAAGGGGTCTTCACTCGCTGGAGCGGGTTGAGGTGTTGACTCAGTCGCAGTTGATGTTGATTCCCACGAGAACCGTCTCTCCAAACGTGGTTTCTTGGATGCTTCATCAGCTGCTAATGGAGGCTCAGCGGATGCTTGATTACTAGCATATGGGTCTTGCGAGCCCAATGGATGGGTTTTGTTCCAATCGGGATGAGCATCGGAAACCAAAGGCCTGGGAACTTCCTCTGGGCTGGGGCCAGTTTGGCCATCCCAGTACTTTTCGTACTGGTGCGGAATTGACGTCTCCCTAGATTCGCCTGCCTGAGAATGGGGAATCTGCTCTGGCTCTTGGGAGCCTTCTCTACTCAGCGAGCGCATGATTTCTTCTCGCAACCGGTCGCTATCGCCATCTTCCGGTGATTCATCCATGACTGTAGCAGGAATAATTGTGGGGATAGGACCACGGTATCCCTCAGTTGCAGATTGATCAGATAGCTTCCGATCACCCAACTTGAGAGGTGCAACAAAATCCTTCTCGGCAGCATTGGGAGAGACATCTTGGGGAGACTGTTGCGGCAAGTGAGGCTCACCCGGAGAGACAGAGGCCATTTCTGCTGGACTTCCCATTGGGGGATCATGCTCGGTGACAACCGGTCTTTTTGAAGGACTGTTGTCCCGTTCTGGGAGACTCATATCACGTCGATGACCTGGGATAATAGCAGGCCCGTTGCTAGGAGCACCGGTGGGAGTATTCGACTCAGCGGGTTCTTCAGGAATAGTGGGGGTCTTGTCATCATGAGGACCACGAGTACTGATGATAGGACTGATCACGGATGTTCCATCACTGTTAGAGCGCGCTACACTGCCAGTAGTGGAATTTGGGGTCTGTGGGACATCAAAAGCCTGGTGAACCACAGAGGTAAAGCCTTGGGAAGCCTGTGAGATCTGGGAAGCCTGAGATGGATTGTGCTGCAAGGAGGGCTCTGAGGGTTCAATAGTAGTAGGATGAAGAGTGGATTCATCTCCCAAGAAGTCAGCCCCAAAGGAGGACATTCGCCTAATGTCAGGTAAACCAACGGTCGGTGTTGTTTGTGTTGCTTCAGATGGGCTGTTGATGATTTCGGTGCGTGGCACTTCATTTCTTGCCGCCGGGAAAGTGCTGGGAGGAGGCATTTCCGTCTGGGGAGAACCTGCCATTCCCTTGTCCTCCCGCATGCGCTTGTACAAATCCGCAGGCCTGACAAAAGGGGCGGCCTTTTGTTGATCGGGTGGGGGACTCGCGCGATTTTCATTTTCACCTCCTAGCATTAGACCGGACAGGCGTCTGGAGCTCAACTCGGAGGAACTGCCAGTTCTTTGGCTTGCATATGGAGGGCGGGGCACGGCTGCTGGTACTGGGGGCTCGTCCTCTTCTTCCTCTTCATCCTCATCACCCCAGTCTCCACCGTCATATGAGTATTGTTTGGCTTCTACCCATCGTTTTGTTTTTGAGCGATTCACATTAGGTTGGAAGGAGATTGGCGTGTTTCCTCCGCTTGCTGGGGAGAGAGGGCTGTTCGCATTTGGCGGCGCGGAATTGTACACGGGACTATATAATGTCATGTCTTAGAGATTGCATCGCAATAGACCAGGGAGGAAAATATAGATAGGGGACTTACAGATTCTGGCCTGCTCGACCTTGCCCTTGCATGTTAGGAGTCGCCATGAAATTTAGGGCGTTCAAAGGTCCACCGCTAGGATTAAAGATTCAGCATCGGTTGCTGCCTGGCGGACTCTCAGAGTTGGCGATACACTTTATTCCCCGTGAGATTCAAATAACCCAGCGGAGACTAAGCCTGCGCTAGCTTTGAAGACAACACAAAAAGCTCTTGGGCAAACGAGGGTTGACAGTTGTGATATTTGAGGAAGGAGAGAGGTGGCGTGAGCAATAAGGCCGTTGCGGGTGTCGATCAGATCCGTTAACGAGAGGGGGCGGAAACAAGGATATAGTACAAAAGTCACAAATGACGCGTATGACCACAGAAAAAAGAACTAGTGAAAATGCAAGGAATGACCTGGATTCTTGGAATAGGACAAAAAAGCGAAAAACTAAAGCGAAAAAAAACCAGACTGAATGAAGGTGTACAAAGTGACAGGATCCCCTGATTTACATCTGGGGAATAGTTATAGTGTTATGTAATTCATACTAAATTTAACCTTGGAATTTAGTTAGTTAACTAGTTAACTAGTTATCAGGTGCACATGATGTAAGCGGTGGCGCATGCGTCACGTGAATTTATCGCGATCAACGTGTTTCATTCTAAGTTGACTGAATAGAACATGAGTTCAGTTATCCTGAAAAGTTGAAAAATAAGGGCTATTTGTCCGCTCAGTTGTTGTCTTCGATAAAGCAACTATTTTAAATTCCAATACGTTGAATTCCATCGAGAGTTCCATGCTACTGCAAGCGGACAACCCCCATCGCCCCTTATCGATTAAGGACAATCGAATCCCGACCACCTTCTCATAAGTGAAGGCTGGACATACAGGCGCCGAAACACACCGGTCAAACTGTTAGAACGCAACACATACCGAATACACACCATTTTTCATATCCTTTACCACAGCTAACCCCGCGCTTTTCTACACAATGACCGGTCCGTCGATCCAAGACCGAACCAGCGAGTTCAGTTCCATCCTAGGCCAGGCCCAGAAACGACTTGGAACCTCAAAAGTGGGATCACAGCGTCAAGCGCTGTTGACAGATACCCAGAAACGACAGGCGAATGGTTCACCATCAGTTGCACAGGATGCGAAAGCGGGGCGCTCGGAGTTCGCGCGTCGGGCGCGAGATATCGGAAAGGGGATCACAGGAACAACCGCCAAGTTGCAACGGCTGGCAGAGTGTGAGTGAACCCAAGAAGATAAATGTATTGTTGGAATGTATTAGTTCTAACCGGAAGATTAGTGGCTAAGCGCAAGACCCTCTTCGATGACCGACCCGTCGAGATCTCCGAATTGACCTATGTGATTAAGCAAGATCTGGCGGCGCTGAACCAGTCAATCGCGTCGCTGCAAGCCTTGACACAAGCACAGCACCCGAAATTCAACCGTTCAAAGACCGACCAGGAAGGCGAACACAATGATAATGTGAGTGCGGCTCTCGAAACTATGCTCGGGCGTGGACAAGACTAACCAGCACTAGGTTGTTGTCATGTTACAGGGAAAACTTGCCGACGTGGGCGCCAGCTTCAAAGAAGTCTTAGAAGTCCGAACGAAGAACATCCAGGCCTCTCGCTCGAGAACCGAGAATTTCGTTTCCTCCGTATCATCGAAATCCCAGAATGCCCTCGATTCTCAACGCTCCGATTCACCTCTCTACAACCCCTCAGGCAGACGAACTCCCCAGCCCGGATACCAAGGCAACTCATCTGATCTTTTGACTTTGGACCCTTCAAATCCTTCACCATTGGGCCGTCCTTCGATGCAATCAGACCAGCAGCTTTTGGTTATGGAAGAGGCCCAATCGAGCAACACTTATATCCAAGCCCGTGGAGAAGCCATTGAGGCGATTGAGCGTACAATTAGCGAACTTGGAGGCATTTTCGGCCAACTGGCTCAGATGGTCAGCGAGCAATCAGAGATGATTCAGCGCATCGATGCAAACACAGAAGATGTTGTGGATAACGTACAAGGAGCCCAGCGAGAGTTGATGAAGTACTGGACCCGAGTGTCTGGAAACAGATGGCTTATCGCTAAGATGTTTGGTGTTTTGATGGTATGTATCTCATTCTCATTCTCGGTCTTTCTCACTACCTGCGATGGTGCTAATTGCTGTTTAGATATTCTTCCTTCTCTGGGTCTTGATTTCCGGATAGACGCCACCTCGTTACCCTTTCCTTCAGTACTGTATCATAATATTTGGCTTCTCGCTCAGCCAAACAACGCCCCCTTCTGCATGCCCACCTACACCCAGCATTTCTTTCTTTTCTCTTGCGACTATTAGACTCCGGATGTCTGCCTTTCGCTCTATCTTTCCTTGTCTCCTCTTTTTGGGACTGTGTCCTGTAAACGAGTCACCGAAGTAAATATCTTACGTACTAATTCAATTAACTCATACCTTACAACTCCATTTGCTTCATCCTTATATACAGATTGAATAAGCTGTCCACTGGTAACTCTCATTGAGCAGCATTCAGTTGTGTCATTGCATCCCATAATTCTGATTCTGCCCAGCCCAAAGATGGCTGGTTATCAAACAACTCCCACATGAGATTATCATCCCATCCCTCGACAGAGGGCACGGACTGGGGCACACCAGAAACTGTACTGTTGGTACCAGGACTTGGAAGTGGCTGAAGCGTATTAGTACTCTGACCAGCTGCTTCCGCATGCGAAGTAATCATTTGAGACGGTGTCTCCCCACCATTGAGATTATCATGAAAGCCAGGGATGGAGGCATCAGACGACGACCATGGATTCTTCTTTATGAGCGGTGCGCATAGATCCAAGAACTTGGCAAAAAGACCATAGAGCTTGCCGATGGAGGCGTTCGCCTTCGCGAATTGACGCAGGTCGCCAGTGATCTTTTTCATCATTTCGAAGTCTCGGTGATCAGATGTTGCAACGACATTGCAGAACAGAACGAAGAACGGAGAAAGGGGGAAGAGGAGCATCGTCCTGACAGAGGTTGGTCATTCAGTTCCGTTGTCATGATATGATGAATATGGATATAGACTCACCAGGTTAGGAAGTATGGATATGAATCCACTGACGTCGCATCTGAAGAAAATGCCTCCTGCAAAGCTCGGAGGGTGGTGAGTGCTTTTCGAGCGGCATAAAGACAGTCTTCGCACACCATTCGAGATTTCAGGACGGAAGAACGTGCTCGGATGAGCGTTGTTAGAGCGGAATAGTAATTAAAGTCCACCGATAGCCATTCACGACGCAATATTGCCCACGACCCCGGGAATTCTAGCTCTTGACGACTTCGATACTTGAAAGCGTTAATGTTGACTCAGATTGCAATTCTGCGAACTGGACTTACTATTTGGAGATTTGAATAGATTTTCTGAGCCCTCATTACTAGATCAGAAAGGAGACTTGCTTTCTCCATATCTTCCATTTCTTTGGTGTCAAGAAGAATTTGCAACAAAGTGCTCTTGATGTGCGCTAGCTCAACAATTCCTATCATCATTGCTGTTGTTGGCAATTCTGGATCCATATGGATTAACCGTGCTGGTTCTACCTTGAGCTCGGGTAGAGATGGCGGTCGAAGAAGAAGCAGCCCGAGTGTCGTATCGAAATAGTAGCATGTGTAGACACACGCGTGGATCTCATACTCCTTTTCACTCTGAGGCGTCGCGTTGGTAATATTATGGTAGTTCAAGGCGACGATGATTCTAGATGCAAAAGCAGTGAGCATCCAGCAACGGGGCATGTTCCCCATATACTGCATTAGTCGTTTCTGGAAGACGTTAGTAAAAAAAAGCCACCAGTTGAGAGTGTTGATGGTTTCACTCACGCCAGATAATAGAGCCTGTATTAGCGTCAGGCTCGGGGGAGCTGTTAATGGGACCAAATTGAGCTCCTCAAGTGCAGCTGTTTCGTACTGCTTCTTCAGAGTCCGGAAATGTGTCTTCAATCGCTGACTTGATACCAAGGGAGCCAGCTTGGAAATAGATGTAATAGCCTTGACCCAAACAACTATACGGTAGAACTGTAGTGTTTGTTCATTCTCACTGCGCTCTAGAATCGCAAGACCCATTCGCTCTAGAGTTGTGTCGGAAATGTGATCTGGCCAAAGAATCGTTCCCTGTGAGCTAGTCTTCTTATCGGGACCTAAAATATTGAGCAAGTGAGTATTTCCCATAGCAAAAATATGGAAAAAATCTTACCAGGAAGCATCATGTATAGTAGCTCTGGCGTGAGTGTTGGAGGTACTATATCCTCGACTTCAGGGTCTAACGGTTCAACGGCACCGCTCTCATCTCGATGGATTCCTGGATTCGAAAGTTGACTGACAAATCGTTGTGCCATCTCAAGTGCTGTCCGCCTGTCTTTTGAAAGCGCCGGGTTACACTGAAGCTCATGCTCGATGTATTCTCTTGCTTCGCTGGCATGCCGCGCTGCGCCTGGCGAATGACGGCCACTGTGGACATTTGATCCAATGCTCTGCGAGATTTTTCGCTTCGGTTCTGGCTGAGAAGGACTAATATCGTGAGTCAAACGCCCTGCTTCATGCTTCCGTTTAGAGGAAGAGCGAGTGATCTCTGCGAAAGTATTCTGTGGAGATGAAGGCACAGATTCACTCTTATCAGTGTCTCCAACCAGCGACGAAGGTGATGAGAAAAGCGAGCTGTCTCCGTTTGTCCTTTCAAGTTTTGCCAGCCTCTCTGAAATGGCATCCAGACTGTTGATAATAGTAAATAGCTGGATTGATTCACAATTGTATACTCCATCTCTGAAGGGAGTACATACTCGGGTACCTACCGAGAGACTCTGGGTCGATGAACCCTTGCTTGACGAGCACGACCACATTCCACGTGTGCGTCTACACAATTCATGCATGGATCCTGCCGATCGCATTTAACCTATGAAGCTTTAGTTCCGATTGACTGACAATAAAAACTTTGGGTGAAATTTCCTGACCTTCCTTGCATGACAAAGGTCACACTGAGCAGAAGTTAGTTATCACTACAAGTATGAATGTGTGTTATCAAGTAAAGGGACTCACTGCGGGCATCATGGCCATCATTCTAATAAAATCGATTCAAAAATCTAAATCTCATCTAGCAATAAGTCGAATGGTATGATTGATGAAGTTGAAAAGGAGTTGGCGACGCGGAGTTCATCGATCGGGGATCTCCGAAAAGCCGATATCCGGGTAAATCAGGTTTAGCTGGCGAGGTTATCGCACCATACGGTTCCTACATCCATCAAGCGATCGGCCCACATGGTTCAAGTAAATTTGAGAGGAAGGTGATGATATAATTCCAATCTACTCTTCTATGTAGCAGTATTCGCATGTCAATTTCACAGCTGAGCCATGAAGAACAGGAACAGGCTCCTCCGTTGAATGCGGAACAGCCCCCCGTTGAAGCATCTCTTGATGACAAGCCCCAAACCATACTTCAGTGAGAGTTGGAAGTCCTGTCGAGATCCGATTCGAGTATTTCTTAGACACCACATATTGGCTCAAGTCCTCACGCATCCGCCACATGAATTCTTTCCGATGCGACCAGCCGGTCGCATGGAACGGAGATTCCCGCTCCTCTTCATCCTTTGCGACAGCAACAAAGAACTTGAGGATTCGCTCCAGAGTCGATGTCATAAGGAGCATACTGACCCAGTTTTCAGATGATGAAGAGGGAAATTCAGGTAGCATCAACCGGCGAAGGGTAGAACACAGAAGCTCTAGGCAGTGCTGGGTTGAAAGCAGAATATGGGTGTTTGTAAATGGTGTGCTCTGAAGAATCGACCGTTGGTCATCTATAGACTTGAAAAGTCTATCTAGATGAACCGAGGATTCGGAAATTGGATCATCTGCGGCAGAAGACTCGAGGAATAGGATGGTATGCGCCCTAGATACAGTTAGCGAAATTCCAAATAACGAGATAGTGAAGGCGCATACATTGGGTAAATGAGCTTCTCGTGGAGCACTGCAACTGCTCTGCTGTAGACAACTTCTTTCTCTGTTTTCGAAGAGGTCCAAAGTGATCGGGCTATCGGGTCCGTGTCAAGATGATGACGAACTGCATGGTCGGCCAAGTGATAAGATAATTGGATGCATGTTGTCCAGCAGCCTTGCAGATCAGCCAAATATGCAAATGAATACTCGGCATCGTCGTGTCCGTCTCCCACAGCATATTGAGGTGGAGGCGGGGGAAACAACTCAGATATGAAGGTTAGATCATCGCCTGGGGAGAAATTGAGATCATCTTCATCACGAAGATAATTTCGGCGTCTGATATTCAACCATACATGAGATATGGCCGTTTCATTTTTGAAAACACGGCTATGTATCAATCGACATGTCAATGCCAACGACACAATATCTTCTAGCTCACATAACGAAACTAGTCTGACTAAGACATCGTTGGGGAGGCATTTCCAAATAGATTCCTTCGATAGAAAAGATATCGATGATTTCTTGCCTCTTCGAGAGAGAACCGTGCGAAATCGGTTAAAGATCGGTGGCATATTCAACTTGAAGTTTTTGAAGTTGATCGATCATAACGGCGGAACTTGAAAGTTGCCGCACAAGCTCGAGTCTCACAATATCACTGTAGATTTCGGTAGGGCCCTAGGATTGAGCTTCGGTTTTTTATTTTATTTTTATAGATGGCAAGAGGTCATTTATGACTCCGAAGCTAATCATCCGAAGAATTTGAACAATGAGAGGAAGTCAAACCTGAAACTTGCTTCCAAGTTTCAAAGTTCAAGTTGTTCCGATCGACCCATTTTGGCCTGAGAATTCTGGCGAAAATGCACGTCTAGCCTTCCCAACTTATCATCTTTCTCCTTTAATACAAGCTAGGTACGACTTTTCACCAACAAACTAATTAACGCAATGAAAGCTCCTTGATATATGAATGAGCTGGCATCTCAGAGTCACACAACAATTGAAAGCAAGACTATGAAGTGGATGTTCATCGTATAACTTCGGGATGGACCCCTCGTCAGATTCACCAAAGCCATACTCATGTGTGGTCTGCCACAAGAGAAAGGTGAAATGTGACCGCAGGGAGCCATGCTCCAAATGTGCAAAGGCAGAGGTTGAATGTATCTACCGTCCTCCACCCCCGCCACGTCGTCGCAAAAGAGCGCGTGACGCGAGTGGATCTGCATCATCAGAACGCGACAAATCATTTCCACGAATAAGCCGAGAATCTCCAAGAGCCGATGACACTGGTACCACCGGCGATGCAGCCCATTTTGGAAGTCGAGCATCTCTGACGGAGTCCAAATCAGGCATTCCGGGGAGGATGATCATGAGAGGGGGGAATTCGGTCTACCTTGAGAAGTTAGTATCTCTAGAGTCTCATTTTGAACACTTGTCTAACACTTAAATTTTTTTTTTTAGCAATCTTTGGACAAATGCCAGCCACGAGGTTTGTGATGCTGCTTTATGATTTTTGCAAAGCATTCTAACGCCTACTTCAGCTTGCAGATGCTACAGAAGTGCTAGATGCGTCGAATAACCCAGATTCTTCATCTCAAGAGGACGACGATGGGGAAGATATGCTGCTTCTGGGATCTGGAGCCAGGAATAATCTTACAAATTTACACCCAAATCCGGTTCGCATATTCAAACTATGGCAGACGTTTCTTGAAAACGTTAATCCCATCATCAAAATCCTCCATACACCAACACTGCAGCCACAAATACTCGAAGCCGCGGGTGAGATCTCAAGTATCGGCAAGGAACTGGAGGCCTTGATGTTTGCGGTTTATTGCATCGCATTAGCATCATTGCCGACCGCGGAAGTTGAAAGGTCATTTGGAGAAAGTAAAAAGAAGCTTTTAGCTAGATGCCGACGTGGGGCTCAATTCGCTTTTAGCAACGCCTCGTTTCTTCGTACTTCAAATTTCATGGTTTTACAGGCACTGATGCTATACATAGTAAGTCTGATCCTCCCATACCATGGATTAATTCTAACGGGATATTAGTTGTCAATGCGTGTGTTTTCCGACTCGCATACCATCTGGACTATGAGTGGCGTGGCATTACGAATCGCTCAAAGAATTGGAGTTCATCGAGATGGCTCGGGGTATGGACTATCAGTATTTGAGACAGAAATCCGCCGGCGGATTTGGTTTCAACTTATTATCATTGATTCCACATCGGCACAATTTTGCGGTGTGGCTCCAAGTCCATTACCAGCAACAGCTGACACAATGCCGCCAATAAACATCAATGATACAGATCTTGACCCACGTATGACAGAGCCACCCTGTGAAAAAGAGGGGCCGACTGATATGATTTTTTGCTTGGCCCGCTGTGAGTTTGGGAAATGGTTGCGTCGCTGGAGTAAGCATGCAAGTCCCTCCCATTCGCCATGGGCTTTCCTGTCCTCGTCGTCCATGTCACTCAAGGAAAAAGATAAGGCCATAGACGAGCTAGAAGAGTTGTTGGAACAGAAATTCCTGCGGTATTGCGATAAATCAATACCATTGCACCTGGCGACTCTCGTGATGGCTCGCTCAGTGATACATTACACTAGGCTCATGGCACACCATCCTCGGCAATATCAGGGAAGCAATATCCGGCTGTCCCAGACTGAGAGGGACGTCATCTTTGACAATTGTTTGAAAATGGCAGAATATGCAGACTACACTCAGACTAACAATGACATCCAACGCTTTTCGTGGCACACGGTGCATCATATGCCTTGGGATGCCATGATTTTCATGTTGTCTGAAATGCGTTTTCGGGACGATCCGGAAGAAAAAAGCAAAGTCTGGCAGATCATTGGAAATATCTACACTCACTATCTTCGCCATAGGCGAATAGCTGTCCAGCTGCCTCTCCATCGCGCCATCGAAAACCTTATGATCCGGGCATGGAAAACGCATACTGAGGAGTGTAACCGTCTGCAGCGGGCTCCGATCTCCTGTCCAACCATTGTGGCAACTTTGATTGGAAATTCGATTGAGAGTTCCCAAAGTCATTCGAATTCCCAACGTGCGCTTGACCCGCTTGTCAGAAATGGTGATCATTGCCTCGTTCGACAGGGCAGCCTTGTCATGGATTCTCTCCCCAAGACGCAACAAGTGTAGACCTGGGAAGGAATCGCGGAGGATTTGATTATTTAGTCCATGAAGAGGCTTCAATGAACTGGAATGATTGGGATAATCTTTTAAACCAGTTTCAAGAATCGCTGATGGACGATATGAATTTTATGACTGGTTCTACATCCTGAGGTGCTGAATGCTTATGTTCATCAGTCGTCATAAGGATTACTTCCAAGGTTCTTAATATAGTCAATATGCACGGCGGCCTGCAGCTACTCCCAAGCGACAAAACCCAATTTCTAGCACATGGTCTGACCAACTTACCATCATGATACTCACTAGTTTTGTACTCTCTACTTTTGTATCCTCTGCTTTTCTACTGATTTTCAAGTTGCTAGGCTCAGGCTACGAGTGCTCTGATCCATTCGGCAGAGCAAAGAGGAAAACAAGAATGGTTCTGCCAGTCTTTACTTGGAAATCCTATTGCCGCCGCACCGTGACATATATGTAAGACTGTGACAGATCGTCGATTACTGCAGAGAAAATCGGATCTCGGGGTGAGTTCGAGTTGTGTGACCATCTTCGGTGAACCAGTCGCGCCCGGTCGACCTCACTCCGACCGGGGGCCCGATTATCTGATATGCCATTAGGCGTGATATGTCGGGGCCACCTTAACCCGAAACATGAACTCCGCAATTCTTCCAGGGATGAGAGTCACTGCTATAAGAGCCTTTGGTTCTCGATATTCAGTTGTCTCAATCCACTTTGAGATTTTGTCCCATTATTAGGAAGCCTTTCCTACCTTACGATACCACGAATTCTACCCAAGATTATGTCCCAAACAGATGTTCTTATCATTGGGGCAGGCCCCACAGGCCTTACTCTCGCCCTCTGGCTTCATAAACAAGGGGTTGCAGTTCGTATTATCGACTACGCAGAGGGTCCGTCGAAGAATTCCCGTGCAGTCGCGGTACACGCGCGTGTTTTGGAGCTATATCAGCAGATCGATTTAGCGGATGAGCTCGACGCATTTGGATACCCTCTTCGTGCATCCAATATTTGGATCGATGGAAAGCACTACTCAACCGTACCCCTTTCGGATTTTGGAAAAAAGTTGACTCCTTATCCGTATATGTTGATGCTGTCTCAAGAAGATCATGAGAAGATACTCGAGAACCGGCTCCAATCTCTGGGGGTCTATGTGGAGCGATGTACAAAGCTTAAGCATTATGTGGAGCATGTATCGAAGATCACTGCAACTCTGGTTCGCGAGACCGATCGTCGTGAGGTCATCAAGGTCATCTGTGATGCATCGTGGATCGTCGGCTGTGATGGGGCACGTTCCATCGTACGGCATGAGATCGGCGCTGATTTCGAGGGGGAAACTTACGTCCCTCTGTTTTACATTGCTGATATCGAAGCCGGACCTGGAGACTGCTGCAATCCTGGTTTCAACGGCGAAGCCCATATAAGGATGTTGGGCGACAAATACAACGTGATTCTTCCGTTCAGCAACGGGAAACGTATCAGACTGATCGGCACCACGACGCCCGAAGATTACAAAGAAAAGATTGATCTGTCAACTCCTAACCCACAACTCACATTCGAGGATGTGGAGCCAGAGATCAGAGCCGTTACCGGAATCGAGATCAAAAAGCTCCATACTTTCGCTACCTATCGCTGTCATCATCGTATAGCTGATAAATTCCGCAAAGGACGAGCATTCATCGCTGGAGATGCCGCGCATATTCATAGTCCCGTTGGGGGTCAAGGCATGAATACCGGGATCATGGATGCTGTCAACTTGGCCTGGAAGCTTGCTGCAGTGATAAAGAACCCTGGAATGAGCGAGATCTCACAAGAAAAGCTCTTGGACTCCTACGAGATCGAGCGGCGTACCTTTGCAATTAATGTGATCGGCGCCACTGATCAGGGATTCACCCTTCTCACCTCTAAAGGATTTTGGCCGTACCTTGTGCGTCAATGGTTGCTCCCTTATGGAGTTCCAATCGTTACAAAGCTTGAGTATATTAAGCACCAGATCTTCCGACGTGGCTCTCAACTCGTCTGCACATACCGGGGAAGCCACCTGAGTGAGGCTGTATCGGGCTGGGGTGCAGTACAACCGGGTGATCGTTTACCATGGGCAAAGCTGGACTCAAGTGACAATTTTTCGTCGCTGCATCATATTGCCTGGCAACTTCATGTCTATGGGTATCCACCAACAGCCCTCGAAAAGTGGTGCATCGTGAATGACGTTTTACTCACCGTCATTGATTGGGACCCACATCATGGCAAGGTTGGCTTGAGGAAAAATGCTGTATACCTTCTGCGGCCAGATCAGTATATCGCCGGCATCTTCGAAGGTCGTTCCGTTAACTCAATGCTGGACGACTACTTCTCTTCTCGGGAATTGACTTATTAGATTATTCTGCTCCCAGTTGAAGAGGAAGCTGTTACGGCGTTGTTGCATGAAGCGAAATGGGTACCTTGTGCGTCACTTGTATATCGTTCTGGGATATGATACTGGTAAAACTTCATGTTCTACCATACTTGGTCTTTTCAAATTTTTGCCAAGTTGGATGGCATACGCGGAGATGCGATCATAATGCCGCCCGAGGCCGTTCCAAGGTCCTTTCCCTTGCGGCCGTTAAACGCCATGTTCTCCGCGGTTTCTCCACTGGGCTTCAGATTCGATTTACATAATTTCAATTATTCCGTCAACCTCCAAGTTATTCAAATATGCTTGAAAAAAAGGCATTGAAGTCCGACATTTCCAGTTCAAATGGGCCTACCATGGATTCGGGCTGGAACATTCCACTAGTTTAGGTCACCGAGTACTCCGTAGTGGTGTTGGGGAAGTACGTAGTGGCTCCACCTAAGACTCGTGGCTTGAGTGTTAATTCCCACTTTAATGTGAATTAACCAGGCATTCAAGTTCTTCAGAGTCCAAGCCGCTTGCATACGTGGCTTAAATTTGTCGATCATTGGAGTTTTACGGCTTCACCTACCGAAAACGGAATTGAAAGGCGATCTTTGATGAACTCCGAGATCCACTATCTGCTCTTATATAGTTTGGTTCCGGGGCTATTGTGGAGTTTCATACGTCTCGTATCCCATATTCTAAGATGATGGGGTGGATGATGGGGTGAATAACGTTTTGAATACTCCTTAAAAAAAGACCGAAGGGAAATTGGAAAGACATTATCATACTATAGAAGCAACGTACGTTTCAAGTCTCCCGAGGTCCACGGTGATCCACTTATGACCCCAGGGATTCTATAAAATGTCTGAATAACCACCAAGAAGTTCCTTTATCACAATTGTCTTTCTTTAATATTCCAATTGCATCTTCAGCATGCATTTCAATTGCATCTTCAGCATGCATTTCAATTTTATTCTGACCAGCCTGGTCGCCGGAGCAGCTCTAGCTGTTGCCGAGCCTATCCCTCGTTCTACTTCTCAGTTCCCTGTGATCAAGACCAACAATGGCTCTGTTCAGGGTATTGCATCTGATTTCCGGGAAGATATCACTGTATACAAGGGTATCCCCTTTGCCGCCACCACTGGTGGTGAGAACCGCTGGAAGAAGCCCAAGACTCGCGATGCGTGGTCCGGTGTCTTGAAAGCAGACTCCTGGGGACCTCAGTGCGCGCAGTCCACTTCCTCTTCTGCCGGTATTTTCAACACTGCTTCGAACATCACTAGCGAGGACTGTCTGTTCCTCAACATCTGGACCCCTACATACAACGACACCAGTGACTTGAGCTCCAAGAATCTGCCTGTCTACTTCTGGATCTATGGTGGACGCTTTGAAGCCGGTTCTGGCGATGTTGTCACCTACGATGGTTCTGGTCTGGCTAGCAAGGACATCATTGTTGTTACCATGAACTACCGTGTCGGTGCTTTCGGCTTCCTTGCCCACCCCGAGCTCTCTGCTGAGTCTGGTCACAACAGCTCTGGTAACTACGGTCTGTTGGATCAACAGTTTGCATTGGGCTGGGTCCAGGATAACATTGCTAAGTTCGGTGGGAACCCCAACCACGTCTTTGTCGGTGGTCAGTCTGCCGGATCTTCCAGCTCGCTTGACATGATGTTCTCTCCTCTGTCCAAGAACCTGATCAATGGTGTTATCTCCGAGTCTGGTGCCCGTGGCCCTCACGACCCTATCACCGGTAGTGATGCCACCAGCTACCGTACCAAGGTCGCCGCCGAGGCCCAGGGTGTGTCCTTCATGGAGGAGATGAACTCTACTTCCGTTGAGGACATGCGCAAGTTACCTATGGATCTCCTTATCTCCTACGGCTCTCTCAGTGACACCATATTCGAGGGTACTCAATTCGAGAACCTTACCAGCTCCTTCATGGAGCCTCCTCTCTGGCGCCCCAACATCGACGGTTACGTCTTGACCCACAGCTATGGCCAAGCCCTGGACCTGAACGCTCACGCCGATGTCCCCATCCTTACCGGAAACAACGCCGACGAGTCCGGCGCTTCCACCGACCCCGGTTTCACCGTTGCCACCTACAAGACGCTGTACACCGAGTTGTTCGGTGTATTTGCCGAGGAGTTCTTCAAGCTCTATCCCGGCCGCAACGAGACCGAAGCCAATGAGAACAGCAACGAGCTCTTCCGCGACCTGAGCCGTGTCGGTACCTGGCGTTGGGGTGTTGACTGGACTGCTGGTGGTGCCAAGAGCAGTGTTTACACTTACTACTGGACTCACACCCCCGCCGAGGATGCTACCGCGGGTGCGTACCACGGCAGTGAGCTGTGGTATGTGTTCAACAACATCCCATACTCTGACTACTCCAACGTTACTTGGACTCCCCGCGACTACCACATTGAGGAGAAGATGTCCAACTACTGGGCTAACTTCATTAAGACTGGTAACCCCAACGGTGATGGTCTGACTCACTGGCCTGAGACTACTGACACTAAGAATGTCATGTGGCTGGGTAACTCCTGGGGAGCTGGTCCTTTGTCTAAGACTGAGGCTCGCATTGAGTTTATCAAGCGCTGGGAGGCTACTCTTCAGCAGTGGTAAACACTGGATGTTTCACCAGGCAATGCTGGGACTATTTGGCGACTCATGACTGCTGAGTGGTACCCTTTTGTAGATATAGGCCATAGTAGGCTGGTCAATTCTTTTCTTGTCACTCCTTTTTAACTTGATTCTACTTTTGTCATGTATCCCTGCATTTGAACATAGCACTAGGGACTAGTTAGTCATTCGCATTGGGAATATTTACTGCATTCAAGCTCACCTTTTTTTAAAAAGAAATTTCAATTATTAGAAATGATGAATAGGAGCTCACTTCGAATACATTCCAATCATGAATATGGGGTATAAATTGGTTCGTGGGATCATATACAACCACGATTTTAAAGTTATTTACAAAAAATAAAAAGATAGTTTCTGTGAGTATGTGTATCTAGAATCTGTATTCATAAATCGTTAGCAAGTTCAAATTAAATCTAAGACAGGGTAGAAAACTCACGAGAAATTCTCTCTATGTAACCACAACTCCCGCGCATTACCCGGTTTCTTCGCAAGAATGCGACTCTGAACCTCCGCCGACGCCGCACTCACATCATGGGTCATAGATGAAGGACCACAAACGACCACACAAACCGACTTTCCCTCTGAGCTGGCCATCTGGTAGATAGCACTTGGCAGGTCGGGTCGTCCAGTAAAGCACTGAACACCGAACAACTCCGCAGGTAAGGACTCCGAGGAAGTACTGCACTCATTGGAATGCACATCCTGGACCTTCACACCTGCCTCCGCCTCCAGCTCCTTACTCTTCGATTCCGAAGCCACATGCGATGCACAAGTCTCATGAATCTGAATCGAAAGACCAGGTACAGGTTTCTCCAACGATTGTCTCGTCGCGAGATCCTCCAGAGCCTGTACATACCACGCGCGCATACCGGGATCACGCGTTGCAACAATAATCTTCAACTCCTTCTCATCCTCGGTTAACGAAGAAGCGCGAACAAAGTCCTCAATCATGGATAATGTTAATCCAGCACCAGCACCACCACCAATAACGATACTCTTATCGAATCCCTCCATTCTCCCCACCGAAACCCCACCATAAGGACCATCGATAAGGACGGGAATCTGTGAATCCGGATTCTTTCTCGCCAGAGCCATAAGGCGACCAGTGATACCACCATGCGGCTTGACATAGAAGACAAGTTGATTCAAGTTCTTACTATCCTTCTGTGGAACAGAGCAGATGGTAAAGGGGTGTGCAGTGAGAGCGTGCATATCACATGTGACAAAGCGCAGGAAGATATGCTGACCAGGACCCCACTCCATGGCTGTATCGATAGTGACTTTGAGGGTTTCTTCCGACTCGGGTACTAGACGGGCTTTGTGGTGGATACCGTGCTCGAACCATGTTTTGCATTGAGAGTATAGCCATGACAGGGTGTATAGTACGGCGGTGGCGATGAAGTAGTCCCAAGAGGACATACGGAAGTCACAGTGTAGGAAGAAGAAGATGACGAAGACCATAGCCATGAAAAAGTGGGTTGCTTTGAAGAATTCGTAGTATCGGTTACTAGAAGAAGGGATGTTAGTGAAGGTGGGAGGTTAAGGGTATTAGGTGTGGAACGCACCGAATCCATGGGATAGACATGAATGTAAGCCATGCTTGAGCGATGATTGCGACGACGCCGGTTACCCAGACACCACCGCTAGTCCATTGTTCTCTGATGTCTCCTTTCCACATGTGGTAAACGATGAACGGGAATGTGTGTGCGAGGGCTAGTACGAACATGGCCCACGCTACCCAGTTGTGCCAAACGAATAGTTTCTCATGAGAGATGCCCGTCAATGCGGTGATGGGATTGGATTTGGCGCCGAGGATAATGAGGAAAGGCATACATGCCAATGCTAAGAACCCGGAACGCGTGGCGATGGGTGGAGAGTCACCGTAGCTGATTTCCATTGTATTCGGCCAGTAATAAGGATGGGGCCCCAGCATCATAGCTTAAAGGTTGTTAGTCTTTTCATAGCTTGACAATAAACGAAGGATGAAGTACTCACATAGGAAATAGACCAGTCCAGCTGCACCTAGTAGGCACACACCGAGAGACTGAGTATTCCACCCTGCAATCCGCCATGTCTTGTAGGAGAGGTATCGAAGAAAAGCAACTGGACGAAACCAGATTGAACGCTTCTTCGCACTTTGTGGAGTGAGCGAGGATGTTATATGTGCTATAATGAAGAGGCCTATAGCGACCATGAAGAACGCAACAGTCGGCAAGGCATAGTGATGATCAGCCTGATACCAGTTCACCCAATACCTCTTCTTATAAGCACATTGTTCCGGGGTCATGGTACATTCTCCCATCACTCTGGAAGAGTGTATTAGGACCGGCTGGTCCAGAAACGGAAGCATACCCATGTTGGATGACCTGGATGCTGAATATTGCACGTTGACAAAGTATCTAGAGTATCAAAAGAAGATCCAACGAGGAAGTCATCATTATTAATACTCCCAAGAACACATTGACCCTCTAGTATCATAGACTCCACTATTTCTGCTCAATTCATCGCTTGATCTCTTTTTGCCAAGAAGTACTCGGAGATTTTGAGCAGATTATTAGTCTCGTATAGAATCCAAGCAGACATAGAATCATCAGATACCAAGAGATTAGTATGTATGGAAATAGATTAGAGGATTCCTTGATATGTCCTATCTCGGCTATGACTTCGATAATCTGATTGATATCTTCACATTATGTTATGCACTCTTGAAGCAATGGGTGATCAGGATCTTTTTTTGCCCCGCAAAAATGAGCAGATTTGAGCGCATTTCAACGTGGTCGGTTCCACCCGCCCGAACCACGCGAAACAAGAGTGAGAACGGGTGAGAACTTGACATTTGATATCTTCTGAGAAATCAATAATAACACTAAACACTGAAGAATGTGTCAAGATGGCTTGATCAAATATACAGTGGAGTCGCTTTGACCCATCTCTAGCGTGAAAAATAAAGAGAAAAAGAGCAGAAAAGAGAAGAAAAGACATACGACACAGAGCAGTGGGGAGAACAGACCCACTCGAGCAAGTTTCGTTCAAGATGCCAAGATCTAGGTCTGAGTCTAGAGATTCCTTTTAAAGAGTGGAGAGCTGCTGATATGTGTCACTTGTAATTATATCATTTTCACTCCAACATTCATCATGATGGACATGTCAGGAATGACCACCACTACCATGGCTATGGCCATGGAAACGGCAACTACAACCGCCATGTCGATGGCTACCACATCCTCATCCATGGATATGAACTCAGACTCAATGACAATGTCCATGTCGGAGATGTCCATGACCTTCTTTACTTCATTTAAGACACCTCTCTTCTCTGCGGATTGGACACCCACATCGAAAGGAACTTATGCTGGGACCTGTATCTTCCTGATTGCCTTGTCTGTCATTTTGCGGGTACTCATCGCGTTACGACCTGTGCTGGAGTCTCGGTTATGGACAGATGGAGTTCGTCATAACAGTGAACCACTCATTGACACCATCCCTGGGAAGCATGTCTCGGGTGTACAACAGAGTCTGAATGAGTTTAGCAAGAGGTGGTCCAGATGGCGAGTCAACCCTGCTGCCGGTCGTGCGACATTTGAGTTGATCGTTGCTGGTATTTCATATCTGCTGTAAGTTTCTCGCAATTAATGAGTTTGAGGATTGTGAACTGATATCTGAATTAGCATGTTGGCGGTCATGACGATGAACGTGGGATACTTCCTTCTCTGTTCTTGGAGGTGTTTGGCTTGGGACATTCATTATGGGCAGTGCTGCAGCTGATAGCTCAGGGATGCACTGATCGAGATTGTTAAGCGATCGCTGAGATGGAAACTCCAGATGTCATCATACATATGTGCCTGATGAGTGTTGATGCTTTTCTTGTCCATACTTCCTATAATACCCCTTGCATTGTTCTTCGCATTTCCCTTGCCACTGTTTTTGTACTAGAATACCCTACAGACTCATAACAAACGATGATTCTCATTGCGTGTCCTCCGGACTACTCCGTAGCCTTATTCAAAAAACCAGTCGGGTGTATAACTCGCGCATACGAGTGCGCACAAGGTCCTCACTCTAAATACCTGTGCAAGGACAAGGATAATCGTCATAACATTGGAATATGGGTAGGTATGAAGGCCTCCTTTACAAGTACATGTCGCAGTTAGCCTTCCTTGCCTTCCAAGTCATCCTCCAGGTAAGCCTCCAGGTAATCCGGTAGGTATTTCCGTAGGTACTCATATAGAAAGAGGTGGAGGTCATCAGTTTCAGTCACCTGTATGTAGATACTACTGGCTGAGTACTTAAGTATGTGAGCATCGTGCGTGTCTAAGAGGATGTGAACACACCTGGCCAAGCACTTGAGTGCTGAAGACATACCTTTCCCAATTTCACTACTACAGCGCCGCGCGTCGCGCGGCGTGAAGACTTGTCACTCAATGACATGAACCAAGTGGGGACTAAATTGACCAAATGTGGAAACCCGCTTTTCCTCTGATCAGCAAATATGATGGGTCCGATTGTACGGGGCGACCCGAAGTAGTGCGCGGGTGTGATATTCAAGCAAGGGGCAAATATCAGTTCTCATCTGGACCATGTCCGAGTCATTATTCTTCCCGGACCGAAGCCAGTTCGACTCGCGCTCGGTGTACGGAGTACGGACTATATTGCGTCTAAACATTTGTCATGGTCGGAGATGAGCTTTTCAAGGAGTATGAATCATGCGACCCACAAGGTCGAGCAGACTCGAGTCTTGGATACCAGCTGTGCAAGAATGATCGGATCAGATCAAATCGGAGAGGACAAAGGTTATTATTTGACATTGTTCCAGCACGATCTGTCAATCAGAGAGATGTCCGAAAATTATACCACGTGTTGTTAAGGTTCATCTCTTGAGCTCCGGCTTGTCGCCATGATCTGCCCAATACCAACTTGAACAACCGAGAACGTTGGGGTGAACAAAGAGAGAAACGGATAAATTTGATCTTCCCTCAAACCAAAAATTGATGAAAACTTCATTTCTCAATATAATGTGCCGATGCACTACCGTTTCAAGTTGGGGTACAATGGCGTGCTCGAACAACGAATGACGATGGAGCTCTTATCAGACACGCTATCTCTCCGACATCGTTCCCCGGATCATCTTCCCCATTTCATTCGACCATCATGGAAGGCACCGTTCATCGATTCAGGGTCCATCGTACAAATACTTCGCGGTCAGATCAAGACCAGCGGAGCACCGGACCCAGCGGGTCCCCTCCAGCTAATAGCCCCGCTCACAATCGCCGTTCATCAACTCTACCGGCCTGTCGCCGATGTCGCCAGCAAAAGAAACGATGCACGCGAACTGCCGAGGGACCGTGCAAACCATGTATTTCTGCATGGTTGCCTTGCTCGCTTATGGAGCGAGACGTGAGTCCGCATTCGCGTGAAAGAGAGCTGCGATCCAGGATCGATTGGCTTAGCCAGTTGGTGAATCAGACCTTGCCGGCGGGTGGACCGCAGATTGAGTCTATTGAAACGGGCCGCAATTTATCCCTTGGATCGAATAATGAAATCGAGTCTACATCCATTGTCCCGGTTGAGGATCACATGGAAGAAGATGATGTGCGCGAAGTGAGTGTGTCATCTGAAAAATCGGATGAAGATAAGCCTATACCAGTTTCAGGGGGTGGCAGGTGTTTGCAGGCGTATTTTCGACACGTTCATCGAGCCTATCCGTTCTCAGATAGTGAGGTGATTCAACAAGAATTTGAAAATATTTGTTCTGAGCAAGCTAAGAATGGACTTCTCCCCCGATCGGCTGTGCCAAGTCGAATGCAAATGCTTATGGCTATTGGATTTACAACGCTGCAGCGGGCGGGAGAGGCTCAAGATATCGAGCAATCGCTGTTTGAACCGTGTCTGAAAACAATTCTCTGTGAATGCTTGCGCCGTGTGGATGAGAATTCAGCGGGTACCTTACTTCTGCTTGGCTTGTATCTCCTGTTCAAGCCGGATGATATGGATCCCAGGGCGATTGTTGGAGTCCTCACCCGACATGCATTGGCAATTGGGTTGGTGAGTGAAACGCCGAGCAGCCAAAATCTTTCGCCGCGTGCTTTAGAGTTGCGTCGCCGACTGAGTTGGTCAATATACGTATTTGATCGCATGATAGGTATCTCATACGGACTTCCTTTTGGTCTTCCCGATGATGCGATGCAAGTGCCATTACCAAGTATTATGATCCATGAGTATGGCTCAGAAGAAGGTCACCAATATACAATAGCTTTGCAAGTCAGCAGACATGTTATCGCGCTCCGGCAACTGGAAACACGTATTGTGAATTCAATTTATAAACGTGGACTCTTGATACACCCACAAGAGTTACGTCGGCAGATTGAAGATTGGTACACACAGGGCTGTCTACTATCCAGCTCGGCCTTATGGGAACAGGACCAAGTTCCCTTCCACACGACCATTACTTGGTTGAATGTCCGATACCAGAATCTCCTTCTCTTGCTTTACACTCCAGCGCAAGGGGACTCGGCATCAGAGGATAATCTATCAAAGCTACAAGCCGCCGCCCAGCAATACATCCAACTAAGTATTATTCTGCACGAACACCGTCACCTCCCAATAAATTGGGTCACTCTGTGTCGCTTGCTATCTCTAGCTGCAATCTTCCTCTACTGTGTAGCACGATGGACACCTGCTTTTCAAGATATCCCGGAAATTTCTCTACTCGCTTCCCTACTGGATCTCTTCTCACCATCCTGGATTGCAGCACACAAGACGGCGAGAATCCTAAGACGATTGACAGACATGATCGCGAAGCCAAACCCGCCCATAATACCCATCAGCCAGTCCTCTGCCTCCGTGATTACCACACCCGGACTAGAAGTCGAGTTGGGCCTACAGTCAATACAAGACGAACTATCATCATTGCTTAACGAAACACTCGGCGAAGCGAGTTTCTACACTTGGCCTTTGAGGACGAAGGTTACAGAGAGACGGCTCTCTCATCACCTTGTGTCAATGGATGGTTTGACTCGATTGGCGAATGGCAGTCAATTTGGCACTCAAATTGGAATTCCACTCAATAGTGTTTTGTCACCGACAGATAATGCAATTGATGGAAGCCCTCTGGAGACACAATGGATGAGCTTACTGGGTGGTTTGGGATCCGATATGCTTTGAAAAGACCTGAGAACCCTCCATTGTAGAGTCAAAATGAGAAAATCTATTCATCAATGCACGCCACTGGGAGTTTGATGCTCTATCTCAAATATTTACAGATGCGCCTTCTGTCCCTCCACCTCAAGAGACTCGTCATAATTGAACCCCAGTTCCTCAAGGGTCGTGATCTCCCTCCGCCGACTTCCCAATGCCTGCGATGCCTTCTTAATCAACGGAATCTTCTCACGCGTCCACTTCGCTTTCACTCCCCAAAATGGTGGCTCTTTGCCACGTCCTTCATTCTCCAACCCATCTTGGTGTACCGCTCGCAAGCTTTCCTCATACAGAGAATTAATATAATCAGCGTCCAACGGGAAACCAAGGACATTGAAAATATGACCCTCGCCTCTCTTCAATTTCCATTCTTCAATCCATCGCTCCATATCCACACGCGAAGGGATTCCTAACCGTCCCGACCAGAGCCGTGCAATCCATGCGCCTTGGGCTTGACTAATCGGGAAAGGAACAATGCGCTGCGGAAATCCCACTAGAGCTAGCGTTGGCTCATGGGTATACAAAACATGCTGATATAGATGATGCGGTCGCAACCCATCGGTTACGATTTTTGGATCTAGATTCGACAAGAATGGGACGGAGAAGTGGTATCCTGTACAAAAGAAGATATGATCGACGTTGTGCTCTTCATGACCGTTAGAAAACTGTATGCGGGAGTTCTCTGGATCAAAGAGGCTGATTTCAGGGAGACTTTTCGCGATGGCGGCTTTCTGAGGTGGGAGGACTGTCTCTGTTCGCTCTGATATCAAGAGCGGGTACTTGGATACTTGGCCGATCTGGGCGGCGATATCAATTCCTGAGGCGGAGTGGCCTACCACGATGATTTTCTGTTATGGATCAGTATCCATCTCGTCGACCTCGGTGATCCGGATGTGTAAATACCTTATTTGTAAATGGCTCTGCATGTCGATATGACGATGAATGAGATATTGAACCAGGAAACACACGATTCCATTCTTCTATACCCGGTATCGCAGGAATTTTAGGATCGTTATGATGTCCATTCGCAACGATCACTGCATCAAATTGTGCATTGAGTACCTTCTCATTTCGAAGATCACTCCATGTAACCGTCCACTCTGTACGAGGCTTCTTCGATACCGAAACATCTAGAACCAGCGATTGCAATTTAATAATATCCTTTAAATCCTCCGCATATCGATGAAGGTAGTCCTTCACGACATCATGCGGAGGAAACAGCGAGGTCCCAACGGGAAAAGGAGAATCCCAAAACTGCATCATCGAGTTCGGGATATTGGTTTCTAAAGAATCGTACACAGGTGAAATGAAAGTCCCATTTACAGGCTCCTGAGCCGTAGAGTTGGGAGATGGATGGGGAACTGGTAAGGAAGTATTTGTAGTCCCTTGATGACCAGTGTAATTCCACACACCACCTGGCAGATCGCGCTGCTCGAAAATGGTGATTTTGAATTTTTGCTCAGCAATGAGATACCTGGTTTAGATATTAGAAATCGATCAAGAATCAGGTGGCCACTACCTACTTCGCTGCACCGAGACCGCAAGGCCCGGCCCCGATGATCGCTACCCGCTCAATAGCCATGGTAGTTATTGTGCTCCTTAGATGCGAAGCAGATATAGCACTTGAGAGGTCTGGCTCAAGTTGTTGTATATTTAAGAAATCCTGGTCACTTGTCTTCGCTCATTGGAGTGTCCGTTGGCGCCATCGATGCTGCAGAGTGTGCCCAAGTGGCTTTCCTCTTAATTTAGTAATAAACGTCGGGCTTACGCCGAGCTCAGGTGGCCCGATTGGGCTTAGACTGTAAGATACAATACAAATAATACCGTATTATTCCAAGCCCTGGACGAGAGGTTGTTATGGAAGGATTCCAACTTGACGCTATGAGGGCTTGAAAATGGGATCCCAGTAATGAAAAGTCAAGAAAAAGACGAATATTGATCGAGCGAGAGCCATTGACCATTGATCAAACATGAGCGTCCCGACCGACTTGTAGTATACAGAATCGAACTCTCCGGATCATTGCCTACTGAACCAATCTACGCATTCAAAAACTTGAAATTTCAGGTTATTATACTGGCTTTAAGGTCAGGATCAACGTTTTATTGATCAGATCATCCTACCTAGACTTCTTATCCTCAGAAGCCTCCCCACCGGTCGCAATGTTTCGCTTCCCCGAAGAGATTCCATCTGCGGGGATCAGCGCCTGGAGCCTCTGTATCTCAGATTGGAGGCTATGTGTTCGCTTCCTTCACCAACCTCTCTGCGTGCTCCTCTAGTTGCTTGGACTTTGACTGACTGGACGCTGAAGCTGCACTTGTAGATGACCTCAGGCTTGACTGACGGGGAGAGGAGGACCTTGCGTGACCAGGAGAGGTGAATATTGCATCATGGAGAGAAGAGGGCATGGTGTGCTTGGGTGAAGAGGGAAAATGGAGGCAGAGGCATTTCCTTTCTGTCGGGATCAATGTCTTTAGCTTCGCTATTTCAGCTTGCAAGCTCTGTATTTGCTTCCTTCATGGACTCCTCTCTAGTCCAGGCATTCAATCCTCTCTTTACCTGTCTTTTTGACAGGCTTCCCACGCCAGATACCCACCTGTCTCTTCCATTTTGAGCAAAGATTCTTAAAAATCCCCCAAGGCACATCGCCTATTATTCCTAGGATCTTGGTTCCCGAGTCCAGGTTTGAGAACGTCTCTTTGACAATCGCTATTCATCCCGACAGTCAGTTACTGTACACTTCAAACGTATCGTTACTCTCTAGCAAAATACATAGACATGAACTGGTCTTTATTTCATGAGCAAATCTTCTTGCACAAGCCAGACAAGAATATCGTATGCCAATCATAAAAACGTCATGCCTAAGTATCTGCCTAGAGATTAGAATCAGGGGAAGGAGAAAGTTCTTACGCGTCAAGTCATGGCAATACTCATTAAGAGCATTGATATGCAAAGAATACTTGCCGAACTCATTGGACAGAGGCAGATCCACGCCTGCTTTCATCGCTTCAGCGGCCACAATCATCTATTAGATAATGATTCTTGTTAGTCTTGTTCTCATAGGTCAAGCATCCAAGCACATACGCAGGTGGAGATTCTTGCTCGAAAAGAGCGGATGCTGTCACACGTTGAGACTGTCCTGTCGAGTGGCGAAGGGGAGTTTATCCGAGTATGCATTCATGTGTTTCAGGGTGATTAGTATTGATCGATGTAACGAAGAGAGTAACCATATGCGTGTAAATGTTACTGGGGTGGAAGTTCACTCTGCCTAACAGGAGATGACTGTCTGTAGAGGTGAGGCGTGCTTTGCCAAAATTGAACAAGGTACAGTGTCTCGAATTTGCTCAGGTGGAATCTCCATTCCGCGTATATATGTGGCGAATTTCAATCAAGGTAGCAGGAAGTGACTTGGGAAAAGGGAGATGAAGAGAAGTTAGAAATGGGAATTACCAATTTCTTAATAGAAAAGCCCATTATCATCTAAGTTCACAGTAGTGATGATGATAAAGGAAAGACCAAAAGCTGACTGAGTTTGGTTAATATTATGGCTAGAAAGTGACTGGAAAAGTCATACCTTCTGAGGTTGAACTTCAACATTTGAAGTTCTTCTACTACATAGTAGCTGATACTAAGGTTACTTACCTCTTGGTTCAATCATTACTTTCTATATTTCTCACTTCAAGTTTTACTTCAGATACCTCTTACTAGTAGTACTTTAGCTATCTCTCACTTTGCCTCTCTCTTACTTTAGCCTTATATATGATTAAGGATTTTACATCATGATGATCGGGTGATCAGTAATGGTACCTATAAGATGTTCAAATTATTGGCCTCTTAGCTATAAGAGGGTATCCATGTAACAACTTAAACCATTGAATTTTCAACACCTGAATCCCATGAAATGTGATCCTTCTACATGAAATGAATTGGTCGAAGGTCCAAAGGAAACAGAAGATGGACCTTCAACTCCTTCTCAGAAAATCCCCAAACAACGCTCGATAAATCTTCAATCGAAATATATTTCAAATGTTCGAAGGCCTTCAAGTTCAAGTTGAAAACACCCAAGGGCTCTCCCAAGGCCGAGAGATCTCAAACCATCACAATTGACGATCAAGATTCAACAAATGGAGGAGTTCCAAATACCATTGAAAGCGTTCTATAGATCAATGGGATGCTCGAATCAATTCTCAAGAATCTCCAGACAGTCGAGAAACACAACAGAAAATTCGAGGCCTCAAAAAGCAAGTCCAGCCTGGAGGGGAAGCAGAGAGAAATCGATTCTCTCAAAAGAGCATGCACGACGTGCAAGCACAAGCAGTTGCTATGCAACATTTTTTGAACAAACAATCAGCAAAATGCTCCAGCTTTTGGAAGAAGATGCAAAGAGAAAGGCGGCAGCCAAATCCCGCCATGAGCCACGACAGCCATGCCCAGGCCGCAACTACATACTAAGCGCGCAACCTACAAACCTTCACTTTGGGAGCAGTCTTTACTTCAAGTTTGGACCCCTCAATTATCTTCCGCTTTTGGTTTTTTGACTTTTCAATTGGTATTCCTAAGAACACCCAGCTTGCCAGTGGTGGGGAAACCACAAAATCAATCATATTCTTTACACTTTCATTTCGTTATTTTAAACGTTATGAACCTTAGGAGGAAAATTCATTTATTCCTCAGAAACCAGGTCCAATACTAGCACTTGAGCCCTGGAGATATTGCTTTCTTTTTTAAACTGTTAGCTACGGTCCCTCAACGCTCAAGTAAGCTCTTGCCCCTGGTACAGTGGTACATGGCCAGTATATTGCTTTCTACCGTAACTCATTGCGCCCAGCCTTACGATAAGCATAGCTCTTTTCAAATCCCTGTCTGCGAACACCGATGACTGCTTCGTCACCGAGGCCCTTCAAAAGTCACAGAAGGCCCCCAGGGCCACGACAGCTGGACAGTGGAGGCACACCCTGGCTGGGATAGGAGCTTCATACCCAAAGCCAACAGAGCTACGCGGCCGGTATGCCTTGTGCCTTTGCCAGCTTCATCCTAGTGCTTGATTCTGAGATGGTCTAAATGGCCATCAAGTACCTGACTGCTGTCGCCAGAGACAAAATGTCGGGGTTCCAGTGTACGTAAATAGATTCCCTGAAAATTTTTTGGATGTCTGGTCTATATTGGATCGAGAAACGGATTGATTAGCTTCAAGATAAAATAGTTTGGAGAACTCAGAGAAAACCATGTTTAGTAGTTATTCGTCGATATGAACAAGTCCCTGCCAGTGGTGTGAGTTGGAAGGAAGATAATTGAATTGGTGCTACTATTGAAAATAAGCACCCTGGAGCCATTGTTAAACACTGAATCGATGTATTAAAAGGTCATATCAGTGCCTGAAAGTTGGAGAACTCTGGTTCACTTGTAAGAATGAGAATCCATATGTCGGCACCATGACATACGTGAGATTTTCCCCTTTTCTCCGGGGTTGTAAACAAAGTATATTGTCTGGTATCCTCTTTGTTCTCTTGATCATCTATATTGCCATCTGTGGCATCTTCTCACACCTGTACTCTTGGTAGTAAAGGATTAAAACCGACTCGGAGTCATGAAGTGACGAATTTTGGTTCAAGTTCCAATGTTGTTTTCAATTTTTCCCCCTTTGAGCTTTCTCAAAAAGTTCGCGTAGTAAGAGTGACAGCGACTTGAGTCCCCTTCTTTTTGACCTTTCTTTGAACTCAGTGTACCACATGTCAGGCCATCTAATCTCCGAAACATGCACAGGAGACATGAATGTTTTGTATCGGTTGTCCTTCACATAGGAGAGGTTGCGAGACTCCAACTCCTTGAATGATTCAGAGACCATATCTTCAAAGCATGATCGGGAATTTGTAAAGGGATAATCTGGAACACGCTCAACTCGCTCGAAAAAAAGCCATTTGATACTACTATGAGCCCTCCATAATGTATCATCTTGAGTAAGACCAGGCCCTAGGTTAACCCATCTTGTCATGACAATGGTAATTGAGGAACAGTTTTCAGCAGCCTGGCCCTCGATGTATGACTCAGTATTACAGATCTTACATGTAAAGGCCAGACCAACAGGGGATTTACTTCCATTGTCAATAGAGTCCATTATAGGCAAGAGACGATCGACCAAAAGCAAATGTGCACATAGCTCAAAATATTGTATGGGCCGGAAAAATGTGTTGCTTGGGTCAGGATTCAAATCATCTCGTGTTCTGAGAAGTAGTATATCCTGCATTCGAAAAATATAGGCCAGGGGGGCTAGGGTGTATTTGTGCTTCCCGAGAAAATAATGTCATTATATCTGGCCCTGACTTTTGAGGAAAGTGGCGCACTTGTGTATACGACAGAGAACCAGTACTGATTCCAGCTGTTGGACCACAGTGAAACCTTCTCATCGCAAGTTTGAGTTGAAGAAAGGTGATAGAGCTCGGCACATAGCTCCGGGACGAGAACCCATGAGTTCTCATTGGTGACCGGAACTCCCAATGATAACTTCTGGGACACGTAAGCGGAGATTGGCGAACTCTGCGATGAATCCCCCCGATAGGTCCAAACCATTCAGATCCATCATAATAGTGAAGAATTCTGCACATGTCACAAGCAAAGTATTCTGGAATATCTCTCTCCAAACGCGTTAGGATAGAGAATTTATCATCTGTTGAGGAAGTCTTCAGCCGCATGAGCTGCCTCCGAGATAGCTCAAACAGACGGTGATCGTACTGTATAATGAAAAGCAAGTCAGATCAATAAATGGGAGAAAGTCATTTATTGATAATATAAACTCAGGGGGGAGTCGATCGAGGGTATTCATGTTGATGGTTTCAGGACAAGGCGTGATCGTATCGTGGGCGCACAAAGTGAGATTTACAGAGGGGGAAGCTTTGAAAGTTAAGTTAATCACCTGGGCAGAAGCAGTAGATATTGTGTGGAGTGGTGGAAAGAAAAGAAGTATAGCCTGGAGGGCCTCGCGGAAGACCACCTAATAGTACTTCATATCTGCGAACCTTGGAAGGTATAGTACCTACTAGATATGAGGGTACTAGTCCCTATTGGGAACCAAATAATCGTTTCAAAGTTCTGATGTTGGAACAGTGAAAGCTTAATAATTCATCACCCACGGTTCGTATACTACAGAATCGGGAACTGAATATAGACCTCTTTTCCTACTTGGGTTGCAGTAATTTTTCGAGTTTCCTCCCTGGCAGAACAGAGGCACAGAATTAACCTATAGCTCATCCCTATGGTTACCAGTTACCTATATCCAACTATATAGCAGCTAGCCTTCCCTTCCAGGTAATCATGCAGGTAACCCCGTAGGGAACCCTGTAGGTACTTATGTACATGCATGTGTAAAGAGGGCACCTGGGGTATGTCACCAGTTACATCAGGCTGTACATACTACTGACTGAGTACTTAAGTATGTGAACATGGCTGTAGTGTCTATTTGCCCGAGATTCCTGTCCAAGCGCTTCAAATATGGAGTGCTGAGTAGATACATTGCCCTATTTCACTGCTACATCCAGTGCCGCGCTTCGCATGGCATGAGGACTTGTTAATGGAAAAACGGCAAGATGCACTTCAGACGATGTGGCAGGAAGTGGTCTCCTCTTCTAGGTAAAATGGGTGAAGCGAGTCCTGGTATTCTGCCCAATAATTCTGCCCCCGGACCCGGTCTGCAAAAAGCTTCAAGTTCCAAAAATGAGGGTTCAATATCAAAAAGCAGAAAAATAGACCAAATTGATCCCCGGAGCCACTTGGAACTTGAAGGTTATTCATCATTGGAGTTGGTGAACTGAACGAGAACAACTAACAGTTACTCTAGCTTGTAAGATAGGAATTTCAAATGGATGTAGTGGATGAATTTGAACTCCGTGAATCATGCATTGCCCACTGAATTGATCTAATATTTCTTCAAGGCCCCTAAGTATTCTTGCCTGCGTTGCTGTGCTTAGCTGCATTAGCCATGGCACGAGATAAACATGGCAAGAGACTTGACTTTTGCCAATATTTAAAACGAAAGCCATCAATTGATGTTGGTGCATGCTATCAACAAGAATTCGGGCACAATCAGAATTGAAGCTCCAAACTCTCAAAGAATCCAATCCGACATGTCATCATAGTTCCAGGAGGGCCCTATTTGCGCGAGGTTGAACCTGATATAAAGACGATCTTTCCAAACAGTCTTTCCTTCTCGTGGAGAACGCCAGCGTTCCCAGTCCACGATGTAACTGTCAGGGGATTCAAATATAAGCTTTCACCAATACACATATGTAAACGCAGCATTAAGCTTACCATTTGCTATTTTCTTTGTCCCATATCAGGTTTCTTATTGCGTCATCTGAATGGACAACTCCACAACTAACTGTCTCTCTGTAATAATATGCATAGATCAGCGAAGTGATAGGGATTTTTGGGGTGGCTGACTGGTGGAATATAAGATTGAGAAGAAAGAGACTTATAGCCAAGCTGCCTTGAAGGCCTTCCTTAGATTATCCCGCTCAGGCCGAGAGTCCCTCCGCTTCGAAGTGAAGAATAAATCTGCTGCATCAGAAGAACCTGGCAGTTTCTCCATCAAAATAAAGAGCTTGTAGCCTCCTGGAACTAACTCTTCCCAGGTTTGTTGATCTTTTTTGGAGGAAAGCAAAGCAGGGGTGCTTCAGCAACCGGCTTTTGTTAACTTGTATAAAGCCTCGACTTCTAAATCAAAGGTTGGAGGAATTTCTGAGGTACTCTGCTTAGCACGAGTCTCAGGGCGTTTTCTAGATCTTTTCAGCCACGGAATTCTAATAGCTACCATTAGGAATATTCAACAGGAATAAAATTCACATTATCATGTCATCATAGCTAGGAGATACCAACTGTAGTCGAATTTTGATAATAGCAGTGGACGGGCCATCCCCAGATACCTTAGAGGAAGTGAACACTCCACGCGCCTCTGAGGTAAGGCGTATACTCTCTCTCCCAGTCGTACTGAGTATGTTGATATGCGTGCTCATGTATTTTGGTTTCCAACTTCCAGAACGAACCGCAGGGAAAACCGACCTCCGTGCCAATGTATTCATCATCCTCGAACCAGATATCGAAATCGAGTGGTTCAGATGGCATGGTGATCAAGAATATCCGACCGATGATGGTTAAAAGCTTTTAACATTCAAAAATTGTTTGGGAGCTCTGGAATAAGTTGTTTGCTGCATGTGTTCATGAAAAAAGGTATGTACATCTGGCAAGGGTGGGGTTGCAACTTGCAACCTTGGAACCTTGGGAGGTTCACTATGAGCAAGGGGAATCGTTTTTCCGGGCGCTTGTATTTCCCTCATTGACGAACCATAAGAATGCTACTAATGTACGAAGTACCTGTCCAGGTGCTATCACATCATTACAACCGCTCACTCAAACTGGAATTCGTATGTTTGAACAAATTGGGACTCTTTGGATCTGAGTGGGGCTAAGAGGGGCATTGCCGACAGTGAGAGGCGGGTGTTCCGACGGTCCTACGGACTCCTACTAATCTACCTAACCGCCCACAAAATACCAGTTAAACGCTCTAACAATGAGTTAATGACTACACAACCCCTCCAGGAGTCCAGGTGTTCACATGTGGCTGAAACTTTGAACAATTTTAATTTGAGAGAGTTTAAACATGAAATGCCAGTGGAAAGCCTCAAACCTCTCGTTTAGTGCTGTGTCTATTTCAACCTTCAAGTTGGAAGCGCTTCAAATGTTCAAATTGCCCAGCGTAACATTGAAGTGCCCAGGTGATTTACAGTGCATTGTTTCAATCATACATGTACTATAATTATCAACCGAAATGGGCAAAGCTTCTGAGGCTGTGTTTGGTCGGAACTAAAGGGACTGGCGCTAATATCTGTTCAATGTTGCGTTCTACATCTCTCAATTCCAGCGGTTTAACTTGAAATTTATGTCGACGCGGATGTAGCCTATAAGCACCTGGATGGTACCCACTGGCACTGGCACCTGGGCATGTTTACATACACACTAGTAGCGTAGTAGCGTGAACTTGAAGTCTGGCTCTCCCGAGGTCAAACATTGAATTTCTAATCTTAGACCTTCCAAGTTTGGCGTTATGAGAATTACAATTAACAACCCGTCCGGCTTTCTTTTCTTTTCTTTTTTTGGAATAACGATCCTGGCGCTATATCAAACACATGTATACACATGGGCACGCCACAGTGGTTATAGTAAATACGAGGGCCTGCATAGAAAATTAGGGTCACTGCTCAGGTGGCGACCTTTGGAATCACTGGAATATAAAAGAGGGCGGCTTACTAGGTACCTATAGTTCCCCTGGCCTAAATTTCTTAAATCGCTTGCAATCTTGGAACAAACTTGCTATATACCTGCCAGTGTTAAGAGCATTTTCACCTGGGCAAGTCTTATCCTCCCTAGGAATTTCTCCCTCTCGCAACTTGAACTCAGACATTCAACTTGAAGTTCTTCAAAGCAAATTATGGACCTGACTGCTCGAGATCTGGTCTACTCTCCTATTCCTGGACTCAAAGTCGGAGAGTCCAAGACTACATCGAGCTCTACACATGCATTAGAATTTAAATCACATCTTGTGCACTGGACGGGGTTTCAGAATGAAGTCAGAGAAGCATCTAATGGCATCGACTGGAACCGCTTTCCTGCTGTCCTAGCATCTTCCCCCAACCGAGATGTCGTTCCATCCCATACTTGTTTCGAACAATGGCGCTGCGGAGATGAGATCAGTGTGACCGGTCGCTTCGGGCAGAATGTCGACCATGTCATGAGATCTGTCTTTCATACTTTGGGAATTCCTGTATGGGTTGGAGACTACAAAATATGTCGCCGCGGCTCAATGCCTGGGAAATACCCGATATTGCGATGGTTGATGATCACGATCTCTTACGAGTCGTGGGAGAGGTGGAAACTCCTTGAATGCATGACCTGAAGGATACAATGCAGGGGAATGAGGAGGACTTTAGAAACTATCTTGATATGTCAAGAATTCTTCGTCAACAGCACTACTTGAATTTTCCTAGACTCCCAGTGCCAATTCCAGGATTTAGATCTTGGGTTTTCTTAATTATACTTGCTAACTTGACGGGCTATTGCAACCGATATGATTAGGCCAAATCGCGAGATACATGTACTGCAGCAAGAGAAAATTTGGGTTCCTGACTACATACTCACAAACTATTTTCTTGAAGCAGGCTCCACATCCCAAGGAACCTAGCATAATTGCATTGTGGTATTCAAGCGTCATTAAACGCGACCAAGTGGATCCAGTCACTCTCCGACAATGTTTCCTTTTCCTTGGCTTGAAAATGAGGAACGGAGATGACTTTTACGAAAATAAAACGGCTGAGTCAAAATGGGTAGGCCTTCCTGGTGGTCGGTACACCGACGCTGATAACTATTCCCCGGATGATGACAGCATATCATCATCTGATGCCCAAGGCCGCTCGTCCAATATAAAACCATAGAATACCCGTCCAACCCCCTCTTCGTCTTCTTCCTCTTCTAGGCGCCCATTAGCAACTAGGACCCCCACTGGTAGCCTTGCGTCGGGCCAGGATAGAAGAGAGGGTGAAACTGGGAGGCAACCTACCACACGGTCTCAGTCCCGAGCCGTACATGATCGCGAACTTGAAGATTCATATCAGCAAGGTTCATCACGACCAGTGGAAAGTAGACGGACCAGAAGGGATGGGAGAAATGAGCAAGAAATACGTGAAATATCAGAGAGGACTCAGAATCTCAATATAGGGCGTGAAAGTCGACGGAACGTCTCTTCTTTTGTCCCGGCTTGGAGAGATTTTGATTCTGGTCACTATTATATCAGTTCTAGCCAGGGAGCAGCAAAATTTGTTGACCTTCGCCAAGATTCACAGGGTCAATATTACTATGAGACTCGTTATGGAAGACAACTTGTACAGATACAGAGATAGACATGCTAGGAGGAAATGACTGTCTTATGTCTTATCTTATATCTTGTCTTATATCTTCAAATGTTGTGTTGTGTCTTGTTGTGTCTTGTTGTGTCTTGTTGTGTCTTGTTGTGTCTTGTGTCTTGTCTTATTTGGTCATGGTCCACAGATGATAATTGAACCTTGGAACGTTGCACATTTTGATTATTGAAAAAAAAATCGTATTTACAGTTGTGGGAAGTTGTCTTATAGTATTCAAAATCCAATCCACAAACTAATGTAATTACATGATAGGAGACTGAAGTTTATTTACCCAGCGACAGTAAAAACCTTCCAAGGTTGAGAACCTTGAAACCTTGGAATGAGGTTCCCGACTATAACCCGTTGGAAATTATTTCATCAAAATAGTACTACTATGGATACACCTGGAGCTTGCACAAAAGCCTGTGAAATGCATTTTCCGTTTGTTTCTCCTAGCATCTAGCAATTCAGAAGAAAAAGATGTGAGCCTGGGTACTAGGCGTGAGTCGAAAATAGAGTTCTTGGCCTTTTAAAAATAGCATAAAGCTTCCAAAGATCCACCCGCCTGATTGGAGTTGAACTTCAAGTTGCATGTGGAGTTATGAAGCTCTCGAGTCCTACTAGTAGATATATTATTCGGTAAAAGTCTGAGACCAGACCCAGTTCAAGGTTAAGTACTAGCCATACCAAGATCCACGGGCGGATGCCATATCTGAATCTGTTACCCATACTATTATGCACATGTGGATACTCCAGAACCATAAGCGCATCGAGGGTAGGGTCCGACAGTTCAAATTTTCATGTTGCTAAGGCCAAAATCACCTAGTACACTATAAATAGTCCATTCTCAGATCAGGTGATATGATGTGTGCGGCTGACAGCCTGAGCCTGACACGTCAGAGCCTGAATTAACCCAAAGTCAAAATATGAAGCTGACAAGAGATTTCAGGAATTTTCATGGCCTGGCTGAGACCTTTGTAAACCAGAAGTCTTTCAATCTGGCAAAAGTTTCTGAGCGTAGTTGAAAATAACGTGTGCTCAAGATGTCCTTCGGGGTTTCGGTTGGCGACTTTTTGACGGTCGGCCAGTTAACTGTCAACATAGTGGCCAGCCTGAAAGAGTCTGGCGGCGCAAAGACTGAATACCAAGACCTTATCCGGGAGCTTGAGTCATTTCACTATGCCCTTCAGCATCTTGACAAGCTACAATCCAAGGCGGGATCCTCATCTAGTCTTGATTCGATTAAGTATGCAGCTCTGAGCTGTCGTCGTCCACTGGAACAATTCCTCGGCAAAATACAAAGATACAACCAATCGCTTGATGTATGGGCGAAGAATGACTGGGCGAAGAATGACACGAATGCGATCAAGGGGACGCTGGATAAAGTCCGGTGGGCCTTTGGACAGAAGGACGAGATACAGAAACTTCAGAGTTACATGAGTGTGCATATCGCAACAATCAATATGCTCTTAGCTGAGTATGGGTTGGAAAAGATAAATCTCGTATCTGATCAAGCTGAAGCAGCCCAGCAAGGTATTGAAAGGCGGCTTGAAGATAATCGAGGGTTTCTGGAACAAATCAGTGAGAGCGGCTCCGCTCAGCTTCTGGTAGTGCAAAAAGTGAACTCAATGACAAGAAAGCTTTTCCAGATGGTGAATGGAGAACTGAAAGCGTCTTGGAGATCCTTGAGTGAAATGGTTACAAAGGTGTGGTAAGTAGTGGTCAATTCCATCATTGTCTTCGGTCGGCAGCAGCAGGAACTAATCGAAGGTGTTATTGACAGTGTTACGACTCAACAAAGGTATTCTATTGTGCTGGAAATAAAAAGTTCTTTGGCTCCGATAGACCCAAGATGGACTTTCTTTCAAGCCCCTTTTGTGGTAGAAGATGCCCTTGGTCTTAAATTTCCAGTACCTTCTGAATACGACTTTGAACTTCTCAATGCTATCATCAAACATCGATTTCAAGAGGGCCCAGGATCTGATGAGGTTCAAGCGGGTGAATACGAGATATTCAAGACAAAGAATACAAAAACAGTTCTTTCTTCTGGTGATCAACTGTTACCTGGGACAGCCATAACTATGGCCGTCATAGTTAAGCAACGAAATCCCACTGGTGAGGCTTGCCCCATGCCTGGATGTCGGTCTGACCAGGTTGTCTCGATGTCTGGTGGTGGGACAAGATGGTAAGTGTGAGATTATTCAATCACGAATTTAAGCTCAACAGATACAAGGCTAACTCAGATTATCACAAGCTCTCTTTGCAATGTATGGTTTGATCGTTCACAGCGAAAGCGCAAGATTGACGAGGTTGATGATGATGAGCAACCCAGCGGTTCAAACAAACCATCTTATTTTTCAGAGCAAAGAAGTTATTTTGCGCATAAAAGGCAAAAAAGGCAGAGTCAACTAAGCTTGAACTTCGATTGTTTCCATAACGTGTTGGTAGCAGATTGGACACCGCTACTGTGGGGGGCTGCGAACGGACACGAGGTGATGATGATGATAATGATGATGATGATATTTTTTACCCTGATGCGACCTAGCTAGCAGCGCAATGGTTATGCAGATCGGGCCTCCAGCGGCACTGGAATATCCCAAATGCCTTTATCAAATACAGACCCAAATGGGTGTGATTGTAGCACTTAGGAGTGGCTGACAATACAGGATAATTCCAAAGTCCGACGCTTTCAAGTTAAAGCGGCCAGGGTCCATATATATTAACCCCGCAAGTGACCATTTGGGATGGACTTGAATCCATCGGAGGTGGTTGAGGTTTCATTTTAATCAGGGAGTACGCTGATTGAAAAATCTCGGTCCAAAATGGCCAGGGTGCTGAAGCGGACAACAGGTGCGGCACCAGGTGGCAGTCAACCTACGTAAATCTCGCAACACCAGTTGTACCAACATAGGTACAAAGCGTGTCATTTCAAGTTTCCCGCTTAATGTGATTATATAGTCCTCGTGGCACTGCCAGTGCAGCAGTGAAAATTTTAAAAATGTTGGGAAAGGTATGTCCTCAGCGCACGAGTGCTTGGCCAGGTGTCTGCACATCCTCTCCGACAGGGATGTTCTCATACTCAAGTACCAGGCTCAGTCCGAGTTGTTAACACTGCCCAGGTGGCATGCATCTAGAGATGACTGCCCTGAACTACTAACATGTGTAGTACACCTCTTTGTATGTAAGTACTTACGGGGTTACTAGTACTTGGAAGGGAAGGAAGGCTAGCGACACAGGTATATAGTTGGATATACTAGGCAACTGGTAGACCTAGAGACTCGGATAAGATATAGGCTAAATGTATCCTACGTTTCCTACCCCTCTGTTTAGTATGCCAGGCGGTGGTGGTAGAAGAAACAAATCACAGACGCCCGAGTAGTAAAGGAGACATACTACCTATATGATATACCGGTGCTCCCCGCCAGTATCGGAAGTCAATTATCCACCGGTTCCCCGCACCCGATAAGCTTCACATCAATTCCAGACGGAAAGCCTGAAAGAACTCAGTCACCTCACAAACACAGCCAAATCACGCTTGTCAAATATCCACCAAACACTCATCCGATATACTCATCCATGCATCCACAATGACAACCGAACAATCCTCCCTTCCAGCTCACCTGGACCCAAAAACTTATCCCCGCGCCCTCCACGACCCAACACAAAATATCCACCTAACACTCACCTACTCTCCCCTCGACGCAAACACCTCTCTAGCACAAACCTCTTCCCCAGAAGCAGGCGCAAATGTGCTTTTCCTCGGTACAACACGAGATACTTTCGAGGGTCGCGCTGTCTCTCAGCTCAGCTATACATGCTACCCACCTCTAGCGCTGAAAACGCTCACTGCGATCGCCGAAGAAGCTATCAAGACACATAATCTAAAGGGTGTAAGCATTTCACATAGAATGGGTATCGTTCCTATCGGGGAGGCATCCATTGCTATTGCGGTTAGTGCGGGACATCGGGGTGCGGCTTGGAGGGCCGGGGAGGAGGTTCTAGAGGCTTGCAAGGAGAAAGCAGAGATTTGGAAACGAGAGGAGTTTCTTGATGGGGGAATGGAGTGGAGGGCCAATGCTGATCGGGATGCGGAGGGAAAGTTGGTTCAAGAGGATTCCTGATGGGTGGCTAGAAGTGCGGTGATTCTTGTTCGTATTTCAAATGTGCCTGTTGGGTGCTTTTGGGTAAAAGCTAAAGATCGAATGAAGCCTTATAGATTCGTTTTGTACATTACTTGTGGGTGCATCGCTTGGAAGTTGAGCAGGGTATTTAGATTGACAGTGATATAGTACATTTGTTTTGCGATTCGTACACCTCAATACCATTACTCGGTCTTCATTGGTCGTCCCTCGCGCTTCCAATCGTTGATGTGCTCCAGGATCACCTTGGCTGCGGATTCCGGGGTATCCTGTCGGCCAATACACTCGACGAAATCGTTATCGGGATCTAATAGACCGGTTAGCTTTTATCAATTCCTCGTTTTGAATGAAGTGCTAGTCTTACCCATCAGATAGAAGTAAATACTGTGATCAACCAAGTAGTCCTCGCCAGCCTTAACATCCCTCGGTGTGCTGAAGTATACACGGTATTGCTTGCAGACGTGCTTAACCTGCTCGTAGGTACCAGTCAAGCCAACAATGCCAGGGTGGAACTCCTGGAGGTAGGCGCGCAGAACATCGGGGGTATCACGGACGGGATCGCAGGTGATGAAGACGGGCAGGAAGACCTTATCGTCCTTGGTAGCTTCCTTGACCTTGTCAATGATCTCAGCCATCTTGTCCAGCTCGTCGGGGCAAATATCCGGGCAGTGAGTGAAACCGAAGTAGACCTAGCGCAAAGAAAAAAATCAGCGGCTATTCGCGAAAGCCAATCATGTAGATCTCAAAATCTCAATTCCACCCAAACTCACAAAGCTGTATTTCCCCTTCAGATCCTCCGCCGTAAACTCCTTCCCATCAAGATCCTTTAACACAAACGGACCTCCAACCTTAGGCTTTCCAACACCCTTGCTCATCTCCGCAATACGCTTGCGCTCCAGACGCGCCTTTTCAACACGGAAATAAATCATCATACCCGCACCCGTGAGAACGAACAGCAGCGCCGCCTTCCATGAAAACGGACCGGTAGAGTTCCGCTGACGGAGCTGACCCATAGTCTTGGCCTTAGCCCGGAAGGCACTTGTTGAGAAGTTATTGCCATTCCGGGCAGAAAGCATGGTCTGGATGTTCGCGGTGCATCGGGGCCGTTGCGCTTGGGTGTAGGCGCGGTATTGCGGGTGGGAGATTCGGAGAGAAGGGAGAATGCGATTTGAGGGAATGGACTCAATCGCCACTCGAGTGGTGCGGCTGAATAGTCCGGCCATTTTTAAGGACATGATGTGAATGGGGAGACCGAAATTATGAAGGTCCGCTCGGATGATGGAGTTGAGAATGACCAGATCGTTACTATATCGGGTTTAGACTGGTGCCTGAGGCATAAATATCAGTATAACTACCGCACCTATATGAAAAGTTTCAAGCTCGAGAATTCAGACTATTACCGTGAATTCGTGTTACTCTATATTAATCATGGAAGGAAGATTTTATGCAATCTAACAAGATGAAGAGTTGTATTAACTAAACGTTAATGGCGGCCATATACCAACATCGAGAAAAGCTTTAAACAGAAAACCAAGCAATAAATCAGGACACGCTTATAATACCGAATCGCAAGCCTCTTCAATCAAATGCACCATCAGGTAGTAATCATTGCAATCTTGTTCAAATACTTCGGGTCCTCCTTGAAGACCAAATTTTCAGCAGTCCATTTTCCGGCATCTTCCCTTGAAATAAAGTACCCAATATTCAACGATTCTCGCCCAGTCTTGGGATCTTCAATTCCAACACGAACCTTCTTCTCAGTAGCGCCATCATTCAACAGACTGGCACGAACAATGGTGAACGGCTGACCACTTTCGATAAACCGATTCTCCATAATCTCCTTATCCTCATGTGCAGCTTTAAGAAGCCACCCATAGATCGGGAACAGCAGCAAGGGATAATCGCGACCGAACTTCGACAGTCCCGTCGTGCTGAATGCAACAATGTGCGGGATCCCAGTGGCGCCAGCATTTCGCAGGTTCGTGATAGCTTCGACCATAACTGTGGCGGCTTTTCTGCAGCATTGTGGATCCTCAGGAGCTAGGCCGCCCTTAGGTCGACTACCGATAGTTGAAACGATCATATCGACCAGTTTGTTATCGTCGGTCTGGATGCATTTGGTGACTGCATCGATGTCATGGGCGTTGCCTTGGATGATTTTGAGATTGGGTGTTGATTCAACAGAGATGAGGGCCTCGAGCTTTGCTGGGTTGCGGCATAGAGCGATACATTTGTGACCAGCGGCAAGGGTGTGCCTGAGCGCGGAAAGACCGCAACCAACAGTGCCACCAAAGAAAGCCACAGTCTTGATGTTGGGACTAGCGCTCATGTTGGAGGATTGTCGTAGGATTGTCGTTCAGGTTGCTTCTTGGAGTACAGATAAGTTGCTGTGGGTGTCTGGAATGCTTGTGATTGTTGCCAAGTCTGAGAATGTACTATTCATGGCGGGGTTAAACTGTTTTTATATGCATTCCTGTCATCCTTTGCGCCATCATGCACCGAGTGCAGTCCGAATAGTATAACTTTGGGTGAGATGACCTCGCTCTTTTCTCGTGTCCAATAAGATGTCACCAATCCAAGCCTTGAAAGCTTCTTGCGCGAAGAAAGGCCGAGACCCACTACCCGCCGATTGCAGAGGATGTCAGACTCACAACGGTGTTGGGAGTTTGGGAACCACACTCAGGCACTTCAGAAAATGAGTATCGTGGGAAAACACACTTAACATTCATCTGGATTGCTCCTATCTCTGGTGGTCAGCCAAAGACCTCGGGACAGTAACAGTGTTGAGGTCGAGATGTCGCAATCACACATGGCAACACCAAGGGGCGCGGCGGACCCCTCGGTCCCAGAGGCCGAGAAACGCGCGAGCTCGCTGAGTCAAGATAAGGCACATACAGCCACACCGCGCCCGCCAAAACCTCGGAGCTGTGTCATTTGTAGGAGTCGGAAAGTTCGATGCGATAAATTATCGCCATGTTCAAATTGCCGTCGCGCAAATATCGCGTGCATTTATCCGTCCGGAGACCGGCCGCCAAGATGGGCTCGCCGTCTTGAGCGCGCTGAGCGCCCTGTCACAGGGGAAGTTATGGACAGACTTCACCATCTGGAGAGTTTGGTCAAAGAGTTGACTGAACAACTGGAGCAAGCCTATGCGGCGGCTAAGTCACCGGCTGCTTCATCAAATTCACCAGAGAACTCCTCCCATAGCCGGGATCCCAGCTATCAAGAAAATAGTGGCACCGGTTCATCAGACAACGTGCATGATAAATTTGGAAGGCTGGTACTGAATGATGCTAAGAAAAGCTGTTACGTCGGTAGTGCTTTCTGGTCATGGGTCAACGACGAGGTAGGTTTGCAATGAAATATGTCAAAGAATATGAATCTTACATATCCGCAGCTCGATGACCTGAAGATGGAGACGAGTAATATTGCCGCGGCAAATGATGAGTCTTCAGATGATGAGCTATCCTACAAGACCCCATCCACACAGGAGCTTGGACGAACACCATCTGATCGACACGCATTCCTTTTTCGACATAATTTGAACCCCTCTCCCCGGATATTCGAGAATTTCACCCACTTCCATCACAGATCCCCTTTCTTATCAATGTCTTCTCAGAAAATGTGAACATAATCGCCCAGACTGTTCATATTCCCACAATAGACAAGATGATGCGCGATTTGCGTGGTGACCTGTCAAAGCTCACGCCTGCCAATGAAGCCTTGATGTTTTCCATATATTATGCTGCTGTCACCTCTATGGAAGAGGACGATGTCATGATCAACTTCGGTGTGGCAAAAACAGACTTGAATCTCAAGTATCGACTTGGCTTGGAGCACGCCTTGGCGAACGCTGATTTTCTCAACACACCAGATCTAGCGCTGGTGCAGTCTCTTGCAATATTTCTCTTGCTTGCCCGACGACACGACAGTCCCAGATACGTATGGATGATGACAGGAATTGCCATCCGTATGGCGATTGCACTTGGGCTCCAGCGAGACGGCTCGCATTTTGGGTATCTGACCCCCTTTGAAATCGAGATGCGCAGAAGAGTGTGGTGGTCCTTGATTGCTTTGGATGTGAGGACATCAGAAGATCAAGGATCAGACTTTACCATAATACTGGGCAGCTTCGATACCAAAATGCCCCTCAATATAAACAATGAAGACATAAGTCCAGATTCTACTGAGACACCTGTGGAGCGCGATGGACTTACAGACATGTCCTTCCCACGAGTGAATTTGGCAATTTCTGATCTCTCAAAGAAAATGATGGCTCGAGTCTCCAAGACGACAACGATGGAAGAGCAAAGTGGATTTTTGGATGAGATGTATCAGCGTCTCCAAGATGGGTTCCTTCAATTCTCAGAGTCGGAGCCAAATATCTTACATTGGGTATCTACTGCCGTCACTCGACTAGTAATGGCAAAAATGACCCTTATTACATTTTCCCCTGTGCTTTTCTCTTCTGCGACAGAAAGAATCTCCGAAGAAATGAGGAACAAGCTCCTCGTTGCAGCAATAGAAATCGCCGAATACAACCACGCTCTAAATTCCGAAGAGGGATGTCGTCAATGGCGCTGGGCTTTCCAAACATACACTCACTGGTACGCTATTGTGTACCTCCTCATTGAGATCACTCGCCGGCCGTTTTCGCCCATCGTGGAGCGGGCATGGGTAGCCCTTCACAGCATCTGGCTCATTCCGACCCAATCGCACATGAACAAAAATCTTCGCGTTTGGATTCCTCTTCGGAAACTACGACTAAAGGCCCAGCAGCATCGTGAATCGGAGATTCTCCGACTGCGGGCTGATGCCGATGCTGTGGCAGAATTAGAGAAGCAGCATAACGCGATCCCAGAACCCTCAAGTCCCGGGTCATTCCAAACGCAACAAAGCGCAGCAATCGTCTTTCTGGAAAGATGGCGTCGACTCATATCGATGCCCCGAGATGTATCTCGTCACGATGCAGATGGGCATATATCACATACAGGTGGAGCTCTCCATTATGCTACAGACGCCGGCTCGGAGGCACCTTTCGTTCTAATTAATAACCCAGTGGCAGGATCGTATTCGGTCCCTCATCAGCCCGCGTTAGAACAAAACCCGGCAGATGAGCATCACATGACGCAGCAAACTACAACACCTGCGCAGAGTGATACTGATCTACATCAGTCAGATATGGACTTCCAATCGAACATCATCCCGTGGTTATGGTCGGACGATACTTTTCAGAACCCGCTCATGGACCCAATTGATATTGATATGGAACTAGACAGCGGCGATGTGGATTGGAATACTTGGGTGGCATCTGCTCAAGGCATGAGCTTTAACCAGGGTCCCGATTGATTTGGCACAAATATTAAAGATTGTTCAAAACAACACTACAAGATTCGCATTGATGTGTAGACCCCTTCGAAGGTTTGGCTACTCTGGCTGCGCAGTTTTTCGAGTCTCTCTCTTCCTCTCCGGCCGCCTGGTGGAATACCCCGGAAGATAGAAATTATGACGTTGAGACAGACTTGATTCTCTGCACATGTGGTACTTCATCTAGATGTACAATTATAGATAGTATACGTGCTCACCGATCATTTGCGAGGGTGTTCACGGATATTAAGTCTCTTTGGCTCTTCTTGTGTCTTCGTTGGTAGATCTTGATCTCTATTTCAAATCGAACCAGTCAGACTGAGATGAAATGATTTGAGTCTCAAAAGCAGCAAGTCATCTAGATCCCGAGATCTCTCAATTTGTATCCCAGCGCCAGCCAAGGCAATCGTTTTCAAAAATGTACATGTGTTATGATTCCAAAGTGCCACGGGACAGCCGGGTCCGAAATGCCGTTTGCTCAATATATAAATCGATGAAAGGCCGTTACTTGGCGGCCATATCAATGATCCTGATTGGAAGACATCCACGTTCTTTGTGGCTTAGTTTCTGTTTGACTTCAAGTGAGTCTCGTAGTAAGACTAATAGGGAGGTCTTGAACCTGATCATTTCTGGGACATGTCTTTACATCTGAAACCTGTCTTGAGAATCACAAGGATCGGTGGAACATCATTTGGTCCAGCATTCAAGTTGGTACATATAAGAGACTTTGAGGAAGTCTTGAATTTATAAGTCTTTCCAGTGTCATTCAGTACTTGCGCCCTTGAGTCAACATATGCCTGAAATTTCAGTGAGTGAATTTCCAAGGTTTTGGAGCAAATGCATGGATATTGATAGCATTTGAAACCTATTTATGGGGATTTCTGATTGATATCGATAGTTGAATGATACTGATAAGCAAGAGAGTAAGCAAAAAAGAACCAACTTGAAGACCTCGGACAAATGCCATGTTGCTTATTCGGGAGGGTGGAAAATGAAAATTTGAATGCAAGATCCGAAACGATATCTCAAGTTTCACTCTAGGAGTCAATACTAGTAAAGTTTCATTTTGAAGATGACTGACCGAAACATCCTTTTGGGTATCCTTTCAGAGGCGCTTAATTAGGAGTAAAGACATTCAAGCTCAATTATGTGACCAAAAATGTAGTTTCTAAGGAAGTAAATATAAAGTTAGAACATTTGAAACTACATTTCTTATCTGGCTACCTAAAGTTTATGTTTACTACAAAAATATTGGAAGTTGGATAAATAGCTCGAGGTGCCCTCTAATTTGAGATAGAGAAATTTTCATAATTAGTGTCTTGAGCGTCAGGTTTATCGTAAACACTGAACCACAACCCGTCTTTCTCCGAAACTGAATCTACGGAAATCTCTATGCAGGGTTTAATGAGATGAATTCAAAATAAGACTCTCTGCGCTTGCATGAAGCGCAACATATGAAGTACGTCTAGACGTATCGATCTTTAGCAACCTCTTCTCTTCGCCGTCTGTTCCGACACCTGAATGGCATATCCGAATACTATCAAACGTCTCTCAGCTAGGCTGACAGAAAACTATCCCATAACCATTACCATTTTTACATTCATCGTCAATTTTGTCCACAAAGGCATATAGCGGATCACACATAGCGCAATAAGACCCCGAAGTTTCATCAGAATGATAGCTCTTCTTTCCATCGCCTTACCAATGCTTGCGAGTCTAGTTACGGCTGATTTTACAACAATGATAGTGGCTAGCTCACAAAGTCCGATAGTGAACTGCTCCTCAATTGCGTGAGTGATGAATCCGCAAACACAACTATGACTTACATAGGGAAACTAAAATTTGAACAATAATGGGTTAGCACAACGACAATCTTCAATGTCGTGACCAAATTTTTGACTCTACCAAAAAATGTGCCAGTGACGGCCGTGCCCCCACCTATGACCAATATTGAGTCCCAGCTCATGCTTGCCGAAAGCCGGATTATGCTTGCTCATGATCAGATAATGCGTCTCGAGGCCGAGGCAAGCTCCATAAATCTCCACTTTCATGCATCTATTTTCCAGTACCCTTCTTTGCTTAAGCTAGAAGGTGGACGTGAGCATAGATGCGTGAGATATGCAAAATAATAATTGCTTAATTCTCTACTTAGGTTGCCAGTCTCTATCCCTCAACGACTCCGCTTGCCTGTAGTGCTTATCCTTCCAAATCCTCCAAGGTAGGCCCCCCTAATTTTTCATCTGGATATCCATATATATTCCAGTACCTTCGATTCAAAGTTTCGGTTTCAACTATTATATGGTGCATCCAGGAAGAAATCCTGGCGATACCTATTCTTCAAGTTATGTATTACAGACTGATTCGGTACTCAATTTTTTATCTAGCCTACCACTACCTATTCTTATGCTTTAACATCTTCCAAGGTAAGATTACAAGTATGCGGTTATAGGATAGCCTGAGGGGACTAATTGATGACTGCTGTTTAGAGCTTGACGGTGAGTCAACCTGAAATCTCTCTATACATGCCCTCCCCCCGTACCAGTGGTCGTTGAACCGCAATCATACCCGAAAACAAGCATCAAACCTTCAATTTTCAGATTTGAAGGATGCAATTAACTTGAGGTATAATCACAAGCTTACAATGTCAATTCTTATGAAACATACCAGTTGATTTATCAGGATAGGGAATCTCAATATGAACATCAGCGCTAATGGATTTATATTATCTCTTCATAGATAAGTGCAACTCCATCACCTCAGGTAGTAACCAGCTTGACATAATGATTGATTCAAGGCGTAATAATGGCCAATGAGCTTGATTTTTACAGAGAACGTGAGTAGTAAGTACCGATGCTACTAATACATCCCAAGGCTGCCCGTATGGGGAAATGGGGACGACAATGCTTGAAATAAGTAGCAAATGGCTGACAACTCTTCAACCGCAAGCCGTTCATATTTGGCCCAGTAAGTTCTTGTTCCCCCAAGGCTTCAAATAAATGATAATTGGCTGATGACTCTTCAACTTCAAGGCAGCTTTTCCAGTGAGTTCTCGTTTCCGGGTCTGAAACACCTAGATAATACACACATTACAGATGAGGCTTACATTGTACACAACTTGAAAGGAGGTAAGTGAGAGGGATAACTCGCATTATAATAGGTTATCATTTGATGCTAATCCAGCTATAGCCTGATGTGGTAAGCGACCCCCGTGCAGTTCATTCTCAACGGGTTTCTTGTCTTAATCATCATCAGCTAACTTGGAGATCAATACTCTCTAGACATAACCAAACATAACCAACTCGACCTTGTTGGGAGTTTTAAATGTGAGATTTCCTGGCGAAAGCAAAAATTGCAGAGATCTGGTTTTACATGAATCAGGTCTGAGCCCTGCACATGTGAGATTGGAGTGAGCTATGTAACCTTATGTTTGAATGAAGATTAATCCTTCTTCTCCTGCTATTCAAAGCCCCGCCGCTGAACCCGGACTTCCAAGGTTCTCACCTCATATCGATTACCATCATGATGAATATCTTTGGGAATATGATGGAAAAGTATATTATTCATATTCCTCTATGGCTTTTATTATCACCACCAGCGGACTGAATGGTTCAAGCTACTACTTTATAAATTTCCATGACTCGTGGTTGTTTTCAAGCTGAGACTCGGAGTACTGGTATCGGATTTTTGAGCCTTGGTATGGTTTTTGCCCTTTCAATCTTGGGGTTTCCCATGCTCCCATGCAATGCAGAGGCCTTTGCGGCATATCTAATAAGTGCAAGAGAATTGATGATAACTTTTGTTCCACGACATATGATTCTTATCTTTCTTAAGATGAGACTACCACAGGAGTAGGAAGATATAAGCACTGAGATCAACATATACTACATTCAAGTTATAAAATTTCAAATATTATGGATTAATTATAGAAAATTTGAGGATGAGACCTGGGACAGGCCATAAGATTGTCGTAAATCATCCAAGGTTCATCAATATATGTACATATTTAGTGAGGTGCGAGATTTAAACTTGAACTTCTTGAGTCTGACTATTGATCCATCGGGTGTTGAATACAGCAACAATCTGTTAGATACCCGGCAATTCCAGCCGGGTTTCGAGAGCATTCAAATGTTGACCTACTAGCTTTCACTCGAATCAGGATCCACAGATCTCCTGTCTCCGCGAAATTTGGCGTACCATTCCCGCCCACTCGAAGTTAGCAGGGGCCAAAGTGGAGCAACACTAGCCGCAATCAATACCAACCACATCTCCGTAATGTCCAGAATAAGGGGCACTCCATAGTACCCTATCCTCATCTTCAGAAAATTTCCTCGAGTACTTCAAGTAGTATTTTTTGCGAGAACTTACGTACTAGATCGGTAATGAAAACTGATACAAGCATATTGGGCAGTGCCTATGGCACCTAGACCCATCAAGAGACATATTATTATCTTCAGTCTCATCCCAATTCGTAGATTCCATGTCATGAACACCGGATACATAGCAAGGAGGAGGTCCGTGAATGCGTATAGGCCTGGATTTGGAAGCTAAGTTGACTATTGAAGTGTGGAAATAGTATATGCATGGATTTGCCAACCTCCTGTCCAATACAACCATTGAAGGATAGCCTCACTGTTGTATGGCCTATGAGGGCGGTAATGACTTTTTTGAGACTCAGTATAAGCCTGCTCCACATATAGAATTGGGATTGTAACGATAACGCAGACGAACTACCCGTTGTAGTTTATAATTAGCACTAGTATTCAACATTGAAGCTGTCTGAGAAGACAAGATAAAAGGGTACCTGGGGGAGAAGGATGGGGAAAGCGCCCCGGAAGTGATTTACTAGTATAGCGATTGTTGTGAGAAGAACCCATTTACCCAATCTGTTCAACTGACCTTGGATCTAAAGAATATAGGATACCATCCAAAGTTTCGTAAACGTGATAGATAGTTGATTAGGAACGAAGATAAGACATTGAAAGACCCATCGAGTCATATCCTGCGAGAGAGGATTATGCAGGAAGTATAGTACTGTAGTCAAAACTCCAAGCATCTTCTTTTTGTGAATCCAAATATTAGTAAAAGAAAATATGTTGACATAGATATATGTAAAATGGTAGTAGCCTGACTCGGAGCGAGATGCCGATGAAAAAACATACCCATGCAATGATCCCCCACACAAGACCGTCGCCGCCTTTATGATGGACTATAAAGTAATATGTATAGACGCGTAACACCAAGACAATGGTGGCGATAAACGTGAGAGTTGCCCCGACACCAATGAGTGTGGGCCTCCATGGCTTCATGAGGTCTACACGAGCCATTACCCAGGATCATAAATGAGTAGGTCAACTGGTATTCTCAATCATTCTTCGGTCTGTGTCCCGAGGTCAGGTGGTTGGGAGCCTGTTTATGTAAATGTGAAACTTGAACACGTTTCCGATAGCAGTGGGGTAAACTTCAAATCGGACTGTTGAATTATCAATGTTACTTACCTGGGCAATTAATATCCTCATGGATGGCAAAACCGAAAACTTTATATAATGCAAATGTGACACGATTCAACATTGGCAATTTAAAGAGAGTTCGTGAAAAGAAGAATTGAATACTTCAAATCCATGTTCTCCCAACCAGGGCCTAGATTTCAAGGTTTGATGTCATCAGCTCTATCAATCAAGATACACCATGCACACATGTGCATGTGTCATCCATGATGCCCATTCTACTGCTATCATCTAGAACATTTGAACTGGAATTCTCAGGCTTGTAAACTGCATGTGCTTGACCTTGTGGTGCTCTATCGTCGCATGTGTGAGTTACGGTGCCGTGTACTCAAAAATTCTCATCAAAATCAATTGATAAGGTTCAAGTCTCAAGCTTTATTATTGATAAGATATTCTGTTCATCAATATCCCCTATTAAATTTTAATTCTGAAATCAAATGGCAAGCACTTACTGTGTGGATCTCGAATTTGAGAACAAGGTACTAGTAATAGAGAGGAAAGAAAATTGAACGATCAAATAACTGGAGACATCTCATTTGAAGTCCTCATCCAGCAAGTGATGCGGAATTAGTGGATAGCTTGAAATTACCTTCAATGTTTCAGCCTACATCTTTCTACCTAGGACAGCCATATTGGACGCCTATTTTTTGAGCTCTTGGCATAAGTATCCTCGAGTAAATGTCATACAATGTGGGGATTTATAGCGCTTTCGAGTTCTGCAAATTGCTAGTTTCCCTCGAGTAAGCAGAGGTCCACCATCTTACGGTTTGCCCTTCAAGTTATTTTTAGTGTTGATATCTCCGAGTCCGAGCCTGTACGCAACTGCTAGGATATCAAAATAATCACAGATGGAGGCTCTGCTCTTTTGGAAACCTCCTTGAAAACCTGAAGTTCAAGCTAAATGATTCAGTAAATGAAATTTGGACCATCTAATCGGTTTTACTCATGCCATGTATTTCAGATGCGGGGTATATGTAAATTGACAAGTATTGATGACCTCCACTCAGCAAAAATAATTGACGACCAGAGTTTTGGACGTGGCACAGAACACTAGTATTGGTGGCTCCAGTCAGGTGTCTGACATTCATCGGTAGAAGTATACTTAGTTACACATGGATGAGGATCTTCAGCTGGAACAAGTCAGCACACTCTAGGTAGATTCCAAGTTAGCGATAAGTCCTCACGCCACGCTTCGTGTGGCACTATTGATAACTTGAACATCGAAATTGGGAAATGCATGTTTTCAGCACCCAAGTGCTTGGCTAGGTCCACTGGCACGGAGGTGTTCATATCATCTCTGGCAGGGATAGGTACTCACATACTTAAGTACAGGACTCAGTCAGTGGTATTGATCTACAGGTGAATGATTACCTACACCTCTTTGTATGTAAGTACCTATGGGGTTACCTACTGGGTCACCTATATGATTACCTAGAAGAAAACCTTGGACGGCTAGCTGCTATGTCAATAGTTCAAATGTTGGATATAGGCAGCTGCCAGCTCTACAGATATCCAAAGTGAGACTCGGAGATAGCTAAAGGAAGAGATAGGTAAAGTGAGAGATAGCCAAAGTGAGATATATTTAAAGTGGGAGCCTGAGATAGCTACTGGTAAGTCAAGAGGAATGTATTCAAGTTTAGATGGAATAAACAAAAGAAGAATCTAGTCTATTGGTAAATCTATGGTCTCTGGGGTCAGTGATCATGTAGTGAATGGTGGCTGTTTGGACTATTCTGTTAAAATGAAAATTGAATGCCTGAAACGATGAAAGTATCCCGACATTTCGACTGCTTGGAGCTGCTACAGCGGATTTGGGGGCCAAAATGGCCCACTCCACTCCTTTGGTCGGTCGCCACCGCCTGTCGTTTCAGCAGGATCGACGTTGCTCATTCCCAACCCCCGGGCCCCACTCACCTCCTAACGATCTTTCCCACTCTTTCGAAAAGGAAGAACGAGAAAAAAGCCAACTAACAGTTTATTATCAAAATATGGGCGGGAAGCCGTGGCAGTCCAAGGGGTGTATTGACTGCAGGAGGCGGAAAATCAGAGTAAGTCCATCTTACCCGACATCTCCACGGGCGGAGTAAATCTAAACATCCAAAACAGTGCGATGAGGAAAGACCCGAATGTGGACGATGTATAAAACGAGGTCTGAAATGCCAAGGATGGGAGGAACACCGGAATTTTGTTGGGGCTCCCTCCATACAGGAAGCAAAAGACATGAAGCAAAAGAATCCTACCATTCCGATAAGTTCTACAGCTCTGACCTGGTGCTCGAGAATACCTGCTCTAGTCCACCCGGGACAAGCCACGCGAGGGCAAGTTTTCGGATGTTTTATAGAGCGTTATATTCCCACTGATACACTCTTTTCAACTGTGTGCTTCGATAATCTCGTACTTTGCAGCATTCAAAGTCTACCCTACAAAAGCCAGATGACCGAGATAGCTCTGTCTGCCATATCTTGCCTTTTTGTGGGCAGGGCCACCCAGAAAACTGAGATATTCAATCATGGCCTCATCTTGCATAACACTGCGTTACGACAAATGTCGAATATGCTTCAACGGGGCACCTACACCGATGAGCTCTTCTATATAACGTATATATTTCAGGAGCTTAATGTACGAGGCCTGTGATATATCTTTTGGATCCTTGAACCTGAACTGACTTGAGTCATTTTAGGTGGTATACGCCCCGATGGTATGAGCCCTTGGGGTAATCATGTGGCAGGGATGAATGTCCTTTTAAGACATTACAGGGCGAACGCGAAAAGGGATCCTATCATAGACATCATTTTTCGGGTGGAACAAAAGGCAAAAATAGTATGTATCAAGCCCGAGCGCATTTTCTTCATTGTTCCACACTTTGAGTGACTAAGAAAGTTCAATTTGTCGTATTCAGGTTCTGGCATCGACCGAGGCGAATCTCTCAGAATCAGAATACAACTATCTCATGGAACCTACAAATGGTGATCCATTGCTCGAGATCCTCCAGACTGCAGTATACCTCAAGTATCTGAAATCTGCACTCGATTTAGTCAATCCTCATGATCTAGTAGCCTGCCAAGATCTACTAATAAAATGCCAGGAGACACATGAGAAATTGATACAATTATCCACACAGGGGTCACTTGGTCAGGACATGTCAGAGAATCGGTCACACTTTGTCGGCGATACCTGTATTCCTTTGTCAGATTCGTTATTTGGCCCTGCATACCGCTTCTCATCACTGGACAATGCAATGCTTTTCATCATGATCTGGGCTCATCTAGCCATCCTCCAGCCGTTGATTTCTCAATCACACTCGTTGGTCCATTTACAAACAGGTTCTCCGGCGGAACCTTTCCTCGAATCATCATTTGAGGATATGGAATTCGAAAATCCAGAAGCATACGCAGACAGAGTATGTCGCGCATTGCCATATTGCTTTCGAGGGAGTGCAAAAATGGCATGCGCCAGATATTCGATGTTTGGTCTGTGCGTAGCTTCTTTCATCTACTTTGAAACCGGAAATCGCGCAAAACACGCTTGGTGTCGGGAAGTGCTTGATTACATGGCATCTCAAGGGTTCGATATTGCCGGCTACCTCAGCGAGCGAGCTTCTTCCATGTGGGTTTCCCGGTGGGATACAGCGAGTCCAGTGACAGAATTATTGGAAACTGCAGAGCATGCAGATGGAGGTTGTTCTTTTGATTATAGCGCATACCGGACCCTTATAAGGAGTTCATGATTGAGTAGAATCCATCCAGATCTTCTTGTGGGAGACGTATCTTCCCCTTTTCAAATATCTGTGTCTACTAGGTTCGATGTTACCTAGGAGTTTCTATGGATAAAAGAAAGAAAGGTAGACCTTAGAAGCTACCCTCTTACTGCGCTCCGCCAACGAAGACTTTGGCCCCGATCTTCTGTTGGTCTTAATATGGAGATATGCCGGTGTTTGTTTTAGGAGAAAAGCTCTCAAAGCACTCATCTGCAATGCAAAGGCTCCATCCATTTAGACAAGTTGATTTGGGCCTATGAACATACATGGCCCCCAAATTTGAACCTCGCACTCCACAACGCCCCCGCTATAGATCAGCCTATCACTCGGATTCACTCCACTCTAGTCGTATCAGACCCACTTATGCAACAGCTCCTTAGCGGGAATTAGCACTACTTTCCAAGCTTTTCACCCCCTAACCCCCGCCCTTGATTGGAATTCATTTGTTCCCCCACAAAATCCGCCACTCCGCGGACCTCGTGAGGAGTTTTGCAAAATTCAGCACTGCAGCTTGAAGCCTTACGTAGTGCAATGGGGTGAACTGATATTACACCGAGTTATAAATACGTCGATCCCCAGTCTGGCACTCAAGATGAAACCGCTATTATCAGGTGCACACTTGACTTCAACTTATTCCTTCCTGAGTCCCACAGGTGTTATTGAGTATTGAGAATGGCTATCCCTGATCTGGACCCCCGGAATCAGCTTCTCCCAAACCTGATTGATCGTTATGCCCTCATCAAGCCTGATGCGATTTACGCCGAATACCCGGTCAATCCTACGAGCTATGATAAAGGTTATAGAAAGATTACATATAAGAACTTTGCAAATGCAATTAACGGCATCGCACATTGGCTCACGGAGCAGTTGGGACCTGGAGACGGCAAGGGGGTTCTCGCCTACACTGGCGGGAATGACCTGCGATACCCAGCTTTGGTTCTAGGTGCTGTCAAGGCCGGTTATTGTGTAAGATATCTTTTTTCCCCGTGGGAAACAGATTGGTCTCAGTGTGGCTTACGAGAGTACTAGGCTTTCTTGCCGTCACCACGTAACAGTGTTGCTGCGAACCAGTCTCTGCTACAGAAGCTCGATTGCACTACACTACTGACGCCTATGCCGCATCCTCCTTTCAGAGCGGCGATTTTGAAGGCCTTAGAAGGGCAGTCAGTGAAATGTTTGGATATGCCAAGCTTGGACACACTTCTGACAAACGACTATCCCGACTTTCCATATTCTAAAAAATATCCCGACGCCGTCACTGATCCACTTCTCATTGTGCACACATCGGGCTCTACGGGTATTCCTAAACCGATCACCTGGACTCTCGAAAGTGCACTCAGACATACAAGGATGCAGCTCCTGGAATGTCCTGAGGGCTACAAGAGTCAAGACCAGTACAATGCTGGTAAACGTGTGTTCGTCACATTACCCCCATTCCATGTAAGTCTTCTCTGTATCAGCTACTATATCAATATTTAGTTGCTTCGATTTCGTTAAAATAACTCGAACTAACTACCTTTATAGGCCGCTGGCATGGCAACCATGATCATGATCTCACCTCAAGGAAACCAGACTGCTATTATGCCTACTGCCGTCGGTCTACCAACGGCCGATGCACTGGTGGCAGCCAGGAAGCAGACGCAGTTTGATAGTGCATTCGTTGTACCATCGATTGTACTGGAATTATCTCAGAGTCCCGAGCTTCTTGATTACTGCAGTACCAATCTAGAGTATATCTACTATGCTGGAGGTGATTTACCACAGCCAATTGGAGATAAGGTCGCAGCTAAATTGCCCCTGATGAACCGATTCGGATCCACCGAGGTTGGTCTTCTGAATTCGGTTTACGGGCCAAACCGCGATCCCCTGGTAGACTGGCGTTATCTCGAATTCCACCCAGAAGTTGGGGTTGAACTTCGCCATGTATCAGGGGAGGATTATGAGACAATAATGGTGCGAAGTCCCACCAGGGAATCCAATCAATGTCCATTCGTCCTTTTCCCTGATCTGCAAGAATATTCTCTGAATGATTTGATGGTCCGCCATCCCGATCCGGCAAAGCCGAATCTATGGCGCCCAACTGCCCGTGGAGATGATATTATTGTTTTTCTCAATGGAGAGAAGACAAACCCGGTTTCAATGGAACAAGCTATAGTTGCCGCAAATTCAGAGGTGACTGGTTGCGTTGTGATCGGTGCCCAACGTCTGCAGGCCGCTCTCCTTGTGGAGACCAACAACGGTCAAGGTTCTTTGAGCATCAGCGACCGTGCTGCGATGATTGAAAAATTATGGCCCAGCATTGAGCAGGCAAATCAGACGGCTCCGGCCCATGCTCGCATTGCGAAGTCTCACATTCTCTTCACATCCGGCGAGCCCTTGCCTCGGGCAAGCAAAGGAACCTTACAGCGTGCACAGGCATTGAGTAACTACAAGAAAGAAATTGATAACCTCTACAGAGATGCAGAGAAGCTTGCCTACTTTGACGTATCGGTAACTCAGATTGCCGCCCCTGGCGCTGCTCATGATACCAAGAAGGTTACCGAGTATGTCAGAGCCGTCATCCTAAGTATCGCAAAATGGAATCCGGACTTCTCAGATGAGGACAATTGGTTCACGCTTGGACTGGACTCTCTGCAGGCGATTACTGCCACTCGTGTATTGAAGAATGGCCTTAATCTCTCATCTCTCGCACCGAACACCATTTATCTCAGTCCCACCGTGGCAGGACTGACCACAGCTTTACAATCACTTCAGCAAGAGAATGATGAATCTACAACTTCCCGAAAGAAGGATGAGGTACAAGAGAGAGAGAATTTATTGCAGGAGCTTATCGAGAAAATCAGAGAGAAGCCTCAGGCGCAAGTCTCTCTAGCCAACTCCGCTTCTACCCACACAGTTGTATTGACTGGATCAACGGGCCAACTTGGCAGTTACATCCTGGATGCTCTTTTGAAAGATTCCAAGGTTGGGCGGGTATACTGTCTTGATCGAGGTGATGATGCCCAGGGTCGTCAGCGTGAGCGTGGAGCTGCGTATGGGCTCACCATCGCAGATGAAGCGCGTGTTCCAGTCACATTCTGGAAAGCAGACCTCAGCCAGCCGGAATTTGGGCTACAATCCGACCAACTTGAGGAGCTGCAGCAAGCAACGCATGTTATTCACAATGCCTGGACTGTCAACTTTAACCTTCCGCTGGCATTTTTCAAGCCTCAGTTGGTCGGCGTAGTTAACCTGATCAACTTCATCAGCCAGTCCAAATACGGATCGCCCCAATTTTTCTTTGTCTCTTCCATGAGCTCCGTTATGGGTGACACTTCCAGCTCTTTCGGAGTTACTCCGGAAACACTTGTTACGATGAGCCACCCCGGCCCGAACGGCTACGCGAATAGTAAGTATATCGCGGAGCATCTACTGAGGCACGCAGCACAGCAGGGCATCCCCTGTTCCTTCGCCCGTGTTGGCCAGGTGGCCGGTTCGATTCAAACTCCTGGGCTGTGGAGTAAGTCTGAGTGGTTCCCAACTATGGTTATGAGCTCGATATATCTTGGAGCTCTTCCAGATACTCTGGGCAGTATGGACCGAATTGACTGGCTGCCAATTGATCGACTCGCTGAAATCATCGTCGACCTGGGACTCAGGGATGACTCAGAGCCTGCTCTTAACGTTTACCATCTGCTCAATGTGAATCCCGAACCCTGGGACCGAGTCAACCGATTTATAGTCAATGCCGTTGAAAAGACATTCGGGAAATCCCTGAAGACCATTCCTCTGCAGGAGTGGGCACGTCAAGTGCGACAGGATAGTACCGATCAAGTGCTTGATGAAACAGAGATACAAGAGAATCTCCAAAAAAATCCAGCGCTGAAACTGCTGGACTTTTTCGAGGCGATTCAAACCAAAGCGCCCGCAAATATACTGGATACTCAGGCCACTGCTCGCTCCTGTGAGAAGTTACGCGACGTTGACGCCGTTAAGGAGGGTTGGATCCAGAAATGGGTACAGGAATGGAAGTCTTGCGAGTAAATTGAGACAAAAATCCTGGAATTTAATTTTCAACTACCAGTGGTGTCAGTTTGAAGGTTGATATCATGTCGTCATGCTGCTTATTACTCTTCGTCTGAGGTACGGGACTGCCACGAAAATCGAGGATACTAGTCATAGACCACGGAAATACATATAAGTACCCGCTTGAAATTCAAGCTCAATCCATGTTGAACCTTGGAATTTATCATGCACCAGTTCAAGTCTATAGACATACTGGCACAGAGTTCTTACCCTCGGCCCAGGCATAACACTGGAAAGCTTCAACTTGAAGTTGGAATATTCAAATGGTATGTATTCACACATGCGCATGCCAATGTGCAAAATGTTACTTCCAAGATTTTTTTTGCTTTGTCCTTTGCTTTCTTCCATAGCCTCGTTTCCGTATGTTGACCACGTTTTATTGACATCTTTTCTTTATATCTGTTCGTATGTCAGGTACCTAAGTAAGGTTGTTTCTTGACGCAAACCTTGGAAGTTATATCCATCATCTTTTCACATGCAGTTAATTCTCAAGAAGCCCTCGGCTTTAAAACAGTACCGTGTTTTGTGTTAGGGTGAGTAGGGGTGATACGGGTGAGAATTTTGGAGACTGGGGGTAAGAGAGGTAAGAACGGGGTGAGAATGGGGTGAGAGGACCCACCGTAGTACTTATATTTTAGATAAATAACGGCATAGGGGTGCACATTAAGGCCTACTATTTTTAATTTATCTTTGTCTCCTAGCTACAAGATGATACTCCTAGAAAATATCTAGAAAAAGCTTGTCGAGGGAAACGCTTATGCTATATCACGTAGGTTTATCCTTGACTATTAGAACAAATGGGAACAAGAAGAAAATTATTTGCCATAAAGAGCTAGCACCTGCTATACTCTAGAATTATAAAAACACTATATTAAACTAGGTATTATAAGCAGTTCTATTGAAATTTATATTTTCATTATTGGCCCTGATATATTATAAGTGTAATGAACTTGTCAGATTAGGGTGACACCTGTGGGCTAGGCGAGATATACTAAGGGGAGAGTACGAGGGGCTGGTTCACTTAGATACAGCGACTAACACTCGAGGAGTGTAAGTCGGGCCCTAGAGGAATCCCCCTCTATGTGCGGCCGGACTTGGTGCCCAATCCCGTAGACAATACGGCAATAGATCTGCATGATCTCAATATAGTGTTTCCTTTGTCTTCCTTGACAAATACGATGCTAAAAAGCGGCTATGATATCCTAGCTCTTGGCATTCCTGTTTTGCTTGTCTTTTGCAATCCTTTGGTTGATAGGTGTTGGGTAGCCTAAAGTGGATTGGTTATGATAACAAATCAAGGTAGGTTGGTTTTAATATAGGAGTAAGAATCATGTTATTTGTTGTTATAGTGTTGGATGAATCTATCTGAGTGACGTCTTTTGCTTTTACGGCACGAAGCCGAGGTGTTGTCTCTGATATAGGATAGTATTTTGACAGAGAACTAGTATGTATGTACTGTAAGCGTAAGCCAAAAGAATTTCTATAGCATTCATTCTGACGTACTCCAGTGCCATTACGACTGGCGTTGCTTGCCGAAGTGCCATCTTGTTTACCGACGACATTTAGAAAGGCGAGAATGAGATTTGAAAGCAAGCGAAGGTTACATATCTACCAAGCTAAGATAGATTGACATTAGGCGATATATTGGGTGACCTGTTGTTTTCCATGGACAATTGTGGGCTGCGTGCCAAAAACCGTGTCGTAGCTGCCTACAACCTGATCATGGAAAGCCGGAACCTGGAAGAAGTCGCCGTTGACCACGGGCCCTTTCTGGGTCGCTTGGCTAAGTGGTCAAGACTTTGCGATATGTTTTTTGATCCCGTTGCCGATCATGCTATGTATATCATTTTCCAGATTCCAGGAGTGGATATCAAAGGGCGAGGGAAAAAAACACGAGAGAATAATTTCAAATTTCAAAAGATGTTGAGCGGGAACTCTGGGCTGGACCCACATTCCGTTTTTTCCGAATCACTGGACAAGCTGAATTCCATATACTGTCGATCAATTGCCAGATCCATTGCCGCCGCCCATTGTTGATTCATAAGTTGACCCTGGCCAGAACATCTCCCAAGCAAGACAAAAGGAGATCCAAATCAAGAATGAAAAGGATTCTTGCGCTCTCATCTCGACTGATGTCATAAATCCCGGGGTGCTTTAGAAGAGTGACAAATAATAGCTGCCCATTCAACCAATAGCGCGTTTAAGTTCTTTGAGAATGGCTCCACAACTCAAATTGATTAAGTTTAAACCGCCAGGGGTAGACGTATATCGCTTTCGGTCATGTGATATTGTCTCTTTTGGACTCTCTCGACGCGTAATTATTCTGTTACACTGTCTGGAAAGAAGTCATGGCGAATGAGCAACTAATTCAAGAGAGCGAGAAATTAGAAGTCCTTAAGAGCTGAAAGAACTTATGAGTCCCACTCACTCATTTTTCTCTGGACGAGAGCTCTTGAAAGTTTCTTGTGCACGGTCGCTACTGTGAGTGATATAGACTTAGCGCCTTGCGTTGGAGCTCTTCCGAAGTTTCAATCAATTGCAACAATGCATTTCACTGATTATGCTTTGGATGCTCCGATGTTTGATGCGGTTGGGTATCCGCAGTGTTGTCAGCGGTCGAGTCGTGAATTGACTCTATTCAGTGAATGGCTCCGTCCTCGCCTGAGAGTTTATAAATTCTAAGTACGATTGCAACTGAACAGCTCAAATTGCGGCGCCTCGGCCCATAAGCCAATACGGGCGATTTTAGATCCTTTGAGGGGAAGACACTAGCTTTGCGATCCAGGAGGGGTACCCTGTGTATCTTGGTGCGCAGTGACTGCGCCGAACTTGAATATAAGTTCATAAACTTTATCTTTTTTTTAATTTTTTTGGGGGGGGGGGGGGGGGAGCTCGGCTGTATTCTAACCAATCAACATTACCTAGATCACGATTCCCCACACCTCAAAGCTTTATTTGCTTGTTGACAGATTCCAGTGTCCACACATTTTCTCTTGCTAAGGTCGGTTTATAATCTATGCAAAACGAATCGAGCATAGAGGAGAGAGTACATTTTGTCTTGTACTCTGCTGTATACTTCTGAAGGAGGTAATTGACTGACAAAACCATTTACAAAGTATACTGATACTGTGCCAACGGCCATTGCTGTCCATATTGGAAATAAAGGAAAGCTGTTTCAAATCCTTATTATATGACTAAAATCTATCTAAGATGGTAGCTCTATGAGGGGACTTTCTGTACTAAATTGAGGATTTTGACGGATTAATGTTTGAAAGAGCGGCTTCCTATTTGTGACAAAGAGAGAATTGCGAACGGCACTATATTATTTGGTTTTGAATGGACAAGGTCTTTGCCCGTGCAATCCATTGATCCGCAATGTCTGACTATCTCGCTATTTTCAGCGAAACTTCATCTAATGCCATTCTTAATTCTTGAACCATTTCTTTACCCGATCGAAGGATAGACTGTAGTGTAGTTATGAGGCTACGCTGACGCTGGATTTCCAGAAGGAGCCCCTCTATTGTATAATTGGCGTAGAGACCATCCATTATGTGAACTCCCGTGTTTAATATCTGAGCCTAAGAATCAATTAATAGACTGAGCTCATTAAGACATATTTCAAGCCTATGTACTTTAGATCTTTTACAAGTAAGGTCTCGAGTGAGAGAGCGGAACATATCTTACGTATAGGCTAAGAGATACTGAAGATATGCGCTTTGATAGTGCTTCTCACAAACAAGTCTCTCTAGCTGGTAACAATGAGCGCATAGCTTTCGGTACTCCGCAGAATCAATGAACATCGTGCGCTCAAGCTGGTATTCATGGTACCTGGAACGTTGCTGCTGATGTACTAGGCTCGCGATCGATGGATGAGAATCTCCCTCACTTATGAGTTTGGGTTTTGCGCCCTTGGCCAAAAGTTAGCATTGATACCTTCCTAATGAGCATAGAGTATTACCTGGTAGCTGAGGCCTATGGGAGAATCATGTTCCGGCTTGAGATCTTGAGGGATGCTGTTTAAAAATTGAGATGGCATAGACATATTTCAATACAGTAGTATTCGAAATCAGATTTACCTCCACACTCTTAGACTTCCATTCCCGAACCCCAGCTTGAAACACGCTAGTAGCCATTCCCCAGTAATCCCTGTCAGAACGTATTGTATTCCCTGGTAACGATGGATGGGCCATTGTTTTAATACCGTATTTTGCCTTGGAATTTAATAGAATCTTTCATGAAGAGAGACCATGTGGGCAGTCTGGCAACATCCCTCACCCCCTCCCCCAAATCAACTTCCTTACATCTTGATCTTCCCGCCTCACGTAGCCTTCGCTTACACTCTTTTGACGTCCAATAGGGCTGCATCTGCCATAAAGCATTAACCCTGGTAGGCAAAGATACTTTTTTATTTCTATAGCTTCTGTTATCCTCTCTTATTTTAATTGGTTACCGTTTTCTATCGAAGGCCGGTACTCTTAGAAGCTGACGGATATTTCAAAGACTACCGGTGCATATAAAGATAACACATAGTCCAGATTATGGTGATCCAATCTCTTTCTATCTCGACGTCCCGCCTTTCTTGCACTAGTACATAATAGGAAGCGTCCCCACCTACACAGTCTCCTGATGTACCCCCTGATGAGTAGCTTCTAAAATACCGTGAACACCATCATAATAAAGACCCCTGACTATAAATTTGCCAGGCCTCGAGGGGTTAATTTGAGGTTAGTGTTCGTCGCTGTATTGTTTGATTTGGGTTTTAGAACTCCTACAGTAGCTATGATTTATATGGCCGTTCACTACAATTGTGTTTCGCTTCTACTAGAAAGGGCGCAAACTAGGAAGGCAAGGAACTATATCTGGTGAAGCGTGAGGGAAGGAAGGAAACTACGAACTGAGAGCTGGATATCAACAACATGGTGGTCCGAACTATCTATCTACAGATGGGACCACTGATGTTGGCACCTTCCCCTCCCTTTATCCCTCGGATCAAGAGCGACCATTATATCCCAGATATACAAACGCACCCGTAGTCATTCTTCAGTCCCACTTAGAAGAAGCATGTAGAGTCACTCCTAATCTTGGTGGTATCCCAGTAATACTATATATAGTTTAATAATCTATAAATAGTTTCAATATTGAGCTAGTACTGTCTTAGTGGGCCAAAAAATATCTATTAAATAACCGCTACCAGTGGTCTTTCTTTTTCCAATCCATTACAACCATTATAATCTCTTCAAGAGATTTGGGAGACTCCCAACAACCGGACGGAACATCCTTTGATACTTAAGATCATCTATGGCTCAGACTTATTTGACCGGCGCTTGTCTCTGTACAGTACTTCCGAAAATCGGTGTCACCACTATACTCTTTCATACTTTCTGTAACCCTAATGCCAAGATCCACTAGACTTGGTCAGGAAGAATGACGGAAAATAGATATTCCATTGTCGTCTGTACAGTACTTTCCTCCGCCTCAGCGATGATATGATGTCTTCTATCTGTATGGGTATTATAGCTACACTTAATTCATTGAATTGCAATCAGTTGGATTAAAACAAAGGGCTGAAGCGGGTCTAGAGGATCTTGCAGGATGCTTTTTTTCCCTTCTACAACTGTGACTACTTAAATATACTCCTCGATTGTTTCGGTAGCCTCAGGGTGAAGCCAAGCCGAGTTGGATGTAAATTTGGAGAAAAAAAATAATTTCCGAGACAGCTAAGTGTGACAGGGAGTAATCCCACGATAACGTGACGTATTCATCAATTCAGGCGTTTGTCCTATAGCATGGTACGAATTAGATAAGGAATAAGAGGTAACTAAGGTAGCAACGGTTATGAATCATCTTGAAATCATTGAAAATTTCTCAGTAACAGAAAAAATCGTATATAAACATCAGATATCCAAAGCCCTTCTTCTGCAAAGAGATTAGAAAATAAGAGAGGTGGAACAAAGTACAGCAAGATTCGAAATTGGCTTCCATATTAACCACACACAAATGGTCTTCCGAACCCTATAGTGAAACTTGAATGTACTATACTGATTACAGTTAGTGCAACTACAACTCCTGTAACCATCTGGGCAGTCATTCTTGGCGTGATGTATGAAACAGAAACCAAGATACATCCCTTCTGAACGCCGAAGCATATATTCTAGAACTTTCTGACTGAGAAAAAAGAAAGAGGAAAAAGGATCCAGATGTTGTCAAGTCCTTGGAAACAATTATGGGTAAATTAAATAAGCATTTCTCAAACCTCAAGTGAAAAGAGAAGTGAAAATTTCGTCTTCTGTAATTCGTGCGGTGTCATGTGTCATTATTTAATTTCGTCATCTAAGAATGTCTTCTCACCCCCCGTTCAATACATAGATAAGGCTCAGGGCTAGCATCAACAAGGTAATAAAAATCTGTCGCTTAGACAGACTGCCCATAGAAGAAGCTCTAGTTGTAGCTTCCGTGGACGTTGTATGGGTCTCATCCTCTAATAACGTTTCAACGTGCGGCACAGCAGGCTTGAAGGGTGAGGTTTCATCTGTACTATGCCACTGTTTCCAAGTGGACATGGATGATAATGTGGATGGATGGCTTGGGCCTAATTGCTGGTTATGAGATTCAGCACATTGAGCCATCATTTTTACGGCCGCTTCATTTTTGCCTAAGGATCTCAAGGTGAAGGCCAGGTTATTCATGCTGGTCAGAGTGTCGGGATGCTCTGGCCCAAGAATCTCCTTGCGAGTTTCCATTACCTGCACCTCAAGCTCTTCAGCTTCCTTCAATCTTCCCTGATTCCAGTAGATTGATGCCAGATTGCCCATGCTGATCAGAGTGGAGAGATGCTCTGGTCCAAGCACCTCCTTGCGAGTTTCCATAACCTGCACCTGAAGATCTTCAGCTTCCTCCCATCGTTGCTGACTCCGGTAGGTTGATGCCGGATTGGCCATGTTTTTTAAAGTGTCAGGATGCTCTGGCCCAAGCATCTCCTTGAAAGTTTCCATTAAGAGTTATCCAAGGAGAAATGGGGGAAGAGGGAGAAGCCCTGATCAATGATCTATAGGAGCAGTTACAAGATTTCTAACATACCTAATAAGAAATCTGCAGGACATGGATTCGCAGGGTCCCAGGAAATTCCAGCACAGATCCCTGGTGAGCCCACATAAGGGAAATCTCTACTGATTATCCAAGAATCAGTCTCTATTCAAAGCGGGGGTCGTTTTCCTATCATAATATCCGTTAATTCCATCCTTTGTTATGTTATCGAGCCAATCTCAATACCATTGCGCAAACCTTTGCCACTATCCCGTTATATTTAGGGTAGAAAGCACATAATTTTAAGCAATCCTTCCCTAGAGTGATTTTTTGTACATTTCTATCTCACTGAAAAGCCTATAAAGAATATGTTTGAGGTAAACCAGATCCTAAAATTCAACGATTAGGTCACTAGAATTGTTCTTAATTACATTGTTAAGTCAAAATATCACGAAGATTCTGGATCTTCTTTATGCTCCATACAATCAAGAGCCTTATCAAGCAAGAAATTTTAGCTTACATCTATGATCAAGTAAATAAATTTCGAGCAACCTTTACTAGGTGCGGGGTTTACTATCCTAATTGGGTAATTTTGAGTTCGCCTCTAGGGGCTTTGGTTTAGCCCGCCCGCTTTGCTATTGCCTAATCAACTAAGAATCTGTTGCCCCAAGTGCTAGTGGTCTCTTATTAATGGCAGAAATCTCTCTTTGCTAACTCTTCTAAGTATATTTATTCATCCCCATTCTTATCATTCACCAATATAGCATAATAATATAGCACTATTTCTCTCTATTATACTACTTACGATTATTACTCTACCTCTACCCTGCTGGTATATTATCAGCACTCTAATAAACTTGGAACTAAGTTATCAAGACAGCCAAATCATTTAGAGACATAGCCCTATCTTTATATTTTGACTTATCTAAAAGAGGAACTTTTATCCTAAGCTCTGTAAGAACAAACTTAAAACTATTAAGTATAAGCTTACGCTCTTAAGAGTATAATGGTTATATAAATCTTATCTATCCTTATTCGCAGTGAATAATGGGAGTTCAATCTTCCTTTCTCGCGTCTGACTGGTAGCGACATCTGGACTTTCTTAAAAAAAAATCTAAGCATTGTTTCTACAGTAGACTTTTCATCAATCCGTCTATGTTTACCCTTCCGGATCTACTCTATAAAGGCGGGATATGTTTGCATATTTGGAGCGTTAAGAGCCTGTGGATGTAAATTGAGAAATCTAAGAAATTTAGTTTAGTTGGTGTTAGAAAGGGAGACGGTATTGCTAATTATGTATCGAAAAGGAGCAATGTCTCCCTATATCAAGACTTAATTTGCGGGAGAACCTTCCGTTGGATTTCATTATTCTTGTGCTCTGCAAAGTCCACAACATGGTTAAGATACTTTAGGGTTGGGTAATACTCAGCACGCTTAGCACATATCTTGCTTTGAGAACCTTAGAGGGATAGGAGAGCTAGTGGAAGAGGATGAGAAAAGAAAAATCCCAGGGAAATCACAGAGCGGAAAGTTGCAAGTGCCAAGATTTACTTTTTGGTGCATGGGCTGAAGATTCAGGTGGGTGAATATCTACCCGGATTGCCCTGAAGTGGGCTGAATTGAGCGGCGAGTCGCCCACCACCAAATCGTGGGCGCTAGATGACCACAGTCATACTTATGCTGTTGTATGTTTTTGCATTTTCTTTTTTGTGGAATTGTGTATATAGTTAAGGAATCTATAAATAGTTTCACTATTGAAGTACTATTAATAGTTATAGTCTTCAAGTGAGTGGGACCAAATAATCCCGAGTCACGTCATGTTGTGCATTTAAATAACGGCTACGTGGACAATCTCCTCTGCCTTCCAACCACAGTCGTCCCTCAAGTACTTCATGAACTCTGGATCACTCCGCAACATTCAGTGGACATCAGAGTGTCCCACAATACTCAAGACCCCCAATGCCTCCGACTTATTTGTCTGGCGCTTGCCTCTGCAAGAATATCACATATCGCGTTGTCTTGCATACCCCTGAGTCATATCCTGATGTATGTATTGCTCAAATCTGTTATTCTTCGGGAAACCAAGGTTACCCACTAACATCATTCACAGCTGATTATCTGCCACTGTACAAATTGCAAACGCTACACTGGCGCGGGGTTTTCCACGAATATCATCGTCCCATCCTCTGATTTTCAGTACACAAAAGGGTTACCTAAATTGTATCTGGATATCGGTAACAAAGAAGGGCAGGTCTTGCGAGAATTTTGTCCCGATTGTGGTACACCGTTTACGTCGCAATCGAAAAGTGACATGCAGATGGTCGCGGTGAAGTCTGGGACACTTGACGACGAACACCGAATTAAATGCACAAAGCTAGCAGCGGAAATATATCACCATCGAAAGGATGGATGGGTGACCAGCATAGGGACTGAGGATGTTCAGAAGATCAATGGTAGTATGGGATAGCCTCTGAGCCGGTCACAAATTACTGAGGATATGGCTCTAAGTCAGTTGCGCTGTCCGAGTCTTCCATAGGAAACACCCCCATTTCCAACTTGAAGGTTCAACCTTTAGAAATGTTCCTAAATATACTAGTAGTAAGCTACCCCCAAGGTTCCGGCTCCGAGTTCAATGTTTAATTACAATTTTCTATGTCAGAACCTTGGAACTTGAAAGATCGTGTCAAGTGCTATCCATCATATTGATAATTTTTATATTTTGCAAAAAGAAAAAATGGAATTTTCAAGATTCAATATGGTAGTCTCAAATACTATCCTCAGTAGTCGTCTGTGTAGCATAAATATCCCCATGAGTGTCCATCATCGTTAGATAACTCCATTTTTGTTGCGAAACTGAGGATTGGGACAATTAGATGGGGAACTCGAAGCGGTCCAAGAGAGAAGCGGCGTGGCCTCAAGTGCTGCACAGGTGTATTATTTAAATGTTGCACTTGTGCCGTGACTGGCGTAAGAATAGCGAAAAAATAAGAGATAAGACACACATAGCGAGCGAATAGCGAGCAAATGAATGGGGACAATGAAACAAGGAACTTCAAATATTGAAAACACCGGGGCTTCACTTTTCTAACCTTGGAATCCAAACACCAAATCGACTTTTGGTTTTCTTTTACATCTCTCAAACATTGATAGCCCCTGAGGAAATTGTTTGAGCCGTCTAGGACTGTCAAAACAACTGGAATTATTCCAATGTTTTTTCAATCCATGGATGAGGCTTCAAAATATGCCTTCAAGTTGTCATTCCATTATGGCAACTGATGTATATTCACCTGGGCAACATTTGAAAGTTGTTGTTATTACAGTGCCGACCGCTATCGCCTTCCATGTTCTAAACCCAGAGAGACTGTTTCAAACCCTAGTTAATCATGTGATTTACTAATCCAGATATGGGTAGCTGTAATTAATCCGTTTTGTAGCTGACCAGGTAATAAATACCAGAATCTTAAAATACTCGTATGAAAAATACAACCTTTTACTTTTAACTTACAGCCTGGAGGGTTCTATGCAAACCCAGCAAACAAAATGGCCTTGGAATGGGCAATCTGTCAACAGTCCCTGTATTGAGCAGTTTCATGACTCCAGAGAGCCTACCTGATGCTCTGGGTGTCTGTCTGGAATGACATTGATGGGTAGGGCGCAAAGTGAGGCTTCTTCGTAATTCCCCCCACCAGCTCGGTTTTCTCCCACTTGCTGAATCACAAGCAATTTCCCAGATATATCTGCTATACAGTACTTTTCGAATCAGTTAAACCTCCACACTCTTATGACTTCTTTCCCGGAAAATATATCCGAGATATGCGAGATCTAATTGGATAATGTCTTACCGGTCTCATTTCAGACCGCTTTCTATAACTAACGTAACCCACAGCCTTCCGGAACACACGGCTGTTCGGAACACCCCAAAACACATAGTAAATGCGATAAATCACTACTTCATCTTTCCACAACCATCGGCTATTCTTACTTGAATAATAAGATATATACGTTTATAAAGCATTCAAAATGATCAAACCTAGTCTTAAGTCATTTAGATGATTATTACAATGCTTTACTGTAAAATACGGCGTAATCTTGGCATGGGTGCCCTGAATATATGTATCTCTGTTAACACTTACACTTATCTTTCTACACTTCGCTAGTGCGTTAGAAATTCTGTCTATATTATGTGCCTCTGATACCTTATTATGAAAAGACATGGTTGTTGAGATATAAAGTAGTAATTTATTGTATTCACTATGTGTTTTGGGGTGTTCCGGAAGGCCGTGTGTTCTGGAAGGCTGTGGCTGACGCTAACGTAATTCCCGGTTGAGCGGCACACCTCACCAAAAATTACATCTTTCAACCTACCTACCTTCTTTAATCATCCACCATGCCACCAAAACGCAATGTTTCGGCCAAAAGAAATACTAATCAAGAGGGCAAGATCCTATTAGCCCTTGGTGATATTCAGAATGGCCGTATATCCTCTATTCGCGCAGCTGCGAAGCTATACGATATACCCTACCGAACTGTCGCTGCTCGCGCAAGAGGGAGAACTGCACGCGTCGATATTCAAGTCGACCTGTGGTACTATACTAAAAATGGTTAAATAAAGTTGGAGTTGATATGATTGCCAAGAAAAATCGTGCATGATCCGTGGTTCTATACCTCATTCAGCGACCCCACCGGGCTCATTCCTATGTACCTGGAAACTTGAACTTAAGTATACATAATACATAATCAAATAGAAAAATTTGCTCTATGTCCTGATCGCTCGGTTCCCTTCTGGGTTATTATGAAAGGCCCAGGTAATCCAAAGTCTGTGCACATTCTTTTATTGACCAATGAATTAGGGTGTTTTGCCGCCGGGTTGTCTCGACTCCATGGAGTGCGTACCACCGACGCCAGAAATAAGGAAACTTTGGAGATTGACATTGACTGACCCTTTTCCAAAAGGCGAGGGACAGGTGAGAAATTCCATTTTTTTTTAAAAAAATTCCTGTATTGGATGTGTTTTTTTGCTTGACTATTGTCGATCCTGTCGCTGAGCTTGACGTATGTATGTTCCCGAAGGCCTGCAGCTCTGATTGGGTCTGACTTGCACTTACAGGGATCAGTACCCGCATCCCAGCAGCCAAATGTAAAATCATACCGGTAAATGTCAAAGCGCAGTGTATTATTGGAAGATTTGAAATCCAGAATAAGCTCGGTTGAGATGGGGGGGATTCGGAATGATCTCGTTATGCCATTGTACTGTCAGAGTACGTCAAGATTCCATATCGGAACGAGTCTCGCCACATAAGGGACAACATCCACGCAAATTGAACTTTCGGCACCAGTGACAAGAAGCATTCAACTCCAGACACTGTGGACACACCTTCGGGCCAACCAGGCTCTTAGACATGAAGTTGTAAGCGGATGACCCCCACCATTGCAAGTCCGACCAGAATTCACGACAATGTGGTACCTCCGTTATGTATCGATTGAAGCGCGCACAAATGAACTTATGTCTCGAAACATAATCGTCAATACATGTGGAGTCAGGGCGAGGGTAACTCTCTAACTGTTCACCCAAAGGCCATTTCTCGCGAATAGCAACAGGGTCCCAACGATGTGAGATGGGGCATTTCTCAGACCAAGGGAATAACCAGGCGAGGTGCTTAAATGCAATGTCATGGCACTGAATTAGGAACATAAACCGGTCCTTGGTGGCACTAAGTCCAGGATCGACCATCATAACAGCATCGAAGTCTGGTATCAGGTCTGTCCAAAGTTGCTGTTCATACTCAGAGCTCCAGCTATTACCAGGGCTGTACCAGGATTGAACTCTTTCACGCCGGAGAAGATATCCATTTTCCGAAAGAGACGTGTCAAGCCTTTGATCCAGGACCCGTCAGTAAATCAAGCGCCATCGTGCAATCTCTTGAGCTTCAGCTTCTGTCAAGCAAATCCCCGAATTGATGTTTGCTTGTGAAAGGCGAGTGAATCAGTACAAAAAAGAGACTATTTACCGCCTGTCTGTGGCGAGTAGCTCATGCAGATCAGAAGGGATGCTGAAGTTCCAGTTTGGTAGTCGTGTAAATGGCAGTATTGCAGTATCGCAGTGGTAGAACATTTTGCCATCCAAGTTAAACTTCCCTCCCAGAATCCAATTGTAGGCCAAGGGAGGGACCAATGATAATGAGGGGTTTTCACAAATCCACTTTCCAACTAGATCAAATCGGACATCAGGTGTCCACGGCAATTCATAGAGGATATCAACGAGCGGGTTGATCTTTTGTCCCAGGGAAATGTGATCGTCTTCACGAAGCGATGGTGCTTGGGGAGCTCACTGTGATTTGGGGGATGCGGAATATTCGGAAGGGAAAAGCGCAAAGACGATTCCGAGCGACAAATCTGTCCTGTATGATGCAAGAATATTCAATATTCAGGATTTCTGACTGGACCCTCAGCATTCCCCACTGAAGCCAGTGAGCGTGGATGAGAACATGAACACTGTGGTCTCGGTACAAGAGATGGGATATTTCGTGATAAATTGTCGAATTACAGCGCATGATGGATAAAGGATCCGGCTGCCGCGTGCGATTGGAACGAATACTCTCGAAGAGCACATCCCGGATCATGAAGCGAATGTCAACTGAAAGGCTGTCAAAATTTCCCATCGAGAGTATCCTAGTCCGGAGGCGTTTGTTGGTATGAAGCGACATGATCAATATTTGGTTTGGGATCTGGTGGGTGATAGATCGACCACTTTTCCCACTTGGGTTGCAGTGGTTCAAATTTCCTCGCCGTCTGGCAGAATACCTAAGGAGACAGAAGCAACCTTTAGCTTAGACCATATATTTATGAATAAACGAGATTTTTCTTTTGTTTATTAAATCTAAACATGAATACATCTCTCTTAATTTAGCTATCTATCTCTCACTTTCGACATCTATATGGCTGATACTGGCAGTTGCCTATATCTATTCATATACGATATAGCAGCTAGTATTATCTTCTAGATAATCATATAGGTAACCTAGTAGATAACCCTGTAGATGCTTATGTAGAAAGAGGTATAGGTCATCAGTCATCTATGCATGCTAATGACTGCCCTGTACTTAAGTGTATGAATATAGCCTGTCTGAGACATCTGGAGGATATGAACACACCCATGAATCTAGCCAAGCACTTGAGTGCTAAAGACATACCTTTCAAGTTCTCAATTTTGCTATTATAGTGCCACGTGAAGCACATGTGCATGGCTTGAGGACTTGTGGAATATGCTACTATATGGGATGTTGTGAGTAAGCTAGATGATGAAGGTGATATCTTCCAGAAGGATCAGGTGGTATAGTACACCTGACCTCAACAATATTAACCTCGGGATGAGAAAGGTACCAAGTATCAAACGAACTGTCAGGCGATGCATCCAAGGAGGATCTCTGGTTTGCCTATGAACTTCTAGTAGACAAGGGTCTAAACTATAGGACCAACTACCTCACTACTATGGAGTGATGTAATCTACAGTTATACTATCGTAGACAGGCCCACCGCCTAGCTCTTCACGTCAATAATACATTTACACTTCTTCTCTCACCAGCAGCACATCGCATATGCACTTCTTCTTTCAACATCAATCTTTCTTTGGCGTTCGTCTGTTTTACGTCCAACTTAAATCCCCAGAATTTCACCTCTTCCCTTTTTTCCCTCCAGCCGATCCTTTCCCTCCCGCCCATCTTTTTTACTCCCAACCATTGCTTTGAAGGACGAGAACTGAAAGAAAACAAAATGGCCCAAGAAGGAATCGACCCCTTGATCCTGTCGCTTCTCCTTGACGACTTGAATATCCTGGAGGACCAGGGAAAGGGAAAGCAGAGGGAAGGTCATCATACCGATCTAGAGCTTGCTATCCAGTCTATGAAAGATGATATCATGGCCGTCCAGACCTCGCTACAGGACGAAGTTATGGCCTTGAGTACGAGCCTTGCAGCGGCTGCGGACCAAAATCTACTCGCCTCCATGCGAGAAGAGGAACGTTTAGCGGAGCAGGACCACCGGTATGCTCTTGCTTTGAACAATGGAGAGCGGACTGAGAATGTGACATCCACGTATGAGCCAACCGAGATAGATAACAACAACGACGCGGTATCTGTTGTCATGAGCGACTTGATGAGTCGCATAACGATTCGCGACCACGATTGCAATGGCGAAGGCTCATCCCGATCCCCCTTTCCATACCGAATGCCAACCATGACGAAGGAATGTGTCTCATGCCTCGAAAGATTTCGTGATCCTGGCTTTACAAGCACTTGTGGTCATGAATTTTGCCTCGACTGTGTAAGGCAGATGTTCCTTGGGGCGATCAAGGACGAGGAGCTTTATCCCCCTCGTTGCTGTGGCCAAGTCGTGCCCCCCGAATCGCTCTAAGAGTTCTACAATATGGGGAGCTCAGCGCCTTTGGTGAGCGGGCCATTGAATGGACAGCAAAAGACCGACTGTACTGTGCAGATCCAACATGTTCGAAATTCATCCCTCCCTTTGCGATCAAAGATGAGATAGGCAATTGCCCAAGTTGCAACAAACAGACTCATTTGACTTGTCGTTCTTTGGCGCATCCTGGTATTGACTGCCCACTGGACGACGTCCTCCATGGTGTGTTGCAGTTGGCAGAGGAGGAGAATTGGAGAAGATGCTTCCATTGTCGTGCAATGGTCGAGCTCCACCATGGCTGTAATCATATGACATGCCGGTCAGTTAACATATAACCATTGATAACCTTTAGGTCTATGTGCCGAATGCTAATGTTCGATAGCTGCGGGCGTGAGTTCTGTTACATGTGTGGTCAAGAATGGAAGACTTGTGACTGCCCACTCTGGACCGAGGAAAGACTCGTCGGTATGGCTAATCGAGCGGTTGCAGAGGAGCTACCTCCAAATGCCAATGTACAGGCCCGTGAAAACGCCTTTGTGCGTATAGTTGAGGGTCTTCGACAACATGAAGAGGTCGGTTGTCAGCACCAAAGGAATTCTCAGTGGGCTTGGCGCAATAGGGGCAGCTTGCAATGCGAGTTTTGCAACCATGTCTTGCCAGAGTACATTTTCATGTGCACAAATTGTCGCATCAGGGCTTGTTACCGCTGCCGCAGACACAGAATAAGATAGCTCAAGTGAGACATAGCTGAAATAAGAGATGGTTGAAGTGAGAGATAGCCTTAAAGCTAAAGTGAGAGACAGCTAAAATAAGAGATGGTTAAAGTAAGAGATAGTCTTAAAGCTAAAGTAAGAAATAGCTGAAATGAGAGATGTTCAAAATGAGAGATAGCATTAGAGCTAAAGTGAGAGATAATTAAGAGATACAGCAGGGTCTGTTAGTTGAAGCTTGCCCAGGTGAGGTTCAACAATGTACTCCTTACAGCTGTCAAGAAACTAGACTTCGAATTCTGGAGCGTTAAGATAACCCGGTGAATAGTCTATAATCAGGAATCCGGTTCTATCCGAGATATGATTGTAGATCCTCGCCGAAAGGGGTAATCTCACACACGACAAGATTCCCAACTGAAGAGGGAACAATAATTCCCCGAAAGCTTCTTGATTTCGGAAGATTAACAGGGATTAATCTAAAACATCCTTAATCTTTATATTTACACCTCATTGTGCTCCTCAATTGATCGACTTGGATTTCTGGAAGCCGAGTGAAAACGCGGGTAGCCACAATCAACCTTAGAAGTGTACCCGCTCCTCTTACACAACAATGAAGAATCTCATTGGAGTCACGCTAATCAGCGCTGCTGCTGCGACTGCAACTGCGACCGCGAGCTCTTCAACTGTGCATGCATCCCAACCCACAGGAGCTACATATGCATCTGGTTTTGACATGACCAAGAGTTGGGCCAATCTGAGTCCTTACAAAGACGCAGACGGCTTCAACATTCCTAAGGGTGTACCACAAGGATGTGAACTATCCCAGGTCCACGTTCTGCATCGCCATGCCCAAAGATTTCCCACAGCTTACCCCTTAGATGGAGATGGCATGGGAGATTTTGCAGCCAAGCTCGCAAATTATAGCAAGGCTCACCCGGACAGCACTTCAGCTACTGGGCCCCTGAAATTCCTCAACAATTGGGAATATATCCTGGGTGAGGATCTCTTGCTGGAGAATGGGGCGGCTACCGAAGCTACTTCCGGGGCAAACTTCTGGATCAACTACGGTAGACTGTTGTACCGTGCCGGTCGGAAAAACCTAGCTGCTTGGAGTACATCTTTGAATGTTTATTCAAACGGTACAGCCCGGCCCACACCCGTTTTCCGTACCACCTCCCAGGCACGTATCCTGGAGAGTGCTCGGTGGTGGCTGAGTGAGATATTCTATGTCCCACGCAAACGACGAACTGCACACTGACATTTTGACTAGGTGGATTTTTTGGTAACAGTGGTGCGAATACCTCCTACGACCAATATGACCTTGTCATTATCCCTGAAGAGTATGGGTTTAACAATACACTGGCTTCATATGAGGCTTGTACCGGTGATATGAGTGAAGGGTAAGCGACATACTGCCCATTACACAGAAATGACATTCGTGTGACTTACTAATGGGAATAGCGATAACGCTGCTGAGGTATTTGTCTCACGGTATACTAAGGATGCTCGATCACGCCTGTCATCTTACCTGCCTCGCGACTTTAATTTGACTGCCTCCAATGTACTCGCCATGCAAAACATCTGTGTCTATGAGCACACGAGTCTAGGCGGCTCATCTTTCTGCTCTCTCTTCACCGAGCAGGAGTGGAAGGACTTTGAATACAATGTCGACGTGCAGTACTATGGTGACTATGCCTACGGTTCGCCTACTGGCCGTGCTCAAGGCATCGGTTATGTACTGGAACTGGCTGCTCGACTGCAACACAAGCTCATTACTTCGAGTGACACTAGCATCAACTATACCTATGATGACAATCTTGCCCAATTTCCTTTCGGTCAACCATTCTATATGGACATGTCTCACGATGATATTATCTTGTCTGTTATCAACGCCCTGGGCCTCAGCTATTTCAGGTATGGTCCTAATGGTCTACCCGGTGACGTCGACCATGCACCAAAGCGCAACTTTTCCCTGAGTCAGATGACTCCATTCGGTGCTCGAATGATATCTGAGATCTGGACCTGCCCTCAAAACACCTCTTTTAGCACCCTGGATCCAGTGCTTATCTCTAACCCCAGTCTCCAGTCAAAGCAGAGCACCACAGACTACATCCGATTTGTACTAAACAGCGCACCCTTACCCCTCAATGGCCTTGTAGGATGTGAATCTGCCAACGAAGGCTTCTGTCCTGTCGAGCAATTTTTGCGTGGGGTACCCACTCTCAAGCGCAAGGCCGAGTACCAGTGGTCATGCTTCGGTAACTATACTACTGGCAGCCAGGTTGCTGATGGGGTCCCTGATTCTTAATCAGTTACATGTGGAGGTGGAGATCGAAATCAACATTTTACATATGAGTGCGAGGGACCTTTGATTTAGCTGCATAGGCTCTACAGCTTCCTTCAAATGTTCCTATTGGGCACAGATTCTCCTGCGAATTTCTTCAAAGACTGTAACCCATTAACCGAAAATCTCTGTTTTAAGAACCACTCACAATATCGGAGCCTGAATGTTACATACCCACTGACATCCATGATCTGACTCCGATTTCACAAGTCCCGAGAGGAAATTTCAATCAAGACGCGCGGTCTCATAGTGAAGACGTTGAAAACATACTACGGAGGGTAGACCATGATGACATAACGCCATGTGGCCATGCCTACCTACCTAGTAGATTAAAGGCCAAGAACTCACGCAGCGGAAACGCACTCGGATCTTGATACCCCGTTAGCAAAGCCAAGACTCGAAATATCCCAGAAATCTAAGACAAATTAGCTACCACTCCGCTGAGAATTACTTGGCATCAATCTTGACCCAGTAAAAATTCCCCGACGTTCCTCCGGATCAAGGAGCTAAGCCAGAATGACAATGCGGTATTTCCTTTCAAAATAAGTCGCCGCGTCCTACCATCTTATCAGATAGTGAGACGGAATTTAAAAGCTCCAAAAAACTGTGGTGGGTCGAGCTTTTTACGTATGGGATTGGTTCGGTGGTGAATTTTGGGGTAGTACTCCGATTTAAGCTTGTTCGGAGGCTGCCCGTTATCTGATTTACACCTTATTTCTATCTGATTTTGCTCGTGTTGATCCACTATGAGCATGTTTTTCTCTCTTATTTTTCTTGGCTTTGTGATGGGAAGGATGATCCTTTTATTTATAAGTAACTATGGGACCAGCATGCACGTCGTTTTTCGTCAATTCCTTTTGACAGCTATATTGACCACCCATGGCGAGCAAGGAGATCCCCAAGTCGGCAATAAACGAGGTCTCTGAACTTCTGTCGGGTGACACGCAGAGTTCTAAGTCAGAGGTGACCGCAGGACCTGACCCAAATGATGGGAAGAGGCCGCCTCCACTGGCGGCAAGACTGTTCGCAGTAGCCTTGATTTCATGCATCAGTTTTGGGTCGCATTGGAGCTCCGGTGTCACAGGCGCTATGAAGACAACACTCAAGAAGGTAGTTTATATGACAAAATTTGTTTCAAGTTGTCTTTACTGACAGCGTTTGTGCCAGGAATTGGACATCAACAATGTACAATATTCGCTGTTGGAAGCTAGCGAGGACTTTATGGCCACGGTCCTACTCATACCCAGTGGTTTTATTACTGATAGACTGGGCGGTGCTGGTAAGGATTCCCCAAACACACTTGAGTATCAACTCGCTAACTTATTCTTCTCTGTGCAGAAATGATTGTGTACGGAAATATCGTTTATACCCTCGGATCTATACTCGTGGCAGCTGCAGCAAGTGTGCGATCTTTCGACTTCATGATTGGAGGACGCATCATCTTGGCATTTGGTGACATCGCAACACAAATCGCGCAGTACAAGATGTTCTCTTCTTGGTTTGCTCCAAGCAACGGTTTCGCATCTACACTGGGGTTCGAGTTAGCGATCGGAAAGGTTGGCGGGTTTGTTGGCAAATCCACTGCCAACATCATTGCGAAGGTGAGTTATGTGTCAAGGCCAATGATACAACCAAGACTGACAAAGGATAGAATACGGGAAATTTCGCTTGGGTGTACTGGACATCGGTCTTCATGAACCTTTTCACCAATGCCGCGACCGTAGTATTCTGGTTCTTCAATAAATATTGCGATCGCAAGTTCAAGGGACGCCGAGATAATGCAACCAACGAGCAATTGACAGAGAAGAATAAGAAATTCGAGTTCGAAAAAGTCTTCCAGCTTCCTTGGATGTTCTGGGCTATTCTTGGCTTCTCGCTTTTCCAGACCAGCGCGGCATTGACTTTCAGCACAAATGCCACGGAGCTGGCAGAACAGCGATTTAATGTTAGTGCTATTAAGGCTGGGTGGTACAGTTCACTCTCGGAGTATGCAGGTATGTAACACGCGATCAATTTGGCAATTTTTCAACATACTGATTGGTTGCGAAGGATGTGTTTTGGTCCCTTGCGTGGGAGTTTTCATAGATGTTCTTGGCCATAGAGCTTCAGTTAGTACGTTGAGATGTCTAGCCTATATACTTCGAAGTGCACACGCTAACAGTAACCTGAATAGTGTTTATTTGCGGTCTTGGTATGATGCTTAGCATGGTTCTGCTGAACTTCGCTCTATCGACAGCTGGTACGGGTGCCTCGTTCGGTATCTATGCCATTGCATTGTCATTTGGCCCAACGTCCATCATTGATGGTATCCGTACTACACTCTGGCACCAATCTGTGTTTGGGTCAGCATACTCTCTCAAAGTGACCATGAACAATGCGTGAGTAATTGTGACAGTCGATTTGTATCATGCCATATCCAGCTGACCAGTGTCGCAGTATGAGTATCATTATTCGGATCATTACGGGAGTTCTACAAGATGCGGATGATAACTCCTACCGTCGTGTGGTACAAGTGTACCTCTTCCTGGCAGCTGCAGCTTCCGTTGTGGGCGGCGCACTCTTGATCGGCTCATTGGCGAGCCGGAATCTGGCACCATTGCAATGGTCTCGAAAGAAGAGACTGACATCAGGGGCGGAAATAATCCAAGCCAACCGTGAGCGTAGTTTGGTGACACATGCTCATCGTACTCGGCTGATTTCTATCGGATGTTTTGGGGCTCTTCTTCTGCTGGTTGTGGGCGGATGGGTGGCGTATATTTGGGGGGCTGCCACAGGTCACAATTCTTAGAGATCAGCAGTACTGTACTCCGAGTCTCTTCAAGATGCAACTGATCATCCCAGTAGATGCCGGCCCAATGTACCGGTACCTGACGGTGATGATCAGTCCCTAGGGGAATATGCTTATTTCGGGTATCGGTACACGTTCCAGAAAATTCGTCTTTGCCACCGCCACCTACGATGGAGGCAACAACCAAAGGTATTCACCACCACATAATTTGGGTGGCGGCAAAGAGCGCTAGTAAACCACACAAGACGCCCTGTGACGCCGTGGCTGAGAGTATACCGCTAGTCAGCCCCTAATCCGGAGAGCTGCTGCACTGGCCCACATTAGGTCCGATATTGTTGGAATAGGGATATTGTCAAAGAAGCGTTGAAGTCGACTCTGATGTCGAATACCGATTAGACATGATTGTACGCAGTTTCTTCTTCTCACCGGGGAGTCTTTTTTTGTGAATTATCTGCCAATGCTTCCTGGGTGTGTGTGTGTGTGGGGTGGAACTTTGATCCACTGTTCCTGATTATTGAAATTGGTGGCCTGAGGCTCGAACATCGAAATTTCGTGATTTGTTGATCCTCCCGTGTTCTGTTCTTGGATACACTTCCCCTGTTCCACACTCTGACTCTATAACCAGCATGGATCATCATTCGTTCCCAATTCATGGATCCAATTGAGATGGACACCATATGTGGGTTGAACGTTGTTCACGATCCAAGGGGGAGAGCACAGTTATGTATGCTCCCCTCCTTTGCTCGGGAGAGCTTATGAAGCTGTGGAGACCAGATTACCAGCCGATCAACTCACAATGCGCATTGCCCTCCACCTCACTAACCAGATCGACAGGATTCATTCTCCCTCACTGGTTCACTCCTATCCCCACCTGACAGACGGGCATCCCTGTGCGGCACCCCCTTCCCTGCTTGACCATGGTTCCCGTTTCATCTGTCTTCCTGAGGGCTAAGCAGTGGGGTTATGGCTGGGGTTGTCCACTTTTTTTTCTGACCTTTGCAACTCTCGACCGCCGTGCATCTTGCAGCCTGTTGAAGATCAGACCGCTCTAAGCGTGTGGGTTCAGAGTCCAGAACTCCGTCAAGAAAGCTGGTCGAGTTCTCTCCCTGCTGTTTCTTCGTCTACTTCCTACCTCCCACCCCCGGTTCACCAGCCTACGCTACAACCTTCGAGCACTAAGGATGCAGGACTGTGTCCTTATTGCTGCGGCACCGATCGAATAACATGGAACCGAGTCGAGCGGAACAGAAGAGCCGCCATAACGCAGATCGCCGAGTCAGAGAGCTTTACCGCTACTATCAGCCCGTTGCGCCTTGGGCCCCAATTCCATCATGGCTGATTTCAGGTGATGCTTTACCATCGGGTGGCTTATTGGGAACGTCCCCAGTAAACACTCCGCCAAATCAAGATAGCTCGGGCGACTCGAACAGCAGCAGCACTTCACGACCAGCAACCGCAGTTGGCCCAGAAGGGCTTGTACTGGGCACGTCGAATAATACATTGACGGCCTTTGCACAATTGGCAGCGTTACGGCTCAATGTGGAACGGGCTTTTATTTGCGTGCTCGATCGAGACAAACAGTATATGTTGGCAGAAGCGACCAAATCTCTCAATTTGAACGACCAATCACTTCATGATAAGCAGGATCAGCTTTGGATGGGGTCTACTGGGAGCCGCAAAGCGTGGAGTGTGTGCCAGGTATGTAAATGTCTCCCGGGGTACTTCAGTGTTTTGATCTGTATTTTTTTTTGGACGTAATGCTGATATGTAGGTTACATAGGATACCGTTGCCTTATCATCGTCGGACCGTGAAAATGCCCATTATCAATACCTGGTTGTCAATGACATGACCGAGAAGGAGCGCTATAAGCGACTTCCATTCGTTGAAGGCGAACCGAAATTCAAATTCTTTGCGGGAACGCCGTTGACAACTGACAACAATGTCAATTTGGGCTGCTTCTTCGTCCTAGACACCAAACCACGCGACGGATTGACTGGATTGGAAAAAGATACACTCGGATCATTGTCTATGCTGGTGATGGACTATATGAAGATATGTCGCCAAGCATCAGAGGGTCGACGAGCTGCGCGTCTCTCAAGGGGATTGAGCTGTTTTGTCGAGGGAAGCTCAAGCTTCGTTGACTCCGTTGACCCATCCCGCGCCGACAGCACTAGGCCATTCTCTACGACTCCACCATCCACCAACAATCGAGTCAGCATGTTTGGTGATTCTAACCAATCTCGAGAAAGGAATAGCGTTGAGCACGGTTCACAAGAAGGCTCACAGGATAATGCATCTCACATGGCTTCGCACAGCCCGCCAAATGGCCGGTCCTTGAGTAACGGGGCACGTTCCTATAGCTCAGGCGCTTCGGAATCCAAACTCGACACAGGGACTTCTGGTGGGGCAAGTTCCCTTCCAGAGTGGATCACAAGCAGCAGCCGTAACCAACTGCCACCAGATGATTCCCAGGGCAACTCTTGGTGTTTTCGCCGTGCCGCAAACCTGCTTCGCGAAAGCCTTGATCTCAGCAATGATGGTGGTGTTGCTTTCTTTGAGGCGAACAATAGCCCTCTGCTTGATGTGGATAGTGGGAGTGATTGCTCTACTGAATCAAGTGGGCCTTCTTCCCTCCTTTCATTGTCCACCAATGATATGCCATTTTCATTCGGACACTCCGAATCTCTGTCTACACCTGTTGCAAATCTTGATCGATCATTCCTGGCGGTGCTGCTTCGGCGCTATCCCAAAGGCAAACTTTGGTCCTTCAATCAAGATAGAATAATATCCTCATCCGATGACGATGACCAGAAATCTCGTGATGGCGCTTCTCCTATCCCAAATCGATCCTCATCAGGCGCTCAGTCATTCAAGTCGGTTTCTAAGCGACGAAGAGCGGCGGAGAATACCATCCTCAATCAATATTTCCCAAATGCCACACAAATCATTTTCGTACCCCTATGGAATGCAGTGAACTCTCAGTGGTTTTCAGGATGCTTTTGCTGGACCACTGAGGAGACACAAGTTTTCACATCTGCAGTGGAACTTAGCTCTGTCATGGGATTTGGAACGTCAGTTATGGCGGAGTACAACCGTATTGAGTCACTCATCGCAGATCGCCAAAAGGGAGATTTCATCGGCAGTATCTCACATGAGCTTCGCAGCCCGCTGCATGGCATTCTAGCCGCAGCTGAGTTTCTGAACAGTACTCAGCTAAATGAATTCCAAAACTCCCTACTTGAAACAGTCAATGCATGTGGAAGGACACTTCTGGACACAATGAACCAGGTTCTTGACTTTAGCAAGGTTGTTTCGCTTGAACGGACTTGGAAGTCCATCAAACGGAGGAAAGAGTCTCCGCTTGATTTTAAAGGAACAGACAAGCTGTCATCACATTTGGATACCTATGTGGCTACCGATATCGCCATACTCGCTGAGGAGGTCGTGGAAGGCATTTGTCTGGGGCATGCATATGGCCAAAACTCGAATGCCGCTGCTGACATGCCCGTGGTCATGCCTAACCATGTCCTCAAGCCTCAGAATTCCCAGTGCAAAGTGGATGTTTCCATCGACATTGCCCAAAATGATTGGGTATATCGAACTCAACCTGGAGCTTTGCGCCGGATCATAATGAATCTGTTCGGAAATGCAATGAAATACACCGATCAAGGACGAGTCACTATTAGCTTGGAGGCTTCCAGTCATTCAGAGGGGCGTTCGCGACGTCAAGGTCTTGAAGACCATGTGACGCTCACGGTTACGGACACTGGACGTGGCATATCAGAGGAGTTTTTACGCGGAAAACTGTATACTCCATTTGCCCAAGAAGATTCACTTGCAGTGGGAACAGGACTTGGTCTTTCTATCGTTCGCAGTCTAGTCAAGGCCTTGAACGGTCACATTCGCATCCGCAGTCGCCCTGGCGAAGGAACCATCGTTCGCGTGTCTCTTCCATTGGCACGCCCAGTAGGCGAGGAAAGCCCACCGGTCGAACCACATGCGTACTATACGCAGCAAAGGGAAATTCTCATGCAAACACTCTTCGTTCAGGAAGGTTATCCTGACAGGAAAGTTGCCTTTTGGGGTACGGACCCTTCCAATTTGTCAGAACCTTGGGTTGACATTGCTCGGTATATGACCGAATGGTTTGGCCTCGAAATTGTCCGCTGGCCTCCCCTCATGCCTATCGATATTCTTGTCGTTCAGGAGTCCGACCTACCTGAGTTGCGGCGCACCATGTCTGCGAATCTTCCGGCGCTCCTGATCCTTTGCAAGAGATCGATCGATTACACCCTAGCTCGCTCCGAGTGGCTACCTCTTTCCTCATCCGTTGATATCATTCGGCGACCATGTGGGCCCCATAAGTTAGCCCGAAGTCTACTCAAGTGTCTTCAGCATGGCCAGCCAGCGGTTGTCACGCCGGCCTCTGTCATTAGCAACCCGATGGATCTGCCAATACGTCATGCACCCGAATTCCCTGACATCGAATCTCCTGAACTCACGTCTCCCTTAACGTCACCCACAGAGCTGGCTTCCATAGAATTTTCCGCCAATGGTCCATCATCGGCAGGAGCGTCACTCAATGCACCCTCCGTGATAAACGCACCGCCGGCTGCCAACGTTGCCGCGCCTTTACCGGCTCCTCTGGCACAAAGCGCTGTGGGTCCCCTGCGACCATCACGTGTTCTAGTTGTTGACGATAATCTGATCAACCTCAATTTGATGATGACACTTCTGAAGAAGCGCAAGCTTACCGTCCTAGAGGCTGCTGAGAATGGCAAGCTGGCGGTTGAGGCAGTCGAGCAGCTTTCAACTGGCTTTGACATTGTTTTCATGGACATGTCAATGCCGGTGATGAATGGATTCGAGGCCACCCGTGCCATTCGTTCCTTGGAGAGAGACCAGGATGGCCGTGTACCAGCTATCATCATCGCTCTAACGGGACTGAGCAGCTCCCGTGACGAATCCGAAGCACTAGCGTCTGGTGTCGACATGTTCCTCACCAAGCCGGTCTCCTTCAAGGAGGTCTCACGTCTTATTGATGAGTGGGAGAAGAATGGATTGAAGCATGAGAGAAAATCTGCCGCTTAACCTCTTAGCGAACTTGGAATCTGCGTCTATATGGGATTCCTTTTTCCTGATAAATTTCCATCGGTTTAAGACTTCTACCACACCCTGGATGGTGCTGGGACTGGCGACAATCTACCTTTCTTTCTCTCCTGTCCATCTCCCAAGTCTTCCTCATCCACTTTTACATACCCTTCTCTTCCTTCAGTCACGAACCACACGCACATGACACTTTACTCCCTTCTCGGGTCCCATCATCGACTCTCGGGATTCATGCACACGAATTTACCATGGATATGAGGTTGTTGGCAGGATACACGAAAGCCGCAACCGGCGTTTAACTTGTCTTTTTATGATATGCCCAGCGTTTGCAAGCTTGGATGATCATGTTTTAGTATTGTCACCATGTTCTTGAAACCAAAAAAATGCTCTGAAACTACAAATAGTGAACAGCTTTCCTTTGTCGACGCAAATTGGAACTGGTGCGGGCTTTATGAATATAATGAAAAAAAAATCAATAATATACAACTTGATGTCGATGGCAGTTGCATCTACTTCAAATAACTGAGATCCATTCTTTGCTTTCCATGTAAGTAGCTGACCCCTTCTGTAATCTACGATACTTGATCATATTTGAATCCTCGTCAAATGTTAGAGTGTTCTTCGCCTCATAAGCACTTGCGGAGCCATGATGACATGAATCTTGGCATATTCAGGAATGAGAATACGCCGTCGGTCGCAATGCCGGCAGTAGGGCCAGGAAATTCCTCTTGTTATCCGAGAAAGATAATGTCCAAACTTATCTCTCTCATTGAAGTTCCTCTTACTATCTGGTAACGCGGGGAACCCCGAGTCGCTTTTGTAATGCTGAAACAAGGCTGGAAGGCAACTCGGCAAGGATCTTATCCCCCCCGTGGGAACTCCGTCGACACAACCCTATAACCGACTTGGCGATCGACGCCTGAAGTTTCCTTAATTAAAACAAAAGTACGGAGGGAAAATATTTTCCGGGGCTAGGCACTCGGAGATAACGTTCGTCAGCTTGTTAGCGGCGGACTTCTTTTCGCATTTTAGGGCCCTGTTGTCCTTATGGACCCTGAACTCTTCATGGCTCAAAATGCTAGCCGCGTCAAAGCAATCCAGAATGTCTGGAGGACACGATGCCAACCTTGAAGATAAACCACACATCTTCACTTCAATATATCGAGAAAGACGAGTCGTTCTTATCTCACTTTTTATAGCCTTCGCCCAATTCCAATGGGGATATGACTTATCTGCTGCCTCGGGATTTCAAAGTATCCCGGGCTTCCTTGCCGTATTTGGCTATGTTGATGTATGTTCTCTCAATCGCGAATAAGACAACTTGAACTTGAAGTTAGCTTATCATTTCACATGTCCGATTTTTCAAGGTTAAACAGTAGTGACTCTTATCTTAGCCAGGTACCTCCACGGGGTACAATTTACGAACATCAGTCCAGACTCTGATTCAAAGCTTCATCCAACTCGGAGGGTTGATCGCCTGTATCTTCATTTTCAAATTCGGGACTGCGATTAGTAACAGACAAGGAATATGGATTGGATCTGTCTTCTCCGTCGTTGCCGCGATCTTGCAAATCACCAGTACTAATCTCGCAGCTCTGTACGTTGGGAGAATATTACTTGGTGTATCGACCGGCTTCTACATGACATACTCCGCTACCTATATGGGCGAAATCGCACCGACACATGTCCGCGGTTCGATTATCGGTCTTGCGACTTTCCAAACATCGTTCGGCTCGTTAATGGGGGTGCTCGTTGACAAATTCACCACTAAATACCACTCTCGGACTTCGTACCAGATCCCTCTTACGGTGATATTAGCCGTGTCTGTGACGCTTGCTTGCGGACTCGTCTTCCTACCCGAAAGTCCACGCCATTATATCAGAAAGAACTCGGAGGAGAAAGCCAAAATATCGATTCGAATGCTGCGTGGAACACTCAACGATGCTGAAGTCGCGGCGGAGGTATTGGAAATCAAAGAGACATGGCTCATGGAAATGGAGATGACCGATTCAGTCCGACTCATCGATGCTTTTCGCGCCGGAAACCTGAAACGAACCATCCTGAGTATTTGTTGCAGCATCGGGCAGACAGGGACTGGCGTTGTTTTCTTCACAAGCTTTTCAGTCTACTTCTATGCGGATGCCGGTGTATCAAATCAATTCTTGTGGATCATCGTTAGTCAAGCAGTTGGTCTCACTGGGTGCATGGCCGGGTTCTTCATGATGAGATTCGTTGAAAGACGTACACTTCTGGTGGTTTGCTCAACTATAAACGCCCTCATCATGATTGTCATCGCAGCTGTCTACACGAGACTCAGCAACAATTCATATACGGCCGCACAAATCCTGGTTGCAATGGGGACCCTCTTCAACTGGGTCTATGGTATGGGTCAAGGCCCAGTTCTGTGGGCCTTAACGGTGGAGATACCAGCACAGCATCTCCGATCGAAAACTGTCGGTCTTGCGACTGGGGGTAACTATGTTGTTGGCTGGTTAGCGACTTACTGTACACCCTACTTCATTAATCCCTCGGCAATGAACTGGGGTCCAAAATATTGCTATATTTGGGGAGCGAGCAATTTTCTAATAGCAGTCTGGGCTTGGTTCACCATCCCAAATGTGAATGGTCAAAGCTTGGAAGAGATCACGAATTCGATGACGGCGTTGAATCCAGGAAGGGATAAGGGAAGAAAATCCAGGAGAGAGGATGCTCAGCAGTTGGCCGAATTTGATAATGACTGACGGTGGCCCAGAGGAAAATTTCAATTTTTCACAGTTCAAAAGTTCGAATCGCAATCCTTTTCAATCTTGGAAGTTCATGATGTTCAAGTTCGAGTTCTGAGTCGGTTCAATTTCAAGTTGTGGATGCTCTATATATCTCCACTACCGGACCGCACCAGCACTACTAGTAGTAGGACTGGAGACTGGATAACGACTCGGAAAATTCGTAGATGGGTTGATCACCACTATTGTGGGACTGAAATGAAGTATATCGGAATACAATAAGCCGAAAATCCCGAAGTTATGAATGTTGAGATAGCTCAAAAGAGGAGGATGATAGTGTTGGCGTCAACTGTGCAAGTCGGCGGGTGGGCACTAAGCCAGCGGGAAGGGATCGTCCAGTGGGCTGGATAATTACTTGGAGACGCAAAGTATGATGATCCTCGACATGCATATTTATCCACAGACGTAAAAGCATTGATATTCCTAAGTAGCTAGATCAGTAATTCCTCAACTCGAGTACACTTGGACTTGAGTCCAGTGCTCGGAGACTAGTCTCTCTTCTCCATGAAGGGAAGACACGCATTGTAGACCTGGTCAAAACCAGGGTACTGGACCAATCTCTGAAAAACACTCTCCTCGATCGTCCTTGCACATTGGAGAACACCCGCGATGAAGAAATCCGCATAGCTGGGTTGTTCACCGAGAATGAACGGACCCTGCGCACTATTGGTCAAAAGCAAGGTATTCACTTTCTGCATATCGGGATCAATAGCCCTCCAGTTCTCCTCCTCTTTATCACCATCGAGAAGAGTGGATGGCCAAGGGTGGCCTCGCGTGTACGACGGAAGAATTGCTGCGATCGAGGAGAGAAGATTTTGTACTCGCGTGGCATGACTGAGTTGCGGAATGTTGACCATGCTACCGTGCGGGCCTCAGTCTGGATCTTCGTTCCCAACTCTGATACCATATTCAGCGCTGGCTCTGGGCAGTTCGACTCCAGGAACTCAGATATGGGATCCGAGCCCATCATGTAAGTGTTGCTAGGAACATGCTGGATTGCTGGGACTGTATATTTGGTTTCTGATTCGGGGAGGGGAAGACCGCTGGATGCCAAGGAGTTCGTCAGAGAACAGCCGACGCATATGAAGATAATCTGTTCCGAGGACGAAGGAATACCGGGGGGGGGGTGAATTTGAAGCGGAAAAGTCACTCACAGCGCTTTCATGGTTGGCTCGATGTCTGGAAATTCGATAAAGATCGTTCGATGGGGGATCTTCTTGTAGTTGAGGATCATGCGAATACGCCAGGCTACTGGAGAAAAGCAGAGGTTCTTGACACAAGCTAGATCATACAAAATGATCTCTGGTTGATTTTCGGTGGACATGATGGATGTGGAAGGTATACTGTATACTGGACAGGAGTCCATGGGTCGAATCCATATCTGTGTCGACTATATCATGGTTTATATACCCCATCTCATATCGGGGGGGCCTAATAAAGGAATTAATATGGGATCGGGGGCCTAATTAATTTAAAGGTCAAGTAATCCGTACCCATCTTGGAAATACTAAGATATTGACATGTTTCTAAAAATAAAAATAAACTTGAAGCTATTAGGTCCGTGCATCGGGTTAAGTATAGACCTCCACATATATCCATGGATATATTGATCAACTTTTTCTTAGGATTTAATAGGAAAGTTTGGATTCCAAGGTTCGCGTGATTCAAAAATGGGGAAGGGCAATACATTCAATGTCCAATATCGAAGTTGACGCGTAGAGTATCAGGGAATGGGGAAAGGAAGACAGGCAGCCTCAGCTTGCAGTGAATGGAGAAGCCCAGGGCTTCAGACCTCTTGTGTGTGTGATAGTGTGACTCATTCTGATGTTTGCTACCTAGATAGGCTTCAGTGAATGGTGAGGAAGCGAGGATCAGACCAAGTTCGTTTGCCAATTAAGCGAGATCAACTTCTCGCCTATAAATAACGCGTCCCCCCCCTCTCTTTTCTTTCTCTTCCTTCTTCACATCTCTTCCTCTTTCTAATTTTCTCCCCTTGAGTCAACTCCAACTTTGTATCTCCTCTTCTCTTTCTTGTTCATCCTTCCTCCGCATGTATCTTCTCTTTTCCTGTGCACCCACCTGCCCACCTCCCCATTCTTGTCTTCTCCCTCTCTCGTGTTTGGATTCGAGCCCTTTGTAGCGCCAAGAACAGGTCTTCCCCGTTTTGAGAACTCTCGACGGTAATGCATCCCTTCGTTCACCTCCGCCATTGCTTTCTGGCTATCATAGTTCTGGGTTTGAGTCTCGTTGTTTCGCCTGGACGGTAGCTGGGGGTGCCGAGCTCTAGATGAAAATGCGGGCTCTACAATGTCACCACCAGGATTTGATCCCCTGAGGGTCGGCATCTGGATTTCCATAGATACAGGGAGTTGCATGGGCAGTCCCTGTTGTTGGTGGTTCAGTTTGTCGGCCCGCTACAAACGACAGTCGAGCTGGTTACGTGTCTCAGTACCTTGAATGCTGTTTCAGTATCGGTATTGCTTACCAGGCCGTTGGTTGCTGCTTTGAAACTCATTTGAACATCGGCCCCTCTAGCAGGTCTTGCACCCGCGAGGATGAGGGCAATTTTTGGAACACTTCGCTTGGCCTCTTTGCTTGCAAATGCCTCGCATCATCTCTGCCTTCGGGCAACCTTTTTTTTACCATACTGGGGACAGCGCCCCTTCACTGTGCTTTACGGCGCAACTTTGTTTTCTCTTTCCGTGAGTTGACAGTTGTTTTTCAGCTGTTCAGCCACACGGATTTTCTTTCTCAAGATGAGTCCCCTCTTTTTTCTCACTATGAAGATGACTTGGCTAACTGAAAGTGAGCGGTCAGGACACGACACTGAGCGCGACTGTTTGCTCAGTCCTCTTGATCAGGACAAGTTTGTTTACTGTTTATGTCTTCCAGCATCTGAAATATGCTTCTTCATTACCAGAGACGCGACTCAATCGTGTCGAGCATGTCATTTATCTACCTGTTTACCCTTCACTACCCAATCCAAATGCAATGTATTGAAGTTATCCAAATGTTCTCAAAGTTCAAGTTGATGTTTCATAAAGTCCATCGTGATGTACATCATGTACTAGTAGTCCACGGGTGTCTCAATCCTTTGTTATATATTCTCGGACCATCAACTTGAACTTCAACTTGAAGTTGGACTTGAATCATACTACTACCTATTCACGATCAACTAGAAGTTCTCTCTCTCTTACCACGTCTCGATTAATTTATTTGTTCTTTATCCCCAGATCTTTCTCACCAAATGATAAGGTTGACCCACATTTATTTTGACCCTGGCGCATCGGAGTTTTGATCCTTTTGAGGCGCAGTGGATCTGAACCCACACATGGAACTGCCCATGATGATGGAGTTAATTCTCGACTGGATCCTGGAAATTCATAGTGAATTATTATTTTCTTATTCCATGGACTCCACTTCCCAGTTTTTGCAAGAGTCCAGAGCTGTCTTACTCGAGTGGTCGGTTAAACTAATCGTTTAGTTTTCATTGTGGCAACTCGGGTCAGGAACCACAACGCCACCATTCACTAGTGCGCAGGTAAATTTGGTTATATTAAGCGGATCGATTTAGACCTCGGGACTATCTTATTTACAGCACGTTCTCCCCGTTTTATCCTTCTCTCTGCAGCAACTTTGTCGTTCGTTTAGTCACTCGTTTATAACACCACCATCATGGTGTCTTCCCTATTGCAGAAGGGCTCACTTCTGTTGCCCATTCTAGGTCATATACTCCCGACTGTCGCGACATCCGTTCCTGTTGTCTCGTGCTCCATCAATCAACCACAATTATTTACAAACCCAAGCTTCGAAGATGGAACTTGGGATGGCTGGACTGTCACCGACTCTGCCGCTGATGCCTCTGTAGTGGATTCAGACTCATCAAGTTCCGTATTCACCACGGCTGCAGATGGAGAGTATTATATCGATACGCACAGCACACAACTCCGTGGCTCCGATGCGCTTTTTCTTCGCCAGACTCTTGATGAACTGGATACAAGCATGACCTATACCATTTCCTTCTCCATGGCGGCTGTCGCCCCTACATCGACGCAGTACTGCTATATCTACGTGTTCAAAGATGCCCAAGAAAATGCCGATCTCCTCGAAGAATTTCAAGTTACGATAGGAACAAGCGGTCTCCCATGGACTGAATACTCGCTCGAGTTCCAACCTACTTCCGAAAGTCACCTTATTCTTTTCCTACCCGAATGCACTGGCTCGACGCATGTTGGATTCGACAACTTTCAGTTCCTCCAGCCTGCGACCACTCTGTGCTCGACATCTTACTCTACAGTCCCCGCAGTATCTTCTACACAGTCCAACAGCATTGTCTCATCTCAGGTGGTGAGCCCAACCTCAGTCGCCTCCAGTGAGCCTGCGTCCTCTTCAGTTGCACTGTCAAGCTCAGCCAGTCCTGTTTCTTCCTCGATCGCATTGGCGTCCCAAACTGTCATTGCTTCCAGCAGCCATGTCCCTTCTTCGTCGCAATCGTTCGCATCAAGCTCGGCCACCACTCAGAGGAGCAGCGCTGCTGTGAAGTCTAGTTCGTCTTTGGTTCCTGTTGCCACATCTCAATCCAGCGTCGTTATCAGTGTCAGTCAGGTCCGCAGCGCATCCCACACACCATCTGCGCGCGCTTCAAGTCAGCTTGTCTCTGTATCTTTGCCATCCAGCCACCACAGTAGTGCGCCGAGAAGTTCGCCTATTGCGCATGCAAAGACTGTTGCCTCATCCTCGCCTGCATCCACCGGAGCGCACAGCTCTAGCTCATCCTCATCATTCAACACACCTCCAGCCGCGTCTACTTCATCATCCATCTTTTCGTTCGCCTCTCTTTCGGCTTCATCCTCGACTGCCTCTGTCGCGTCCTCTGACCTACCCACCATTTCAACTTCCAGCTCTACCGTTAACCCAGTTCCCGCGGCCACATCTGACGCGTCGGCAAGCTCATCAGAAACCACTCCATCCGATTCCTCCACGCAAACCGAGATCACGCCTAGCCAGTCTACTGGTGCTAGTGAATCTGGATATACAATCATCTCGAACCCCACTAGTACTGAATCCAGTGGCGATAATGGAAACGGCAATGGAGGAGAGACCGTTACTGGAACTTCCTACTCTACTACACCCGCACAGGTTGGAGACGCCGAAACCAGTAGCGTGACCCACCCTGCAAGTCAATGGATTTCCAGCAGCACTGTGGTAGTCACTGAGACTGTCACATTAGCCTGGCCGAGTGGTCATGCTGTTACCAAAACTATCTACCAGACTGTCGTCGAATGCCCAGAGGATGAACAGACAACTTCTGCTTCCTCAGCCCCTACTACTATGAGCACCGAGGATGGGGGATCTGACACAGCCCCAGCCACACTCTCCACTGATGCTGCATTTGTGACTGCATTTTCTGGAATCTCAGCATCATCCAGTTCAAGCGAAGAATCATCCTCTTCAGCTTCCAGCGACATCCCCGAGTCGGAAAACTCTACAAATGTCTCGGAACCCGTCTCCTCGTCTCGCCCACTTCACATTGCAGCTCATACATTTGGCCTTACTCATAGCTCGTCCCACTATGCGGTTGGTTCTTTCAAATCCACTCAAGCCGTGACCACTTCAAGCTCTGCTTCTTCAACAACAACCCCGATCGGCGCGGTTTACACTGGTTTTGGTACACGAATGGAAAATCAGTCCACCTTCGCGATTGTTGTGATTATTGCGGTACTCGTGTTTGGTGATTTACTCTAAAAGTGAACTGACACGCAGAATTGCCTTGTTCATCCAGTTTGGGGGAGTAAATATTGAATTAATTGGATCTAATGCATATTGTACATAACGAAAACGTATCATTGTGCTTACGCCGTCATTCTGGGAGGTTATTTCAAAATCTTTATTAATTAATCATATGCAAGCAATTTTGAACCCCAGTCATATCACATCATATGCTATCCCCGGCGTACATTTGTAGACCCAGTTTATTACGCTCCTCCGCCACCCCCAAAGTTCAAGTTGTTCATATTCAAAGCTATCGAGTTCAGAGCCAAAGCCATCACCGTCCTCCTCAAGGCAACATCAACACGATCCTCCAGTATAGCGACAAAATCATCTATCTTCTTCCTCTCAGCCGTACTCAAATAATGCTTCGACCGTGTCAGATACTTGGACCACGTTGCGGCGCTTATAATATCATAGCCAAGTGCAGGTTGATCTATATACTGATAACCAGCCACATCATGGTGCCGAAACCATTGCCAGTCCGGTGCTTTTTTCGTAACGATCTCATCGGCAAGGCGTTGAAGAAAATCGTGGCAGTTATTTGTTAGGCGAGCGTAGGGTCCGAAGCTTTTATCGATTTCATCACATTTCTCATCGATCTCTTCTTTGGATAAAGTTGTCCACCCTATTACGCTGTAGAAGTAGTTACCCAATTCAGGAGAGTAGTGTGTTGTGACTGATTGCTGATATTCCTGGAGATCGAGACGAGATGTAGAAATCAAGGCCTTGTATTGCTTCTGTGTGCGGGAACCCTCGGCTGATACCTGGCGCAACTCCTATTTGGTTCCGTGAACATGCAAAACCCAGTGATGGAGTCGACTTTGGCTAATATAATGTGACAAGATGACTGGTTCACCCTATGTAGTACTGCATTCTCCTTCTAGACGTGCAGTGACGATCTTCTCGATTGCTCTTCGATACCGTTGTTTTATATCGGCTTTGGACCCTTTACTTTTGAGAGCTTTTCTGTCCGCACGCTTTGTTGGGAGACCGAGGGCTTTCCTTCGTCGATATGCGCGTGCGAGTCTAATAGAAACGAAAATGGAGGTGAGCACGGACACTACACCCGCCACGATTTTGAGGATGAGTGCATATTTCGCTAAGACCAGGGTTGGTACGCTTGTATGGTCGTTCCGGAAAGGATGAATAGAGCTTTTGCAAGTGGAAAACTCGCGAGAATCAACTTCTTTTTTAGAAAGTTCTCACATCACCTGATAATTGCTTAGCCTGGGGTATCATTCGGCTGTGGCTTTGAGAAGCATTGCCCTGGCTGGGCGGGGTAATTAGGTAAATCACCCGGGCGATTTTCAGCCTCATATTTTTTGGTATCCCTTGCGAGTCGCATGACAAATGGAATGCTCCTTGTAAATTTGATTGGGTGTTCGACTGAAGGGTTGGGTTAGAGGCGGCTGACGCCGATGGGGCGCCTTGTTGTCCTGCAGATCCCCCGCATATTACGCCCCAGAACTTCAACTTAGCTTTCGCTTTCGCTTAAATGCGGAGTCCATGAGTGCCATTTATGCCCAGGTGGTTACTTTGAAGAAATGGTGAATCCTGAATCAATTGATATATTGTTGCACAGTGAGCAGTTTGGATTAATCTACTTTGCTGCTTAGTGAGAGTTATCTAAACAGGTAGAATAGCGCAGTGAGCTGAAGCAACCAGCAGAACCAAGTCATGTTTGATCTCAGATCCATCACAATTGCCCCATATTTACCCTGACCTTCGTCACTCACCGGCCGGCAACATACCCCTTGCTCGGGTCGACGTCACTGTCTGGGTCAAACCGCCTCTGAGGTTATACCCTGAAAGTCGGATTTTCTATAGGGACGTACTCAGTACGACCATGATGCGTTGGAGTAAAGTCGTGTTTTCCAGGCCACGATGGCGCGAACATGCCGGCTGAAAGATGAGAGTATATATCGTGGGTGCGGTAGAGACACGGAAGTTTACTGGAGCCTCATCATACTCGACTTGAAAGAATCACCCACATACCTTCACCGAGTTCAGTCTTGCGATGAAATCCGAATTCCACCGTCTCTTAAGAGTTTCAACATTCCCATACTCAAAATGCCTACCCACTTGCACGCAACCGTGGCTCAAACCATGACTGAAATTATCAAGAAGGCTCTCAGCCCCATGGGAATGGAGGGTCGGATTAATCATTTTGCAGAAAGGGAAGGATGTACCGATGAATCGGGAGACTATTGACAAGATCGCCGACCAGAGGTGGCTACCGAAAAGAACTCCACGCGGGCGTACGAATGACAGGCCCTCACTAGCGCTTGAGGTCGGCATGGCAGAGACAGAGTGCAAACTGCGAGACGATGCAAAGACATGGGTGAAACTGGGGCGGGGTTCGGCCAATATCGCTATAGCGATTAACGACAGACAAGACATCCAGCTGCTAAAAATAGAAAAGTCGGCATAAAACGCGGCTCGAGGGATAGCCACCATGACGCAACATGTTGAAGTGAGGTTGGGGAGGGCGAGTCTCATAACAGATGGAGACATAAATCAAAGGGATTGATACCCAAGGAGGTAGCGCAGGCGGGACACAAACTTCTGAGATTGAGGTACACCAGAAATCTAAGTGGCTGCCCAGTTGGCTTACTCTACTATTGTTCATTCCACGAGTTAATTGAGCTCTGGGATGAAAACCCCGTTGGGTACATAATAGTGCCATCTCACAGCCAATAGATTTACAAAAATCAACCATCCTCCTCTACATCTCAGCTCATACATTTGATGTAGCAAGGAAGTTGCTGTGGATGCTGGGCTAGCGTACGGGGAATTGAAAATTTATCACATACATGGCGTCCTGGAGGTCTACATGAAGAGACCGGAACGACATACCCATGCTCCATCAATCTGAGGTATGTTTGAGATATCAAACCAATGGTTCAAATACCTCCTAATCTGGAACATTTATACAGACCAATTTCCCAATCCCCAAAATACGCAAGGCCAGCGAATCAGCCTCCGCCGCAAGGATCTTTATGGATCCGAACTTTAAGCAGGTCGCAATGGGAATGATCTGCTTTATATTTCAATCGATGCACTTCGTGGTAATGCAGCTAATGCACTTAACTTGATGGGCCTGGCTCCCTTGTAGCAGGCCCTGCGACCTCGGCCGATCTCGCCCAAGTCAGCCCAGCCAGCCTCACTCTTACTGCTTTTCGTGATCTGATTCTTACTTGCTACAGCCATTATTCTATTCAGAAAAGCTAAAAATTACATAAAAAGACAGTCATGTTTCGTTCAGCTCAGCCCCACTCCAGCTTACTATAATCAGGAGTAGATCGTGGACCCCTTCCAAGGGCCTTAGATGCCAGTGGTTGAGAATCTATTATGGCATTTACGACGATGGAGTGTGGGGAAGAACAACATTGGTCCCTTTATATGTCCCCAAGAACTTGAGATAAAACAGCCTATTAACTCATTTTGACCATGAAACTGGTATCTCTGAGTTCACTTCAATGTTCTCTATGGCATTTTTATTGACCTTGGGAACGATGCTCTAATCAGTCATGCCTTGAGCTCTACAAGACCACTGGGGGTACTATTTGGAGATAAAACTAAATTCCCGTGTCTGGTCCACTTTATGACCAGAACAACCTTGATTAGACTATTTCCTCCCACCAACAACAGGTTCATATCCCCGTACAAGTGATTGAGGGTCTAATTCCGGAATACTAAGCTCACTGACTCCATGGATTGATCCATCGCTACCTATCCAGGATATGAGGGGTGTGATGTAGAGGGTATGATAGTTCCTGTGCAAAGTCAACTGCAGAATCGGCGGATTCATGCCTACAACTTCGTGTGAGTTTTGAGATTCCAGCTCCACACCTGCCCTTGGATAATGCTAATTGACAAATGTAGGCACGTCTTTACTGCCGCAAAAACAGAAGACTATTAGGCTTAGATCTTCTCTAAGCTCTGAGTCTTTGAGGTCCAACCTTGAAAGGTCGCCGATCTCATTTCTGGTACCCTATATAGTACTCATAAGTTGATGTATATTATCAATCCCCAATTCACTCAGCTCCTTATCCGCCGGCCAAGTATTGGCAGGCACATAGAATGCCTTCTGCTGAATGTCAATAAAGCGGTTCGTTGCAGAAGTTGAATAAGGCGACTGGGGGTATACCTACATATCCATAGCACCTGCATTGAGCCAGCGGATCTTGTTTTATTGATGAATAATGTTACCTTCATGAAGTGTGCCGTCACAGCTCGTTGTCTGGTAAGTAAAATCGTGAATTTCAAGATACTACCCGCCTGGAGTCGAATTCCTGCGTCAACAGTTAGTCTGCCCTTCTTGTTCTCAACTCTGCTATGAATTGAGACATCTATGGATACGTTTAGGGCCGATACAACTGCAGATCACTCAGCCCATGAGATTGCGTCAGTGTACGTGTGCGTGCATGTGTGCACTTTCCATTGGCCTAATTACATGAACCGCACACTTCTACTAGTCCAGAAGCTCCCGATATCGATCAATCAATTGAATATTTCAATGGACCAAGTCATTATTGTACCTAACATTTTGAAGCAGGAGGACCAATGACATAGCGCACGAACAGCTCGGGATCCTGCGCTTAAGCCCAACTGACAACATTGAACACCTAGGTACATTGCCCAGGTCAGGTAGATTAAGCCAAGCCAATTTTTGAACCAAGGCTGGAATGGAATTTGGGGTCTAATTTTAATAACCATTCTCCGAAGATTGTGATGTTACACGAAGACCCTGTTGGTGCATATTCAAATCCCGAGGTCACTTATGGTTTGCTGGCTCCTGAGGGGTCATTTGCTGATCACTCAGCTGGCACACTCAGCTGGCACCTGGTACATATACAATACAGCCTTGGCGATCTAGTTAGGTTAAGCCCATGGTTGTATTGAAGCTCTTGCGCGCATGATGTTATACGCCCGACCTTGGACGATCACTGCCAAAGCAGGATCAGCCAGGGGGGACGCTGAAAATGAAATATGCGGCTCTATCGGTGTCCTTTTGAAATTTACTAGGCTTATAAGGGACCTCGCCTCTTGTTGTCTTGAAAAAGGCTCAAGTCTTTTTGTAATTTCTAGGAGTAAATAGACATCCTACTCAAGATGATTTCATCTACGGTCGCGACATCATCAACTGCCGCGAATCTGCCCCTGACGACCGTATTCATACCACCAGAAGCCTGCACTAATCATCTGGAAAAGTCACGACGACATACTTTGGAACCACTACGTTTTACAGTCATTTTGGCGATTTCAACCACACAACCTGCATGCCATCTGGATGGAGCCCATCCTCTTACTCCTCTCCGGGTCGATGTCCCAGTGGCTACACAATTGCTAGCTCAGTTCTATCAATTACAAATGACTCGACGACTGAAACTTCGGTTTTTGTTGCCCAACGTACGTACTTACTAGAAGCCGATGGCCGACTCAGACATAACTTCTGAAAGATGCTCAAGTGCTAAATAATTCCCATTCTAGAGGATACTCTTATGAGACAATCACGATGAATTTTGTAACCGACTCTCCAGAGCCTTGTCACCATTTTGTTTCGACGGTGCCTGAACATCTGGTTCATGCGTATGCAGTGCCAGTGAGATGGAAGGCGGAAGACTTCTCTACAACCTCGGCGGACTCAAGGAGGGGCAGAGGCACTTTATCAGTTAATGAAAAGGCGGGTATTGGGGCTGGTATCACTTTCGGAACCTTTATCATCATAACACTCGCCGTGATGATAATCCTTTCCAGACAAAAGCGAAGTCAACAACAAATACAAAAATACTTCCTCGTTCAATCATATAAAGAGGGATGAGAGGAAGTCGAGAAGCAATCATACTTGCGGACTGATTCTTTCCTTCAGTCTACTTGGAATATAATGGCACTTGACTCGTGGTCATTGGAGGCTATCGCTGTTTGTTTTAGTATATCATGTTTTGTCGCGATACTTTGCGTCTTACAGGTAAGTCTCACTCAGTCATTATAAGCCAAGCTTATCAAGTCACTAACTATTAGCATGATTAGCTCTATAATGGAAAGCAAAGCCCACAGCTACCCAAAGGGGTCTCTTTAAACACTATAGTATCTGTTCTCGCAACTGCATCAAAGTCTTCACTTATGTTTGTAGCGGGGGAATGCATTGCCCAACTAAGATGGGTCTTGTTTCGAAAGTCTCACCAGCCATTGTCTTATATTCAGTCGTGTGATAGTGCTAGCCGAGGGCCATGGGGATCTCTAACCATCTTGCTCAAAGATAAATGTCGCTCGCTTGTGACTATCGGGGCTTTGGTAGTACTCTTAGCCATGGCATTCGATCCCTTCATTCAGCAGATTATTGACTATCCCGTTCTCCCGACGCAACATCAATCAAAAACCGCACAGGTTGTACAGTCGAGGTACCTTCTACCACCAGTCAACACAAACAAGGAATTCGTTGATGCAATCAATGGCGGGATATTGTCTGATTCAATTGACCCCAATGTGAGCTGTCCTACGGGAAATTGCACTTGGCCAAACTTCCGGTCCATTGAAATGTGTACTAATGACTTTAAGTCTTGGTGATATTATCCCAGTGTCGGTCCGAGTCGGCACTACCATTTCCTCGGGATTGGAATCCCCGGGACAGTCATAGTATATACCGGTGAACGTATCGATTCTAGATGGCATGCTGTCGAGCTACTCGATTTCTTTCACCTCCACGCAGTTGAGCCTTGAGCTTATTACTCACCCCTCGAATGGAAGTCAAGTCGTGGGTCCGATTTTGAATTACAAACAATACCTCATGACTCTCCCCAAATATCTCTACTGGATTATCGATACTCACGGTGACAAAAATGACAATGATGAACCCTCGCTTCCAAGCAAAGGGGCCTTGGTGATTTATTCGGAATTGATGATCCTTTGATAGTGACTGCATCTGCCGAGTTAGACATTCCCGAAGAGTTTTCAACAAACATATCTACTTTTCGATCTGATCTGAAGGGCGAATCTACTTTTCTATCTGACCTCATGGACGCAATAAAAGTGGCAAAAGCCACGGAATGTGCTTTTTCGATTTGCGCAAAAGAATACGCTATTTCTGTTCAAAGTGGAGATAGCTCTATCAAAATTGTGGACGAAGATTTCGGATCACTGTACACAGCTTCATCCACAACATCGCCCGCTGAGGATAAGCTGTGCTGGAAGCCCAACTCAAGTCCCATGACGAACTGGAATACAACTGGACAAGCAGACCTCGATAAGGGACTCTGGCGAGTGATGGACCCTGCTAATTTTGAATTCTGTGGAGTGGAGCCCAAATCCTATTATGAGAGCCTAGTCGCTCTTGTTGGTAATATGAGCATGGAACTTAACGTACAATACAGCAATGAAACAGAAAACATACCGTGGTTTGGCGGTAACATCGAAATTCAAGACATGGTCGCAAGCTCAGTTAATATACAAAGAGCGACCTATATTGGCTTAGAAATGTTGATGACCAATATTGCCTTCTCAGTTTCAGCATTGGCTCGCAAAATGAGCAATAACCCCATTTACGGCGTTGTCACTAGTCGGGACTCATATGTTGTTGTTCGATGGCAGTGGCTCACCGTACCTGCCGTGTTGCTTGTAGCGGGGACTCTTCTGCTCATCGTAACCGCTCTCATTTCCACCCGAGGAGGAGTTCACGTTTGGAAGTCCTCAACACTACCTCTGATGTTCCATGGGCTAGATCGGAATATAATGATCGAGCATGGTCAATGTGAAACTGTGAGTGAGATGGAGCAGGTTGCCGATGGAATCAAAGTCGATTTAGGGATTTCAAGTGAAGAAAGAACAATGTTACGGGGAACTGTTCCGGCTTCCCAAATGGCTCAGAATGTTATCAGGCGACCATCTCGTCGTCGATCCTTTTAGTAATAGAACTGTTCAAAATCTTGCAGGAATTCTGGAATCTTTCGATGGTAACTACCTAAGCCTTTGATTCCCATGCTCAGTGTCTTCTCTATGTAGCTTCCCTCCCTCCTTGCCTTTTCGAAGGGTCCAGATGTGGTCCACCCCCACAAGGTGGAGCTTTGCCTCCAGAGCTCGAAGTTGCTCTTTGGTTTTCAATGGTCGCTTACCGTTTTCCTTTTTTCTTTAGTTTGGCCTTTCACAGTTTCTTTGTGCATTTTATATTTGAATCAAATACAGCGATTATTTAATAGATCGAGAGGCTGAGAACATGTAAATGTGTGAGGGCCTTCGTCCTAGTAGAATCATGACTACGCCAACTTGAAGGTGAAAAGGTTAGAGAGTAATCGTACAACGACTGGAGGAACAAAGAGGGCAACAAGGGGAGCCTGCCTAACGATTCAAGAAATAAAAAAACAAAAACATACAACAGTCAGGATTCGCATGTGGTCACCCACCATACTACTAACTGACCGGCGTGTGGCTTAAGTACGGCTGAGCGGACGGGAAGCCCTGTTCTCCACACCCTGTGGTCGTATGTATCAGATCATGGAGAATAGGAGGCTATATATGGAAAGGAATGAGTGTACATTTGTGCCGCGTCAACTCTATAGTGATGATAGGAAGCAACATCTGAAACCTGTGTTCAAGTCCTCATCATACACGATTATTGGTATTAAGGTTGGACTATACTGAGCTTGGGTCTATTAAGGTTATCCACTGACTGGACACTTAATGAGCAGGGTAAAGCATCCACATATCTACGTTAGTTTGTGTAGATGCGAAAATGAGCAATCCTTAATCTGGCATCAAGGGACTCCGATTTGGCAAAAATGAACAGGAGCTGCGAAGATCGGTATAACAGGCTTTTCACTAGCATTATAATACTCTCAATTCAAAACGCCCACTATCTCTGAAAATGGTGCGAGGGGTCGGAGGCGAATCTTGGTATTAACTGGAAGCTGGCCAAGGAGATCCAGATGATGTTCAGCCACAGCTCCGATTACAGGGTAGCCTCCTGTGAGTGGATGATCGGCAAGGAATAGGACTGGCTGACCTGTAGGAGGAACTTGAATAGCACCTTTTACTGTTCCCTCACTTGGTAATTCGTCATTTCTTTCGCGCTCGATAGGGATATCACCCGATAACCGAATTCCAACACGACTTGAGTCAGGTGTAACATTCCACTGCTGTTGAGTGAAAGTTTCTAGCCCTTTTGAAGTGAACCATTCTGTTCGAGGTCCAAGCACGACATCCAGAACCAGGACATCACCAGCTTTAGGAAGAATCAACGTCGAAGTCTCGTTCAGAGAAACGCTCATAAGGTTGCACCTGGAATTCCTGAGCTTCAAGGCTCTGCCAGCTGTCACTGGTTTAGGCCCCAGATTTGCCAAGGTATCTGTAGCTGCACTTCCTAATACTTCATTGACATCGAATCCGCCGCGTACGGCTAAATAGCAGCGCACACCAGCATTTGCATGACCGAATTTCACAACATCTCCGGGCTCCACTGCTGCCGGCTGCAAGTTCGTCACCGTTCTTGTATGGCCTCTCACATCCTGAATAGTGACCATGCAAGGCGCTCCTGCATAGCCTATAACTACCCGAGCGCTGCTCTCAAATGAAAATACACCCGGCATAATTTCGAGACATGGAGTATTGACCGGATTCCCCACTACTCGATTGGCAGCTTTCAATGAGGGTGGATCTAAAGCCCCGGAGGCAGAAACACCTTGACTGGATTGGCCGGAGCGACCGAAATCTTGAAATAGAGCCGGGAATGGTGCAGTGATCACTTTGAACTGATCGCAGTCCTCTTGAGGAGGTATGGTATGTTGATCCGATATCGAAGTAGGAGAATCGGATATCACATGCACTGGTAGTTCAGCATCATCTATAGTCACGAAACGGACGCGGTTTCCAGGCTGGAGTAGGGCACTTGGGCTACGAGAAGAGTCCCACATTCTCATTGGTGTCGTGCCAATTAACTGCCAGCCACCCGGACTACTTTGTGGATACACGCCACTAAAGGATCCTGCCATAGCCACTGAGCCAGCCGGAATGCGGGTACGGGGGGTTCTTCCGTCGGGGAACATTCAACGCAGGATCCCCGCCCACCAGATAAGCAAATCCAGGCGTAAAGCCACAGAAAGCCACAGTCAATTCACTCTCTGTATGCCGGCGGATCACCTCTTTCACGCTGAGCCCTGTAAGGCTTGCAACGTGCTCAAGATCTTCCCCATCATAGCAGACCGGGATTTCAATCAAGTTGTTAGAAGGACGCAATTTGGCCGAGAGCTCTCGCTTGCTAATTTCGCTCGCCAACTGCATCGCAGTCACTTCTTGCGGCTGAAAGCGAATGAGCAGGGTTCGGGCCGCTGGAACCAGTTCCTTGATTCCAGATACTGGTGTAGCTTGAAGAGATGCCAACAGGGCTAGTGTTTGCTCAAGATTTGCGAGCTCCAAGAGCATGCTTGCATTATTGACTGGAAGGAAGCGCATCTTGATCATGGAGAAGTTGCGATAGGGACAGTTAATGCATCTGACCACACTTCTTATCCGGATATCGTTGCTTGAAAGCTTTCTTTGATAGTAATGTGCTAATCCCTAAGCGTATCTAAATACACTTTGGACCATAACAGGTACAGACTCGGAGAAGGATAGCGGCAACAAGCAGTACATATTCCTGCGAACATGTGGGTCGTTGTAGCATATCCTGCAGTGTTTTGTGCGGTCACTGCGGTGTGCCGGTGCCCCGCAAAGGCTGGAAGTGTGGATACTCCGAGCCACGCCATGGGTGCTAACTCCGATGGCTGAGAAGAGTCTAAGCTTCTGAAGAGTAAACATTGAAGGATCAGCTTTATAGTCACTCATCATGATGATAACATTTGAATCCACGAGCATCAATTTGCAGTTAGAAAAAGTGATAGCGGAACATCTGAATGACGAGGAATGTTGCAAGTCATGGTATTACTTTGTTTTTTCAGCGCCCCCACCTCGCAAGGTTTTCTTCAGCTGAGCGGGTAGAGGCGTGGAGCACGCCTAGAAAACACCGAATCTCAGAAATCTCGATAGACCCACTGATCTAATCGAATTTGGTTACTCTCAATCCCAGATTGCCGGAAGCGAGATGATCTGCATATTCTTTATCTTCTGGCGGTGGCTTGAGCCTTCCTTCTAACTCTCATTTCCTATCGTCGATATCTTTGTGACAATGCAGAAAGTACTGATTGCCAATCGGGGCGAGATTGCCGTACGCATCATACGCGCGTGTCAAGACTATGGTGTATTGTCTGTTGTGGCTTATTCGGACTTGGATGTGAATGCCCTTTTTGTGCAACTGGCGGATGAGGCATATGCACTGAATGGCTCAAATGCGACCGAGACCTATCTGGACATCAAAAAATTAATCGCGATCGCAAAGCGAGTAGGTGCGGATGCAGTCCATCCGGGATATGGCTTTTTATCTGAGCGTGCGGGCTTTGCACAGGCAGTTGTTGACGCCGGTCTGACGTGGATTGGACCCGATCCATCAGTAATCGAGGTTCTGGGCGACAAAGTAGAGGCTCGACGGATTGCAGTGCAAGTGGGAGCCCCACTGATTGCTGGAAGTGATGGGCCTGTATCGACAGCTACAGAAGTGCTCGCATTCGTAAAGCAGAACGGTTTACCTATTGCGATAAAGGCTGTACATGGAGGAGGTGGCCGTGGTATGAAAGTGGCCTGGGCAATGGAGGATGTGGTAGATGCATACGAATCTTCTGTCCGTGAAGCGACTGCTGCATTCGGGCGTGGCGAATGTTTTGTTGAGCGTTATCTGCATCGGCCGCGCCATGTTGAGGCACAAGTATTAGCCGACAAGCATGGACAAGTGCTCGTGCTTGGGACTCGTGACTGTTCAGTACAGCGACGACATCAAAAATTAATCGAGGAAGCGCCTGCGCCTTTTCTGTCGAAAGTGCAGGAGCAGAATATTTGTGACGCGGCAAAGAAAATATGTGCTGCTGTAGGTTACTCAAGTGCTGGCACTGTTGAGTTTCTCCTCGGCGCTGATGGGAGTATTTCATTCTTGGAAGTCAACACCCGGCTTCAGGTTGAGCATCCAGTGACAGAGGAGACAACTGGGATAGACATCGTCCTAGAGCAATTCCGAATCGCTGAGGTATTGCCACTCTCCATTACTGAAACTCCCGTCTCTCGGGGACATTCTATCGAATTTCGCATCAATGCAGAAGATCCCGGTCACGGATTTCTACCAACTCCAGGCGCAATTACAAAATTTGAGCCTCCCTCCGGCCCAGGTATCCGACTAGATAGCGGCGTCATCGCTGGCTCCGCCGTTCCAGCTGCGTACGACTCACTCATGGCAAAATTGATCGTTTCTGGAGCTACTCGTGAGCAAGCACTAGCTCGCGCACGCCGGGCACTTCGAGAATTCCGCATCACCGGAGTATCCACAGTTATCCCATTTCATCGTGCAGTGCTCGACACAGACGACTTTATTAGTAAAGGTGGCTTTAGAGTCCATACGCGCTGGGTGGAGACTGATTTCACTGCACTTCCTCTACCAGCACTCCGTCCTGACCCAGTGTGTGACCCCTCATTAATAAGAACGAAAGTGGAGATAGATGGCAAGCTTGTCTCCTTAGGAATTCCAAGCTTCCTGTTGAGCGGATTGGGCGCCCTTGCCGCTGGGTCTGTTCCCCTGCAAAAAGTGACCCAGAGCCGTCTCCGTCAGAGGGTGATCATATTCTTGCACCAATCTCTGGAACACTCCAAGCTTATAAGGTCGCAAATGGTACATGTGTATCGGAAGGCGATTTGGTCGGAGTGATGGAGGCAATGAAAATGGAAACACAGATCCTGGCGCCCAAGGCTGGGAGGATCCTTCTGGTTGCCAAGGAAGGAGAATATGTCCAGGCCGGTGACGTCCTCCTAGCATTTGAATATGCAGGCCATGGCAGATGTTAAAGAGAAATGAAATGAAACTTATGTGACAAACCTGGGGATTTTCCCACATACATAGTCTCTGAAATTATCCTTTGATGAAAGCTTTATGGATCAATGACTGGCACTGATATATCCAAACTATCGGCATCAACCGGTTGTTATTTGTAAAATATTATACTACTAATGGGGAGGTCCATATTCCAATCCCTTCACTCCACTTATTCGCCTGATATTGTTCGAAAATATTGAACTGCCCAACATTACTTCTTAACTTGCGCATATCAAAACTTTGAAACCATCCACTATGAAAATAGCCAAAATCATCCCGCTTACTCTGCCAATAGTCCCAGCCGCGAATGCTGGACAAGCGGGCTATGGGATCTGTCAGGCAGGTTGCTCCGCCGTTGTCAGGGCCTGCTATGCTGTTGCCGGGGTTCAATGGGGCGCCTGCTGTGGGGCTCAAGCTTCGCCTGCGGTTATAGCCTGCAACGCCGCCCATGGTACCTGTCAGGCCGCCTGCGCGTCCGTGCTTTTGAATAAACGGGCGTAAGTGTCCAAAAGAGAATTGAATATTTTTTGAAATTGAAGCAACTAAGATTTGCTAACTTTGCTCATAGTGAGAAAGCTGAGTCGGCATCAAATACAAAGGGGAGAAAGCAGGATTCGAAGCGAGCAAAGAAGTTTGAGACGAGCAAAATAGCCCGAGAGAATGTTCGGGTTTGATATATTGCACATCGTCGAGCTCAAATGAATTTGAATCGATGGAATAAAGCCATCAATCTACATGCAACCATTATTGCACAATTCCTATGTAGCCCGGCGCGAGAGCAACTTGAAGGAGATCAGGAAAAGTATTTACTTGGCTATGAAGCTCGATTAAATGGACACCCCATATCGCAACTGGCCTGAGATTCAATGAACCACTCATGTTTACATACTGAGTTAGATTATGAGCTGTATCTATGGGTGAATGAATACCTACTCGCCTATTCATGTGAGTACCAACAGGGCACCTGGGGAAGCTAAATGTGAAGGCCAGCTGATATAGTTGGTTGTAGGCAATCGTGATCCCTAGAGGTAATTATGTCCCCTCACCCGCCTGGTATACTGCAAATGTACCCCGGTAGCATGGGTCCTGGACTGGATTTTCATGAATGAGGTTTGTCTGTTGAAAGCTTTGTCAGGTCCATGATGTACGAATGAATTCTTTGATCAAACTTTTTCAAATGGTTTGCTCAATAGACTATTTATTCAAGGGAAGTCACAGCAATCCTGATCTTCAATACACAGACCTTATCATCTCCCAAATGCTCCATCTGAGGCCTCATTATCATCACCCTTCGTCTATCGGGAGTTTGAGCATTTGTAATTATCAATCCATTATGAGGCTATACGCGCTCTTCCCGCTCGCTACCCTGCTAATTTTACCGACTGTCAGTGCTGAACAAGCAGACTATGATGTTTGTGAATCCGGATGTTCCGTCGCCCTCATCGCCTGTCACATGGCCGCGGGCTCTGCATTCGGATTTGTCTGTGGGCCTGGTGCTTCAGCTGCGTCTTCAACTTGCAACGCGCTCTTTAATCCCTGTCATTATGCCTGCAATCATATGCGATCGGAGCAACAGCGGTAGGTTAGCAGACAATAAGGCACCTTGGGAGTTGTTGTGCCACCTGGGCATCTGAATCTACCTTGCAGTTTCATTGAGATTGGAGTATATGCTGACTTTATACATTTGCATGTAGTGAGAAAGAGAAGTCTGAGAAAACTAAAATGAAGTCGCGGCGAAATCCGAATCCGGGAAAGAAAGGCTCGAAGCAAGATACTGGGAAGGCAAGGAGTGGTATAGACCGCGAGAATTGTCACAAAGATGGCCAGAATTAGGCGGCTCGAGCAACAACCTTCTTGATGAAAGAAAGAAAGCTTCCAAACAGAGATTACCTAGCATGGATGATGTGACGGGATTTGATAACCTGTTCCTTGATAATAACGATGGAATTATACGCCATGGGTTAAACCTCTTGGACCTCCATCCTCACAGGAACGGATTAGTTCAACGATCGCCATTTTCGCTCAGACGGTTTTTTCTCTTTGAATTTTCTGATAGTAGCCTCATCCTCTACTTGGAAAAGATAAATCAATATTACATTCAGACCGCAGCAAAACTTGGCAACCTATTACACATAACTAGAAAAGACTGGGAACGCCAGAATGGCCCAGATCGGTCGCTTGTCATATCTCATTGCCTTCGCCGTCTGATTCCCCTAATATTCTTCTCCCAGAGGTCCTTGCGTGGGCCAAGTCCGAATCCACCTCCGTCGTTGGGAACGGCAACCCCAGCTGATTAAGCGCAGCTTACGTCTCAATCCGAAACTTGTCCATCAATGAGCTTTCCGAGTCGCTAGCTCATGGTTCATTCACTTCAGAGACCCTCGTGCAAATCTACCTAGCCCGAATCGCCGAAGTAAATCCTACCATTCACACTGTCACCGAGACGAACCCCGATGCTCTTGAACTCGCACAGGAGCTCGATAGAGAGAGGGCTGAACGCGGTCCTAGAAGGTTGGAGCATAAATACTGATATTGAATACAGCTCGGACATTGCTTACCGATAAGTAGTAAATTACATGGAATTCCCATCCTCGTCAAAAACACCATCAGCGTGCATGGGATAAACAACACAGCGGGGTCGTACTGTTTAGTCGGCGCCACAACGAAAGCGGAGGCTTCAATCATCTAACGCCTACGGGACGCGGGCGTCATCATCCTTGGGAAGGACAACTTGTCGCAGTGGGGTAATGGGCGCTCATCTGGAAGCTCGTCCTCGAATGGCTGGAGTGCGTGGGGCGGGCAGACTTATGGGGTCTACCATCCCCACCAAGATCCCTGCGGGAGCAGTAGCGGCTCCGCTGTATCGACAACTCTAGGCCTGGCCGCCGCAGCCATCGGCGTTGAGGTAAGCACTCAGCCGTTACCCCATCCCATCTCCCCTACTTGAAGTACAGAAAAAAAAATCATAGACAGAAATGTGGCCGTTCCTGTACTTTAGTAACCCATTACAATCAGACAGTCGGCAACATCACATGCCCCGCTATGCGGAGCAATGTAGTCAGTTTCAAAGCCACGAAAGGTCTTGTTTCCCGGGATAATACCCCATTATTACGAAGCTCCGTGGTTCAGTTGGGCCGATGGCACGCAGTGTGAAAGACGCTGCGACGTTGCTGTCTTTAATTGCCGGACAAAGTCCCGATGACCCCGACACAAGAGCCATTCCTTTTGATACTATCCCGAACTATGAGAGCATGTGCGACCCCAAGGGTCTTAAGAAAAGCCGTCTGGCCATTCCAAGAACGAAATTATGAACCCCCTTGGCGCTAATATGAACAAAACCTCCGTCATGGCGAAGTTTGAAGAAGTCCTAACTCTCCTACGGGACTCAGGAGCTACAATCATCGACAACGCAAATTACTCTGCATACGATGAGATCAATAGCCCGACCGCACTCCAGAACTTTGTCAGTCCAGCGGAGTACAAGGAGAATATAGAAAAGTATCTCAACAATCTTGAAATCAATCCTCATAATCTGCATAGTCTCGATGACCTCATCGCATGCACAAAGTCGCATCCAAAAGAGGAATGCCCCGAGCGTGATATTGAGTCCTGGGAAAGCGGCGAGAGTTGCGGATGATCGCTGGTCAGATAAGGTTCTAGCCGGATGGGAGAGGATGAAATATCTCGCAGGCAAAGATGGTATAGATGGGGCATCAGATGCCGCCCAGGCAGACGCGCTCATATTTCCCTCTATAGTGAGTTCGGATGTGCCAGGTCTGACAGGTCACCCTGTCATCACCGTTCCCTTGGGCTTTATGCCCCGCGACACTCCGATAAGGCACAATGCGCGTGGTAACCTTGTTGAGGAAGGACCTGGTGTTCCGTAAGTGTTTATTTTGAATATTCATATCCATTCTCTTATCCTTGGGGGAGATTCTCATGAGATGGGACAGGTTTGGACTCAGCTTTATTGGCCGTCGATTCTAAGAGCAAACCCTCATCCGCCTAGCCTATGCTTTCGAACAATCCACACGGTTCGCAGCAGATGGAATTCCTATCATTCTACCCACAACAGAGATATCTGATATCACGATAGGAAAGTTGGGAATTCTGGAATTGATTCGTCGCTGGTTCTGATTCTAGAAGCCCTGCCCATACTAGCGACAAATGTAGTGAGTGCATACATAGCTCCCGTATTTAGAAATCCCAAGCTAGGTGCCGGGAAGAGGTCTCTTGGAAGACCTACCAACCTTTTATTCTTTTGCATTGCTTCACATCAGGTACATTTGATAATAGAGTGCAGATTTTCTTCATCATCTTAAGTACGACTGAGCAGGCGGGAAGGGCTGTCATGCACCTCCACTGCCTTACTTAGGTGTTATTGACTGGTCTTCTCTGCTGGATAATGAAAGACAAGTGTCTATAGAATACAAATCATTTGAGGACCCAGGTCTGATACCTATATCTTCGTTTGAATGGGCCCTTTTTTGTTGAAACTATGATGCATCCATTCCATCACAATGGAAGCTTCTAGGTTAATCAGTCATTCAAACGATTGCGATTGTTAACATTGAAAGCTTCCGGGGTTAAAACATCCATGATCCCCCTCCATGATTCCGACCTCTTCACTATCCACAGCCACAACCTTCAATTATCTGATACCTCCTACAACGGCCCGAATATTAGCTTTCAACTTAAATGATTCTAGAACAAATCAAAAATGAAGGCCTCTACATTCCTGTCTCTGGGAACCTTATCCCTGGTACCGACTGTCCTTGCTGGTCCAATCGGCTATGCTATTTGCCAAGGGGGCTGTTCGTCTGTCGTCATGGCCTGCTATGCTGCCGGAGGCGCTACCTTGGGCGCTACATTAGGAGCTACGGCCCCAGCTACAATCGTTGGCTGCAATGTCGCCTTTGGTACTTGCCAGGCTGCTTGTGCCGCTGTGCTCCTGACGCCGATACCCCGAGGAATCGAGTCCTTATCATGACTGAGTTCGATATAAGCCATTCTGGATCCTTGCTGCCATGGAAAGGTGCTAATCAAGTTGGGTTCTCAAGCTAGCAAAGTCGCGGGATCTGAGCAACTGGTGGACCGGAAGAGAGGATGAAGTTGAGATATCTAGTGGAAGGAAGTCATGTCGTGAATTGAGTCTGGTTATCTGAATTGTTTGGTCATTTGAGAATATCTATTAAATTGAAGATGCGAAAGACATAGTATGCAGTTACCTGACTTTCAACTTCGATTAGTATCTCTCCAGAACCCACAACCCGCGTTCTTCAGGCTCCATAGACAACAGGCGAGCTGATTCCGCCCTCTTCACAGTAATGTATTTCTTCACGAAATCCGGTCCCAGCAGAACGCGTAAAGGCTCGTCAGCTACAAGCGATTCAATACTTTCTTGCAGGGATTGAGGAATTTTCTTGGTGACACCAAGATCAAAGCGCTGAGCATCGGTAAGGGTAGAAGCATCCACTAAAAAGGTATGAGTATATAATTCAAACGTGGGCAAAGGGTACCTTGGACTTACCTGGACAATCCTTCAAAGTGAGGGGAACTCTATTCTCCAAACCCAGGTATCCTGCAGCCAAAATAGCAGCAACGGCAAGGTAAGGATTCGCAAGTCCATCCATAGACTTGAACTCCCAATGCCCAGGGCTGATTTTGCGCACTGGTGCTTCTCGATTCTGGAAGCCCCATGCAATCCATTCCGAGCCCGACCATATACCCGAACGAATGCGTTCGTAGCTTGCATCCTGTGAGAGGGAAAATGCCGCGATAGATGAGAAGTGATCCAAGATACCAGCAAGGAAGGAATCTTCGCTTGTAGATGGGTCGATTGAGATATGCGTGTGAGAGGCACTACCAGCTCCATGAGTGAAGGGGCGTGGATGCAGCGTTGCGCGGAGACCGTGTTGGTCTGCGATAGTAGCAACAACTTGTCGTGCGGCGTAAAGGGTATCCACTGCCGCCAGAGGAGATGCTGGGGGGAGAACAAATTCAAATTGGCCATTTGCTGACTCGGCGTGGATTTGCTCGAGTTGGATGTCCATGGCTTTCAATATCCGTGTAATTTCTTCCAGAATAGGTACCATTCTTCTTGTCTCGGTGGTCATTTGGGACCATGAGTGGTTGGTGGTTACTGGGTGGTAGCTGGTCGTCTGGCCAGTCTGCTGGTCCTTTTTTGGCTTTAGGAATACCACTTCGATCTCGAAGCCACACAAGATATTGATTTCGTGGCTTTTGTAAAGTGCATCAACAACATTTCGCAACACACTTCTCGGACACCCTTCCACGGGCTTGCCATCTTCCGATTTCCAGAACGTCATGACAGTAGCGCTCGGGGCTGCGGGTGCTACCATACTGCCATTTCGGTAAAAGCTTGCTAAATCAGGCTCCAGGTAGTATTGACCGGTGGCGGAGCCTTCGGGGAGGATTGTGTCATCTTGAAGCATGTACTCTACAGCCGAGCAGATCCCGATCCGTTTCTCTTTCCGAAGAATTCGAATGAACTCTTCAAGAGGAAACACGCGCACTCGGGTTGTTGCTGTGTAGTCTACCCACTGCATCCACACATATTCTATGTCGGGGGGGCGATTTCAGAAAAGCGTTCAACAGGTCTGGTGCAGACATACTCACTGCATCTCTGGTTGACAAAGAATTCTCAGTGTTTCCTGGTGAATAATTCGGCTCGAGAGCCAACTTGTACAAGCGATTTGAATTATGGAATAAAATATCCGCGATCATAGTCTTTGCTTGGGACACAGTGAAATCGCCCTGTTTGATGTAATCGACAAAGACCTATACCAAAGTAAACACAAAAATCCGCAATCTGTGAGAGCGCTCCAAGCAACTTACCTTCTCCAGCGTCTGGCGAAACTGCTTATTGGCCAGCCAAAACGTTTCCGGGTGGAAATGACCATCGGTACTCCAGAGAAGACGATTTGTTGGCGTGATTTCCAGACTCTGTCTCAAGATTGACTCTTGAGCTTCCCGACTAACCATCGGGAACACCTCTCCCAGATCCAGATAAATATTCGGATACACAGATGCCAGATACCCAGCCTCCCGTGTATACGGATAGGATGAGTGCAAAAGCACAATGTCTGCGTCAGGATACTGCGCAATAAGCGGCTGTAGATACGCCGGGTTCGACCTCAGGAGACTAATATCATTATCTCCAAGACCCGTATGAAATTGAAGAGGCTTCACGATCCCAGCTCTCTTCCTAAAGGTAATCAATTTCAAGGTCTGCTGCACCAACCAATCATTCAACGGTTTATCATCAATGCGATACCCCGATCTCCTGGTACCAGAGTCCAGGATCCGATGCAACGAGGCTGTGAGTCCATCCTCATCAGCAGAGTAAGGATCAACATCGAGCCCCGTCCGATAACAAACCACAGATTTGAAACCCACGACTGCGGGATCCTCCATCGCAGATTCGAGTGCGGAGAGAAAGCGCTGCCGAAACTGTCCCCACACCGTCTCTTCGGGCTTACGCTCCTCATTCATTAATTCCAGCAACAACGAGGCTGCCACGGCTTCGATTCGGACAATCCGTTTTGTTACCGAGGCTGTGAATGAGTCATGCCAGGTATACGGCTCAACGTCATCGTCTGTTAATAAATCATCCAGTAAAAGCGACTGTGTGCCTTCCAGACTTCGGCGAATGAGCCCCTGGTAGTCATTTTGCACCCATTGACTGTGTGCAGTTAACACATCGGACCACTCTTTACAAGGAGTTCCATACAGCTCGCTCAGCTGGTTCGTGGCTCGCAGTAATGGGAGTGTTGAGAGCGCATTTTTCAAGGCGCGACCGTGGGCTTCGGATACGATACACTCAAGCGGATAGGTATCGTAGTCTGTGGCAGCTTCTTGAGTTAAGAGATTGTGCGCATGATTGTCGATTATGGGGTGGTTTTGAATGAGATGGCGCAGAGAATCCAGAGACTCCAGTGAATCCATGATGCCAGGACGGGTAGAGGAGAGTCGAGAAGGGAAAATTGGAGTTTGAATCAAGTTGTGATCTGTATAACGTGGGAATCCTTTTCCATGATGATACGGGTCCATGCACCCGTAACTGGGCCACAATCAACACTGCCAAGGTATGTCTATTGAGAAGTATCACAATAATCGAAATCGGTTCGAACTAATTTCAAATCATCGCGACTTGATTCGCCGGAAATAAATGCAAAGAGTGTGTAGTCCTGGTTGGATAGAATATGAAGGTCCTGGAGTGGAGGTCGTGTATCTTACCATACGGTAATATAAACGCGGTATGTTCACACGAGACCTTGGAAGTCGAATCATAACATTTGAACTCATCCTCGCACGAGCTGAGGACTTTGAATATCTCTACTCCGGCTACGCAACTTAAAATTGGACAAATCCTGAGCGGTTTCTGGGCGATGAATTCTTTCCTGATGGCTGCAAGTATAAAATCATCACTAGTTCAAAACCAGCCCACTACTGATATATATCAGCGGCTGAACTTGAACCTTCCTGTATACACAGCCTGAGATGGATAAAACATTGAAACTTGAACCATGCAACTGCAACTTGAAGTCCAAACACTTGAGTTGAAGCCCTGCCAGTGGAGTTGAAGCCAGTACCCACGGGTCAATATCAAGCACTCGAGACTGCTCAAGTGACCGGGACGCCGGATCCAGCGGGAGGAAATAACCTCCCCTGTGAGAAAGGGCCTAGCTCATTATATGCCGGGGTAGGTCCTCATCTTTGATCGAAATTCAAATTCAAATTTGAAATACCTCTCATGGCTCAAATTACGAAAAGAACCGAAACGCCAACGTGGTCTACCTATTCTTGCAGCCAATCAAAATATTGCTTGACGTTCTGCCCCTCACCTCATTCTGATAACAGCCCCGCAAGGCACCATTGCATCTATTTCTGGAGAATATTCTTGATGGACTGGGTGGTCCTTGGCCAACAGGTTATACCAGTGACCTGTTACGATCAAGGAAATCAACCCAAAGTACTTCAGTAAAGGAAACAATACACAATGACTCCTAAGCTGTACTACTTCCAAGCACCAAACTTCGACATCAACCCCACAAGTGACACATCTCCAAAGCTGAGCAGTATACTGCCAAACCTCGACAGACTTACCGGGTCATTAAACCAAGCCAACCTCGTTGAAATCCCTACAAATCTTCAAAATCGAAGCACGAGCACAGATTTTGAAGACACGGTCTACGCAAATTACGGTGGATCAACAGGCCTCAGTGTAAACGTGCTTCAGGGACTCTTGGGGTCTGCAAGCATTCTTTATAGCCTAAATCAAAAAACGAGTCGTGTTTATCGCTGTGAGCGACTAGATACGATAGAGTTTGAACCAACCACCGAATATATTGCACAAGCCATACACGAGTCGAAACGGACCCAGGATTTCATCGACAGAAGTCTCATTGGGAGAAAGAGAGTTTTTATGATCACTGGACTCAAAATAGCGACTGGATTGAGCATTTCAATCTCAAACGAGGTTCAGCATAGCCCTGAACTGGACTTTCAGCTCGATGGAACTACTATGGGGGCCCCGATCAGTGCTGGTCCAAATTTGAATCTGGAAGTTGCGACCGGCAGGAATTTCTCATCTAGAAAAAGCGAGAACCAGGTCGTCTTTGCTTACCGAGTGATAAAGGTCCAGCAGAAAGGCCACGGCGAGCCGAAATACAAATACAAACATGGGGGGTTGTATTCAACAGAAGAGGACTCAGACAGTAGCGATGAGGCAGAAGAGGTCTGGGATATTGAGCAACTGGATGAAGAACTCATGATACAAGACTTTCCACAATTATTGAGAGATTGAGAGCCTGAGTGCGCGGAAAGCTAGACTGCGATCATTACAATTCCAAGTGTCTGATGATGATGAGGTGATATTAATACTAAAGTTTTTTTGGTACGCCCATGATAATTTTGAAACAAATTGAAAGGAAATTGAAAAACTGGAAAAGAAAAATTCAATAAATAGGGACATTCTCTTATAAAATTGCCTGTTTTATCTGGCCTTGAATCCATGATTGATCTTGTTTCGAGTCAAACCATTCCCAATGCTTAATCCACCAATAGCCATCTTTTGAATAGGCATTTGGATCCTTCATGTTGTCAAACAGACGGCGTATGGAATCCACCCTCTGAAGTTTTGCTCACTCCTCAGGCGTCAAAAAGACCTTTGCATAATCGAGAACGAGCGCAGCTATCCCAGCGGCAATAGGTGTTGCGCAAGAGGTGCCATCCATGACTTTTTCGCCTTCATCCTGAAGCTTTTGTGGCCATGCTGATCTCACACTCTCTCCCAAAACAAGATTGACAATATCCGAGTAAAAGTCAATTGCATCCTTCAGGAGCCTATCATCGTTGAATTCGTTTTCAATGAATTCTTTTGCAAGTGCCCCGAAAGCAGGGATCACTCGACTGAGAAGTGTCAACTGCCACATTCGGAGGTGTAGAGAGTTTTCAGTTCATAAAGATATATATCGATCTGCAGTAGGGAGAAGAGACGCTGTCAGCTATCCAATCTCGATTGTTTGGACTCAGTGTGGAATTCAGGGCAGTTCATTGATAATTGTAGATATCATGCGAGTGGGGTTCGGCGGGGTTGATGACCACGTCACGCATCTACATCCTCAAGTACCTTCTCACTAGTGCCAGCAAAACCCACCCCATATTTATTCAAACGAAGCCCCCGAGGCATTTCGCAAGTGGAGCGGGCGAGCCTGTTAAAACCAGGGACAAGCGAGTAAACAAACACCTGGACAGCATCACGGTCTATCCAGCATATACTACGGCTGACGAAACAGAGACCGACGTGAAAGACACTGCCAATTTGAGGAATCTGGCCCAGAGATGCGTCAGTCAGTTCATCTTGATAGCGAAACAAGATGGGGTTGAGAATGGCATTGTTGACAGCCACTGGGCTGCTCGCCAATCTGCCGAGTTCAATGTGTGGTGCACCAATATTGGGGTGAATGGCGAGGGTATCCGATCGATTGATTTACGCCTTAAAGATGTTCCAGATATCTGTAGCCTTCTAAGACACCTGCTGGAGTCGTTGGATTATGATCTGAAAGGTTTGCAATTTGCAGGATGTCAGTACGAATCGATAGCTAATGATTGTCGCCTTGATAGAGTTACTGCAGCCCACTGAAGCGCTAGCGCAATCAAATAAGAACGACCAAAATTTACAAGACGATGACTCTGATGACACCTTCTGTTATGTTTCTTCGTCGAACTCTGATGAATCAGACGAAGACCTGGGAAATGGCATTACTTTATCGCCGCGGACAAAACAGCGCAGGGCTCTCCAAAAACATATTAGCGACACGATCGATCGGCTCCATAGTCATGCACAGCAAATTCAGAGCGCAGCGGTCAGACATTGGCGGGAAAGAGTCGAGCTTTATCGAGAGAAAGATGGTCCCAAGGAGGTCTATGAAGGGTTCAAGAGGCTTGCTAGCTGGCGGGCGAATGAGAATTTCAAATCCGCGTCCACCACGATGAAACTAAGGATCGCAGAGTCGGTGGCACGACGTCGGATTCGATTTGAGTACCTAAGAGAGCACCAGAGAAAGAGAGCTGTTAACTTGAATTCTCAAACGGCGAACATGCTAGGAGAGCTGCAGGTTAACCCTCTTGGTAACACAGTCGCCTCACCAGAGAAGCAGCAACACACACATCAAGCCACAAAATCCAAAGTCCCAGTTCAGCAGGGGACTATCTATAGTGCAACCGTGAATACAAGATTGGATATGAAGCCCGAGCAAAAACAGTCAGAACGAGTGGAGAGCGTGGCATCAGTTGCTTTGCGACATCCCGGATTTCCTCCAGCTCCAAAGGTCCTGTATGGCAAGTTTCAATGCCCATATTGCTTCCTGGAGTTCCCCGCTCGTGAGGCCTTAAAAGATCGTTGGAGGTAGGTACCCCTTTGACAAGCATGGGATTAAGTGACTGCTAAAAGATCTCGCGATAGCCAACACGTTATGCACAACTTCGAGCCTTACTTTTGCATTTTGGACGAATGCGAAGCACCGTTTGATGTACCAACTACGTTTGATGGATTAATGGGTCATTTACAAGACCATCATCCTAAACGTTATCACGTCATGATCTCTGATCTTGAAGAAAGAGAATTTGATGAGGCAGAATTCGAAAGCTTTGTGAAGATGAATGGTGAGGCATCTGAGGCAGATCTTGCTTTTTTGAAGAAGGCTAGTCAAAGGAGAGGCGTGTTTCTGTTTCAAAGTTGTCCTTTCTGCGGAGGCTATCCAGATGTACTGGAGAAGCGCTTCCCTGACCCGATAGCGGAAAAAGCTCAAACGGAACTACGGAAGCATATTAAACAGCACATGCAGGACATCGCACTGTTCCTTCCACCATACCGGGATGATATTTCTGACGATGAAGATCTGGAGAGCTGCGTGATGGGCAGTCGACGACTCAGAAGCGACCGCACACTCTTGGAGGACTCAGATGATTGGAAAAGTATTTGCGACCGATCGAGTTGTGACTGCAAACAAGGCGGCGGAGGGTCGGGCTTTGAGGATTTCTTCGATGCTGATATCCAGCAAACCACCCCTGAAAACGAAGATTTCTGGCCCCAGATTTTGGCCGATGCTTCCCGTTATGACCGCTCGGCAGTGACAGACGATTAGTTTTATGAAAATGAGCAGCTCACAGAGTTTATTCGAAGATTTTATGACGAGGATCATTTCAATCTCACTCGTGAGCTAGGAATTACTCTAGAGCCAGCTTCACACAAAGATGATTCCTCAATTACTCGAAAATATTCACTCGGAATCGATCTTCTTGACGCATCCAAAGATGGCGACCAGCTTAAGGTCAATGAACTCCTGGAACGAGGAGCCGATCCAAATATAACTGACGAAAAAGGCTCCACGCCCCTATATCATGCTGCAAGTAACGGCCACGAGACCGTAGCACGGCTATTGGTTGCAAGTGGGGCAAGCATAGAAATTCCGTGCCGGGATTCTATTACGCCATTGTGGGAAGCAGTCTACTCAGCCTTCAAGTCTTCTAAAGGTGAATCATTGGCGAACTTCTTAAGAAGCGCCTCTCGGCGCATTATGAAACCCAGGATCCACAGGCATGTCTCATCCGGGCTGTGTGTGATGGCCAGGTTGGAGCAGTGCGCTCTATTCTGCAACAGGGTGTTGATCCGAATCTCAGAGACCGATGGAATGTCACGCCATTATTCTGGGCAGCATTTTACGGACGGAATCTTGTAGTAGAGCTTCTTCTTGCCCATGGTGCAGATCCTAACACTGCGAATTCCGACTCTCGTACGCCATTATTTGAAGCCGCAATCAGGGGGTTCACCTCCGTAGTCAAGCTGCTCATTGAGGCAGGGGCTGATCCTCAACTTCACGACCGCTGGGGTGAAACTGCTATATTTTGGGCTAGAAGACGGGGCTATGGTGATATCCTAAGGCTGCTGAAGAGCACCAGTGGGAAACCCGAATTTGAAAATAAGCGGATTGAGGGAGTCCAATCCGCTGTATGGAGCTTGTTATTCAAGCAGCAAAAACAGGGAAGAATGAAGCTTGAGGAGCACGTGAAAAATTTCATCAGAGTGAATCGACTCGACAGGTTTTTTCCGCCTGGTAATGTTTGTTTGAAACAAGTGCTGGATCGAGCAGAGACTCTAGACAAAACCAATCCATCCAACTTGCTGGACCCAAAGGATTTGTCTTGTTTAGCTCTTTATCGGCTTGTGATATACTGTGGTAACGTGGCCTTTAGCACTATGACTCCGTGCGTCATTCTGACAGGATTTAAATAGATGATAGTGGCTCAATGAAGAGGAATAATCGAAGAAAGCACCTTGCCAGTTTCGTTCAGCAGATTGCTAGCATTACGACTCGTGTTGCACCCTTTCACGAGGGTATTGAGCTAAGATTCATCAATGCGGCAACAATGCCGGCCATGCCTAACCCCAGCTTGAACCAGATCAATCAAATCCTCGAGCAGAATCCTTTCAATGGATGGACAGAGATCGGTATCAATCTGAAGAAAAAGGTACTCGAGGAGAATGTCTATCGTTGGCTTGAAGAGGACAACCTGCAACGCCCTGTACTGGTTCATGTCATCACAGATGGTAGACCCGATGGGCCGGAAAGGTCCCTTGAAAGAGAAGACACCCTGCCAGAGGTTATTGTAGAATGCAGCAAAAAGCTAGCAGAACATGGTTATGAGAAGGATGGTATGTCCGCCTAAAACCATCATCTATTTTTGTCCTTTCTAACTGAGACAGTTGTACGCTTCCAAATCAGCCAGATTGGCAACGATCCGAGTGCTGAAATGTATCTTAATAATCTGGTCAACAACCCCGAGCTCAACCTCTTGAATACCTTATATATCACGGCTGGTGAGTGAGAGCAATGAATTTTGGAGCAGTCTGGGCACGGTACTTATCAAATCCCAGAGAAAATTGATCAAAAGATCGAGCAACTCCTCGAGGACGAAGTTTCATTGGAACAATGGGTGAAGATACCTCTCTTTATGAATTTAGTGCAACGCTAATCACGTTTGCAGCTTTTGAACTTACTGCTGGCACCACTAATGTGCCATTCGGAGTACTAGTAGGTAGATTCAGATTCAACTTTCAATAAAGAGCTACTAGTTCTTTCAAATGTCCGACCTTGCTATGAAGACAAGCTTAGGCAATTTGTGAAGGGTCTCTCCAGAGAATTACAAATCTCAGTAATGACCTTCAATAGTCATGGTTCCTGTCTTAGTGACCAAGTATTCCTGCACCGCAACGTCCTTCCCACTTTCCTTGCCATAACCGGACTCTTTCAAACCTCCAAATGGAGATTCCGCTGCGGATGAATTACCTATGGGAAATCTGGAGTCAGCGCAATTCAAGAACCACAAAAAAAGGGACCTGTTCTTCCTTACCAGTATTCAGTCCAATCATCCCAGCCTCCAGATTCTCGAACAAGCGCCACATCCGGTCGACATTCTTGGTAAACGCATAACTTGCCAGACCCATACTGGTATCATTCGCCATTTTAACCGCCTCATCCTCGGTCTGGAAACGGTACAACGCCGCAATGGGAGAAAATGATTCTTCCTGAGAGATTTGCATATCCTCAGTCATCCCAGAAAGAATGGTAGGCTCAAAGAAATATCCCGGTCGGGAGGTCATCTGCTTGCCACCAATTAAGATCTCCGCACCACGACTCCGTGCATCTTCAACCTGGGCGATGGCCTTATCAATACTCCGGGGAGTAGTCAGCGGACCCATGGTAGTCTCCTTAGCAGAGCCATGGCCGACAACCAAGGCAGCCGTGCGCTCCTTGAGAAGTGCAGCGAAGCGATCATAGATGCCTGCTTGGACGTAGATCCGGTTAGCGGTAACACAAGCCTGGCCTGCATGACGCCATTTCAATGCCATAAGCTGGTCCAAAGCCTGGTCAAGATTTGCATCATCGAAGATGATAAACGGGCAATTGCCTCCTAATTCCAGAGTGACTTTTTTCAGACCGGGTGCGCAGTGAGAAGCAATAAGCTTTCCGACTCGAGTCGATCCGGTAAAGGTTACTTTCTTCACAAGTGGATGCTTGCACAGAGCTTCACTTAGAGAAGGAGTGTTCTCCAGATCTGTTGTCAGGACGTTATAGACACCTGGTGGAATTCCCGCCCGCAACGCAAGCTCGGCTAGCACCAGCGCGGAGATTGGAGTCTCGGGAGAAGGCTTTACTACCATTGTGCAACCAGCGGCCATCGCTGCACCGACTTTACGAAGTACCATTGCGATGGGGAAATTCCATGGCACCAATGCGGCTGCGACACCGATTGGCTGCTTCACGGTGAAGATGCGGCGATTAGGTAGTGAAGCCTGAAACACGGTACCCTGGACTCGCTCAGCTTCACCAGCAAACCACCATAGAAAGCCGAGTGAGTAGTCAATCTCTGCAAAAGCTTCTGCGAGTGGCTTTCCGGTTTCGTGGGTGACGATTTGGGCAAGGTCATCTCTTGCCTGAGCAACTAGTTCGTGCCATTTTAAGAGCCACTTCGCTCGCTGTCGAGGGACGACTTTGCGGAATGTCTCAAATGCAGCGTGTGCTGCTTCTACTGCATCCGGGACATCTTCTGCTGTACTAGCGGGGCAGCTGGCCCATGCTTGATCGGTACCGGGATCTAGATAAAGTCAGTTATGGAACGTAGTTTATGCAGGACTGTGACTTATACCAAGGACTTCGAATCGCTTTCCACTCTTTGATTCGACCCATTTGTCGCCTACAAATGAGTTGAAGTGTATAAGCGTAGGGTCGGCTAGCTATCGGGGCGTTAGCTTATTTCCGATCATTTCTGCAGACATCGGACATCTCTCCGATAATACCGATAGCTCTCCGCATTGAATTAATTGAGCGGGAGATACCACAGCCCTTAAGGATACATACCGTGAATGGGAGCTTGTATTCCGTCGCCATTTTCAATTAGTGATTCAACAGATCGTAGAAGGAAACTGTGTTAGAATATGAGATGATGCGGGGTGTTGCCAGTGAAGAGGGGAAGCCTGTAAGTTTATATGTAAGCTCCCGAGGCAGTATGATGCACCCCTCTTCGTATAATCGTATTTCATCTCGGTTGTATTACCCACTTGCATATATACAGCCTATCTGTATGACAGGATGTCTCACCAGATTGATGACAACCTTGGAAGTGATAACAGGGTACTCTATTGTGTACTGCATGGCGTACTTCATAGTCCGCATGTGCAGTGATTCTCGGTTGGCGGCGGTTTGCTATACGGCAAGATAAGATTATGCCGGGCCTAGACACTAAATGTAAATGTACTCATGATAGAAGCATAACACAGCTCAAAATTCAATCGATCTATTAAGACAAAGGAAAACCATTCAGTCATCTAAACCAAACTATCCACACTGGCATGTTTCCCATCACGCGACCGCGCACCCTCAATAGATGGCACATTTTGAACCGTATAATGTACAGCAACATCAGTCGTCTTCACAATGCCAGTCACACCATCCTCACTTCCACTCGAGATAGAAGGACTATCACCATTGCGCCTATACTTCCGCATATCGAACTTATCCCCCGTACCAACATTGACCGTGTTCCCACCCCGTGGATCCGCCATCTCATACCCATCATCATTATGCGAGTGGATCTGCTGCGATTTATGACTGGAGAACATTCTTGACTTTCGAGGTTTCGAACCACCTGATGTACCAGGGCCATAGCTCGACTTTCCGTAGTAGCCGGACTTCCCGTTGCGAGATGTACCAAGTAGATGAGGAAGGTATTTGCTTGTGATGGCTTTCAAAGAGGGCGCGCAGGCTGTTATAACGGCGACGTTGACTTCAACGGCAGAACTGCAGAATCCGATGGAGTATGTGGGGTCTTTAACCGTGTGAGTTGGGAAGTAGGCTTCTGCGAGGATGACGATGCGCCAAATACCGATGGCAGTTGCACTGAGAAAAGGGGTTAGTTCGTTTCTGGAGCTGAGGATATAGAGAGTTTGAAACGTACACTCCACCAAGACAGAGAATTAAGCATACGGCGAGCTTTCGTCGTAGTGGCATTTGCAGGCGCCATGTGATGATTATTGGGATTGAAATCACCAGTAGATCGGTGAAAAGATTCAGTGCAGCGGTGGAGACGTAGAAAGCACCCTGCTGGATGCATTTCCCATCAATCGAGAGATCCCAGTTGTATCTGATGGGTAGACACTGGAAAATGTCCACAAATAGGACGGCGGTGAATAGGCCGATGACAACACCCAAGGATGTCCAGATCAAGGTGTTCACCAGACGAGATTGCGATTCCAGTCGACGTAGGAAGAGTAAAATCGAGACTTTGATTAGTGTAAGGCATGGGTTGTAGAGGAGTTGATTGGCATAGTTCCACTGTGGTTGATTAGATTCATCATCCTATGCTTCAACAATCAATTAGGTACTCACAATTAACCCCTGTCGTTCATTATAATCCTTCGGGATATCCCACTCGTGGATTCCCACATAGTTGGCCTTGATGTAGTACCATGATGTGACCGACTGCGAGATGGCGAGGATCTATATCGCATTGGTTAGATATTCAAACGACGAGAATTAATATAGCATACATAGCCCGCAGTGATCAAATAATCATCTAGAGACGCATTAGTACTAAGAAACTGGAGATTATGCAGATCGCGATCAGCATTGCGGAGACTCACCACTCGTCAACTGAGATCTGGACAAATACCGTGCCCACAATCTTAGAATAATCGAAATTCCTCCTAGGACAGGGAACGCGACCACAATCCCCAGCGCGATATCTTGCTGATGGGAATCAACCATTGTCATGCATTCCAGAGGTTAAGGAAAGGGTCCAGGTCAACCTGGACAAGGTTTGGAGGATCAAGAGTTTTTTTTATAAATCCGATCGACGGAGTCCGCCAGATTATTGGGGCATTCTCCGAGTTAGGGACATACATATTAGGCTTATACCAGACTACGACTAAATTATGATCCTTTTCAATCCAAGAATAGGGTTTTGGGGTCCTGATTCCCTTCATTCATGGCCTTGCAAACTCCGGTCACCAATCATGGATCCGGTCTAGAGCGTCATTCTCCACTATATGATTATCTTAAATGGCGAATTACAGTTCGGAGGAATTACTCGGCATTAGTAGGATTAATAGGAGTATCATTGATTTCAATTGAAAGAGCAAATTGCACAGGTAGTCCAATTTTGAAATCTTGAGATGAAAAAGAATCTCAGGGCTTCTAGTCCGGACTCCGAATGTAACTCGATAGCCCTATGGAGTTTATTAGCGACGTTTCACTATAATTATGCCACTAATTAATCAATTTCATATCTATTGAGTAAAAAGAATCCTCTTTAGAGATAGGACTCGGAGCCAACGCGTTAAGAAGGATTCAGACTAATATAGCGTCGTTCGGAGGAGAACTTATCCATATTCCTTCGAGTAAGTGTTACATTAAAAGTATTCATTCTCTTCATTTTTGTTCGTTCGATGTTGACCCACTCCCCGGATCGAGTATGGCTTCAGGATCCATGGCTGAACTAACTTAACTAGTTTACGCTTGCCTATGTTCCGGAAAGATCGGCGCGTCTGATATAAGCCCTTGGAAGATTCTAACTATCTGCAGAAAAATACCTCAGACGCCTCAGACTAGTTTGTATTTGGATTGCTTCCGCGGGTTAGTTAGAGCCGACTTGAAGACTAGAATTAACCTTACCCCTGAGAGATGCAGCTAGTGAATCCGTGTACGAATACGGAATTGAAGAATTGCATAATGAGAATCATAAGGTCGACCTCAATGCATTGACATTCCGGCATCGGTGGAGTAAATCTGGGTAGATCATTCCCGAGGTCTATCATGTCCATCATCCCGAGGTAACTCGGTGGAAACATTCAGTGGATCTACTGTAATTCGAAGCCTCAAATTTCAGAAAAGATATGAACTTTTTCTAAATTCCAAAAATCAAAAATCAAAAGTACGCGTGGCTCTGAATCTTATTGTTCCTTTATTATTCCTGGCTGGAATTGTAAAACTACCGACAGAACACAAACTTCTCACTACAAATGTAGCCAACGCACCATTGTGGGGGCCGATCCGACCGGGAGATGAACGAAGGCGCTTTCCACCTATCCGATCCTTGTCCGAGACCCACAAGTAGCATCGCCCAGGTACCATTGTCCCAGATAAGGTGCTATTCCAAGACAAGGATTAAAACAGCCCCAGATGTAATCCTTGTCCAGCCGAAGTACGGAGCCGAAGCCTTGGATGAACCATCTAGATTCGTTCCAAGGAATAGGAAAAGTGGAGAATATAGGACGGCTCCAGGGGAACTTGAACATTCCGTTCAACATTGCCGTGTGGAACGAGGACCATGCTAGCATTGGAATTATTATCATAGGGGCGAGGTCGGTTCTCTCGGGAATTATCATTCAAATGTGGAGAATCACTTGATAAAAACATCGCTGAGAGTTTAGTCCCCCAGATTTCTTGTCTGAGATTGACTCCTTTATCCTACAAAAAGGAGACCTGTTCGCTCTTTTCAGGAAATCCTTTCGTCGATCCAAGGAGAAACTGTGAATTCATTATACTTTTTTTTCCACCAAGGATGGCTCCTCACTCTTTAATAGCGGGCCTGTTTGGTGCCCTTCTCTTGGCTGGTTCATCCCAGGCCTCTATTCTGGGTCAACGGGTTTCTGATGTTTCCGATGCGGGTGTGCCTCTGTTCAAGAGCGAGACATTCCAATTGACAGAGAAGTCGCTTCGCTCTTTGAAGTCAAGCCAGAAAGAGCTATTTGGATTCCAGAGTGACAGCACCAGCGCAAACGCTGACGCCAGTGGCAAGTGCAGACTCTTGCCAGGAGACAAGGCATGGCCTTCTGAATCCACCTGGTCTGAGTTGGATAGCGCCTTGGGTGGTGCACTCATTAAGACTGTGCCCCTGGCTGCATCTTGTTATCCCTCATGGCCTGAGTATGACAGTGCCAAGTGCACAGATGTTGGTGATGACTGGGAAGTCTCCTACATGCAGTACGTTGAACCTTCGATCGAGAATTGGACAATTTATTAACATCTATTAGTGCTGCGGACCCCGCATCTATCATGTGGCCTCTATTCGAGGGTCGCAGCTGCTTGCCCACTAGCATGAACACTTCATCTACCTGTACCATCGGTGGATACAGTAGCTATGCTGTCAATGTGAGCACTGTGGCCCAGGTCCAACTTGCAGTGAACTTTGCTCGTAACTCCAACCTGCGATTGGTTGTCAAGAACACCGGACACGACTTCAATGGAAAGTCCACTGGTGCCGGTGCTCTCGGTGTCTGGACCCACAACCTGAAGGAGATCGAGTACATCGAGGAGTACAACGGCGCTACCTACCAGGGCGCAGCCGTCAAGCTGGGTGCTGGTATTCAGGCGTTCGAGATCTATGAGAAGGCTGAGGAGCTCGGCTTCACTGCTGTCGGTGGTGAGGGAAAGGTAAATTCAAATCATTCTAAAATTTTGACGTGCCATGCTGATACATTTGTATTCAGACTGTCGGCGTTGCTGGTGGTTATGTCCTGGGTGGAGGTCACTCCCCCATGTCCAGTATGTACGGTCTTGCCGCTGATCAGGTCCTTGCTCTGGAGGTCGTCCTTGCCGACGGTACCTTCACCACCGTAACTGAGGAGACCGACCCCGATCTCTTCTGGGCCATCCGTGGTGGTGGTGGTGGTACCTTCGGTGTCGTCACCTCCGTCATCTCTCGCGTCTACCCCAAGGTCGGCGTCACTGTGTCCACCTTCACCTTCACTACTGGCACAGACGTCTCGGCTGATACATTCTGGGATGGAGTCCGCGCATACTTCTCGCGCTTCGCCCGGTTCGCCGACGCCGGCACCTACGCCTACTTCTGGATTCTGAACCTTGGCGATGACTCTTACGAGTTCATGATGAACCCCTTCTTCGCTGTGAACCACACTGTCGCTGAATTCAACGCTCTCATTGAGCCCTGGGTCAGTGACCTCAAAGATCTCGGTATCACCGTTACCCCCAACTCTACCTACTACGACTCCTTCTACCCCGGCTGGGAAGCCGGATTCCCTCTTGAGGAGATTGGTCTCGTCACCATGATGACCGGAAGCCGACTGTTCCCTCGCGAGAACTTCGACGCCAAGCTCAACGAGACCGTCGAGGCAGTCCGTACCACTGTCGGCCTGGGTCACTCTCTCCTCGCCTTCAACATGAAGACCGAGCTTCAAGACGGATTCCCGGACAATGCGGCAAACCCGGCATTCCGCGAATCTCTCATGCACGCCATCACCTCGTCTACATGGGATAGTAACTCTACTACCGCGGAGATTAACTCCACCATGTACGACCTTACCTACAACGTCCTCGACACATGGCGTGCTACCTGCCCCGAGTCTGGCGCATACATGTCCGAGTCGGATATCCTGGAGCCCAACTTCCAGCAAGCGTTCTACGGAACCAACTACCCACGTCTGTTTAAGCTTAAGCAGCGTTATGACCCTGATGGTGTCTTCTATGCGCCTACTGGTGTTGGTAGTGAAAACTGGAATGTGGAAAGCCTTGATGGTCTTCCCGATCAGAATGGCCGTCTTTGCCGGGTTTAATTAATGGGGAGGATTTGAAGTGTATCTCTTTTCATTCTATTATCTATATTTCCTGATGTGACTTTTATTAATGTCCATCTAATTGTACATTATTATGTGCCAGCCACATTATCTATTGATGTTACATCATGATTGTTTCCTTCTACTAGTAATCCCCTCTATTAGTTCTATCGTGTTGATTGTAACGAAGCCCACAGATCTAGGAATCATTTTGCCTGCGATAAACTATTACTAGTAGATATAAAGCACTGGCACTCAGTTTCACTTCCATGGCCATTAAAATGACTGTAGATCAAGGAGAGAATTCAACCAGTTGGCAACATATGCAGACTCGGATCCTTTTACATCATGCAACACCCCTTACTAGTGCTTCACCACAGTAAACACAATACAAACAAACATCGAATACTGGTACAATTTCAATGCCAGTGACCCCACCTGGCATATCAAACCGTTTCAACAACTTGGAATCTATCACCCCGCTTAAGATCTTTCATATCCGGATAATTCATTGCAATCTGGTTGGTCCGACGATCATCGTCAAGTGTTAACTATCGCAGAAACGCAGAGCGTGGACCTGTCGGTCGCTTCCCCTCATCAAAGGTCGCAGCGCAAGGTCTCCTCAATCCCAATACAATGCGACATTATAATATACCCAGTCGCCATGTTACATGAGCTTGAATTTCTCCGCACATTTAATTTTAATTTCCCGTGCATAATATAAATACATATATCGCCGGATACTAGTCATGGACTCGGTTATGACTCCGACTAGTGCGGGGATTCGGAATCGGTTATCGCCAGTATGAGATTACGGGTTTTTCTTCAAGTTTGTTCTTTTGCCTCGAGTTGGCTCGGTGGTATGCTCCAATAGATATTCAATTGGGATTGGTCCAAGATTGGAATAATTCAATTGACTGCTTTTTGTGTTTAGTTCAGACTCGACTGGTCACTGTTCCTATTGTTCCGTTTACAGAGACCGGGGGCAGTTATGACCTCTCGTCTCTTACGGATATAATTGTTGATTCTCGTTATGTGAATGCAATTGATCATAATGGACAGACTTTGATCCCACCGACGTTGCAGGAATTCGCGGAGACTTTCCAGGAGGATCTGAAGTCGGTCTTGGGACTCGATGTACAGGTCACAAAGGGGTCCACGCGGAAGGCGAACTCGATTTTCCTAACACTGGGAAATCAAACAGCGTTTGTAGATGCTGCGGGAAAGTGGACTTCGGAGGCATATGAGTTGAAGGTGGATGGTAGTGGAGCTGTTGTTACCGGGGCTAGTCCCCTTGGTGCATGGTGGGCGACTCGGTCTATCATTCAGATTGCGACGACTAGTGACTCGGCTCTTCCTAAGGGATCGGCTGTGGATGCACCAGGATGGGGTACGCGGGGTGTTATGGTAAGTCGGCTTTGGTGTGTTATCTCTGGTATCATGCGTTAATTCTTTGATTAGCTTGATGCCGGACGCCATTTCTATCCGGAGGACTTCCTGATTGAGATGTGCTCTTACCTCTCATTCTTCAAACAAAATACCTTCCATCTTCATCTTAGCGATAATCTTTACAACAATGTCGATATCTACTCAAGAGAAGAGTCACTCAGTCTGTATGCTGCCTTCCGTCTTTGGTCAGACGATGAGGCTGTCGCAGGACTGAACCGACGTGCGAATGAATCGTATACGCGCACTCAATTCGACAACATCCAGACAAAATGCGCTCAGCGTGGAGTGACCATCATTCCCGAAATTGAAGCACCGGGTCATGCCCTTGTCATTGTACAATGGAAACCTGAGCTTGGTCTTTCCGATCTGAGCATGCTCAACATTAGCCACCCAGATACCATCCCAACAATGAAGACCATCTGGGGTACATTCTTGCCCTGGTTCCAGAGCAAGGTTGTTCACATTGGTGCAGACGAGTACGAAAGTGGTCTTGTGGCCGATTACACGAGTTTCGTCAACGAGATGAACACATTTATTACCGAGGAAACAGCCGGCACCAAGTCGATGCGTATCTGGGGTACATTCACTCCGGAAGAAGGCGCCAATGTTTCCACGTCGGTCTCAATTCAGCATTGGGAAGTTTTTGAAGACCTGCCGTACTACGATTACATCGAGAATGGATACCATGTCCTCAACTCGGATGACTACGTATACCTTGTTGGAGGGTGGAGTGGCTCATACCCCCAAGTCCTGACCGAGACTAAGATCTTTGATGGTCCATATGATCACGCCTACTCACCCATTATATTTGACGCCACCAACAAAACAGACAACCCTTCTCGGAACAACTCTCTGGTTCTGGGTGAGGCTGCCGCGCTTTGGAATGATTATGGACCCAACGCAACTACCGTGTTGTCGGCATATTATTCTTGGCGAGATGCTCTCCCGGCTCTTGCAGATAAGCAATGGGGTGGAGACATTACCGCGGATGAATACGATTCTGTCTTTGATGACCTACATGCCGCAGTCCCGGATCAGAACCTCGATCGCGCGATCGAGAGTAAATCCGATACCATCTTGCACTATACCTTTGAATCTAATTCAAAGACTGTGACTGATAGGTCTGGCAACGGATATGATGGCACAGTTCACGGGTGCAAGATCGCAGGTAACAGTCTCCACCTGGCCGACGGGTGCTATGTCGAGACACCTCTAGGCAGCAAGGGAAGGGACTACACCCTCTCGTTTCGTGTTAAGCCCACATCCCACATCCCCGGTACGCTTTTTGCGGGGCCAGACTCTACTTTCGTCAATGGCAATGGCACTATTACGAACACAACGCTGATCAGTGGCAATAATCCCTACTCGCTAAACTATACTCTTCCTCTCAACACATGGACGGATGTGAGTTTAATCGCGCAAGGCAACCAAACTTTCCTGCAGGTTTCCGAGGGATCTTCGTCTAAGACGATGGAATTCCTCACGCGCATCGGGGTGAACGGGGACTCTCTTGTGTGGGCGCCTATTGCAGTGGAGGCGCCACTAACGCGGATTGGCGAGGGATTTACTGGGTTGATGCAGGATATCGTGTTGAAGGGAAGTGCACCAGAGAGTTGAGACAGAGTATTCATATTCGGCTCATTCTCATGCATCACGAAACTATGATCGGCTATTCTTCCTCTTATTCGTTTATCTTTCCTTTTCTATACTATTCTATACTATAACATAACAACGCCCACTCGGGTATTATTACCTCTTCATCCCTCTTCTCTCCCGCTGCTCATGTGCACCTATGCCAAGACCTATCTAAAACGCTCGCTTAAGCAACTCCGTCACAAAGATGTACTAGATAGCCAAGAATTTCCTGTAGCCAAGACTGAGGTTATATCCTTTCTACCCTCGTGGGTCACGGTCCCCGCATTCCGTGTCGATATAGCCGTTACGCCATCAGGCCGAGATCACCACAATCCGGACCCCCGCCGGACCCTGGACCCTGAATCTGCATCAGAAGAGTCTCACGAGGTAAAAGCCGTCCATAGATTCATCAGGAATAATAATTCAAAATAGAAGAATATTTTCGTATATTCATATACGATGCTTAGTCATTCACTGCTTCTCCGCATTCGTCCTTATCACCGCAGCCCCTAACCAATCAGAGAACATGACGCGCCACATGCCACAGTTGCTGGTGATCAGCGAACTAGAAACCACCGACGGGGGTTTAGCCCGGATGCATCACCTTAATTACCTTCTCTTCCCCCAATTTCTCTTTTCTTCATGTCATGAATTCAATTCTCAGGGGGACATCACCATGAAGTCCGTTGCCAGTTTGGTCTTGTTCTCCTCGTTAGGTCTGGCCCTGCCTATCTATGAAAGTACCTTAATAAAGGGTACGAGGACGATAGAGGGTCTGGACCCTCTCCAAAATGATGTCACTCAGACAAGGACAGAGCACTTGATCCTAAGTCAAGGGCAGACATCATGGCAAGATATGGAACCAAGTCCAGCATCAAGATCAGAATACCCAGGACCGAGTTTCCAGGATTACGACCAAGATCGACAGGAACAGGAACTCGCCTTCATTCGATCCAATGAGAAGGAGTTTAATCTCCCAGCCAGAATCTCGAAATCATTTCCCACTTCTACAAAACAAGCTGAGCGAGGACCACTGGAACTGTCGAAATCCACACAACCGAAAACTTCCTCGTACGGCGTCTTCCTGGGGAAATGGTTACCATTCAAGAAACCTTACTCGGAAAAACACTGCCATCGCACTCACTATGATCCCAATACCATGTCCGATTCAAACCCTTCACAACCGGATTCTCATACCCTCGCATATCTCAAACCCCTGGATGTTTTAGACGTGATGGAAAGTTATGGTCCCGAATGCGTGGGTCTAGCCATCTTCGTCCTTGTTCCAATCGCATACTTTGTTCTTGAACTGTTAGAACTTGCGATCAAGTACTTTATTCGTGAGAGGTTTCCAGAGCGAGGGCGGGATCGAGTTCGTCTGCTTGGTCCGGAGAGACAGTTAAGGGCCTTGGATGATCTTCAGAGAGAGAAGACCGTTGGCGATGAAAGATGGTGGTATGTGCGGCAGCCGAGGGGATGAAGTTGGGACTTTCTTTTTATTTTCTTTTCGTTCCTTTTCTTGATACGTGATACCCATTTAAATGTTCAACAGCAATTCCCTATGTTCAAGTCCTCTGATTTCTTAATTGTTGCACACTCAACTGTACGGCTCTTAACTTGGAAGCCAACTAAATACAGAAAGTACTATTGTACTATTCCAAGTTCCACTTCTGATCATCACATGGACTTCCTAAAATAACAGCCTGATTTCCGGAGCTTGGAATTGGAGACCTGAATAAAAAGTGTGGCCAGCGAGACAACAGATAAGTTGAACATCATGCTGGTTAGACGACCACGCAGCAAGAATAGTTCGTGGTGTCTATTCCTTCCGCAAGCAACCGTCGGCCAACTCGCTAGCCGTTAGCGATCCGTCACAGTTGCCAGTGGCAGTGTCTCCTCCACCGTAATTGTTTCGTGGAAATACGACTCCGTTTACACAATTGCCAACGTGAGTAGAGCAGCCAGAGATTGCTTGAAAGCGTGGCAGGCGAAATAACGAAGGTATAACGGTCTGCTCGCTATATTTGGTAAAACAGTCGAGGACCTCAAGTGCCTTGTCCCTTTCATGTCTGTGATACCAATTTGGATCACATTCTTAGATCTAACATCGAATTCCACATTGATATTCACAGCTTGAGAAGCCAGTATCTCAGCATTGCCGGTCTTCATTTGTATCAGTTTATCCATGATCCTTGCGGGAACAGAGCATTGTTGATAACACGCCTTTTCAAACAGACTTCTCAACTCATTCATCTCGATTTCATCTAAATCGGTCCTCTTCTCCTGTGTAACCTGCGTATGTTTGTACAGCAGGACATATGTCGACAAACCCACTCTCTGTGCCCTTTCACGACACATCTCGTCCAGACGTAGGTATCTCTCTCGTGGTCCAGTGCATGTAGACGAGCCGTGACAGTGACTGGAATTTCCGGGCACAATTGTAGTCATTCGCTCTCGGGCAGTTTCATCAACTTAAAACTCGAAGTAGATTGGCGACCAAGCTATGAAGTGATCATGGCAACGAGACTTTGTGCCTTTCATATCTACGATGCCAATTTGAATCACCTTCCTAGATTCGATAGTGAAATTCCAGATCGATATTCACAGCATGGGAGGCCAGTATCTCAGCGATTCTAGACTCCATTTGTGTCAGATTGGCCATGGTTTTTGCGTTGGCGAATCAATATTCACAGGCCGGTTTTTCGAACAAGTTTCTCAGCTCATTCATTTATCGCGGTTTCGTCGAAACCGACAGGAGGTGGCTTTCAAGCTATGAATTGTTGGTAGCAACACACTTGCCCATCCATAAATGTCTTATACAAATCCTTTGACTGCATATCTCTGGATCGGTTGTTGCTTCCAAGAAACAAGATCTCGAAAACTCGTTAAACATGTGTCGCCTATGACAAAGTCTACGTTGGGTCTTCAACCAGATACTTTTTGACGAATTCTCACAATAGAATACTCCGGTCTCCGATGTCATCTCCGTGCTGTTTGGGTATCTCTCTGAGCTCATCAATAAGTCTTCGCGGACTCTGAGTGTGAAGTTCATTCCATCATCTACGCAGAGTCGCTGAATTTTAGGAATTAGCAGTGGCATCTCATCGAACTAGACAAGCAGGTAGGAATCAATGCTGGAATTTCCAAAGGTTTCAAAGCCAATTGAAGGGTATGTAGACGTATTTTATAGCGAGGACCGATCTCTGCGAGTCTCCTCGAGCGGCTCCCTTAGCGGCTCCATATCCCGAGGTCCGTGGTGAGTATATTTGTGTACGATGACATGTGCCACACCTAGGGGAATGAGAACTTAGTCAACATGTCCATCTGATAGGACTCCGGGGGAAATTTGGTCCCAAGTCCGGCAAGCTATGTACAGGATCCGCCAGTTGGAGAGAGCTGGACAGAGAAAACAGGGAACTTCGGGAAGGTCGGCAACTGGCGGGACTGTCCTCTCCAAATATCCATGGACCAATATGGCCAACCCAGTTCGGCTCATCAACGATAACAGCGCTAATGTAGTGAACGCATGGCAGCTATCGAGAAACTTCTAAAAAGCCTAATAGAGGCTCTATAGATAGACTGGGCCATGTATGCATTGATGACTAGGTAACCATATAATCCAACAAGCGAAATCTGGATAGCAGCCTCCAGGGCTGTTTGTTCTTTCTGGAAGGGCCATATACTGTGGTCAGCGTGGGATAAAGTCTGATATTCAGACCCAGCCTTGAAGAATGAGAAATGAAGGAGGTGTCCAAGATATAACCTTGAATATGGCAAGGTTAAATTTGCAATCTATCACAGTGATTGCTGTGGCTTGACTCGTCTCGCTCTCTGGGTCTCTATGACCATTCTCACTCTTCCCTGGTATCCAGGTTCTGGAAAAACGAGTCTACCAGGCTCATGACCGAGAGTAATTTCAGGCTCTTATTCCATGGCAGACTTTCGGCAATCCTTCCTTGTCTCCTCGACACAACTTGGTTGCAGGCTCAGCAAATGCAGGCCAAGTCTGACCTTAATCCATTCTTCACTTCATCGATAGAGATCGGGATTCTGTAGGGGTCCGAGTGAGAGGTCGTACCTCATATCTACTTGAAAGTCCTCAATCGCTTTGCTTAGAGTAAGTTGTTGGCCATTCTGAGTGTCCCTAGCATCGTTTTTGGGTATTCTTACCAATAAATCAGGGATTTCAAGTTTTGGCCTCACCCTCCAGAAGGATCTCAGGTCTATGAGACTTGAAAGGCGATTTGGATTGCGTAAGGGTCAAGTTTACTTCAAGTTCGCCATTTTTTCCCTCCCCATGCGACGAGCTGTGATTGGACTACCAAAACATCCGAGGTGTCATCTTCAGCGACCGCCGATGCTATCGACCCATTTTGGGATTTAGGCTTATATAGCAGGGCTTGCACTGAGCTTCAAGCTGTTGTAGTGTGGGGTTACCTAATAAGGTCTCTTCCCAAATTTTGTATATCCCATAGCTGCATGATGAAGGCAACCTAAAAAAAAGGTACGCGGTTAGCACGAGACTATCTGTGGAGTCGTACTTACATACCGAAGTGCTTTTTTCTCTTGATGAGAGTCTCTGGGAACAGTTATGAGATCCGAGTCCAAGATACCTGGCTATTATTTCGAATTTGGTAATAGCCACTGCCAGTGCTTTAGTTGCCTGTGGCTCCGGTGGCGGATGCGTACCGTCTGCACTGTCGCGGTCAGTGCCGAGGTGAGCAAGATGAAGCCTGATTGTCTTGACTTAGGCATGATTCAGGATCCCAACGAATTCTCCGGCAACCTAGTAAAGTCCTGGGTATTGGTCCACTATTATGAAAGAGGCATCATACGCGAGGCTTTGTGGAACTCATCCTCACGCAATACTAGCGAGGATGTATCGCTGCTCAGCCGCAGAAGCTTTTCTCTTTCACGGACAACTTTCGTTCATTGACGTCGTTTCGTTGTCCAGCTACCATCATCCTTCAAAACCTGTCCATAGTATTCCCTCTCTTTGAGGAGTAATCTGAAAATTTTGGTGCTTGAGCTTTGAGCTCATGTCTTTCGCAGACGAGTAGAAGATCACTGAACTCCTCTGTAGTATGGCACCTCGAAGCTGTTAACTTTGGAGAGCTCGTTGATGAAATTTGATCAGGGTACGTTATGTACAAGGGAGTCCCCCTAGTCAAAGACTGACTGCTTCAAGTTCCTGTCATTTTGGATGTTCTGGCTAATCGGTAGCTGTAGCTACCTAGAGCAGCGTATAGTGCTGCTGTAAGATGTCTTGTACTGCTCTCTCAACATCTGAGCGATCAACTCGTTATTATTGTGAATCATATATTCCACACACCGTAGCAATATCTCTCGTGATTTTGAGCTACTGATTAGGATGTGTGAAGTATCTATCATTGTAGCATCGAAGAGTCAACGACATCGTGGAGGGGAAAGTCTGGGGAGATACTGCTAGTGCCAGCCGAGTGGAGGTGTGGTAGATCTAGATGTTGTACTTCTGGTTGATGAAATCCCCGGTCAAGGTTTACCAGCTCTTTTGATCATTCGGCAGGCTGGAAGAAGTGAAATGGATGAAGGTACCCCACTGGCACGCTAGAAAATGAATATATAGAGGTTCCAAATGGAAGTTTCCGATTTCCGGGTGTTGAAGGAGTCTAACTTGGAATTCCCTGACTTTATTATGAATAATGATATCAGAAGCGGTGAAGACTTTTACGAAAATTATATCCGAATGAAGGATATTATCACAAACGAAACATAGGAAATAATTAAAAACAATCTAATGGATCCATGAGGGTAGAGCCTCAGGCTGCGTTATAACAAGAAGTCAAATAACCTCCTTCTAAGCATCCAGCGGTATTATCATGTCAATGCTTAGGAATCCGCATCAACCTGAGTGCTAGCAGATTTCTTAAGACCATTCTGCATAGCATTGAGATGCTCCCACTTATACGTATCCTCACCCAGACTCCATGCCATAATGCCGCCCAGCTTCTTCGCATCAACGATCTGCTCGAACTTGCGAGCGATGAGGTCAGGGGTGTCCCAGCTCCAGAAGATATTGTAATCAGCATCCCAGTAGTATTGACCACCAAGATTCTCGTCAGTCTTGCCATCCTTCTGAGCACGGCGCCATGAGTCGGTGATAGAGATTCCCTTGCAATCACCGTAGTCGGAGAGACATCCTGCCTGGCAGAAGTCATCAGCAGTACCACTGCAATATATGTTAGTCTTATAGACGATAAAATTATGGATTTTGGTTAATAATCTTACCAGTTGCCGTAGGCGCTGCAGCATGATCCACTAGGACACTTGGTCTTCTCGTCAAATCCACACTTGCCGTTCTGGCTGGTAGTCAGGTTCGCAGGAGCAGGTGAAACAGCGCTAGCCTCGAAAGTAAGAGAGCCAGACTTTCCATTATCACTTCCATCGTCGTTCTCCAGCTTCACAACTGCACAGCCGATGGGGTGGGTATCACAGTCAGAGTTGGGGTCAGTGGTGAACCACTTCGCGTAGTAGGCAAATCCGAGGTTGATCTTATCAGCTTCGAGACCCATATCCAGGTACTCGTTGATCACGTCCAAAGAGTCTTGCACACCAGTATGGTGATTTGTCACATTATCACGGCGGTTCATCAGGTCATAGCTCATCACATTGACCATGTCGACGGATTCCCAGATCTTGGGCCCAGTCTCATTGGTGAAGGCAATCATATCCTGCTTACGGCCAGGGACCGCAATGGAGAGGACCTTGTCGTCACCGATAGCCTTGCGCACGGCTGCAAGGAACTCGGGATAGGTTTCTATCTCGGAAACCTTTGCTGAGTTAGGAACTTGCTTATAGTCCTGTCCGTTACCACCAGGGTATTCCCAGTCGATATCTGTGTGCGTTAGAATGACCATCTCGAAACTCAACTATTCCGGGCGGGTATTTCACTTACCAACACCATCAAATCCGTTGGCATCCAGCATGGCTGCCACATTCTTTGCGTAACGCTCCATGGTAGACGCGTCCTTTGCTGCAGCGGAGAAGCCAGCCTCGTCACCCCAGCCGCCAATGGCAATCATGAGCTTGGTGTCAGGACCGAAACGCTTACGAAAGCTGGAGGGAGATTCAAAGGGAGTAAAGGATGCTGGCGGGTCGGAGTTGAACAACTCTGATGGGGCAAATGCCATGATAGCATGGTCGATTCCTGTCGTTTTGTCTGTACTTGGCAGGTCTGTGACATGATATCTAGTGGTGATTTGTTAGGCCATCCCGAAGAGCGTTCCTGCGATGTACATACTCGTCAATATACATGGCAAACCGCGTCGCGGCAGCACTTTGGACGGCGAGAAGGCCCAGGGCAAGATTCTTCAACATGTTGAAACGAGTGTTAAGAGGCCAATGCAATAATTAGACAATATCAATACCGGAATGAAGGACAATGCCGCAAAGAATACCGCCTGTCAATGCGAGATAGCAGCTCCAACCTGCAGGGCAAAGGGGCAAAGAAGATAACAGGAAGCAAAGGTCGACTCGCGAGAGAAGCGCCGGAGTTTGTATATAGTCCTTTAGCATAGAGTTCGCGCAAATATGCCGAAGATGATCATCGCCAAAAGAGGGCGTGTTCGGCCGAGGAGTACAGCATTGGACCCCATCATCTGCCATCTAGAGCATGTATAACATCCCTGCGATTATGTGGGACCATATTCAACAACCTCATGGAGCGATCCTGGAGAAGGGCGCCACTGCCGAAGGAGTTGGAATGTCGGGCAAGGCGCCTATTTCTTAGCCCGAGGTCGAGTTTTCGAGCGTTTCTTACCATTTCTCAGTTTCCAGGTGATTATAATTAGGTCATAGGAGCACTGAAATCGAGTTTTCCCTCATTGGGAGTGATAGTCTAGGTTGATCGTACGGGAATCAGGGTTCACCCGCATACCAGATCTACAGCATTCATATCCCTCTCTCACATTCCTCCAACCTCAGATATTTCATCTCCTGTGGGCCATTTCCCAACAGTATGGTTCGCATTTCATTGCTCTGGAAGAATCGGTCTCGCTGCGTGGGTGTTCTTGGCCTGGAATGGTTGGGTTGCAAAATCTGGGGAGGTGGCCCGACGGGTAAGCGTGTTCATTTGTCCAATGCAATAGTAATCTAGGGGTATAAAGAAGAAATTCAAAGCGCCGAATCTATAGAAGAACGAAGGAGAGATAGCGAAAAGACAGTGTCTTAATTCCAGTGTCGTCGGATGATAGGCCTAGCTGGATCCCATGGTCCGATGACCACATTTTTGTACTTCTGTAGGCTGATGAGCCACCAACTACACCCGCCCATTGCGAATGCAGTCAGAATACTGCCTAGGACAGAGCCAATTATGGCAGATGCCCATCCCCCACTCAGGGTCATGCCAACAGCACCCCCAGCAATGAAGACCAAGGAAAGTGTCAGCATCACATGGCCTGTCCATGACTTCTGTCTGAGTTGGCGACGGAATATGGGGAACAAGCCAAAGACTTCCATTGAGAAGAGCATCAGGCTGAACACGTGAGTAGTTGAGGGTAGGCGAGAGGCAAGCACGGTAGATGCCATCACAGCTGCATTTGTAGATAATGATGCTGGAAACTTCGTGGTGGCGCCTGCGCCCTCGCCGCTCCCGTAGTCAAAAGAAAAGATATTCATAATTAAAAGCCAGCAACTTAGTGCCCAAATAGAGTCACTGGCTGTGGACTTAGTAAGGGACTTCAAGATGGGACTAAGTCCCAGCAAAGAGAAGTAAATCAAGAAGGCAGACTTCACAGTGGAAAGGCGTTGACGATTGCGCGAGGAGAAAAGCGAGCGGCTATCCGAATCCTCTTCATCTACACTGTGAGGAGCTGAAGATAAAGATTCTCCAAGGCCCGAAGTCGCCTCCGATCCATCGAACGTTCCGTTTATCTCATTGTTCCGTCGCGGAGATGGCTCTTTTGACTCACTTCCCGACATTGTAAGTCCAAGCCCAAGGCCATGGATCGGACTAGTCTTCGAGCCATTCGCCTGTCCATCGCCTTCGACCGGATTGAGAGCACTTGTCATAGAACTCGAGCTAGAGCCATCATCACCGATAGCCCCATTCGCAGCCTGTGACAGTTCTGTATGTTCCTTCCAGATCCAATTATCCCAAAGAATCCACCCCATGGCTGTGCCGACACTACCCCAGCATACAATCGAGACGGGGCTCACTCGGTCCTGAACGATTCCAACAAAGCAACACACGAAAATAACAACTGAGCAGACATGTTGCACGATGACCGTGGAGTCGGATACAAGGGGCCAGAAGTCATACGGTCGCACACGGGGGTTTCGCTGGAGATGATCCAAGAAGGTCTCGGTATCGGTGTAATTGTCCGGGTCTATGTTGTCGTTAGTATAAAATGCCTTTTACTCGCACAATGACACAGCTCCAGGGAACAAGAACGGAGACATCAGTGTGTTCTCAGAGCACATACAAGACTGTTTCACCCAAAGTAACTTCTTCCAAGCTCCCTTCCGCCTCCGTCGTCCACCCGTACTTCCTAATTTCCGCGGTTCCTTCCCCCCGAATCCAGCACTCCACGAGGAGGTCGTAGGGTGCCATCACTGCTTAAAGACCGAAGACTTTCGTCGTAGTTCACCGGCGCAGAACGAGCCCTGGCGAGCGATGGTGCAAAATAGGCATCTTCGGGCGCCAAGCGATTCGGATCTGGGATGCGATCTAACTCAGGAGGCTGGGTGCGGTTGGGGTGTGTGTCCACAGGGATAGGTGGAGGGATTGGAGAGTGCGATGATGGTGGAGAATTCATCGGAATTTTGGTCTTAGCATCGAAGCATGGTGATTATTCTGAATGAGCGACTGGTACTTCGAAGGTTCTCCTGTTGATGATGAACTCTAGGACTTACTAGTAGATGCGGGTACACGCAATCTGGGGGAAATGGGGTCACGTGGTATGACAGCCCTGGATTTGTATGAAGTGCCATATAGCTTCTATTACGGATTCACGGTGGTTACTTGTATATTCCTGGGAAATGAGTAAGAATTTAAGCTTCAATTCAATTTAGGCTCCCAGACCATCCTCCTTTTTTTCGAGTTTTTTTTTTCTGTTCTCAACTCTTTCTGCCCTCTTTGAATACATTCTGCCTGATCCATCGATTCACGAAGAGCCCGGTGTCACTTCGACAATCAAATCCCCATTCATAGGCACAGGACGTCTTTTAAGGTCATCGCATAGTAGCATGAATACAACCTCGTCATTGACAATCCAACGAATTTCATGCGTTCCGGGGATCTTGCATCGGAGAGGCATATCTGTGCGATAACTGGAGCCGGTTGCCTGATAAAACACATAGGCTGCTTCAAATAAATCTGTCGCATGCAGTGAGGTGTTCAAAGGGATATCAAGAAAAGCATCTGTGTTCGCTTGACGTAATCGAAATCGGATCGAGCGAGTAGATGAGGTCGATGACATCAGAGACCATGTTGATGTGCTCGATGGGATTAAAGGAGTTGACCGCATTGATGAACCAGTTGATGACGGTTGTGGCCAGCGGAATGTGGAGCTTGACGGCAGAGAAGACGTTGGTCGGGCCGATGAACTCGATGGCATCGAAGAGCTCGGCTGGACGCTTAAGCTCGATGGGCCTGAAGAACTCCGCATGGTTGATGATGTCGACGGAATAGAAGGCGTTGGCCGGGCAGATGACCTCGGGGATGAACGATAGCTTCGGCGGGATGTTGCCGGACGATGGCTGGAGGAAGTTCGGCTGTAGCTTTGACTGGGAGGTGGCATCCGCCGATCAACGGAGGCCGTGGAGGTGGAAGTCGTAGAGGAGGAAGTCCTGCTTCTCTTTGCAGGCGGCTCAGAAGTACTCGCGGCCCTCCGGCCATTTTTGGTGCCAGTATCAACTTTGATAGCAGGCTTAGATGATCGCGAAGGCTGCGAGCGCGCTGCAGAATACCTCAACGGGGCCGCGGGCTGGGTCCCGGGCTCGGTCTTTATGGTGACGGATCTTTCGCGTGATTGCGACATTTCGCAGAAACCAATTGGAATTGCAACAAGTGATGTGATTAGCTTGCGATATCCAATCTGGATAACGCAGGACTGAGAATCAAATCCGAGTTGCGAGCCACGCCAACCGGTAAGGTAAACCCACGCGCGCTTTCGAACTTAGCTTGAGCAAAGGCTTTAGATCACGCAGGGAACAAGAAATTCGAGGTGAAGAGGTGTGTTCTGGACGAAGGAGAAGTGGGAAAGGGGTGAGAAGGCAAGAGCGAAGAAGAGGAAGAGGATGATGGAGAGGAAGGGGAAGATGGAGAGGAGTAAGAAGTAGAAGGTGAAAACATATGAGAACCACATGGGTAGTGGATGGTTCCCTCACTTTGCAATATGATTCCAGTATGAAAAGGGCAATAAAATCGAGTTCTTGACGTGAGATCTAGTGAATAGGCATTCCAACGCCATGTCAAAACGCGGTCATGATGTTCCTTGGTAGATATCTTCTAATATTTTCCATTGATCTCTAAGAGATGCAGGGGTATCTCGTAATAGTCTGGTAATGATAGCAGCCATGTTGCTCAAAAATGAGATAACAATAAGGGCTGAAACTGCAGCTGGTTATTTGATCTGTCACTCTGACCAGCCCAAGTTGGGAACTGGCAGAGATGACAAACCATACATAGGGGTATCTTGATACTTCCGAAATAAAAATGCAGTAAAACAACGACTGGTCTTACGCCGAATCAGCAGAATGTTGATTCAACACGCTGTTGACGACGTTCTTTACCGCCTGCGGTGTCGATACGTCGTCAATGCTGTTACGTCGACCCCAGTTTTGAGGCTGTCGACGAATGAACGCACCAACGGCTCCCAGGTACCCCTCATGGCGCAAGAAATATGCTTGCTTCTCTCCCTTGGACCAGAAGCGAATTGCATATGAGAGGGTATTCATGGTTTGCCGATGGCCGCGGATAAATGAGCCACCGAAGTAAATGTGCTTCACCTGGTGCTTTTCGGACTGTAAATAGGCAATCTGGCCGATGTTGTTGCTGCTTCACGTTAGCTGGGCTCCAAACAGCTAGCAATATAATATAGTTAGTGCATACCTGATAGCATAAAGAAGGCTTCGGCTCATGTCTTCGTGGCGGAAATTGACCCCTCCTCCGTTCATGTGTTCGTCGTCGTTGATCAATCCCTCGCCGTCTTCGGCACCTCGCTCAGCAGCATTCTTCAGTCTAAAGACCTTGCCAAAGGTGCTAGCGATGGCTGTACTCTTGAGCCCGATCTTGCTGTAGTCCATGCCGTAGATGTCTCCGACCAGCATGTCAACTCCACTGTTGTCCCCAACATCCGCCATGGCCAGCATGTCGTCAAAGGTTCGAGCGCCTGTCAGCAAGGACATGATTCCCCAGAATGTACCACCACCCAGGTGAGTACCTCCAACACGTTCGAATTGTCTTGGGCCAGAGACCTTGATCATGGAGACACCTGAGCCTATGTTGACTAAGAGGTAGGGATAAACATCCGGTCGGGCCTCGGCAAATTGCATCGGTTCGGTATCAGAATCGGAGTCGCTGTAGGTGAATACCTCATTGGGGATTTCGGTGATGAAGAAGTCCAAGCCTATATATGTATTAGTTTGATGTTTCTGAATAATTATGTGCTCCGACATATCTCTGCCACATCAGAGGTAGGAACTGACCTATGATCAAGCATTCCATTTCTTCTTCGCGGAGGATGTTCACATCAAGGGCCTCCTTCAATTTGTCATAGAATTTGAAGGCACCTCCTCCGGTCGCTACAACACATAGGCCATCTTGAGTCGAGCCATTTCGTTTTTCATGTTCTTCTTTCAATTGACGGATGAAATTGATGCAGATATCGATCCGATGGGTCTCAAAGTTGATAAAATTGAGTCGTCCGCCGTTATCCGCTTCGTTCAATTCACGTGTGAAATAGACCAGCTTGGCCAGAGATCCGCCGATCTGCACAAAGATGATTGTCAGTTTCAATTGTTCAATTATTCGTTTTTATTCCTTTGTTATCTTGATTTTCGGTCTTTTCTTTATCCTGTGATGCTTTGGATTGCGGGGTGTTGGTCGCTAGTGCGGGGCACGCCAGGCCATAAAAAGCTATACAGCTTCAGGGATAGCAACTCACATCAACAGCCACATGGCTCACGACACCGGTATGATGAGGGAGACGAATGTCTTTGTTTTCATAATGAACACCATCAGCTTCCACAGGGCTTCTGGAACGAGGTTCATCGTCGACAATGAAAGCACCGGTGACATTGATTTTCACAGCACCAGGGTTTGTGATAGCTTCCTCCAGACGACTGCGACGCCCATCCGGCTCCACGGGACGATCAGAGGAAGCCATGATGATTGAAGAGAAAGGAGAGAGCTTCAGGATGTCAAGGTCAAGGCCGAGATGGTCCCGTGCCCACGCTTACCGCGTATATTTCCTTCTACCCGCAGCTGGAAGGGGGATCCACTTCACCGGAAATCTGACCAAACGATGCCGAGGATGAGATGTTCCAGCTTCCGAGGCTGAGTCCATGGTGGGACTGCCAAAGCAGGGGCCAAGTTCGGGATTCGGATATACCATATTCCGAGTTTATCCGAGTTTATCGCAAACCATCGGATCTCGATGTTTATACATAGGACAAGAGAATCTATGAACAATTATTCAATTGGAAAAGGAACATCCGAGTCTATCATGATTTAAATACAATTTTATCGCATCCTCTTATGCCCTAGAAATAATATTTCATGACTCGGACATCTGGATGATTCAAGCCTGAATTCAACTTGAACTTGAAGTTGATACTAATTGTTCCCATATATATTGCACGGTCTACTAGAGCGTGCCCAGGTCAACGCCGACCACCGCAGGCTCCGAGTCCACCAGCACCTGGGCAGTTCAAATGTTGACTATATACTACCTTAACCTACTACATAGTATGTAGGAGTACTAGTAGGTACTACATACCTCCAGGGCTATGTAGTAACTTGAACTATACATAGTACCTCAGCCCTGGAGCCCTGGAGGCTGAAGCTGGTCTTAACCTTCAATGTTGGAAATTACATAAACTCATCAATACCTATACATCCTACATAGTTCCAAGGTTCTGAATCATGATGGATCAATAGTATGATCATTCAAATGTTACATCAATACTACCTAGGTATATATGTATACATGTGTCACGGTATACCCTCAACCTTGGAAGGGCTAGAATACTGAGGTTCTAATAATATCTGAAAGGTAGATACAAAAACTTGAACTATGATCCAACATTTTTTGAACCTCCAGGGCTTCGAGATGATGTTCATGAATTGGAAATGTCCATTGATATATACATGCACGCTATGCTCCACTGTGCATCACCGGGACATGATGTTTCATGATGTCGTCGTCTGCATGTACAAGCATCTGTGGACTCAAGTGCTGGTATCATAGTCTTGGAACTTCAAGTTCTGCCTACTAACTAGTACTAGTAATGTGCCAGTGCTCTAGCCCTGGAGGGGACTGGTAGTATATACTAGTAGTACACATGGATTTAACTTAAACTTCAAGTTGAAATAGATACCATTTGGGCATAGCAATCCATCGACATCCTTGGAAGGTTGAGCTGCAGATCAAGATCAGTAATAGGAAACTGCAACTGATATTGTTATAAGTAGAAAACTTGAATACTCTCACTGTAAGTGCATATGTTTCCCTTCAACAGATTCAATATAAAAAAATATGAAATCCATATATTTCATGATATCAAGCTCAAAGATATACATGTACCTAGGTATTGATTTAAATATAAGCTAGAATAATTATTACGTAGTCTGATTGCCTGGAGTCATCTTTTCTCTTCAAGCTCACATAAATATTCATACCATCTCTTCAAGCAATCAATGAACTGGTCAGTTAAATGGTAGTGCATGGTGATCTTTGGACCAGTTTCCCCAACATAGCAAACAGGAAGGAGCCTCACTTTTACCTTGGAGCCTACCACTGTTTACCTTTCTCTCTTCTTTTCTTTCTTCTTCCTTCATCCACCCTTCTTTCTTTTCCCCACCCTCTTGTTTACCCCCCATCAAGTGGTTGTCGTCTTTCGGGTCGACTACCTCTTGCTTACTTGCCCCCCCCCCCCAACTCGACTGTCTGCTTCCAGGTAGACCGTCATCTCTTCCAGACCCGCGTCTCACTATTTGACGCGTGGTCAAAAACTTTCAGATTCAAGTTCTAAATCTCAAAAAAAAATTCTCTCGGCTCTCACGAGACTTCAGCCATGGAGAGTCCCAAGAGCCCTGATCCTCTTCAGGATGTGTCCAACACTCAGGACACTTTCGCTGAGGATGTTCCGACTGACGTCGCTGACGCCAAAAACGATACTGCCGAGAACGCCACTGAAGATACTCAGGACCCTGAGTCTCAAACCCCCCCGTGCGAAGGGTTGGACCGACCCCACACCTTACAACTACGCTGAATATGCCAACCAGAACACCGATGACTGGGCTGGCGCTGCCACTCGCTACGAATGGCAGGCCGAATGGAATGATGAATACGGTGACATTGGTCCTCGCAATGAGGAGCTGGAGAAGCAGCTCTTTGAAGGCGAGCTGATTACACGTGCAGGCAGTCGCCTGCAGGAGTATGTCATCACTCCCAATGAGATCTTTTTTTTGACTCACATTGATACCACGTACTAACTGGTCCATAGATTGAACAACCCTCTTCTTGTTACCTGTGAGAGTGAGACTGATATCTCGGCCATTGGAGAAGTAAGTACACACAAGAGCCCCTCGAGTATATTTGTCCCTCTGACAAACGAAATAGTGGGATGATGCCGGCCTACACCCTATCATGAGAGAGAATGTCCGTCTCTGTCTGTATGACAAGCCTACTACGGTTCAGTCTTTTGTTTTGCCTGCGGTCATGCAGGGCAAGGATGTGATTGGAATTGCCCAGACAGGTCAGTGGTCCATCGTAAATCCACGAGAGTGATTTTCTAATTCCCAACAGGTTCTGGAAAGACTGGCGCTTTTCTCATCCCCATTCTTTCAAAGCTTATGGGCAAGGCTAAGAAGCTTGCTGCCGCTCGTCCTGATGTGACTAAGGAGTACAACCCTGCTGAGGATGGTGTGCGGGCTGAGCCTCTAGTTCTAGTCGTCTGCCCTACCCGTGAGCTGGCGACCCAGATCTTTGATGAGGCTCGTCGACTGTGCTATCGTTCTATGCTCCGTCCTTGTGTCGCTTACGGTGGAGCCCCCGCTCGGTTCCAGCGTGATGAGCTTCGCAAGGGCTGTGACATTCTCATTGGAACCCCCGGCCGTATCCTTGATTTCATGGGCCAGCCTCATGTGCTTTCGCTTCGTCGTGTGCGGTAAGCTTTCCTTCTCAGCTATATTCTCCTTGAAATAAATTTGTTAACGTCAACTCCAGATTCACTGTCATTGACGAAGCGGATGAGCTTTTGCAGATTGATTGGGAAGACGATTTTAAGAAGATTATGTCTGGTGGAGGTAAGGATTTTCCTGATCTCATCAATAGGAAGTTCTGAGAATACTTACTTTTGAGTAGACATGAATGAGGACGACGATCACCGCTACATGATGTTTTCCGCTACCTTTGACAAGGAATGCCGGAAGCTTGCGCGCACTTACCTTGGCGCCAGCCACATTCGTGTGCGTGTTGGTCGACCTGGTAGTTCCCACCTGAATGTCACTCAGACTGTAGGTTCCAGCCTATCCTGAACAGCCCTCAATACATACTAACCCAGCTCAACAAGGTTCTTTACGTCGACGACAATAAGAAGAAGCAGGCCCTGTATGACCTTCTCCTGAGTATGGTGCCTATCCGTACTTTGGTCTTTGTGAACAACAAGGAACAGGTCGACTATGTGGATGATTTCCTTTTCCATAAAGGACTGCCAAGTACTTCCATCCACGGTGGTCGAACCCAGCGTGAGCGCGAGGACGCAATGTATGTGTTGTGGTTAGGCTTTGATCTATGACTTATATTGACAATATCAATAGTCGTTCTTTCCGCTCTGCCAGATGCCCTATCATGGTTGCTACTGGTCTTTCTGCGCGTGGTCTCGATATTGTTAACGTGATGCATGTCATTAACTTTGACCTCCCCAAGGTTCAGCATGGTGGCACCACTGAATACATTCACCGAATTGGTGAGTATCCCTCTCTATTTATTCAAATATCGATCTACTAACATGATCTTGCGCAGGACGTACCGCTCGCATTGGAAATGAGGGTGTCGCTACGTCTTTCTACAATGAGAATGACCAGGACATTGCCACCGATCTTGTCAAGATTCTGATCGAGTGCAACCAGACAATTCCTGACTTCCTTGAAGAATTCCGTCCTGATGAGAATGACATTACCTTTGACGATGATACAGACAAAGATGAGCCCAACTCTGACTCTGAGTCTGACGACGCTGAGAAGGATCACGAGGAGGACTCTGCTCAACAGCAGAGTCCTGGAGGTACGGCTGATTCTCTGTGGGCTTCAAATGAGCCCCAGGAGTCTGGCCAGGCGTGGTAAACTGTCAAGTTGACCAACATTCTCCACCAAAACGCAAGGAGATTGGAGCCGCGGTCGTGAGACTGCAGTTTTTCTTTTCTTTTCTTTTTGTACGGTGGTGCGGTGGTTTTTCCCCCGAGATTTTTCAACAAAAATTCAAAATCAAAATCAAAAAACGAAAAGGAGACTTGGGCTGCGGTCGTGAGGCTGCAGCTTTTTTCTTCTTTTTTTTCGATGCGGTGCGGTGCAGTGGTGCAGTGCGGTGTTGCGTTGGTCTTTTTTCCACTGAGATTTCTGGTTCTTTACTCGTTTTTTCTTCTTCTTAATCTGAGAGTGCATGATCTACGTCGGCATTTCTTGGAGGCAGATTTTGGCAAGAATGGCTTTTCTTTTCAGACTGACATTGTTGGGCACTTTTATTCTCTTGAGAGCTCTCCTTGGAATATGCTGCAGAAAAGTTATTTTCGGTCTTCTACTGGCTGATGATGGTGCTTTTAAATCTCTTGTCTCTGGGCCTTGATATTGTGGTTCTACGGCCTCACCTAGGTTGTGCTATGAAGTCGGTTGTGAGATGTTTTTTTTGGCCTTGCGTCTATCAGTGCCTTGGATCCTTTTTCGTGTACTTTAGCATTCTAATTCTTTCTCAAGAAATTACATTCGTTTACTTTTTTTAACAATGTTCATCTCCAGAGCTACTTCAATAATTCCAAGTACCTTCCAAGATTCTGCATTCCAAGGCTGACATTGACCATCGTGCCTTCTCCAAATGCATAGTACTCGTGATGTTTATCACATCGAGGAAGATTTCAATCTTGAACTTTTAGACTGCCCTCATTCTAGAAATCTTTTTCTCTGAGCTTCTTTCTTGCCATGTCTTTCCGTAATCCTTTAAAATTCTTATGTTGGCTTGCCCTTCCACTACTTCCAGCGGTAACAGGCCATTTCCATGCATACGCTGAGACCCCCAATTGGATTGCTACAAATGGCTACCAATTACACACTCCCGAAAATCAAACTCCTATGCCATCCCTAGTCATTGACACATTTCAAAATCCTACGCACAATGATTTGGGATTCTGGCATGGCTCAGGCGAGAACTTGACCGTTCATCATGAGCCCGGCTTTGTGCGTCTCTTCCCTACGGACCCTGATCAGAATTTCCACACCCAGTTCAACATCCACGGATGCTTCAGCTTGATTCCTTGGAAAAATCAGTTTATACATGTCATTTTTGAAGGGACAGAGGAGTTCACCGTTTCATTGAATGAGCATAATGCCGAATGTTATCCAAAACGGAGTCCATTCCCAGGGGTACCGGATAGCGTACAAGCCTCGCGATACGTGATGAGAAGCCAGCCTTGGCCAAAAAATGACAATCAATCGGATGATAGCTCGGACGCAGGTACACCATCTATGAAAAGGGCCAGCAGATCCAAGAGTCGACAGGAAACGAACGACACAAACGAAACCCCGAGCAAAGGCAGTTGCGAACCTGATCAAGATGACAGCGAAGATGACCCGAGTCATAACCCGACTCATGACCCTAGTCCTGCTTCACCAGAGACGACAGAGCTCTTTATCCCGCTTTCTCACTTTCATATCAACCATAATCGAGTTGTGTCGGTTTCTTTTACGGGGTTCTATACCAATGAGTCTCTCACTTTGCGCCGTGTTGAAATCGTCTCGACTATCCCGGCACCCTCGGTCGTGAATAATTTCTTTCATATACCGGAGAAGATCCCCAGCGGCAAGTTGATTCTCAAGTGTTCTCGTCCTAACTCATTTGCGTTTGGCATTGATGATGGTCAGCCGCAGTATGCTCAGGAGGTGATGCAGATCTTGGATGATGAGGATGTTCGGGTGACATTCTTTGCTGTCGGTGCTGGACTCCGTGATCAATCCACGAACTTTACCAACTTTTATCGAGAGATGTTGAGAAAGGGGCATCAGGTTGCATTGCATTCGAATACTCATCCGAAGTAAGTTGCATTTGGATGAACATGATCAAACCATGCTGACAATCTATAGAATGGAGGCTTTGCCATCCCTGGATAAGATTGACGAAGAGATCGCTCGGACAATACAAGTCTTCCACGATGAGCTAGGCATTCGATGTAAGTCACTCAACTGTGCTTCATGATCAAGGCTAATGATGCACAGCACGATACTTCCGCCCTCCTTTCGGAACTGTCGGTGCTCGTATGCGACAGCAACTCACCTCCCGGATCCAGGACCCCTACATTGTGAACTGGAGTGTTGATGTGGAGGATTGGCTTTGGGCTAATACTTCTACCCCGGAAAACCAGCTGGAAGCATTCTATCGAGGTGTCGCTCGAGGGGGAAACTTGGCTGTGATGCATTTCTTGAATCCATCAACGGTTGAATATCTCCCTCAATTCATTCGACATGTCAAGTCTGCGGGATTGGAGATCATGCGAATTGATCAGTGCCTGGAGGACCCTGATAGCCCATTATTGTGAGATGCCGTGGTAGCTCCTTAGATAGGATGCAGGGTACTCGACCTTATATTCTTATTGTATAGGTTCAAGATTCAAGGTTGAAGTTTGTATTGTTTAGCTGCGTTCACCAAATGAGAATGTTCTGTATTGAAGTCTAGAAATGTATTCTAGAGTGCAAAATTGAGTCTGGTGCGCAGCAAAGCTCCAGCGAAGTCTATGTTAGCCAGACGCCAGTCAACATTTGAAATTATGCGATTCTTCAGGTTTCAGTGCAGCCACCAAGATTGAACATTGCTCCGAGTCCTCGTTCCACGTCCACTTCATGCATATCCCACCAGAGTCAGACAAAGGAGAAAAATTGAAACGAGACACCAAATAGCCTGAGATCCAAAGCCAAATATAATAACACAGGGAGCCAGAAAAGAACAAAGATGACACATTGACGCTCATGCCATGCATAATTGACCCCATCATTCCAATTAATCCAAGAAAAAGAAATCATGACAAACATATAATAAAACAAAACCAAGACATTCTACTCGTTCCAAAGCAGTCGAGCAGTCGTATCGAACCCTGACGAGTCCACATCAAAATATTATAAATGGTCAAGGCCGAGGGAATGAATTTGATCAGTCTCCATAGTCAGGACCAGGACATAATCCACTCTTATCCATCATATGGCGAACCCGGTCCATAACCCACCCGGAAACCGAATAACCGGTCAAGCGCGGATTTCCGAGTCGAGGCCTCGAGCCCGTGAAGCAGACACCATCACGGAAAGCGAACTGCACGCAGGTTTTCTGGGCGGTGCAAGCATCACGACAGTCATCGAAGGTTGTCGCTTGGAGTTGTTCCTCGTCGGCGAGGTTATCCCAGTTTAGTTTTGTTGGTTGAGTAGACATGGCGGGATAGAGCCATTCACGGAAGACATCGCTATGAAGCAAGATACGTTTATTTTTCTATTAAAAGTTAGTATGAATAATCAGAGAAGGGGATATGGAATAGGTAGAAAACCTACCTCATGCCATCGTTTCTGTTCAAACTTCCATAAATTCTCAATATCACTCGATGAGAGATGGTGAAAAGCAACAGCAATAAAACACCACGGTAGACGATACAACTCCTTCGTAAATTCATCCAACTCTCCGAGATTCGAATTCTGCAAGATCGGCCACGAGAAATGCAAATCCACACCCGCATCAGCAAGGACCTTACCCAATACACAATCTCCAGCCCAATGCATATCGGTATACTCATCCAACTCCGCTCTCCTGGCATCATACTGCTCAGACGCAAGTTTCAACGCCGGGTTCGAAAGCATAAATCCCGAACCTCCGTGCGCAAAAATGGTCTCCGCAATCTGTGTCTCCGTACCCAGATATTGAGGTTTCGTAGAATCAAACCGCACCAACCAGCTCAAAAGCGTCGGCCATGAAATATAGGTATCCGCCTCCATAAAGACAAACCACTTCGCATCAGGCTTATATCTCAAAGCCTCCTGCGCCATGGGCAAGAATTTCCATTTATCCAATTTCCAACCTGGGTTATTTGGTTTCCCGATCGCAGAATTCGCCTCATCAGCGAAATCATCTTGTTCGAGTCCCTCTCTCCCGAGAACTTTCAATCGATTGTATAAGTCGAAATCCGGAACGCGCTCTGTGACACCGGTATCCATTGTTCGTAGCGCATCGTGGATCTGAACACCTTGAATTTCTTCTTCAAAGTCTGAATAGATAACGTAGTGTGGGATGCAGCGTAGGGTAGTTGAGAAGTGGATGGGGACTTTTTCGCGCGATTCGGTGACACCTGTCTTCATTACGACCAGGATGTCATCGACACCCGGTAATGGGGGACATAAAGGTGCAGGTTCACCAGTGGTAGAGTCATATTGAGTATTACTGGGCGATTGGGATCGGATTGAATGTGAATTGAACGAGAAGAGGTTGTAGAGGAAGAAGAGGACGATGAGAGCGGCGATAGCGATGAATCGGCGGCTAAATCGTCGGCGGGGAACCATGCTGAGTGGGACTGGCATTAATCAATGCTCTTTCTTTTTTTAAATCAACTTGATTTGGCTGGTTCAATTGCCCAGTGCTGGACAAGAGATCATCCTGAGAAGATAGGTCTCCTGCAATGCGCGAAATAGAGCTGATGAACACCCCCCCGTGCTATAGTGATCGGCTAGGCCGCGTCTCCTTTCTGTGGCTGACACAGCGGGACGCGTGAGCGGTGGATCTGACTCCCCAGGAGTTTTATCGCGGGGGAGGGTCAATGGGGTATTTTAGTCCTTGAGGGGTTCGAAGGGTTTTTTGGTGACAGGAGGGAAGTGAAACTTGATGAATTTGGGAGTTTCCACTTGATGAATTGTGTGACTTTCGAGCTTTCCTGGCTGTTCCATGGATTTGTGGCCCCTTGATCGTCAAGGGATCCCTGCTGTCGATCACCCCTGATTGCTTCGTATCGGAGAATGTAGAATCTGGTCACCTGGGGATCATGATTATTGAAGATAGATAGTAATAAGATGGATGAAATATAGATGTGGGTGGACTCGTAAATAAGCTACTGTCAAAATTAGGCTAATGTGGTTGATGTCACCTTATCGCCACATATTACGACTTATGCAATATGTAGTACATCAACATGCGAGTGTAATGCACCTGCATATTTTATGCACATCGCCGAACAAGAGTATTTACTTTGAATAGATGGGAGTAATGAATATCTGGAATTTTATTAAGTTCTTAGAACTCCGTCAACTTGCACATCCATGACCTGAACCGCTTGAGACATGCAACATATGGCTTTATTATTGTACACTGGGCCTCGACCCATCACTCCTTAGGAGTCTTCTTTTCAATCATCTTGTCATGCAGCTTAACCAACTCCGGAATAATCAGACTTTCGATCTCAATCCCATCCCGAGTCTCATCACTTAGATCCGACACTTCCTGTGTTCGAGGCTGTTGACCCTCGCCCTTTTGGATCTCCGCAAGACCAACCTGGTCCTCCACCCCAGAGATACTCTTACTGCGTCGAGCCTTGGGAACTCGAATCCAACGCTCATGTGGCGCATCTGGTGTGATAAAAACAACCTCCCACTTTCTCGTGGAGAGCAGATTTCCAATAACCAAGTGGTGGGAGTAGCGCTGCAAAGCCGTGCGCGCCTTGTACACCAATAACGAAGGATCAGTCTCCAGCTTGAACGAGACAACCATACTTCCATCGGGAGCCCAACCATCCACTAAACGGTGCAAGAACTTCGGAACAGGATCAAGGTTGACGACCAATTTCTTCTGGCTCCTCGGTGGCTGGATCTCGTTTTCACCTGTGTAGATCTCCTGGGATCCGATGGCACTGCTGTTATCCAGGTTTGCGGGTAACTCTGATGATTGAATCTTATGTTCCGCCATACGGCTTCGGGGAATGAAGAAATCGCTGACAGCAGCAGCGAGGTAGAAAAGCGCATTAGGACCAAGAGGGCGCATTAACTTGGCCATCGCACGCAGCTCGAACATGTACTCCGCGACCGTGGTGAAAGGAAGCAGCAGAAGACGATTATTCCGTTTTGCGTACCGGTACTTGCGAAGAACATCACGCATTTCATCCTGATACTCGCTTCGCACCTGAATGGGGCCATGGTTCTGATTGGGTGAATCGGCGGATGGTGATGCCTCATCCATGAAATCCAGGAAGCAGTTCGTGGAATGGCTGTAATGGCGGGAATATGGCAACAGACTGTACTGTCTGTGTAAAAAGATCACTGCATAGCCCTGCTCCAGGAAATACTCCGCAGAGGTGGCACCGCGGGTACCTGCGGAGAAATTGTCGATGAAACGAACTGTCTGTGCCTCCAAGGGAACAGTTGTTCCACCAGAAGTGACTAGTACGACACGGCGCTTATCTTCTACATGCAAGTCGATGAAGGCACGGGCAAGAGCTTCATGCTTTGGAAGAGCCTTTGGTGGTGGGTATTCATTGAAATAGACGGATTCAGCCTCCGCGGGCTCCATGTCACCGAGCAACGTCATGATGGATTTGCCGACCGGGAAATTGGTAACTCTTGAAACTTTGGAGGAATATGAAGACACTGTGGCTTTGACAAAGTCTTTATTGGATATCCTCGATCGGCATTAAGCTTGGTCGGATATGCAGGGAGGGTCCAGGAGAAAAGAAGCCGAGGAAGCCGCTAATAGTAATAAGTGGGGTGAAGTGGGATGTGGAACGCGGGACGCGGGACGCGACCGAGTCAACAGGCTGCAACCAGCAATCACCCGAGAGAGAGGAATTGCAGTGGGTAATGGTGAAAGTTGGTGAAGAACGATGAATTGGATCTCTTTCAATCTTTAAATTGAGAGAAATTCAGGGGTTCAAGAGTGATTGGTGAGATGTACCCCGCTAGGTATATGCAAGAGATCTGCCTAGTTGCACCCGCTGGCCCGATATCAATCAGTTCACCGCCTGCATATCAGGATTAGGAGTACAGGGTACATCCTATACTATGGAATCCTGTTAGCAATTGGGGTAATGTTCCATTTGTCCGAACATGCTGACGATAGATGAATACGCATGTGCGTGGTTGATTGGCCAATTCAAAATGTTCTAGTTTGAGATTTACAATGTAGTGGTAGTACTGGGCGTTAGTATTGAGCAAAAGAGTCAGTGCTTTGTACTATAGATGTTGGGATACTTCAATGCTGGAATCCTCTTATCGAGTGATGTCAGATCCCCTTGCAGATTGAAACCGTGACGGTACTAGTAATAATTTTCTATCGAAAAAGGGTTGAAGTTAGTTTGAATCTGTATCTTTTCTTTTGGTATTTCCTACTAGTAAGGAGGAGTCATGTATCTAAATGAAGCCCTCTGGGTGGATTGGTCTTGTCTACAGAGTATTGAGTCTTTAATCTTCCGGATTTGCTTTTTTATGGATGTAAGGGGTTTATTAGAGGTGCCACCTTCAACATTACTGAGTAGATATTAGTATGAAATTGCATTGCAGGGGTGGGGTTTCATTAGTATCATTGATGTGGCAGTACGGAGTACTATGGACAAGATGCTAGAATTTACCCTGGCGATGTTGAAATGATCCCAAGATTGTAAGATAATACAGTTTTGACCTCTCTGAATACCTCTGGTGACGACCAATTATAAATTCACATCAGACAAAAACATTATTCAGCGATTGGAGTCTACAATACTCTTGTAGCTCCAAGTAAAAAGACAAGTGGTTGATATGTATGAATAAAATGCGCGTGGCAATAGGACCATTTCACCTGGAATTAGCATATAATTTCCACAGCCCGGTTGATACTTCCACGTAGTATATCTAGCTTCAGATGTCTATGATCTTCATAGCTCCTGTGACAGATCTCTATATATGAACCATTTGAAACTGACGTACATGTACTACTTTCATCCAAGTAGTGTCTTAATTTCTCGATTAGTAAGTTTTGTTTAACTCCAGGGTTTCCATGCTTATAGCAATACGGACTAGTGTTAGGCTTACAATAATCAATGCCAACGTCACCTGGACAGCATTCGGAGCGCCTGAAAATGTTATACAAATCAACTTGCTGAAGGATATAGAGTGCTCCTTGAGCCATCATTCACAAATTCATTTTTATTGATTCTTAAACTAGTGGCCGTTGGACTAACACCTGGTGGGTTTAGTAGATCTAGGTACACCCACCGCGGTTCCATTCCCAACCCGTCTGCCTCGGCCCAACTTTCCTCCAACCTTCAACTCCACTCACCATGTCATTCCTCCAGTATTGTTTCGACAAATGTGTCGCGGTTCTTTTCCGCACCGTGACTGCATTTCTCAGTTACATGAGACGTGGAGCACCCAAAGCCTACCCCGACGAAGTGCGCTATATCCCTTCTCGCGATGCTAGCCGAACCATCAAGGTTCATGTTTACCGCACATCATCTGCCACAGGTCCATCACCGGTTCTGATCAACTTCCATGGCAGTGGGTTCATACTTCCCGTCCATGGCGCTGATGATGAGTTCTGCCGTCAGATGAGTCGGGAGACCAAGTGCACTGTCCTGGACGTTCGATACCGTCTGGCTCCGGAGAACCCTTTCCCTGCTGCATTAAATGATGTCCAGGATTCTATCAACTACGTTCTAGGCCGTCCAGATGAATTTGACACATCGCGTGTCTCACTTTCTGGTTTCAGCGCAGGCGGAAACCTCAGTCTCTCTGCATCTGCCAATCTCTTTCCTCAAGACACTTTCCACTGCGTGATCGCCATTTACCCAGTGACTGATCTCTACACCAACGCACATGACAAGGTTGCTCCCAACCCTCTTGAGAAGAAGCAGATCCCGCCGCGTGTAGCTCGCTTCTTTGATCGCTGCTACGTACCGGCGAGCTTTGATCCTTGCGATCCCCGTATTTCCCCTAGCTTCGCGCCTGTGGATCAGTTCCCGCGCCGGATTCTCATGATCACCACGGATGGTGATACTCTCGCTCCAGAGGCCGAGACTTTAGGCAGTGAACTGGCCAAGCGACCCGGTTCACAAGTTGTCATGGAGCGCATGGTAGGATGCTGGCACGGCTGGGACAAGACTACGAAGCCCGGATCCCCGCAACAAGAAGCCAAAGAGCGGGCTTATCGGATGGCCGTGGAGATGTTGAATGAGTGAGCTTTTTTTCGATTTCTACTGATTATTCACCATCTTACTGCATAATATTAAGGATGGTTGTTTCTTATCAACCCCTTTTTTCTATTGTATGATTGTCTCATATTCCACTGTCTCCGCTTGCCGCGCGTGCCTGACCTGATCCGATCCCGCCAAATCCATGGCTCGCCACACTCCGCGGCTTCTAAACCAACCCTAAGCCCTAGCCAACAAGCACCCAAGGAGAGCCGAAGATGGAGCATAGAGTATGGCCGTTAGCTGCAGGGTTCCCATAATTGCTTGGGGGCCCAAAAGAAACTCTGGAATAGCCCCATGATATGTGCCTAAGTGTGGATTGTAATCAGGGTTTCAAGCTTACCCCGTGGGTCATCACAAGTTTCATTTTCATTTTAAACAAAGAATAAAAAATAAATATCAAAAGGAGAAAAAGCAAAATACAAAATATAAAAATATAAAAATTATAGAAACAAAAGAAATTCATAGAAATGAACAGTGATCGTCACAGATAAAAAAGTGGGCAGTTCCTAGTTTTTAATTAACTGGTCATCTCACACCCCTTCGGTTTGGTGCTTTTGGCCCTCTGCAGTCCTTACCGTCATATTTTTACCTTATCCTATTTGGCCCCAATAGGATCATTTATATACTTAATCTGCGCCCTAACAGGCGAATGTTGCCCCTCTACCCCCTCCACGTTTACCGGTCCTAATCTCGCGTGGGCGAGTCCTTTCATACCGGTGAAGCCGAAGCGCAACATTTCCCCCTCGGTCAATGCGCGCCCACCGGCACGGCGTCATCGCCACACACAGATAAGATGGGAGCATCAGGAACTCCCCGGTCCGTCATGGACGAGGACAAATACCGACAAGAAGTACTCCAGGTTACCTCGGCGGAAGCAGAACAAGCGCGGGCGCAACAGCTTTCCGACGAGGCGCGGGATCTCGGTCTGAAGGTCCCCGATATTAATGCCACAGCGCCGCTGGCGGCTTCGATTGCCTGTGGGATGATCGATCTCTCCTCTCCAACACTTTCATCAGCATCATCTACGAATCGAACCTCCACGTGCGATGGCTCCGTAACTCCTTCCCTTTCGCTCGAACAGTCTTCCCCGCCATCAGCCCCGCTGGAGCAGGCTACTTCGTCTTTATCGCAGTTAGCTCTGGGTTCTGAGCGTGTGAAACCTGGAAGTACACGGTCACTGGCGTCGTGGTCTACTCGACCGACTTCGTTCTGTTCTAGTGAGAGTCGGACGATTAATGCGGGGCTGGGACTTCATGATGGAGTGACGCCGAAGGGAAATCGAAATTCGATGTATGTTGTTGCGCCGGCGGATAATAAGGAGAAAGAGAAAGAGAGACGACGAAGTAATTTGAAAAATGCGATTGGACGCATTCATTTTCGCAAGAGGCGCGCTCCGTCGGCTGCTATGTTACCACCCAATGCACGAGTCATGATCACTAGAAGCGATGAGGGAGAGCAATATGTGTTTTTAGAGAAACCGCGTGAGATACCGACCAGTACGCTTGGTAACGCGAGCAATCCAGCATATCCCAGCAGCAATAGCAGCAGCACCACGGACTCACTGCCGAAGTTGGAGATTCCGACTTTTGGACCAGAAGCGCTGAAGCGAAGTTTGGAGGATCCTGATTTGCAGGAGATGCTGAATCGACATAAAATGGAGAAGAATCGTCATATGCAGTTTCAAGAAGCTGCACTCAACATCCTTCGGGACGGGCACCAGACTGCGGTTTCCGAGGCACAGTCAAAAAACTGTCGCCTGGAGGATGAGAAACGTGAAAAGGTTAGTCGCACAGCTTACATACTCGAATTTTTCTTTCAACTTGAAGTATTCACTAACATGGATGTTAGAATGAGAGCGATGCAATCCGTATAGAGGAGCGGCAACTAGCAGTGGAGATGGAACAACAAAGAGAATTCGAGCGCGCAAAAGTAAATTCTCGCACGCGCATCAAGCATATGGAAGGTTATTTCCGGAATGCGAGCCCCCCGCCATCCCCTGCAGCCGCAGCGGATCCTTCCGCCGATTCTTTGTCTTTGTCTATAGCCGAGGGGACACCCCCGGCACGGCGCATTACACGACAGCAGCTCGAGCAGCTGGAACAACAATACCACGATCACGAAAATATGGATGCGCTTCATCAAGCCCGTATCAAGGTTCTTAGAGAACGTCAGGAGAAGAGGCTTCAGGAAGCTATTGCGCGAATGGAAACCGAACTCGGAGATTTATGCGAACAGCATAGCAAGGAGGTTGCGGCTTTACAGGCTGATCAGCGTCGCGAAGAGAGCTCGCTTATAGATTCTCTGGAGACTAAGAAGGTCTTGTTAAGACAACGATGGAATTTGGAAGAAGCCATCTTGCGTTGTCAGTTGGAGAATCAAAATGGTCAGCAATATGGACCCTTACCTCCAATCTCTTTCTGTGTGGAAGAATCCGAGGCTGAGAATCGCATATGAGTGGGGAGTTTCTGTCCTGTTGAGTCAGGATGTAAATGATGAGACCATCTAGTCTCTGAATTGGTAGGTTGATGGCTGCATGTCATCTTCCATGATACCCTGATTTATATTTGCTTTTTTTGGAATGTCGTTTTCCCTTTCATTGGTTCCTGCGAGTGAGGCTATACCCTTGTTGATTTCTCTTTCGATCTGATGCCCCATTATCTTCTTGTAATCACCTTTTCATTTCCGGCCTTGGACTCAGATTCCATGTCTATATATCGCATTGCGGCGGCTTTTTGATTTGAGGTGTGCATAACTCCATCTTGATGCATTTAACATTGGATATACTATGGCTTCTAAAGATATTGAATGTAACTATTATGAATTCAAAGTATCGCAAAGGGGTATCTATTAGTTGAATCATCACGCAAATAAATAAAAGGTCATCATAAGCAGAAGCATCAAGGAGTATGCTCCTTCAGTCTCTCCAAAAGAGTCTCAATCCTCGCACCACCTCCAATCATCGCATCCTCAATGGCCTTATCTCGACCAAGATCCCCAATAACAACCGCCCGTTCCACAAGTCCCGTATTAGACAGCTTAAACCGTCCAACACGCCCATCCTCCCATTCCAACCGCACATACCGCGTCTCAATAGACGTCGAATCCAGCGATACAATACCCGCCTTGCTTTCCGGGGATAAGCGATCCACAGAATTCGATTCCGCATCATCACTTAATCCCAATTGCTCACGCAGCATTTCGACCACATCGCATCGTAAATGCCAAGCCACAAGCTCACGTCGTAGTTCACGAACAAAGCCTCGTAGATCCTGTTTCCGAGTATTCCTTTTCGCCTTCGCTTTCCTCATCTCTTCCTCCTCGTCACTCCCTTCACTCTCCTCATTCGCAGAGGATACTTTCTTATTTCCTGGAAGATAAACATCCTCTAACTTGGACATGGAAATAAATGCCGGAACGGTGTGTCTGTGAACTCGTAATTTCATCTCCTTTTCACCCCGAACGCGTTCACGCTGTAGGAGGATATAGTAGGGCTTCGCGAATCGACCATTGCGCGTGCTTACGTCAATGCGCACGCCCAGAAGATTCCCGGCTGGAGCTGTAGGAGAAGGATCCTTGAAGGGGAATGCGGTCGTGCCAAATGCGATTCGGTAGTGATTTGTTGTGGAGTGTTTCCCGGCTGCTTGGGCTAATGGGGAAAGATCATCTTGGAGGCTTGTTGGGGGTTTGCGGAGGAAGGATTGGACGTTTGGGGAAGCAAGAAGACTTGATGAGAGGAATCTTTTGCGGCGTTGGAGATTTCGGACTGAATTATGTTAGATATGCATTCTTTGCTGGGAATTTCTGGGTGTTATGCATACTCTGCGCGCGAATGGAGGCGATTTCGGTGTCTAGTTGCTCTGCTTCGGGGTCTGGAGTTGCGGAGTGGTTGGCGCGTGTGTTCATTTTGTCTGTCGTTTTTTTGAAGATGATATCCTGGCAATAATGTCTCAAGATACTTATACTGGATGGGTCTTCTAGTTGCGCCCTCTCCTAGATGCACATGGACGGTATGATAGCTGTTGATAGTAATGTCCCTGTTTGTTTTGTTTGTTTATATTGATTCCACGTGACTTCATAGAGTCGCGATGACTTCATTCTGGAGATTCCCCATTAATCAGCTACTTCTACTCTATACACAAGTACTCGATATCTTGCACAAACCAATCTCTGCTGCCCATATATAGACCCAATAATAGATCCTGAATAAACTGCTGTCCAACCTGATCTTCAATGCCCAATGCCTCCCTAACTTGCAACACGCTCATCCTGTCGGTCGCGTGCAGCACTGTATCACCATGAATATCCCCGGGCGCCAACCATGAGTTTGTAATCTGTAGAATAAAAAAGATCTTCAAGTGGACCTCGGGATCTGCTTGAGCCTGACAAAGAGTCTCAAACAAGGGAAAAGTGTAGAAGGACTCGACCACTCAGGAAGACTTCCGCTTTGTAAGAGGCCAGCTTGCCTCTCCACGCGCTCTCGCCCAGACTTTCCCAAGATCCGGATCTTCCCCCCCACCACCTCCATGTATGCTCTTTAGAGGACTTTCCTTCTTTCTAAGACCCTTTCGTCCTCCATGCATCGGTCACCAATTCTCTACTCTTTACCCGCCTAACAAGCGCGGAATCTCTCGAATCACTAGCTCGACGCGCCCTTTCTTTGAAACATCGCCGAATACCACTCCCCTGCTTCCGGCCTGAATTCCTCCGACATTCTACTTCAGACTAAAACCAATACATTTTGAACTTGTACACCATCAATTTTGACCCCTATACAAATCAATGACACGAAAGAACGCCTCCCTCTCCAGACGCCGCTCCAAACCGAGCCTCAAAGTTGCTACTGGCCAGAACGGCCATGCGAACGGCGCTATGAACAACATTGAAATGCGCAAACGCGATACCCCCTCCGCCGAATCCTCCGCAGAGCGAACAGCTCGCCTGATGGCTCGTCCGAGTTTCTCCCTCGACGAGGAACCTGCCGTCATCCCTCAAACCCCCATCATGACTACCACGAGTTTCCATAACCTGCCCGCCAGTGACAGACGCAATTTCCTCTTGCTATGCGTTCTATACTTCTTGCAAGGCGTACCGATGGGTCTCGCCACGGGCTCTGTGCCTTTCCTCTTGAAACCGTATTTGTCTTATGGCCAGATCGGTATCTTCTCTCTGGCTTCTTACCCGTATTCTCTCAAGTTATTCTGGAGTCCAATTGTCGATGCTGTTTGGAGCACCCGATTTGGTCGTCGCAAGAGCTGGATTACCCCGGTTCAGGTGATTGCGGGTCTGGCTATGATCTACCTTGGTAGACACATTGGAGATATGATGGAGAAGGCTGGCGCAAACGGTGGCGCTGGTGTGTGGAACTTCACATATTGGTGGTTCATGCTGGTTTTCTTCTGCGCCACGCAGGATATTGCCGTTGACGGCTGGGCCATTACACTTATGTCTCCTCCTAATATCTCCTATGCCTCTACTGCTCAGACTGTTGGCTTGACGGCCGGTCACTTTTTGTCATATACCGTCTTCCTAGCATTTAACTCGAAGGACTTTGCGAACAGATGGTTCCGCGCCGTCCCTGCTGAAGGAGGTCTCTTGTCCCTGGGTACATATTTGACCTTCTGGGGCTGGACCTACCTCGCTGTTACATTGTGTTTGGCATTCCTCAAGAAGGAGGACCGTACTCAGGAGCGTGATAGCATCCTTGATGTGTACAAGAGCATGTGGAGTGTCTTGAAGCTCAAGAACATCCAGACCATCATCATTATTCATCTGATTGCCAAGATCGGGTTCCAGGCAAATGACGGTGTCACTAGCTTGAAACTTTTGGATAAGGGCTTTGGACAAGACAACATGGCATTGGTCGTTTTGATCGATTTCCCCTTTGAGATTATGCTGGGCTACTATGCCGGTAAATGGTCTACCGAGCATGGACCCATGCGACTATGGGGCTGGGCTTTTATCGGTCGCTTAGCTGCCGCCGTCCTTGCCCAGTTCACCGTGATGATCTACCCCAGCGGACCAGAAGTTCCATTCTGGTACATGCTGACCGTCATCCTGGAGCATATTGTCTCAACATTCATGAACACCGTCATGTTCGTCGCGATCTCAGCATTCCACGCTCGTATCGCTGATCCAGCTATCGGAGGAACCTACATGACACTACTTGCAACGTAAGTCTCCATTCAATCCTTATACACTTTATATACTAACTCTGATCCAGCGTTTCCAATCTCGGCGGAACATTCCCCCGCATCTTCGTGCTCAAACTAGTAGACATGTTCACGAAGGCAACCTGCCTGCCACCAAGCACACCACCACCCGCTGACAAGCTGAAAGATGCCCTCATTACAGCTGCATTCTCATGTGCCCTCGAGCCGGAGAAGAACCGCTGTATCAACGGTGGTGGAACTTGTATCGTTGACCGCGACGGCTACTACATTACGAATATCATTTGTGTGCTTATTGGCACGGTCACCTTTGTGTGGTTTATCAGACCCGCTGCTGCAAAGCTTCAGGCTTTGCCGTTGCGAGCTTGGCGATTGGTCCCAGGTTCGCGCGAGTGAGCATAAATCAGCATCAATTTGATCATGTGGGCATGTACTTTATAACGGTTACTATAGTCTAATAGATTGAATCAAAATATTTTGATAAAATTTATGTTTCATTCGTAGGGTTATTAGGTAATCTCATCGAGTTCAGGGTAACTATTCAAGGCTAGTGAGGTCCATGTGGATGCTAAATGATCTTCACTCGCACTGGCAGAAGGGGTTTCTGGCACAGTTGTACTGGAGAGCCACTAGCTACTTCCCCAGCGGTATTTATCCTAGTTGGAAAACTGTCTGCTGCCCAGGTGGTTTGGAAGATGAATTGGCAGTACCTGCACAGAAGATTGGGTTGTTCATCAGATGTCCCAGCGTACGATTCACTGCTTGGATGGCCCGAGATGGAACTTATCCACAAAAGCCTTGATCTCATCATTGACCTTGACTTTGACATATCAAGTTCGAATACCTCGGGGCGGACCCACATGTATTCCAGGTGTTCATTCTAGTGTGTCCGGATCTTAAGATGAAGACCAAGAAGTGCTATTCAAAACATCTTCATCATCGGCATGAGACTGGTTATCAGCTATAGGAGCTGAGGCTTGTTCGCCAATTTTTCGCGAGGATTTATTGGCCAAGAGGTCCTTCGTGGACAGCATACGCATAACCCAATCTCCGATATCGATGACGGTTTCGCGGCATCTTGTCGGGGTATTCATCCTTCTGTGGAAAACATGTACTGTTATCTGGAAGAACTTTGGGCTGATATCAGTTTAGGAGGATGGACTTCGTTTGGAATTGCCGCCTTTCTCACATAAGGACGTTGTCTTGGTGCTGCTTCTGGTGATTTGTAGATCTTGAGACCCCGGGATTGGAAGACAGAGCCGATATTCGGAACTCCATTAACATCCATCCTTGTAACTATAGTTTTGGGCTTCTCTTTGAAATCAGCATTAGCCATGGCAGCAGCAATACCATCATCCTCATCAACCTCGGCATCCCCAGGTAATTTTTCAACCCCAAGTCCATCCAAATTCAGCTTTAGATCGTGTCTTTGAATTCTTCAGGTGATGGATTAGTAGGGCGTAGCTGGTTTGCCGCTCTCATGCGGTCTTGCTGGATCATTGATCAGAGTTCTGTCGCCGATATCTGCGTCCTTGACGTCCAAATCTATTCCAGGCCTCCTGGTTCAGACCTGAAACGAGATCCTTGTAATGAATATCTTTTCCCAATACCTTAGTAACTTTCTCAGACAAATATCGAGCTGTAATTCTTGTAGAGAGGATCATTGTCGTGTGCTCATTCCCCCATCTCATACTTACTCGCTGACGGATTAAATCGATAGAGGCAAGATTCTCCAGCATGAATTCTTGATGCTCTTTTCCTTTCAGATCGGAACCTTCTGTGCTCATTGATGTATTCCGCACCGCTTCTCAATTCGTACGTTTACCGTTGCGAGAGAGAAGGGGTATTTTTATCGCCTGGCAGAGATTCAGTAGCTGTATCCGACCTGGGTTGTGATAAGACCTATGATTCGGACAGTGTGCACGGAGTCACGCTAAGGCCAAACGTCCATCTGATACACCCATTTGCTAGATGTGGCCATCTAAGCATGTCGTATACCTCAGCATGTTTGTTTTTGTTGGATTTCGAGGCAAAGATGCAATCTTTATACCCGAAAAGATCAAGCCAGCTGGATTTCCTTTTGGGGAGTAGGGTAATTAAGTAGCTGAAGAAACATACGACTGAATGCCTCGTCGGATCCACGAGTCGATCTCTCCTTATTTCGTCATCGTACAATATGAATGCATAAAGTTGAGGCTGCTGTGGGCCTGGATGGCCGTTGTGCTAGTGGAACGATGGCATCTAAAGGATGACGATGGCAATGACCATGATGATGGGAATGGGACATCAGTCCGACTATCAACTGCGCTCTCAACCGTGATTTCTACAAGCCCATTTGACTGCACATGTCTCATCAGTTCGTGGGAAATTTTGCTATCTGCCAAAGAAGTTGAGTTGGAAAGTCTTTATCTTCGAACCCGAAAGATCTGAGACGTTTAAGAAGGGGAGTATTGGCTAAGCTAACTTCTCTAGTGAATCTGTCTCGTCTTTCTTTGGTCTCAGTGAGCCGTATGAAAGTGAGATCAGGGGTGAGATTGATTTCTCCGTCGAGAATGTGGCTGCTGTTCCAACCTGTATGCCGAAATACCTGCAGTAATGATCCCTTCATAAAAAGGATGACATGTGAAGTGAAAAAATAAGCAACACTGAATAGAAAAGAGAACCATGGAAGAGCACTTCTGAAGCTGGAGCTTAGGATGTGCGTTTGCATTGGATTTTGAGCCATAGGTGGCATGACAGTCAAATGATTTAGCACGCGGGCATAGCCATTTCTCCCCTATTACTAGAGCAATGGCTGTATCAGATGCACATTTGGCTCTAGCATGACTTTGGGCACCACTTTTTGAATCATAGGTCTTATCAGAGTCCAAGATTTCTTTGACTGAATGGTAATACGATATTGTGATTATTGCCAGCCTCACGAGCAATCTCCTCTTCGGAAAGCGTTCTCTGGGTTGTGATTCATGTTCGAGGTTGTATAAACCGTATCTTCTAGTAATACTCGGACTGTTTACCCAGGTATTGAGTTGGTTGACCATGGTGAGCTCAGGGATGCTGGTCAACACTGGAAGGTTTGAAGCCATGAGCCGACGTGCGTGATTAATCATAATCCGCTGGCACATCTATGCGAGACATAATATCTCCAGACATTCGGCGTCCTGCTAGTGCCATAACTTCCCCAATTACAGCCATCGGGGGCGAATGGTCGTAGAAGTCTATTATTTTCCATCGGCCGTTTAGCGAGTAGCCACCGGTCTGTGTTCGTTGTATTTGTCCACCCAGTTGAGGGTATTCTACATCGTTGGCCAGTCTCCGAAGATACCTGCAGGGATCTGTATTCGAATCAGTCATGACTCCGAGTCAAGCACGGAGGGTCTGAGAATCCTTACTGGGACACAATGGTATCTCTTCTTGGAATGTCGGCACCGACACCTTTTCCCGGAATTTGTATGATTCCAGAAGCATGGGATCCAGACTTATATGTACCGAAAGCTGAATCAGTTCATGTTCCAGGTTTCATCAGCTTGCTCCAATCACACTTCTTGTAGAACTAGCTCCACAAGTAGCTTTTCGATTCTGTCACGGCAGGTTTCATGTGGAAGCACCATTCTCTATTAAGGCGGGAGGCACAAGTCATACATGCACTGTCTAAAAGGAAAGTACCCTCCTTTCTAACAACCATCTTATATGTCTGGAATAAGCCGTGGTCACCTTTGCATTATATAGACGCTTGCCAGATACTTCTGCAAGGCATGCGGAAATACTCACCAAGCAGGAGATGATAGTCACCTGGGCATTCAAATATTCAGTTACCATTGATATAGGAATGAAAATGACCTGAGTATAAGGGAGCCGAGAAGATATGGAGTCAGGCTCGCTTCTCTCTATCGTTTTGGCCGCGTCCGAATGATCGAATCAAGTTGACGCCCATGATGAAGCTTTCGATGGAGTGGCCACTGGCAGCCTGATTTTGGTGGGGGAATTAAATGAGGTTATGTAGTGCCCCCTAGTAAAACTTGTTCAAATGTGTGGTTAGCAGGGTTCTTCCCGTTTGTATAGCAAATATGGTACATGCAGGGTGAGACAGTTCTGAGGTTTCTCATACTATGACTGGATGTATTGAAGTGACAAATTGCCATTTGCGTTTGTAGACTTTATCGACTGGGAATGGATCTTACAGCCTCGTCCCTGCTCTTGACTTGATCAAAGCCAGAAATTCCTACCCGTAAACGGCGTGAGCTGAAGATAACTTTGATCTATTTCCGTAGTGGAAGAGAGCAACTTATGCGATATCTATGTCTTGCAGGGCCCGGTATCGGGACCTAAGAAGATGCTACACAAACTGCAGAGAACGACTGACGCAAGAAATTGGGGAAAATTGGGGAAAAGGTTGTATGGAATTCTGATAATCCAATCGCGGATGAGTAGGAAGTGGAACAAGAATTCTCCAACAATCCAGGTTGACCACCCATCTCATCGCCTAACTAAGAACATGCAATTTCTCGTAATACCAAAACTTCCTTCACAGCTTATTCCTGATAACTGCCTGATTCCATGCCTTAATCTGGCTGTCTGACCAGAATATCAATAGGGCTCTCCAGAAATCTGAGAATGTGGCTTTGAGTCTCCACGTCCTAGCGAAAAGGGGTAGATATGTGCCACATCTGGTGGCACTAAGTCACCAGTTAAAATGCATATCCTTCGTTCTCTCGAGTCTCGCCACTGTAGAAAATTAGTGAAGAATTTAAAGATTGAACCATTCAAACTCACTAGGACTTTTTCGCCTAAAACTCCATTTTCCCTTCTCGCTTGTATATTGGATAGTCTCACTACCCATAGGAGTCTTGACTCTGTAGGAAGGAAAACTGGGTGAACAGCTACCCAAGTCCCCAACTTGTCTCATCACATCCTTGTACCTCTGCGCCGCAATCATTCAAGTTGTAACTGCAAATAGGTTTTAATCCATTTCCATGATTGTAAATGGATATTCTGCGGCAAGACAACTCAAGTGTCGTTCAGAGGCGGAAGATTTCGGGCATCTATTCTAATGGCTGCGATGCCTATTGCAGCACACAGCTCATTGCTTAGACAAGTCTGGTTATTCCTTCCCTGCTCATGATTCTTCCCATTAACTCCAATAACACACCCACGATTGCCCAGCCATCCAAGGCTTTCCAATACGCAAAAGCCACAAGACACCATCATGACAAAAAAATTCTCCTCTATAGGTGCCGAGCCTGAAGTGCTCGTCTAAGTCGAAATCCGATGGCTGTGTCCTTCAGCGAAAGATTGTTCGGATAATCTGTCCTGTGTGTTGATACCTCGAGAACGGTAATCATAAGTTGCTCCTGGTACTTAACTATGCATTTAGTGGCCAGCGGCTGTCGTGTAGAGAGTTGCTAACTCTTCGAGAGGATCACATCGTAATCCGTATGTCCAACCTTGGAAGGGATTGTCTTCCTTCTTTTGATGATACGTTGGTATGGTATCTTAAATCCAATCTTGAGTCAGCGAAAATGATTTTGGATCTTAAAGATGTAGGGACGTGCTCGAATGTTGGCCTCGCTGCAAACATTTTAATCCATATTTTCTTGAAGCTCTGTCTTTCGCCGGAAATGTGATCAGTCGAAGTTCACGGAAACGAGCAAGAAGGGCACTCATGCACGTACAAGAAGAAAACCGATCTTGGTCCACACATATACACGGTGTCTTCTTTTTCAAGTCGACTGTAGTATGTAATATTCGGAAGCCATGAATCAGGAACGGGAGTTTCCCTGGATGCTAAGCTACAGCGCCCATTATACCACACCCATGACCTTGGCCTATCGCCTATACTTTCCTGCCCGTCAATCTCACCCTTTTCTCATCTTTCCGGAGATGGCATATCGATCGGGAGCTGTTCTTTAGGTTTTCTCACGTATAGGTGCATCAAGTGTTCATCGCTGGGCTGGTCCGATCCCGTTGATATCACGCTTTCCGGTCTGTACTTGACTCACAGAAATTAGGACCTGGCTGTAGTTGAGCCGGGCTGCTAGGCTATACGAACAGGTCATGTCAGCGTGACAACTGCAATATAGCATATACAGCATTCTGGGTAGCTTTCCCTAATTGACTTACGGTGTTTGGTATTTGTTGTGTGGGTCATTCCCTCCCATGCTCCGCCATACATTAGGGTCCGAACCCGGCAATCTGCTGTGAAAGATGAGATCAAAGTGACAATATGTGAGGAGATAGAATCGCTATCGCTGTGTTGGCTGTCGTGGTTATCAGAAACTTCATCTGATATCTCATTTGGCCACACATCATGCGCTGGGCGTGGAAAAGGAACATCCATTTAATAAGGAAGTTATTTTTGTGGCCCATGCGCAAGTTTTTCTTTGTGCTAGATCTGCGTAAGTCCCACGAGGATAGACCAATTTGTGACAGTTTTCTTAAGTTCTCAGCCTTCCTGATTGAAAACCATGTGCCCTATCCGTATTGACTTGACTTCGATCTTTGTTTAATATCAGTCTGGTGCATCTCTCAGTCAGCTTATTCAACTGCGTATCCGTATGTTCGAGGGAAGAGGGTTAGAACAACGAGAATTAGTTGATAAAAGCGACTTACTTTGAGTCTGTAAACACAGGCAGGACCATTTCCTTTCGCTTTTGTTGCCTTTTTATCATCTCGATTCCTGATCAAGCAAGCCCCTGACTTGTTGCAGTGATTCTCTTCTTCTAGAGGTGTCTGTTTTAGTAATGGGTAAATAGGAGAGAGGCGAAGGGAACTAGTGGTGAAGGATGGCAATGTATAAGTGAGGAAGAAGTTTGTTCTCACCTTTGCGTCGGAAGCCGCAAGTCTACTGTGGTCAACCCAAAACAGGCGTGAGAACGAAAAACAATGAAGTTGAGAAGAAGGAAGAAGGTGGTGAGAAGGTGATACCGTGGCTGTACTGTGAATCTCTGTGAAATTAGAGTATCCAGTCTGCTTGGTGATATCGTAGCAGGTGATCATCGTGATGGATTTATTACTGCACTTATTCAGTGCATTGACTTCTGCATGAAATGAATGTCATGTAAGCATCGAGAGCCATGTGTGAGTAAAGCAACTCAAAGGTCAACTTTAACACTGATGATGTTGATCAAGTAGATTCAAGGTGGCATGGAGAACCCAGTCAAATTTATCAATCATGTATATGATAAACTTTTGACAAGAAAGGATTGAGAATTGACTCCGAATTCCAAGGTTGGAGCAAAGAGGCGTCGGCCAGGGTGATGAACTAAATTATCGATGAAGAAACGTATTGATGAATATCATCGTCGTTTGATGATCTTGAAGAGAAGATCTGACAATTTTATATACAAAATTGGTTCCATCTTTTTACAGATTCCCTTTAATTCTACTCACTTCAAGTCCACTTGCAATTCTCTCACCGCAAGATCAAGTATAAGTCTTGCATATCCCCAATGCAACCGATTCGTCCACTCCGGCAAAATCTTCTGAATCTCTAAATCCCCCTCCTCGGGCACAACCTCATAATCATGCGCTGCAGAGAACCGTACATCGAGAAACAGTTCACTCTCACTGTCAACCCGATAAGGCTCTGAGACACTCATCTCATGGCGACCACCCGACATAAGTCTCCACGGGTATCCCCATCGCGCAATGCGTTCAAAGAACACACGTGGCTCATTGGCCATTTTCCATGATAGCAGAAGTCCGTTCGAATCATCATCTGCACCGATCTCCCGTTGAACAGACATCAAACCGTTCACTAGTTCTCGAGGTTGGCCTGTCATTTTGTTCGGAGCGAATCTCTCAGGAGTATCGCCGGTATCACCGGGTTGGTATTTACCATTCGTGATGAGCCCGACGATTGATGACTCTGTTTTCATAATTCGAGACCCGAATACTGTACGTGCCCATGCATCTTCTAGGTCGGTTTTGGATGGTGCCGGATCATTCTGGTTCCTGCGTCGAGCTATGAGGGATCGCAATGGTATACGCGCGGCATAGATATCTGTATATGGGCAATATTGGATATTTGGCTTGCTTGGTGTTTGAAGAGCCTTGCTCCCTGTCGTAAGAGGCTGGTTTGGATATTTCTTTTCCAGGTGGGAAAGCCCAAGATGAGTGCAGTAGACTGCCAGGCCGGAGGGGATGATGAAGTATGTGAGGAGTCTGCCACGTATGGATCTTGGCATTGTGAATTTGACTGATACTAATAGCATGAAAGAGAAATCATTGCGATGAGTGCATCCTTGTTAAATGGGTGCGGAGTTCATACTGGAATAGGATTGGGGGCTAATGGGGCGGGGGGTAATTGCACCGACCGAAGGATGTGTGAACTAACTAGTATGATACTATACTATTCTTAAAGTGATCTTCAATTAACCATCGGATTCATTAGATCAACATAATTTCAATGAAAATGTCATTTATTAATATTATCAAAGTCTCATAGTATGCACTTCCACTCTACTCCTTATAATTGTCAGTAATGCCCCACTTGTCCCGCCGATCACAACTTTTTTTCTCTTTATCAAGTCAAGTTACCAGCTTCAACTATTTCCTTCCAACAGCAATAGTAATTCAAGCTATATCAACTTCGCAGGGCAGGTCATGAACTGTATCCACACAGACTCCAACTCCGAACCATCTCTTCCTGCATCCCCCGCTACCACAATGTCATCCACAACCTCCGACACTGCGCACCCCGCAGTCGACAACTCTCTTGACGACATCTTCGGTTCCTCCCCACCACGCGAGACCAGAGAAATACCTACGCACACAGAATCACACAGAGAAGCTTTAAACTCAGGCTCTGTCGAACCCTCCGATCTCCCGTCACTGCGCCGCCAACACGTTACCGCAGGCTACCGAGACGGCATCTCCGTATCGAAGGGCGAACGAGTACAAGATGGATTCGACGCCGGGTTCCCGGTTGGCGCGCAACTGGGTATGCGAGCAGGTACAATTCTGGGTATCCTCGAAGGAATCAACCGTGGCCTTGAAGACCGAAGTGCGTCTAGCAAAGTGAAGAAACCCACCGCGCGGGGTAGTACGCGTGAAGAAAAAACGCGTGTCTCGGAAAGCGATTCCAACCGGGAACTTCGCACAAAGATTCTACAAATGTACCAGGAAGCAGCCAAGGCATTAGATGTTCAAGCTGTGTTTACAGGATTCGAAGCTGCCCCTGCTTCCGGATCCCGAGTTGATACAGACTCCGGCGAGGTCCAAAATCGGGATGAAGAAGCAGGGGAGAAGCCTGAGACCCAGTTATCTAAGAAGGGAGATGTCGTAATTCAGAAATGGGAGGAGAAGCTTGCTGTTCCACAATGGGAGAAGAATATGGAGGCCTTGGAGATGAAGGAGAGTCAGGATGGAGACAAGGGCGCCGCGGGGGAGCGGAGTTGAAGATCTTTTCCTACTGTCCGCGACCAATGTGTGTTACTGCCAGGGTTTTAACCTTGACCTTGTGGGAACAATGTCTCATCGGTTTCCATGGGAATCGTGGGCCATGCTGCTTTTTTGTACGGCTAATCCGTTGCCGTCCCGCTTTTCTGCACGATGTGATGAGACCAGATACCTGAATAACCCCGCTACCGCTGCAAGGAAAGGACAATGGGGACGCGGGTAACCGTCCGGAACGTCGCGATCATCGTGTTTTAGAGAAAACGGCTTTGTGATCTGAGACACGGGTTGGACTTGCGCAGGGAGGCGGTTTTATTACTCGACAGTTGGAGGGAGATGAGATGACGACAGATGTATGCGGTGTTATATTCCTGCATTCAATGACGAGGCTGTCAACACGGGTCAGAGCAGATGGTCTCAATGCTTGATCTGTGGATCCAGAGGCAAAGGACTGTCATATGACACAGCATTGTTTGAATGAGTTTGAACAAACTGTACTTCGGCAATCTACAGCCTCGATCTAGGCTGGTCGGGACTCCCGAGTCTAGACCTAGACCCTGAAAACCGATTCCGATAGATCAGAAATCTGAAACCCACTGTGGCGGTTAAGTTTCGCGGAGGACTACAAGGTGCCGCCGACGGGGGACAATAGCCTTGCGTTGATCGGACCGGTCTCGCTGAGGACTTTTGAACTGCCCAGGTGGTGCCCGATGAGAACTGAGACTGAAACAAAGGGATGTCGAACATTCTGTCTCTATGGAAACTGAGATGCTGCAGGCACCTGTATTGACAGTGTTGACAAGTGTTGCAATTGAAAAATCCTGAAGTTCAAGAACTGAACATTGTGGAATCTGATTTTTGTTGCCTGTACGGAGTACGGGGTATGATATCAGACGAAGGATCATAAGAATCTGAGCTGCCTAAAACCAATTTTGAACTGGCCATCTGGCCTGGACCGTGGCAAAATAAACAGTTTCAAAAAGTACGAAGTACGTGGAGACGTTATAATGCAAGGGATGAGGATGTGATCTGGATGATTCTCCCATGTGGGGCTGCAGCCCTGGAGTTCAGTTGGACTTTTGTACTTGAGCTCACTATGGACTTTGACTCTGTACAAAATCAAATTCCCCATTTATGTATCTATTCAATGCTATTCTTTCTAGTTAAGTCAAGCGAGTAACTGGAACTTGGTGGTTCAATTCATGTTTAATGAAGTCCAACTTGAAGTTATTCAAGTCCGAGTCCGGGGCCTCCAGCCCTGGTCCACGGGTGCCGTTATATATTCACAGTCTCGTACTAGACTACCCAACCAGTAGTTCTAGTATGTAGTAGTACTAGTAGGTAGTATGCATTCAAGTTGAAGTCGGTAATATGATTTATTTTGCTCCAATGTCCTCTACGTCTAATATTTGATCCGATCTAGTATTTCGATCCTCAATTTCGAGTAGTACTAGGTAGTACATCATGCTCAGGTCTTGAGTGATTCCAATGTTATGCATGGAGACATCTCGGTGACTCAAAGCAACGAAAAGGAGTACAAAAGTACTCAGTATCAAGGGCAAGAGAGTCAATCCATATGCAAGCTTCTATCATCTCATAACTCAAATATCCAAAGGCAACAAGGGAATCGTAGTTCCTGCGAAGTTCGTACTTTATACGGATCACGTCGCCACTAGTGATACTAACGCGTCACTATGTACAGTGGAACCTTGGAACTTCAATGAAGCAGAAACAACTCAGGGGTTCTAATAAAGGACAAAAGAGTACTCCGTAAACCCCACCTGTTCAACTCAGACATGAAACGAAAGACCCTGAAAACCTTGGACTTGAATTCCGTAAGCCTCAGAACCCAATACTATCAACCCCAGTCCCAATAAACCCAATCGAAGCCCTGGAGGACCATCCTAGCTAAATCGAGTCCAATCAATAACTCATACTTTTGCAATGCCTAAAGCAGTGACGTACAAATCGAAGAATTGACCTGTAGAATTACTCTAACGGACCCAGGAGCCGGGTTGACATCCCTGTCTGGATCCAGGGACCAGGATTGATGGATGCAGGAGGTAGGGGACTTTCGTCGTGCAGGCTGTCAGATCTTGTGAGACATCACTTGATTGAAAGTACTTTTCATGAGTGAGTCACGGCTACTCCGTATGCTGGGCTTGGCTAAAGTACTTTGGACTATGATTTGAGATCTACAGAACAGGTGTTCGTTAGTACTGGGGTGGTTGGGTGGCGATGATTGAGGCCGTGCATATTAATTGAAAAATTGGATTAGACGCCACAATTCTTCAACCGTATCATCTGGAATATTCAATATTGGGGACAACAGGGTCGTAGTTAATTATGTGAGATTGACCGTTGTATTGGTGAATGCCAGTTGATGGTAAGTGGCGGAGGGCCACGTCAGTACTCAACGTCAACTCTGACATTCCGAAGGATTCATCGCCCAGGCGACTACGTAGGAAGAAGGAGATTTTGTAATTGAAGTATCATTTTGCATTTTTGTGTTCGTAAAGTAAATATGCTTTTGTTGCGCCCCATTTTCTATCGCAATCTTAACCCATTTCCTGGTTATCATTATTCTGGTCATACATAATCGAATTCTTGAGACATAAAGAAAAGTTCAGATAGGAAATAAAAGAGATCGAAACTCAGTCAATCGGTACAGGCAGTAGGTAAAATCATAGGGAGAAAAAAAGCTCAAAGGAACCAAGATGGTAGTACAGATTCGAAAAGGAAGAAGCAGACGTTAACATGACCACGTAGTGAGTGACTGGAGTAAAACTCCGAAAGTAGTATTGCGAAAAAGGAGAATTAGTGAAAGTGGATCAGAAGATCAGTGGCTGGTTGCAAGATGGTATTGTCGTCCGTGAAATCATTGTCATTGTACGGAGATTCGTTGTGGATTCGTATTCGAGAGAAATCGTTCAAGGTCCAAGGAAAATGTTTGAGATGGTGGTAATAAAATGTGACCATCGTGGAGATCGTGGAAGATCGTTGTGTTCGTCATCGTGGGAACACATGGAAGCATCAAAAATTGAAATTCATAGCAGATATGTTGATACGCCTGAAGGAAACGCCAAAGCAAAACGCCAGGTCCGCCGTCTAGGTCATGGAAATCAGATAGTAGTCGTGTTGTTGGATTTCATGGGCCGGGCACAGTTAAGTGACCGGAGAGATTCCAAGAGACGACGGAAGAAGGGCCGTTCTTGGGCGGATTCTTGAAAGGCGGCAGGAGAGTGTTGCTCATAGCACATGGATGTGAGCTGTTCCTTGTCTGACTTCATGAACTCAGGGCTGTCAGATTGTTGGCGACGGCGAGACTGTGCTTGCATAGCAGCCGCAGCAGACCAGTCCATGTCGGAGTCATTGGCACTGTCAGATGGTCCACTGTTGTGACGGGAGCGAGGCTTCATAAGAGAGGTAGTTGAAGGGGCAACAATGCGAAGAGTTTGAAGTGGGTGACCTCGAGTACCATCACGACTGGTGCTTGGGCGCCCAGTACTAGGGCGGCTAATGCTTGGGCGATCCATGCTGACACCCCGGAAATCAGTGAGAGTATCTCCCACAACATCATCGGGCAGGGAAGGGAATCGCTCAGGTGCTTGTTCATCGAGCATAGCTTGACGGAGACGAGGTTGAGACTTTGCAGCACGGAGCTTGGCACGGCTGCGAACCTTGCGTAGTGTATCGATATGCTTGCGAGAGAGAGACTTGTTGCTGATCGACTCGTTCTCAGAGTCGGATTCCCATACAGATTGCTCACAGTGAGCATCCACAGTAGAAGTAGAGGGTCGTTCCACGGATGTGGCAGTCCACTGGCGAGAGATAGGAGGGGAGCTAGCAACTGGGCTTGGAAGAGGACTGGCACCATCATTGGCAGGAATGAAGAGAGCCTGGTCAAAATGTGTGGCATGTGGCTCCATGGTCACTGGGTTGATCAAGCTTGGGGGCGAGATCATAGAAGGATCCAAGGGAGGTCGGGATCCAATACCAGATTGTTTCCTGCGAGAGCTCATAGAACCGGCTGTGTTTGATAGATTGGGCAGTGTGGGGTGGGCCTTTCTTCTTCTTGAAGACGAAGACATACTGGATGTCTCGTACTTCATTGTCAAAGTTGATGTGGAGCCGTTCGATGATTCAGCCGGGGTTGTGGGACGAGTAGTGGCCGGGGTCAAAGCAGGCACAGGTGGCGGAGGAGGAAGAGAGTATTTGGGAGGTGTTGATGCAGGAAGGTAGAAAGCACGAGGCTCAACTGGGGCTCGGTGTGCGTGGTGGTACAGCTTCTCTGTGGCCTTGATCACGGCGTCAGGACAGGAAGGAGATGAATAGGAGTAGGTAGATGAGAAAGAGCTGCTTGGTGTAAGGTCTGGTACAGTAGCGTCGGTGTGGACGGAGCTGAAAGAGTTGTGGCTACTGTGTAGGGTTCGTGAGTCTTCAGTAGAAGAAGTGTAACGGTGGAAACGAAGGTTGTTCTCCAGTTCCAACTGAGCGAGGGTTGATCTATCTGGCCCTGTGTACTGCTGGAAATTCTGATGCTGCTCTGGAAGGTCCTTGCCGGTCAATGACAATGTGTAGTACTGGCTATTGTCCCCGCTGAATCTATCATCGCGAATTGTTGGTGCGTATGATCCCAAGGTTGGAGTCGCTCCAAGCGACTGTTCCAGGTAGAATGGGTCGGAATTGGATTCCTCCAATACCTTTGATCCGGCCTTTGGAAGATAGGTTGAAACGTGTTTGTATGGAGATGGCAAACAAATCGTAGTTTGAGATCTGTTCCGGTCTTGGTGCAATGCGTCCAACTCGCCTGAACAGTAACAATCTCCTTCAGCCATGGACTATGATTCCGATGTAAACTTGGTGGATCCAGATGGAAGAGATCCAGGCGAATGGATCTTGAAACTAGGACGGAGAAGAGTAGAGATAGAGAGAGAGTGGAGTTGAGGAGAGAAAGGAATGAGGAATGGAGGAAGGGCAGGGAAGGGGAATATGTTTATAGACCCAAAATACTAGAGTTCCGGGGCAGATACATGCCAATGCAGGTAAACAAAAGGACAGAGCACAGACATGACCTTACATGACGTCTCCTTCCGCGGCTGGGATGTTGCAGCAAGGACCAGTTTTCGGGTTCCAGCAAGGGAGCGGAACGTCATCCGTACAGGGATTTGTAGTAGACCTAGTACTTTGTACTTAGTACCTAATACACTGTTGATGTGAGGTTGTTGTGGTTCATCCAGCCCTGCTGTAGCCCTGTAGCCCTGGAGGAGGATTTCTGTACACAACCTCAATTCCATTTAGTAGTAACACAAATAAATCGTACATTCTATCCCATATGAACACGATTAATCTCAAATAAGTTATTCCTTTTTCCTCTTTATTCTTTCTTTTTTTCATCTTTTCTACGGAGTACTCCGTGGCCACCATTCGGGCCCCAGGACACTACCACCATGCAGCACAGTGTCACCAAAATCCCATGCAGAGGCTGGGAATGTGAGATATCAACTGGCCATTCTCCTGGGACACTGATGAGTTCCGGCGCGGAGGGCTTCCCGGATCAGCCACTAACGCCTACGACCCACTAGGATCGTCGTAGCAAGAGCTAAAGTCACACATCCAGCTGACCTCCATTCCAGCAGGCTCATTCCTGGGAACCGTGCAACGAAGTGACTCGTATCAGCCTCTCGAGCCTCTAACTGAAACTCCTCATGGGAGTGCATGAACGCTTAACGTTTCATCCAACCACCCACATACGCAGCACATTATATATATCACTCCGAGTATTTCTCGCATCGCTCTACGTCATGCCCGAACCATATGGGACTTTTGTTGCTTTTTAGCAGTGGCTGGCTCAATGTTGCATTTCTTTTGCTATTACCCCTCTCTATGTATAGAATATTCAGTAGTTCCAAGGTTGTCCCACTAGGTTGAGTCTTGTGCCGTGTGTTGTGGTCCCATTTTGCAGTTCTGCATACATACACACTCTCCTAGTTCGATTTTTGTCAACCCTTCGTTGCCAAAAAAAAAAAAATTGACCATCCTTTGGTTCGCTGGGAGAGCAATCCTAAGTTTTTTCCTGCGTCAAGGGCTATTTCACCTGCGTTAATGTTGTGTGTCATCCGCAAGCGACTCGTACACGCTTGACACTCGATAGATCACATTTGATCTGCACTGGTGGCAAGCCCACCATAAGACCCTTGATTGGTTACTAATAGCGGATATCTACTCTCCCGGTTGAAATAGAAACCAATAGGAGTTCATTTTTGGTTATACCGAGGTCAATTTGTACCTTTGGATTGATCTATTGATCTTGATGCCCAATCGTTCTAATCTACTCCATATTCATCAAGGTATCAAACTGACCTATCTTTGAGTATATTTGCTTGATAACAAACATTTTGAACAATTAAACAAACCCATCGAGTTGTTCTCCCTGACTAATCAATGTTGTCGTCTCCACATTCCAATAGAAAGTCTGACATGCATTGCATCCCGCTCTTCGCATACGGAGCTGTCCGTCTCAATGCATGAGTTACAGCCACATATAATAAATAGTAGTTGACCTCCACCGTCATTGACTCCTGATCTGCAAGATCTAGAGCCTCTTTATCCTCCGATCCATGCAGTCTCCAAGATTTGAACGGGCGTTGCCTCGGCACTCTGGTCCTACTGCATGGCCCTCGCTTTTTGCTAAATGTCACATTCCTGGGGCTGTTAGATGACAGCCGTCCATTGCAGCGTAGCTATAATTTGATATTGTGCTTCATTTCCCAAACTAATTGCCGTGGAGCACTTAAGTATTGTTAACAGATCAGGGGTTCACCCTCACAGATCTCATCATTAGGGGTCTAGAACTGCACTCTATGTTGTATTCGGGGATCTATCCGTATCCGCTCCAGGGGGAATATCTATAGCTTCTAATTAGTACGGAGTACTCCGAGTCCCAGCCGTGGGTGTCACTACTTCTAGCAATACCAGCATCAATTAAACATCGGATTCACCGAGCCCCTATAGGAAGCTTGAGCTGTTAACGTTCAAATGTTAACCATGAGAGAGCATCAACTCAGGGAAAAGCATTAAGATCAACCTCTAATCCCCAAATCAGGAACCGGAACCTCCCTCATTTCCCCCGACACGATCAATATCACCAATTGTCTTGCATCGACATCCCTTGATTGGTCGATGGCTCCAGGGGTTCCGACATGACTGAAACAACAGCTCCCAAACATCAAATCCCAAAGATCTGAGATGCCCTGCAGCCTGCAAGGCATGCTTGAAACCTACCTTGGTATTGGGACTTCGTTCCCCTTTCTCGATCCCCGGGGATTGTGATGCTGCGTCCGTCATGCAATGACACCTTCTTCCCGGGAGGTTAATCAGAAATTTCCGAGTCCTGACGAACCGTGCCCTTGCTTTTGGAGTCGAGACCGAGTTGGTGTGTTTACATGTCCTTGCTCGGTTTGTTTGTTTGAGCCTGAGGTCGAGGTTTTCACGGTTAGTAATGAATCTATCTGTCTTTTCTTCTTCCGTCTTTTCTCCCTCCTTGTTGGATACTTCTCATTCAGCCTGAGATGGTGAAGGTCCAAAGATAGTATTGTCCGAATTTCTCCCTTGATTGTGCGGCGGAAACATTAGCCGTGGTTATATATGTGCTCTGTATCGGATAACCTTGGAAGCCCTTGAGACTCGATATTGATTTTGCTGCAGCTATAAGGTACTAGTCGCTATACTAGTAATTGTAAGCGCTTGCAGCTATGAGCTTGAGTGGATCATTTCTTCCACCTATGAGCTCTTCCCAGCATCAGCAATCCCGAATTAATGAATGAATGTGGGGAAAGCAGTTCGTTCCATGAATCCGACTACGAGCCGGTGCGTGATGAACCATTGGAACCACTGGGACAAATGGATCCCACCCAAATTCGGTCAAAATCATCTTTTGTTCCTGTTCCTGTTCCAGAATGAATTCAACTTTGAATGAGGCGTGTCTGGTGTCAACTGTTAACTCCGTAGTTAATCTAATAGCATCATAGCGGGGGATCATCGATGCCCGACAAGCCGCGCCAACGCATCACTTCAATATCGTAGTGTAGTGACCCGTAACCCAGAGGTCTAACCATGGCACTTGCTATGGAGACGATGATCGCGCTTTTCCTCCTTTTTTGATTCCTGGGTCGTGTCTTGCAGTCGGAAGTCTTTGCCGACAGATTTCAACTGTTAGCTTTGCACTGACTCCTTGACAACTCGCTCAGATAACCTCAACTCAGTCTGCCCAGTGATATATTCCAGCATCTGATTCTGCACGAGATTTCAATTTGGACTTGCGCAAGGTGTACTCAGTACTTAGTACTAGTACTCAATACAGGGATTGAAAAATCCCTTCAAGTCCTCCGTATTGGGGTATCTGCGATAGGGAGATCTCAGGGCGTAAGCAGAGCATTGATCAAGGCCTGGCACATTTGGCACATTCCAGTCATTTACCCCGGAGATTCAGCCTCGTTTCAGCCCGGTGATTCTATTCTTTCACTGCCAATTATCTCTCACTATCAATTGACAAGTGTGACGGGGTAAAGTGCTTGATGCTCGCCGAGACACGTTCGGTTTGCAGCTGCCGCTGCGGCAACCCCAGCCATCTCAATTAATCCAGCCACCTTGAACCTGCTCTTTCTCCCTACTCCTCCCTGATCTCATTGATCTCATAAACATTCCTGTTCTATTTTTCTTTTCTTTTCTTTTTTCGTCCGGTATCTTTTCACCAGTTTGGAGGACACGGTTGTAGAACTCCGATCCCTGGTCGGCTGCGATCGTGATACCTCCGAGTACCATTTACTTCAACTCCAGTGACGCAACCAACCTCGCAGTGTCGTCCAACTTCTTCCCGTCCTACCAGCTATTGCCAGAGGTGTCTCGCCACACTCGCCGAGCCTCTAACGAAGTCCACGACACTTACGACCCCGAAACGCTTACGACTTTTGCTAGGCAGCGCCAGCAGCACTTTGAACCTCGTCCTTCATCTTCCCATTCTGTCGATCGTCCAACCTCCGCAGCTGGGTCCCAACGTACCTTGCGCCGAGCTCGTCGACAGGACGGTACTCAATTACCACATCGCCGAGCCTTCTCACTAGATCACACCCCAAGACAACCTGCAAACCCTCCGCCGTCGCATCTAAACCCAAGCTCCGCCCAACGTGCTTCAGATCGTGCGGTCGCTGCCTTACATCCCGCTTACTCCGAAGTACATACAGACGAGAACGGGTCGACTATCGACGATCCATACCAGCTTCTCAATTCCTCATATTGGCCGTGGAGAACCACTCGTGTCTCTTCCCGCACTGCGTCGGCGATCCTCTTCGCTCTTGAGGAAGCCATCCGTCGTCCAATTCCATTTACAACCGATTGGGACGAAGTGAATGCTTCTATGTCCGATATGGTAGGTGTGGCTGGTCCTGCTGGGCCTATGGGCAACGGTCGCGTTCAGAATGGAGCGCCGCGAGCTCCTCCAGCCCCGACGACAGCTCCCCCGCAACCGCCGAGTGGAATGCGCACACCCACGGATATCATGAGACAGCGCCGGGATCGTGAAGCTCGCCGCAAAGCAGAGCAAGAGGCCCGCGACAGGGAAAAAGAGGAATTAGAGCGACAGCAATTGGAGCAAGAGCAGGCCGCCGTGATCCAAGCCCAGGCTCGAGCTCAAGCTCATCAACAGCTTTCTGGTGGTGCTGGTGCTGCTGGAGCGCGTGCTCAACGCCCATCCAGAGGCCCAGAAACTCAATTCAATGCTCCTCCCCCTGGTATGGCGCCAGGCTCTACACCTAATTTTCGTGCCACCGCGCCGGTGCAGCCTGGTGGAAGACCCGATTATGGAAATCCCCCACATCCTGCTTCGAGTCAACCTCAGCTTGGCTCGTCTATACCTCAAGGCCCTCCGCAAAGTGCCACTGTAGCTGGAACAGGTCAACCTACTGGGACCAGTGCTTTCTCCAAGCCAGCTCCGGCACCTGTGGGCCAGCCTGGTACCTCACAAACTCTCCAACAGCAGCCGCAGCGGGTTTCTTTCCCCCATGCCTTTGAACGATGGGAAACACTATCGTCGCATTGGGAGGGTCTGACTAGTTACTGGGTCCGAAAGATGGAAGAGAACAAGGACGACGTGGAAGCTGATCCGATCAGCAAGCAACTCGCTCGCCAGATCACGGACTTATCTGCTGCTGGCGCTAATCTATTCCATGCTGTAGTGGAACTGCAACGTTTGCGCGCATCATCTGAGCGCAAGTTCCAACGTTGGTTCTTCGATACTCGCTCTGAGCAGGAACGTTCCAAGGAAGTCCAGGCAGACCTTGAACGACAACTGAAAGCTGAGCGGCAGGGACGTGCAGATGCTTTCGCTGCTGCGCAAACGGCCGAGCAGGACAAGGCTCGCGCGGAGGATTTACTGCGTGAGATGCGCCGTGAGCTCCAGATCTCCAAGGAGGAGGCTCGTCGTGCGTGGGAAGAACTTGGCCGTCGCGAACAAGAAGAACGAGAACGGACCAACTCTCTCCGAAACGGAGAACCCACTCTTGTCGGTGGTGTTCAAGTCGTTCCCATGATCCAGGGTGTTCCCAGCCGTCATACCACTCGCCCACCAACTCGTGACGGTCCGTACACTGGGGCCCCCACCACTGGTGCGGAGTATCAAGCCAAACCCACTGACCAATCCGCCAGTCGAGGATACTATGATGATGGAGGCCCAACCTCTCCCACAGGCTCTGATCCTTTCATCGAACCCCGAAAACCCCAACCACCTGCCGAGCCTGCTTCGAGTAAAGCAACCTATACTGGTGACAGCTATGCCCACGAAAACACCGCTGCATATCCAGCTACCTCGGAGCCAGATGACCGATCCTACGTGAGCAGTGAACCCGGTGATGAATACGGCTTCCCCACACAAGATCACCCTCAGGCCGGCCGATCCTACTACCAAGCCCACTCCGAGGCAAGCGATGAGTACGATCAGGCTCAAGACGAGGACCGCCACTATGTCACTGACGGCGCCTATACCTCTGCGAGCACCACTGCACCCGTGCAAGCACCTCACGCACCTCCAACAGCAGACTACAGTGGTTCCGACTGGGGTGTGGGCACAGGTTGGGAATCTGTAACCCCTCGCCACCGTCACCCAACACGACTCAGCGATGTCCTCGAGGAGGATGAACCAAGCCGCACCAGTCCCAGCCGTGCTAGCCAAGCTAGTCGCAGCATGCATTAGACCGACGGTTTGTTCTAGCGTGCAAGCCCGGGCAAAGCATGGCCTTGGGTCTCAATATTCGACAGTCAATATTCGGTATTAGCATTCCATGATCTAGTAGGAGTTGCTTCCTCTCATTCTCCGACTTATATCTCCTTAGTTTGGGCGATGCATGGTGCGTACATAGAAAAGCGCTCGATGTATGTTTTTTTATTCTTGTATCTTTCTGTTATCTCGGCATTTCTCAGAAGCGTTCCTTTCCTTGCGTTCTGGTCGACATCCATATTCGTCTACCACTCTGTCCTTTTCTATTTTATGCCCCATCTCATATCCTTTCATGGCGCCTTTCCTTCTTTTTCCTTGGCTCGCCGTTTGCGTCTTAGGTAGTTTTGAATGGTAATAATACTTAATTGCCGAATTATTGCTTTTTCCGTTTGTCAAACTTGAATCTCGTAGGAACCTTGGAATTTGCCGGTTGAAGTAAATATTTAGAAGAATTTTGAACAATCTTCCTCTTTTTCCTATCAACTCCCCATCCATTCAAAACCTTCTCCTCATGCGTTGGTATATATTGCTTCATCTCGCCACTGGCAGTTCTCCACGGCTACTTCTACTACTCCAGCCTACTAGTACTAGTGAATCATGGTCGTGGTAGATGACTCAAACTTGAATGATGCCAGTACCTTCAAGTTACTTGACTAGTATAGACGCGCCGGCTGACTCCGGGACTACAACTCAACTTGAAGTTGAATCCATCACTGAACAGATCTACGTTGATAACCATCATCCTGGGGCCACCAGCAGTCCGCGGCATCACCATCAAACCATGGATTCAGTCTCTTCAAGTGGACGGGTCCTGCATTATATTCATGTGGATGGCTGCCAGTGCTACCACTAGCTAGGTAGCGCCGTGTGAGATCGTCTTCAAAGTCTATGTCTACACATACTATACTCAGCCCGAACATTCCCGAGGTCCGAACTATGACCCACAGACCACGTGAAAGTATTCAAAAATGCTGCAAGAAAATATACACATCAGTCAGTCATCCAGGTTTACTTGGTAGATAATATTTGAACGCTCAAACTCTCACATTGAAGTGGGATCAACTTGAAGATTAACTCATTGGCAGCTCACATTATCTCCTGATTTTGATATATCGACTTGACGTTGGTCCACAATCTTATCATCGAGTTTCTCATTATCACTCAAGTACACCATTGTTACCTAGTACTGGAGATACCACCGACCTTGAATGGTTAAATCGTCACTCCGGCTGTCAGGACTGGGATCACATGCTAGGTATGCACGCCGGGTGCTGTACTTGAGGTTCAGCAATAGCGGGCACCGTCAAGTTGACGCGGATCATGGCATAAAATATGGTCAACCCTACATTGTTTACTGCTTCGTCTTCGTCAATATTTTGACCATGCATTGGAACGTGGAATCGGAGGCGAATCTAAGTCCGGAATTATCAAAATATATGCTGCGCAGGAGCAATCGCGTGATGCCATTTTGCTAAATCCATTATGGCACACCCAATTCAGATCTAACTTTACTGACTGCCTAAAAAGCGACCTATGCTACCCATTCATGTTGTACCATGAACGCCTCCAGGGCTGTGTACATGTGCAAATATGTATTCTTTCTAGTACCGTCGCTATCAAGTATGTCTATAAAACCCTGGTGGTAGTTTCAAGTTTTAACTCATGCTAATCTGTGTATTCATAGTCATGTTCCAAGCCAACAAACGAGTGCCTACAAGAAGACGAAAAAAGGTGTGCAGCGGTCCAAAAAGGGGAAGAGCCAAACACATGGACTCTCCAACCACAAGCACCGCAAACTACTTCCATTCTCTGCGATGCCAATTTAGAATTTTTTCTACACCCGTTGAGCCCCTTGAAGTTGTTATCCACGACCCTGATCCAATTGTACTATCAATTGTAATCATGAAATCCCGAGTCTTAGAGTCAGCTAAAATTCACCCGGGCAGTCACGACGAAGCCCGGCACCCCTTACTCACCGAAATGGAGAGAACGCGCATGTGCTTCCGACCATCATCTTTTCCCTGTCGACCCCGAGTCTTTTAAAAGGTTAAAAATCCTCTAATAGACGTAAAAACCTTTGTCTTGAAAGAACCCATGAAGGTCTACCGAATGCTCTCTCACGATCTAGGAGGGCACATTAGTTGAAGAAGCACCAATGTCAAGGCACAGAAACCACCTAGGCCTCATTGACTTATATACGCCGTCACCGCACTATTGGCACTGTATAGATTTCTCCATCCTCAGAAAATTGGCAAGAGTATTCGCATCTCATTGCAGAGAGTTATTGTGAGGCCGCGAACGTGTTCTACGAGATGCCGCTTCTCTCGCGCACTTGGGCCCAAATCCGTCAGATTCTTCGCTCTTATCACGACCCGATCGCTGAACTCGATGCTTTGAATAATGCTCCTTAGGAGCGGCTGCTTCATAATGAGAAGACCGTCAACAGGTCAACCAAAATTCTCGCCAATGCCATGGAGGGGTTCGGAGATATCAAAAACAGACTGCTCGAGGTACTTTGCCGCAAAGAGTTCTAGTCCGGCAGACTTCCACCGCCACCACGGGTTTCAACTTTCATAAGAACGCCAGTACCATATGCGGGTCATATAGACAAGACTTGCTTCACGATGGGGCGTTGAAATGAAACTCTCCGTACAAAACCCAGATTGCGGTCGCATACCATGCAGAGCAGACCGGGGAGCACAGTCTTCCATTCTTCGCATTTCTGCACAGCCAAGACATTCAGCAATGATAAGGAGAATTTTCATGGGCAGTGTTTGGAACGACACGGGCATAATGGAGGTTTCATTCATCCTCTAAGCCAGAGTGGCCTTTAGCGAGCAATGGTACTTTTACCCTGATTAGAACGAACAGCCATGTTCCTCCTGGGGCACAAGAGAAACTAGATCTCGCCAAGGAGAAAAATAATTAGCCCGCCTGGAAGATAAAGCGAGATTATTGCGTGGATTTTTAGAATTGGCCCACATTATTTGTCACCTTCATAGGGCAATGGAGGGATTGGGAGAGAACAACAGATCAAAAGAAAAAGGGAAAGGAGTATCTCTCTCGTGATCCCTGAGCGATCTGAGAATGATCCAAATAGAGACGAGAACCCGCCGTCAAGATGCCACTGGTTGAGGCTGGCTCAGAGTCAGATCGTACTAGGACGGATATGTGTTGCGGCAAAGTGCCATTGGCAAACCCTTTACCAGGCCCATTTGCCATCCGGCAATTCAAATCACAGGCCGATTCTCGGACAAATAGCATTTCTGGTGCTTATCTTGATAGACCCTGGCAACCCCAACCCCCATGAATGTGCTGTAAACCCTTATTCTTTCCACGCACTACTCGGCTGAACGTACCGTTTGATGAGAATATCTTTCTTTGTCGAGTATGAGTTCATTTACGCTGGCCCTGGCTGCCGGAACCGGAACAAGAATCCCGTGGAAACATGTTTGACTGGAATTTTGGCTGACAAAAGCGCATACACCGATTGAATGTGGAGATGGCTAGCTTGCTATCTTATCTATATCGGATTTGCTGGATGGTCGAAAAAACGTCCTGACAGAAGTATGATGCATAGGTCTATGCAAACCTATCAATGATGTGCAACTTGTCAATGATACCCAGCCTGTCAATGATGCCTAGCATGTCCAACGCTGGTTGTTCAACCACAGGACCTTATTTTCTTGGATGAGGAAACCACCCCATTTGAACGATATAAAGAGATGTTTTAAAAGCTCCTTGCTGAGCGCAGGTATCAACGTCAGCGAGATATCATGCTTACCCTGTTAAGACTACCAGATGAGAATACCCAGGCCATCTCATTATGGTATTCCTACACCTTGGAAAGTGGCACCTGGAAGGATTCTTTCTTGGAAGAAGGATTCCACGCAGAAAATGAATGGTCGATAGCTGCAAAGGTTCATCAGAAGCATCTCTCAAACCTTGTGTACATTGAAGGCTGCGGCGAAGTGGGGGAAAGATTTTACTGATCGATTCTTCACACGGATCACGACAAAGATAATGGCTGAGCAGGTCAGTAGGTTGCTACAGAAGAATGTTACCTACGAAGATATGATTGTTGGGGTGAACAGAGAAATCTACGAGCGACTGAACAATCCAGGTCGGGGTCAGCGTACTACGAAATCCATGATCCAGGGAGACCTGAGGAATACTGCAAATCAGCTACGTCTCGAAATTATTACCAGTGCAGCGTTGAATGAGCATGGACTGAAGATTGATAAGGATGGTTTCGCAGTTGAACGACGACCTACTGACCCCATGGTTGAAGATGTTATCGAAGACCCTACTAATGATAAGGATGTTGATATGGGTCTGCCTATGGACGATGAGAAAGACCTTCCTGAGACTAATGATGAGACTAACGCAGAATCTAAGTCCATGACTTTGAACAAACGGACCTTATATTCTTACGTGTGAGTTCTGTTACAAATACTAGACACTATTCATGTCTTTGTGGATATGTCGAATATTTTACTTGGGCTCCACGAATCGGTCCAGAGTTTGAACAAATGGACCTTATATTATAACGTGGGAGTGCTGTTACAGTAGCGTTGGCTTTTGACTTGGTTGATGAAGAGTGCACGAAGGACAAGCTAGCGCGGTGGTGGGAAACTCTCCGGCGTCATATAAAGGCCAAACGTCTCTCTCGTGATTCACTGTTTACGAGAAGCGGGTTGATAGAGCTGATAGTCTTCAAATTAATGACCTGCTGAAGAGTTTCAAATTCTTGCTGTTCTATTCAAATGCTGCAGATGGTGCAAATTGAAATCTCTGTTTATGCGAGTTTGTCCTATCGTGGCGCTCATAATAGATTCTGATAACTCGAGAGAACCGGATGCTGCACGTAATATGCTGGATGAGGACCGCGAGCTAAGGGTTGGCGTCTGCATTGGTCAAGGTATAATGCGTTATCGTGTTTACACAAACCAGAAATCCGACTTTGAATCCAGGTAGGAGTGTTCTGTGAGTTAGCCACCTTGGCGTATCATAGTGAATTATCGCATGCTAATGTTTCTAAGATTTCCAAGACTGGCAGATATTGCGACAGGAGCGGAGGGCGTCACCCATAAAACGACTCCTTCGGTCACTTTCTGCATCACACTGGCACTACAACCTTGGAAGAGTGTACGTAAAGCACGAGAATAGGTACCCAGCTAGCATGGCCACGATCATATCCCATATGGCTTTACCAAGCAAAAGGACAAATAGTACTACGATTATGCCCATCCTTGACAATAACCTTGGAAACAGTCGGAATCAAGATGGTGCTGGCACTTATCTCTTATGTGGTTCAACCCCGGAATTCACCCATACCTAAGCTTTTGTGGTCCACCGCAACTCTGGAGTCTAGATGTTTTGTATATTAATAGCATTTCTCACATTTACCCTTATCTGGCTGGAAGCTAGGACTCCGCCCCCATTTATTTCAATTTCGATTAATTCCTATTTCCCTAAGAAAAAGGAAAAAAAGGAAAAAATCAGGTAAAATGGAGAAAAAAGAAAAATTGGAAAATTGCAAAATTGAAAAAAGAAAAGGGGAAAAGACATCAAACCTTAGAACGTTCTCTATCCGAACTAGACCTTCGATCCGAAATAGACCCATATATTTTTCTTTTTGCTTTTTCTTCTTGGGGAAATCAGGATTAATCAAAAATGAATTTTTTGGTTGAAAAACAACGTATTTATTAACAGTTTCCAACTTGCCACTTCCACTTCCATATCTACTCTATATCTGCCCACGTGTATTATCTTGTAAAACAGTTTCTTTAAAACATTGCATACACTGGCAGTACCTGCGTCTAATCTAACTAGTAAAATCCCCTTGTAAAAAATATGCCTTGCAAACTGCTAAAATAACCTTTGAGAATGCTTCTTTTGAACACCCGGGTACTGTAAGTGTCTATATGAACGACGTTCTTGAATGGAGATGACCTGAGGAGACTCTGGATACTGGATGACGATTGGTAGATAGCACTTGGGCTCAATCCACAACACTTTTCAAGCACCAGAGCTTTGACCCCAGAATTGCCAGCTGTCAAGACATTTTTCTACGTAGGAATTTTGGACTAACAAGATTACCGTTGAAACACCTTTTTGCTGGGGATTTGAGGTGTGTACCTAGGCAATTTACTTTTGCGCCAAGGTCACTGATTTCGTCATATTTAAAGATCTCACTAACAAGAATCGTACTATAAAAGAGATGGAATCTCCTAGTGACTGATGCAGAAGTTATTACTATCAGTATCTACGAGATATTCCGTTCAAAACTTCTCATTTTGCCTGACGATATTTTGTCAATTGTGATTGCGATTCAAGTTCCGATCGTGGTGTGACTGCTTTTCAAACATGCGCTCTCATTTTGGTCTGTTCAACACGTCCCACCGTCGGTCAGAGCAACAATCGTCCTATCGAAGGAGCCAGTCATCTACAGGCACAGCTACCAACTCGACTCAACATCCGGCTCTGTCTAGAACGTTTGACGATCCCTCCTTTATCCCTCTCGCGAACTCTGACCTCTACATCGATCATGATGAGGATATCCAGCGCACTTTGACGCAGCTCAACCGATCACTGCCACAAACAGGAGCAGGTTCCTCAGCCACAAGACCTAGAGAGATGCGGCAAGGCCATGATACTCTGTTAAATCATCCACTCAGTCATGATGAGCCTAGCCACTTCCATACTCAAAGTCACGTCGCAGTTCCTGATGCGCTTTACTGCTACCAAGATACGACTCTAAGACCATCTGCTGCAGGCAATGAAGCTTGCCCTTCAAGCCCCCGTCCAACTCGTACTCGGCACATCTTTCAGACTGAGGGTCTTTCCAACATTCAACAGTTAGTCTCCTATCCCCTTTTTCACACTTTATTATTGCATCTGTACAGCCTATTGACATTATTGAAGGCCAGATCAGAATGGAGTCTACCGGTGCTTTTGGTTGGGTTGCACGGATCGCCATGGGTTTTCGCGAGATCTTTCGCTATGGAGACATATCAAGGCCAAACACCTTCACCCCAAGTCCTTCAAGTGTCTTATGCCCAACTGTGGAAGACTTTTCGATCGACATGACAGCCTCCGGACGCATCAGCAAACAACAGGCCATTGTATTTGATCATCCCTCGGGTCTTCCATTTTCTTTTCTCTGAACCTAAATTTTCTTTATGTATTTATTTCTTAAAGAATGGCATTTTTTATGATTATAGCTTTCCTTTCTTACCTACCTAGTCATAGAGCGGTAAATCAAGACGAATACTAGTAAATCTATATCTTTAGAATGATGGAAAATCTTTCGTGAATAGAATTCAATGATGTAATCAAGCCGTTGTGTATGTGAATCTAAGTTGATTTATTGGATTAATGTTATTGACGATGGTACCTTGGATCGAAATATGGCCAGTGCGCCATGCGGGACGTTTTTGGCACTGGAAAGAGAACGACCTCGGGAGTCTACTCCGTTTACGTACTCCGTACACACATGTGTAGGTGCTACCCGGTGACTATGTAGGCATGAACTCGAAAATAAATACACATTCGAAGGCAGCAAGAATTTTTCTTACCTTTTATTTTTGACCAAGCTCTGCATACTCCGTACGTGTGTCAAAAAGTGGCGACATCCCCTGTGGCCCCCGGCGGCTTCAAGTTAGACGTTTGGGTTACGAGCAGGTTCCCGCTGGGCCCGATCGACGTTTCTCTTCTCAGGGACTTACTTATCGGGGCCACACGTGGGTCAGGTCAGTTTTTTTTTCTTTTAGAACAAAATCGGAACGCAATTTGCCTCACGGTGGAGTCGTCGACTCTCCTGAATTGGCCAATAACTGACTCGACTGCTGGTCATTTGCGAAGACGTGACGTGTCATGCTTACATCCGGGTGCACCCCGGCGCCAGGAGGGTACTAAACCACCAGGGTCGCGAAAAATACAGCCCCGGACATAAGTTCCCGGCTTTAACCTTCGGAAGCTACTTGTCTTTCGGAAATGTTTCATGTCAGATAAGACGTCCTAGATCCCTGGCATGGACAAACTTAAAGCCTTCAATATCTTGGGCCTCGCTCGCATCCTATTCGGCGAGCACCACTTGAGCACTCCGTAAGTATAGAGTAGATCGACTCTAGTTGTAACAAACCTGGCTTTCACTCCACTGCGCACCGTACCGTACCGCACCGAAAATAAGCTATTTTTGGCTCCCTCTACGGAAGTCAACTCGTTCTTTTAGCCCCTAAGATTTCTTCCCTTCATTATTACCCATAAACAACGAAGATATTGACGGATACATGTCATGTTCCTCATTGAATACTAGAACCATCTGAGCCATCCCCGTTCTTGAAATATTCAAGTTTTAGATTCTCTTGCCAGCAGGAGCTTTACAGAAACAAACCTTGGAAGAGGGTGCAAAAAGCAGAGAACTATCATTATCACCATCTCAAATTCAAATTCATAAAAGTGGCCTGGGACTTGGATCTGGATACCATTCTACCATTCCATACACAGTCCTATATGTAGATGACAGGGTTTTTACGCAAAAATGTCGTACCTATCTAGGGGAATTATGGATAATTTCCATTTACCTCAAAGCTTAATTCGGATGAACTGTCCGGGTTAGATAAATGGTTTGCTCTGACACCGGTCGGTTTCCCTTGGCATTCAAATTCTAAGGTTGGACTGGAGGACCTCTCATAAGTTGGGATTGGTGAACCCGACGCGCAATCCTTTTCAGGGCAGGATGAGCCGCTGCCGGTATTCCGCGAACCCCGGAGTTGAAAAGTGGCGAAAGGTCAAGTGGTCCTGAGTTGGTCAAAGCTTGAGTAAGTGCACGCGGCGATCAGTAGTCCAAAAAGAAATTAAAATAATGAAACAAAGTGAAAAATTAAATTAAACGGAAAATTAAAAAGAAAATTAAAAAAAACCTTTAAAAATTCAAACTGGCGATAGGTATGAGCGGTCGACAGACCTCCGTACCCAAGTTATCGGCGCTTGTATTGCCTCCAGGGCTAGGTACTTTGATGCTCCAGATGTCCGCACCCAGCTCACTGGCCCCCGCAATACTTTGTGGATATGGAGCTTGCCCGCTGGGTATTTCGAGTAAATTATGGGCTTGGATATAAACAAGTGGGAATTTCACGATTGAAAGGTGAAAAAATAACTACAACTTAACCGGATACACCGTGACTCTGCCTGGAGTTTCACACTTCCGCATGCTCAAGGGCCGGCCTTTATCCTTGCTATATCATGCTATCCTGCTCCCATACGAGTGTATTTGCGTCCAAGTACCATTGATACATCAGCCTTTCCAATTTCCTATTGCGTTTCTTTAAGCTCGCACCCCTGCATTCACGGATCACGCCAGCGCAATGTCTCCATTCAATTATACATCTATCCATCCCTCCAAGACCAACACTCATATCGGAAATCTGCCGGACGATTCCAGGCAATTTCATGAACAGTGGTCTCATTTCCACAGGACCAATACTATTCATCACACTGTACTACCCGCCCACGTGCCACAGCCAGCCACATACACATGGCTATAACTTAAACTAGACCTCACCCGGTCGAACTTTAGGCTACATTTTCAGCTTCGCCATTAGCGTTGCAGACAATCTCGTCGCACTAATGCCTTAGGTAGGAGTCCTTAGCAGGCTGCAGCAATTGTCGGGGACTTTGGATTTTCGCAAGATGCAAGCCTCAAGAGAGATATCAAGGCCAGGCATCTCTATCGTGCACATGTGGATTATTAAAGTGTCTTGTTTGTGAGGGTTGGTAGACTTGACAGTTTTCGAGCTCATCAGCATCTGAACCTTGGAAGGGTCGTCTTGAAAGTTGGCCTGGGTTTGAAATGGACAAAATCTGGTTTTGAAGTGACATGGAAATACTCTGAGTCTCCAAGGCCCAGTGTCAATGGATGGATAGAGCCTCGAGGAAGCTCTAATCTTGGAAGGGAATAGGCAAGATAAAATTATCTGGAGCGCCTTTTGAAGAGTCACTAGGAACTCATATAATAAAAAGGTATGGCATTCACCACATGTATCTTTGAACAGAGTGACAGCCTGGGAAGGAAAGGATGTAGTAGCGCCCTGATATTGCCAAAGATATGCATACCAGAAATCAATACCTGCTACACACATGTGCATAAATATGCCACTCGATTGGGATACATCCAAAAATCATTGCCAGGTATATCCACCTTTGCCAGTGGGACTAGGCGCCATTCACCTTTAAAACCAAGTTTCCGCTTCTGCTCATCCCAGATGTTGATTTCTTTTTCAATTATCCTCTTGCAGATCTCCTTTTCCTCTCGTCGCCAATCCTCCTCGCGGAACTCCGTCTCCCAACCGTAGTCCTCGATCAGAACTTGCTTCATTTAAATTTCCTCTGGTGACTCGGGGAAGTTGAAGCCAATATATCCACCGACATACTATAAATTACGAATATTGTCAATAATACCCTAGGGGGCATGGTAAGTCTTACTTTCTTCCCGGAAGTCATTCTCCATACCCCAGGTAGATTCATCAATAATTTGAATGACATCTAATTCACATCATTAATTCTTTCCTTTAAATGAATAGGGTGGGGAGTATACTTCACTTGGTTTAGAATTACTGTGAAGGCACCATCCAAATGCACCCAGCAAGTCAGTGTAATCTCCCATGATTTCAAAAATCCATTATTAATAAACCACTTATGCCGGCTTTTTCAGGATCGCGGCCATTCCGGATTTCTTAATTCTCAAGCTAATTAAAGGCACTGGTGGAGAGAATACGACGTCTCCGGAGCGGTAATGGCTCACTTTGTGAAGTAAGTTGTCAATAGAAGTAAATTGGGGGAGTATTGTTTCTTCATGGTCAGGCACCGGCGAAATAACGGAGGAGGACTCGGAAGACATCGTTCCGGTATTTCTATGCCAGAGGTAAACCGAGCTGAGTAGAAGAGGAAAGATAATCCGTGTATGTCGCAGGTATGTTATGGAAATGCCTGAGTAGATTGAGATTTCGGGGAGTGTCTCCCATCGTGTGAAACCAGGGAAGAGGAAGTGAATTTTGGCAAGCGAGAACGAGAACGAGACTATGTATGGATGAAAATTATAATTCTTTTTGGAATAGACCAGGAAGAAATGGTACTCTCCAGTGCCACTGGACAGGCTGCACCGATCGTCAAGGGTTTACGCGAGACACCTCGCTTTGGCGACACATCAAGGCTAAGCATCTGTAGCGCGGGTCATTTGTGTGCCCTGTTTGTGGTAAGAAACTCGATAGATTTGACAGTCTTCAAGCTCATCGGCGTCTTAATGGTCATCTCGATGAACAATAGTCAGCTCTGACCACCTGAGGTGACTCGGACTTGATGATCATTTCCTTTTTTGCCGGGTTTCTGGACCTTTTTGACTTGGTTACTATGTGCATGAATGTTGGTGCATTGGAATTTTTTTTTCTTTTTATTTCAAATGTTCTTTCGTTATGTCCTTCTCTCTCTTTCCCGGCTGCAATTATGTACATGGTGCGAATTGAATATTCTTACTATACAATGCTTGGAAGTCCCACATAGCGCCATTTATTGTGGAGAGGTTTCCCGTGGGAATGATTAAAATTGGAATTGAGAAATTGATGATAGGGATGAATTTTACCTCTATTCCGTGTAGATTTCAAGGAAGATGACAAGGTACTTCTCTGTTTCTCTTCTGAATGGTGAGGTGAGGATGGGTTACAGATAAAATAACATCGGATAAAATGTAAGACCAGGGTCAATATGGGAATAATTCAAATGTTATCTGTCGCGTGATAACTACATCGATTACTCTAGAAGCTCGAATACGAATGAATGGTTCAAGCAAACGCAAAGGCAGAATAGAACAGTGTCTCTCAAAGTTATGACCATTTTGTGCATTAAATATGCTAGTGGAGCCTGAGGCAGAGACCCACTTGTATCCGCTAATCGGGCCGACCCTTTCATTCCATCTGGATCTGGAAGCTCCTCCACAAGCACACTTGAGATGTAAATTATCCTGACAGCATTACATCTGGGCCGTGGAGATAAAACTCTGGGATCTTTGGCAAATCTCCCCTTTTCGAAATCCGAGGCTGAAATACTGGATGTTGGGTTGCCTAAATCTGGAGTCAGACGCCGCGTGGGCTTTCGTAACTCCAAAAATGCAAATGCAAGTCGAGTGATCCTCAGGTGAGATTAAGACAAAACACTTGAACCCGAAATTCCTTTGATCCCATTTTCCGACTTACGACCGAGCATTTTGCTTGGGCTGACAATCTCCTGGTGCATCAACGAACAAGAGATCATATGTATCCCGTCCTCAACGTTTGACCAAGCTTTTACTTCTCGCAAGAAACACGACACCTTTGGAGCTTAGACAAGCTTAGATTTGGCCCAGAGATTCACCAAAGAGAGAGATATGGGTTTCTACGTCATCAGTCGATGAATCTCGAGGTCGAATGTATTGTCAACTGGCGTGTCTTCAGCCTTTCGCTCCAAACTCGGATCCGAGCGCGATCAGCTCTACGGAGTAGTGGGCTAGGATTTTCCCGAACGTAATTCATTTGAAGTAGCCCTGAGCCCTGGAGTGGGAGATATTTCATCCACAATAAATCAACTTGAAGTGCCGGAAAAAGATTAGAAGGATCCGCGATCAGGGGAGGACCTAAATCGAACCTTGGAAGACTCGGAATACTCGGTGATAATAAACCAGGCACAGTTCTAACCTTGGGTCACAGAGGAACATTTGAAGAAGATGAATGGTCCACGGGTATAAGGGACCAAAGAACCGGCCGAACATACTCCGTAGATTCCCGAGATCGGAGTTTACCCAACCTGTAAAATTCGACAGCCTGGAATGCGGTCAGGTGCCTCGAGTTGCAAAGATCGGATCTTGAAAACCGGGCAGCCGATCTCTCGATGCTCTTGTTGGTAAAGGTGCCATGACCGCCATGCGGGAATCTCGATCCCTCGTTCATTACCGAGTCAAGCTGATCATTTCCTAAATGGGGCAGACAAGACCACCTGGGCACCTGGGCACGCTTGATCGATCGAAGGTCGGACCCGGCTTAAGTACCGCACTGCGGATCAATGAGCCCCACCTGAACGCCCAAATATGACTGGACCAAATGGTATGATTGGTCTTTTAGACCCTTTTTGATCATTGAGCGACTATTATGATGGCTCAAGCTCGATGATTTATTCAGTGATTAGACAGTTCGGCATAGACAGATTTGAACTTGTGTTAGCAATCAATTGGTTGGGCGGCAGCATAGCCAACATAAGGAAATCCGTAGGCCCATGATATAAAGAGAAGAGCATATCCTTCATTCTTTGAAAGATCCACCTGGGCAACAATCGATCAGCCTCTTGCCTACTCCCGAGATCGTGATGAAATATCCCTCCACCTCCAGGGCTACTTGTACATATCTTTCAAGTTCAGTTTTCGGAGTTTTTTCATTGAGCCCTTCTTAAACTATGTGTTCCACTCCAGCCTGCGGCTATGACTTGTGTCAACATAGCTCCCGGTCTCACTCAACCTGGCACCAAAGTGCTCATTCTATCAACCAAACGGCTCCTGACGGAGCTACTCGATTATTGAATAACGCGAACACCATTAATTTACCTTCCGAAATACCAATTTCTGGATATGGCTTTCACCACGAAGATTCTCAATATCCTATCAAGTCCCCTCAATTCATTCAACAGGGAAATTGGCTTCCGCAGCCCGATCGATCGAGTCACGGTCCAGTTCAAGTGCCAGTTTGTCATGCAGAGTTTACTCGGCACTCACCCAACCTATCGCATAGATCAAACAGCACTACTGCCAGGCTTCCGTCCTCAGTGCTGCCAATTACGCCTCTTAATTTCAGCCCGTCCACAAGAATACTTCAAGCCCAAGTCGATACTATGTATCACCCAGATCATACTATATATCTCACTTATCCCCTTCATCGAACTCGAATCAAAGACCATCAATCATAAGGACCGCAGGGGGTGCAGGATCACAGTAAGTCTCTCCAGTCCTCGTGCAGCCTCTCATCCTATGTCATGATAAAATACCAACAGCGAATTGATAATGACAGACCGGTGGGACATAGCACTCTCCGATTTTACTGCCAGTGGGCGGGCTGCACCGACCGTCAAGGCTTCTCACGGGACACTTCTCTCTGGAGACATATCAAGGCTAAGCATTTGCATGCCGGATCATTCGTATGCCATGTTTGTGCGAAGCAGTTTGATAGATTTGACAGTCTTCAAGCTCATCGGCGGCTGAAGGGTCATCTGGAATGATCTTTCGAGTATCTAGTAATTGCCGAGGCAAGCTATGGTGGCCTCCAAGGTCATAATGAGTGTGGTTCATGGTATATGGGATTTCAACGAAATAATATGAGTGTACATGGCGAAAATTCAATTCTCACATGAGGAAAACGCAATTTCCATATGATGATTTACTGCTCTTTGCATCAGCCGGTTGATATAGCAGATTCAGTCAGAGATTCAAATGTTGCTGATTTCAAGTTACCTTTACTCCCAAAAGGTATGGCCATTCTGTACTCCGTACATAGCCTGGAGTGCCAGCTGATATGACACTGGGGCCCACTTTATCCCCGCACGGGCCGATCCCTCCTTTCATCCCATCTGGATCTAGAAGCTGTTCCACAATTGCACTTGCGGTAAAAATGCCTGGACAGCAATGCACCTAGGGGTGGGAGATACCGCATCAATGCCGCGCCATGATATACGACAGAGCTCAAGTGCTCTTCTTTTTCAAAAGTCGTGGCCTAAGAGAATGGCTATTGGGACGCCTTAAATCTGGTGTCGAATGCCTCGCAGGTCCTCATCGCCTCCAAGTATCCAAATACATGCATGTTAAGTGATGTTCAGGTTGACAAGATGAAACAGCACCGCTTAAGCCGCAGTGCTCCTAGGCTCTAATACAAATCATGATTTGGAGCGCTGAGGTAGAGCAGGAATTAGATAGCCCGCGGCCAGGGCTAGAAGGCGGCCTTGGCATGATCAAGAGCCTCGGTGTTGCCAATTTACCTTTGTAGAGAGAGGTCACGGTATTCCTACACCACCAAAAATTGAATACATAGATATTACTATGATAGTACGGAGTAGTAAGTGCCCAGGTGGTCGAACATGTGGGGCGTGCTCCACTTTTTCTACCCTAAAGCTCGGACCCAAGGGCCCAAGGGCGATTACCGATCGTCCAAGGACATCTGGAATGGAGGGATGCTTTTCTATGTGACCAATTTCTATATGACCAAGTTCTATCCGAACAATCGCGTGCAGGCAATATCTTATGGTTGTTAGTGAGTCAAGGGATGATATATGATCATGATCCTTGAAAGATTCCCGATATTGACTGTTGAGGGAAGCAAATCGTGGGAACGGAAGTACAATTGCAATTCTTCACTTAGGATGGTTAGATGATAGTCAGGAATTGTAATTGAGTGTATCGACGATTGAAGGCAAGTACAGTAGAAAGAAGTAAACCGTGATGATTGATCGACACAGACTTCAATCTTGGAGAAGGCTTTCACGGGAAAGGCTATAGTCCCTGGGGAAGGCGCAATCGTCCTCCTATTCTGGAAGGGGATGGGCAAAAGCAGTGTGGATGATATAGAGAGTCAATGTGCATGTAAGTTCCCGGAAGGGCTGGAAAACCGACACCTTCAATGCCTTAAATCCAATTTGACACCTGACTCTTGCCGTCAGAGTGGAGTGGCCGTCTTCCGTTCTTCGTCCATTAGTGGAGTAAAGCGGGTCCTTTACATACCCGTGGACCAGTGGCCACGCTTACTACATACCCAAGCCAGGCACACGCATTCCTGGCCCATGCAGGCGGATAGGTTACAGCTGGTTGGTATAGCGGGGATTTGACTCAAATACCCAGATTCTGGAATTTTAATTGGCTTTTGCTTCCAGATCATATAGAAAATGATGCATGAACTTACATGTAAGGGTTCGGGGATTCTCTGTCTTCAGAGTAGGATTAGGACCTGTGGGGAATTGTGACGGCGATCGACTCGGAGACTTTCAGGTTTGAGTCTGCACCCTTGAGGGGTTGAATTATAAAACGTGCTTAGTCTCCTTATTGTTTTGAAAGACTCAACAACTCAAGTGCTGCAAACGTTGACTCGTCCACTACCTTCTTGCCCCGAAGGACTCCTCTTTTTGCTAGTACTATATTGCTCTCAACTTTGGGTTTCTGCTTCAAGTCCACGGGTGTTCGCACTAGCAGATATCCCCTGCAAGATGTCACGGTGGCCTCCAACACATAACTATGGCTCTGGTCAAAACAAGTTCGAGTCTCAGTTCCACCAATGTGCTACTGCTATGGGTTGGGCTTCTCCCAACGAAGCCATTAATGAAGATTCAGATGGTGCCAACACCGTGAACCCTTCCCCCGCTACACTGATTCCCGGCCTCCAGTGTCAAGTTCCTCAATGTCCTTCCGAATCATACCAAATGAATCAACAAGCGAATTTGGTTGCTCAATACAATCACCTCGGTTACGCTCAAGTTCCAGTCCCAGTTGGCTATACAAACACCGGTCAACACGCTGTGAATCCTGGTTATGCGAACGAGATGGTCACAGCTGGGTCTAGGTCTTCCATGTTTATACCGATGGGATCTCCTAGCTCCGGCTCTCCGGCGGGAATGTCGACTTTCAATCAGCCGAATCAGCCTCTTGTCTCTCATTCATCTCATGTATCGGACTCGAATGGGACACTGGTAATGACAAGTCCGGCTGTGGATTCGACACCACAGTCCATACATGACAGGCGCCATGTGAGTGAACAGTAAGTCTCATCACACTTTCAAGTTGTACAAGTCTTTATATCTATATGATGATACTTACTGCCAGTTCACAGCGATATACAAGATAGAAATAGCCCCATCCAATCTTCGTGGACGGACTGTACTGAAAATCCAACTTTCGCCCAGGAGGGTTCTCTGTGGAGACATATCAAGACAAAGCACATCTGTCCTGAAAGATTCGTGTGCCCTAGTTGTGGAAGGAGGTTTCATAGAGCTGATAATCTTCGGACTCATCGACATGTGCACATGGATATGTGACATCATCCTTCCAAGGTTGAGCCACCTACTTCCATGTGTATGACCAGTTTGAGGGATAAAAGTTCAAACAGTGCATGTATATCTCCGCCGAAGTCCACCGGTAGGATCCCGACTTTTTTCACTTACTAGTAGTGTTGCACTCAGGCTGCGATTCTTCATCTTCTTTATTTCGGGTTATTTTTGTTTTCTTTTCTGTTTCCATCCAACCACCTGGGCACCTTCCGAGGTTGGCATCATTCTTCAACGTTCTTCTAGGTATCATTCTGGTTATTACATATTTTCTTGCATTCATAGGTTTTGGGGTATCCATGTTGATAAAGTTGTTTCATATCTCACAAAGTGATGCGCTATTCTCCACAATAAAACCGCAGTCCGGAACCCATAGCTAGGTAACTTAAGATAACATCGGTTGCTCCAGTATCAGATAAAGATCAACCACACAAGCCTCACTTGCTATCTTGTGGCAATTCACTGCCACCAACACATCCACCAGCATGATCATGATCATCCAAATGATATCCCCGACTAGCAGTCTTCAACTCCCGCTCCAATGCCTCCGTCAACTCCCCAAGTAACCACTCAACTTCACTCTTCTCCCCAATTAACGGATTCTTCTTATCGATCCAGCTCCACTCTTCAAATGCGCGTTCTCGCTCTCCATCCTGTTCGTTGACAGTTTTATCATCGGATGCAGGCTTATGTTTCCCTGAGATAAGAGAGAGATAGTACTCCCACTCCAAGTAATCAAATTCCTTGGATAGATTGCTTCGCGTATACTCCATCATCTTACGGATTTCGCGGAAAAGAAGGTAATGGTAGTGATGAACACTTTCCGCGGCAATGTCACCGCGCGCTCTTGCAGACTCTTCTCGTTCATGTTCCTCTGCTTCCAAAGCACGATGCACTTGGCAGTTTGCTTGTTCCGGGTCATTAGTTCCCTTTTCATCGTCGAGTATGTCCTGTGCAGCGGACTTTTCGCCAAGCGTTTCCTGGACCCATTTGTCCGACCAGGACATACGGAAAATATCTTTAAGACGTTCGATCAAAGGTTCATCGCCTGGCAGAATGGTGAGTTCACCGATGTAGAGGGTAAGATCCCGGACAAAATGGATAAGAGTGTCGCCGATATTTGAAATAAGGATTGTGATTGTTGGCACGGCGAGTAAAGACCAGAAGACGAAGAAAGATTTTCCCAAGCTGCTTTTGGGGTAAATGTCGCCGTATCCGATGGTGAGTAGCGTCACATATGCAAAGTATAGAGATTCGAAGTATGTCCAAGACTGACTTAGCTCCGACCGCCAAAATACAACGGCTCCAATAAGCCACATGGCCATCCAGACCAACAGAGACATACTCAGCGAGATCCACTTGTGCTGCACGGTGGCGAGCTGTCTAATGCGACGCATTGTAATGAACTCTCGCTTTTGTCGATCGCGGGGATTGTCCTCTTCATTTGGTCGGAGATCCGGCACCAAACTGCCGAGTCGCTTTCTATCTGACTTTGCTTCCTTCACGAGAAATTTGCGGGTACGCGCTGCAAGCGCATCGGCCATTTTCTGACGTCCTCGTTCCAGCATCAATGTTCGAATCGAGGAGATGATCAGACCGAGAATCACAATGCCACCGATAGCATATGGGAAGAGTAGTCCTCGCCCAAGGTGGGTACCAGGGGTGATATTGCCGACCCCAATAGTGAGAAGCGTATAGTCTGCAAAGTAAACCGCATCCAAGAACCGCCATCCCTCAATCTTGGCATAGACCGCCGAGCCCGAGAGAAGATAGAAACAGAAGATGATTGTCTGAAGCATCAGGGTTCGCTGACTGTTCGATAGTTTGTATTCACAACTGTAATATCCGTGGCGTGCTCCATATGCAGTCATCATCATCAGACATGCAATAATGAAGTATACACCAGCTGCGAAGGCCCCGTAGAAATAGGCCTGGCTGTACACTCGAGTGGAGTTCTCAGGCCTGTACATGAGGACACCGAATGGAATGAGAATGGCAATTAGTAGCGCGGATGAAACAAGCCACCCGATGATGATAACTGGCTGAGCAAGGGAAAACCGAATGCGACGCGCCATGTTTAGCGACAGGAACAGGTTGGCTACCAGAGCACAGACAAGAGAGATTGAATTGATGGCGGTCACCCTGAACGGACTCTTATTAAAGATAAACTCTGTGTAGTTGATACAGGAAACATACCATTTCGGATCTGTGACATCCAAGTATCCGTCATCTGCATCAGGCTCCATACGCCACGGTTGGGCTAGACAGCACACATTGAAAGCACTGGCCATTGGCCCGAAAGTACCCTATGAGTGTATTAGTATCTTCATAATTTGATCATTCACGGATTGACCATACAGCTGCCAATGGGTACGCAGTACTTGCGAGCCACCATCGAGGTGACAAGGGACGCTGTGCATCTTGTTGGGTCCTAGTAGTGTCCTTTGTTGAAATGGTACTATTATCGCGCTGTTGAGTCTGAGAGGAGAAATGATCTAGAGTATTCGCCTCATCGGCGATAGCCTCATCCAGGCCTGGGTCATTCATCTTGTATAGACCCACTCGAATCTCTGATCATATATACCTGATAGCTGCAGGGTTTCAGTATAATAGACAACGAGCCCCTTTCAATATCGAATGCATGATTCAATTTGGGGAGAAGAAAGAAGGGCCTGTCAGTGGAGACTATCGGACATAAAATTAGCGGCGTATCACAAAATCAAGCTTCATGGCAGGCACAACCGTCATGATCGACATGAGAAAAGCACGATCTGAGTGGGGATTGACGTCACACCACGTGATATCAAATTACAGATCCATGGATGTTCAACCATGCAAGGTACAAGGAACATGATCGAGAGATATCTCGAAGATCACTGCATACAATAGGACATAGGTGTGTAAAGGAAAGAAATGAGAATTGTAATCGCACATTGTGCTTTTGATCCTAAGAAGCCATAAGTCGATCCCTGTACATATTATTGCTTCGAGGCTGTACATTGGGTCAATCAAATTCATCACAGACAGCAGATGATAGCCAGTTTCTGCGTTAGTGCTGAAAGATGTGATAAGAGTGCAAGTTCAAGCTACAGAGACATTGGATGAGGACACAGACAAAGGACAAATATTCCGCCGAATAGAACAAACTGTTAAAGAACGCCGATAAACTCCGCACTTCGAAGACCCGCGTTGCCATGAAGTAGAAAGAAAGGAGTGAATAAAGCAAGGTCGGTAGTCATATCGGAAGTGATAGAAATTAGAATGGGGTATCGCAGAAATCAAGACGTGGAGAATCGGATGAGCAACATGAACCACTCGTTACTCAGTTTCGTTAAACTGGTCCTGTGTTAGTGTGAGTTTACAATAATTTAGCGTTTGTAATAACATACAGTGGGTTGCTCCTGGAGTAAGAGCTGAAGGGAGTCTATGATCGTTTTGGGGCGAAGGACGACGGTCGAATCGAGGATCTACATCCTCGTAGTAAGCCGTGCCTTGCGTCGTTGTCGCATGTACCGGCGATGATGTTGGGTGAGGCGACAAGGTACGGCGAGGGTCACTGCCACCCCAGCCGGTACGAGCTGGGACATAAGACCTGCGATGCAAAGTTAGTCGAATTTCTGATTGAAGTAAACAAATTGAAACATACTCAGTATGGCTGTACAAACTTGTCGGACTCTCAAGAGGCATGTGTTGGCCATCCACAGACACAGCGTGTGGTTGAGAATCAGTGCTCATTGCCGCCATCGAATCATGAGGGTCATATCGTGGTTGTGGGGTCATCTCAATGGCCTGACCAATTGTCTCCGGAGACACTGCCATTCCAATTGGTCCTGGAGAAGGCTCGCGCATTGGTTCAACAGGTGCCATATCATGGGCCTCATAGGGATCATTAGCAGGAGGAATGGGCCGACCGTACGGGTCGAAATTGCGGCTAGGCCCAGTCGCATACCCATAACCACCACGAGGCATACCACCACGGCCTCGTGGCATTGGACCCATGTAGCCACCGCGACCTCGAGCAGGTCCATTGTAAGGCCCACCACGAGCATATCCGCGTGAAGGGTAGCCACCCCGACCGCGAGGAGCAAATCCAGGCGGGGGCGGAGTTCCACGTGAGCCAATGCTACCCTCGGAAGGCTGAGGACGCAGACGAGGATCCGAGGGATTGCGCATTATGGGACCAGCGCCATACGGACCGGACGGAGGAAGACCCTGTTCATCCTGCGAACGATAGGGTGTTCCCCGACGACTTGGGGGCGGGGGCATATCATTCAATGGGGTACGAGAGGAATTGAGTGGAGTGCGGTCATCGTCACTGTCGCGAGTATTGGTTCGGAAAGTAGCGAATGTCGCGGCTTCATCGGTGACAGACCCAGTAGCCATGGCCTCCTTGGTTTCAGTAATTGGCGGAGGATCATCGGCAAGTGCAGCTGTTGCAGCGTTTTGGCGGTTGTAGTAGTTCTCTCCACTCATTTCCGCATTCTCCGCAATGCGCCGCTTTCTAGCCTTTCGGCTGACCAAAGTCCGACGCATCGCACATGTTACCACTCCACAGGAGACCAAAATAATTGTGGCTACAAGCACAATCCATCCTGCCCATTTCAGATGAGGCACAAAAAGTAAAATGTCGACGAGGAATGCGAGAAGGGTGACGAGCAGTGTCGGCAGCAATAGAATCAACAACGCGAGTAGGAAGGCGGGAGAATGAGATGGGACATGGAAGTGGGCCGCGCCAGCAAGACAAAGACAAACAAGGTTTAAGAACGCGGCAATGGGGTGGACGATCAAGATAGCTGACAGCGATTTACGGGTACTCGAGGGAAGATCGAATTCATCACCATCGCCGGCTAGGAATGCGTTTAGCTACCTGTAGGCAGAAGCCAAAGGATAGGAAAAAATCCGAATAACTTACTGCTGGTGTATCCTACGTGGATTCCGGTACACTTGTCGCCGTCGCAATATCCAAATACACCGTAATCCACATCTTTATAGGTCGCGAGAGGGATACCCTTTACGATGGGAGTGGAGATGCAGGTAACGAGCAATAGAATAAAGGTAATTAAGAGCAAGATCGTGAGGGGTGTTGCTGGTTTGAGTAACATGGTGAGGGCAAAGGGCGATTATCAGTGCCCTTGAGTCGTGTCTCCCTCTCTCTCCTTGAGTGTGTGTATCTTTCTCTCCAGTCGGGCCGAAAATGAGGGGATTTCAGACTTGCAGGTCGCGCAAAGAGTCCAGGGCGGAAGTTGCGATTCAATCCAACGTTGACAAGGACATTGCGGGTCTTCTTGGGACGGGGGTTAGGGATAAAGATTGGAAGATTTGGAGTTTTAAAAGAGTGAAAAATGGGGGAATGAGGGGAGAGAAAGTCAAAAAAGAGAGGATGAAAGAGATAAGCGTTGAGGCGAAAGTCGAGGGGAAGATGGAGGTGTGGGTGCCTGAGGCCCCATACTTCCAACGTTTGACTTGACAACTACAACAACTTAGGTGTGTGCTACAAGTACTTTGCATAGCATGGAGAATTATAATTTCTTCCCTCAATCCGGTCTCTAGCCTTTCTTTCATCTACTAATTTGTCTATAATGCAGAAAAGTCGATTATGATCAAGAGCTTCATCTGGGCTGACTACACATATTCCCATGGATCTCCCATTCGCTCTCGGGTCGGAACAGATCCCATGGGTCAGTTTCGCCAAGCCTAGTTCGCCAATTCTTCTGATGATTGCGCATACGGTGGGCTCCCCCCGAGGATCATAGCACCACGGATATGGGAGTATAGCGTGGCCATTACGAATCGACCCACAGCTCCCGGTAATTTCTTTTAGCAAAGCAGGCAACTTGAATATCAGGAGCAGCGATAAAATTGGAAATCCTGGAATGATTCTGGTGCACGGAATAACTTTCACTCCTCATTCTTGCTTACTCCGCCACGAGAGCATGCGGACCTTGGAAGCTTAAATCTCCTTTCTCTGCATCTGGCAAGCTCCGCTCAGGCCTTCAATTCCCAAGAGACTCGGGACATTTGATGGATATGAAACGAGATCTACACTGTTTGAAGTATACGAATTTTGGACCCTTTTGCAGATCGGTGGCAGCTCAACTCCTTTCACCTCACACGCCAATATTCAGAGATTTAGGTGTCCACATGCTATTCAAGCCGTTGATGATCTTGCGTCTGACCTCCACCGGACAAACATTCTTAAAGTCATTGCGGGTCCACAGACCACTTTAAGATGAAACATGCCGCACTCCGACGGGAAAAGCTAGCCGTTTCTTGAATATTTCCCCTTGACGGCCCATGCTAGCTAAGCACTTACGGAGAGCTACTCCGTACCAAGAACTAGCTCCGGATCTAGATAAGACATTCCCGACGATTAAAATTATGTGCAGATGCAAGCGAGCTATCTTGAACCAATCGCTTCTCTTAGTCTGTCTTCCCACGCGGTTCAATGCGTCTGCTGACAATGCTAATTAAGCTTATGGAAGTTCTCTTGATCAGCCAATAGACTGCTTCTCGCCAACCAATCCCAAGATTCAACGTTGTGTTCTGGAATCATACGCTGTACGGAGTATCATTTGATCAATTTACGAGTGTGTTCCTCAGGCACTGGCACTGACAACCCATCCAGGGTTGGGTTACACGGACAACGGTAGCGTTACAACAGTCAAGAAGGAAGATAGAATGTTTGAAATTAGTTTCGGTCATTCTTGGACAGAAACCTTCAAACTTGGATTATACTGTTAGTGGGATATGTGTATCTCTGAAAAGAAATTGACTTGGTCCATTCAAATCCATGCCGATGTTACTAGAAATGACATACCCCTAAGCAGTGGTAATTTTGAGACCGAAACAAAGTGATGACTTTGAAATTCTGGTAGGAGGATTTCCGAGCCTACTCAGTGTGATACAGCATTCGTGCAACCCAATAAAGCTCTATTCTAAGATTCGAGACTTAAAGGCAAGATGTCCCAGATAACATTTTGAAAGTGTGGATCGGAGCGTTGCTCATGAAAGGCCCCAGAAAACAACAAATGTGACAAACCAAATTTATCAATCAAATCAAATACATTACGCCTTGTACGAGATCTGACGAGTCAATTTAATCTCCTTTTTTAATATGCGCTGCCTATGGAAGCTATGGCCTTGGCTGAAGCGAAAATGTTACTGCGACGAGGAAGATCGCTCTCTTCTATCGGAAAGAGCAACGATAGCCCAAACATGGGAGATGACGCTGAAGAATGATTCTCCCGACCGAGAAATAGAGTCACGTCCACATGAACGTTATGTCAGGTTTGGAATTGGAGGAGCTGGGAACACACACAAGTCAGGATCTTACTCCTTTCCTCAGTCTCTATAACACTGACCTAAGATAGAGTCTTATCGCAGAATGGACGAAGTATTCATTCGATCACACGATAGTGTACTATCAGCAGTATTGTACGCGTTATAATTGATGAATGCAAGTCGAATCATTGCCTGCTGGGCATACTGTGCTTTCTGAGGCTAGCTATTTTCATGGCCTCGAACTCGGAAGACAGACGTCTGAGACTCAACAATATCAGGAATGAGGTAGTCAAGACAACTCCCTTAAACCAGCATTAAACCAGCAATAAGAAAATCTCATTATAGGGCTATAATAAAACATTTCAACATTCCTGTCTACCTTGGGCTTTCACAAGGCTGCAAGTTCCACTGGGCACTTATATGTGATAGCCTCGTGTTTTCAGATCTAAGATAGGCACTGGGTGATCGGGATAGCGGCCCAGCCACGCTGTCTGGCAGCAAGGGAGAGAAATACTCCTTCACAAATAGTGTGTTAGAGAACTGGCTCCCTTTTGTAAATCATTCCCTGGGTCCCTGCTTTTGGCCACAATCTAGGATCGTAATTATTCATATTATGAATTGATGGTTCCAAGGTTGCTATTTTTCAAAATGTTGGTGTTGAGCGGAACGTATAGGCTCGAGTATTGACTATGATGGTATTTGCACTCCATAGTTACCCACTCAAATGAAGCGGTGTACATTTGAACAAAATGATCATATTGTTTTACATCACTTAGTAAATAGAAAGAAGAATAAAATAGTAAACCATATGAATTATCACTTAATAGTAAAATTAATCAAGTCTTATCACTAAGTGTAGATCGTGCAACGCCAAGCTTTCTCATATCCATGGGTTGGATCGGGCCGCGAATCTATGACCATGACCACGACGTCAGGTCTAAAATATCAACACGACATGATGTACGGGGTACGGCGTACAATTTCCGATTTATCAAATTATCTGTCTAGGTTGAAATCCTCTTATGTCTTAATCCTCCTTATTGGTCTGAGTCGTGTTAGGCTACGTGGTGGCTGGGGGAGGCTGGGAGGTGTCCACCGCAAGAGTATCAACCAAACAAAAGCCCAATAACTCGCTCTCTCAGAATTTTTCAGATCGTCATTGACTCTTGGAGCTCCATCGTGTGGAATGCTTCTCGATTAGAAAAAAAAATTTTCGGTGACATTGTGCGCATTCACGACATGTCGGATTTCCCTGGCCCACGAAACTTTAGTCTACGAAGCGTGAACTGTATGTGTAGATCAATGCGTTGAGTCTTGTTTGAAACATCAAGGATGCACCAGCATCCAGGGATTTTATTCCCAACCTCACAGCTTAGTGCATATGAACTGACTTATTTCTAGCAAGCAAGCCCCAGGTTTATCGAACAGATTCCGAAGCACAGTCTGTTGCGGCATCAGACGATTACTATTCTTTTTCAGAACGCGCAGGAACCTCGAGTCCTGACAGCCAAATGACAGCCATGAATTATGCAACCCCTCAGTCGAGGCCCTCCTCTCAGGCATCCTCGCCCTCAGTCGCACAAGCACAGCAATATGTGGTCCATGCGAGTCACCGAGAGCAAGAAGCTGCAGAAGATCGAGGGACCCCTCGACCAGCAACCGCGAGTACAGTCCGATTTGGTGAGGATAGAATCGCTCGTATTAGTCCCAAGTCAGATGAGACTGTGCGCCGTGTTCCAAGTGATTACGCAGGTCCGGCACCAACTCCTGGACTAGATGACACACCTTATGTTCAATACGCACTTAATCAACTTACTCGCGAGGAAGAAGCCAGTGGACCAAGTCGACAAGATTCGATTTCGACAACCACCGATTATCCTACGGATCGCTTAATATGGGATCAAGGACTCGGGTATTTTACTCGCACCCGAACCCCGATCCAGCATATTGAGGTTCCCGAACGACCGAAGTACAAGTCCCCATCTCCCCAAGCCTTACCCCAAAGGCCGTCATCGGTTGACCCTGAAGCATTTGTTGCTGCTGAAGCTCCCGAGGCGAGTCTATTATACCCTGCTCTTGATTACCTTCCCTTGGTCCTTCGCCCGTGGGCGCTTCTTTTGGCAATTTTTGCCTGCCTCCTCATGATCGCTGGGATCGCATTCTGTAATGTCTGGTCTCATAGGCATCAAGGTATCTGGGATTACGAGGGCCTGGGTGGTGGAAGATATTTTGTGATGCAGTTTCTTCCCCAGATACTAGCTGCGCCTATCGTGATCTGGACCTTTGTGATCCAGGCTGCGATATATCGCACAGCGCCTTTTGCAATCATGGCGGCTGAACGCCAGAAAGGAACTGTATTGCAACGATTACCAATTCTCCCACGGAACTTCATCCTGCCAGACCTTTCTCATTTTCGTCATGGCGAGCCCCTGTTTGGGTTCTCATTGTTTACGATTTGGTTATCCAACTTTTTCTCCATCCCACTTCTGAGCTGTCTGTTCCAAGCCAAATACTACTCGATCGACGGTGAAGGAGTGTGGCGATGGAGTTCAGTTGAGGGTCTCGGTTGGACAGTGATTGCGTCCTATGGACTCCTTGTTATCGGCCTAGCACTTCTTATGTTCAGATTCGTGCGAGGATGGTCCGGTCTGATGTGGGATCCAGTTTGCCTGGCCGACATTATCTCGATTATCCAACGGTCGAACATTCTCCACGATTATGAGTACTCGGAGGTAGTTCCAAATGTTGCTGATAGTCTCGACTCTCGAGTCCTCCGCCTGGGTTACTGGAAACTTTCAATGAAACGAGAAGTCTTTTATGGTATCGGTGAGGCTGATGCTCCGATCCGAAATCGATCACTTCACCAGACCGAAAAGAGTCTGCAAAAGCAGCCTCAAGGAATGAGCAAGGTCCAATTTGACCTAGAAAGCCAACGTACAGTTGTCGGTCAGCCGCTCGACCACCATCTGTATTCAACTACCACCCGATACCGCTGGACACCATGGTTCCTCCGCAAACCCGCGGTGATTACCTGGATTCTGGTTGTATTTGCCCTTTTCATCGCATTCGTCACTGTCAGCTTCGTCAACAATGCGATTATTGGTGGCTTCCCTCCCAAGCTTCCAACTCTCCCATCTACAAGTGCCTTCTCATCCTCCAACTTCCTCTACAGCTTCATCCCCGCCCTGATTGGTAATTTCCTGTACCTCGCATGGCAACCAATAGACCTATACTTCCGCGCTCTCCAGCCCTTCGTCGAACTCTCCGCACCAAACGGGGCATCAGCCGATAAGAGCATCCTCCTCGCCTACCTCTCCGCCCTCCCCATCCAGGTAACAATGCAAGCCATTATCAACCGCCACTTCAAAGTTGCCTGGCTATCATTCATGAGCCTCGTCTCAATCTCGATTCCAATCATCGCGGGCGGTATCTTCATCGCACTCTGGTACCCATCCGATAACCAAGTCCGCATCTCAGCCTTGATGCCAGCTTACTACGCCCTAATCGCCTTCTGCGCTCTATATGCAGTCTGCTTCCTAGCTATTTGGCCTGGTCGTCGTCGCTACCTTCCACACGATATTAGCACACTTTCCGATCTCATGTCCTTCCTCTATCAATCACCTCTTCTTGCCGATAAACTTCTTCGTGAACCACGGAGTAAGACTGATCTCGTTACTCGACTTATCGTCGCCCCACCATCAGAACGCATGTTTCCTACCTACGGTTTTGGAATTTATGTGGGTCGTGATGGTAAAGAGCATCTCGGAATCGACCGCTTCTCTCGACCAGGTCGAACGGATATGCTTATCACGACCGGATCCATGAAATAGACTTGATACCTGACTCTATTGTTGAGTTACTCTTTTATGCTGCCATGAATTGCATGTTCTTATGACCGACTCTTGCAGAAAATACTTTATGTCGCGTTTTTCCTGCCACGATATTCGGTTTATGTCTTTTTGTCACGTATGAGCGATTTTGTCCTTTTTGTTTTTTTATGCTTCATTTGGCATTCCTGGAGTTTTGTACACTTTATGGTATGACACTAGCGCTACACATGGGTAGATTAATTGTTTTGAACAAACATGCTATTCAGGATATAGGTCTCACTACGATTCAGCTTCAAGTTTATGAATGAATTCAAGTTTTCTTTGGAATTGGAAAAGCCCACCCACCTTGATTGCTAAAATACTACAGACCTGAGAAAAGCTGTGGGGATTAAATTATTAAATTAATTCTATAAAAGTCGGGTATCCTTGCTGGGTATTGCTTCGAGAACAATCACACAGAATATCTGAGCATGTAGGGGATGATCACGCAGGCTTTTGGAAGTAGATCATGAACACCCGATTCACTTGTTCCTCCAACCAAGTAATCTGCTCTGGCGGCAACCCCAATTCCGACCTCTGAAGATTCCTTAGACGAGAGATGACTTGCCAAGCGCCCATCAAGGGTGCAGCCTGTTTATGAGTTGATGTAACGGGCCTCGTCTCGGAAAAGGGGTATTCCACAAGATCGGTTTTCATACGAACAGATTCCGTCTGACTCCCCAAGAAAAATGGCACAGAGGCACAGATGTCATCCGCTAGTTTCTGGATCGTGGATTGCATTGCAGATTCTCGAGTGGCATCTTTATCTTTTGATGGAAGCAGATGAAGACACCTTAGCATGATGCTCTGTACAAGAATTCGGCATTCACGGTAGGTATTCCATGTTGATGCGATCCACATATCTGTATAACAGTCACAGAGATTATGGTAAATACCGGCGTTGCGCACAGATTCAGGGATTATGCTTGCGGGAATGGGATTCCAGTCCTGCGGGACGCAGTATGACCATGATAAGAGCTTGGCGTCTATTTGTGTGGCTTTGTCGAGGATGATTGAGACTTGAGTTTCGTCGGAATTTTCACTTTGTGACTTTTCCCATGATTGGCGCAGATTAACCACTTCTGCGGCGAATGATGAAAGAAATATGCGAGGTGATGGAGGCGTTTCGCATTGGGGGATAGGCCAGATCTCGGGTGTAGGGACCATTGGTGTCTGTAGGCCACGGGAAGTTTTGATCTGAGATAACTGGTTAGAGCGAGCATGGAAGACGCAGGAAAGAACGTACAATTTGAGTTTGGACGGCATGGTGGAGGGTTGATGATGAAGGACTTTCAAGCAATTTGCTTCTTCGGCTATTGATAAGTGCAATGGCGCCTTTTAAATGAGCTCTCATCGGAGTTTCCCATTCTCTGATGGCGACGAATTCCTGAATCTTGCATTAGATATCTCCTGGTTTTACTGAAAGCGAGAGGGGGTTTACCTCATAGGTCGACATGTTCAGTATAGACATCAGGATGCTGTCATATTCACCATCGTCATTCGAGAGCAAGGCTGCTCGGATCTTCGGCAACGCCTGCGTAAAATACCGTTGCGCGGCCTTAAGTAACGGCGCATGTCCGGTCCAAGCTGCCACAGAGAAGAAAGCAACTGCTAGCGTACTTGTGTGAACATAAGATCCAGGACGAGCATTGGAAAACAGCTCAGGCAAAATTTCCATAAATCCATTGCGAACATGGGGTTCTTGAGGCAGGTAAAGATAAGAATTGAAGAATAAAGGAATCACAGTATCTTCCATAGGTTGATATAAATCAGCTGGTGGAATATACGGCGGCCAAGAAGTGGAAGATTTTGTTGAAGTTGTAAGCGAGAGGGACCTGCCCGATGCTTCGGATGCTTTAGTATGGGAGTTATTTCGATCTTCATCGTGATTCTCATTGGAATCGTGCCTTGGCTCAGATTTGGTGATTTTACGTGGCGGCGCCTTTTTCGTTCCTTTTTTGCTGATGAATGATGGCGTGTGATCTCTTAAAATCAAATCAAATGGATCCAAGTATCCTGGGCATGAACGGCCTGTCCTTGTGCAGGCGTTACAGTTCGGGCGGGTCTCATCGCACTAAGCCAGTTAGCATGTACATCGATCAACTTGATAATTTTGGGAGATACCTTGATGCGTCGTTGGCGGCAGTTCTTACAGCCTGAGCTTGGCTTTCCTTGATAGACCATTTTTTTTTAGAAAGGTTCCTCCAATATGAGAGTAGGTAGTTGACTAGAGGCAAATTGCAATTGGGCTAGTCATGGGTATCAACTGGTATGGGCGGCATCGGGACTGTGCACAACCACAATCAGACAAAACCACCCCCTCCCTTGGGTAGATGGGGTGCTTTGGATCGATATTTCCAGTAAAAAACTGAATATTTCGAATATAGTCAGTTCATTGACAAGATGAAGTTGTTCGCTGACCAAGACATTTGATCCGAAAAGCAGGTCACCTGATCGCGATCTGCATTACTCCGCCTCCGCAGATTCAAAGTCCCTCAGTTTCTCCAATATTCCATATATCCAGTCTTTGTTGGTTGTTTCTGAAGACACGCTCCCTCCACCACATAAACAGTGTGCTCACATTCAGCAAAATACACTCTACTCCCAACAATGTTTTCCTTCTTTGGCTGGGGCTCCAGCTCCAACTCCGACTCAAATGTCCCCAAGACCCAAGAACAACCCTCCACAACACCAACTCAAACACAAACACCTCAATCAACCAATCCACCACCCTCAACATCGACACAACTAGAGCAGCGATCCACACCTCGCGATAACACGAACCTCAAACTCTTCCTTGGCGGTATCGCCTTCTTCTCAGCTTCTGTCTGGATCACCCGCCGCGCGAGCATCAAAAAGCAGCTTGCATGCATTCCTCCTTTCTACTCCAGCTCAATATACTTCCAACCGAAAGTCAATGGCGCCGGTGAAGCCTTCGAGGCACTCAATCTGGCTACTATCAATGTTCTTTCCTTCGGCATGATGACCACCGGTGCTGCCATGTACGCGCTCGATATCAATAGCCTTGACGATGCGAGGAGATTTATGAGAGTTGCGATGCAGGGAAGCATTGATGAAACTGGAAAATCTGATGAGCAGCTCGAGGCTGATGTGACGGAGTGGGTTACTAGCTTGCTTGGAGATCGGTTCCAGAAGCAGCTCGAGAAGGAGCGTGCGAAGAAGCAGCCTCAAGCGGAGGCTGGCAATGACGAGAAGAGCAGTTGAGAGTAATAAAGTCTCTGGCTTCTGAATGTTGGATACACTCTGCTCATACCCCTAACCTACACGGTTCATATCACATTTGTACATTATTTTCCACTCTTCATACCTATCTGCATGGTCACGCGGCGTTACTAGTTACAATTTTTTTCATGGACGAGGATGAATGTGCATGTCACATTTGGATTTGTTGGATTCGATGAAAATAAAACTCAATTTTGGGATATCAGTATTATACAATGTGGCTTATTTCTTAAACCACCATGGCATGATTCAAGCTAGTCATCAACGGCTCATCTGATCGTAGCGCTGGCGAGCAGTTTCCTTCGTCTTCTCCAAGAATTCATCGTAGCGTCCTCGGGTATTCCGACCCGCCTCCTCTACTGCATCGCCCAGCTTGCTTCCCTGGGCTCCAAGACCCACACCCTGTGCATAGATCTCAGTGGCAATTGGCGCTGTCACACCAGTGCCTTGGGCACCGAGGCCTGCCCCCTCAGACCAACCCATCTTGCTGAGAAGAGAAGCACCCTTGGAGTTGGTCTGGACCGGAGCTTGCTCTTCTTCCTTCGCCGCGGCTGGCTTCGGTTTTGCGCCAGCTTTACCGCGGCCAAAGGCTTTGCGACGTTCCCTCGCACGATCCCGGTACTCAGCAGATTGCTGGACAATTCCGTGCTTGATAAGCTTTCCCATACCGCGATTTCTGCATTCCTCATTTTGTAAATTGTCTCGATGGAGCTGACTGAGCCGTTCGTGTCTGTTGACATTTGCCGCGCTCTTGAACTGACGCATGCACAAGTAGCAACAGTTCCGGCTCAGGTCAGCGTATGACTGGGCAGGTGGAGCGTCGGGATCAGGGGCATTGCCATTATCTCCGTCAGCGACAGGAAGGTTCCCATCGTTATCATGATTGATCCCGTGCAGCTCAGCATGGCGATTACTCCAAAATTGCAGGTGAGATGGCATGGCAAGCTTCTTTGCTTTATCAGTAGCTGGGGCCTCGGCCTTTCGTTTCTTAGCCTTCTCTGCCTCCTTGGTTGGCTTGTTGGGAGCTTCTTGCTGAACTCCAGCGGGCTTTTCAGTTTTGATACGGCTTGGCCTACTTTCCTCTTCGGGAAGAGCCAACGTGAGTTCAGTCACGTAGGCCTCGTCGTCCCAGTACATGAGCTTCAAGGCAGGATTGTTGAGTGGGCTAAATGTGAAATGACCTGCCGCGGCTGGTGGGCCCAGGACTGGTACGAAAACACCAGCGTGGATGTAACTGACCATCACCCGTTTAGAGGAGATAGTAAATTTATCAAAGGAGTGTAGTCGTGTTAGCGCAGCTTGGGCATCCTAAAAAATGGCGTTAGAGGAAACAGCAACCAGGAACCAGGAAACCGATCAACATACGGTCACGGTGCCGAATTCAGCAAATCCATAACGCCAACTGTCGTTTGTCTTCCGATCACGCACAAGCAACACACGTTTAATAGAGCCCTCGCGGGCTCCGAGATTAGAGTCTCCAGTTGTGGAAGCGACTTTGCCTCCTTTTTTCTGATTATTCACACCACTGTCGTTGGCGGAATTTGGGCGGTAGAGCTTAGCGACGCCCTTGGCGAGAAGCTCTTCCGTCACTGAAAATTCCAGTCCTCTGAAAAGCAAAAACTGAGATGGCTGGTTGTCCGCGGCTGCATCGTTATCTCCATTGTTTGCAACCTTGACTGCAGGGACTCCAGGCGGGCCGGGAGGTGGAAGCTCTATGTGTTGTTAGTATTCAGTTATTGTAATGTGCTTGTCTCATACTAACCAGGTCGGGGTGCATTGCATCGAAAGCACTTTGAACGTGTTGCAAAATTAACAACCGCACACTAGACCAAGTTAGATTGAATATCATTGTCCTTCGTAGTAGGAAGCATACCATTCTGCAAGTCCAATCTCCCTCAGCTTTGACACGAACTCGTTCCTCCCTCTCCCGACTATATGCGATGCGGACTTTTGTGCTTCGTTCAGCACTGGGGCCGTACAAATGAATGAAAGGATGATTTTGTGCTAGGAATGCCCTTGACTCATCAATGGTCTTGAATCGAAGGAATCCAAGTTGACGAGATAACTCTGCAAACACCGCATTGATGAGCATCAAGTCCTTAAAAGAAGGTCCTTCTCTGCAACTTACTTGTTTGCCGATCGCGAATAACCCGTATATCTTCAAGGTTGGTAAGATGGTATGCATCTCGAAGTTCGATTGCAATCTACAAGGTTCAAATCCATCGTAATCAGTCTGATGCCATCACACGCAAAGCACATTGATACGTCACTATAGATCTTACTCACATCATCTTCTGTCATATTAATAGGAAATCCCTCCATCATAATCTCTCGGCTTTCTTGCCCAAGGTGAGGGCGACCTCGACTGCGGCTTCGGCTCCGGCTGTAGCCTGGCGAACGATAACCTTCCCGATCACGGTCCCTATAGCTCTGTCTTCCTTGCCGTGAATAAGGTGATCGCGACGATCGGCGCCGGTAATCATCTCGGTCCTGGCCTCTATGATTTGATCTTGGGTCTCGTTCTGTAGAGTAATCGTATCTGCGGTCTCCGGGCCTTTTGGGGGGCGAGTGAGAGTGGTCTTCATCACCAATAGTAACATAAAATATCATCAGTCACAGTTCAACGACGGTCAAATTTGCTGCGAGGTACATGGCTCAATTGTTATTTCCATGCGGGGAGGAGCGTATACCGCCAGGCGAGCGCGAGCGAGATCGGTCGTCATACATGCGACCGTCCCGATCGTCTTGGGATGGGTATCCCCGGCGCGGGCCAGGGTAGTTTCTACTTTCTTCTGAATATGGATGCACCATGGTGAATAATCATGTAAAAATATTGGAATGTCTCAGTCCCAGGTCTGAGACTCTGAATTAGTTGGTAGGACGGAGAGCTTCGTTTGCGATATGCAATAGCAGCCCTGTTGGCAGAATACTATACCGCCCTCGGGCTTATGGAGTCAACCGGCAAGAACTACGCGACCTGGAACAACTTTCACCTCGGGCTTTTCCATCAGTCTACAATACCATCGAAACGAGAAGCAATCCATATTTTGTTGATTGTACGCGTATATCTTGGCGTCATTACAGTTTTACTCTTTAAATTCTACCTACTCGCAGATATTATGCAACATTTATATACCAGCGACATGTCGACAAATATATCCACATCTGATCACCAATGATTGGACAAACCTCGGACCGACTATGATCCAATGATTTCGACTTCTAGAAGCTCGGATTTGATATTCTATGGAACCGGAATCCATATCAAGGCCAAAGCTCCTTTTCCCGTTGCAATCATCGTCATCAGTATGCTGCAGTGTGGAGTCGATCCACTCAGGTCGGCCATGTTGGCACAGATGATTTGGCATGCGACAATTACTGCAGCTGGAATACGAATCTTTCTTGCTTCCAAGTGGACCGATGAGTAACTCAGCAGGACCAGATGATCGGCGTCGCATATCAACCGCTCAGAGTCCGACGATTCTCCGCAGTGCCCCGCGGTGGCATGAGAGCTGCGTGGGTACTTGCATGCGGTGATTCCAGTCATTGGGAATACGGTGTCTACCTCACATATAACAGTGCGGTCTCCCCATCGCCATTTCTATCTTCTCACCTATTCAAAGTTCTTGAAATCAGTTGAATTGTTCATATTCCACCTTTTTTTCACAATGTCGACACCGCAGTCCAATGTCCATCGCGCTTGGTGGAAAGAAAGCTCTGTTTATCAAGTCTGGCCTGCATCCTATAAAGACTCCAATGATGACGGTATTGGTGATATTCCAGGAGTAGTCTCCCAGCTTGATTATATCAAGAAACTTGGTGTGGACATCGTCTGGCTATGCCCATCATACAAGTCCCCTCGTATTGATGAAGGCTATGATATTGCCGATTATTACACTATTGGCGAACAGTTTGGCACGGTCGCAGATGTTGAGAATCTGATTAAGGGTTGTCATAATCGAGGAATGAAACTCATCATGGACCTAGTTGCCAATCACACCAGCGACCAACATGAATGGTTTCAGAAATCGCGCAGCTCCAAGGGCAACGAGTATCGCAATTGGTATGTCTGGAAACCAGCTCGCTATGATGAGCAAGGAAACCGACATCCTCCCAACAACTGGGTCTCGCACTTTCAAGGTACATTATACTGCCCAATGAAATGAAGTTTATAGAGATACCAATGCCAACATTGCTCTCGGTCTAGGAAGCGCTTGGCAGTACGATGAACTCACCGACGAATATTACTTGCATCTCTACGCGGTAGAGCAGCCTGACTTGAACTGGGAGCATCCGCCTGTAGTTCAGGCCGTACACGACATCATGAGATTCTGGTTAAACAAGGGTTGTGACGGTTTCCGAATGGACGTTATCAACTTTATCAGCAAAGACCTACGCTTCCTGGATGCACCTATCAAGGACCCCCGTACCCCGTGGCAATGGGGCGACAAGTGGTATGCAAATGGTCCCAGACTGCATGAGCATCTTCAAGGTCTAGGCAAGATCCTCAAGGAGTACGATGCTTTCAGCGTTGGTGAGATGCCTTTTGTCAAGGATGAAGCGGAGGTTCTCAAGGCCGTTCAGTTTGACCGCAACGAGATCAACATGATTTTCAACTTCGAGCATGTCGATATCGACCATGGAACTTATGACAAGTTTGAGCCCGGCGGTTGGAAGCTCACAGATCTGAAAGACTTCTTCCAACGCTGGCAAACTTTCATGTATTCAAACGATGGCTGGAATGCCCTTTACTGGGAGAACCATGACCAGCCTCGTAGCATTGACCGATACACACATGCGAGTGAGGAAAATCGCGTGATCGCATCCAAAATGCTGGCTACCGCTCTGGCGCTCCAATCTGGAACACCATTCGTTTACCAAGGACAGGAGCTGGGAATGCGAAATGTTCCTACATCATGGGGCATTGAGGAGTACAGGGATCTCGATTGCCTAAACCATTGGCAGAGGTAAGAAAATCAATTCCAGTCTGCAACTTGTCTCCGTACTTAACTACTTGATAGGATCGTGAAGGAAAGAGCCGACGATACTGAAGCTCACACAAGTGCTCTTGCCGAGTACCAGAAGAAATCCCGCGACAATGCTCGTACTCCAGTTCAATGGTCGCCTGCTCCAAATGGAGGGTTCACCGGTCCCAATGTCAAGCCTTGGATGTCGGTTAACCCAGACTACGTGAAAACCAACGCCGAGGCCCAAGTAAACGACCCTCACTCTACCTACAACTACTGGGCATCCGTGCTTGGACTTCGCAAGAAGTACCTTAATATCTTTGTATACGGAGACTGGGTGCTTATTGACGAGCCAAACCAAGAAGTCTTTGCATACACTCGGCAGTATGAGAATGATAAGGCACTGATTGTGTGCAATTGGACAGATAATAGCATAGACTGGGACGCCACCAGTAACGGAATCGACGCTGTCAAGGCGGTTCTTCTGGATAACTACGATACTGCGGCAGCTGTCCAACATTTCACTGGTGGGAAATGGTCTCTGCGCCCATACGAAGCTGCTGTTTTCCTAGTTTGAATACTATCAACCAGGAGGAATCAATATATGCCGCGAAACCATGGTCATTTCAGTTTAAGAATGATAACTGGTCATTTCCTGCAAAGACTATTTGATCCGTCTTCCGAAGTACATAATGGACAATCCAGCATGCGCAAGCGCCTCAATATCCTCAAAGGTTGTCGTGCCAGGACTAGAGAATCTAGCCTGTCCGTCTTCCTAAGTCCATATTGCCGCAGGTGGATACTCAGGCCCAGGTGGATACCCAGGCCCAGGTGAATACCCAGGTGGCTCTTTTGCGAGGACCTTTCCCTTCCGTATCTTCCAAAGATGACTAGAGAATCTAGTCAGATGTGTTATCCCAAAGGCCCCACTCGATAAAACGACTGTCTTCCCAAGCATCGTTGTACGCGGAGTCCCACCACATCCAATCAACGAGATAGCTGCGAGGCGAGTTAGCTATATCCACTTAACGTGACGATTGGGGTGAACTCACCATTTGTTTCGCTGCGAGTCCCAGAGGATGTTGCACAATTCTGGGCCGGCATGGCGGAACCCAACCTGTATTGCCTCTCTAAAATGATGTCAGTAAAGATCAAAAAATATCTCAGCGCAAAACTCACAGCCACGCGGTCTTAAAGGCAGTTCGAAGGCGATCCTTTTCGGCAGGGGGCATTTGATAGTAATCACCTGCCCAGCAGGAGTAGCCTGGGAGGTGTTCCATGAGAATGAAACGCTTGTATCCACCGGGAACCCATTCGTCAAAGGCTTGTATCTCCGTCTTGGACGCGAAAAAAGCTGGGGTGCTGGAGCAATCAGCCTCAGTCAATGCCTTCACGGCTTGAAGCTCCTCGGAGAAGGTGACATTATGGTTTTTGCCGGCCTGCGCAGCACGATCGCAGGCAGGGTCATTAACCGTGTCCTGCCATGGAATGCTGATCAATTGGTTAGACTTTCTATATCCTGAAAGCCGCAACAAGAAATTGTTATCATAAAAAAACGGAAAAGATGATACTGACTGTATGAACATTTTGATTATGGCATTGGGAGGTCCAGCGCCAGCGACGTTGGCACACTGGAAGACTCCAATGGCCTCGCATCCGATATCCTCATCCTCACAGACACTTCGACTTTCCTGGATGACCTTTTCATCGAGTTTGGCTTGAACTCTCCAAGTCGTACCGTTACTGAATGACACGTCCGTGCCAAGGTACCTGTTCAACCAGGTACCCTGGCGGATTTGAGAGCTTCCCATGGTGGAGGAATTTGGTTGATTTAAGACTTTTTGGTGGTGGTGGGTGCGGGTTTTTGTGTCGAACGTAGTGTCGAACGGAGAGTTGGTTGGACGCGTCGGCTGCGTTCAAATGTTTTCTACCTGGCAAATGGTCCGATCTTTGCTCACCTTCCCAAATTTTTCAGGACATACCCGTCAATTTACAGTGCCTGCCTAAGCCCCCTTCAAATACAATTAATTCAAATTTTATTGCTAGGCTTTATTTGATCAAGAACTTGACATTTTCAATGGTCAGCTAATCTTACGCCTATTTACGGTTTTCACCACGCATAATTTTTGCGAGGTTCTCAAAGGCAATACCGCGGTTGTCCACAATTCCGTTAAAAATTTCTGCTGGCCCAATACTACCAATCACAATTTGATCTCTACCCGAGGTCAGTGCGTGATAAACTTACTGAATAAATATATCTAAAGGCATACCCACGGTGCGACCTGCTTCCTCGCCCGTGTAGTCATGTAATTCGGCTATACATATAGGTCAGAACTAATATAGCGATGTTCTAAAACTAGAAATGCTTACTCTGAACAGGTGGAGGGGAATTCTCGATTACTTTAGTGTTCGAATACTGCAGCTACTCTCGCAGACAGAGAGTAAAGACGTTCAGTTCAGGGCGGCCTTCGATGCCGAGTACGCTAGGAGCGTGGCACCAGGTATAATAGCCAAGTTTGAGCCGGTACTAATAGACCCATTAGCTTATGTCGCAGAATTATTATGGTTATTATGGCCGGGTGACTGTCTTACAAAATGAAGCTAGTTGGGTTCGGATTCATCTGAAGATATAGCAAAAAGGCATAGGTCAGGGAGATAAAGCTGGAAAAGTTGATCTTTATTTCCTGATAGAACGCTGCTAGATCAAAATTTTCCGCATCCGCCAGGTCATATATGTTTTGTATACCAGCATTCAACACAATAGAATCAATATCTGGCGATTCTTTCATCGCTCTGTGACCCAACACCGTCAGTCAGTATATAGAAGACCTACGGTAAGAGACCACCGTAAGAAAAACATCATACCTTACAGCGAATTCCGGAATTTGATCAAGCTCGCCAATGTCAAACAGCTCGCTTTTTGCATTCGCAGCACCGACGGTCTGCACGAACTCATCCAGACGGTTCTGTCGCCGACCTACAGCAGTCACTTTAGCACCCGACTCTACCAGGCGGGCTGTGAGAGCTCTGCCGATTCCAGCTATCGCGCCGATAACCAAGAAATTCTTATATGGGAAGGCCATTTTCTGTGATTCAAGTTCGACCTTGAGATTGTGCCATATGAAAAATCTACTGTGGGCTTCTATCATAATATATTACGGCCTAGTTGGAGACAGGGCCTTAATCTCGTACTCCGTGGTAAGTCCGTTCCTATACCAGCGAATGGTCTCGCGAGTAGAAATTATTTGTTCATGCAACAGGTACTTTATATGGGCTTCAAGTTCCTCTTCCTATATATGAGCTTGGAAAATTACTCCTCAAGCCAAGAGAAAATATGGCAATCTTTAGAGTAGCCTTGCCACCCTTACTCCGGGGTAAGGCCGAGTAGCGGGATGTTGATCAATAATGTTCCACTCCTCGAGCCGCACCGGGATATCTGTCAATCCCTCGAGGGATCGATGAATCGCACAAACGATGAGCCGATCGGAAAGGCCCTAACCACGAACATCGCAGGTTTGGGAGACACTTAAGGATACAATGAGCCTGAGTCTCGTCAGTATCGACGGTAACTTGAAGCCTGCGTGGTGCATCTATCGTCTCACATGCAGCTTACCTTTCGCCCAAGTGAAACCTTTCGTCTATCAATACTATCCGCTTCGATCTCTTACTAACTTGAATCTACACCCTTGGATTATAACCGATTTCTAGACTGCTTACATACAGCGTGGTCGCACTTCTTCCGCAAATTGAAACATAAGAAAACTGAAATTCAACTCTTATCGGAGCTCCTGGATTTGATACATGGATCGACGATGCGATGTAACATGCTCCACATTGATTGTTAAATAGAGCTCTTCTGATTCGTCATCCTGCAGACAAACCTTCAGGTCGAATCATGTACAAGCTTGGAGCCTAATGCCCTTGAAGTACGAATACAGGTTAATCTGACCATGAGTCTCAATCTATAGACTGGGAGAAGTCGTCGTAAAACCCCCGTACAATGACCTCCTGGCAATATCATATATATGACTTGCCGCCTGCAATGAAAACTTGATTCGCGTGTGATTGAATGCAAAAGATGACTTTATAAGGATTCTGAGCTTCAAATCCTGATCACAACCATATGGCAGCGGGTAGCTCGGAATTGGGGCCGGACTTGGATCCCATCTTGGGGTATGTGCTAGACTCATTCTAGACAACGCTTTGACATCCTTGCATCACAAATGTGACCTTTTTCATTTCCACCCTATGATCACTTGTTGACATACCTATCTCTAGGCTACAGCCATCCTGAACGCATAATGATATTTCCGACAATTTTCTATTTTGGTCTCAACTACCTATGTAAGTGAAAAACATAAGTAAGCGCTACCAGAACCAGGCACCGATCTTTTTTCTTTTTCACTTCATCTGACACTTCAAAACACATGGAGGAACACGCAGACGCAATAAATCTGGAATCCGTTCCGAGGACAGAGATAAATGTCTTAAGAGACGCAGAAGGCCTCAAGCCGAGCAACAATAGCAGACAGTTTCATCATTCTGTGGGCAATCAAGATGAGGTTGAACTCCAATATCTCACCGGTGTCAAACTGACATTGGTTATTCTTGCGGTCATTGCGATCGCTTTACTCGTCATGCTCGATATGTCTATTGTTGCTACGGTACGCAATACTTCGCCTTTTTCACTTGAAAATAAAATGGGGAACTCACATTTTCCTTCTTTTTTAACAGGCCATTCCCAAAATGACAAGTGACTTTCACACTACTGCGGGTGTTGGTTGGTATGGAAGTGCATATCTACTGACAAGGTAGGCAAAGTGAATTTTCCTCTCTTTCATTGCGGGTATGGGAGCTCAAAAGTGGTTAATATCTCCCAGTTGTTCCCTCCAACCCATGTCCGGTAAGTTATATACACTATTTAATGTCAAGGTGAGTTGCTTCAATCAGGCCGCTGTGATCATGAATTGATGATATCATAGTACACCTACATGGCTTTCATTGCTCTCTTTGAAATGGGATCTTTGATATGCGCAGTTGCAACCTCTTCCAACATGTTCATAGTTGGGAGAGCAGTTGCTGGAATGGGGAGCGCGGGAGTGGCAAATGGTGCACTCACAATTTTATGCGCCGCGGTGCCTCTTGTAAAGAGACCTCGTATGTTATTTTTGGCTTCTACTCTGGTTCCCAGAAATTCACGAGTCTCATTAACCGTTTTGATACAGTCTATTTTGGGATTGTGGGATCTTGTATGTTTCTCTTCGCCTCTTATTGCTCCAATTCTAATCCGCACAGGTGGTCAGATAGGCGTTGTGGCCTCGCCATTATTGGGTGGTGCATTGACGGAGTATGCGACTTGGAGGTGGTGTACGTGGCCCCGGCTCCCCAGAAACACCTCACCTGGTCACTGAGAAACAATCATGCTAGGCTTCTACATCAACCTTCCCATCGGCGTGCTAGCAGTCTTCGCTCTGCTCTTCGTATCATTTCCCGAAAACAGCCTAAATGGGCCTGAGCCGCAACCGCAAATCAAGGCCACCTCTTTATTTTCTGAGCTCGATCTTACCGGGTTCCTCCTTCTTGCTCAAACCCTTGTCATGTTTCTTCTTGCCCTTGAATGGGGTGGATTGGCATATTCTTGGAGTAGTGCGATGGTCCTCGGTCTCTTCTGTGGATCGGCCGGCAGTTTCGCCCTATTCTTGGCTTGGGAATATAGAAAAGGAGAAAAAGCGATGATCCCACTGGAAATGATTAAGAAAAGAGTAGTCTATTGCTCTTCACTGACAAGCTTTTTCCTTTATGCAAATAGCATGATCACATCTTACTACCTTGCTATCTACTTCCAGGGAGTGCGAGGCAAATCACCAATGTTTAGTGGTTTGTATATGTTACCTGGTGTGATTGCTCAAATGGCGTCTGGCTTTTTATCTGGCTGGGCGGGTATGTATTTACACTCTATCCCCCTCGATTGCCGGCCGACTAATGCGTTCAAAGTGACCCGGATTGGCTATTATCTGCCGCCTGCTGTTCTGGGAACAATCCTATGCGCAATTGGCGCGGGGCTATTGAGTATGTTGACTCCGCATATAGGCTTTGGTGCATGGGTCGGCTTTCAAGTACTCGCCGGCATGGGACGTGGCTTTGCGCTTCAAAATGTACGATTTCTTTCCATTCGTTCTTATTTACTCACTGATATGACTGACACATCCGAATCAACTAGCCCCTCATAGCAGTTCAAAACAATCTTCCGCCATCGAAGATTGCTATCAGCATGGCATTTCTCTATTCCTGCCAAACATTTGGTGGAGCGCTGTGGCTCTCGTTCGCAAGTACACTTTTCAACAATGGTCTGACCAGCCTTTTACCCACCTATGCACCGGGCGTCTCCGCTTCGACGGTGATATCGGCTGGTGTATCTGGCATACGATCTGTGGTTCCGGAGGCCAGTGTAGATGGTGTGATTATGGCGTATAGCAAGGCTGTTCAGCATGTCTTTTACATGGTTTCTGGGACTGCGACAGCGGCCTTCATATTCAGTTGGGGGCTCGGATGGAAGAGCGTCAAGCAGAGAACAGCATAGTTCAAGATTCACAAATCAATGCGAAATCACTGGGGATAAGCCTTTTATATATCCGGATGCAGAATTCCAACCTCGGGAGTTCTGATGTCCACTGGCACCCTCGATATTGGAATTTATTTGAACCAGGAAGATTTCACCAAATGTCAACCGAGACAGCTCACCCGATAGTTTGCAGAGTGCACAGCCGATGAAGATGCTCCACAGAAAGTTCGAATAATGGGCAGGAGAAATTTCTGCATTCAAAGGGAATACTTTAACAGACGCGAGAAATGAAAAAAAAACTCAAGAGCGGACACCAGCTGGAAATAAAAGCAAAATGCTTCGTAATAACGAATACAAAAACTTAGAACTGTGGAACCTTGGAAGGTTTACTATAGCATATATTAGCCTCCAAATCCAAAACCTTATTCCAACATCTAGGGACACTGAGCATTCTTCAGCTCCGAGAGATAATATCCTATCTTTAATCATGACTCTTAGCCCAAAACTTGGGTCCAATAGGGAACTTCCGTACCATCAGGATGATAAAGACATCCGAAATAAAAGATGGGCAATGGAATCATACACAACACCTTCCATGTCAACGTCGCAATCCCGAATCTATCAGCCCGTGTTCCAAAAAGACTGATACCAAAGCCAGCAATGGTGGCCACGGTAAGCATTACTACCGCCAACCCTTGCCACCGTTCTGAAATATTGAAATCAGGAATTCCCAGCGCGACGAGTGGAAATAATAATTGTGAGCTGACACCCAGAAGAACGAAGAAGTTATCGTATGGACTATGATCGTCCATATTAACATTCCACAAAATTTCACTCCAAAGGGGGATGTGAAAACAGAGCAAGCCAAAAGGGTAAAGAAAATATGAGACGAAGAAGGCCAAGATTCGAGATTCAAGGAGAGAAGCGAGCATGGGTCTGAAAGTGAGGTACACAGACCACGCCGGGAGAGAAAAGATGATCGTGCTGGTGAGAACTGCGAGCTTTGCAGTCCAGTCGACTAATAGATCAAGTGTGTGACCCCTTCGGTGCGGTCTAAGAGAGACTTCGGGTTCCATGTACCTGATATCTGCGGCGAATACAAGAGCTTCGAATATAACCCACGAGACAAAGTACATTGCACCGAAGACTTGGAACATCGGGATTCCTGTACTGGCGAAGAGTTTGATCAATTGAGGAAGAACTCCCAGGAAGAACGTAAACCATCGCAGCCTCGCTTCTGATTTCAAAGATTTTATGGCTTCGACATCTGGGTCGTCACGATAATCAACGATGCGCTGAAAAAGGATACGAGTTGCTTCTTCACGAATACCATCGATCGTGGGTGAATGATATATACCGAGGAGTAGAGGTGCGACCATAGTAATGGTGTCAAATGCGCAGATGATAGGTGAGCTGCGCAGAAATGTGTGATAATCAGATGAGAATTCCAGTACACAACCAGAAGGTTGTGCGATCACATTGAAAGCGAGACAGATCATCCAAAAGAAGATCTGAGGCCCTTCGATTTGAGTGCAGGCTGCATTAGATGCGGCTACGGAAGACATTGTGGGTCCCAGTTTTGGGCTTTTTGCGGCGAGACACTTGATTTGTGAGTTGTGTGATTATGACAACTCATGAAGAGAGCGGCGAGCTCAGATTTCAAGTTCCAAGAAAGAAATCAGGGATAATCAATGGAGGCACTACGGGAAATTAAATACTCGTAGCGTTGACCTCCTTTGGCTCAGCCTCTGTTCGCCCGGGTTGCAACATTTTGAGAGCGGGGCTAAGCGCTTACTAGTATCTGCAGGGCAATTCACCTCCACTTCATGGATTACATACCACATGCACTGGCAGCCCCACGGAATATTATTTTACAAACATTTAAATACTATTACTCGACCCGTATATGGAGTAAACCTTTGAAATGAGACCGTTCGTTCTTTCAACTTGCACATGTGCGATCTCCGAGTCGGGGTACTAGTAGTACTAGGTCTATTCCTAATGGCAATGGACTGCTGGGTGCATTTGACAATACCAAGTTGAAGGATATATATAATAAAAAGGGACGACCCAAAAGAAGACCTAGGTTCCTACACCTTGGCATGCTTAGTCGCAACGATAGCCGTTGCAAAACCAACGACGCCGCAGACCGCATCCCCGAAATGAAGACCTATTGCAACAAGTTTAGCCCGGGGATCCTTAGAGCAGTCAAGGCCCATTCCAACGAGACCAAAAGCAGGTCCAAACGTATGGAACCATTTGTTCGCCGTTTCGACCTCGCCCTCTTGATCTTTGTCCAGTATCCATGCGCGGGAAATGGACCCGAGAGCGCCGAGTACCTCAGCGGCGGAATTAGCCCCTTTGTAGGTACCCTCACTGATATTGGCAGTCACCACACAAAACAAGTCAAGAATCCCGAGTCCCGCGGGAATAATGCGAAAAGGGTCTTCACTTGTCGGCGCGGTTTCTCCAGTGACCCCGGAGATGATTAAGCCACTCACCTGGAAGACTTTTCCCACAGCAGCGATGCACTTGGTCGCCGATCTTGGGTTGCGTTGACTAGACCCGTTCCCATTTCCTCCACCAGCGTTCTGCCCGGTGTTGATGTGTCGGAACCGGGTGCCCGTCTGTGTAGCAGGAGCTACTTGACCCGTTCCCACAGTCTCCGCTTCCCCTCTGGCTATCTGTCCGTATCCATGAAGTGACTCGAATCCTGCAAGAGTTCCATTCAAAATTCGCCCCACGTTCTCGAACACGACGCCCAGCCAATGGATCCCGTTACCTGTCTTCGTTGTGGTGAAACTTTCTCCTTCAGACAAGACTCGAACAGAGTTGCTGACACCTAGGCTCTTTGAGTTGACGCTATTGATCCTGATGTTCTGTGGCTCCACTTTGTTTGCAAATGTGTGATGCAATGTTGGGGCGAGATATTCCAACTGCTCCGGTACCACGGTGGCTGCGTTCAGGGCAAAGAAATTGGGCTGGATCTGATGGGAATGATAGAGACGATGCACTGGAAGGGTTTCAAAGTCGATGATAGGAAGCATCTCAACAGGGAGCTGGTCAAAGACCATCAAACGATGGAAATTGGTTACCACGATAGGAAGATAAGTCGCAAAGCCGAGCAGAGTGAATTCGGTGCCCGTTATGTCTTCCCAAAGATCGGTCAAACCCGGGATCTTCCACACTTGGGTAAGAATTGACCCAATGCCCCGGATAAATACCAATATCCAGTCGTAGAGCCCTTCCACCATGGTTCGAAGGGTGTCGTAAAGCGTCCAAAAGGTACCCTGAAGGCTGGTCATGAAGGCCGCCAACACGGTTTGGTTACCGTTTCTCGCTTTTTCAAACTGTTCAATCAGCGTGTCGAGTAATTGACGAATTATCTGGCCTTCACGGTTCATAGACCTTCCCACGACCTGTTGCATCTCTTGAAGCAAAGGGGTCAGCGAGGGAACTTGTATGTCCGGAATCTCTTCCTCTATGGCTTCCATGATCCATGAAATGGGGTTGATCGTCAACAATAGTCGAATGAAAGGATTGTTCATAATGCCGGAGGAAAGGCTGGGCTTTTGTTCCTGGTTCTCCTTTGGAAGGTCGCGAGGATCATCGATGAATCGTTGCACAAGTGCCGCGACATCATCGAGAAGACAAATCATGCTCTCCCGATTGACTGTCAAGAAGCGATCCACATATCCTAATGAACCCAGAAAAGAGTCATTGAAGTACTACTTTGGAATTATTAGCCTTCGGGAACGTTGGAGTGGGAAAGGATCAAACACACCTGCTGTGTCTCTTTGATACATTCAGGATCCAAGGAAAGCTTGAGCAGCCTCAAGAATTTTTTCAGTCCGAATTTTGGAGAGACAACATCTAAAGCCGCGCCAATTCCTTCTAGAAGGGCATAAACTGTCTTCACTTCGAAGGATAATACCTTGCCAAAGAAATCGATTACAAGTTTCAAGACGGGCCCGACGACGCGGATGTAGACCTTGACTGCGCTTTTGACGACCTTTTTGACGAACTCGACGACATCGCAGAAGAACCTTTCGATGCTGTGACCAACCTTCTCAAGCCAGCTCGGCTCGTCTTTGCTCTTTCCCGGATTTTCAGCAATTGGTGTCGAAGTCTGAGGCAGTTTCTCGACTGATTCCTTCATCTCTTGGAAATTTCCCAAAACAGCGGCTGCCTGCTCGAGGTCCTGCGTCTGATACCCGTCAAAAACCTTCTCCCCCGTTGTCGTTGTCGCGTTCAACAAGGTGTCGGTAGAGCCAAACTTTCCCAGTAGACGTCGCACTCGTTCATCCGGGTTCACCGTAAACTGGTAGCTGGCTTTCTCTGGTCCTAGAGAGACTGTCACGGGCATAACACCCAGGCGATCCTGCGAAGGGATGGCCATCAGAATAGACCCTGAGGCATCTGTGTATATCACAGTTGGTGATGGAGTGAGAGAGTAACTAGCTCCATTTGTCACTACGTTGACTGAATCTGCAGTAAGACTGATAGGATAACCTAGCGGCAGTGGTTGGCCGTTGCCGTCCGTGAATAACATGGCCGTCACAAAGGCGTCGTATTTGATAAACTTCGAGGCCCTCCAAGTTATGCGGTCTTCGCTCCAAAATCGCCCTTCAGGGTCGCGGCGAATGAAATACAGAGCATTTTCATCCTGTGTTCCGTATAGCAGTTCACTGGTGCCGTGTGATGCGTTATATCTTGCGGAGAGGTGGGTAACCCCTGTTCTGATGGGAAACCCGGATGCCGAGAAGGAGACTTTGCGGTCGGCAAAGCGACGGGTTCCTTCAACGAAGTAGAGGCAGTTATCATCCGAAACGGCGAAGATGGCGATCTTGGACTGTTCATCCGGGGCGTGAGGATCCACATCCTCCGATGCTACTAGCTGGCGGAACCCTACTTCGGGAAGAATTGGCTCGGTCGCCAGATTGTCGATGTTTTCAAAACCATAGAAACCGATACCATATTGCCGAGCAATGAAGACATCGGTTAAGCTGTGATCGATTAGTTATGTCATATTCCCTATGCACTCAGTTACGAACTCACTTCCAGGGATTGAGCAAGGAGAAAACCCCCCGCAGGTTGCCAAGCTTTACAGCCTTAAATTCAAAGCTACGAGAATAGCCCCCACCGGGAGCAGAAACTTGACCCACGCATCTTCCTCGTTCCGCGGTTGAAAAGTCCTTGAATAGGGAAATCATTCCATCTTCTCTCGTGGCGGACTCGACGCCACCGAGAATTATCGGTTCAGTCTGTTGAAGAGTGGACGCATCTGCGGGAAACGTCAAAGGAACCAAACTTCATTCTCACTCCCGGTTGGATTGATGATATATTGGGTTGCTCCCCTGATTTCATGTGCCGCCGTGCCCACGATAATCTGAAAAGCAGGGTCCGCATTGGAAGCGCCAATGTACTTGCAGGTTATCGATGACAGGGTTAGATCCCCGACGGGGTCCAAGTATTGTCAGGAACCGAAACCCATTTCCGGCCTGCAAGAATTTCTGAGTTAAACAGGTGCCAGTGGGAGTGTTGGGCTTACTGTAAAGTGGCTTCCCTGCTGGTTTATCGTCGTCGATCTCCAGTGGGTTCGTAAAGGAAAATCCTTCTTTGGACAGATCCACCGTGCAGTGATATACATCGTGGAATGGCCCACTGCTTGAGATTGACGGGCAAACTACAGTCAAAAATACCATGGTCCCAGATTGAATCACATCGAATGATGACGCCGAAGCCCCAGTTGGGGTGATGGCAAGGTTGGACCAGCCTTCACAGGCTTGGACACCATGTTCGAGGACACAGAGTTGCTGTATCCAAAATTACCATCCTGGCTCATTTTGATAACTAGATAGAATGAAAGGAATGAATAGGCCGTACCTTGTCCTCATCGATGGTGAACATCACTGGACGAGATTCGGCATCGTGGATGAGACGAAGCTGACCGCTGCGTCGCAGGTAACTCACAACGGCTCGATATTCCGTCAACTCGGAGCACACATCGACCACAATCGTGGACTCCTTTGAATCCTTTTCAGAGTTATTTGGAAAACGGACATTTGTATGGACACGAGATGAAGGTGTGAACAGCTCGTCAGTGGAAAGAAAAGACTTTTTCGCCACGGTGTGGGTATATTTCCGTGAACTTCTGCGTGTACTTTGTGTACTGGTTGGAGTTGGAGCAAAACACTGAGGTGGACGGCGGAAGGTTCGTTGAATATTGATATATAAGTGCTGCCTCGTCCCCGAAAAACCGTCTGGTCATGGTATTTATGGTTAATTGCCGCGAAATTGTACTAATAGTTCTTGGAATTGAAGAATCCGATCGGGAGATCTCCGTCGAGGTGAATATTGCCGAACTCTGCTTACTCTCGGCATTGATTGCCATATCCCCTGGGCTCAGCTGTCCACACGCTGTTTGCTTCTCTTTTATTTGTCAAATCGGCGTCCCGGTTGGTGGTTTATCTTCTTAAGGAATGTGATGGAATTTGGAGTCAGCTGTCGCTGGCATCGGTGGGTTGCTGATCTCGCACGGGAAGTGTGTCAAGGGTGTTTTTTGGCGACTTTCAGCTGGGCCTCATGGTTTCAATGGCTAGTTGTCCTAATCTGGAACATGGATCGGGGTTTAATGCCGGCTGTTGCTTCTAATTTGACAAAACCAGGTCGGCAACTGTGACTATACGGCGACTCCGGTCTCATTTCCCTTAGCCTCCGGCCGCGTAGGCCTCAGCAGAGCAAGCAGGTACCATAGAAGCGATCTAAAGTAACTTCTATAAGACCTTGGTCCTATCGTTCATGGGAAAGATCCTCTCAGTTATCATCAGACAAAATTGGCTTGTATTTCGCTTGGTTCACTCTCACCCTAATCTTTCAATCATCGGTCAACTGCTCGTACTTGCAAGATGCCGGAGAAGATTAGTGAACACCCCGATACCATCGCTGGATATGACATTGTGGTGGGCGTTTCCGAGGAGTCGGTGAATGCGCAGCTCCAGAAGCTGTACGATACGCCCATTGTCTCTGCTTCTTTGCCTCCTCCTCGACGGTTGGCCAAGTTCCAAGCTCTTCCAGCGTCGAAGCATCTGATCAACCATCGGATGAGCCTTCATATGCTTAACAGCTTGAAGTCCTCGCCAGGGAAGTCGGTATATCAGAAGAAGGGCATTGGTGCTCATATAAAATGCCCAGGTTGCGCTTTCGGCCGACCCTGGAAGCAAAGATCTCCGATGATCCTGCGGCAATGTACAAAAAGCCACATGTGGAAATCACCTTCGAGCGCAATGAAAACGCGCCGGTCGGAACCGAGAAAGACAGTGTGCTTGTCTACTTGGACAGTGAAGAGGATCCCCCAACGTACAAGAACATGGTGATCAACGGATATACAATTGCGTGGACCGTCAAAATTGCCCGCCGCGACGTCCAGGACGTGATGAATGGTATCAATCCTTGATTTAGATCTGCCTCACTCTACGACCAGCCTTTTTATCTAATTCCTTTTCTCTAGATATTATTCTTGCCTCCCGTTCCTCTGACGACCCGGCTCAGGCGGCCCCTCGTGCCCAGTCGCAACTGGAAAAATATGTAGATTCTCAAGTCTTCACTGTCTCATCCATCTTCTGTCTCTTTGAGGAGCAGACCATGGTCGAGAGCTTTCGCTTGTTAGATGCGGAGCGGAATGTTGTGATGGGTGAGAGAGCGCGTGAACTAATGAAAGACATCACCGCGTATTTCCAGGAGGTCCAAGAATCCTTGAGCAGAAATGGCGCCCCAACCCCGGAAAATCCATTTATTCTCGGTTATTCTATTTCCCAGAAAATCCCAACTACAGCCGAGAAGGACAAATCAGCCACCGGGGACAAGACCCCGGTCTACTTCAAGCCGAACAGTTCAACATGTCGGTCACCCCTGGCGATGGCACGGCACAACAGTTCATTACCACTTCGGGTACCCTGAATTTCTGCATGCTCACGCAGCGACCTGGACTTGATGGGGACAAGAAAGTCGAAGTGGACGAAACGGACTTCAATGCCGGTGTCATCAAGCGCAATTTCTTCGACATCACCAAGAGCATGGGGAAAACAACCGACACGCGAGGATATATCCAGGGACATGACGGCATCATGGCCTTTTCCAAGGAGTTGTTTCATAATATGTGGTTGCGCGATTTACTGAAAGACTTGAAGTTTGACCCCGTCAAAGTCTATCGACCGGTTCTCGCCAAGGCCTCTTTCGGAGATCCGACCCCGGAGGATCAGGTTTGCGTGAGGGTCAGAGTAGATTCAGAAGAAAAGCGGCTGAATGGTTGGTGCAGCAAGAAAGTGTGGAAGATGGATGCTGTGGATGTCAACGGGATTGGCTGGGATCCATACAGTAGACGGCAATTTGCTCTAGGTAAGCTTCGCCTGCACTCTTGCCTGCGGGAATAGTCTACAAGATGATACTCGATTGCTCATGGCTTTACAGGCGATTGTTCTATCGAGGTAAAATTTTCGAGTGACAAGGTTGCCACAGTCCGAGAAGGTATTACCCAAGCTCGACGTCTCTATATCGATATTGACATCCGAAACACTGTCACATATGTGTACCAAACGAAAGGAGCCAATAGTATCATGGAGAGCCCGTGTATGTATTGCACATAGGTGATATTCGTCTTTACTTAGACGTGGTACTATACTGACGGTTAGATCTATAAAGCTAAAACTGCGAATTGGTGGAATGACGAACGTAAGCGCGGCTACAACGCGAACGAGTTATTCAGCCCTGGCGGTATGTGAAGATCATTTTGGCTCCGGGTGACCTAATTGGTACATAGACTAACTCAACTTCTCAGCCTCGAGTATCAACGCATGGTTAAATGCACGGACCGTGCAAAGCGAGATGAGGTCGCTGATCCGTGTCGTGGTTCACCCGGGAAGTGTCGGTCAATTTGACGTGTCCGTGGACGAGAACGCCAGCAAGAACCTCCTCCATCCTGGTAAGGGAGTGACATGGACAAATTTTGATGGCCAAGAGTATGGCAACTTTTCTAAGTTCGAGACGCACCACACCTTCACGGATTTTGGAAAGAAAGACTTGAACGCCAGATTTGAGCACTCTCTCACGGGATGGGGAGACACTACCGCCTCCACGGTACAGGAAAGGCTGAGGGGCTTGTTCAATGGGCCGGGGACCACGATTATCATGCCTGCAGGTGATGTCTTTTCCTATGCAGGCCTGGAGGTCGATGATCAGGGCAATCTATATGCCCAGATCAATTATGCCAATGAGGGGAAGGTCCAGGTCAACAAGAAGTGAGAAGATTGGATAATTTACATGTGCATCTGTCATCATTATTGAGCCTATTTGCTTTATTATGTATCTAGGAGATTTCCATGACTGCTAGTTGGACTTTTGAAGAAAGGACATAAGTCAATGGTACCAATTGTCCACATATTTACTTGAAGTATTTGCCCTGCCTGAATTCATTTTTATTTACCACGCCAAGTTCTCCTTTCCAGAACCTTTTGATGATTAGCAATCACGGATCCGAGGTTCAGAGACTAGTAACCTTGGAATTTGATCAACTTTGACCGGATACTAGCCTACTTAGAGCTATACTAAGGAAAAGCCTGTTTACGAAGTATTACAACTTTTTTAAAACCTTCAAATATTAGCCTCTTAACCACATGTGCAGACACCCTAAGTAATCTCTAGCCCTTCATACGCATCCACTAGGAATTAAAGGCCTGATGAATCTCAGATTGCTCAGAATGAACGCCCGGGCGCTTTGCTAGCGGAATTCTGCACATGTGCAAATTCTCTGCTATAGATGGAGGACACTCGAGCTATCCCGTCAGAAGCCTCATTTTCGTCCGAAATTCTCATCCCTGTTACTTCTTCTAACGAGATACCTGTCAGGTTAAATGACGAGCTCTCTAAGACTTTATTTTGAGACCGGGATGATCATGTAACTTGGTCCGTCCGTTTTGTGTCGAATTCCCTATCTCGTCATTTCATAAATTGTCGGTATTTGAAGTCTAACATCACATGTGCATGTCTTTACTATCTGATGAGACCGAATTGTCCTTTCATGACCGGATGTGTTTCTTATCACGTCTTCCACTATCCAATCAAGCTCCGATTTAACTGTTGCCGCAGTTCAGCGTCGGCCAGCACTTTGGCTGATGAGTGTCATTCACGCTTCATTTGGCGCTTGGCCAAAAATGGGCTGAAATTTCAATTAAGGTAACCAAGATTCGGCAGGTTGATGCAATCAACGGTTTATTCCCATGAGCCTGGAAAAACAAGCTGGAGTCTACTAGGGCGACGATCCTTACAAATAGATCTGGATTTTTTGCTTGTTTTGTACAATCTAGCTCGGAAATTCTTTGATCGCTTCGAGATATTTTATACCATCACCTATAACAGGCTTGGAATCATAAAATATGGTAATATTGGCATGAGGCGGTACCGGCTAAACGCAATGAGGACACGGATAATAAACATCAGATTGAAGGAGAGCTGCTGAATAAACGAAGTGCCGTATAGATAATCCAGCGTTCATGAGATCACGTCGAGGAACTCTTGAAGTCGCTTGAGTAAGGTTATCTCTATCTGCCAGCCAGACTATCGTCGCAGCACTACGCACAGTGTGAAAGAGTTGCTCTTGGATTTCCATCAGCAGCGAGCGAGGCTATTGTTTGATGCTGTAGCTCTGGCTCCATTTCTTTCTGAGATGCTCCTCAACAGTCATAGCCATTTCATCACTAGTCCCGTCCAGTGGGCGAAGTTTATATGAGAGATTCCCGTCGTAGAAAAAGGGTACACTGTAGCGATGATGGTCAGTTTTGTTGATGACTCGGTGAACCGCACTGCGATATTCTCCCCGAGTCCAACCGTCAAGCAGGTCGCCAATATTCACTATATACCGACCAGGGACTGCTGGTACGGGAATCCAACTCTTGGATGGAGGATAGAAAACTTCTAACCCTGTCTGGTCGGGCTGCTGCAAGAGCAAGGTTATGGATCCAAAGTCGGTGTGTGCGCCAGCTAAATATTGTCAGCTGCTCAATTCATGGAAAATATTTAATTCAGGATTATTTCAGTGCGATCATACCTCCAAGTTGCTGTAGGTCAGTGGATCTCTGTGGTGGGTAATGCAGTAACTTAACAGTTCCAGCAGCACTCTTTGTGATTTCATCAAATATATCAGGTGGATACGGCAGACCGAGTGCTAGGATTTGAAGGATTGCCTGAGAGAGATCAAGAAGTTTCTCATGATACTCCATGATAGGCATCCGAAATTCTTTCTCGGGTAACTCCTCTGGCCAGAGATTAGGACCTTGTAGAAATGTACCGGCCCTTGGATCATCGTTATCAATCTCGGCTCCGAAATAGATACCCTGACTACAATTAGTCGCTAATACAGAGAAGATCTTAGTGTTTCACAATGCTGATCCGAATCTTACCTCCTTTAAATCTGGAAAAGCATCGTACTGTAGCTTTTGACCTCCAATGACTTCAAATCCACGATTGGATTCGCCTATTGCATGTTCCATGCCAACCTTTTGCTTCTCCTCGGCTGAGAGATCGAAGAATGTCTTGGCGCATTCAAGTACCTTTGCCTGTAGCTCCGAAGCAATGCCATGTCCAACAATTTGGAAAAAGCCATATTTGCGACACGCGTCTCGGACTTGCGCAACAACCTTTTCTTTTTCCGCTTCAGATGCGCCTTTTATTGTAAAGGGGCTAACATCTATAAGTGGGATCACGCTCTGGCCGACTGTCATATTGATTGGAACTCCAATGCAGTAGAGGACAACACTGGATGATTGTTCTAATCGAACACGTTGCGAAATTTGTGAACCGGAAATTCCTCAGAAACCATGACCCCGTGATTCCTTGCTAGGGGAGACGAAGAACTGAATGAGGGAGGATGGGAAGAACCTTGGAAGGAGGGAAAGGTCGCCAGCAAGGTGAGAGATAAGATCCACGTGCTTATGCGGGGGACCAGGTGACTACAGTAGTCCGATCTCCCACATTTATTTCATTTTCTTTTCTCCTTCAAGATGCATACTCGTAAGTTGCACATGTGTAACTGCGCAATCACTTCTAGTGGGGTTCCCGAATCCCATTGGCCGTCGGCTAAGCCACTAAATTGGAGATAGAACATCATCTGCAGTTGGCCGATAACGATATGAATCACATCGGTGTGCTCACTGTTGCCGCTAATGACAAACAAGAGTAAACCTACAAAGAATTACTCGCTGAAAGTGCCCTATTTCTGAAACAACCGGAGTAGGAATTGAAAGAGAGAACGATGATGCGTCATACATTAGGCATTAGGCCAAGTGGAACAAATAGAATTACGGAATTCCATATATATACTGGGTATTTATTATAAAGATGTTGAATCATCTAAGGTTGTCATTTCAAAGGCGCCCCAGGTCTGCAGTCTATTCTAAAATCTCAACTTCCCCTATGTATACACCGGAAATGAGTACTCTCCTGTCTCAGCGAATGGCAGTTCCAAAGTGATCCCAAAGTTTGACAGTTGGTATGTGTCCTCAGGATCACTCATACTGTTTAGATTTAGCCCTTTGTTTCAAGTTGGCATAAATTCCGCTCCTCACGCTTCCCACGAAATTGTTTTCCCGAATGAGTCTGTAACCTTATGGTCTTGCCCAGGCGATCTTTATTCTATCAGATGAGCCTCATCACAAACATTTGAATCCTCAGATAATCAAAATATTCCAGAGATTACCACTGCTATCCCCAACTCAGCCTTGACTCTGCGTCTTTCAGTTCCAAACAGTGCCCTCCTCCTACGAATCTCCTCATTGTGGACGAGTAATCATCTTGATACCGGAACTAAACACTCAAGAAATATACCCCAAATGGAATTGCACCTTTTCCCTCAACTCCCTACAGAGCTGCGTTTTCTGATACAGTACGTCCCGTAACTGGTGCACCCACCTGTCCTCTTCAATTGTGTCTAGAACCCTAGTTACAGTGCCGACCGCTATCGCCTTCCATGTTAAACAACACATAGAAGCTCTTTCAAACCCTAATCACATGTGACCCTAATCCATATATGGTTAGAATTTAATTCAGCATCTGTTTCAAGGGTGAATTGTATGACTCGGAACGAGTAAAATATCAACTATGGTATCTGTGAATGTAATTTTACAGATCTAACATACCAGGCCCACCATCAAATACGGCTAATCTACCTGAAAATATCCCCACCGTACTGACCTGGCACTGGTTTCTCCTCTGTAATTTGATATGTGACTTTATGTTGGGATTTTGGGGGAGTAACGTGGTTGAGGGGATATTTTATGCTAGTTTGGTTGATTCACGGGAGTTGAGTATGTGCCGCATATCTTTCGTACGTTCTCGATTCGTTGCGGGTTACTCTACCGTGATGCCGTGCCAAGCATCACTACGGAGTAAACTCATAAAAGGATATATCATAGTGACATGGCCATTGTTTCCAAACACATTATTGCCAACATCAGTGGTCCCATCTGTAGATAGATAGTTCGGACCACCATGTTGTTGATATCCAGCTCTCAGTTCGTAGTTTCCTTCCTTCCCCCGCGCTTCACCAGATATCGTTCCTTGCCTTCCTAGTTTGCGCCCTTTCTAGTAATAACTCATAGATCCGTCCTATCATACAATTTATATTGGAAGAGGAACGGCCAAAATAAGAATAGCGCAGCCACGGGAACTTCTGTTGGTTGAAATCTCTGCTCCGGTGGAGTCTGCTGCGTAAGTGATGACAATGGAGGCTTAGCTGACAGAAATGCGGGGTTATAATAATAATCTGCCCAGGTGGGATAGACTATGGCGGGGGCTATTGCGACAAGCCTGGCTCTCAGTTCGACTCAACCAAGTTTTGAACCTAAAATATAGATCTGTCCTCAAAGTTAAAATATCCTGAGGTAAATATTAGCGATCTAATGTTGGAGGGTAATCAGGCCACTGCTACATAGATGTAATATTTTTGATCCGACTGAACGATGTTCGGCAATCCCCGATTCGCCGCCGTGAACTCCAAAATTTGGCTAGAGCCAATGTCGGCAAAAAGCACCCCTATCCTAACTGATGCATTTGACTATTCCCGAACAAGCCAAATTGGAATCTCTGACCAATATCAGTGTAAACCGGTCACCGCCGAGAGTTACCACGACTCATCCTTCAGCAAGCCACTGTCATGCACTTCTATGGGAGTCGATTATATATCATAAATGTGCTTCCCACGCTCGGGATTATTTCATTTGTTCACTAAGGACGCATCACAATCACCTTGATCCCCATCAAAGATGTCTACGAAGGATCCTAAAGAGGAATACAACATACAGGAGACGTGGGAAAGGGTGTGTGCATCATTTGCAGAATCAACAAAGATAAACCTCACCGATTCTCCGAAATATACGCCCGACGACGTTATTGAGCAGATTCGCGCGAGACAGGAGGAAGAAGATGAGAAAAATGCAAAATATAAGGCCGCCAAAGATGCGATTGGCAAGACTGTGAAGTGCATCATGCTTCTTGGTGGTATAGCTGCTCAGGGTGCCAGTATGGTAAATTCCCCGGTCCTCATTGGTCTAAATCGGCGATTTGTTATTGTGACTGATATTTCTTCTAAATTTCAAAGGTTTTCGCGCCTAGCAGTCTCTGTTTCAATGCGATCTCCTATCTTCTTGACGCTGGCATGAAGTATAAACGCATTTTCAGTAGTTTGTCCGAACTCTTCCGACGTGTTTCCGACGTCCTAGAGCGTTGCAAGATTTATCTCCGTTTACCTCCAGAAACAATTGACATCTTACTCCGCAAAATAATCAACGAAGAGATGCTATGCTTTGTTGATATCTGTGCATTGTCCATAAAGGTTCTTCGGGGCCACAAAGTCTTCACTGCCCTCAAGGTGATTGCCTTCGACAGTGATGAAGGCGTGAGTTGTCAACTGAATCGCCTGAAGGATCTGGCGGAGCGTGAAGACCAGATTCGCGCAACACTTGGATTTGAAAAGCAACTTCAATCGCACAACTTGCTTTTAGAGAGCGCCGAAGGAAACAGGAAGATCCGTGCGTCCATGGATATGGTACTCAGTCTTGAAGAGAAGAGAGACATGGAAAGCGCTCAGAAGACTCTTTTGACTGCCATTGATGCCAGTCTCGATGACGCTAGTAAGGAGTACAATCGTATCCTGGAAGATTACAGACAAACTTTGAGCGCAAGAGTCCAAGAAAGTGGGAAATGGCTGCAAACCGATCGTTCTTACATCGCGTGGGTGGGTGGTGTTTCAACACCCTTTTCAATTCTGGGTCTCTCTGGGGCTGAGGGACATGGGAAGTCGTTCTTGTGTGCAACTATTTTCGAAAATCTTCAGGAGATATCTTCGCATATTGGAGAAGATCTCTCATGCACTTCCTCCGCTTTCTATGCATTTGGAAATCAGAGCACGTCTCTGATGAAGGCCCTCAAAGTTCTTTCATGGCAAATTGTCAACACAGACATCGTCTACCGTAAGACCATCAGTTTTTCGAATTCAATAAGCAAACTTGATCTCCCGACTCTTTGGGAAACATTATTTGCTAAGCTTTATAAAGGCGATTCGACCTGCTTTCTCGTGCTTGACGGGGTTGAAAATATGGATAGCAAGAGCTTAAAAGAGTTCACGCAGATGTTAGCGGAGTTGAAATTGACTTCAGCAAATTGGCCACGATTCAAACTCCGCCTCCTATTGTCGAGTAGAGATGAGACTATGCACAAAATTCAACATGATCTGGGATTAAACAATATATCGGTGATTGAGGTGGCGTCGAAAAATAAAGATGATTTGGAGAGGTTCATTGATAATGGTATTGAAAACATGCCAATTTTTGAAAAGGCATCGAAACAACCCGAGATTCTTGAGCTTCGAAAAATGATCCTGGAAACTCTTACCGAAAACACTGGTGGAGACTTTGTCAACGCAAAACTCCTTCTCGATGAAATTAGCGGAAAGCAACGACCAAGTGAGATCACAGACATTTTATCTCGCTCCAGGGGCAATCGTTCAGACACAATAGCCAGGAAAATTGAAGTGCTCAACGATACTCTCACTGCAACGGACATCTCAGACTTGAATGAGCTTCTCATGTGGGTTGTATTTGCCAAACGAAAGATGTATGTAGAAGAGCTGGAAACCGTGGTACGTTCTAGAGCGACCGAGACAAGCCTCTGGCCTCTCGAGGACAAGATCACGCAATCTTACTCCCCATTACTTCGGATTATTCGTGAGAAATTCTGCCAGCAGGATATCGCACCGATCTTGAAGGTAGGGCTGGTATCCAGCTCCATTGAAGAATTCTTGCGTATGGAAGCAAAATCTGGATTTTTGGCAAGGACGCGGAATACAACAACCTCCGACACCGTCCACGAATTGGAGGTTGGTATCGTTCGCCGATTCCTCGAGTCTGTCTGTGATCCCAAATTGTACAGCAAATTTGGATTTGAGGAGTTCTTTCAGCAAAAGCTTAGGGGAAGCCGTGGTCGGGTTGGAATTGACCTAGAGGCTGCCCACTCAAGAATTCTGACGACATGTTTGGAAACCATACTTGCTGATGAATCATCCACTTTGAAGCGGCTTATCCCCTATGCAGAAAAGTACTTCACCGATCATCTCAAGATGGTGGATCTCTCTCTGATCCAACCCGAATCTAAAATTTCAATTGGCTTGCAATTGATGCGGCTTTTGACGGATTATACAATCATTGAACGATTGTGTCCGGAGGGTTCCTATTACACACCTCACCACTGGCTATACAGCGATGACAACGCCGAAGTGGCGCTCCGTTGGTTGCAAGATTCTGCAGTGTTGAAATGCTTTTCCACTGAGCAATCTGAGTGGGTGAAAAGCCTCAGTTCCAAAGCTGAACCCGATACGGACATCCTCGAGCATATTGCAAGATATTTTGCGCGCAAATGGCTGCAAGGAGACGAAAATGACAACATGGCGCCCTTTCTTTGGGTGTATGCATATTTCAAAAAGGTTTGATCCTATCTTCACTAGGAATTAACACGAGGTTTTGTTCTTACGGCTGACAATTGATCTAGATTGAAAATCGGAAGAACCCGGAAATCAAAAGACTGTCACAGGGGCCTTCCATGAAAGACATAGAGGCATCGCAGGTTCTTGACGCTGCAAAGTGGGCTCAAACATACATTGGATTGCATGACTTGGGATACGAAGGAAACTGCCATATAGCGTACACGTTGCGGCAATGTGGAAAGATCAATGAAGCTATTGAGCAATTCAGGCTGGCTTCATCACTACAGCATGGAAGCTGGAATGCAAAGAAAGGGATGGCAGATTGTTACGCCTCTCAGAAAGAATACGATCTCGCAATCGCAACCATGGAAGACGCAGTGATTGAGCTCGAGAAAACCGACATGGAGGACAAAGAAGAGTTTGTTTCAGAAATGCATTGCATGATTGCCGAATGGAATGCAGATGCAGGCTATATCGATGTCGCGATTCAGAGATACCAGGCCTTAATTCAAAGTTTCCCGATGTACACGTGGGGCTCGTCTTGCGAGGTGATTGGACTGTTACATAGACGGAAAGACTACGAACGCATGCTAGGATTTATAAAAACATTCGACGACCTGACCATGTACTCAGATGATGAATCATCTACTGAGGATGAGGCTCTCACACCGCAGGCATCTCTTTTTAAGTTTGTGGGCGTTGAAGATGTTTTTGCGGAAGCAGTATTTGCCATGGTGTCCACCGGAAGAGGCTTTGACATTGTCCTCAAGGGCTACCAGACAGCCATCGCTGCGATCAAACAGCAGGTTGCCAAGGAAGAGGATTGGAAGAGATCCGATCAAGGATTGATGATGCACCAGCTTGCCTTTATCTGCTACTTCTGTGAAGAGAAAGACCAAGAAAGACGAGAGTTTGCCATTGACCTATGGTTGAAGGTTTTACAATTAGAGGAAACGGTCGAGGATTGGTTACTTCTCCAGGTAAAACAAACTGTTCGAGTTCAAGTGGCAGTTGCCTACTTCACTGAATCCCAGAGGGACTCGGGATCTCCTACTCTTTACCTAGAACAGCTTCAGCAAATGGCCACCTTGGACAGTACCCTTGACCATTGTCACCGCCGACGAGATGGGGCATATCCAAAACAGTTGATTGCGAGATACCATACCCTCCATGGTGACGAGAGGAGTGCTATCAACACACTTCGAATCAATATCAAAGTCAACCTTGATATTCTTGAGGATGATGATCCACTGAACGATTGGCAGGGATTTCTGGGTTTGGCCAAAAATTTCATGTTTGCTGGTCAAGACGACGACTCCCTGGCAGCATGGTCATTAATTACTCCGCAAGACAGAACGAATCACAAAACAACAGAACCTTCAACCAGCGGTGTGCCTAAAGATGAGCTGAAAGGACCATTACGGGAGGATTGCTATGCCAATTGTCACACATTTTGGACATTTGCAAATGATATATATGTGTGCCGGGAATGTGATTCTGTCCATTTTGACTCCCACTGCCTGGCAAAGCTGCGGGCGGGAAGCTTGGATAGTTGGTGCTGCAACAAAAATCATGATATGTTACACGTTCCAGCATACGACCCCTCGGAGCGGCAGAGAATCGGTGATGGGAATGTCAAAGTTGGACAAGAGATTATACAAGTTGATGAATGGCTCCAGAGGATTAGAGTGAAATGGGACATCAAGCCTGCTCACTAGTCAACTAGCCATGGGCACACAATTGATTGCCTATTCCGAGGTTGAGACAACACACGTTGCACGTACGGTTCCTGTTGCCGGGTTACCTTTTCGGAATAGCTATAGGTAATACTCTTGATGAAAGCCATGTGATGATTGATGTCCATTCCTAGATAAAGAATTGCATGAAACAGAGAGACCTTCCAAAGATATCGTAGTATAGAGACGAATACCTTGATGGTAAGCTTGGAATTCAAGGTACTGGTTAGAAACTGAGTATAGCCCTATACCGGCGTAGTATCTCCAATCAGATATTCCTTTCATCAGGGTTCAATGCAAAGATTGATCAAGACATGAATTTTCGGGATAAAACTAAGAACGACTGAGAAAAGGGAAGAGTCACGATATTCTGCCATCGAATCCCGCTCTTTCAAAGGCTTCATCTATGGACAATCTAAGTAGACCTAAGCCTATTTGGCTATTACTTTGAACTAACCTCATATTGAGACCGGATACAAACGCAAATTTCATTCTTATAAATCATTTTTGCCTACTTACAGTTACAAATCCCTTGTTATGATTTACCTTCCCTTAACCCACTATCACCAATCGAATATATTCATCCTTCAAGATGATACTAGTGTCTCTAGACGTTCGGCTTATGCTTCGCTATCGGTGCTTAAACGTCTTTTGTATGCCACGTTCCATGTCAATCGTGACTCATGAGGTTAACCAATTAAATTGTAGTAAGATTAAACTTTGGGCAATTCTAACAGCGCGATGTCAGGATGATAGATAGACTCTCCTCATATTCAGGGAAGGTCTCCTTTAAGCTAGCTTAGAAGGTCGGATAGTTTTCGTTGTCTTCCGCGTGCCAGTGGCTGTTACAGCCATTAGCTACAGGAGAATCCCGATCAATATGGTAACCTACAAAGCCATATCCATAGATGCGCTTATGAAGTTGATTAATAACTGAATATCTCTTCTCAGGCTGTTACCAGCTTTTTATAGCAGCGAGATCAGGAAAATGAATAGCCACAGCTCCCAACTTAGGCCACTTCGTTGAAGTGCTGTGAGCTGTGAATATAAATAACCATTACTCTATTTAGCAAGGCTTACTTTAAAGATGTCTGAGTCGATATTGTCAAAGGTAAAGGAAACTTGAATATACAAATAGACTTCTTGGGGGATACATGTAGAGTACGATGCCATGCCATTGTAGTTTCTGTTTACTTGCTTACAGTAGTGGAGCTATAGTACCCAATCATGGTACGGGTGATTGATTGAGTGTTGACATCACACAATAGGGCAGCGACAGTCTTGTTTCCACAAAATTCTTAAGTTGTTGCAAGAAGCTTTACTGACAGGTGAGCCATACTGTGTTTCAATTTCGTGATCGAGCAATCATTGGATTATGACGAGGTTATAACAGATGAACTGGATACTGCTTTGGAAAGTTCTAGCTAGTGGAACCTGTGATATGGACTTTACTTAGCTGTTTTCGAAATTTCCGAGGTCATCTTCATACTCGAATTTAGGTCATTGGCACAAGAAAATCGTTCAATATCAAGAAATAAAAATAATAAAAAAATACAACGGTATATCTAGAGACATATTCACCTAGCGCGTGTGATTCAGGTGAGAGCGATCTCACCGCTCTATTTAGCCCTCTCCAGGGCAATCTGGGCAGATATTCACCTACCTGAATTCTATTCACCTGAGCATTCAGCCCGCGCAGCAAAAGCACATTTGCGGTTTTTAAACCGCCATTCCTCAAAAGTTCCAGTGAGTTTCAATTGTCCTCCCGAGGTCCATCTCCTCCGTTTTTGCTACTGACCCACAATGCGGACCAAGCACATCCCACCTCCCACCTCCCAACATTAAACTACATCCAAAATGGGGGCCAGAAACAAATTTCAGAGCCAAAATCAACCCATAAAATCACCTGGTTTTACCGTTAGACCAAAAATGTGGCCACTTTACTTACCTAGGCAGGTACTAAAGGTATTTTAGCGTAGTTAATTAATATTCCGGTTGGCATAAGTTACCGCTCCTTCGGGAAAGGTGACGCGTCCTGCAGATTTGTGAGAAGGGTTCAAATGTAAGGTAAAACTGCAAGCAAGATTCCTAACGTTATCTCAACTGGTGGTCAGTCAGGCAGACAAAACCTTCACTCACCAGACAAGTCTGACTGACAAGGAGTTAATTTTCTCGAATGTTCTTTAACAGCTTTGGATACCGAGTATGATGACTCCCAGGCTGGACTCCTGGTGGGGGACCAGATGCGGATCATTACTTTGTATGTCCATATTGAAGGAAGATTGCCATACTAACGTAATTCCCGGTCTCGCCGTACACCCTACCCCACTTGAATTTTTAAACATCAACTATTTTAACCCAACACCAATAAATTCAGTTATAAATACGATTTTTACATACATTGATCTTATGTCCAACCTCTCTACATCCACTACACCTAGACTGAGCCCTGGGGGCTGGCTGATTCGGCTGAATAGGTAGTTCAACCTGGGTGTGCGATTCGACCACAGGTGTTTCCACTGGCAAATCCAGCTGCGTAAGTAGTTGTAGGCCTTCTTCAACGGTCAAACCCTCTTCACAGGGTATCTGCCTAGCTGATCGACCACGCTTCTGTCGTTTCTTCTCATTCACTGCACGTAAATTAGCGTTTTCTTGCGCTAGTAGCACGGCGTTGTGTAGTGCTATAGAGTGGCCCTTGATGATTTAATCTAGCATCAATTTCGACGGGCTGGGAGGGTTGTTTGACCGTTGTTTGAGAAGATCGTTAAGCATTAAAGCTTGTTTTTGAAGCTGAATCATAGTTTTAGGTATCTCAGGTATAAATTGACTAGATCTGCTGCTTGGTTGGCTACCTGGTGGTGTAGGTGTCTGTAAAGAAGTATCTAATTTAGAAAGAACTCTTTAAGTACTAATTGGTACTAATTTAGTAGTTAAAAACTGTCAGCAATTCAGGCAGATTGTGTGCCTGGATTCCTGGGATGAAAAGTGGCCCTTTTTGATCCAAAGGTTATGCTGACTAATTCATCCCGCGATCAAACATTTCCGTTGCGAAATGAATGATATGGTTTTGATCTGATCTATCAGATCAAAGATGATCTTCTCTAGTCCGAGAAGATCCGCAACCCGAGCCCCGCTGTTAGGATCAATGGTTGCAAGATGAGATGAAAGGACTCGATTATTTCGGATTCCGTAGCCCTTTCGTCCCATATCCTGAGACCTTTGGTCTCATGTTTGTTTAGTCTAAAGTTCTATAAAACCTGATCTTACCCCTTAGCTAGTTTAGCATCGAATTCAATCGTTTTTGGATCAGTTGTATCTTTGTTTGATTCTTTCCTTCCATTCCATCCTAAGTTCGGATCCAGCTTGGTCGTATGTCATTCCATCTGATCCGTGTTGTCTGATCTTTTGGTCTTATCTTTACCCTTTCCTCCGAAGGGTTCCCTGTAGCTTGGTGCCCCTGTTCAGCTGACATCCTCTGCGTGACGTCATCACCTTTGGTCCTGTCTTCCCCACGCTGAAAAAAACTATTTTAGATAGTATTTAGCTAAAAAGCCTCAATATATATATATATATATATATATATATATATATATATATTTAGAAATTAGCTAAGAAATTAAGCTTGTTGTGTGGAGGGCTCTATAAAGACTGAAGCAGAACGATATAGGCCGGCATGCAGTTTACATTCATGCTTAAGGAAGAGGAAGCTATGTACACGATTGGGGAGTTATAAGTCCTCCTGTGGGTCACGTGTGGGGCCGTACGGGGCTTTGGGCTTGTCGGGCACTGATAAGCCCTCATCGGGTTCAACCCGTTACATATTGATATGGTTATAGCCTGTATGTGTAAGATTGCTTATCAAACGACTATATATATGTTTTAATATTATAGAATAACTAATATCTAATGGTTATAAAAGATATAATAAATACGCAGGTATATAAAGTAGGATGATATTGTTTTCGGTATAGATTCGGTTAAATTTGTAACGGGTTGAACCCGATGAGGGCTTATCAGTGCCCGACAAGCCCAAAGCCCCGTACGGCCCCACACGTGACCCACAGGAGGACTTATAACTCCCCAATCGTGTACATAGCTTCCTCTTCCTTAAGCATGAATGTATGTAAACTGCATGCCGGCCTATATCGTTCTGCTTCAGTCTTTATAGAGCCCTTCACAAAATTAGGGTGTAAGATAGCTTCCATGGCTATCAAGAATCAATAATCGAAATCGACCACAGATATATAAATTTGTTAATGGAATAAATAGCTTTTCTAGCCATTGTAAACCAATTGTCAAGGAAGACAAAAGGAAACACTATATTGAGGATCATGCAGATCTATTGCCGTATTGTCTACGGGATTCGGCACCAAATCCGGCCACACATAGAGGGGGATTCCTGTGGGGTCCGACTTACACTCCTCAAGTGTTAGTCGCTGTATCTAAGTGAACCACCCCCTCGTGCTCTCCCCTTAGTATATCTCGCCTAGCCCACAGGTGTCACCCTAATCTGACAAGTTCATTACACCAATCTTATTAGTAGTCCAGCCATGTGAAGGGCAGAAGCGGACTTGATTCAATCTACTCGGACCACGAACTGTGTACAAAAAGAAGCTTAAGGAGAAGAAGTAGACTTCGGGCACGATTCGTCAAGGAAGAGGAGGAATGTTATGGGTCACGTGAATGGTTGAGCTCTGTACAGGCAAGGCCTGTACTCTTTCAGGGATTCAGCCTGTGACAACCATTAGCTAAGACCTTGAATCACCAATCTTTTAGAAGATTATCGAACCAGCTAGCAACAGTAACCTTTCCCTTGAAAATCACACATAGTAGTAATAAATAGCCATCTACATAGATAACTTTAATCACAGTTACCCATTCATAGTTTCCAGGTTGTAAAATGGATCGCCGACAGTAGTATTCTTGCCGTGTTACAACCATCTATGCTGAAATAAGGCCTATCGCAAAGCCTGTCTCATCAAAGTTGTAGATATCTTCAGGTTGGATCCCGTTCTCATCGATGACTTGTTGTTCAGTTATAAACCATGCTTGAATTAATTTAGGGTCTTCATATAGAGCACATTAGTAGTCATATCACCTAGAGAAATATGTCCGAATCTCTTCGCGTCGATTTATAAAGGTTCATAGCCAATTCTTACCAACTATAGGTGGGGGTGGCTACCACGCGCAGCTAGTAGAATATTGGCTATATCTCGTACAGTAGCTGGCCTAGGCGCTGCTCCACGGGTGTCCATAGAGATAATCCATTCAGTAAGCGAATTCTCTTCAAGCTGTGTCAATTTATAGCCAGAGCCAAAAGAAGAAGAAATCGCACCAATAGCCACAAGGAACGCAGAGACCCCAAAAAAGCAACATTGGATCCATGGTGTTTATTATCGTGCGTTAGCAACCGCTGGGGTATTGATAATCAATTTGGTCTTCGTTGGTCTTGCCGCTAGAATCTCAAGGCGATACACAAACGGATTTTTGCCCACTGCTTTGGTGTATCGAGGGATTTGCACCTTATTCAACCGATGGGAAACGGCGTTAAGTCTGGTAGTCAATATTTTAAGTGAAGTTGTTCTGTGTGCAAGCAATTATGCCATGCAAACCTTGGTTGCCCCAACTCGAGATGAATTGAATTGGTCTCATTCACAACATAAATGGCTCGATATCGGATCCACCAGTTTCAGAAATCTCTTTGCAATCCCAAAATCTCGCCTTGCGCTATGGTTTGTGCTCATTATCACAGCGACTTCATTCCATTTGCTGTAAGATTCCATTCTGGGTGCTGTCTGATTGATATACAAAAAGCTTACTTTCGATTGTATTCAAATCAATCCCTACAAACTTCTACGATGTCATTTTAGGGCCGTCAGATCTCCATCCTCATGATATTCAAAGTATTAGCACACCTAACCTGCAAAATTGCCTTGGCAGATATCCTTATGATTTCCCTTGGTCAGCGGAGTATAGGTGGGATGACTTCGTCTCAGATTTGGAATCGGATAACTTCAAGACTCTCAGTAACGACGAATGCAAAGAATACACCGACCAGAATACCCAAGCGGGAGTCAAGTTTATGATGATGTTAACCAACGAAACATCAGTCCAGGAGGGGGCAATCAATCTGTATTCTTTGGCTCAACTGTTGAAGGTGGAACATGGACAGGACAATACTACATTCAAGGTGGTAAAATATCGGCATGATCCTCTGCACATGTGTCTGCATCGCCATACATATACTTCAATGATTCTGGGATAGACAAAAGTCATTTCTACACATTGTATGATTTTGACGTCTCTTCTTGCGTTGAATAACGTGATCCACGGTCGCCCGAGCGACACGGCCGCGCGAGCGACCCCATCAAATACCCACTTCAATAATAATACACCTTTCTTAACCATAACAAAAATGCCACCTCAACGCTCTGACAAAAAAACAAAGTTAATACAGCAAGAGGGTCGCCTTTTACTAGCTATAAAAGCTATAAAAGATGGTAAATATCCCTCTGCTGCAGCTGCTGCACGATCTTTTGATATACCTTTCTCAACTTTGAAGGCCCGGATCAATGGGCGCGAATCTGCTACTGAAAAGAGGGCATCCGGTCATATTTTCACTCAAATCGAGGAGCAATCGATAGAGAATTGGCTACTTGATATAGATTCAAGAGGTGCAGCTCTTACTTTGTCTATGTTGCGAGATATGGCCAATCTTCTACTCAGTGTAAAGAAAAATACACCCTCTACTATTGGTATTAATTGGCCTTCTTAATTTATCAAACGACGCCTAAATCTCTCTACTCGACTTTTACGCAAATACGACTATCAGAGAGCTCTTTCAGAAGATCCTCAAATTATTAAACCATGGTTTGATTTAGTTCAAAAGACTATTAAGAAGTGGGGTATTGTTTCAGATAATATCTTTAACTTTGATGAGAGTGGTTTTGCTATAGGAATTAGCGTAACACAAAAAATCATCACTTTAGCGGAATACCATGGAAAAAAAAGCTCTTTTACAAGCTGGAAATCGTGAGTGGGTAACTATAATTAAGTATATTAGAGCTTCTGGAAGTGCTATACCTCTACTCTTCATTTTTAAGCGGAAAAGTTTCCCAGAGCATCTATGTCCCTATCTCCTTTTAAACCAAAATGGAGCTTGCCTTACTATAAGTAAAAATGGATGGACAACAAACATAATTGGTTTATAGTGGTTAAAGCATCATTTCATTCTAAATATTAGGACAAGAGTGGGAAAATATTGCCTATTAGTCCTTGATGGTTACGGAAGTTATTTAACCCCTGAATTTGACCGAGTTTATAAAGAAAACCAAATTATCGCAATTTGTATATCTCCTTATGCTTCTTATCTTTTACAACCTTTTGATATAGGCTGTTTTTCGGTTTTGAAGCGGCTTTATGGAGAAGCGGTTTTAACTTTAATACAGAACAGAGTGAACTCTATTGATAAGGAGGATTTCCTTGAAATGATCGTAGATGCAAGAATTGGTGCTTTTAAGACTTCTACTATACATAATAGCTTTTTAACTACTAGATTAGTACCTTTTGATGCTAATAAAGTCTTGGAAAAGCTAAATATTCATCTGGATTCCCTTCCTCCTCTCGAGATTATCTCCCAGCGACCACTCTCTTCCGGCAGTGATAGTGATCCAAATACTCTCTGGACTCTCTTAAAGTTTACAAAATCGCAATCTCGGATTAAGAAAGGTCTAGAATCTTCTTTTTCAATCCTTTCTTCACCAACAAAAAAGGAGATTGAAAAGACCTACAATATGACTATTAAAGTCGTCCACCACCATATCTTTCTCCAGAATCGCTGTGCCCAATTAGAGGCTACCAATAAGAGACAGACCAAAAAGCGAGAGACTATACATAAGTTTACTACCCAGAAAGGCATATTTGGAGGTCTAGAAGGTGGTGAAGATGATGTGGTTTACAAAGATGAAGATAGAGGTAAAGATATATCTTTGCCAGAGGTGCCTGCAAAACCGGCTACTGAGCCTATCCTACCTTCTATGCCCATCGTTCGGCGGCAAGTAACATGCTCTGGGTGTGGGATCAAAGGTCATACATATACTCATTGCCCTACTCGCTTTAGATAATAAATTTTATTTTGTTTTTATGGTTTTAATAGTCATTGAAAATTGGTGATTTTTGAAAAGTTGGTGGGGTCGCTCGGGCGACCGTGGATCACGTTATCTTGACCTTACATAAGCAGAAGTGTCAGAACGTGTGTTCAGAACTAACCTAAATGGGCTAGTCCTAACTCCACTAGGATGGCGAGCTCTGATTGGTCGCACCAGAATGGATCAGATGACTAGTCAGGTGACCTTCCAAAGAGTTTTATGTGTGTAATTCCTAGTACGTATTAGAAAATCAGACCTGTTGATATCTCCCATTGAGACCGCCTACTGCATTAGACCATTTAGTCTGTCAAGAAGCAAACTCCACCTGCACCAAGGCTGCAAACCTCGTCAATTGGTTCAAGACAGAATGGCCAAGCAAGAAACCCCTTACCGAGTTTATGGAAGTCAATGGAACTTCACATATCAAAATAGACAAATATGACACATCCTGCAATGAGTACACTTACGAAGCGGCTCATGCTGTTACCAATGGCTGCATTGCGATAGAAACCGACAAAATATGTGAGCTTATATACAGCCCGTATATTAGTGTTGTTATTTCAGTGACATTGGTTGTGAAAATCATTACCATATCCTTTGCAGCCTATATGAGTCGCTCTCGAAAATGCCCTTGTTGACGGTAGGAGATGCTGTATCGTCGTTCATGACAGAACGAGATAGTACAACGGAGGGAATGTGTTGGGCTTCTCACAAAGACTTCTCCCGTGATGTCTGGAAATCACGCCAGGTCGCTCTATACTCTCAATCTCAATCAATCACAGAGAGCAATAACCACCCTAACACAGAAAAGATATGGAAGCCTCTTCAAAGTCCCCAGCGCTGGATATGTTCCCACGTATTAGCATGTGGTTTATGGCTCTTGCAACGTAAGTCACGATTATACTTATAATATGGTATATAGATTGTAATTGGAAAAGCTAATTTCCCATTTCAGATTTGCTGTACTTTTTATAGCGGGTGCGATTCTCCTAGAAGAAGGTGTTCAAGGAGAAGAAGCCGTTCTTGTGGGGGACGAGATATCAAAATCAGCATCATCTGCGATCCGAAAGCTATTGCAGAATGGCTTTAACTCTGACAAGTTCAACCTAGTTACCTTCGGGGCTGGTGGCAATGGACCGTACTGGGGCACGTTGTCTATACCGTACTCGCAAATACACCTCAAGTGGCCATAACCTTCACGTACTTCTGGTATAATCACGTTCTGACCAATATGCTGGCGAATGCAGAGTGGTCCTCTTACAGGGTAAAACGAAAATCGCTTCGTGTTACTACGCCCGCCGAAAAAAGTGACCAGCGATCGATCCATTACCTTAGCCTTCCATGGAGGTACTCTATCCCTCTTTTGGCAGTCTCGACACTACTTCACTGGCTAGTTTCGCAGAGTTTCTTCTATGTTTATGCAATTCCCTGGGCAGATAATCAGATTTTTGAAGATCAGGTCCTTAGTCAGCTGGGGTATTTATGGCTACCGATGCTATTGGCCGTTCTTCTTGGAGCAGTTATGATGATTTTGCTGATCGGGATGTCTTTCCGGAAGTATAAGTCTTTAATACCCGTGGCAGACTCGCGCAGTGCTGCAATTAGCGCTGCTTGCCATCCACCAAAGGATGAAGATATGGAAAATGCAGCCTACGGCAAACTTATGTGGACAGAGACACCTGGGCCGACATGGTGGGATTCTTTTGAAGATGAGATAAAAGAGGGAAAGGGCCATTGCAGTTTCACGTCAGTGCAAGCGGGCACAAGTTCGCCAATTTTGGGTAGGCTTTACTCTTAGTATTCAGACCTAGAACCTTAGTGGAAGCTCAGGGTCACAAGAAAAGTGATGAAGATGAGAGTGACGGGCTAGATAATTAATATATCCTCAGATTGTATTCTCCAAATTCTGAGGCACTGAATATTCGAATTCTCAAGTAAACGTTAATGTGACGATATTTTCCGTATATAAGAACAGGGCCAAGGCCAGCAGAGGCATAACTCCAACGACACACATCTATCTTGAAAGCGATTGTCGAAGGCGAGGGCGAGAGCGCGAGCGCTTCTCTCCTTTGACAGTAGGCAAGGAAGGAATTGAACAATTCATCCCTATGGAACACAACTTATCTAAATTTTTCAGTTCCTCTCGTTTTAAAATCCACTGCTCTTTGCAGTCTTTTATCTGCTGCTCATATGGTAGTGTACTAATCCAAGCAGTCCACTTGCGGATAACCCTTATTGCAATATCCTTGGAGACCTCAAACCACTCCATGTGTGACTTAGAACAACCAGGGCACTTTTTCTCGATTCTTCTGAAATAATTTAATTCCAGATGCACCAAAGCTTCGACGCGGGATATGTGTGGAACTTGTTGTAAATCAGATATCTGCTCGTCGCTCTTCTTCGCCGGTTCCGGAAAATGAAGCTCCATAGTCTTTTTGCATTGTTTATTCCATTCCTTTAGACGGCGGGATACGTTTTCTGACCGCCCAATCTTCAAATGGCCGAAGTTTCCACGTTGCCAGAAAACGTACATCGAGCCCTGATATTTGAGATCACATGGTCCAAGAGGCTTGGCTATCAGCCTTGCAAGCTCTTGAGATATTGTGCCTGAAAAAGTTTTACTGATGTAAGGGTCAAACTTTTGGATGGGGTTGACCATTAGTGGTTCTTCTTGAGCAGTGTTGTTCGCTGTGGGCTGCAAGCAAGAGGGAAGTGAGGGTTGAGAAAGCGTCGTCCGCCCTAACAGACGAATCCAGCGAACGAGATCTCGTAAACGTTCATTTTTCATTGTGCAAATAGATTCATATTCATGGATCTTCGAGAGCTCTTGAAACTCTTCTTTCCAGGTTTGGAACTCTTTAGATGCAACTTTTCGATGTGTTGCGCAGAACGCGACTTCTAACAGATCTTGAATTGCTAGTAGAAATTCCTTTGGTTTTGAGGTAGCCACACTTTGCAGTTCCGCTGAAAAAGATCTGTTAGGACGATGCAGTTTGCATCTCTTGCCCTGAATTGTCCAAGCTGGGCATCTCCTGCTATCCTCCCTTAAGTGCTGGATCAATTCAAGCGGTACAATTTTGAGGAGCGACTTTGGAACTGTTTCCACCTCTTTTAGACCTTGACGAGAAAGATGGGGCTCAAGGACGGCCATTGGAAAGGCATCTTGGTTGGATTCGCGCTTCATTTCTTTGGGTGGCGGAGAGTTCGTTTCGTGGCCACGATCCAATTTCCCACTGGTTATGCTTGCCACAGCTTGCAACTGTTCTTTATGTATAGCGACAGTTTCTCGTAACCTTGAAGCCTGCTCAGACCCAAGATCCTGTTTGGAAGAAGAAAGTCGCTTTGCTTCAAGCCCAAGATAGATTCTTTCGGGATCAGAGAAGTCTGTATTGACATCGTTACTAGTTGGCAATTTCCATAAGGTATAGGCCGTCTTCCGAGTACGCTTGATTTGACTTGATCTGAAGAAAACAGAAAGCAGGCTAATATCCATCGGCGATGAAGCTGTCGGTGTAATAATTTCGCTCGCCTCATCATGAGTTTTGCCAAATTGGGATCTTTTATTCTGTTTCTGCTTCAAGTTGACTTTTGAAGAAAAGGTATCCACACGACGTGTGTTGAATTGTGTTTGAATTTTATGAAGACTGACCCCAACTTCATTTCTACGTCTAGAAATCGAGTTGGCTGGGTCTTTGCTGGAATCTGGGACAACGAGGGCGACGTATTCCGTATCAGCTCGATTATTTATTTTCGTCACATCCAGCTGAACAAGTGCAGTCTCTTTTAATCTGATCGGTTTCTGCTTTTCAAACGATATCTCGCAATTTTCACACTTTTTGCGATCGCATGTCCTCGAACAGGGAAGCCGGGCGTGGTGGGTTGCTTGACTGAGTGGGGTAGGCATTATTCAAGCGCTATACAAATATCACGCACATGCAGGAAGCAAATTTTTGAGGCTCTGGTATGTGCTATTTTGGAGACTGCTATGTATTCCTTGGAAGCCAATGTGAGGGAAAAAACATGATCATCAATTCATCCTGGACGAATCTCTGGGATAATCCAGAATTTCTAGTTTCGGTTTAAAGGAGCGGCATGCATGTTGGCTCCTACATATCGAGTTAGTTCGCGTCGTAGCGGCCCCCAAATTGTGGCGCAGACTGGCTGCCTCCATTCTTAGGGGCGCAGTTGATTGTAGCACTCCAAATGGTGGGGGAGACTGGCCCCCTCCATTCTTTGGGGCGCAGCAGAGCGCTCAGGAATGCTTCAGTTCGTACCGCACCGTAACTGCCCCGTTTCACAAACCGGTTTGGAGTAGTCGTGTCTCGAGGGCACCGGAAATAGTGCGCAAAAGATGCATATTAATTCACTAAACATTGATCTTCTTCAACGGGATCGGCGCTCTCTTAAGTATCAGCTATCATAAATTTATTAATGGTATAAAGCCGCTTCGGTTTGACTATTCTCGATTAAGATTTGTTGTAGGTCAGGATTGAGGGACTTGGAATTTATTGAGTGAAAAAAGTCATGGCTGCAATTGCAGGCTCAACGCGAAAGTATGAGGGTAGCAGATATGACTCATATGAGGAAGGAGACTACAGGGTAGATGGAGAAGAGAGAGAGGTCTGATGTTCTCTAGTACAGCCTCTGCATAATTTGAACTAGCTTGCCATGCGAACTGGCTACAGCCTACCTGTATGGCATCCTGGTTTCAGGAGAACATCTCCAAGGTGATAATTGTGGTGTTCCATATATAAGTTACCACAAAGGATAGTGCTTACAGTGGATCGTCCAAATTCTACATGCCAGAGGCTGTTCTACATATCATACACGGAACAAAACGGCTATACGGAGTCCACGGATATACAACAATCTGCCTAGTCAGGCCACGCCTCCGCAGAGGTATAAGTACCACGGGTTCAAATCAATTAATTTCGGACCTTGGCCTGAATTGGTGTCTGAATTTGCCTATCTCTGCCTAAGTTTTAACTGGCAGAAAATTCATAAGACGGAAATATAATTATAGTATTTTAATCTTAATATATGAAGCTAGGTATTCATATATATGCTAAATATGCATTATTGTTAGGAGGTATGCCTTTGGAACAGCTACAGGAAAAGAACACGTATGGGGGGAAGCGCGCGGAGGGGAAGTCTGCCCCGACACGTCGAGAGCTATCTACCTAGCCACCTTGGTCTGAACTATACAGACCACGTGATCTAACAATTATAAACTACTTTTCAAATCCGCCTCTGATCAGTTAATTAAGAATTATAAGTTATTGACTAAATATCTAGATAAAGATAAACTTAAAGTTCAAATTGTACAACATAAGGTTTAAAACAGTTCAAGAAACATAAAATTGAAAGTATCTAGACTACCTAGATCTTGGAGTTTAAAGTTATTATCCCTGGCTTCAACGTACGGAGGCATTGTTAGAAAGAGCTCGCTTTTGAGTCCTCGCTGGCGCTCTCTGGCTTTGTCTTGGGGCTGGTGGGCTTTGGCGTGGAGTTTGTTAGCTCTATCAAGGAGCTGACGCGGTCTGTTCAGGAGCCTGCTAGCTCTGCTCTGCTCAGGAGCTCTGCTCAGGAGCTCTATTCCGGATTTGGTCTAATGTAATTACAGGTTTGTGTAAGGGCGGTAGCTAGGGCGGTGTAAAATTCAGGCACAAATTCAGGCCAAGGTCCGAAATTAATTGATTTGAACCCGTGGTACTTATACCTCTGCGGAGGCGTGGCCTGACTAACTTATATATGGAACACCACAATTATCACCTTGGAGATGTTCTCCTGAAACCAGGATGCCATACAGGTAGGCTGTAGCCAGTTCGCATGGCAAGCTAGTTCAAATCATGCAGAGGCTGTACTACAGAACATCAGACCTCTCTCTCTTCTCCATCTACCCTGTAGTCTCCTTCCTCATATGAGTCATATCTGCTACACTCAGTGGTGGATCTAAATCTCTTGTTCTATGGTTCTCAGACATAGAGCATCATGATGCCACAGCTCCGAATCCCCACTACATTATGTATTAGTATGTACAGTGGTTATTGCGAAGCGTAGTGGAGCAGATTAAAATCCAATGATTAGACCTCCCCTGGCGTACTGGCTTAATTTGATCAAACAATTGGTTGAACTTACAACACGTGATTGTAAGCCACCGCTTACCTCCTTCGGATGTTGAAAAAAGTTCTGCTACCTGACGTACCCCAGCCTAGACCATATCGTAGTGATCACAGCAACGCACCTATAGAGAAGAAGTCAGCATGGAGAGGGGAAGGCCACTTCAGCGCTTCAGACACGTGCATGATCTTCAGGTGCAAAAAAGTGGTGTTCAGGGCATTCAGGGTAAAGGGGCTGAATGGGGTGAAGAGTAGAGTGGCAAGGGGAGCCTGCCTAACGATTCAAGAAATAAAAAAACTAAAACATACAACAGTCAGGATTCGCATGTGGTCACCCACCATACTACTAACTGACCGGCGTGTGGCTTAAGTACGGCTGAGCGGACGGGAAGCCCTGTTCTCCACACCCTGTGGTCGTATGTGTTTGACATATGAAGATAGGGGATTATATGGATAGACCTGGTAGCTTATACTTGGGACCTCGAGATAGCCTTGCAGAATGGCAGGGATTGGTATGCCATCGACATATAATGATTGAAAGAGAGACCTTGGACCCAGCCTGAGATCAGAATTTGATTTCCTTATCAAACCTAGAAACCTAGACATCTGAAACTTTGGTGAAGCGGCATAGCTCTGCGGGTGAACAACTACGTAATGAAACTGGAATATTTTTTTCCCTCACCCGGACTTACTATATATCATGATATACACAACGTTGGCCCCGGGGCTGGTCCATTGCACGGTACATGGGGCAAGAAGCCGTTCAAAAATTCTAGAAAAGACGCGATATCGAGAACGATCGGGATGCCCCCGTGGTTTTTAACCATGACGTCTTTCAATGTTGTGCCTCTTCTTGTCGATTGAGCGCTTGGGCCAAATCTACTGGTAGCTACCTGCTAGCTACCATCCTTCCGAGGTTGGCTGTTGATAACCTTGATGACGAATGGAAATACCTGCCAGCTATTTTGTATGTGGTCGACGAGACGGTATACTGCCACCCTTGGCTGTAGTTTGTTCTATCCAAGAATATCTGAACACAGATGTGCATGAATGAAGGTAGTAGGTATTTATTATTGGGTCATTGTAGCCATCCACCAGTCTGAGGCTGCTCGCTTTGCATGCCTTTCATCTTCACTCTGTTCTCCAGAAAGCAACGATTGCTGATTATCCATGACAATATCGGACAAGCCATTGTAGGTTCGATAGGTCTGTAATGGAACTGAGGTGTCTTTCACCCCAGTGCCATATTTTGCACGCATCAAGGCAGCAACAGCACTATGATTCCCTGTTGATGGAGATGGGGGCGCTGACTCGGCGACGATCCGAGCGGCTTCTCTGAGCTCAGGAGGGATTGAGTAGCCATAATTATCTTTTGTATCGGATGATCTTCGGGCCGTTTGATTGTTCGATTTCATCGAGCTGTCCACGCTCTTCTGGCTGTAGTCAAGAGGAGCAGAATCAGGATTCGAGCGTGACTCAGATGCAGTGGCCAACTCATAGTTGCTATACTGAACATTGTCAAGACGAAGCTTGTTTCTGTACTGCAAAACCTTCAGAGCCCGAGAAACTGCGTCAGCTGCGTCTGAGGTTCCCTCGACAGCCTGTGAATCACCGGTTGCCACTGCATGAGCTGCTACAGATACAGCAGAGACACTCTCATGTCTACGTTTATCATGAAACTTCTCATGAGCGTGATGAGAGGCTTGAACGCAAAGAGCAAGTTGGCTTACTAGCCAGAGCACTTGCCAAAGACGCATTATGTCAAGACACTTGAGGGTCTCTTGACAGAACTTCCCGGACCACCCAGTAAGGAAATGGGGGACTTGAGGGAACTGCGAAATGTGTTTCTCTTTTGACTGTAGTTCCCCTTTGGGTCATCGGTCTTTTCCTATGCCAAGTTAGGTCAAGACCGATTGAAATCTGCTTCAACGGAGGACCCAGTCATGGCCAAGAGTCCCAGCTACTATATCGGCTAAAACGATGGAGCTAGAAAACACGCCTCATTTTTTTAGTGCGAGCGGTTTGAAAAGTCTGTTCCGCAGCCCTATCAAATGTAAAATGAAAAACTCATGGTACTATTGTGAGGTCCCGGACCGTCCCGGATCCTGCCAAGACAAAGGTCCTCGAATGCCAAGACAGGACCCTGCCAAGACTGATCCTGCCCTGCCAAGACCTGCTAAATTGTGAACTATTTAATCTCCAGGGTTTGGCGAAGGGGCAAAGCCATTCAAATCCATGGTCAGGGCTCGGGATCCAGGCAAATACTGGTATGGATTAGGTAAATTGATTGCTATCCGAGCCGCCTCAAGTTCATGACATACAGTATATAAATTGATAATGCATCAGGCACCTGACTGGTAAAACCTTCAAACTTTCATGATGTCTCAAATGGTATCCATACCTGGACGGATAATGCACCGGTTGCTCCGAGTCCCACCTAGGCACCCAAGAATTCCAGTGCAGGTGTTCAAATGTTTGAGGGAGTACTAATTGATAGGTCTGCACATGTGGATCTATTAAAAATTATCTGGTACTAGATGCGACTCGGAGCCTGAAGTCCAAATTGCCCATAACACATATCAGCCCCATTGCCCAGCCTGAACTAACTTCATCCGCATGTGGGGCCGAACAGGGAACATAACTTACTCTTATGTAGTAAGGACGACTCGGATCTCTGGTCGGAAATTCAATCGAAATTCTAAGCTATGGGGTCTAGGGTAGCATCCAAATATCAAGCCTTGTCGTATATACTCGGACCCACTGCTGCTGTGTGGACCTGGGAAATCATTACTTCCATTTCCACTGTCTCGGAACTAAACCCAGTAGTTGTTTGGGAGGCTAAAATCGTTAGGATACATCGCTTAGAAATTGGCATCTAGAAAAGGTGGCGTTGCCGGGGAGGATCCGAGAAGCAAGAAAATTTGAAGAATACATGCTAGGTACTCCATACAGAGAGCTAGCATGATTGCGACACTTTTTTTCTTTTAATCTTATTCGGGTTTTGTCTCTTTCTTCGTTTGTTCCTGAGGGACTCTGCGTGGAAGTATACTCCCACCTTCCCTATCATGGGCATCAAGAAAAGAGACCGTTCGGTCACATCTCTTTGTGTTCCTCTTTTCTTTCTTTTATTCTTCGTCACTTCTGTCTATAGTCAGAATTGTAGTAAAGACAATCCGTGTTCAACAGGCTGCTGTTCAACAAGTGGATGGTGTGGAACAGGAGACGACCACTGCGGCGCAGGAAACTGCGTGGATACATGTGACTTCAAGCTCGATTGTGACGCGAGCAATCCATGTGAAACGGGATGTTGGTGCGTAATCTCAACCTCATACACTTTGCTCTCAATATGTTAACGTTGTCAAATTCGAATATAGTTCGAATGCCGGATACTGTGGATTAGGCCCTGATTTCTGTGGTGCAGATGTCTGTGTTTCAGGATGCGACTCCAAAGCCGAATGCGATCCTGGCTTTGGTGCTGAGTGGGCAACGAGTTCAAAGTGTCCACTCAATGTCTGTTGCTCTGACTATGTATGAAACACCGGTGATCACATTTGCCTCTCTTTAGAAAAAAATGCTGACTGGATTGATCTTATTGACAGGGATTTTGTGGAACAACCCAAGAATTTGTGAGTCTTGCCAGGCTATCCTGATCAATATTCAGACTGACTTTAAATAGTGTGGAAATAAAACAGTTGAGCACACAAGCTGCGATAAGAGCACGTCTACTTTAGACCGCGTAGTTGGGTACTATGAGGCCTGGGCTAGCCGCCGTCCATGCAATGTCTTCTGGCCCGAACAAATTCCCCTGGGTATCTACACGCACATCAACTTTGCATTTGCAGCAATTGATCCAGATACATTTGAGGTCAGACCTGACCAAACTGAAGATTTGGATCTTCTCAAGAGAGTCACTCAATTGAAAACACTGGATCCCGACCTGAAAGTAATGATCGCCCTTGGGGGTTGGACATTCAATGACCCCGGACCAACCCAATCGACCTTTTCTGATATTGCAAGATCAACCGACAATCAAGCAAAATTCTTCAGCTCTTTGATCTCATTCCTTTCCAGTCACAACTTGGATGGTGTTGACCTCGACTGGGAATATCCCGCTGCCGATGATCGCAACGGTCGTGCTGATGACTATGAGAATTTCCCGAGTTTCATTGCAAATTTGAAAAGTGCGTTGAGCAATGCAGGTGGTAGAGATGAGCTCTCAATCACGCTTCCTTCTTCCTATTGGTATCTTCAACACTTCGATATTGCTAAGCTCGCTCCTCATGTCAGCTTTTTTAATGTGATGTCATATGATCTCCACGGAAAATGGGACTTGGGAAACGAATGGACAGGTGCCTACCTGTCTGCTCATACCAATGTCACTGAAATTGACAAGTCTCTTGAGCTTCTCTGGCGGAACAACATCGACTCATCCAAAGTTGTGTTGGGTCTCGCCTTCTACGCGCGGGCTTATACATTGTCAGATCCTAACTGTGTGGAACCAGGCTGCGAATTCGCATCAGGTGCAAACAAGGGACAATGTAGCCGGGAAGTCGGAATTCTGTTGAATAGCGAGATCGATGAGATTGTCGCAGACAAAGAACTGGAGTCAACTTTCTACAGTGGTGCAGATGTCCAGGTTCTTCACTGGGATGACCAATGGCTGTCATACGACGATGCAAAGACACTTCAACTCAAAACCGAGTATGCCCGTGGGTTGTGCCTAGGTGGTGTCATGGTATGGGCTATTAGTCACGACACAAAGGATGCAAAGTATTCGATGGCCTTGGGAGATGTTTCCAATCGCACTTCCACGTCAGTAACAGGTCTTTTCCAACGAAAGTCTACATCATCTGGATCTGATGATGATGATGACACCTACGTTAATAAGACAACAGATCATCTTCAATGCACTTGGTCAAATTGCGGCGAGTACTGCCCAGCCGGCTGGCAGATGATGACGCGTGATGATAAATGGAAGCATACAGATGGAGAAATCATGTTGGATGACACCGCTTGTACTTCACCACACGCTCGACGACTTTGCTGTCCTCCAAGTGAGACTGCCCCAAGCTGTGGGTGGTATTCCTTCAAAGGAGGTGCTTGCGACGGCGAATGTCCATCTGGCTATTCCGAGGTGGGATCACTGGGTCATGGCTGCCGAAGTGGCTATCAAGCCGCCTGCTGCACGACAGAGAACTCGGATAGCAAACTTTTGAATTCTACAAGGCTGTTTGAGACGTGCGCATGGTCAGACGCCCCTTATTGCACCGAAGGAAAATGTACATTTGCTGGCTCAGCGTGGCCAACCGACTTCGTTGAATCCACAACTGGTAGTGGTGCGGCTGTCTGTAACATTGATGTGGCCAGATCCACCTGGGACTCGAAAGACCATATGTGGAACTATAAAGCAGGAAAGCGAAAGTATTGCTGTGACACATCCAATGATGATATTACCTGGGGCACCTGCACTTGGAGAGACGATATCGAAAACTTCGGCACAAAAGGCAAAAAATGCAGTTCAAATTGCAAATCCAACGAAATTAAGGTCGCCATGGAGGGTGGTGATGACTGCTATGGCAAAAACGGCGGTGCCATGAGCTACAGTTGCACTGGCGTTTACAAAACCAGCCAGAAGGTTCTGAATTCTGACTTCACTAGCTGGGACGATGATATCTCTGCTTGGGTCGATAATCCAACCTGCGAGGATACGTCGAGTTCGGTTCTTTCTACACGATCTCAAGAGATGAGAAGAGACCAAATTGTTCTCGGAAAATCTACTCCTTATAATAGTGTATTGACTGTTTTGACTGCAATCCTTATCAATGCTGGTTCCGAGACAATTTCAAGCACCGTTCTTGGGTACAAAAAGATTTTCGATGCACATGTTCCCAAGCACGAGGGTTGGGAGAGCCTCACAAGCGACAACATCGTGGTCTGGTTCGACCTTGATACAAATCCAACTGCGGCAGAAGTTGGCCCCAAGGAATGGGCTGAACGAATTTTGTGTAGCCCCGATGGCTATAATGCGATGCTAGATTCGACGACAAACAGCCATCCTATATGTGATCATTTCGACCTGACTTCCAACGATTATGACGCAGCAGATGGATCTTCCGACACTGTCGATGATGGTACACTCATCAAGCGATGGACTCAAGCGGTATGTTTACTTGGTTTTATCCTTCTCGAATGCCAAGATTTGTTTCTAATTTGCAATCACTAGCGTCGAGCTCTTTCCGAACTTGAAAAGCGATCTCCGGCGCAAGATAGAACCATTCACTGCAATGACGGAAAGACCACGCGGACCGTCAGATATCAGAGCCAGCCTTATCCAAGTGTTGGTCAGTGGCCTAATGATGCTGACCAAGTGGAGAATGCCAGGGATTTGCGGGACTGGAATCATTGCCATACTTCCCAAACATCAATATACAACCTGGGAGTAGATCGCAATAATTACGCAAGTATGTTCAACCTGCGTACCCCAATCCATAAACAAGAGATGCCAGAGATGATAGAGTAACTGACCCTATCTTGCGTACAGCCGAACATCTTTTGGAACTGGAATCAATGGAGCTCTTTTGGAATTGGGCCACCGACCCTGACAACGATGAAGAAAAATGCGCCGATATCGACTGCATATTCTTGGCTGATTTCTTCAATCAGAAGGTTCTCGATAATCCAGTGGATCTGCCAGGACTCGACAGTTCTCATCAAAAGATTCCCATGCAAAGAGTCATGGAGATGATGGGAAGTGAGGAAAGAACCCAGAACTTTGCCATTCTCCATAAAACCATCAATCTCGCCCAAGGCACAGGTAGGTCAAACCAACAGACTGCTAGATGATTTTTTTTGACCAAAGCTTTTCTTGTTTAGTTGTGGCGATATTTCCGACCCAGAAGTGATGAAACTTGGGATGCCTATGTGTCGGCCGGTGGGCAGAAAGCACTCGAGGTGATCCGCGATGTGAGTATATGAAATGTACATCATTGCGTGCTATGAAACTAGACTTACTAATTTGGACAGACTATTGCTGTATACAATTATATGAAAGACTCAGATATCCGGGACAAGTTCAAGGCGATCAATGTGGACGTGCGGCAAGAAATTCAAAATGCCCAAGATCAATACAAGACAACCAATGGGAAGGATATTTCCTTGTTGGATTGTTATGATGCTTGGATGGACTATCAGTTAAACTCATTTGTTACCGATGGCAAACAGTGGGTCAAGGATGCTGTTAAAGATTTGAAGAAAGATTGGGAGCCAGAAGAAAGTGAAGACGATGATCCTTTGAGTCATGAGTATTACCGGGCAGTGGAGATAGCTTTAGATCTCTTGCAGGGTGAAGCGGATGATGCAATTGATATGAGCAATTTCAATTTGGATCTCGGCAACTCAGATTCAATGGATACGTCTGATGGTTGAACTTTGGTGAGATACCAGTATGCTACTGTCGGCCTGAGTGCGGCATGAAGGGGCATCACCATGTGTGGGAAGAGCTATAAATATACAAACTGGAATGATTCGAACCATTTCAAATTGAGACATCTGGATAAGCGAGGAGAAGATAAAACCTTGGAAGTCTAATCTTGGTATAGGCATCTATGAGCCTTACTGAAGTCAACAGTTTGTAAACAGATTTTTATCCTATAACAAATCACCCCAGATACTACCAAGTGCTCTCGCCTCAGATCCCTTCTAAGGCTAATTCTACGAAGACTCTTCCCACTACAGACATCAGTACTAGCGGCCTCTTTATACACCTGGCAGGACCGTTCTCTCAAGTCTGCCACTTAACCCGCATCTGAACACATTTTTTCTATCTGTTTAAAGTGGTATAAAGAGGCCTCATCTTCTTGCTGATACGATTCAGGGGTCCCATCTGCTCATCACATCGGGTAACAAAACCGCCGATCATTTTGGATCCGAGATTTCCGCGATCGTGGCCACAACGAGTGCAGCAATACACTTCGATTATTTTCCGATGGAAAATCTTGTGACATTCGTGAATGGGTTACCATGCCGGGTTCTTTGGTGATTATTCAACTTATTTGGTAGCCTGTATAATCATCCACGATGCCGACGAGAACGAAAAATGCTGCGTGAGATCCACTCGCAGCCGCAGTGGGGCTAAAAGAGGCCTTGAGTGGTTTCTCTGGATCTGGCACTTTCAATAGGCTGTTTATTGACTTTGTGGATGTGATGCGCGCCCTGCATGAGCCTCCTTCGCGGCGATCGCGCTCGCATTCCATCCTTTCTGCCTCAACAGTGAGTGAAGATGACCAATCTTCGAGGTCTCCTTGTTGCGCTAGCAGCAACTCCCGTCGTCTTGGGTCAAAGTTCGACTTATGAGACTTGCCTCAGAGATGCTGTAGCTGAAGGTGGCAGTGTGGCCTTCCCCGACGCGCTGCTCTATCAAGCTGTTGACGTCAATCGTTATAATTTGAACATTCCGGTTACTCCCGCTGCCGTCACTTTTCCGACCTCGTCAAAACAAGTCGCCTCCATCGTGAAATGTGCCTATGACAATGGATATCCTGTCCAAGCCAAGAGTGGTGGTCATAGCTATGGCAACTATGGTATGTCTTTGGCTACTAGTGTGTTTCCCTAAGATATGGCAGTAAGTCACTAACCTATATTTTCGAACTTTCTAGGACTTGGTGGAACAGACGGAGCAATTGTCGTCGACATGAAGAGCTTCCAACAATTTTCAATGAACTATAGCACGTGGCACGCAACAATCGGGCCTGGAACGCTCCTGGAGGATATAACTATACGGTTGTACAACGCGGGCAAGCGCGCAATAGCCCATGGTACTTCTCCACAAATTGGTGCTGGCGGACACTTCACCATTGGTGGTCTGGGGCCACTTTCGCGTCAATATGGAATGGCTCTCGATCACACTCTGGAGGTAGAAGTAGTACTAGCGAATGGGACCATAGTGCGTGCTTCCGAAGACGAGAACCCGGACGTTTTCTGGGCGATCCGAGGCGCAGGATCCGGCTTTGGCATTGTGACAGAGTTTGTTGTACGCACAGAGCCTGCACCAGGCAGTGCGGTGCAATATGAGTTCACATTCACTATCGGTAATGCACAATCCCAAGCCGCGCTATATAAGCAATGGCAAGCGTATATTGCGAACCCGGATCTCACCTGGAAGCTAGCCTCGACACTTTGGGTGCTCCAAGATATCATGATCATCACCGGTACATACTTTGGCACTAAGGCGGAATACGATGCGTTGGATATGGGCAGCCAATTCCCCGGGGCTACTAACAGTAGCGCGATTGTCTTCGAGGACTTTCTCGGTCTGGTTGCTGAATGGGGCGAGGACTTTCTCCTTAAATTAACAGGAGGTATTCCATCTAACTTCTATGCCAAGTCAACCGCGTGGACACCACAGGACTTGATGTCGGACGAATCGATCGACCAGTTCTTTGAATACGTGGAGACTGCAAACAAAGGGACACCTGTTTGGCTTCTAGTGTTTGATTTCGAGGGTGGTTTCACCAACCAAGTCGATGTCGATGCCACCGCATATCCCCACAGAAATTTCTTGATCTGGCTGCAAACGTATGCCATCAACCTTCTCGGGCATGTCACACCTACCATTGTCAAGTTTTTGGACGAACTCAATCAACTGGCTAATACCAGCTCCCCATATGAGGCATATCCGGGCTACGTCGATCCGCTACTGCAGGATGGCCCGCAGGCTTACTGGGGCTCTAATTTACCCCGGCTGGAGCGGATCAAGGCCCACATTGATCCTAATAATGTATTTCGCAACCCGCAAAGTCCGCAGCCAGCTGCCTAAGAAACAGCATTGGGTGGTATAACTGCCAGCCCTGGAGTGTGAACATAATTGCCAGTTCCCTGCAGAGATAATACCTAATATATGTATAATGTAATTACCTAAGTTCATATTGATATCTACTATCCCAAACTTGAATACCACCAGACTAAGACTACTATTGGAACTACATGTACCCAAGTGTCCATATTGAAAGTAGTATTCAAGTTTTTACCCACCTGCAGGCATTGCCCCGATTATATCAGCTTGAAAATTTGGATGTACTAGAAATTCAAGGGCTCATTATATTTTCTACAATACTAGTATTCTCAAGTTACCTAAACCCCGGGCCTTAGGTTGGAATGGAATGGATACACATGTGCATAACCGCCGGGGCCGTTCTGCCGCTATAGTAGACTGCCCAAATTTGCACTTGGAAGTACCCCAGGAGTATAGGAAGGATAGGAAGGATAAAGAACTTGGATTGGATCTTGGATAACTGCTTGGTAGGTCTACCAGAACATGTCTCTCCCATTTCATCCTACTCATTCCACAGAACGCCCCAAATCTGACCCGAGATGTCTATTGCAGCAATTTGCTGCTTAAAAAGTCCGCTAGCCACGTCCCTTTCAAGAATAGTAACCCGATCCGAGTCTTCAAGTCCGACCACAGCCAGATCTCCTGCCTTGTTAAGCTCAAAAGTCCTAGCCAATGATCCACCTGCTGGCGCCGATTGGACGAAATCCAGCTTCCCGCTCAGATCCTGCCTGATTCTGAACGTGGACATCGAGTCTGATGTTCCATTTGGAGGATACTGGGTGATTGTTCCATTGAACGTAGCATCTCGGCGGTTGCTTGCAATGAGGAAATTACCATCTGGGCTGATTCTCAACTCTGCGATAATTTCTTTGCCACCGGTGTATGGATTTGGCTTTCCAGGCTCCAGGGAGCTGTATGTACGCAAAAGCTTGAAATCCAGACCTCCTCTATTAGGCAGATATTTCACACGATAGGCTGTGATTGTTCCTGCGATCTCGGCCCCAAGGTAAAAGACATAGCTCGCGACACCGTCTGGAAACATTATTGGGTCTTGGCTGAAGACTCCATGTCGGGGGCCGGATCCTGATGTAAAATTCAATGACGCCCGTTCCTCGAGTAATAGTGTATCATCGTCAATAGTATAGATATGCACCAGGTCGGAACCAAGATCAATGGCCAACAAATATTGTTCCAACGGGTCGGTACGTGCTTCGTGGATAAAGGGGGCAGTTTGGCGTACTGTGCCGCCTGGCTTGTCCAGAGTATAGGTGAAAGTCTCCAAAGGTTTGATCGTACCATTTGCAGCGGTGATGTCGTATGTCTGCAGAGCACTGCTGCTGTAGTGGGCTACTGCGATTGCCTTGCCATTTGCGTACAAACCAGCAAAAGCACCATCGGAAAGGGTCTTGATGCTATCCAGTTGAATTGGGGGTCCAGTTCCATTCTTGGAGCTTGTGCGATAGGCAGTCAAACTCCCATTCCCTGTTGTGACTCCGTCGGTAAGGTAAAGAATATTGTTGTGTTTATTCAAGGTCAACCACTCGACATACTTTGCAGGGGTCCTGAATGTGTCGACGACGGAGAGATTATACCTCTTCGCGGGCGCAAATCCAGCGAAATAGCCATCTTCGACGGAGCCTGCGGGGCTAGTTACAGCAAAATGGTCATATGTCAGAGATAGAATTGTGACATTCCCCAAGTAAGATGCGACATAGAGAAGAACACCATGCACACCATCACATAGCAGCAGGAATTGCAGCGCATTTGTCGCCAGAAAAGAATAAATCATCGTGAAAACAAGCACACTGACGGTCCGGGCGATTTAAACTCTTGGTGCTTGTGCATATGCTTCCTTCTTATGATGCGAGCAAATTGATAGCCGAGGTTGTTTCGTCACAAGAATCGGCTGAATCAATTCCAACATTTGAGGGTATAGCCGATTAATGGATAGATTTTTCGGTACATTGGTCTGCTTTTCTTGTTCGCGGCTATTTAGCTTTGCGATCGATCATCATACAGTGGCGTTGAAAAAGTTTGTGTCGCAATTTGACCACCTTATACCGCGTGTACGACACAAACCTTTTTAACATGACTCTGTAATCAAACTCGGTCTTAATCTATATGTATTTCCAAATTGAACTCCATTTCAAAAATTGGCAGTGTATTTGTTGGGTAGTAGACGATATCCAGTCTCGCATGGATCGCCATAACAGAGAAATTCTCATTGCGGTGAGAGGAGTGGCGCTGACGCACGGTTATCGGATAATCGATAGCTTGAAGGACCAGCCATTGTAAATTCAGCTCTAGATCTATACTAAAAGTTGTCGAGATCATATGGTCCATAGATCAGACAACTCCCTCGTAGATGATAGCTCTCGTAGTCCAGTGAGAACTTCCCCTCTTCACGCTCCCCTACGTGCATACTGTCCCCTACTTCGTAACCTCGTAAGACCTCACCGTTGACTAGCATCACTCTTGATAAAAGTGCCTACTATAGGGGTATTCGACTAGGGGGGCCACTGACAGCACTGCATATTCCAGGCAATCCAAAGTAAGCACTAGTAAATAAGACTAGCTCGTACACCACACTTAATACGCGATTATCACCTTGAAAATTTTCTCCTGAAAGAGAAATATGTGACGGCTAAACTATCACCAATTAGCACGACAAATGGATTGCCGGGAATATGCATGTCGGGGGCTGTAGGTATTTTTGCGTTTTTCAGCACTTACTTTCATTGGAGACCCAGTTGAGTTCAAAATCTGAGAGAGAGACCCTCCGTTTCTGTGTGCACCAAGTCTCTGTACAATTTCACCTACGGGAGGACAAACTCACGCATCTAATTTTCCGCAAAGCTCAGGGAAGATGGGGTGATTGCATTTGAGTCATTGTGCCACCGAACGAACATGTTTGTGCAGCATGCTATTGTTGTTTGAGCTGAGCGCATCCCTCTTGTTTCGACTGCTCTGCTCCTTCTTTCCTGACTACTCCTAGCATGCCTTGGGTGATGTAGGAGGGGATGTTCAGCCGTTGGTTAAACTCCGGGAGTAGAGCTTAAATGGACAAGCTGGGCATTGGGTCCAAAATATCCCAGTTTGGAACTATCGGTGTAAATCACCCCGCATATCCGACATTCCTGTGCATTTTTTTCAAGCAGCATACCAGGGGGCTGCGGGGCCCCCGGACCTTTGGCCCGGTGGGGGTGGGGGCGCATGGTGCACAATCGCAACGCGCTTAATCTATCACGCAATATGTACTCTTTTATTTATGAAAGAGATACCATGAAGCCGAAGTGGGAGGTGTGTCAAAACAAATTTTTGACCGCCTGGACTAATATTAGTCCTAAATACAAATGGGTCTTATAAAACGGACACCCTAAAGCCAGCATACGGGAGGGGTAAATTTTTCAGCCACCATACAGTATATGCTCCGCTTCGCTTCGCAATTATGATACGCCACAACAGAGACCTTGTCAGGTACTAGTAAAGGCTCAGCGGCCTCTTCTGACTATACATTATTCACAGGTGAGCCCTTTGATATCTTGGTATAATCCTACTCCGCCGCCTCATTTGTTGCAAGCCCGTGTTTCACTTTTCCAGGTGAGGCACACATTTCCTTTGCGCTTAAAATTTGGTGAACGGGTGGCTTTTGTTTTCTTCACAGTACTAGTTTCCTCTCAAGAGGATTCTCTCGGGGTGACATGGATTATATCCGAAGTAGCATCTTGTTTGGGGGTACTACAGCCAAAGGTACAGCTGAGCTCACATAGCGCCCATCGTTCGGCGCTAGTCGACTCGCGGCTTTACTTAGGTGTCCTTTAGGCGGCTTTTGGGGGCAGCTTATCTACGTTTTGGGTGGTTCAGGGCTATAGCTGGGAGACCTTGGATGCAAAATTCGACCCTTTGGATTCAATAGTGATGATCTACAAGCCACTTAGAGAGATTCTTCCACCTGTTGGCCACACTCCAACGAACAACGGCGTCATAATCCCGACAGGTATGAACCGCATAACTCGACTCAGCTCCGAACAGATTGTCCTTATCCATGCCAGCGAGTGTAATATCCACGTTGCACATCAGTGTATGGCGTATGTAGTCCAGGCAGTGCCATGTGTGGTCATCGGAGTGATAATTTTCCAGTAAATTCTCTCGGATCATGTGCTGCCAAAGCGGTGTATTGTCTTAATATCAAATTATGTAAGGTAGTGATGCTTAGGTCGAAAACTCACCAAACAGTGCATAGCATGAAAGGAATCCACCTGATAGAGCAGTTCTCCTGGTGTATCGGGGGTGGGTGCACTCGGGGGTAAGCCATGCTGAGCTGCCCACTCTTCGGTGACGGACACAATGCCATGGTCTAACGAAACGATAATATTTCACTAACTGAACCAGAGAGTAAACTGAACCAGAGAGCACTTACGCGAGACCATGTCGTCCCAAGTCTCATGGTAAAAGCTTCCACTCTCGTGGCGCTCTCCAAGAGTACTATGATTGCTATAGTCCCAAGCCCTGTTAAATTGAGAGAGAGATCCATCTAAAACGTATGAGTGTTTTTCTGGTGTAGTTTCTCCGTGACGAGGAACATTAAACTCACAGTCATCCAATTGAGGCTGATGTTGTCCTCTTGTTTTTACCAGAAGAAAGTATCCACCAATAAAGCAGGCCACATTAGCCAACTCAAAGAGAAGAAGCCAGAGACATAGGGAAGAACATCGAGTCTTGGTCCTTCCACCTTTATCGTCGACAAACAAATACCGACTGTAATCCAACTCACTTGTAACGAGCGGGACACACTCGGGCTCGTGCTTTTCGCCCATAGCCGTGGTTCAGGCAGGAATACCGAAGAGTATAAACTTGAAGTGTATCATACTAATATGGCTGATCCGGGGAGAAGAACACAGACTTGAGGCCTTGCTACCTATGTAAGTATTTATAATCTGTAGACTACCAGATTGCCCCTGAATTCTCCTGTGGGGCATAGGCATAAGTATGGAAGCTAGTAATTAGAAACATCAGCATGTGTCCAATTGCCCGGCCGCGCCTCAAATTACTGGCTGTCGTTGTCATGTTGACATAGATCAAATTCCGCTAGTAGCAGTTCTGTAAAGCCTTCCAAGAGCCTGAGTTATTTATTAATGTGAGGCACATTCCTTACCTTGGTTTAACCCCCTTCTAAATGATAATGCCGCCTATTCCAGCTCCAAACAAGTCAGACCACCACATTTGACTAAAATAAAAATCAGAACCTTAAGAATAGCACTAACGATATCTAAGCAATCCATGTTGGATCAAACGTGTCTCTTGGGAATGGAGAGAACATCCCATAATGTGTAAGACTTGAACGATGGCCGGGCTGAGGAATGTCATCTTGGCCCGGTAAGACTAGGTAGCTGAAATGTGGTCGGTTCCATTACCATTTGGTTTGAGATGCAGGAATACTATAGGTTGGTAAGAAACTGAGGCGGAAACTGAGGCGCATTCTGCCATGTCCTCCCTCTCTAATCCCTACAGTATAGTACTAGACTACTAGTACATTCTTACTCCTCTCGGTTAATCTTCCAATTGGATTCCTGATGGGCTCGTGGGTTGCGGAATCACGGAATGCAGGTCGCGGAACGGGCTGATCTAGATTAGGAGTGGATTAATCTGGATTAGTCTGGATTTTGGTGGATTGGCGGGTTTTGGTTGTTCTGTGACCTTAATGGTGGTGGATTGGTTGCTTCTCGAGTAGGATTGGATCGATCTGCTCATAGCTTGGAGGGATTTCAACCTTGGAAGTTATCTTCCAAAATATTGGGAACATATAGAGAGGCACCTGGGCACTTGAGCCTCCCAACCTTGGAAGGTCAAGACTAAATATTCAATTTTTGTTGTAACACAACCTTGGACTTCGGGACCTTCTGAGGCGCTAGAAGACACACAGTTCAACGCCCTATATCCCAATCACATAGTCCTCGCCATTTCAGTCAAGCGATGCACTTTCAAGTGTTCATTACTCCCGAGTGTTTCGCTCTATATAACCTCCTATTATCCATGATCTCGTACATACGACCACAGGGTGTGGAGAACAGGGCTTCCCGTCCGCTCAGCCGTACTTAAGCCACACGCCGGTCAGTTAGTAGTATGGTGGGTGACCACATGCGAATCCTGACTGTTGTATGTTTTTCTATTCCGTGTTTTTTTTGTGAGGTATTGTCCTTGCAGACCATTGAACATCTGAACGATGGAACAAAATAAATATTGATTCATACTAAAATGCTGAATCGGCCGAGCTTAAACCTTCCTTAGACAACAGGTAGGAACTCCATACAACGATAACCTTTGGAACATCTTTACAATTTCCTCCCCAAGACAAGTAATACTATGCAGTCAACAGCCTGAGCCTGCCACGAAAGCAGCTCGGATCAATACATCAAGTGACTGCTCCACATAGGTATTCCAAACCGATAAAAGCCTCCATAACTCGAAAAAATAATCACATAAAAGATCATTCAAGCATTAACTATTTTGCGGTCGTGGGAGCAAATCCGATCATCATGCTGGTTGGACAACTTGGTTCATCAATAACTGTCTTGGCTTTGTTGACCTCCCCGGTGGGCATTAACTTTCAATGAGCATCATTCACAATCATGAAATGAACCGGCTTGCACTTAGTGTCCTTTGAGCACTCTTCGAGACGCTCATCAACCCCAATACTGAGCTGTTTGTAGAACTTTCGATAGGTAGCCTGTCGCTGACAGAATGCGCGATATGTGTAGCCACCAGCGGTAATCGTCTTGCGTCCACCGTAACCACAGATCTTCATGGCTTCCTTGCGTCTCTCCCAGACTGGATCAACCTTACATTCGTTCTTCTTGCATGTGGTGAGCTCATCTTTGCACTTGCTCAGTTCAGCTTCGAGCTCTTTGATCTTTTTGTCACAGGCCTCCTTGTCTTCAGTGCGGCCCCTGCGGCATGCATCTAGTTCATCTTGCAAATCATCCTTGAGAGCTGTACAGGTTTGTAGATCTTTTTGGTACTTCTTTTTCTCATCTTCGCATTCTTCATCGGTAACACCAGCGTTATCATCCTCCTCTGGTGGGGTAGTTCGACGGATGAACACAGAGCCAAGCACTTCATCTCCAATATCGTCAGAGCTGTAGATATTGCAGGTTTTGGTGCCGTAGAATCAGTCACTTCCTTTGCAGGCAGCGGTTTCTTTGCAGAGCATAGCACACCCACCCTGTGTAGATTTCGTTACGCTGTCAATCAAGCGTTCGGAATTACCAGCACTATCGCAGCTTTACTCAATTTCGTATCCATCTTCATATATCTTTCCATCTTTGGGAGGCTTGTAGAGCTCTCGATAATGATCTCTCGCTGAGTCTTAAGCTCTAACAATCGATGAAAATGCAAAAATGGCGAGAACCGTCCCTCGCATCTTGAATCCCTCGCATCTTGAACGAGATTGGTCAGACTATAAACGACTTTGGGAAATCTTATGGATAAAATATATGAGTTTCCAAGGTTGGACTGGGGGTACCGGACTCGGAGCTCCGTTGGATCAATTGATGAATGTACCTTGGAAATTCACTGTCACCTGATGACTCGGAGATTGATGGTTTGATAGTACTAGACATAATGCCGGCGATAGATAGGACTGTATATAGTTATTAGAGAAAAAATACTAGCAACTTGAAGGCACGTAGGCAGGCAAAGTCAAATTCTCGTGGTGTTTTCTCACAAGGGGCTTTCCGATCGCTGATTCAAGTTGATTCAAACATTGGAATGTTGTCACTCTTCCGCAAAATGGCTATGACTATCAAAATATACACTAAAATTGCTTGTAAATTCGGCGGTCTACCCTAACCATACGCACATGTGGTCACCGCTTGATTCAATTCTGTCACTCTCTTGGAAAAATAGGTACGATCAGCATAATCTACACTTACTTTCTTTCAAGTGGTAGATTTGGTGGTCTACCCTAACCATATCATTGCATGGGGATGCAGCGTAAATGCGAGGATACTATGAGTCCGCATTGCGTTGCTACTCCTGCCTTGGCTGAGGAACGTCTGGCAGTAGCCCCATGAAGTTATTGCAAAGAAATGGGGTTGAAGATCAAACGATCAGACAATCGAACATACCTAGGATTGGTAATCTCTACGATCCCACTTTGATAGAATACGGGTGGCTACTAGTCGGGTCTTGCATCTGTTCCAGCCAGCACAGAGAAAACTACAACCGTGGATAACCTCCGAGTACCTTAAGTGATTGATATAAGAAACACCTTGGATTTACTTCCCTTTTCAAGTAAACTATTGATTATGATCTAGTGGATAGGTAGGGTAGCTCTGACAGCAATTATACCCACAGACTCAAAGCTTTGTTCCCTTGGGGGCTGCGAAAATGAAATTAAATGAAGTGGGACTGTCTTCAGGCAACTAATTGTACCATTCGACTATGGATGAGTGCTAATAAGCTACTAAGCTGGACACTCTATATGTACTAGAAAATGGATAATTAAAACCAACTACCTACTATACCTAGTGCCCAGGTGGGGAGTAGGGGGGGTAGACCTCCCCACTACACTATATATTTTGTATTTTGTGACAAAAGTCATAGTTTTTCAAGGATGTTCTCAAAGCCTCAAAAACATGCAATCTGACATGCGTTGAGCTGTTAGAAAAGCATGACTAGCCCGCAAATCAAGTGAAAATGTAGGTATCTTCCCAATTGTGACTGATTGCTCCTTCCGAGTCGTCAGCTAACGACACGTAATAGAACAACGATATACATTAGACTTCAAGCTGGAGCTCTTCCATCTAAGTTTCTTCTCTTCCACGTACGACGGCACTGAGTGCGGAGTCGGAGTCATGATACTACCTATTCAAAGGACAGCCTCGGAGGTAGGTATTGGGCTATAGCCATGACTAACAGAGCAAATCTGAGACATAATAGGCAACTATGAAATCTATTTTCGATTTCGATGTTTTTCTATTCCCACGTTCGCGAGGTTATGATGATTTTCCTTCAAGCTCCCATGGTATAGGCACCTAGGCAGCTTACATACTAATAAACTTCCTATGACTTTATTTAGGACCGGTCAATACTCCCAGTCACAAGCAAACCTTGGAATTGGAAGTCTGAAATTTTACGGCCAAAATTTATGCCACTTCTAAGGTTGTTTAGGTACCTACCATGCCAGGATGGGTCACGTTGAAGATCCCATGCATATAGGAGTAGATATCTAGAGCAGAACTTATGAACAGCAGAGGAATCTCAAAGCAGATTAGTCTACAAATTTTTCGTATAGTGGCATCTTGTTCTTCTTCGGACCGAAAGGTAAATCTAGGCTGCAACGAAATTTTGACCAAAATTGACTTTAAGATTGATTGTCAGTCAGAAAGTCGTACTCCGTGATGATATTAAATTCCAGAGCCCCACATAAGACGAGGACCTAGCAGGTAATAGGCCTCTCCCTGAGCTTTTATATTCTATAAGGGGCAAGGATATTCTCTCTATCAAGTATAGGGGGAAGAAACCTTGGAATGATAATATGGAGAACCGGATAAAGTTACTTTCAAATAGTGGGGCGCTGTTGTAGAAAAATGCACAAATGCACTTCCGGCGCAATAGTAAAACCCCACGGCGGGTACTTTATGTGGGTATGCTAGATGTACTATGGGAAATCCGCAAGCGAGGATTAAAAAAGAAAATTAGAGAAACAGGCCTCGGGAGGTGGAGGAAACTCCATCTGATTATCCACGTGAAATCTTGAATCACCAAGGCTTGTTCAGGATTTTTAAATCTGAAGTTAAGATACAACAAGTCTTTGATCCAAAATCATTCCATCTCATCTCAGAAAACCTGAAGTTGTGATAAATCCAGTCACCGTGATCGATGAAAAGCTCATTTCCAGAATGGATACCATAACACCGCTTCCCATATTTTAGGCTACGCCTCTATGGAGTGGCCCCTCCCATGGCGTTTTTTCTGAATAGATCTTTCCGGGTGGCTGCCCGAGATCGCATACGCGGCCATTCATCACGTTTTGTACTCTCTTTAGTCCACTTTGGCCGGAATTGCCTAGTTTGTGAGGAAGCTTGGTATGGAAGTTTGCATATGCGTACCCTGGCGTAAGGTTTACAGAAGCAAGTTTAGCGAGATGGATGTCCCTCAATACTTAGAGGGAAATGATATAAGTCCAGCCTTTTCCATATGAGACATAATCTACAATCCATCGTTCTTGTTTTAACCCACTTTTGTCTTTCGTTGAATTTATTTGGTGGTGATCCCAACTATAAAGTCTCCACCATGAAGTTTTCTTTGTTGCATTTCGCAGGCCTGCTCGGCGTTGCAAATGCTTGGTTAGATCCCATTGTGATCAAGGTAGGATTGATCTGAATAATAAAACATCTTTCACGTACTAATCAAGACGAAAGGGCTCTAAATTCTATTACTCTAGCAACGAGACCCAGTTGTAAGTTCGGAATATGATACAAAGACCCCAGGAACAAATGATGGCTAACAGAACATCAGTTTCCTTCGTGGCGTCGCTTATCAACGTATGTATATACTGAATCCGCTCCATTCGTTCTCGAATTAACAGACATCCAACAGAGACCGCCTCTTCCACTGACCTGAATGACCCCCTGGCCAATCCTACTGCTTGCAAGCGTGATATCCCATATATGCAGGAGCTTCGAACCAATGTCATCCGAACATACTCTATCAACACCACTGCGGATCATTCCGAATGTATGAAGCTCCTCGCAGAGGCCGGCATTTACGTGATCTCCGACATGTCTAACTCAAACGATGCCATCGATCGCGATGACCCAACCTGGGAAACCACCCTTTACTCGCACTACAAGGAAGTGGTCGACGAGCTTGCACAGTACAACAACACCATCGGTTTCTTTGCCGGAAATGAAATCATGAATAGTGTTGGTACAACCGAGGCAGCCCCATATGTGAAGGCCGCGGTCCGTGATATCAAGGCCTACATCAGCGATCGGGGTTACCGCTCTATGGGAGTCGGTTATTCTACTGCGGATGTGTCCTCAATTCGAGAAGATCTTGGCGACTTTATGGATTGTGAGACCAAGGCTCAGAGCATTGACTTCCTTGGCTACAACATCTACTCCTGGTGTGGTGATTCGACTTATGAGGAGTCTGGGTACGAGGCGCGCACGAAGGAGTTCGCTAACTACTCGGTGCCTGTCTTTTTCTCTGAATATGGCTGTAATGCTGACCCACCCCGTAAGTTCACCGAGGTCAAGGCTCTGTATGGAGAGACTATGTCTAAGGTGTGGTCTGGTGGTATTGTTTATGAATATTTCCAAGAGACAAACGATTACGGTGAGTGAGACCAAATTCGAAATTGACAACTCAACATGACTAATTATGTTCTAGGTCTTGTCTCTGTTATTGACAGCACCAGTGTTAGCACAATGACCGATTTCAAGTACTATTCAAGTGAGATTGCCAGTGCCGATCCTACAGGAACCTCCAAGAGTGACTACACACCTACAAACAGCCTCCAGTCATGCCCCACAGAAGGCAGTGACTGGAAAGCGAAGGCATTCCCTTTTGCCACCATCTCCTGATGCCGAACTCTGCGAATGCATGTATGCCGATTCCGCCTGTGTGGTAAGCAGTAGCGTGGACACGGATGACTATGGTACTCTAATGGGTCTGGTTTGCGGCTACACCAGCTGTGATGGTATCACTGGCAATGGAACTACGGGTAAATACGGTAGCTACAGTATGTGCAATGTGAAGCAGCAACTTGCATTCGTCCTCAACCAATACTACGAGGACCAGGACAAGGCTGCTAATGCATGCAGCTTTGGTGGCTCCGCAACCACGAAGGCTACTACCAGTCCCACGGGCACTTGCTCCAAGCAGATGAGTGAAGCTGGTACTGCTGGTACTGGTACAGTTACCACCGAGGCTACTGCGACGGCCGGATCATCGGGATCATCAGGATCAAGCTCATCAGCTACCGCCACATCCACTTCCGTATCCTTGGCTGGATCCAGTGGGGCATCTGAGACTTCATTGCTCATGGCACTCCTTGCTAGCATCGGTTATAATCTGCTGTAAATCTTGTCGCGAGGGACGCGCGGCTCTCAACATGTGTTTTCCCCCTTCCCTCTCTGCGGACTTCTATCCCTGTCCTAAGATGAAGGAGACAGACTTGAAAACACTATGTACGCCGAGTGGCAATGGAGAATAGAACTCAATTTTGTGAATATATTGATTTCTGATTTCTTATTATCTGAATTCAATTCAAATGCTATTCATGTGCTAAATAAATCTCAATTGACTGCTGCCTTCCCAATAGTGGAGTTATCCACATCCACCCGCGCACTTGTTCCGCTCCAACGTCAATGGCGGATAATATTTCTAAACATTGAATTATCACAATCTGTCTCGGAGATAATAACGGCAATTGTCGATCATCAGTCGGTCTTCTATTCCAATTTAAGATTCAAGGTTCAACATTGAAAATTTTCTAAGGTTATGATTCAATAACCTGGATTCCTACCCCTTTTCACACAACATTCCGAACATTGACCTGAGACCCTCCCCCCGTGGACGGGTTGACAGTTTCCAAATTCCCGATATAAAGGGCTAAAGAATTCAACCGCTTGAATCATGTTCAATTTAAGGTCTAAAATCCGTCTTATCTTATCTACTTAGGTGCTCCTATTGACATGGGGAGCAGTATTTGCTCTGGATTCTGATATAGCAACGAGATGAAACATTAAATTCATTCACGAGAAAATTAGCGTAGAGGCTACATTTCTTACAGCAAATCTTGAAGTTACCACATGTCAGCTTTTAAGCTGCAAGGTCAGCGTTACTTGATCCTGCTCGGGGGCTAAGTCTGCACTCTGTACCATAGCCGCCTCCACCAGCTCTTTCGCGACAGACCGAACTTTCCCTCGCGGACAGGTGATTGAAAACATAAAATTTGCCCCTGAACATACAATACCGTCATCGCTATCCAAGGAGCCAGAGTCTACCTGAATACCCGATGAAGTGCTGCTCTCACTTCGGTCACTCAAACTCGATGGAAAGGGAAAGGGGTTATTGTTTGAGAAAACCGTCATCGGAGCAGGATCAGTTTCCTCCCAGAAATGACTCATGGTTGAGTCGCATATATCACTAATCTCCATCCCACTTTCCAAAAACGCATGTTGCCAGTCGAGGTTCTCGTCCCAGGCAATTGCAACGCTTTTAGATGTCAACTGTGAGACTGGATTAACCAAAAGATCTGCCGTGATGGTCTCCACAGCGGAACAAGCTCCGCTCCCGAAAGAAATTGTGGACAAATGAAACGAAAAATCAAGCGGTGTCTTTAAAATCGAGTCGCTGAAGACTTGCCCATCTATTAGCGGATTTGTAGGGCCCAGTTTGGCTTGGGTGACTGGCGAGGCATAGTCACGTTGAATAGCTATAGGGGAAACCGTATATGTTGTCATCATTCCATGATCGCTTTTAGTCGAAGATTTCTGAAGTAGTGTCGATGTTGATTCCTGCCGTTTGATTCGACGCATTAGCAAAGAATATCGATTCTTTAACGCTAATGGCGCGCGGGCCTTCAAGAATAAATCGACAATGAATTTCCAATTGCGACCGTTTGTTCCGACTAATTCGAGTAGTTGATTATCCCATTCTGGTATCAGCACTGTGTATTCAACTCCCTGGCATTCCAAAATGCTCACTTATCTCTTCCGATGTCCACCGACTACGGTCAAGCTCAGGATTCATCTTTTCTTTCCATCGTTTGGCACATTGATCTCCATTTCGATTGCCAACTTCATCTGCAACAAGCACTCATCGCATACCATGCTTGGCCACACCTTTACGTAGTCGCTCATCTTCTGAAGGTAGCCAGTTCCCAGTCTTCAATGGTTTTTGGAGACTAGCGGAAGGGCGTCTGGCCTCTGTTGATTGTGGAGAATTCATTGTGAAGTGAAACCTGAAATTGCTTATATTCGAATGTTCGAATTTCCTATTCCTTTTCTACAAGGGCCCAGTTTATCTCTTATAGCATCTGAAATGAGTATTCATTTTGTCAGAGCTAGTTTGATTGGTCCCCGACTTGTGATAAAGAACGGCCTGACCTCAACTTTTGTCGACCCTTGTCTACTTACTACCGCCTCGACAAATCCTCAAACATGAAGGATTACATTCCCTGTAAAATACCTTCCTTCAACGCGTTTATCAGTCCTCTGTTTCTGGTGACTTCAGTATCCTTATCCTTATGATGAACTGATTAGATATATTGTATCTGTTATCTATCTGCTTATCGGGGTTTTCATCTATGGCCCCCCTACTCTACAGATGGGAGTGCTTTCCTTCAAATTCGCATGAAGTTTCATCTTGAGCTTTGAATTGGTCGAATATTATCTTCCATTCACCTACAGTACTGCTATTTACTACTATTCAAAGCAAGTCCAAGTTTATCCCTGCTCTTGCCCAGGTGTGGGTCCCTGGTCCCATACATCTGTTGGTTCTTAGCGCCCCTGGTTTGATCAACCTTGAGATCTGCAATCGGCGTCAATTGCGGAGACCTCCAGGGCTCGTAACTGATAACGAAAGTTCAAGTTACATCGATACGCCACCTGGGCATGGATGCGTGGTCTGAAAAGGACTTGACCATTTATGGAATAGAAATGATCAGTTGGTAGTGGGCGAAATTGCACTCTCTAGATTACTAGTAACGCATCAACTTGAATTATCCAGATCAGTCGTTTCCAAGGTTCCAGATATATATGTATATCGCGGGCTGCACCTATCCATGGATGTGCGAATGGTCATTCGCTGCCAGTGAATGCCAGTGACCTCGGGAGGCGAGCCACTTGAATGGCGAGCCGTTCATCTTTCAACTTGAAGTTCCAGAGCACTTGAGCTATCAGACCAAATTCGTTTATCTGAGAGTTCCAGTGGCTAAATCCAGATATCTCAATAGCCTAATGCACGAATCCAGAATCGCGCACCTAGGCATTTTGCAACTCCGCGGGTGTGCTCGCAAATTGAAGTCCTCGGGCCCTCAAGTGCTTAGTCCACCTACCAGACCACCTGGGCACTGGCAACTGGCTAGCTCACGGTAGTCTCCGGATTACGCCACTCCGCGACCTAAATTTCGTCATTCCGCAAGCCAAGCCATTAGCCAACGATAGGTGAAATCTTCTCATGACTAGTTCTTGTTACTAAGAACTTGGAAGTGTCAATTCTCTTTTAACTCATATCTAAAATTAAAATATTAATCGCAAATGATAACGAGTATTTCTCTGATGTTCAACATGTGGAATGGTTGTTTATCAGTTGAAATACCTCGAGAGTGATGTCTCCTGGTACAATTTTTTTTGGAAGAACATAATACAAAAGATACTGTTTAGAAAACCTTGGGATTGAGGAATTAGGTTGATTTGAACGGCCAATGCATGTGTTGTGAATGAAAATCCGTAGACTTATCGGGCCACTGATTCCACTACCTGGGCGCCCAGGGCTGGGCAGTGGGATATGGTTTCGGGCCGCTCGGCCCCTCCCGGAGTCTCAGGTACGTAGAACTGGAGACAAGGCCCGATGATCATCAATGATCGCTGATGTATGGAGTAGAGTCGAACAGCTGGTTACATACGCACGATCAATATGCCGCCGACTAGAGGTCACGTAAGTCCTCAGGAGCTCTTTATAAGAGTTTTGGAAGTTCCAAGGCTGGGCACGATACCTTGCCCGAAAAGAATGGTAGATGCGACATCGGCTTTGAGGCTTTTCGATATGGCTATTCACTTAGAATGCAGATCAGTTTGACATCGCTCAATACATAAGAAAATTCATTAGGCGCCCGAGGGCCAAGTACGTCCGATAAGATACCGATAATGATGCCTGCGCAGCCGCTAATTTTGCAAATGGTCTAGACTGGATTAAGTAGGACTTGAATTTGGGAACGCCACGCGAAACTCTACTAGCGCCTATGCACTTGGAAGATACAGCTGGCAATCACCCTTGGAAAGCGAAAATGAAACCAATTTTCGGTATAGGGGCTCTATCCTGTGAAAATGGGTTCGATGAATGATTCGATTATTCCCAGTATCTTCCTCTACAGACTAGTAAACTGATCTCAAGCGATTTTCCACGAATCATCCATCACTCATCCACCGTACGAGAAGGTACATGAGCCAGTTGAACTCTGTCAGCATACTGTCCATGCAGGACTCGAAGTGCCCAATGTATGCCCCCATTGCTGAAATACCGGTCCCCAAAACTGATCTCTTCAAGAAGAAGAAAGACAATTTTAGATACCGACGCGTGGGAAGAGTTCGGTCTCTCCTCAAATCGTCCCTGAACTCAAAAAGATCTTCTGTCGCCCGCAGCAGGCCGTATGCGTCTGAAACATCTTCACTGTCCAGTCGAGCGGCCCCTTCCTGAATAGTCTGAGAAATGCGACCGAGTGAAGTGTTTGAAGATATAATCTCCTTGAATTCCATTCTTGCGGTGTTCACGAGGAAAGAATTACGGATATATGCTGGTCGAAATTCCGGTCCAAAGTCGTTACGGACATCGACTGGAGTCTCAAATACAGGGATGCCATCCGGGCCTGATAGAAAGACACTTCTGTTCAATACCAAACGATTTGCGGAGCTTCCGACCTCGTCGTGTGATTGCTACTCTTGCTGTAGAACATTGTTCTTGTCTTCTCCAAGATCGAGACATACCAAGATACGTAGTCACGGGTCGTTGGAATTATTCTTCGATATCTTTTTCGCAGTCTCCTCCCAGACGCAGTCTGGTTGAGTGTGGTCGTGATCAACGGCGAAGGGGCCACAAGGTCTTCCTTATCGCGACCTCAAAGCTAGCGAAAATTTTCAGCCAGTGTTTCATCAAGCCAGTCATCGCACCGGCATCCATTGTCGCATATGCAACCTTGGAACTGTAAAAGAGCTCCGCCAGACATAGAAATTACGTGGGCAAGGAACACGGGGTTATGCAGTAGTTTATTAGTAGTAATTCTAGATAACTCTAAGACTCCAACAGCAATTCACCATGTATAGAACTCAACGCCAGCCTTTAAAAACATAACAAAAATTCAAATATGCAAGCACGAATGCAGATAGCCGGTTCGGATCGACTGTGATCTTTAGCTGAGGAATCTATTGTGGGAGTCGATTCGAGATCAGCCAGACTCCGGCATGAGTATATTCATAAATAGAAACCCGCTGGGCTAAGCCTTATTGACAGCGTTCTTGCTCATCGCACGGACCTTGTGGCCATACTTATACAAGACAAACGGCACAGGTGCCATAATGGTTGCAAAAACCGCAACGATGGTCACTGACCAGTGGGGTCCAATGTTCTCGTACATCTTGACGGAAGCAGGGCTCAGAGCTCCAGCAACAATATACCGGGAAAAGGTCATGAATCCGAGAGCAGAGGCGGCATATTGCAGGTACACAAAGATGATGTACATATAGGTCGTAGTAAAAATGCAAACAAGGGAGTAGCCGAAGATACCCGAAGCGAGAATTGGGGACCAGATGCTGATGTGGGACTGAGGGGATGGTATTAGTTTGTGTTGACATAATGGAGGAAGGATTTGGATTACTTACATAGCAGGTCCATGCCATCCAGAAGAGAGAGACAGGCATCAAGATAGATGCTCCCGCCATAGCCCAGTATAGAGAAACTTCTGGCTGTAAAGCTTTGCCCTCGGCCTCGGCCTTAGCGGCAGCCTTCTTGGTGAGACCATACAACCAAGAAACCATGCACAAAGCAACAGCGACACCTGGAATCATGGCGACAAAGATCACGAATGTCAGCTCTGTGGAGATCCCGTACACATCGGCGAAGATGAATGTGTAGCCGTTAAGGAAAGTGAATAGAACAAAGTAGAGCAAAACCAGGTAGAAGCTGAAGATCAGGATGATTGGCTCAGTCCAAATCATCATGAAAGGCCGAGAGACATTGGCGAATAAACGGGGGCCTAGCGATGCGGCGGAAGCATGACCGGCCTGGTATCGGTCGTCGCCAGTCAGCTCACGCAAATGCTTCGCGCGCCACTCCAAAAGAACGGGGCTGAAGGTTTCAGGTTGAATGAGGAGCACAACCACAAAAGCCACACCTGCAATTATCATCGAGATCCAGTCCGCCCAGACATACCCGATCTTGGGTGTATAGGCGCCAATCACAGGACCCAGGATAGGACCTGAGTATGCGGCAATAGTGACAAAAGGCAAACTGAACGTGATCTGTAAAGGCTCCCAGATATCACCTACTGTACCACCGGCGACCGTCATTGGTGTAGCCGCAAATATAGCACCAAGAAATCGGAATGCGAGAGCGGCTCCATAGTTTGGCGCCAGCGCCTTGGCCATGATGAACAGGATCACCAGAACCAGTGCAGTAAAGTAGACGATGTTGCGGCCAAAAGTTTCAGAAAAAGGACCTGAGAATAGAGATCCAACTCCAATTCCAATAAGGAAGATACCTTATAAATATAATTAGCAATGGGTTGACGTAAAAGGACGGGAAAGATGCTACACACCGGTTGTCATGGATCCAGCCATAGAATTCACACCAAAGTGGGCATCGAAAGCTTCTTGTGTTGCACCTTCGACTGAGGATGGGATTGTCATTGCGATGGCAATGAGACAGCAGGTCATCATGACCATCCATTTTCGAACCAGAGACCAATTTTGAGGATTGTTTGAATCGTTGTCCTTCCAACCGACGACGAAAACAGTTTCGCCGTCGTCCCCATCTGGCTTGAAAATGGCAACACCAGGCACAAGTGGTCCATCAGTAGTAAGTGGCTTCTCACTAGCAGGTACTCCAAGCTCTGGATCGGAGCTAAGTGACGGTGAAGAGGTACTTGTGCGGATAAATTTAGCTTGGCTTCTGGCCAAATCCTCTTCCACCTCGCGACGAAGGCGGCGGCTTTGTAAGAAAGACTCCATGTCGAAGATATTTTGGTGAAAACGGGAGACTGTCGATTATTGTCACCAAAGTACGTCGTACGGATGGTATGATATCAAATGTTGGTTGAAAACAATTAGCCCAGGGGGGAAGCGATAATTATACTGACACCTACCCATGTCGAAATCCGGTACATTTGACTCTCTCCTACAGAAAAGCCTGATTTTCATCTATGGTTCGTCAGCCATATCGGAATCAGGTAATTCGGATACATTTCTTTTGTCACGTCGGGCTATCTCAAGCTTCGGATACATTAGGGGATCGGGGCCAAGATGCGGGCAGATATCCAGCCTAAGACAGGGGTATGATAATATGCGCCTGTCATTGGGTGGAGCTGCATACCAAGATCCACTTCACTAGAGTATATCAACAGCATGTAATTGGATGAAGCTCTATTAGTGACTGCGCTTTTCCGATCATCGTAAGCGGATGGATACCGGAGTTACGCTTGAGTGATCGAGGTGACAATTATTGACTCCGGAGAGTTTACTCTGTAAATGACTGGAGGAAAAATCCTAGCGGCTCCATGACATCATTTGAAAGTAGAAGATCACTGAAACCGAAATTGCTTCCAAGGTTGACAAAGAAATGTTTGAGGTGCCCAGAATATTCGGGCCCTCGCATTAACACTATTTACATTCAAATTGCAGGGAGATTGTGATTTCTGCCCAACTTCAAGTTGACATCTTAGTACTTTGAGGTTCAGTTGATTCAAGTTCGCCAATTATAAGGCAGTGATTATCTTTGATGTCCAAGTCTCAATCACATTTGAAGTAGGATTTACATAATACTAATATCATGAGTGGATTGTCCACCTGATGATCTACGTGGCCCGTGCCAAGCTTCCGGAGGTGTTTTCTACACATCATGATGTGATATCCATGTGCATCAATGGGGCGCTTTATTTTGGATGGGCCGATGCTAGATGAAATATCATCCGAATTTACTAATACATGTAGCTAGACTAATTTCTTCCAAGGTTCAAAATGTTGTCAGTCCATAATTATGCTAGTACTGGCATTGAAAAGCGACATCCATATTCAATAATGTAGTTAGATTGCGCATAATTATTAGAATAAAGAAAACAGCTCAGGAAAAAGGAGTAAAAGCAAGGATATCAATAACCTTATCAACCGAAGGCGTTTAAAGCAAAAGACCTCACTCCCGAGATCAGCATGGAATTTAATTTTTGACAAGAGTTACAGCTTTCATACGGATCCCTTCACAGCCGGGCTCAGTCATCCTAACAAGAAGCTCGCGTAAATCCCGAGCCTCCATCTCATAGATTTCATTGGTGATCCTGGCCCAGAGATAGAGCTTATCACCAGATTTGAACACCGTGGTACAACCTCCGGTATCTTCCATAACTGATCTTCCTGGCTTAAGACATAACACCGAGTGATTATATGACCCTCCGAGTCGCAGCTATCCCAGTCATCATGGAAAGCAAAAGTTGAAACGTCGATCTTCTAGCCTTCGGGAGGGTTCATCTATATCCATGACTGGAATCAGTTCAGAAACTCGGCTTGAGCAGGCAAGGAACAAAGTCGCTCTTACTGGTAGGAAATTGAATATTAGCTCAAGGGGAGATAGGATGGTCCACAATATATCAGCCTTATTCCGTAGAGATCAAAAAATACCCACAGGTGGAGTGGGGTCATTGTGGAGAGACATGATACTAGAAATGTTGGTGGTTGTAGGGAAAGAACCTTCCAAGGTTGGAAGCGGGACCAGGATGGTCTGTGAGTCATACAATTACCTCCAGACTTTGGGGTTGGGTTATCAATGTTTGGCTTTAGTCAACTCGGGTTTATCCTCGAAATGTACCGAATTTTAAAAAGATTCTGGCAGAGACTTGACCTGATCATATAAAGAATGGTGTAGAAATTACCCTCAAACGGACTAGTAATGGAAATTAAATCAATATACATGAAGAACCTAAAGTGGCCATATCTATATCATCAGAGTTAAGGAAAAGTCTATAAGAGCCGGATGGCATGAGAAGTCAAGCCGCTCTAGCAGTAAGTGGCATTAGAGACAGCCTTGGTGATAACACCAGCATCGATGAGAAGCTCATAGGACCAGTAGTCCTTCTGGGTACCCTGTCCATCAACAGCAACACTGCTGTTGTGCTTGATGTTCCAGAAAGATCCACCCTGGACATAGTAGCTCCAAGCGTAACGCTGGGTATCAAAGAGATCCTTACGGTTGGCATAGGTGTTGCTGTACAGAGTCTGCAGAGCCCATTCTCCAACGAAAACAGGGAACTTGCCATCACCACCGAGAACAGAAGCCTGTCCACAGATCGCACCATCAGCCCACTGGGAGTATACACCAGAGGCAGCGAAGTAGTAGACGTGCATATCGATGACGAGGTTAGTGCCGGCCGGGAAGTAGGGAGACCAGTGCTCCTCGCCAACGAAGCAGTCCTGCAGCATGAGCGGGATGCGCGAGTCAACCTTGGCGATGCGGTTCAAGACACCACGGGTGTACTTGACGATCCAGGCGGTACCGTTCGCGGTCAGAGTGTCAGCCGACGCGAAGGCAGTGGGGTTGTCGGAGGCCTCGTTGATCGGGGCAATGGTGAAGGCCCAGGGGTATCCGGTCTCAACGAAGAAGGCCAGGACCTGGTCCACGGCTTGGTAGGAGTAGTCCAGGTTGGTGTTGTTGAAGAACCAGGCATCGTGACCGGCGGCCTCGCCGATGTCGAGGTTGTTGACACCACCGGGAAGGGAGTGCAGGCCGACGATAACGCGCATGTTGTACTTCTCAATGGCGTACACGGTGATCTTCTTCAGGTATTCCTGCTGGTTTCCGTGATACAGGGCAGAGCCGGGGACCTTAATCCAGGCAGCGTAGGTGGTGGGGATGCGGAGAGTGTTGACGCCTAGATCACGAGGTTAGTTACTATTGTAGTTTGAAATCGTGCAGATGAAGAGGTTATGATACAACGTACCAACAGCGGCCATCTTGTCAATGTCAGCAGTCGTGACGAAGGTGGCGTAGCGCTCTTCGAGAACAGGACCACACTGGGAGCCGAGATCTTCACAGAAAGTCCACTCATCGACGGCCTCGGGGGCATGCTGGTCCCACCAGTACTGGTTGAAGACCTCTTCCTGCTCGAGCCATCCACCAAGGTTCACACCGTTGGCCTTGTAGGTGGTCCAGTTGGTGTATTGGCCGGGCACGACAGTAGCAGTGGTCGAAGCAACTGTTGTGGTGTAGGTCTTGGTGGTAGTAGATCCGAGGTGGGTGGCAGTGCGAACAATGGTGCGAACATCGGTCTGGGATGCGGGCTTGGTGTTCAGGTTAGTGTTGAAGCCTGATCCGACAGCCGAACCACCAGCAACGGGACCTTGATACTTAGTGTGAGCAGTGGGTTGACTAGAGAAAACGCATTAGGGTCGGTATTTTGTTCCGGGTATTACAAGATCAACATACGCGTTGGAGGCCTTGGTCTTAGTACCAATCTTGGTGAGAATGGTACGACCATTCTCAGTGGAAGCAGCAGCCTGAGTGGCAATGCCCTCGACAGAGATGGTGGCAGTAGAGATGGTCTTGGTAACAGTCGAAGTCTCGACAGCATAAACGGTAGTGTGCAGATGGGTAGGAGCATTGGTGCATTCAATAAGGATGGTGTTATCGACGGTAATAACGGCATCCTCTTCCAGCTCCACATCAACAATGATGGGATACTCAATGATGTTGATAGAGACATGCAAAACCTCGCCAGTGTTCACAACATTGGCGCAGGTGTCTTCGTTGGACTTGGCTTGGATCACTCCAGCAGCGGCAACTCCAAGAGAGGCAGCGCCTGCCACAAGGCTAAGCAAACGCATGACAGGGGAATATTATAAAGAATGACTACTGTGGGATTGATATTAAAACGAAGGGCTATGGCAGTGCCAAAAGAAAAGAGTGTAGACGATCCGCTGAATGTTTGGCGGGCCTCCTGATCATCTTATACTCGCCCCCATGGAACTTTCTCCCCGTTTTCATTTTCATCTCGGCGAAATACACTAATAAAAACAGGCTGGAAGTTATTATTGGGAGAAAGCTTGAAAACCATAGGGGAGACGATGAAAAATCCACCGATTCGGCCCAGTTGTTCGGACCGAATGGAGCTCTGGCGTTTAGCACGTCCTAAATGAACCCTTGAAAGCCGACAGGTACCGGACAGACCGGAAGTCAGATACGAAACCAGTAAGATCTGCATGATCTAGGTAAAAGACGACCGGCAAGTTTTGCGCTAAGTGCTGTCGATATCGGTAATCCGATTTCTTGGCATATCGAAGCTTTCTTTCGGGCCAATGAGCATGTCCCGTATATGAGAGATCGAATTTCAATAGTGGTAGCCTAGGGCTAGCGAGACCGCGTTTTACGTAATTTTCATCGGAAAGAAATCTCCAGAGCTGCATATTTTCTGGAATGAGGATGAAATCACAGTCTTGCAATTTGCAACATCTAAACCTTGGAAGGCTGACTCTCAACTGCGCATCGTTTTTGCATCGTTGGAGTTGAGAATTCCTTTGTCCCAAATATAAACCCGGGTTTGGGTCAGGGTCTGTACCTGAGCAGATCCACTCTGGACCACTCATGTGGATCTCGCAGTGTTATGAACCTGGATGAACCAGATCAGAGAACATTCGCTAAATTTTATCATGTAGTGGCGTCCGGGTTATCCGAGAATAGGAACCAGAGGGACCGAGGTTCCTTGGACTGGGATATTGAGCCGCAGATGTGGATCCGTCAAGGTGCCACGCGATTGATAGACGCGGGTTTTACCTACGGGATTCCCGAGTAACAAAGGCCAAGGCGAGGTGCGGTCGTTAAGGGTTACCAAGGGCATATTTAGAGACAATGCTAAAGCCTGGTTCACTGGAATCCACTTTTCTAAGTTTTCTCCTGTATAAGAAAGATAGGGAAGACCTTTGGTTAAAGTCGGAAGATTAGAGAACCCTTCCAAGGTTGGAAGCTCTCAGGAGTCACCACCCGTCCCGAGGTCTCGGCTCCCGAGCCCTCCAGGGCTGGAGATCTGACAGAACACGGGTGCAGAACTAGCCCAATTGGGTTAGTTCAAACCACTATTGAATGGAGAGCTCTGATTGGTCGAACCAGAATGGATTACATGACCGATCAGGTGATCCCCAGGCAGAATTTATGTGCGTAATTATCAGAATGAGAGAACCAGACCTGTTGATACATCCCATTGGCGACCGCCTACTGCATTAGACATTGTAGTCTGTCAAGATCGATTATGATGACTAAGATTGTTTCTGCCGCTCCAGCCCGCTGGAGTGGGTTCACCTGGGCAACAGGGCAATAATGATACAAACTAATTAGGTCTAGCTCACATTAAATGCGGTTATCACCCATGGGTTATTTTCCACCTTGGAACCTGATGCATTATCGCTTGCCTCTAGTGCCCTGCTCCCATTGTACTGGTTGGATGTTTGTTCACGCTGGTGAATGGACGAATGCTCTAAGGATTCCTGCTTTCAATCGTGATCCATTGTCTAGCAGGGAAATGTCGTACAGAATGCAAGATCTATGAAGAATATGCACAGCTTTGAATCTCCGATGATGCTTACAGACCAGGTTGTGAAGGGATTGTGAAGAAGGTTAACCAACTATTCAAATGCTACCCATCCTGAAGTCACCAACGAACCAATGATATTTGACTCAACCTGAAGCAACAAAACTGACTAGGCTTGGCAATAAGTTTGGGATAAATTTGGAAGGAAAACGTCTCAGATAAAGGAGACGCATTCATTCAACACAGATGACATCAAACGCGCATTTTGATAGTAGATGCACAGGCCATTATACATTCTAATTCTCAGCTTTACTAGATAGGCTGTGGAAAGTATTTACCACGCTACAGCATAATTGTTAAACAAAGGATCGTTCAGTAGTCGGTCCAGACAATTCGACTCCACTCCCACAAGGACTTCCATCCCCCCCATTAGCCAGCTGTGGAAGAACAACCTGGGCACCATTAATAACACCAACATGCGGCATGCGAACAGCCTCAATTTTGTTACCCAAAACAGGGCCCCACTCAAGGCCGTAAAGTTCAAATCCAAGCCACGAACTCTGAACGCAGTGATTGCCCGGCACATCCAAGAAAGCTGTAGCAACCAGGCGATCAACATCTTCAACCGAGTCCACCAACGTAACCACATCGTCGGTAAATTGGTTATCGGAACGGGTAACAGCTCTGCGAATCAGGATTGCCAAATCCGCAATACTGAGCTTCGTGAGCATGCCACGTATAGATGCTGAAGGCGCTGTCCATTCTAGGAAACATCCAAGTGTGTTGGGGTGGATTGGAGGGTCAGCCCGCTGGCGACCATCAAGGGCAATATTGAACACCGAGACTGGATTGCCTTCCAGTTCTTCAATGGGGTGTTGCACAGCCATCACAGTGCGCCAGATTAAAGCGGATAGGGCGTCATTAGTGGAAATCCACTTCTGATCTGTGGGTTGTGTGGCATTTACCGGTGACGCATTGGCCTTCAATTGGGCCAAATACTCTGGCGAAAAATAGAAAAACCTGTCCACGGTGGTTGGGAGAGGTTATCTTAGGCGGCATGCCAGGAGGCGTAAATGGTAGAAGGGTGTACTCTGGGTGATCCTCAATCTTCCCATTATTGCGACCCGACGGCTTCATAAATTGCTCACGGTCCTTCCAGATAGCTTGTGGAAGGTCAAGGGGGGCTTCGTAATCCCCTTGTGCCTGGCGACAACCCTCGGCCCAGATCTTTGTCCAAACACAAAATGATGTGTCATCTCCTGCCATGTGCAGGATATTCCAACTTAGGATAAGACCACCACGAATGAAGTTGGCTTGGACAAGTGCGATTGGCAGTCTATGTCCGGGCTTGGGCCAGACATCGCAGTGACAAAAGGTATCAGCATCGAAAGATGAGACGGGGAAATGCTGCTCTTTCAACTCTGTGTATGTAGATGGATAGGTATCGCGTAGATCCTTGGCAACAAATTGCTCAATTCCATTGTTTTGCTTCACATATTTCATCACTCCAGCTTGCTTACAATCGATGTCAGGGACAGCTTCGCAGGCAACTTCGGATAGTCTGGCACAGAGAGCATCATAGCCGGCTCTCAGGATGCGAGGCACATAGGCTATATCATAGTTGTCTTCCAACTGGAAGGGAAAGACATATCGAAGATATCCTTTTGGGCCAATACGCTCAATAGCCGTGAGCTGAGGAGGACCCTGAGTGGTTGTAATGGAACCCATTTTGTCAAAAGCGATAGTTCAACCGAGAAACTGCATTGGGAATGAGAAGGGATGTTGGGTGAGAAGGAAAAAGAGCTATAATCCAATACGGTCTGCGAAAAGGCGGAAATTAACGGAAACTTCAAGTTCCCATTCACAGCCTCGCAGTCTACTATTATTACCCAGTTAGTAGTAGTTACAACATTTGAACCCGTACTACTGCGTACGCGGTTCCAAATCCAGAAATAATATATGGCTATCATTGTGCACCTCGCCAGGGAGATCTTAGTGCCATAAGCACATGTGCATAAAAAGCAAACTTATGTTTGAGCATAAATGATATCGGAGGACAAGTGGGCAGAGGAATCGACACAAACTCTCTTTATTTATCATTAGACACTAGACTCCATATCTATTGAATGCAATTTGATAGGTATCATGCGGCACTCCGTACCTACAAACCATTAAAGATATAAAAACCCGCTCAACGCGTGGGAATCCCTAAACAGACTTTAGTACGGTGTAAGTGGAAGACAAACTGCCACTCCATAAAAGCAACTGTCAAAAGTCGCTCTTTTAAGTGGGCCGCTTGTCCCGTGTTTCTTGGCCCGAGCGGTAAATCCCCCACAAGGCCTTGATCCTTAGCCTGATTTTCAGTTTACGCGGCACGCTGGATGAAAAACCCGAAATCCATGGGGATTGGATGTAAATCTCCTCCTGATATGAGATCTGCACGCCCAGAGCGACACACTCCACTTCGCCTGGACGAATATTGAGAATCACACCTCGCTAATCCGTTTCCTGATTCTTGTACGGAGCATTGCTAACTAAATAGCGACTAATCTTCCCATAAGGAGAGTCAGGGGTGGCAGGTCATGTCAGTTTATGCCTTTGTTTTGAGTCAAATCCGGGGAAAGAGCTGCTGATTTCAGGCGCCTATTAGATTTGAGATTACTCCGCGATATGTCCTAGGACGCTTGTCAACCTTGCAAGCTTAAAAATCGGTCACCATGACCGTCGATCCTGCCATAGAGGCGCTATTTGGATCGCCTCCATCAGATATTGATCTTGATGCCACTTCTGTGGGAAACAACAACAGGGGTGTCATAGCCATGATGTGCTTGGCTGCTGTTGCTGTGGTCACTCGCTTTCTTTGCCGGATGATATTTCGGACCTCAATTTTGGCCGATGACTATATGTTTATTGTTGCGCTTGTGAGTTGTGGAATTAACTACTGGGCTCCATAGGCTGATTTGTAATTTTAGCTTTGTATCGGCGCCACTGCTGGAATCAGTGTTGCAGGTGGGATTTGAAAATATCAATTAATACAGAATTCAGTCACTAACAGAATTCGCTGCAGGTGGTAACTATGGTGCTGACCACCATGTCTGGTCACTGGCAATTTCAATATCAGCCCTTGAGGAAACATACTACATGGGTTCAGATATATCCGCGACAAATAGGATAGCACGCAGCTGACGTTTTTCCAAGCTTCTCTATATCTACCCCTACATTTACGCCGACGCATGCACAGCTACCAGGGTATCAATCCTCGTCTTCTATCATCGGATATTTTCGCCATTCAATTCTTGGATGAAATGGTCCATCGCATTTGGCTGGTTCCAGACTTTGAGCTACCCAATCTATCTCTGGAGAATCATGGCCTGTTTGTGTACACCTCGGAAATTCTTTTGGCTTCAATTCAGCGAGACAGTCAGTGGAAGTTGCCTTGATGTTGCCAAGTTCTTCATTGCGGCTGGGATTATGAATATGCTGAATGACTTTATCCTTTTGCTTATCCCGTTTCCTCGGATTATTAAACTGCAAATGCCGTTGAGAAAAAAGGCAGCTATCTGTTGTATTATGGCAGTGGGATTCTTGTAAGTCTCCTCTTGTCCGGTAGTCTCCTGTTAGGTATGAGCGAACTTGAAACGGGATGTCAAACTGATTACTTCAAAAAAAGCGCCTGCATTGCAAGTATAATTCGGATCTGGGTTCTGTGGCAATACACTGTATCAGCCGATGTAACCTACGCCACGGGCCCGCTTTTTATCTGGTCGACAATCGAGCCTGGCGTTGCCATCATAACTGCCTGTCTGCCTCACCTGGCACCGCTCTTCAAACTCGCCGCGCAAAAGATAACATCATATACCTCCGAGCACACTGAGGCTGGAATGTCTGAAAAGCCCCAGAGACTAGGCAGTGGGTCTGGAAGGCCAGGAAAGTCCGGTAATCGTGTACCAAACTTCGATTTTGGCCTAAGTAGCCTGGGGACCTAAGCATACGATGACGAGATTGGCTTGACGAATTATATTGAGGCTCCGTCAAATAGGGGGAAGAATCCGTGGATCGCCTCAGAGTCAGATGAGTACAATCGTGATCAAACAATCTCTGTGAAGTTGACTTTTGTACAAACTAGCACTATTGGGCCTTCGTTACGGGGCCATACCTCATTCTCAGGCAATACATAATGTATTATTTTCAAAGCTGCCTAATCTATGGAATTCCCGGTTGAATTAAAAGTACTAGTACTTATTAGCTAAATTCATATGAAGAGTGAAGGCCTCAGTTATACTAATCCATCCCAAGAACAGTCAATTTCGAGGATTTGAATGGAAATTCAATACTAACCTATCATACATATTTGACTGTGTGATAACTCTGACTGTAGTGATGTACCGTTTATAGAATATCCTAGTCTACTTGCACTTTATAAGACTTTACGTACTATGTCCGAGCTCTGGAGAAAGATTGATCTTGCTGCATTCGGTCAAACTGCAACTTCACACGTGGACTGCACCTGTGTATGAAACCCCAGGGAATGTGATAATTGAGCGCCTTGGGCTATCCAGAGAGGTGGAAAAAAGAAAACAATAGCAAAAAAGCAAAAACATACAACAGCATGTCTAAGTTGGTGGTCACCTAGCGCCCACGATTTAGGCATGGGCGGCTCGCCGCTTTATTCACCCTCTTCAGGGCCATCCGGGCAGATATTCACCTACCTGAATATTCTTCACCCGAACGTGCAACCCGTGCATCAAAATGTACATTTTCGCAATTTTAATGTTTCTCCTTTGTGAGTGACCCTGTACGTTCTTGCTTTTCCTCCATTATCTCCATCTCTTAAAAGTTCCATCAATACAGCAAGATACGTACTAAGCATAACCAAACACTGAAGTACCTAAGCCATGTTGTGGACTTTGGAGAGCATAATAATAAGGTAATTTAACGAAAGGTTCTACCACGAACTGAGTCTAGGTATAGGGATACACTTATCCTCATTAATATGTAAGAGAATTTACTATTATACACTAGAGAAGAAAACCTAAATACCTAACCTACTCAGATTTCGCAAATTACATCCATAATCTATGAGCACTCCAGATATCTAAACATACCGTGCTTTTCTTGAGTAGATAGGGCCGGGAAAGCACGGTGGGATTAAAGAGAGGCCTACAGTCGAAAAATACTTAAGTTTTTTAGAGACTTTACTACTTCCTTGAAGAGAGAAAGAAATACTAATCTCCTATCCTGTTAGCATTTGGCTGATATCAGGCAGAGTTCATATGCCTAGCATGTGATTGCCTGATGCTTGGGGATCAGAATGATGTCCGACATGTGATATCTGATCCCATCTTTCGGTATTTGATTATGTTATCTTTATCTTCGGTTTTGATCTAATCTATCACTGTGTGTTATTATCCGACCTCCGTGTTTGATCGTGTCCCATTCCTTTGATTGTATCTTTTATGTAATACTTACGGACGCCGAGGGATATTGATCCCATCTCGGGTTCTGAGGCCATTGGTCTTAATTGTTTGTTTGTCCTTTTGTCTGATTATCTTATAATGATCAGAATTCTAGTAATTAGTTTAGCATCAAATTCAACTTGTTCACCTTGTTGACACCTCTGACCTGATTCTTTCTTTCTATCTGATCTCATACTTGCCCTTTGGTCTGATTGCTGAGACACTTTGGTCGCACATTGCTAAGTGTTTGTTCCCTGTTAGTCTAAACATTGACCTTTCACCCCAAGATAGCCTCAGACTGTCAAGTTATTCAGAATATCTTATTTGGTCACGGGGAATGGGATACCTAAGGCCATTAATAGCGGGGTTGGCAATATTTAAGCCAGTTCTGAAAAGGTCAGGTTCGAAGTTCCTCAAGAATTAGTCTTCCATACAAGAGATAGTATTCATTGGTTGTCAAGTTATTCTTCTCCGATATACTCCCGATTCCCTACTAGTAGTCATACGGATTCAAGATCGTCTAAAAATATTGACTAGGGCAACCTTAGAACTAGGCATGTCTGCTAACTATTGTAGTGGGGTACCCTGTCCCCTACTACACGTACCGTGCTAAGAATTACCGTTTGGTTACATCTCTGTTTTGTCATGTTTTCAGTCCCGTCTTTGTACGTACAAGAATGCCCGTCGTTATAGTCTAGAATACACACTCCTACACATCTCTCATCCCACCCCTACGGGGTAGTCCGGCCACAACGTACATGTTGGTTGGTGTTATCTATTCATGCTAGCTAGATCGACCCGTGTATCTAGAATACACTGCCTAACGGTTCCCCTCTTCACTAGGTAGTTTTGAGTGTAATATCTGGTCTGGGAAACTGTTAATGTCATGTGCTTTCTTTCATATGTACCTAGATCCGGCCCTGGGGTATTATGCCTAGTCAGCAGTCATCGCAGCATAACTTAAAAGCTAAAGATTCCCCGGGTCCCACCAGGGCCCAAAGTGTTGTTCCCTACCCGTTGTGCCAACAGGACCGCCATAATGGGAAGACTATTGACAGATCGTTTCTCCAAGACCACCAAAATTGCTATGGTTTTCCACACTCTGGGAGCGATTGTTTATATCCTTATCCTGAGAGACCTGATCGTAACTAGGGGCAGTTGCTATTCCTCTGCCTCAACCACTCGAGCCCACTCGAGAGTGTTCTTCCCAACGCAGGAACAGGCACCAAACTCGCTCCTTGAAGAGTCCAGCCAGATTCCTCAGCATGGCTTCGTACTCTTGGAGGAAATTGGGGGCAGCCCACAGCTTTTCGGGGTGTCCATGTTTCATCAACTACACTGTCTCGAGATGATCCGACAAAGCGTCAACGGTAGTGAACAATCAATGGATCATGAAAATTATCATCAAATACATCTTGGTCATTGCTTGGATTATATCGCGCAGGTCAGTCGATCCTTGTCCAGTCTCTAGAGATATTTGGGTTAATTAATGATGCTACTAGGCTATTGTTTGTGCAGCCGATGACACGATAGAGCGAGGAGAGGAAAAGACAATAGAAGGCAAAACGACAAATTTCATTGAAGGAGTCGGAGTGGTGCATAAATGCAGAGACTCTGCATACATATGGGAGACATCAATCGCCACCTTGGCTGAGCCACTCAAGGTTGCAGACTTGCAGGGGGAGAGACACTCAAAGGCTTGTTGGGAAATAGATAGCTTTGACTTCTACTATTTTTGAGCGAAGACAGCTTTTTTCATCCTACTGGATTTTCTTGCCAATGTTTGAAAAACTTATTCCCTGGGAAATGCGGCCATAGAAACTGGATGTCTTCCAGCGGGCTCTGATCAAACCCTGCGGTCCTGATGATTTCCTCGGCCTCTAATGGGGTGACGGAGAAGTTCCAGTCACCTGCCTGTTGATTTCGCGCCCAGTCTTGGATCTTTGTGAAGTTGCGGCAGGTATGTGTGGTGGCCAGGCGAGGGAAGATGCCCGTGCTGGCCGGTATGTTGATGTGGAAAGAGACTGGCGCCACATCAGCGTGGCACATGATGGTTTGTCTGAGAGAGTCAATGCAATGATATATAAGGTGAAGTCAGCATGATTGATTCCGACCTCGGGAGTTGGAAAGACAGAAAGTGCAGACCCCAATGGCGGACTGCGTCGTTGTCCCGCTGAATTACTCCATCCTTATCTCGGAGTTCATCCATTCCAGGATATCGTTCAGGGTAGAGAAGCATCCGCAGATCATTCAAACAATGCAGTTCGTGCCACACATCTAGCTCGATCAGATAGTCCTTCGTGCCAGGTATTGGGAGAGTTGGTAATGACAACTTGCGAGCTTCATCCTCGGAGATTTTGAAAATTTCGACTGTCAGCGGTTAGCCTTAGCATGGATAACTTGAAGATTGTAATGCAAGGGTACGGGAGAAATACAATTATATAAATCTGACCATAGCTTGTCTGTCTCGTCCGTCGGAAAGCCCATGTACGGCGTGTTGTTGAACAGTGCTGCTCGAAACGGGACCTGGCTTATATATTCCACAGCTTCGTTTGCCGGGGCTTTACAATGATGTTTGTGAAGTTAGCCTTGAAGGAGCTGGTAGCAGAGGAATTTGCAGGTTGTAGACTTGCAGTAGACTCCTAGAGATGGGTCTGCAGCACATTGATGTCTCATCTGTGCCAGGAGCATCAAAACAATAAACAGAAGCAGTCCATTGGTGGTGTATAGAGCGTACAAGTGGTACCTGGACGAATTCTGGGGCTGCCTCTTCCTGTCAATCCCCTCTTCGTCGAGCAAATACTGCTTCTCGAACTCTACAGATTCGCGAGCTAGGTCTGGCTGATCCATGCTGCGGCTGCAAACTTGGATTGTACAATGTTGAAGAGCGTTGAATCGATGGGCAAAGGTCTCGTAACCATAAAAACTCCTGATCCAGTCAGCCTTCCAAAAAAAACTGACCGATGACGAGTGTAGTGACAGAACGCGTTCTGAAAAGCCCTTCTAGCGAGGACTGATAACGTCCATGCATGTCAATCCCAGGGCGGCATTTTTGGCGCCAGCGATTGGGCAAGCCCAGCGACCCGCCGCGCAACACTACTACATAATGGTCGAACCCGCTCATTTCCCTAGTTCGTTTTTTTTACATGCATCGGATATTCAAGCTCATATATTATCTGATAATCCAACATGCAGCTGTGGAGAGGGGACAGTGCGCATGCCAGAGAGAAGAAGAGGAAGAAGAAAAGGTATGGGAAGGTGATATGAACCACAGAGGACTTCGTCCCAAGTTTTAACAGCAGCGCGTACGTTTGGAAGAGCAAATATAATCATCAAATCAAAAATTTCAGAGAGGTTTGGTATCCTTGATCGAGCCTTGCTAGGAGTGGTTCGCTTACTCTGGCATTTACATTGAATGATCACGATAATGAGTAATATGAAGCTGCAAAGCGATTCGTAGATAGTGCAGTGGGTCCCCACTAGTGTCAAACTAGATGGTACGGCCCGTACGGAATGTCCTTTTCCTGTATCATATCTCGGGATTATACGTACAAGATTACCTGTCCTAGCTAGCTCTAAATTTACCCTCCTAACCATCTCTAATGGCACCCCCGATCCCGGTGTCCTGCATAGTGCACGTGTACCTAGTGTAGTGGGAAATTGCGTCTCATTATGTATCATAGTGTTTTTTACAAATGATTTTCTTCCCGAGGTTCTTATCTTACGTTTCGGAATTTTATTTACAATATTGCCAGCTTGGAAGTTTACGAATACACACTCCTACACATCTCTAATCGCACCCCTGTGGGTGACCTCGGTGTCCACGCACTAGCATTGCGGGGGTTATATTGTCCATTATCGCTGGATCGACTGGCACCTTTGAGTGTACTGCCTTGAACGTTCCCCTCTTCAATAGCTTAATCCAGCTTCTCGTAGGGCCAATACGCAGATATTTTCATATCTATTAACTGGGATAGTTGCCTATTGTTGAATTGCTTGTGAATGCATGCTAGCACGTGTACTAGCGCGCGTAAATATGAGATATAATAACCGAGGTCGTAAGCCATTCTGTTTCGACTGCCTTCTACAGGATTCAGACCCTTGCAAGCCCCAGCTTACTAGGGAAATCACGCAGATCACGCAATCTTCCGCGGAAGTTTACTTTAAATGCATTTGCTGGATAAAAATGCAGCCCAGATGCGAAGTAACTCTACCTTATCTACTCCGTATGGGTTTCACGGAGGGAGGCGCGACGGAGTTCCTGTATCCTATCACCCCGGTCGAAATAAATGCTGGGTATTGCGCAAATAGTATTAGAGTAGCTTAACTTCTTTATGGAATGGCTGGTTCAACTTTTTTGTTTCTGTGTCAACATGCCTTCTCCTATTGAGGCATTGCAAATTCTAGAGAGGCGGAGGACTCAGAATCGACTGGCACAGCGTAAAAGACGTAGGCGACGAGAGTAGCTGAAGGGTTAAATGGCCGCTAATACGTCCAGGTGAATGACTGAAACAGACCAAGATACCTGATGGAAGTGAATTGCACCGCTCAGCATCTGTGGTTCCTGGTGGGTCTTCTACTATCCTAGAGAACATGGGCAGTTGGGAGAATGACCAGATAGGCTATTCAGACACCCCCGCGCGATCATCAAGAAGTGGCATCGTCGACTCGTCTGTGGAAATAATGGCCAATGATTGGAACATCCTTCTATCCACCCTTGGGGGAAATGAAGGGGATATTGTAGTCGACTCTAACGACCAGATGTTGGGTGAAAATGGTCTACAGGGAAATATGATGGCATTTGACCCTGCTGGTGGAGACAAGTCAGAGCAAATGGTTTCTGAATCGGTTGGTGTCCCCGTGTATCGATTCTCAGCTCTTTGGGCTACTGATGCCAATAAAACATCTAGAAAAGCACGTCAACACTCGATCCCCTCTCGAAGGTGGTGTCCTCTCAGCAATTCCAGAAGACTCTATCCAAAATTTCACCAAAACCAGCTTTCCCCGTGGAAATTTAATTGAATGAATTGCCAAACATTTCTAGCTCTCCAATTTCCATCGCTTCGGCTGCCTATAGAGGTATTCTGGAGGGAGATAATGGCATGACAGCGCTTCATCTCTGTGTCTCCAAAGGGGACGTAAGGGCTGTTGTAATACTCCTGGATTGCGGCATCAATGTTCATGCCGTAGATTCTCAGAAACGTACGGCCTTACATATCGCTTGCTTTGTTGGCAATGTGGAGATTGTGGCCTTTCTCCTACAAGCCTCAACACAGACAGAGGTGATGGACTGCAACGGATATACCCCCCCTGCACATTGCATGTCGAAAGGGAAGCTATGAGATAATAAAGACATTAATCAAGGCCGGTGCTGACTTGAACGCGCATGTCGGTGGCGAGTAATGTTTGATTTACTATTACTGTCTCATATCATTCCTCCTCCGCTATCGGGCAAGGAGCTTACATTCCACCATCCATCATGCATGTAGATTGTATCTACCCCATGGGCGAGCGTCCACTGTCGAATCTTTTCGAAATTGCGACAGCGGTGATACGTTTCCAGATTGACTCCGATACTCCCGTTGACTCGGCGCTTGATATAAACCCCTGGATCCGCCCAGCACATCACGGCTTGCCGCAAGCGTTCCACGCACTGGTCTACTCGCCTGCGCTGTAGCTCTGCTGTCACCCCAGCTAGATTTTTATAGCTGTATTCATGGCGATGAGTGTATTGCCAGATGTAATGAAGGCAGTGAAGCTGGACAAACACCTCTGGGAGCGCGAGGATCTGGTCCTCGTATCGAGCCCACATCGACTCCGAAGACTGATTAAGATCCACTAACTTTTCGCTTGAAATTGATATGGGATGCTCTGATAATAATTAGTCGATCGCGACCGCTACTCATTGAATTCGATCACTGACGTGGTAAAAACTCCGCCCATGCTTGTTCGAGATCTGCGGCCACTTTGAGCTTAAAAAATGCATCTTCGGTAAAGAAGGGAGTATTGTTGAAGAATTCCCAGTGGTATGAAATCATGGGTTCTGCTGGTGACCAGGAATAAAATCGATTGTCGCAGATTGTTCCGTCTAGTCTTGGAAGAAATGATAGAGCGAGAAGACACACGGCAGCAGCGCATGACAAAACCGACAGCACGTAGTGGAAGATAATTCTTGAGGCTAGCACCAGGGCCATCATGAAGGAATCCTAGTGTATGGAATTTAATTGTCGCTGCTTTGGGAGAAGTAAGGTGACCCAAAGCAGAAGACTTCCCAGGTTGCCTTAACTAACAGGAGTGCTGACTACTCCCTGTCTGCTGACCTTCTTACTGCCAGATGCTTGACCCTTCCTCCTCCCTCTTTCCAAGCAGAGTGACACCTTTGGACCGATGTTTTTTCACTCAGATGATCGGACTATGTCTTCACCGTGGAACCCCATCAAATACTACTGGACTGGCGTCTCAGCTACATCGTACTCTCCGCTTCGCCCCGATGGCCTCCACATCACAGAGGATCAGGCGAAGAATGTTGCAACTGGCATTGATAGACACCGTATACTGAGTCTACGAGCCCTCATTGTCAGCTTTTGTTTTCTATCGGGCTCTATTGCGTTACACGCGGTGCTGTTACTCAAAGTACCACCGGATGGATATTGTGAGCGCAAAATGTGGGCATGGAGTAAGTTGAGACAAGCCCTACGTGACGGCACCTGGTCCTCTCTAAACCACCAGTAGGCCCAATCATTGGTGTCTCTAGATATACGTGGCATCAATGGGACTCCGAGATCTTGCCAGATTCGTTATACGGCGGGCCTCCAACAGCTGAACGCAGAGACGCGTGGGAACATATCGTGGAAGGTCCGAAACTTGAAGGAGCCCAACTTGCATTCTTCAACGGGGACTTTTGAACTAATAGTTCACTTGATAGATGGTTTCATTTCCTTCCCCAGAGACCATATGAAAGCCATACAGAAGTCCGAAAATGTGGATTGGTGGTCGCTGCCTTATCCCAATCAAGACCAGGTTATAGCTGGTCCAGAATGTTAGGAGCCACAATCGTGCAAAATTTACAGACACCACCCTAACTGCCTCTAGATTACCATCAATTGCATTGCGTCCAACTACTTTGGCTGGCTGCTTTACGAGACGAGTGGGATTACACAAATGGGGGCAGTATGCCTCCATTGCGGTACAGCATACATACTAAACACTGCTATTTTGCACTGAAGAGGATACTTTAGTGCCAGGCAGACATTACCCCCGTCCTATTTGAGGAGAGCGATAATGGGCATGGAGTGTGGGAGACCGGAAACGCCCCTCACAAGTGCAAGGACTTTCCCACCCTTCTTCAATGGCACGCGGACCATACAGTTTGCGGAAGGCCATGCCAATATAGTTAGCGCAGTTTTATCGCTTAGACAGTAAATAGTGTTACATCAGTCATCTTCAGTCAGCCTTCTTTGCAGTGTCATTCTTGATTCTTTATCGAACGTAAACTATTGGCTGTCATGCAGTCCCTCCGAGTTAGGTATAGTGGGGAGGGGTCACGTACAGGCACTTGTATAATGGAAACAGACAGCATGGAAATAGGCTGACCCGAAAATCATATACCAATTACCGTGCAACTTTGAGACCCACGATCTATAATGCAGTTCCGCTACTCCTCTGCCGAGAAGACCGACTTCGTGTGGGAGACCCCCATCCCCATCACCCCCTTCTGGGACACATGGACCTACAAAAAAGCCTACACAATCCTCACTGCTATCAGTGTTGAAGAGCTGGAACCCTACCACCTTGACATAAAGTACGGCACGGCCACACAGGATAAGAAGTATGCCGTGATCCTCGATATCTTGCGGGAGAAGCTGCACCGCGAGGAGACTAAAGGCGCAACGCCTGACGAGTACTATACAACAAATTACAAGAGCTGGGGTTTTGTATGGCTTGCTATCAGCTCCATGAACTTAAGTCTTGGCCAGCTGAACGAAGCTGAAGCCGCGCACCGGATTCTGGTCGATAGACGACAAGGCCCGAATAGTATTGTGCCCCTAAACAACTTTTCTGCATTTCTGATCCAGAATACCACCCGATATGCAGAGGGTAAGGAGATGGCTCTCCAGTCCCTTAAATGGCTAGATGATCGGCTCGGCAAGGCTTCTCTACAATCTATCGGGGCCCGCAAGAATATTGCCGTGGCAGACTGGAAGAAAGGAAACCGTGAGGAGGCAGAGAAGATGATCACTGAGATTTTCGAGTCGGTTGAGGAACTTAAAGCGACCAAATTTTGTATGTATGCCGAGGAAGAGAAGGAGAACGCGGATATTTGGCTGGCAGAGTTGAGGAAGAGCGGATAAGTCTGGACTGACTACTAGTACTACTGTCTTTAGGAGCCTCAAGTATATATGCACTATCGCAATTTGATTGAAAATAGGTGCAATTTCCTAAATTTATCTAATTTGAAAGTTCTATATGACTTCTATGTAACGATTGAAGTTTTAGGAAGAACATTAAAAATCAAGATACTGAATTAAAGATCTACTGTTTAACTGCAGAGTGTTTCAATTTTGGGGAGCCCACGTTGAACGTATTGAATTTAGTTATTAGAGTGGGTCACGCTGTTGGCGCCACAAAAACGACTGGAAAACAGAAATAAGAGAGGATACGCTCGAGGGTTAAAGTTTGAAAAGCAATAGACAGGTTCTAAACGTATAGATCACCGTGGTCCTCCTTGATAGCTTCTGCACCCTTCTCGGCAATCAGATAGACCGAGTTCTGAATATGACAGTCAGAAATAACCGGAATGACGGACGCATCAATAACACGGAGGTTCCCTCCTAGAGGCGGAAATCAACATAAGGAGGGGAAGGCCACGTCAGCACTTCAAGCATGTGCGGGGTGTTCATGTATTCAGAGTGCAAAATAGTGGTGTTCAGGGCATGCAGGGCGAATGGCCTGAATGGGCTGAAGAGTAGGGCGGCAAGGGGAGCCTGCCTAACGATTCAAGAAATAAAAAAAAATAAAAACATACAACAGTCAGGATTCGCATGTGGTCACCCACCATACTACTAACTGACCGGCGTGTGGCTTAAGTACGGCTGAGCGGACGGGAAGCCCTGTTCTCCACACCCTGTGGTCGTATGTACTTGAAACTTCCAAATAGTAGGTTATATAGAGCAAAGCAATAGAAACGACAGTGCATCGCTCGACTGGAGTTGAGTCTTTCACTGTCAATATGCTCTTCGAAAACCTTACTCATGAAGATGCCGTTGCGAAATGAGATTCATCACCCATCAAATGGTTGGAGTTGACTGAGTTCAAATTCCATTTCACGGCCCTGAGTTTCTAATTCCAGATAGCCCGGCGCAACCCGCTCAATCACCTCTGTCCACTGCTCGCGATTACAATCCGGGTGCATCGGAAATTTCCCATCTCGACAAGTGGTCTCTAAAAGATCCAAAAGTGGTATATCCATATCTATACTAGAGATAAACTATCAGAATGTCGACCACGGAACAGACACATGATCTTGATTGGTATTGAATTTCAAACTTACGGTTGGTTCAGGTTCCGGCCTCCTCCTACTTGTTCGCAAATCAGTCGGCGTAAAGGCCAGGCTAATCCCGAGTAACGGTTTACCAAGGGGGCCATGTTCCATGGACACAATTTGATATGATCCCGAGCTGTGCCATCTGGATTAAAGCTAACCAGTGTCATTCGGCCCGTGTCCAGGTCTGTCTGATCAATTATGAACCAAATACCAGTGCATGGACTGAAGAAAGCAAACCCGTCGTGCGTCATTGAGATAGCTCGAAAGTCAGCTTCATTAAGGAACTCAGACGGAATTGTGTTATCCACCGCAATGGCGTCCGGACGATATGTTGTGGTAGTGATCATGGTAGGAATTCGCGGCTGAGGAACACTGCCAATAACCCCCTGTAACACATGATTACCACTGAGGCCCTCAGGGAGGTAGCAGCATATGAGAATCTTGACCAAGTGGCGGTAGTTGGCGGCATGATTCTATCCACTGGGGCGATACAAGCAAAGCGCCCTAAACTTTTCTTCGTGAGTTGGGATGACGGATACCAGAGTCGACCTCCCTGGGACTTTGCCCGTTGATGATATTCCTGTCAAGTAAACTGTGAGATAGTGAGTTGTAAGGCTGTTTAGAAAGCAAGAGTTTACATCGCGATACGCCTGGTCGGCCACCGCCCATCTTTCCATTAGATGATGCCTTAGTTTCCGGTCTTCCACTTCGTCAGATGACGGTATCCAGTTCTCCTGGGGCTTTTGTCAGGCATTTCTGTAAACCTTGTGACAATAGATTTCGAGCATACATTCACAAACAGATACCAGCCTTGGGCATCTTGCCGTAGATTTCGTAGTGGGACATCTTTGGCGGGATTCAACTTGACTGTCAAAGAATGGGTCTCATCACCAGGCGAGGAGACGGGTTGAGCCATCAGTTCATTGGTTTTTTTTTTTTTGATAACGACACAAAAAACATTATTAACCACCAGCTGGGCAATGACCATAAAATGGGATGAAAGGAGACATAATCCTAAGGAATCCCAAAAATGATCCGTTGGGCTTTTCAATAAATGGCTAGCAAAAGAACCTTGGAAGAAGGGTCCAACCTTCAAGGATGAATCGAAGAATCTTTATTTTATACAACGCAAGGGGTGCTAGGTGCCGATCATATACCGAGGATCTTTAGTGTCAGAGACCAATTTGGTATTTTCGTTGGTATTTTGGCATTGATTAGCGTACCCGGATCTAATAATACCCGGGTGTTGGCTACCTAGCGACGGATTACTCTTTTTGGGGTATCTTTTATATGGGGTCACTGTAGAGAAAATACATGATCACTCAAAACTTGAATCTTGAATTTATAACAATATTTGGTAAGGATAAAAGAATTACTTTTACTTCAAGAGAAGTTGAGTCAAAGTATTCTTTCTTTTGAATAGATCAATACAATCAAATTTATAACTAGAATATATCATATATGAATGGAGACCGGTGAGAGTGAGGGCGAAAATGACAGCCTTTCCACCCATAGCTTTTGGAAGGGAGCCGGCTTTAAAGATTCCTATTCGTTTCTTACCACTTCCAAGGCTGTGTACCTACTACAAGCCTTTCGCACTCTGCGCGTGGCCTTTAGATAAAGCCAACTGGTAGATATTCTGCCAGGCGGTGAAGAAGCAAAAAGCCACTGTTATGGATGGACGGAGACTGGAGTACGGAGTACGGCGGCCCATAGCGGCCACCCCTACATAATTCCATTTGGAAGTTCTGATTCACCGCCCTATACACCACCCACCTGCAGTACCTATTCTTACTGTTCTGATTATGATACACCGCCTTCCTACTGTGGTGAATAGTCCCGACCTCGGATGTCCAGGGCTGATTCCAAGTTCTAAGGTTGGTGTAGTAACTTCAAGTTGAAAGGTAATTAGGGGAGGAAGAGAACCTTTAAAGGGGGAGTTTGGTGATATCTACTATAGGGAAGAATGGTGACCAGAAGTTCTAACACTCCAATATCACCTGGAAGTTTGTTATAATATCACAAGGTCATTAGAATATTACAAGTTATTCTCCCATCTTGAAGTTAGAGTTATCTTCCACTCCTCTTCGGGCTGTATATTTCAGTGAAAAATGTGAGGACACTGCCCCTGCCCAGGTGTAGATATTAGACCCTATTTGGAGATATTTCAGTAATTGAAATTCTGCCAGTTTTGAAATTTGAGATTGAATTTTGTCGGGCCGCTATAGGCCGTCGTAGACGGAGACAAAGCGGGCCAATTGCAAATCCCTTCAAATCCCGGTATCAATAACAACAGCCAGTTAAACTCCCAAGATTCATTCGCGACAAACTATTTACTCCAAGCTAGGAAATTTTAGTTCATTGTTCTGTCATGTGAGACATATCAGTGGGCGCTGTAATCTTAATGCCGATTAGGTCGTCAAACACCAATTTGCCAACCATGAGTCATCTTGATTGTACCTGCATTTGAGTGAAGGATAGTCATCATCAATTGATGCATGAGGAGCCTTGAGCTATGTAGATAATAGAGAATGATCGTGTCGATTTGTCTGTTTATCTCTATTTCCGGTGGCTTTCACTTTACTTCTCGCATTATACATAGATTGCCAGCTTTAACAGCCTTCTAAATATGCAATCATTATTTATAACTTAATTCTATGGTTGAACCTTAAAATTTAGTTATCAATATTGAAAGTGGATCGTCTCAAGAAAGTCCACGGGTGAAGCCCACTAACTTCGATGTCCCGGGTCATTGCAGCTTCCCATCCATCTCTGACTCACAAAAAAATATCACAATACCTAGGTATAAATACACGATGGAAGCCCTCCCAATGCCCATTGGACACAAAAACGCATACATCAATCCGTTCTATCCCACCAAATCATAGCAATGGCTTCTAACTATGAATACTCATTCTTTCGCATCTCGAAGATTGATGGTATTGACGCCTCTGCTCAAAAGTACCGAGAATTACGCCTTCAAGCATTAAAAACCTCACCTGGCTCTTTCTCCTCAACCTACGAGATCGAAGCAGCTTTCAACCACACCGATTGGGTTAATCGCCTAACAATCCCTGGTCGCGAAGTCTTCATTTGCGCCGCCACGCCAACCGACCAAGATGCTTCACGCCCCAGTGATATCCAATGGGTCGGCCAAGTTACTCTTCGAGGGCCTGCATCCAGTGCTGATTTCGAATTACCAGCGGAAGCTGGTCAGCCACCCCAGAGGCCCGACGATGAGGAAGAAAGATGGCAGATGCTGAGCTTGTTTACTCTCCCGGACCATCGCGGTCGTGGACTTGGGGGCAAACTTTGCCAGGCTTCCATTGATTATCTTCGGTCTTATAAGTCATTTCCGAGGACTGTTCAAGTCCGACTCATTGTAAAGGCGGGTAATGACGTTACTGTGGCGTTGTATCAGCGTCTTGGATTTATACACGCTGGAAAGGCGACTCTTGTTGAAGCTCTTATTGCAAATGGGGATGAACACCTTATTTCGAAGGATGGGAATGAGACGATTCACACGGTGCGGCAGGGCTTGATTATGCTATCACGGGTATTACGTTCTTAGTTCCTTTATAGTAATGAGGAATTTATTGGCTTGTTAATTTTCAGACCTGTTAAAGCCGGGATTTGACAAATATCACTCATTTCCAAGTCACAGTATTCAAATTGATCGATCATAGGTATAAAAAATCTTGAAGTCACTTTACTTTCTTTCTCGACTGGAATGAAGACTTGAAACTTCCTAACTTCAGTCTCAGAGCCATTGAGAATTGAATATTGAGTACCCTTATAAATCTGGAGGAAATGAAGGTTGTTGTTGTATCTAGAAGTTCAGTTGCTGTTTTGAGCAGCATGGAGATCTATCCACGAGAGCAAATCCCGTCGTGGAGACCGCCATATCATGCAAACCACAGTAGAATTGAACTACGGGGTCGGTCTTTATTCCTGGTCCAAGAATAAGTAGAATGTGTGGATTTGGTACAAGCTTGTATGGCCGCCAAAGATTATTTTTCTCAAAAGTGACTTTTCTATGAAGAAATTACTGTCGATGAGCCCAGCCTCGATTCAACTAGATTCTTCTACGATCGACTACGCTAGGTACAAAGTTTTCCATTGTCATTTCCAAGGTTGAATCTCAACACACCCGCTGTTTTGGTCTGGACTTCGCTGTCGCTGTTTTCTGCGCTGAACTAAACCTTGGAAAGAGGCAAGACTAACCGGAACATGTAATTCACTGGTGCTGAGTTTACAAGATGCATCAATGTTCAAAGGCTTTGTGGATATTGTTCAACCGAGCTAATATGGGCCGTACAAAATTACAAGCTAAGCTCGAAAACAAGAGAAGGCGGAGCTAGGGAAACATGCCGAGGTGGCTCTATTTATACCGCCTAAGGAGGCACATTATCTAGGGAACAACTCAGCGCTTAGTTGTTTCCGACCAGGTATTTGAACACGGCTCGGACAAAGTCCAGAGTATCCTGGGCACTGCCGGTTGAGATTGCCTGGGCAAATTCAACACTGGTAGAGGAAGTCACGGTGGTGCTGGACTTCGAGGACTGACGAGACTGGGTGGTGAAGGTAGTCACTGCCTGCACTGCCTGCGCAGCGACAGCAGAAGTAGTAGTCTTAGTGGAAGTGATAGTCGTAACGGCGGCGACAGTTGTCTCTGAAGCAGTAGTGGTCTCAGAGATAGCAGCAGTAGTCTCGGCGAAAGTAGCAGCAGAAGTAGTTTCAATAGCAGCACTGCTGACAGCGGAAGAAGTTTCCACAGCGGCGGCAGTGGTCGTGGTCTCGGCAGAAGTGGTGGCGTTGGTAGTCTCTTCAGTGCTCATACAAGCGAAGGACATCTTCTTCGTAGTGGTAGAAGTACTATCATACCCAACCGCCTGCGACAGATCCCACTCCATGCTGACATACGGCCAGCAAATACGGCCATCAGACATAGTGATCATGTCACCTGCAATATAGACATCGGTGCTCGTGAAAGCATCACCAACCTTGCTACCATCCGAACCCACCTCTTGGAAGAAAGTGCCCGCAAACTGTCCCCGACAACCCATCGCAATGTAGTCGCAAATAGGGTTCGCGATTTCTTCCCAGGTGATCAGGGCCGAGCTGTTGCCAAAGGTTGCCGCGTGGGCATTGGAGCAGTCATTCGATCCTTGGGTAACCCAGTTGACCTGGCTGTCTCCATCCTCAGTGCCAACCACCGAGGTGGCCTGGTCGCCGACCTTGGTGTACTTGTCCGTGAATAGGGAGATAGCAACGTTGCGGCCATTGGTGCGATTATTGACATGAGTGTAACCATCTCCCATCCAGGTATTTTCAGTCACATCGATGGCACCGCGAGAAACCCAGGCGAAGATGTACTTAGTAGTGTCGGCAAAGCGAGCCAGCGCGCTGTAACTACCCGACATGCCACCCATAGGCTCACCAGAGCCACCGTTAGTGGTGTTCTCGTTGGAGATCTTGACTCCATCATTCATCATGCCTTGCCCCTCGGTGTTTAGCCAGATAGCGCCCTGGTCCTCAGCGCAGATACTGGCGAAGGGAGCCTGGTCGGCATCCTCGAACGCAATACCGGTGTTGTGGCTGCAACCCCAGGAGCTTGATGCACCGGTGATTGTGTCCAACTCTCCAGCCTTGGTAACGTATTGGATGCTGTCACCATAGTGACCAGAGGCGTCCCCAGTGTAATCAGTGACAACGAAGTATGCACCGTAGAGCTCTTCGCTTTCAGAGTAGACGAGGTCACCATTCATGTCCGGGGAAGCAGAGAGACCATCAGATGCATGAACTCCAGGTCCACCCAGCCAGGTCTTCCAAGTCTGATCTCCATCGGTATAGCGGTACAAGACAGCAACGGGGGTATCACTGGGTGGCGCATTGGTGGTACCCGAAGGCATGGCTTCGTTGACCAGAACAGCAAAACCATCGTTGTGAGCGACGAGACCTCCGGCTATATATTTCAGTTAGTCACAATAATTTTTGGAGATTTCAAATAGATCAGATAGTTGGGCTATCACACCTTCTTTTCCACCAGAGACGGTAACCGTAGTGCCCGTAGCCTCAAAAGTCGTAGGGTCCAACTTCTGAATATGAACATCAGTCTCGCTAGAATCCAGATACGCAATGTAGGCAGAAGTTCCATCGGGAGACACCGCGAAAGGAGTGCGACGGTGGTGTGGATAGCCAGTCCAGTAGGCTTCTTTGACGGGGTTGAAGGCACTGTCGAGTGCCAGCACATCGACATGAGTTTTCAGGTTAGAAGTCGTCAGACCAGGAGAGGCAGCCATTGCCGCAGAAAGCAGAGAAAGAATGGAAGTCCCGCGCATTTTGGGGGATAAAAGTCGGTGCTACTGCTTTTGGTCTGATTTGGATTGTGTAGATCGTCCGGGATCTACACTCTTTTTAAACCCTGTCCCAACGAACACTGCTAAACGGCCGAAAGCGCCTATATGACCTGATACGAACACTTAATCCGATGCATGCTTAAGCATATAACATGGAAGTGTCAGGTTGGCACGGTGAGTGTTTCATGTGCCGGCAAGAAAAACCCTTAATGAAGATTATCTAGTTCCCCGTCCCTGGAGTTTATTAAAAGGACCCTTGATTTGATTGAGTGACCCCCGCTAAGCTACTTTAGCCTAAGCGTAGTAATAATTATTACAAGCATTGGTACCTAGGTACCTAATCACTGCCAGATCACCGAGTTCCAGGGCTGCGTATTTGCCGACAGATTTAATAACGAGGTATGTACTATGTGACTGTTGAGAACATACTTATAGACCTACTCGATCGTACTACGTACTCTAACCAAGTATAAATCACGCTAAATGAAATGGCATTAATGAGTGATACTGCGTACCTTCCTTAATTCTATAGGCCTGGTCTAGATGAAAATAATTACAGTCAGAATTACAGTTACGGCGCTTGCGCTAAAGAAGGTTAGCGCGGGTCCTTCTATCAATTTAGGGTCCATCACTATAGTCCCGAGGTCAAGTAGCCGCTACCCGAAAGGGTGCGAAACCCGGCCTTGTGAAACATTGTTTCACTGTTAGTTATGTGGAACCACATTCTCATTTTTTCCAAGTGGTTTATTAAGCTTGCTTTCCAAGTGCTTACTATGGCTGGGCCAAAACCGATCTGACTAAAAATACCAACTTGAAAGTGCTAAGACATTAGCATGCCTATGTACCACTAGATTTGGAGCTGTAATAGGTTTATGGCAGATTGATTAAAGAGCCCTGGCCTGTTCCAAGGTGAGTGGTTTATATGTTTCCTTTTCCCAAAATACCTCAAAGGAACATTTGAAGGTCAGTATGGAAACGTTGATGTCAGTAGATGAGCCTGATCACCCCCTGGGTGGGAATTCTCAAGTGCTCACTCCGTTGTCACCACTATTACATTGATGTAGCAATTTCAAGTTAAAGGTGTTAGGAGGTGTGCCTTTGGAACAGCTACAGGAAAGAACATGTATGGGGGAAGCGCGCAGAGGGGAAGTCTGCCCCGACACGTCGAGAGCTATCTACCTAGCCACCTTGGTCTGAACTATACAGACCACGTGATCTAACACAAGTTGGATCTGATTAGGAATGTGTCTCGAATAATTTGTCTTGAGCTAACCTTTCCAAGCCCCGAATCATGGTTCTCGATCTGGGATGACATGCTGTGGAACTCATTTGCCACAATTTCCGCATCGGATGGCAAGCCGCGAGCTGCATCAAGGCGTTCAGAGACTGGTCATGCTTTTGGTCGATAAGGAGCCATCGTGGAGACTCAATGACAAAGAATGAAAGCAAAATACTGATAGCCGGAGCGAATGTCTGAGCAAACCAAGGAATCTGATATTGTAGGTTCTTCGTAGGTGAGATGTGGATCGAGCAACCGTAGATGATGAAAACACCCAACGCCTGACCTGCTAGCATGCATATGTTGAACCACAATGCCATCAGACCTCTCACAGCCTTGGGAGCGATTCCAGAAATTGCCATTGGACAGACAGCAGACAAAGCACCGATTCCAAGACCGGCAACAATTCGGCCAACATAAAGCGCTCCAGAATTCCCCGAAGAGAAGCAAGAAATGAGAGAGCCGATAATATATGTGACCTGGTACACCCGTAGCGAGTTCTTTCGACCAATTCAACCATTTAACATTAATGAAAGAATTGCTCCAACTTCAGCTCCAAGGTTAACGAGAGAGACAATGTTCGATATGGAGTTATCGTCGAGGCGGTACGTATCCTGAAACGACGAAAGTTGTGTAATAGCCGCAGCTGATCCTTCATCCCATCCTTCAAAGATGATTAGTTAAAAATGAAAAATTCATGAGAAAAGAGTAGTACCTTTCGCACATCCCCCAAGAGCAAAGGCCAAGGTTGTCAGAAAGAGTCATCGATGAAAGATCTCGTGTGGCGAATCTTTGATGCCGTGGAGGTATTTGGCCCAGGAGGACTGTTTTTCAGCCATTGCGTGAAAGGTACGAGGATAGAGTTCCAGCGGCGACTGCAAAAGATGATTCAGTATCGTTCGAAGTGCAGAACCTTTCGCTTTTATGCCCTGCCATTGGTAGTGAGTGTCCAGTAACCCCAGACCCCAGACCCCAGATTACAGACTCCCCGGATGCAGGGTTCTCCACCACTATTTGCTTACCATCAGATGTTGATCCAATGACAGTTCAGAAAAGTGAGTAGGAAAATTATATGCTCATCACTCAAAAGGAGCGGAAGTTTCGTTGAAGTTTCTTAAAGTTATCGGATGAGCCGATCCGTCCAATGATTGGATTATATTCACTCCAAGGTTTAGATCAACTCTATGAATGTTCTTGGCATGAGTATTCAGATTATATTGGGGATAGATTAAAAAAGAGAAACGGATAATAGTAGGTCACGTCTAATATCCTTTATCAATGTTTTGTTGGATGCGATGTGTTCCAATGTTCAAGTTTGCCGCTTGGTGCTCGAAGTGACAACTTTATCCTCATTCACGGCACTCATCTGCTTAATGATCCGCCATAATTATTGATGCATTATTTTACAAGCACAGCGTTTAATTCAAACAAATAAGTATAATTCAATATAAGATACAGTTTTCTTTCCCAATGACCTGTCGAAGTTTGTTGTAGTTTGTACTCCTTCAAAGAGAATAGTTAACCTTCGCCGCATTTATTGTTTCGCCATCATATTCAATACACTTCCCGCCTTGAAGTACTCGATTTGCTAAGGAGTGAAGGTATGCCTCAGTTGAGCTTCCCATTCTCCATTCACCGACAGTTTCAGGGGGCTCCCCGGTGTGAGATCCGATAATCCCAAGATGCTAACTCGATCCGAGGTACGGATTCGATCGTAGTCCGCCTCATCGGCAAAAATGAGCGCAAGCGTTCCCTGCTTCTTCAAATTGGACTCGTGAATTCGTGCAAAAGACCTCGTGATAATAGCTTTTCCTCCAAGATAGCGGGGCTGTAAGGCAGCGTGTTCTCGCGATGAGCCCTCACCATAGTTGTGGTCAGCAATCACAACCCAGGGTTGGTCATGAGCCTTATAGTAACGTGCAGTACCAGGTACATCGCCATCCTCGTGGATGAGTTGGTTACGCACACTGTTGACTTTGTCTCTCTCGGCATTCACAGCTCCAATCAAGGTGTTGTTGGAAATGTTCTCCAAATGCCCTCGAAATCTAAACCAGGGGCCAGCGGGGGTAATATGATCCGTTGTGCATTTTCCTTTGATCTTGATCAAGATGAGGCAGTCTTTGAAATCTTAGCCAGATCAGGGCTCAAGTGGAGCTAGTCTCTGCAATCGCTCAGATGAAGGGTTGATCTTCACCTCCACGTCCTTTCTGTCAGTCGGGGGTGCCTTATACGCAATGTCGGAGTCAAGGTACCCGTTGACTGGGAGTGTATCGCCAGTTGGGAGCTGAAATCGGAACTCTCCACCTGTGGGAGTAGGCAAACTATCAACACATGGGTCAAACGCTAAATCTTCTGAGAAGACTTTGGCCATGACAACCTCAGGTGACGCGAGGAATACATTGGTAGCCGGGTTAGAGTCCAAGCGACCGGAGAAATTTCGGTTATATGATGTGATAATTGAGTTAGGGGTACCCTGGGACGTTATTAGCAAGGAAAAATATAAAGTAGGATTATTCGAGTGAGTTGTGGGTACCTTGGGCATATCGACTCGATCCCAAGATCCGCAGCATGGACCGCAGGCATTCAGCAACATCGTAGCTCCGAGTTTCTCAAATACCGGCAAAATTCCAGCCTCGTTTAAGGTCTCGCGGGTTTGAAGACTGCCTGGCGATATCAGGAGTGGCATCTTTGGCTTCAACCCCGCATCCAATGCTTGCTACGCAAGACTAGCAGCACGGCCCATATCTTCAAAAGACGAGTTGGTACAAGATCCAATCAACCCAGCGGTCAATTTGGCAGGCCATTTATTCTCCTTTGCCGCACCACCAAAGTGTGTTAGATCACGTGGTCTGTATAGTTCAGACCAAGGTGGCTAGGTAGATAGCTCTCGACGTGTCGGGGCAGACTTCCCCTCTGCGCGCTTCCCCCCATACATGTTCTTTCCTGTAGCTGTTCCAAAGGCACACCTCCTAACAACTTGCGCCGGGTACAATTGACTATTGTTGTTTATATCTTGGCACAGATGTCTGGGGCCAACGCTACTACCAATTATCTACCAACAATATTTGGTCTTATTGGCATAGCTAGCTCAGATGCCAAGGTATACTCTCCTGGCCTATCCACTGTTGCAAAGTCGGTTTGCTGTGTGGCTGCATCTCTTTTCTTTATTAACCTTGTCGGGCAAAGAAAATCTCTCATACTTGGGATTTCTGTTCAGATTATCTGCCACTCTTACCTGGCCGGCTATTTGAAAATATATCAAACAAACAAAGGAAGCTTGGGCAAGGCCTCAGCAGATGCAGCATTGGTCTGTATAGCTTACCCTATCTCTTCGGTGCAGAACTCTGGCCAAACAAGATACGTTCCTTTGGTGGCGCGCTCTGGCAGTGCTTCCATTGACTTTTTTATTTTGCTATCACGAAAGCCACTCCCTCAATTCTGAGTGGACTCCACCAATGGGGTGCATTTGTGCTATTTATTGGTTTCTGTGTCCTAGCCCTCATCTACACCTTTTTCATGATTCCTGAGACAGCGGGCATGAGCCTTGAAGAGATAGACCGGATTTTCGAGCGTCCACTTTTTCTCCTGGCTCGACCACTCGAGCCGTGCGAGGCCCTGGAGCAGGATGAGTAGGTATACCCCTCTTGCTATCTTTCGCGGTATTCCCTCTCTCTGACTTCCATTAGAGTACCTGTGGATTGATTTCACAATGTGAAAGAAAATGATAAATGGATTGAAAAGGTATAGAAATGACGTTTTCCATGGGGCTCTATAAAAGCATCAATGATGGACATCTGGAGATCTGAGTCGAGTTTCGAGTTCAAGCTTGAGGCACTCAGTCCGAGTCACTGCTCCAGCCCTGGAGATGGATGCTGTCCTCAAGTTTCAGTAGCTTAATTGATTTCACAACCAAGTTGACGTACATATAAAGCACATATGATCAATATTCCGAGGTGAAATATAGGCCTGAGTAAACATTCAGCGGCCCCGTTTCTTCATAATTTGTCAAATTGATGGATTTTTCTCTCTCGTAACACTTGAGGCACTCTGTTCAGGTTCATAGAGGAAGAAGAGCAGGAACAAAAATTACAACAACGTACAACAGTCAGAATTCGCATGTGGTCACCCACCATACTACTAACTGACCGGCGTGTGGCTTCCATGGTTACGTGCCAGTGGGTGGGTGTCCCCTGGGTGAGAAATGTGTAAGTGCCGCGTTACGGTCGCGCGACCAGGGGTGATCAGGGTGCGTACGCTTTATTTGTGGTGAGACTCGGGTGTGACCAAGAAAAGCCACGTATATAGGCACCACCTGGGTGCACATCGAGCCCCTGTCGAAGTACGAAACCAAGCCCATCTCTTCTTGCCACGGCCGACTAGCTATGCTGACGACCCAAAGAGGGGATCCTTGCAGCCCCGCCATATAGCTTCCTTCATATTTAAATATGTATTTCTCCCGGTGCTCGGAATCAGTTTCGTGCTAGTCTCGACCTAGATTCAGTCCGCCAAAAAATAGGATTATCGCAATATCTACCCTCTATGGAATGGAAGTACACGACGCATCGCCCACTGGGCATGGAAGAGGCGACCAAAAAGCTAAAGCATGGAGAGATGTCAACAGCTTTAGAGTCGCCTGCCGATGTCGATATAATTCGAACCGATACCGTGAGAGTTGGAAGCGTCACGCGCGTTGAGGACGACTTATCTTGGGGCCGAATGACGAAGGGCAAGATTGATAATTGGCGGTACTGGGGGGGTTTACGACGGTCACTTGTGAGTACAGGCTTCTCTTTGAATTTGAAACAATCTCTGATGTAAAACCTGCTTTCTTAGAGGCTGGGCAACCTCGTCAATTCTCCGAAACTATCTCCATAAGTACGTTGGTAGAAAACTCGATCAGCTATCTGCTGAGGACCTCGATGACCCTGGGGCGATTGAGGCAGCTATAAAGTCCGCATTCACTGAGCTGGATAACGAGATCGTCTCCGACACCCTCAAGCTCCGGATTATGTGCACTTCTAGCACTGTATGATCCGGAGAGGTCCACCCTCCATGTTGCTGGTGCTGGCGACTCGCGTGCCGTTCTCGGTCGTCAAAGGCAGGATGAGAATGGGGATTGGGTCTCAATTCCACTCTCCGTTGACCACAGTGGTACTTACCCAGACGAGAGGGCCCGTATCAATGCCGAGCATCCCGGTGAAGACCTCTTGTTTTCTGCCATTGGCCGTTTTCTGGGATCAGAAGTGACTCAGAGCTTCGGTGATCACCGGCAGGAATGGCCTAGGGAGGCATTGGAGGAATGGAAAAATGGCTTCTTTGGTCGAGTGTATAACTCAAACATAAAAACACCGCCATTTTCCACCGCGTTGCCAGATGTGAGGGACATACAGGTTCAGCCAGGCGATCTTATCATCCTCAGGACAGATGGATTCTGGAACCATGTGTCCAATGAGGATGCCGTCTACTTTGTGCAGCTGTGGATTGAAACGCAGGCTAAGGACAGAGCGAACAATTTAGAGCAAGCAGAAAACATTTACCTTGTGGAAGTCGTACACGCACCGGAAAAAGGACCTGCGGACGTTGCCAGGAAAAGGAGCCTGCAGACATTGTCCCAACGCCGGAAAAGGAGCCGGAACGACATATGTATCCGTATAGCTGGGAGATGGAACAAGAAGCTTTTATCGTGGAACATGATAATATAGCCACCCACTTGGTTCACAACGCACTGGGTGAAAAAGAACGGGACTTGTTCTGCAGCGTCATGAGTCTTTTGTCACCAGACTCTAAGGAGGCCAGGGATGATGTGACCGTGATTTTTGTTCTCTTCTAGACTACATAATGTGATTATCTCAAGTGTTAAACAAATCTGAACTACATGAGCACTTATCTAAATTCAACATTTGAAGTTGACAATGCTCCCTGTCTGAATGAAATATTGTATTTCCTGCACTACTGTTGATTGTAACTTGAAGTAAACATTTGAATTTTCAGCTACAAGTGCAACTTGAAGTCAACTGGATGTTCAAAGGAAAGAGGGAGTTAATTCAGTTCAAGTTGGTAAACATTCCAAAGTTCAAGTTCAAGTTTAAAATTCAACATTTGAAACATTCTAATGTTCTGATAGAGCATTATAAACTAGGAATAAACACATCAACCTTTAGTTCCTATCGCTCTGGGTTCCAGAATCTAAGGCACTCACATATTGTAGACTTCAAATGTTGTAACCAGTTTGTATCTTTACCCTTGCACTCTTCACATGCCCCATAATCGTTATCATCACAAATTGGCACCTACTTTGGTGCTGGTTTGGGTTTCAAGAAAGTCCCTGGGTTTTCAGAAACCAGCCATGGTGCTGTGTTTATTGGGCTCATGTTAACCGCTGGGTGTTGAAGAGCGTAATCAATTGCCCACTCTGTCGTATTATCTTATAGAGACCAACCAAGTGATCACGAATATGGGCGTCTTGGTGCTCAAGCCAGAGACCACCAAAATAGAGGTAATTCAAATGTTCCAAAATAACTTGAATGCAGTATAATCAATGATTGCAAGGTTTGAGCAGTACTCCAGGGCTCGTCCTCATGCTGGGCGTCAAGACTAGAAATATATGCACCACCTTTCTTTTTAACCAAGTGCCGCAATATCCGACAGAACAAGAACTCAAAATCTCTCGCCAATATGCAGGATATTTATTGGATCATCGCCGATCAATTGTTTGCCATCCCAGTGTTTGAGATGCAGCCAACAACGTCTTCATTTTAGCTGAAGGTAATCCTGCAGTAGGAGGGTTGTGGCAACTTTGAATACTAAGGGATCCAGGCTGGTAGCAAAATTTTTCGACCCCCAACATCACTTGTAACAGTACATTCAAGGGTGGCGAGGTAGTTTCCCCTTTAGGCGCATGTAAGTCACCCCATGGAATTATCTGAATGTGGTTATCTAGCACAATAAGCGTTGGAAACGCACGTTTGATGCGGTATATCATCATGAATATGCCTAATCAGCAGATTAATGGATTGTCCCTTTCAAATTTTATTTTTACTCGGTTGATTCAATTTTATTCTGTTAACATTAATATTGAGCAAGTTGAGGAAGTAAGATAGTGCGATTAGTATTGTAGTTTCTCGACACTCGGGGAATTGGGACTTTCAATTTAGAAGAAACATAAAGGGAGCTTGTCTACAACATGTCCAGCTATTTGACACTCAAATATAGAGGAGGGCAGATTGCTGTTAAATTCAGTTTTGTTGGAAATTGGATTTCTCGGGCTAAAGTATCGAGACTGAGACGGAGGAGATATGGGTAGAGTACAAAATTTCCACGTTGAAGCATTGAGAGCGAGAAGTGAATAAATTAAACTTGCAAGAAATTCATCCAGGAGAAAGGTCATCAAAAATTCCGCTATCCCACAGCGGTATTTTCCACAGCGGTATTTTCAGAGCAACAAACCCATGTCGGGTGGTCAAAGTCCAGCATCAATATTGACTCCCACACCCCAAGCCATTCAAGCTTCTCAATACCGCGTCCTTTTGCAGCACTTACAGTCACAATTGTCGCAGCCTTGAAAGCCCATTGGTGGTTCCTGAAGATCTTCATCTTCATCATAGTTCTCATCAGAGTCATCGTCCGATGTAATCACGACCTCCTGCTCCACAACATAAAGCTTTCGCATAAACTCCGACAAAGATGTATCCTCAGAAGGCCGGAAAAGACAACGAGCATGATTGGGGTGATTATTTTCCAGATATTCCCAAATTTGCAACAGATGCCGATGGGTATCGTGAATTCCAGCTGCTTTGGCATATCGCACAATGTTGCGGGCACTCGCACATATGGTTTTTCCAGAGACGTGGGAGCTTAGATACGAACTGGTCATAATAGGCGATATTCTGAAGCGGTTGAGAATCTGGTTAAACCAACCATTTTTGTGTTCCATGGGAAGGTCGCGGAGGTCTTTTCTCTCGGCGTCTGAGAGTTCAGTGTTGTACCAGTCGAGCGCGTCGTCGCGCAAACATAAGTGAATATTGGTTTGAATAGTCTGCGCCGGTTGGAAAACAATAAGACCACGGAGGTGGCTCACAAAAGCTTCAGCATTGTAAAAAACAGTTGCGTGTGATTGATTTGATCCTTTGACTCTGAAATGTTCCGTGTCGGCGTTGTAGTCTGGGTAGAAGTAGCCAACCTCCTCAGTTGACCAAAGCCACGGTGGATGGATGGGATCTGGGGTAGGATCTTGAGGTTTCTCTAAGCGATGACGCTTTATATCCTTTGCTGGCGCTGGAACCTCTTCGCTATCCTGGATCTTCTCCATGGTGTCCCTTTGCGTAGTCGTATGTTCGTAGGAATGTGGAAAGCGGCCTTGAGCCACAGAAAATGAGCAAAGAGACCAAAAATGGACTGAAATCTGACTCACAGGGGGTTTTTGTTGGGAGAAACTTTGGTGAGGAGGAATAAACAAAGAAGAAGTGAAAGAAACAGAAGACGAATTTTGGGTGAGTGCAGAGCAAACATTTAGATATTAACCGAGCGTGGCTGAATTTGAAGAGCTCATATTCCCAAGCATCTTCACACCTATATAACCTTCAAGTTGGAATGACATTATCTTTCGTCCTTCTCTGTTGTTTTTTCCAACATCAATACAACTACTTTGGACTTGTTCCTTATACCTCTTGTAGAGGGAACCTACTCGGGCCCAGGTAGTCCTGGAGCCATTCTACCAGATTGCATAATCATGCTAATCCAAATCAAAGATCTGATTTCGATTCCTGAGGTTGCCATCAGTGGCTTAAGCGCTAATTTTAGGCTAACAAGTAAGGAGTAACTACAAACACTCCTTCTTTCATCAAGCGAACAAAAACATTTGAACCGAAGTAATATTCCACGAGGATAACTTCAAAGACAGGTGTTGAAATCCCAAGTTTAATTCAACAAACCCGTCCTTTCATGGAACTACGGCGTCTTTTGAAGGCAAAGCCGGCATTCTATCCACTTCAGCATGCGCGCCGATTAGATCGTATTTTCAAATGAGCCTCATTAGCCTTGCGACCGAATAGGACTTCTTCCCACAAGGTTTGTGGACGGGAGAGCAAGTCACGGTGCTTCAATTTGGGCACACAAACTGCTTTCCCTGAAAGTAAGAGTATGATTGTTAAGTAGACGGGCCCGCCGATGCCACCACCAGAGCCATTATAATTAGGCGATGGCCTGGAAGCAGAACCCGCAAAGGAAAGGTAAGACTTCCGCGTGAACTAGAATCACAAGTCCATGAGTTAACATCAACCGGAAACATTGGGCGAGTGATTGCTATTCCCGGTGGGATCCTCGTCTCTCCTGCTGGGCTGGTGACACGTATATGGACTGGAGATATTTTTCCACATCGCATCCATTAGATGCGTGCACAGTAATTTCTAAGCCTGGTAGAGCTATAATCTGAAGATTTGCAGATCTATTCAGACGAGAGCAACCTGTGAACTAAAATCCATTAACCGTGAACAGTTCCGTAACGGAGTCCACAGCTTTGATATGCTTCGACGGCCGATATCCACAAAATTCGCATTTTTGGGTAGAGGATATTCTTTCTGGGATCCCGGGGTGCTGATAGCTTTGCCGGGTTGGATCATCTCGACAATTATCTGCTTGGAGTACTGCCTTCCAAGATACTTTCTTTATCGGAAGGATCAATGTCTAAAGAGAATATTTCATACTGAGGATCTCAATATGTGTTCTTTGTCTTCTTACAAATTGTCCCTAGGTTAATGGAGGAGCTGAGCAAACGGCAGAGTGGGAGGATCTGTAAATCTGAAGCAGACTTATCCATGTTGGATGAGGTCTGATCTTTCAATTTCTGACTTGCCGAAGTGTGAAAGGGATCAGTGAAGCTCGTAAAATTGGGTCTTATAATTTGCATTTGTCTCAACTGTGGGACCTATTTTGTTAAATAGACCACAGTTGTAGTGACAGCCATTTTGCGAAGAATATGCGAATGACCCAGTTTTCCCGGGCGCGAAACCAGGCATTCAAATGTTTCCAATATGCAGCTAGCTATCGGTGTACTATACGACATTCAGAGTCTCTCTCTCTCTAGTTACCAACTCCTCAACTGTACTCTTTTTGATTGGATTTATACTGGGCAGTAAGTCCTCAAACCCTCTATTGTGATCGTGTACGTCTCATATTGAGTCTTTTATGCACTCGCCTGGTTTTGCGTAACATGACTGTCCATTGCTTTCCAGAGCTATTTGGCCGCACTAAGGCAATGGTTACTGTATTTGAGTACCAAATTCAGTCTCTTCCAAAGGAGAATCTGCAAACTCACAGTTACTGGAGCAATTACAAGAGAATACCAGGAATTCTGGATGTCAGAAGAATTGGGAGACCTCCTCGGTAATAGATTCATTGATTTGGACCACAATGGTTGCCAACGCTTTTTAAAAGCGGAACTATTACTAGAGTATTTTCTTGTACATTTGCGCTGAGCAAAATTCTGAGCCTATCCGGACGCATTCCAATGTTCTCCAGCGTCATTCATCACTCATAAAATCCCTCCTTCTGGCTGAACAAAAAATAAGATAATGCCAAATGGTGTGTGTACGTCCGATGATCTAGATTCAATTTTGATCTTTACATATCTGTTCATTGTTTTCATTTCATTGAACCGCTGCGCGAAAAGATACCTCGGATTCAACCTCTTCGTCGCTTTACACCACTGCCATTGACTGATTCTTTTGATGCACCCTCGCGCAAGCCGACCATTCCCCCCCCTCCCCGGGGTTGTTTCGACGCAGACTGAATCTGCCCAATCAAGTGGATAGAGGAAAATATCAAGGTCAGCAACGATATCTAGGTACCATTCATATCAGCGTGAGGCGCGTGCAAATAGCCTCCAAGAGATTGAACTTCATCGCCAGCTAATCGATACAGTCAGTGCTATAGATACGTTATAAACAACTAGATGTCTAAGAAATTAGGTTATAATAAGCGCAAAGGCGTATATAATTCAAAACTAGTCGAAAAAGGCAAGTTCTACAATATTCCCGAGCAAAACAGGCTGAAGAAAAGAGAGCGTGGTCGAACACGGTCGACGACAGAGTATTATTATTTTAGTTCAAAAGGAAGAAGCGAGGCTATCTATACAGCGACACTTACCCTACATATAGATCGAAGGAAACAATTTGTGCAGTGCGGCTCCTCTCCTGATCTGCACCAGCCTCATATCACAAAAATGATTGCTAAAAGGAAAGCATGATCTTAGTTTAGAGAGAGTGAAGGATGATCTACTGTTATGTGAGCCAGATGGTTACAGGTCCTTGGTTTACGAAAATATGAATATTCAAGATATAAATACATTTTGTCTTAAGAACTGAGGAGCAAGAAGAGGACCCGGAGTGTAAATGAAATAGTAAAATGTGCTTTCGTTGAATGAAAAGCAATAAAATCAGCAAGCAACATGCATAGCAAGAAGAAGAAGAAGTCAATCGCCCAGAATTTAGAAAGATCTGCTGTGTCGGGAACCGGATGGACAATGAGACCGTCGATTCATCAGTATCACAGTATGGCGGTCTCAGGCACGAAGTAGTAATGCCATAGTCATCCCTATGCACTGCTTTACGATCAGATGACATAGCATTCCCGAAACCTCTATCGTCGGTCCGATTTCATGAGTCTTCTAGACACTCGCTCAATCAGAGCATTTCTCATTGTCCGGCTTGGCCTTTTCCAGAAGATGCTTTGATTCGAGCTGCCTATCCATAGTTGCGCTCTTCAAGAACAAGGAGGCCAGTACCCCAAATGAAGCCACGCCAATCAATACTTTGACGAGATCCTGAAAACTTTTTGCATAAGCGACATTGAGGCTCTCTCGTAGATGCGAGGATATGGAAATTTCTTGAAGTGTTGATACTAACACCTCAGCGTTTGTTGACATCCCGTCGGGGAGGTCTAGGCCTCCAGTATAATAGGTGAAGCGGTTTTGGAAGACTGTACCACCAATGGGAACCCCAATGCACATACCAAATGTGCGCATGAATGTGTATAGTCCAGCTGCATAACCAGCATCAGGAGAGTCCGCAAATGCTTGAACGCAGACGCTGAGAGCACTAAAATTGAAACCATGACCAACTCCGACCGCAGCAAAGATCAGAACCCAGCCGTATGTTCTGATACTGGTGTCGAGAAGCAAGAGCAGAGACGTGGCTATAATCGTGGTCAACCAACCAGACCAGATGGCCCAACGGAAATGTCCGTATCTTGATATCATAGCACCGGTCACAGCGCTCGTTGGTAGGACGACGGCCGATATAGGCATCAAGCCAACTCCGGCCAGAGTAGGGGAGAGACTTTGCACTGATTCAAGGTAGATTGGAATGTAATACAATTCACAAAAGAGCTGAATAAGCGGTGTTAGATATTGAAAATTAAACCGGAAAGGCGGATTCTAACCATTAAGCCCTGTAAGAAAATACAGATATATGCCGCAATGGCAGAACTGCTCTTGAAAAGCTGGACGCGGAGAAAGGGTTGGGAGGCGACAGAGTTCTCCCAATAAAATGATGCGACTAATCCAATAATTCCGGCGATAATAGGTACCAGGGTATGCCAGCTGTCCCAAGGGAATTCAGTACCACCCCAAGTTAGGCCGATCAGAACACTGCAGGTGCTGGCAATAAACAAGGTAGCCCCAGCAAAGTCAATCCGGCGGAATTTGTCTTTAAGTGGTGTCTGTTCTGTATGAAGCTTCAGCGAGAAAAACACCAATGCCAAACCCACCCCACAGAATGGAAAGTTGATGTAAAAGGCCCATCGCCAAGTACTATATTGTTCGAACAAGCCGCCGATCAATGGACCTGTAATGGTCCCTAGCGCCCCAGCCAGACTGATCATCGCAAGATACAACGGTCGCTGTCTGAGAGGAATGATATCAGATAAGACGACGTAACATCCTGACATTGAACCCGCCCCACCAATTCCTTGGGCCACACGACCTGTGAGCAGCTGAGGGAAACCGTCCGCAAGGCAGCATACTAATGTTCCCACCGTGAATAGCAGAAGAGAGAGAAATAAAATTGGACGACGACCAAACAAGTCTGATAATGAAGTAATAAAGGGCTGGAAGACTGCGCAGGGGACAAGATACGCGGTTCCGGTCCAAAAGGTGTCGACGGCAGTTCCATCTAAAGATCGCGAGAGGCCCTTCTTACAGTTAGTTTGGGCGATTTTATTATCGGACCGAGTCATACGTACCGGCAGAAGAGGGACCAAGATCGTAGCATCGAGTGCAACAACTATAGCAATAATGCAACAGCAAGTGATAATGAGCCATTCCCTATGACCTGGTTTCCACAGGCTCTCCTGGATGCTGGCTTTGACAGCGTTTGGATCGGTTTCTTGAAGAACATGGAATCGATTCGCAGTGCTCATTGTTTCCCCTTCATCGTGAGGCATTTCAAACGTATTTTGCAGTTGTTCTGTACTCCAAAATTTGAGGTTGAATTCAGGTGAGATGGTGAAGTCCCAACGATCTAAACCAGGTAATTCTATCTCACGGGGATGAGTATAGCATGAAGTCCGAGTCCCGAATGGTGAGCCATTAAAAGCTAATCACACATACCCACCGTCTGGAGATTATATCGGCCCAAAATACGGTCTGATAGTAGATCTGCAAAATGAACGGGAGATATTGGATCCGAATTGTGCCAGGATGGTCAATATTTCCAATCCCTTGGGGCCACAGCAATGGCAGATATGTGTTAAGCTTTTGTCGCAATAGCAAGGTTTTCTTCACCGCTCCCTTTTTCCCGGTCATCGCGCGTTCGAATTAATTAGTAGGAACTACGGAGTAGACAGACAGAGAAGCGGAAAGGATCTCCACACTCGTCTTTCACCCACCTGGTTACGGAGTACACTGACAGGGATCGACAAAATGGATCAACACGGCTGAATGTCAGTGGGTCTCTTTAGTCCGACTAGTGGTTGAGTTGCGTCCGACTAGTGGTTGAGTTGGGTTCCACTTACTGCAATGGGCTTTAGCTCCCAGCGGGTCAAGTCACTACCTCTAGAGTGTCTGGCATGTAGAATTTGGGCGACCCAGAAGGAGCGCTATCGTATTGTGATAACTCTTCCATAGAGAGGACACAACAAAGCATATGTGATAAACCACGTCTATCACCTTAAAGATTTTCGCCTGAAATCAGAATACCTTGTAATTAGGCTCTAGTCAGGTAGCACGAGAAGTGGAGTGTCCAGGTTTTGCATGCCAGACACTGTAACCAATCTGCCGAAGTGTCCCGTCAAAGATTTCAATGTTGGCAGGTGGTAACGACTCCCCATGTATCAACCTTGGAATGATGAAGTTTTCTATTGTTCTATCTAATCCTCCAAGTTCTTTATTCATATTGAAGTCAAATTCATCTTGTCTATCTCAATATTCACCAAAGCTTTTCGAAATGATCATAGCTTCTCAATTACCCGCCTGGTTTCTTCCAGTCACTCAGTGGATGCTGATTCAAGTGATAGTCGGCTTAGTTGCAACATTCACACCCTCTCGGTCACGAATCCGAGAAGCTGCCCTTGTTACAGCTGTAGCTCTGGCATACTCTGTCCAATGTGTTGTTGATAAAGCATTTACGAGTGCCAAAGTGGCGGGACTCGTCGCCGCATTGTGCTGGGCGAATATCTTCAATGCGGTAGATATTCTGCTTTTGAGTCGTGTCAACTATGCTGAACAGCTCGATTGGGAGCGAGGAAGACCCGAAGAGAGATTGAAACAGTCCCCCACAATTTTGGAGGTCGGATCCTCTTGGAGAAAGCTGGCCTGGGCTTTGGAACTGCCATTCAACCTTCGGAGAGTTGACACACCGTGGCAAATCAACAAATTTCCCACTTTTCAAAGAGGTAACCACTCATATACCCCTTCCCGATTGAAATTCCTCCGAGACCGAGGCTCAATCCTATGCCTGGCACTACTCGCCATGAGGTTCCTTAACCGTCGGGAAAATGACCAAGAGCTACTTGGAATGATATCTTTGGAAAGACAAAGTTTTCTCAATCAAGGAATGCAAATCTCCACGCGAGCAGTGTTATCTCAGGCATCTCTTGTCGTGTCCTACTGGATTAATATGCGGGCTGGTCATCAATTGATCTATGCCTTTTGCAGCTTCATTTCAGTGGCACTGGGCATACATGAGCCTGCCTCATGGCCGCCCCTCGGAGGTTCCCTACTGGAGGCATGGTCGCTTCGACAATTCTGGGGGTATGTTTATTTTCTTTCCCAAAATATCTGAGCCGGTAGCTAACATCCTTTGGAGATGCACATGGCACCAGGGTTTTCGAAAGCTATTGAGCTCAAATGCAGAATTCATAACTTTCTCGCTTCTGCGGATTCCTCGCGGCACTCTCTGGGCCCGTTATTCTTGCTTGATGCTGATATTCCTGTTATCTGGTGTTATTCATGTCCTGATGGACCTTGCGCGAGCGATTCCAGTGGCCAATAGTGGCAGCATGCCATTTTTCACCTTCCAAGCTCTCGGGATCATGGCAGAAGATCTCATCATCTACATCGGGAGCATGCTGACTGGTGGACATGATGTGTGGTGGAAAAGAATAGTTGGGTACATTTGGGTTGCTGTTTTTATCTTCTTTTCAACACCTATGTATTCTTATCCTATATGCCGTGGACTATATCATGGTGGAGAGCGGGTGCCCTCCTTCTACCTATAGCTAGTCTGTTAACATTTGAAGGTGGGCTATAGCAGGTCTTAGTTCTGACATTCAACCTCCTTCCACGTTTTCAATGGTGCGATAGATCAGGTTAGGGGCGGCATGGCGGACGCACTTTGTGATGTTGATTTTTTCAAATATTCGCAACTTCTTTGGTTTTTCCGATTTCATTACATCTTCGTATGAAGTATTTCAGGTTTGATCCATCGTCTAGTCTCTGGCACGCAGGGTTTGGGCAGTCCACTTCTCATGCTAACTGCATGTGGCCAAAGCCCCGCTGTAAGGTATTCTAAGTTCAGGCGAAAATCTTCAACGTGGTAGATGTGGCTTATCACATATGAATTGTGGCGCTCTGTCTACGTATAAATTACCACAAAACGATAGCGCTCCTTGTGGGTCGCACAAATTACATGTATGGATGTCCAGGTGCCAGACACTGTACGGAGTATTCTGCAAGCCATGACGACGGCAGATATGAGTCACATTCCATATCCCTGTGAGATCAATCGATGGAGACTAGACACGAGCTGAAGCATCCACTCGCTTGTCTGTCTTTCATCTCTCACCGACTAGGATCGACTTAGATCGACGAGGCTACCCAGGTGGATGTGTTCCTTTAGTCCCACCACAGCCTGACTTTAGTCCAGCTTGCTCCTGGGCTGTACGGAGTTTTGGGCACTCCCGTAGGATAAGCCCCACCGTAAGAAACATAGTGCGTGCTGAAAATAGGCCGGTAATATCCAGTTTCAGCATGGACCTGGATAGTCCTCGGAACTTGAATTCTTTTTGTTACTGGAACCACAGGATTTGCCTTCATCCATTAGGTCTATTCAAGTTTCTACGGTCATGTGATTTAAGGTTTATCCTCCAGTCCCTAGGTAGAAAGCATCAACACACACTGGCATGTGCTTGGTTGATGAAGGTAGCTTCAAGTGGCAAAAGGATAAAAGAATCAACGAAATTAACAAATTGATACGCATTTGAACACAGTACTAGTCAGAAGAACTCTTAGTAACGCACCCGCTAGTGCACATCAAAGTTTTTTGATATTCAAATAGTATATGCACTGTGGATCAGTCAATTTCAAACTAAGGCCTTGGAATGGAGCATAAGGTTTGATCCAGAATCAGCACTTGAGGAGTTCTTCTTGCAATGGTGCGTTCAAGGAAGTTTCTCTCCCGCTATATCTTTTATTCGAGGCCACATGAATCAGCTGCAAATTCCTTACGGGCATTCCTGAAGTACCGCTCGAAGATATATTCTGCGGTCACTGCACCATGGATCATCATGATACGAAAGAGTCTCCTTTCATTGGGAGTAGAGCTAACGTTTTGATGCTTCACGGTTAGCTATTCCGCCAGTGAGATAATTATTCGATCTCTACAGAGCACTGACAGAATGAATTGAACAGGACATGGGCAATCAGGCAGAACTTTCCAAATCAAAACTCGCTTTTTATTGAAGCCCCTTCGAGAGGCAATCTCAGGAGCTCTGTCCGGCGTGAATGATCAGTTATTACCTCCAGGCAATATCGAATTCTTCTACCCAGACGGGACATTACCAGCCCAGATACCCGAGACTCATGAGCACATAATCTCTGAGTCAGAACCCAAAGAGGATGATGAGATCCTTGATCAATGGACCTGGGCCTATGGTGATCATAGAGGTGAAAAAATCATTGGTTTTGAAGAATCGATTCAATATGTTCTAGACCTACTCCATAAGCACGGTCCATTCATCGGAATCATTGGATTCTCAACAGGTGCAGCTCTTGCTGCCATTACCGCTTCATTATTGGAACAGGACCGGCGAGTCAGGAATAGCTGCTTTGAGGTGAGTGTGTAACCTATATCAAGTTCAGTTAAATAGACAGCTTACAGACTGACCATATTGACTGATGTTGTGATCTCAGGTTCGGCACCCACCTTTACACTTCGCAGTCTGCTACAGTGGATTCAAGCTCTCGCATAAGAAGTACAGATCTCTTTACTATCCGAAAATAGAAACACCGATACTGCATTATATCGGCACTCTTGACTCGTGGATTTCTGAGTCCCAGACATTAAAGCTTGCAAAAAGATGTCGTTATGTCAAAATTGCATATTTCATGGGTACTCATTTTGTTCCACGAAGCAGAGGAATGCTTGAGATCCTGGTCCATTTTGTGACTGAGTCTTGCGGTGGTCGTGAAGATGAAAGCATAGAAAGTCTTGAAAGTGACTGGGTGGATATCTAGTATCGGACTTCGTGGCTTCATGTCTTAATTCCTTTGTTACTTTTATGATATTTTTCGTTTTGTCTTGAAGAAATTTTGCGATAGTTTTACATAGTCTATCGGCTAGATTTTTGTATCTGAGCAATGACTAAAATTGAGATGTCCCTACTAATATGGGTATGATGATATTTGACAGCAACGGTATAATAGCTCCATAATAAAGATTTTCAAAGGTATGGTGAAGTATTTCTCTGCAATCTGAAAGTGCTAGCTAGGTTGCTTCAAGATATAGAATATCATCATCATCATCATTAGCACTGGCATGACCTGACCTAATGAGCCTCATTGAGTTTATGGTTCCAGCACCTCCTTTTAGTTCAAAATATATCTCCTATGGCTACTTGAACTAACATTTGAATTCTGGCTGAGTCCAGGGGGTTTGTAGACCAACCTCCATTGATCACTCTCAGTTGGTTGCCTCTTCCGGAAAACTATCCGATACAAGCTTCAAACCACTACTATGACTTATAAGTACTATATACAGTCAGTAGAACCCTTAGATGCTTAAATACTATATAAATCAGCTTATGTAGATATAGCCTAGGTAATCTGGATGTCTGATTAAGGTATCTGTATGGCATACCTGTGACGGACTAAAGCAGGACTTAAATTCAGAACAAGCTATGTCAGACGTACTGTCTAGAATAACATGAGGAATAGAGAAACACAGGGGGCAGCGGAGGTATATAAGGGCACGTGTACTACACGTGATCAGGCAGCGGGCGCAGGCCCGTGACAATACCCAAGGATATAATCAATCTATAACTAATATTTAAAAACTTAAATAATCCTCAAGACAATTAGCTTTAGATTACTATTAATTTGAAAGTTACTTTCAAATATCATCAGGAATAAGTCAAATTTCATAGCAAATCAACTCCCAATCAGGAGAGATCAAACTAACAGGAGGCTCCGATCTAAGAGCTTACAGTAGTAATAACCGGAACAAAACATTAAACAACCTGCGCTCATCTAGATATATTAAAAGTTAGAGGTTAAGTCAGAACTGAGTCAACTACTACACTTTGTATGTAGCTCCTACATAGAAGGCACAAATCGGAAATTGATGGACTGATGGTGGGCCCCAAAACCTTAAAAATGAGTTGCGGCGCGTCCCGCCCCGGCCCAAAACCAAATCCATCTAAGCGCAAGAAGTTGAAATCAGGGCGTGAAATTATATTCTAAATTACTTCTTCAAAATATGAAGATTATAAACAATATAAGAATAATTTAATATTTCAAAATAAGATGTGTAGAGATAACAGTGTATTATGTATTTAAAGTGCATAATATCTCTATACAGATCTCAAAGAACCCGGTTATAACGCAACATGCTTGACTGGTCCCTCCTCGGGCACCTATTGCAACACTCTGTTTTAGAATGCGATTTCCAACGGCACTGCTAGTATCAAATGCAGCACATGCTATTTGAATTACATATCAACTATAGTTAATTCCGAATGGGGTCAGGATACGTCGCTCAGTCCATCTGCCCGGGAGACTCAAGTATCATCTTGCTCGACCAGCGGATATTCCGTAACTTATACACCAACCGTCACTACCACCTCAACAGCCTCTGCCTCCGGCATTGTTGTTGCTAGTCGCTGCAACACCACTGACCCCGATCAAACTGTCTACAAGGTTGAGTCCGGAGAAACCTGCGTTTCTATCTCAGAAGCTCAAAACGTCTCCACCTCAGCCTTGATCAACCTGAACAGTCTTGATATGTGGTGTACACACATAATGGTTGGGTTAGAAATATGTCTTCCCGATGTGTGTGAAGTCTATCGTGTTCAAGAGGCGGATACCATCGACAACATTGTTGCTGGATTCTCCCGTCAAGTCTCCGTGCCTCAGTTTGTTGCATGGAATGCGAATCTGAACTCAATGCCGAGCTCGGAGAATCTAACTTCCATTTCTGGGAGGTACATCTGCGTAAGTCCGCCGGGTACGCTGACACTTCCTGATACCCTGGCTCTGAGGCCCGCAACAACAGCTGTGTATGTTTTCCACTCGCATATCCTTCGCAGGTGAAAAGCCTAATCTGATATACAGATCTGTTCCTACCGATGCGGTTACAAGCTCCAACAAGGACTGTGGCCACTGGTACCAGATTCAATCCGGTGATACTTGCCAGTCTGTGTGCGAAAAGTTCAGCATATCCATAGATAAATTCGATTTCTTGAATCCCCAAGCTGCGCAAAAAACGACCTCGCTTGTGGGAGTTTGTGGAAAGGGAACAGCTACGTACGTCTCATTTCACGAAAAACACACCATCATTCTCCCAGACTAACACATCCAACATAGTGCGTACAAGCAGTGGGTAACATTGATACCTACACAAGCTATACATCCAACTCCACCAAGACTCGCACCACTCTCGCCAGCACCATCAATATCAATTCTACCCGCACGGCAAATCATAGCACTACACATCTGTTCTGGTCTTTCCCCACCGATCTGACCACAACCTCGACCTGGACCCCCGACTCCGCATTGCTCGCATCCCTTGCTTCCTACACGCTCTGCGGCCAGGTAAACTCGGTGTACAACATCACCGATGGCAATCTGACAGAGGAGATGTACGAAGGCGAACAATGGCTGAGCGAATACGAACGCGTCTGCTACCTTCGTTCGCCGACACGACGAACCAGTGGAAGATGTGACCGTCGCCTCTCGTGCATGGAGATTCTTTGTCCGTGAAAGTGGGTTGACGGTGAAGGCGTCGCCATGGATGAACAGAGAAGAGCTCTAATTGAGCGATGGGCAACTGCAGACCAGGCATTCCGCGATGTAAACTCAGATTATTTCCAAGTGGTTGGATGAATTCCTACTTTTTTGCTAACAGTGAGATGGAGCTATGAATCCCGAGCACCAGGAAATGAGCGTGAATTTGAAGAGCCCGAAGATGTATGAAATTACCCCTCTATCATTCAAGACATAAGTCTAAAAGCACTAGGACGCATGCCTCGTTGAATTGGATTCCAGAGTCGACGATGTCCACATCTGTATCACAAAGTGGACACCCGAGACACAAGCCCTGCTTGCAAAGTGTCTCCTCGCCATATTCGGATGGGATGGTGGCAACGAATACCTCTCCTGGCGAATGTCGATGTATTATCCCTTGATGATAACCAAGGCGATATCCTTGAAACATTCAAATTCCGACAGAGTGTCGCCCGACCCGATTTTTTGGATATGTACATGACTGTTGAAGGAACTCTGCTCTTCTCGGAGTGCGAGCCAAAAGTGATTATTGACGACCGTACTCTTGAGACGGGACTTTGTCTCTGGGTCCAATATCAGAACAATGGAAGACGGGAGAGAGCGTGGCGAGCTCAGATGTTTATGATGGAATTTCCGGACAATTTTCGCGCAGTCCATCCTAATATGGAGCCGTTGGATGGGGTACTGATATACATGGAGCCTGAGGAACTCGGAGATGAAGATCCAGACCCGGAGGTCATTTTAGAAGATGAGCCGTCAGTAATTCCACTCCTGGTGCTGGTAGTGGGGGGTGGTCCTATTAAGATGATAGGGTTGATATGCAACGTCCGTTCGTGGAAATCTACCCGAGCCACAGACGAGATGATGTAGATCGGTATGCGCCTGGATTCCGTGAGACGGAAGCTGCAGGTAATGGCTTGGCGATTGGATATGCTTTGGAGCGAATACTTGCAGATAATGGAGCCCCATTGAGGATTAACGAAGGATAGGTTGATAGCCAACAATGTTCGCCAGTATGAGATATGTAACGTCGTGATTCTTGCTTGATTATCCCATTGAAATAGTCCTAACTTGAGAGAGTACGTAGGTCCCTGTACGTACTGGAAATACAATTACACACTCACATCCACCCTGTAAGGTTGGTAATTAAGCTTGACCATCTAAAGGATTATAAGCCAGAGAAAATAGATCCTATCAAAGAGGGTTTATAGTGATTAGAGCTACATGTATATCTAAGATACTATGACGGAGAATAGTACTGTGAAGATAGGTTTGAATGGGTATTATGTTGGTAGTACCTAGTGAAGAGGGGAACCGTTAGGCAGTGTATTCTAGATACACGGGTCGATCCAGCTAGCATGAATGGATAACACCAACCAACATGTACGTTGTGTAGGAGTGTGTATTCTAGACTATAACGACGGGCATTCTTGTACGTACAAAGACGGGACTGAAAACATGACAAAACAGAGATGTAACCAAACGGTAATTCTTAGCACGGTACGTGTAGTAGGGGACAGGGTACCCCACTACACTAGGTAATTATTGAAGGAAGACCTTGGATGGATCCATGGATGGTTAATTGGCAGAATCTTACCGCCTAAAGTATGTACTTAAGGTTTTCTTAATATTTTCATAATTCACTTTTAGTACTGAGTACTCCAAGAACTAAGCACATCTTTCAGACTGATTCTACACAACCTTAGAAATATCTATAAATCTAAGGTAACTCAATAGAACCCAAAAAATAACATATACATCCAGCTCAGTTTGTGTATGAGCTTGTAAGTTTACGGTACAGTTCCCGTCGCATGTCGTGGGGCACCACTGCACCAGGGGCAAATGAATGTCGAAGCTGAGTGGAAAATGAGAAGAAAAATAAAATAAAATAGAATAAAAGAATTACAAACCAAAAAGTGCGGGAAATAAACTGATGCAATTCAAATAATAGTGCGATCTACTTCGCCTATAAATCCTTGCTGGTCGAAGCATAATCCTGTCCTTCGAGGAGTTTGACTTCCCCCCCCCCTTCCTTTTCCTCAACATTGAACTTCATTTTCCCCACTTGTCACTGCACGCAGTACCAGCGCCACTGGCACCACTGCCCGTACTATTTCCTAATGGCGGCTACCGAACATTCTGGTAACAGCCTTATGAGCCAATACTCTATCGTTTTACCGAAAAGGCAGGCAACTGACTCTTCCGGCAAACCTATACCTGCATGCGACCCCGATCAATGTGCTGCGGCAATAAAGGGGGAGGGAGTCCCCGTTGATCTAAGCTCGTTTTGGCATCGGAGAGCAGTCATTCGTGGGATTCGTGATTCACTTCAATTTGCAACAAGCCCGGCAATTATTGAGCTATGCTCCCGCGACGATGGTCAGGCCCATCAATTTTCCCGCGCCCACAATGCTCGCCTGATAATGAGTGATATAATCCCCGATATGCAAAATCCTGCCACTCAGCCGTACTGTATATGGTATCCCGAGCTTGCATCAGAAGAAACATATCGCAAAGTTGCCCGTCAGTATCTGTCTATGCGGTATCAAGTAGGCCGAGCGTGTGCTGCAGCATGCTATACAGATCTTTACAAAGAATTGGACCTTTTGCCTGACGTTTCTATTGCGGAAGAATCCCGCGAAGTTGACAAAGACGCCGAAATCTACAAGATTATCATGTCCGCCCTCCAACGATATGTTGTCATGGAAGATTTCTCTCGATCCGTTCATCTTGAAACCCCACGAACACCTGCGTTTCTGAATGGCGATATGAAGCCCCGATGGGCTTTGGGGCAGCGAGTTCACCCTGGTAAAAATTTACCAGAGACGACTGCTGATGATATTGACATCGAGGAAGATGGATTTATCGGCTTGCAAGATATCAGCTTGAAGGATATCAGCGGAGTGGAGGACTACGCTAAACTGGGCCCAGGCCAGTCCAGTCAATTGTGGATGCCTCTTCCGCCTGATCTCCCAGTTCTCAAAAAGAGCCTTCAGACACAGATGGCCGCGTGGGAGGGCAATGTGGATCGATACAGTCGACTAATGCACCCACGCAGGCTGAGAACCAAAATTGAATACAATTGTGGTCTTCGTGGCATTTATCACAGTACAACCTTCGTCAGATGGTGGGCCTATCAGCTGGAAACAAACCCTGAACGGGCTATCCTCCCAGGTAAATTGCTTGGCCAAGACAATGAACGGGAGTGCAGAGAGATTCGCACTGCGATTAATGCCCGCATGATAATGAACAATGATATCTCTGGTATCGACGATGACTCGGACTGCCTCCCGTGGGTTATATGGGGGCCCGTGAAGCCCTCTGAGAAAACTTTAACTGATCTGGTTCGAAAGTGTCCGTCCATGGGACACCAAATTGCGATCACTTGTATAATATGTGATTACGAGTCGATATTCCGAAGTTTGAAGCCCCCCCTAGACCAAATCCTTGTATGTGGCTGCCAGGCGAAGTGAAAATCCATGCTACCTAAATACCTTGAGGAAATCATGAAGGAGCACGACATTACCCCCCCCCCCCCGGACTTTCACGACTTCAAGGACTTTAATTACACTGCACCAGGCTTACAGACTGATCTGGAGCCTAGAGATACTCTCACTGATCACACTGTCAGCTACTATGACATGGAGATCGGATATGGACAATATCCCTGTGGAAGTGAACACGAAGAAACTCCAGGTACATGTGGAGGCGGGCTAGCGAAGGCGGGAAGGGTGGAGAAATACATGTGGGTCTCAACTGAAACTGCACAGAAGTCAAAAGATGAACTTGAGGGGCTCTACGAAGGTGCGGATACTGGTCTTTTGTATGGCGATGATGAACTTCATTCCAAGCTTTCACGCCGTATACAGCCCATGGATTGGTAGTATGAAAAATAAAAAACATACAACAGTCAGGATTCGCATGTGGTCACCCACCATACTACTAACTGACCGGCGTGTGGCTTAAGTACGGCTGAGCGGACGGGAAGCCCTGTTCTCCACACCCTGTGGTCGTATGTACTTGAAACCTACAAATAGTAGGTTATATAGAGCAAAGTAGAAGAAATGAAAGTGTATTGTTCGACTGAGGTTCAAGGTTGAGGTACTGGCGAGGAGTGTGTGATCATGATGTATATGTATGTGGATTTGGCAGCTGTTTCTCTTGTGGCGGCCCCGGGGTGCTACGCAGATTTCTGTTGAATATGCGAGTAAGTATTCAGTGGTATTTAGGTAGCCTCCAGCCCTTGGAAGATATGTATCCAAGACCCCTCTGGAAGGCTCTTTGACCGCATTCTGTGAGTTGATCTGCGCTTCGTTTCTTGCCCGATATGCTCGCGGTTCATGTGCCCTGCATGATAATCCAAGGGGTCTTGGCCGCTGCCTCCTTATCCTCAGCTTTCTTGGTCTCATGAGAAGGAAGAGTCGCGAAGGGGATCAAAAGGGCAAGGACTATAGTGAGTGCGATACCGGCCAGGGCGAAGGCAAAGGCAGCCTTGATCCCAACCATATATGCGTCTCGAATCAAAGCCAGCTGCTCCTCTTTGTGAACATTTGTGAGTCCTGACACTCCAATGTACAAGATCTCTGCCGAATCGATTTGAGGAGCAGTTCGTGCCAAAGTTTGCAGCAGGTAGTTGTCGAAGATAGCATAGAATTGGCAGCCGAGAAAAGCAGGCCCGCTGATAGATTGGGCCGGTGGAGAGGAGATTAGCGGCGGTCACCAATGCGAATGGGATTTGTGAGAACTCACTGAAAGCTACTCCCATCGTCGCGAAACCCTGCAACGCCGTCACCAGAACATGGTTTCCTAGACCGATTCCAAGCCCAAAAGTAATCTGAGCGCCAATATACCACGCCTTCGGGGTGTTGACATCGGCAGCTAGAATTGAGGTTGATACTTTTCAGGATCCGGACTTGGCTTTCTTCAACAACCTGATCAGAGGCACTGGAGAAGATGGACAAGGCGGCACAGAATGGCCTGCGGCATGAGGAAACGCAACATTCGTGCCGTCTGCATGTAGACATAGCCTATTCGAAGTCTGCAGATACTCCCCCTTCCGCCGGACTCATCCATATGAACGTTTCCAGCAATTCGTCAGATTAAAGCGACAAGAGAAGATCAAACAAATCCAAAAGGAACAAAAATGCAAAAACATACAACAGCCCTGGATGTGTAAGTTGGTGATCACCTAGCGCCCACGGCAGATTCGTTGACGGCTCGCCGCTCTATTCAGGACTCTTTAGGGCTGTCCAGGCATCTGAGATATTCACCGACTTGAATATTCTTCGTCCGAATGCTCAGCCTGTGCATCAAAAACTATATTTGCACCGTGATATGCTATTGGGTCGTCAAAGCTGTAGGTGGCTTCCAAATCAAGTTGAAGTTATTGTTAAAAATCGGTACGAACCTTAGAAATTTAGCCTAGAGTTATAAGCTCCCATTTCTTTGGACAGGGGTCCCAAGCTAGAAAATCAACCTAAACCAGCCCCCTTCGATAAGCAATATCTTTGCACCACTTAGTTCCAAGGTTGGAATGACCTCGGATCAAGCAGTACACGAACCAAGGTTGGAAATGGTGTAGCCAGTTGAGAAATAAACAAAGTTCCATTATAGAAATATTTATCGTAGTAAGAATAAGTAAGACCTCTCTCTTAGCATTCGACACTGATCAAACCTAGCTGGTAACCCACATCGGTGGTGCCTGGGACAAACTCAAACGAGAGCTCCGAGGACGAGGAATCAGCCTGGTATGTAAATGTCTCCTTAACCCAGACAGCGAGATCACTACCAGTTTCCGTATATGTTTTGCTTTCGGATCCAATCGTGACAATAAACGACGCGGTTGAACTACCGTCTCTCCACCAAAATGATACGGTGTATGTAGCTCCCGAGACAGTGGCAATTGACTGTGAGATCGTATACTTCTGCGGGCTGACTCCAACATAATAAAACGCATAGGCAGTACCAATGGATGAGCCGGCGACATACGATATTGTGTTCCCGCTTCCTGAGGCCGTCCAATCAACAAGAGATTCAGCTGCAAAATCTGGATTCTGCACGAGGTTGACGCCACAGGTCGCAGTTGCGATCGCGGTCACGGTTGTGGTCACCAAAGTTGTTTCCGTGGCAGTGGCGACTATGACCGAAGACACTACTTCCTCATCGGTAATAGAGACGGTGCTAATGACTGTGGTTTCGACGGTAGTGGGCACGGTCACAGTCACAGATGAGGTGGATGTGACAGTCAGAATATCAGTGATGTCTAGGGTGGTCGATAGTGTAGTGGAAGCGGTGATATCTGCAGTGACTGCAGTAGTCTCATCCTGAGTCACTGTGATAGTCTCACTATTTATGAGCGTCGTGGAGACCTCGCTGGTCGCAGTCAAAGTCTGGTCTGTTGTGACATCTTCAGTCACAACCGTTGTTGCCAACGCAGTGATATCAACAGTGGTGGAGTCAGTGACTGTGGTGATATCATCTACTGTGGCGGTGGCTGTAAGAGTGTTTGTTTCAAGCAAAGAAACATCCACGTAACTTGTAGAGAGGATATGTAGAGTTGTGGTGGAAGGGTCTGTCACGATGTCGGTCACAGTTACTGTATGTTTACTAGTGGGGGCAGTGATGGTCTCCCAGGTAGTAATAAACTTGGTAACAGCAAAAGGGTGGGTGGTCTTTGTTTCAGTTCTGGTAAAGAACTCCGTAGACGTCTCAGGATGGAGGTCTAGCTCGGAGCAGGCACGGGATAATTCCTCAGGTAAATAGGTAGCCAAGGCCTCGGGAGTAGAGATTTCAGTAGGTTCTGTGCGATCTCGCTTGGCGACAGCGACAGAGACAAGCGTAGTAATTGTTGCTGTTGTTTGCTCAGTAAGGACAGTGGTGGTAGTTGAAGTAATGAAGGATGTGCTGATCGAGGTAGTCACGTCTGTAAATGTTTCCTGAGCGGTTTGAGTGGCAGTAGAGATAGCGGTTTGGGTCGCGGTAACATCCTCAATATCTGTGGTATAGATAGTGTCCGTAAAGGGTACAATATCGGTCTCGGCGTAGTAGTTGGTGTACAACTGGGTGGATATATCCGTTACTGTGTCGAAAATAGAGTCTGTTGCAAAGATTGTAGAGTACTCAGTAGCAGTACTCGTAAAGGACTGGGTGATAGTTTCGGTGGTAAAATCCGTAACCGTGGCGGTAGTCAAGTATGTCAGTGTGTCTGTTGCCACGCTGGTTGAATCGACTACGATGGTCTCGGTAGTAGCATCAGTCAGAGCAACAGTGGCAACCACGTCGGTAACAGTCACTGTCTGGACATCGGTGAGGGTCGATAGAGAGTGATCAATGTTGGTGATGGTCACGTAGGCAGTCTCTGCCCGCGGAGTGGACGTGAATTTGGATGTGATCAACTCAGTTACGGTCCTGGCGGGATCCACGACTGTCCTAGTTTTCAATTCAGTGATGGACCTCACATCGCAAGAGATTTGGAGGAGGTCTCGGCAGAAAGCATCTCCGTGAGGTAGCCAATAGAGAAGGTCGACCAGATCATCTTCCAAACAGTCGTTCTCATCTTCGACGATGGGATCGGGCGTAGGAATAGCCGTGGTAATGGCAACCAATGCGAGGAGGAAATAGAGGCGCACCATGATGCCTGTAAACGAGTGAATGGGTGCTCCAACCTCTTTCCCTTGATTAAGAAAAGGGCCTGAAACGAATGACTTAATAGCTGGCTAGCCATTCTCAAGAGGATTTCCGAGACCTTCATATAATAACCTCCTAATATCAAGACTAATTTTCAGGGGGACAGTGATTTCGCTTATATCGGGTAAAATGTCTACATAGGTGCTTTGTCTCTAGGGCTAGCGGCGAGAATTGCTTGTAAAACAGGGTCAAAGAAGCTAATTTTGCCTTCAATATTATAATTTACGGCCTAGCCCCGAGTGGCGCCGGCTACTTTTGCCCGAGGGGATTCACGCTTTCTCTTGTGGGGCCGCTGCTACGGCCAAGTCCGTCAAGAAAGTCAACTTCAAATGTTCAAATTTTCAATAGTTATAGAAGCGATAACTTTGGTAGGCTGTGATTTAAGAATTTTTTAACGACGCGAGTGGTATCTATTGATAGATCTATGGTAATGAATAAGCTTCAAGTTAGAATCATCAAGGGCCACAGCTGGTGGCTGAGCGGCTCTACATGTAGCTTATTTTAGATATTCACTTTGAGATGCTTACTCCGTACTAGTGAAGGGTTCATAGGTGTATGGTTCGGTCGGAAAATTGATACTAACTCGTTATTTGATATAACGCCACGAACAGGAGACGCTATTGCATGAACCAATGGGGGTAGCAGGCTGAGAGTGGCAGTGAGGCCCTTGGGCTGGTTTAAAGCTGAGGAGTAAATGTGGGTACTAATAGCGAGAGACTCACATAACAATTTCGACATTTAAAAGTGGATGTGGCTGACCCAAATGAGCATGACTTTGATCGATTGGTGATGTTTTGATCATGGTAGGCCCTTTGAGCGAGCTTTTTAGGGGCATATCCAAAAGAAAATTGTCTATACTTTACCTGCATGCTTGTTTGTTTTCATATGCTAAAGTAGTAAATTTGAGCACTCGAGGAATGCACATGTGAATGTTTGAATTGGAACGAGTCACTGGATTTCTCCACATTGAATATTGCCTCTTTGAGGGCCGGGGCCTTATGATGAATCCGAGATGGCCGAAAGTCCATGGATACCGGACATTGGATCTGATGGAAGATTTGGTCTTTTCAAGATCAACCTTGCACATGTGGCGGTTCATTAATATCGCGAGAGAAAGCTGTTTTTCAAAACCAATGCAGATTATAGTTTCAAACAATCAATTCGAACCTTTTTTGGGAATCCCGTCATGCGTTGCAATTAAGCCAACCGAGCTGGAGGCCACTCAATTCCCTTCCAACTTCATCCGAACGAAATAAACAAAAATTAAAAATGCAAAAACATACAACAGTCAGGATTCGCATGTGGTCACCCACCATACTACTAACTGACCGGCGTGTGGCTTAAGTACGGCTGAGCGGACGGGAAGCCCTGTTCTCCACACCCTATGGTCGTATGTGCTTGAAGAATGTAGATAGAAGGCTATGTGGAGTAATCGAAGAATATACCAACATAATATTTGAAGATCATGGATCCATTGATGTACTTCGCGACTCCTTCTCGAAATATTTTATTCTTTCAAATTTTCTTGGCTCGCTCATGATTTATATCGCACGGTACGCTCTGTCCACCGGTGTCGTTGAATGATAGAGGTTAACTGCTGGCATTCTGGGATATCATTCCAAGGTTAAACAAGGGGAAAGCAAAGGGAAGGAATCTTGCAAATATATTTTCAAGACAAGACAGTATAGACATCTGGATCATCGCATCCCGAGGTCGATACTCATAGACGGTCTTGATGCCTCTTTGGGAGCTGAAACATTTGGAAACCAAAATCTTTTTCGGCATCTGAAACTTCCCACATGTTCAACACTTTTCCCGTGATATCTAGTTGATAAATAGTAGCACCCAAGAGTTTATCTCGTTCCACATGATTGTGGCACCATGCTCTAGTAAAGGGGCAGATCCACCAACCAAGCTCTTCGAGCAAAAATGGGTCCATAATCTCTGCGAATCTCGGTATGTTCTTTTTGACTAGAACTTGAAGAATAATACCACCAGAATATCGCAGAAACTCTGGCTTAAAGCCTGGAAGACTTACCACACAGCGATCTAATGGACTGAGTTGTACAAACTGGAAGGTCACCTTGCCAGCCTGTTTCATGCGAAAGAATTCATGGAACATCCATTTGCTCTCTTCGAGAACCTCCAAAGATAGATTGAGTTGTTGTCTCATTAGCGCGATTGCCTCGCTCTCAATGGTTTTTTTCCTTCATTTGCCTGAGGTATTCGAGCATATCATGATAAATCTCTGGCCTGAACGCCCCAGGCTGTGAGCCAGATGGTGCATGAAGGAGCAAATCGCTCATCTGCTTTCGCTGCGTGAGCGGAGGAACATATTGCGCCATCTGTTTATCAACCAAAGTCAAAGTCTCTTATATTGTTCGATCAAAGCGCTCTTCTTCCTCCATATTGATCATGGCAGGTAGGCTTGGAGACTCCGCAGAATAAGATACAGGGGAGGCCGGTCGCTTTCCCCGTTTGATTCCTCCAACGTCATCATCATCCCCGCTATCCGGATGCCTATGGCGTTTTCGTTCATCCTCCGAATCCGAATCATTGTTACCCTGATTGTCATGGGACCGGTTGGTTCGGCGGCTGCTTCGAGAAGATGTGTTCGTGGAGCTTCCGGTACTCGACTGGCCTTCACTAGGGGGGGGGGGAGAATTAACTCGTCGATTGGTTCTTCTTTGAACCTCCCCAGCGTGTGTTTTACCACATGGAGTCTTCTGAGAGCGCGGGATGCCAGGCAATGGGACTTTATCCTTTACCGAAACCGTTGTAACAGGGTATGCGTTTTGAGTAGCTTTATTCTTCCTGTCCAGAGGTGAATGGTCGCTCGAGTCACTCAGAGAAGGGTTGGGGGATGCCATCTCAATTGTGGAATTTGGAGAGTAGTTGAATTTTGCTGAGATGGGACTTGGGAGTAAGACCAACTGAAGTGATCAGAAAGAAAATTTGAGGATCAATGGTCATGTCCAGAAATAGTCTGCGTCTTCTACTACTATTATCCAGGTTGATGGGGCTGTGAACCTTCAATCTCGTGCCTAATGCACACTTCAGCTCCGCCTCACTGCAAGTGGGCTAAGCAATTCTCATCAGAAACTAATATCAGGAGTAATCAGTACTTGATATGATCGGGAAAACCAGATAACTTGTCAAAATGTCATTTGCATTGCCGATTCCCCTGGTAGAAATAATTCGACGTCTCCCCCAAGCAGTTCACAACCCCCGACGGATCCGGATCAGTCTAGCACAACAATAACCAACAATTCCTCGAATCCAAAACAATCTGACGACAGTATCACTGAAGAGGACTTTGATCTCAAGCCATGGAAATAAATTGGTCAGCAATTGAGCCCCTTAAGCACCTCACCAATACCAAGGAAAGCTAACTCGATTGTTGTTGTTAGGTTACCATGGGTACTCTTCATTCCTAGCTTCTGATAACGACTTTTGCAGTTTTCGTCGATTCGACAAATTGAACCTTTGAGTTATCCTTGCCCTACAGAATAGGATTTCATACCTTAAAGAGGAGCTGGAAGAGATAGATCACTTCCACAGCAGACAGGAGGTACTGGATGAGAATAATGGATCATTCAGATACGATACGATTCAGGACCGAATGAAATATATATGAAAAATTAAGGATGCGCTGGAATATTACAGTCCGTAAGACTCATCAAGATTCATTTTGCAAATCACTGGTCAACTATTAATTCCTAACATTTGCAGACGGTTTTGTTCTTCAATATATTAAGATCAAAACACAGGGCGCTACAGCAGACCGAAACGCACCAATGTACTATAGCTGCAGAAGAGCAAAGATATATCGGCAAAAGCGATTTATTTCCTATGATACCAAAGGAACGGAGTCCATTGCGACGGCTTCTGGAAACATCATCACGATTTCGATTATCCACTTTCTGGAAAACAAATTCCCTTCAATCCGACCTACAAATTCACTGCCAAGAGAACATTAGATTATATTCAGACGAAGGAATCGATTATTTGTTACTGCCACAACTGTCATCATCGGGCTAACAATGTTAATATCACCAATCTGGATTTTGGCGTACACAGACCCCTTACCAGCGAAGCTAGCGATAGTTACTGGGTTTATTCTCATCTTCCTTGCTCTGGTGTCGTTTGGGTCAAGTGCAAAACCATTTGAGTCTCTAGCAGCAACTGCCGCGTAGGTAGCTCTGATCTATTGCTTGAATTTAGTACTGACCTTGCCAGATACTCGGCTATTCTTATGGTACTTCTTCAGCTTGGAGGTGGACAATGAAGGCCTTCCAGGTTTCATTTCAGTGGCTTCATGCAAAGAGGACTTCGTACCCATGTCATTCGTGACTTAAATTAAATGCCACAGAGGTTGAGCATCGGAGGACGTGTTTTTCAGTTGAGCAAGGTTATAACATAGCTCACACAAAAAACGGTGCACCGTGATGTAACTCGACGGTGGACAGAGCCTGCACATGTGAAAGAGTGGCGATCCATCACTCCGTGACACACTGGCAGTGCCACTGGCACATGGATGGGAACCATGCTAGGGAGCTATACTACTAGGTTCATCCGAATTGAAAGTGAACCGAGGTCGACATCTAGCTCAAGTCCCAGATAACCTTGGAACACGAGGTGTGCTGTTATATTTCTGATTCCAAGGTTCCAACCTCCAGGGCTTGGAAGGTTCTTTTTATATCCCTAAGAACTAATCAATATTACCTAGATAGTATGTAGTTACTATTATATATATATATATGTATATCAATCCATCATGATACTACTACTAATAGTAGTGGGTCACGGTGATGTTGATTTAAGTTTAAATCCATCCACGGATGGATGTTGCACAATGTTACGTCATCACCTGCCAGGTGCTGAGTCTTCACGTCATTCTACAAATTTCGACAGTATGAATGGTCCCATTTGCTTATGACACTGATTTATTTTGGCGAGTTAGTATGTATAAGTAAGTTGGTTGAGGTTGAGATGAAATGAAATCCGTTGATTATGTACGGTCAGCCTTTATAACGCCTACCTTACTTATCTCTCGCTATGAGCCAAAAATTGATTGCAATTTGGACTCTCTACAGTCTATTTAACTTCGTCCTGGTCAAAGTGCCTAATAGGGATTGTTATGTTGGCTCGCCTCCTCAGTGCAATAACTCGCTCGCGTCAGATCCCACATGTCGTGGGCTCGAAGTGACAAATACCAATGCCTGGAAGCGAATGGATTGTGATTATGTCCTCTATAATATTCCAGCAACAGCACGCAATACAAATAGATGGCTTGTAATACATGCAGGTGGCTGCGATACTTACACTGAGAATCTCGGTGACTTCTTTGCTCCCGATATGGAGCTTAATATTTTCGGATTGCATCCTTGTGGAGGATTCGAAGATAGTCTATGTGCTTCTCGTCATGACTATGATATTTGCTCAGCTCTTCACATATCTTGGCTTCTGCCTCCATTGCATCCAACCATTGCACTGTGAGTTTGAAATTCAAGCGTGGCTCCAGAGCTATGTACTGAGAATGAAACTAAGCGGACTGAATAGATATGGCCTCGGTTTTAACCCTCCTGCACTTGTGGACATCTTTCATACCCCAGGTGCCAACTTACTGCTCCTTCACGAGTACGGAGACACCAATGCAAGTTATGACTCGTTCTCCGCAGCCGGCTGTAACGCCTCAAAGCCTCTCTATATGTGTGTGGCTGCCATCGATCCCAGTTATACCAATAAGTTTGCAGCAATCAAACAAGTACTCGAAGGGGGTATCAGTAATACCCCGGGGTTTCCCTGTAAGCTCCAAGTAGTTGATTCGATGCCGTATGCACAGAACGAAGATACAGCGATTCCCTGCACTGGGATTCTTCGAGAATACAACGATCCTGCAAAACTTGGCGGGGACCCCTCAGGTGCGCCAAATCGGGCTTGGGAAATGCCGGTGTTCATGACACGAGCGGTCCAGCTAGCGACGCAAGTGGAGCCGCAAGGGGTAATCGTCAATGCCTTCCCTACAGCGATTGATATCGCCGTGTGTAAGAAATTCGATGATCCTAATGCGACGTACTGTCGTGATGATGATCTAGTCCAGTAAACGTGATTGAACATTTCTCCCCTCATCCGTTTAGACTCTTGACCTCGGTACTATGTATAGATGTATATTTAATTCCAAATATGACTGTACTGCGAATATTTTGAATGTACAGTTTGCGTTGAATGAATTATGATATAGAGGATTTCACGCGAAGCATTGGATAGTCTGAGGTCCAAGACCCAGAGGAATGTGTCGCCCTCTCACATCTATCTCCAGAGTTCAAGCGATCTCCCAATCCTGGTTGCTGGGTTTTTGAGTGTTAAAGGAGGTGGGGATGGTTGATCACCGCTCCAGTGTGGGTGGATATTAAGGTTGTCAAAATGCGTTTGCTGGATTTCTTCGATGCTCGGCGGTGTCGTTCGGATCACAGCTACAAGGCTATTGAGCACCGTGAACTCCATTTTCAACTTCAGGCTGTATACCAACGGCTTGAAGCTCGTCTGGATATCGAAATAGTCGGGAGTATTCTAAGGCGAGAAGGGAAGCATCAAGTAAGATGGCAATGGCATTGACGACAATGATGTTGAAGATCACCCTTTGGCCGCGAGGACCCTTGAGGGCTAAGACCGGCCTTAATCCAGTGACAGTCTCCCAGATGTAGAGGGCACTGATCAGTGTTTCTTGGACGGAGAAGCCAGTTAACTGCACACGCTCATAGATATTGAATGGCCTTATAAAGCTGGTAGCTCCATGGTTGCTTCTAAGGAAGAGGACTGTGGTGGGTATATAGAAATCACACGCGTCGATGATAATCATCCACAGGACGAAGCGAAGGTATCGATGATGGCTAGTCACTAGGTGGAGCCTAGAATAGAGCACGATAGATTGCCCAGTTACCATCGCGTACCAGCCGATGCAAATCAATACGGACATAGGAAAATTCGGCGCGAGGGCGAATTAGCGAAGGAACCTAGAGACTGCGTGTAGTAGAGTGCCCCATGTCGCGATGAGCATACTCCAAAAGTATAACCCGCGGCGGCGATTGAATGTGGTGAATGTTGATATGGTAGTTTCGAGAACATTGAAGCATGATAATGCGAATAGTGCTGCTATGACCATCGCGATCCCGCGGGAGACATGGATGGGACCCGTTTGACCCGCCATCTTCGGCAGTCTTTTTACCCCGCGAATGAAGAAATGGATGGGGAATCACGTTTTGCCGTCGCACGCGCCAATAGATGTCCAATTTGCATCCAAATGACTATGCGGCCAGGTAATGGATACCTCCACGTCAATGTAGGCATTGTGGGCGAAAAGTAGCCCGGGTCGCGGATTTGACATGCGAGTACGTGGGTGTTGGAGCTTTGAAGAATAATGAAGAAAAGAGACAGGGGTAGAAGTTGCCCAGGGAGGTCTGGCTTGTCTTGGCGAAGGATTGTTCTTGGGACCTGCCTAAAACCTTGGAATGACATCAAGACAAGACATAAACGTTCTTAGAGTTTAGAGTGATCTGATTAATCAATGAGCACCACCTGGGCAACACCGAAGGTGCTCGATCTTCAATTAAAAGACAATGGAAGCCTAAGTCTGGATGACAGCGGCAGCTGAAAGCTGAGATGGATCCCACAAAAAATGCTACCTGAGTGAAAGGCAACATTGAAGGATCGTCTCCACAACAGAGGGACGCAGATCGCCAAAGTGGAACCGCCAAGTCTGCCAAGTCCGCCAAGTCCGCCCCAGCATTTAAATGTTGCGGCGCGGACAAACAATAATAAGTGGACTGACTGTAATAATAACGGCAGAAACAACTTCGGTGAAGGAGATATTCCAGGAAAAGTGAAACGGAAATACGGGTGAGAATAAAACTGATCTTGACTATGGAGAATACTAAAGAACACTGCAAAAGTACCATTCAAATGTTCGGAAATGTAGTTGGGAACTCCGCCGTTTTGGTTACCGCCAGGGAAAAATCCGACTTTTCTCCAACTTCTCAGTTTCGCCATCTATCTATCCATCTGGAACGTCATGGTTCACTCAAAGTCGCAATGTTGAATAAAAGATCAAGTGATTTCTTCCAGATGTCCTCCGACCACGTCAAGAGGCGATCACTGGATTCAAAATTTGAATACTTATGTAAATCCTCTGGGAGTTTTCTCAAGACATCTGGAATGAAAACGTCCTAGATCAGTATGTATGTACAAGCTACATATCTTGAACTCGATTGTCTTACCATGTCATCCGTACTTTCCCTTATCAGCCCTGGAGAACAAAAAATTAAAATGAAATGAAAAATACACGAAACAAAAACCAAAAACATACAGCAGTCAGGATTCGCATGTGGTCACCCACCATACTACTAACTGACCGGCGTGTGGCTTAAACGCGGTCAATAGTCGGGTGGGTATCGCCGGGGTGAGCAAGGGTGAGAGCCGCTTTAGCCTTACGTCACCGGGGGTGAGATGGGGTGAGTGTGCAATAGACAGGGTGAGAAGCCGGGTGAGAGCGGGTGAGAATCACCCTGCATCGTGCGATCCTGCACTGACCCCTTTTCCGCTGAGCAGGAGCAGATATCATTGGGCCAAGTGCCTGTCCCTGAAACAACGCATATCCTAGCATCTGCACTTCGGCACAATTTGATATTTATCGATTTTTTTTATCATAAATCTAAAGCATTCTCAGGATAAGGCGTTAGTCCCCCAAAGCAAATTCTTACGACACCTTCTATGGAAGATGATGAAACTCAAAACTGGAAAAGCGAATTGCGTGCTATTCAACAATTTTAATACATCCAAATAAAACGCCCGGACATGAAAGCGCCAAATCTTTTTGTCGACGAAGAATACCCAGTGCTGTATTCGGAGTGGATCAGTACTGCTCTCAGACCACGTCTGATAACTACTCAAGTTCCCTGACTATAGTTCCAGAACCAACATAAATCCAGAACTACTGAGACCCAAACAGTGTCGCAGACCCAAAATAGCGGAATAGTGTCGCAGAAACAGGCCAATGGTTGGTTGCCGCTAAGCTGACTAAAGAAGCTGCTGCGCACTGCTGACGTTTTTATCGATTGACTAGATAGATCACCACCATGGACCTCACGAAATGATGGCACGTGTCGAGCTGCATAGTCGAGGCGAGTATGTGTGGGGTCAAACTACGGGCGCTCCAGAGGAAGCAGGCCAGGAAGGGGATAATTCTCCTTAAAAAACAACCCTCAGCCAGTTGTTAGTGGGGCGGGTGAGAATCACCTTTACTGTGTGACGTACCAACTCTTCAAATGATTTCTAAAAGAATAAGATTGGCTTACCTCGGTGCTTTTTAGCACCCCATTCGTTGGGGCATCATTGAAAATTAACCTTGCGACCTTGTTTTAGATCCCTAGAAGTAGTTTTTCTAGTATTATATAATGAAATTAAGGACTACTAGTATTACGACATAGTACCAACTGTAAAGGGCTCTATAAAGATTGAAACAGAACGATATAGGCCAACATGTAGTTTACATTCATGCTTAAGGAAGAAAGACTATGTCCATGGAAAGTCGGTGTAGATATAGAGGGGTTCCCGTCACGTGGGTTGACGTACTTGTACGATCGTCCACGAACGTCCAATATTCATCGTGCATCAGAATGTTTGATCGCGGAATGAATGTACGCTTGGGTTTGTCGAGGTAAGCCCTGATCGGGTTCAACCCGTTACACCAACTTTAGTATAGCGTACTATAATATAGTATTCTTAGATAAAGAATATTGTTATTAAGAAAGAGCATTTGAATTCTAGAATTTCCACTGTCTGGTATAAAATCGGAAAATATATTTTGTAACTTATCTCATGATTGAAGGCTTGTCGGAAATCATAGCTAGAGAAAAGCAGCAATACGTACCTCGATGCTTTGGCGCATACTTTCCGGGTCGGAAGTCGAATATGGGTTGTCAAAGGCAGTATGAAAAGCACCTATACCTGATATTTAGCTCGGTTGGGTTCATGTTCACGTTCAGGTTAGAAATCGCTCTTGTTGACATACGCGGTTTATCACCAGATGGCAAGTTAGTATTCCGCCATAAAATGACTTCATGTGCTGTTTGACCGCTGAGGTAGTACCATTGGTGCTTTTCGTTGAATCGCAAGAATGCATCTTCCCCCACACTATTCTCATATACCACATCGTTTGCTATGATGTCTTCATCTGGGTCTATTGAGGTAAAGTCGCAAAGGGCAAGAGGCCAATCATCGTTCGGTCCCCGTAAAGGTCGCCAAATACTGTAGGACAGGGAGAAGGTCAGTCATCATGGATATGAACCATTTGCATTTTAAGGGTAAAACTTGCTTGAGAAGATCACAAGGTCGACTTAAAAGCTCCCGTTCTGAGCTGCGGAGAACTAGCTCGAGACGACTCGAAGCTCCTTCTACTGTGTAATCGACATGCGTCTGGGCAAGTGGCTGGGCCCAGTCAACCACAGCGCCTTTCTTTGTGGGATATAGTTGACTTCTCTTTCGAAGCTTCAGTTGTATCATACATGTTAATAAATATTTATGGCAATACTCAGCTGGGGGTATACCTCATAGTCAAAGAAGGCGAATACTGTGTACTCTGGGAATGCTGAGTGTAATAACTCCTTGAGTTCTGGAAAGTATTTCTCCCGTACAATGACGCTTTCGTCGAATTCGGCCAAGGTCATCAGCGTTGGTGACGTTAAGTAAGTGAACCCATGAGTGTTCAAGGAGGGTAGAGATTGTCCACGGATGTTTCTGACTTTTGTCAACCGCGTGTCGAACTCGTGATTCGTGATGGCGGCTCCCTCAATCTCATCTACTGGAAAACTGGTCACGAAAGGCTTTTCATGTTCGAATCTAGGGTTGCGAGAGAAGTAGTTTAGTTTAGCAGATACCTCTGAGGGAAAATGATTGGTACACATTGTCAGGATTAGGAGGAGGTTTTAGGATGAAGGATTGCGGGAAACATGGGCCCACTGATGTTTATAACGAAACTTGAACGACAGAGGTAGAAGTTGTGCCAGTGCCCAGGTGGCTGGCTCCTTTCCAAGGTTGCCAAAGAGGTAATCACAAATATTACGGTAATTTTGAAATACAAATTCGCGAAAGTGGACTGTTTATTACTTATTGCCACCCGTTTCTCAACCCTTCAAATGTGGGTTAATCCTGCATAGATTTATTGGTGAATTTGTGACCAGGATGCATTAGTGGATTTGTTCCCCGCTTCAGGCGTGAGGCGCACTAACTTGTGTAACTCTCGCGGGGCAACACCCTTCAACCATTTTTAGTAGCCTTTTAATTTCCCTTAACAGCTCAAAATCACATGTAGATGTCTTGGAAGTTCCTGGTAGCTTGAAACTCGATCGGATGGGATTAATTTGGTCTCTTCCACCTTTCGCCCCGGCAAAAGCCCTTCGAAGCCACATGCAATCCTCAATTTTCAATGGGGCTCATGCCTCATATTATGTGCACCCACAGAGTCAGACTTTGCTGAAATCCGCACCTCTCGATCCACATCAGTTGAAACCTGTGCTTGTTATTTCCTCTGACAGCGGTCAATTTGACGTGGATGCTGTTGTGAGCGCGGTGCAGAGATTCACTGAGACAGACGATGTGTTCTCTGCAGACTTCTTAAGCGACTGCTTGATTGTGCAGACACTTTCCGGTATTGAGCCTCAGCGACTTAATGCCATGTCAGTTGTCACATCACACGGCTCTTGGTCCATAGAAACGATTCTCACAATTCAAGGCTCAACTTGTGGCCCTGAAGTACCCGATGGACCTTACTTTTTACGGGGGAATAGTTTACATCAAGCATGGATACTGTACTCGGATAGCCTTGACTGCTTTACTACGGCGGCGGTTCAGCGTGATGTTCACTCCAAAGATTCGATGTGGATAGACTTTGATTCCTCCACAGTATAAAATCTCTACTAACCTTGGATAGATTCGATCCTCTGTTGCACCTACATTCAGGAGGCATTTGGAAAAATGTCGCTGTGCCCAGTCGACTTTACTTCAAGTCCAGCCTGGAAAAACCTCTGGCAGGAAAACGTGTCAGTGTAAAAGATTGCTATCGCCTCATGGGTGTGAAGACGACTATGTCTAGTCGGCCATTTGAAGAGACATACGGACCGGATAACGAAACAGCTGCGTTCGTCAGGGAGCTGATCGGCCTGGGTGCGGTGGTGGTTGGAAAGTCTAAGATGTCTGCATTTCTTTCTTCCCAGGAGCCTACAGACCAATGAGTAGACTTCCATGCACCATTCAATCCTCGTGGGGATGGGTATCAAACCCCGGCTGGAAGCTCCAACGGTGCCGCTGCAGCGCTGGCTGGGTATCCATGGCTGGACTACTCAATCGGAACGGATAGTAAGACATTGAATTCTATCATGAGTCTTGCTACTAATAATGTTGTTGCATTTCAGCATCTGGAAGTATCAGGTATCCTGCTGCTTTATGCGGACTCCACGCACTACGTTACACTTCCCATACAATTCCGATGACTGGAGTGTGGCCAGGCTGCTTGTATTGTGCTACCTTTATTGACAGTCGTGATTGATCTACTGACTAATGAATTATTCTTCCAGGGAACTCGATGCAATTGGTATTCTTGGGCGGGATTTGCAGGCTACTCACCGATTTGTCAAGGCAACTGTCAAAGCTGGGCCTGGTGATATTAATGAAGTATTTCATTGGTCAAAAGAAAATCTGTATTAGACTGGCGCTAATTATCTGGCAGTTCCCAAGTCAAATCATCTACCCGGCAGACTTCCTACCCTACGGAGACAGTAAGATGCAAGCAATTGTGGATGAATTTGTGAAAAATCTGGAATGCTATCTCGGGGTAGAAAGATCAGTCATCAGTATTGCTGAGAGATGGTTGCAATGCCCACCTATACAAGCCAACGGTCGACCCATTCCAAAGTTCCTTGAGAAAGTAAGAGACAGGATGTTATAAATATGTTTTGTGACTACGAGAGACTAAACTGACCATCCTAGGTCGGCTACTATCCCTTCTACTACGATGGGTATCATGAATATGCACGATTCCGCCAAGACTATCGCAACAAGTTTGAAAAGGAGCCATATGTCGGGCCCTATATGCAGTGGAAATGGTTTGTTCTATGTATTCGCTGGGGTTATAGCATATACTGATAATTTGCGACCCCCAGGGAGATTGGATCAAAAGTTTCGGCAGAACAGAAAGAAGGCGCCATTGAAGATATCAGTGTATATCGAAAATGGTTCTCTGAGTGCATTATGCGGGAAGACACGAAGACGGCGTCCGATGCGATCTTGATCATGCCACTCGACACCCCTGCACCAGACTATAGAGACACTATTCACAAGTACAGTAGTCCCTTTTTGCCTCTCTAAGCGAGATACCACCTGAAAGACCTCATGAGGTATTGGTCAACTAATATTTCGAATTACCAGGCAACCTGGCCCCGTCACAGCGTTCAGTGAATCTTACACCGCCTCGCTTCTCGGTCTGCCCCAGCTTGTCGTGACTAGTAAGTTCATGCACCTGCCCATCTTAGTACGAATCCTCACCCTTGTTACAGTTGGGCAGGTGCCCTATGAGTCGAGGGCCACAAAACGAATTGAGTATCACCCAGTGACTATATCCCTTGTCGGAGCAAGAGGTATGTACTTTATTAATAAACACAGACGTTCCATTTACTCGTATGCCTCTAATCGCGTCGCCTTTTAGGAAGTGACTTGATGTTGATTAACCTGGCTCGAGAGACCCTGAAGCATGCCAACTGGTCGGACCAATTACTTACCGGAAGGTATACTTTCAAGGTCGGCGAGGGAACACGAAATGTTGCTGAGGACGGGGCGCCTAAGCTATGAGGGGAACCAGGTCTACATGGAGCCTCTTTAGTAAAATAGCCATTACATCAAATTTGACTTTCGCTCTATCGTCTGCTTTTCAACGTGGCTAGGCACTTCATTGATACATCAACGAAACCAGGTGGCTGAGCTATCTGCGCCAAATTAGGCAAGCCGCATGTGCAAGGAAGTTGGCATGTTATCAACTATGGTGACGTTTCTAGAGCGATAGTGATTATGGTGCGGTAGGTGCGGATTCCTTCACGTCTCGTGACCACCCAATAAATCAAATGCCGGGGCCTCGATCATATTAAATTTAACTTATCACATTAATTATCCGTGTAAAAATGATCATAAAATAGATACAAACCTGAAATTCACCTGCTCGGGTATATTTGTCAGAGACATGTGTTCAGATAGCCCCAAATCCAAGCCATGAGATTGCTCCCAGTTACTCCATGGAGCCGAATGCAATTCTAAATGGCTGTGGGGCCATTTGCAAGATTAAAATGCAATAAGCCGCTGTAACAGCCGGTATTCAAATGTTTGGTATTGACATTAGTGATCCCTGTTGCGCCTATCCTACATAAAACTCTTACTAGCGAGTCCCACATGTGCATATCCAAGAAACTTTCCACGATTCCCAACATTGAAAACAAGTATGAAAATACAAACATCGATACTATCCTGTAGACAGCGATCAAGACCGTGGTAAAATAGAACAATTTCACGAGTGGTGCTTTGATAATGCAGTGTTTCCTGATAATGTCCCACAATCTGCTGGGGATATATGTATCTTACTAGTAGATTACTCCGTAGAGGTAAACATAGATGTATTAGATCACTCGGAACTCTTTCAAGTTTCACAAAGCGACACATCACTATCGAGCGGCGCAGCTGCACATTGCAGATCTGTACGATATCTGTTGGGCGGCAAGTCATCAGCTTTCATAGGTGATCATTTCCTCCACAGGATGTGATTTACAGGAACCCCGTGTTCCAGATGTCTACGTGTCGCGATCGCCGCACCTGGATATACTCATAAGTCATGCTTTTTCCGGCGGTAGCAGCGGATTTTGGCGGGGGCTGCTTCTACATGAAGCTCTTATCCTCTCTGTTAGGCCTGGGCATGTATGATCTCAAGCTACTGTTGTTTGTTATGGCCCAAGGCACATGCATTAGCCTCAACAGGTCTCTCAGTATGATGGTAAAGCGGTCGTTCTAGGGGGGGTTGGCAGTACAACAGGTTGGAACTGAATGATGGTGACGTTTGAAGGAATGTGGCTGGCTGACCTCCCCTCTTCCCTCGCCTTCTCTCGGCTAGCCCAAATCCCAGCGTCGGCAAATTGTGTCTCTTGTCGATCAGGGCAAGTGGGCATTTGATGTATGTACATATTAACTTAGCAGCCCCTCAGTTGAATTGGCAATTAATGTAACATTAGCTGGCTTCGGAGGCCCCGGTCATTGATTCTACGATGTTTGCTTTTTCTATAGATTACTAGGGACCCACATAAAGTTTGCTATAGAACCTATTGTAACCGGCTAAGTTTCTAAACGTGATACATCCCATAGACTCCCAATACGTCACACTACTTGTCACCAGTTACTTTTTGCGGCTGATAGGGACACGAGCGCCGAGTCATCTCCCAGGGGCCCCGTAGCACCAGACACCCCGAATAATTCAGAACTTGAATACATGCCCTACTCAGGTAATTTGAAAAATCAAACACAGTTAATCAGAATCAATTTGATAAGCCTGTGTACGGAGTACAGTGATTGTCTTCCCTGGCAGGTAAATCCCCGGAAATAGCTGAGGTTGTGTTTAAATAAAAACAAATTACAAGTAACTCCTAGGCTACACTGTTAAGTGGCTTGACAGTCTAGCTCTCGTGTTTCAAAGAATATAAAGGTAATGATCTGAACTAAAGGAGAAATGGGCAGAGTAATTGGCAGGTCAGATTGAAAGATTGCTCAGCTTTCATCTTCCAGATCCAAGAGTCCTTCGAGGCTATCTATAGTGATCATAGAAGTCATTATCACTATTCTTGATAACAAAACCATTAAAAAGGCGTACCAAGTCTGAACCTTAGTAGTCTCGTGAATCCCCTGAGTGGTCATACCTACTCGAGTTTGTAAAGGGTAACAGGCAGTTCGGTAGGCGCGTGGCCGTTGCGAGAATCCTCAAAGAGCTCGACTTGGTGTCTAACAACTGGCTGAGCATTGGGGTTCTGCTTATACCATTTCTTCCACGGCTGGTATTTGGCCGGAGCATCAGTCGATGGGTTGCTCAAGGAGTTAGGCATGCTGTGAGTTATGAGCATGAGAGTGTTGTAGACATGGTGGTACTTGGATAACTCACCTGGTAGCAAAGGAATATTAAGTTCGGTGTGCAGTTGAGTTACAGGAGAAATATGATGGGGAAGAACTTGAAAGGCAAAAGCTGGATATAACCTTCGGCGAGAGCGAGAGGGGATATTTTGTTATATTCAAGAAAATGATAAGTGCTGGTACACCTTCTTTGCTACCCCCTTCACAAAAAAAAACCCCACATCACGTGCCGCTGCAGTGCCCGTTATACACCGAGATTCGATCAGTTTTCATCCAAAAGGTGGTTTCCCGGACTGATTTTCAGCCCAATTCGTTAGATTATGAGACAATCATGTCTCACCCGCAGGCCACTCGCTACGTGGCCGAATTCATGCTGCAAACAGGCCTCCTGGGGCAATTCCGACACCGTGAGGTGGAGCCTGAGCCCCCTGACGGTGACGGAGCCCCCGAGGACACCGCAACACACTCCGAAATCAGACCGGAAGGGGCAGGTCAGTGAAGACGCTGCGTACAACAGTGACTATAACACGTGGCGCGCCAAGAAGCGACACGTATGCCTTCAAATCGTGTATGTAATGAAACCCTAATTGAGGGGAGTGAGAAGGCCTGAGGGCCGGTGGATGGGGATGCATAAGGAAGAAGCAAAGTGGAGGACCGGGGCATCCTGAAAGCACAGTTTCACTATGTGTTTTCCATTCTTTTTATTATTTTCTTTGTGGGTTGGGCTATGGGTTTACTGTTTGGCAACCGCCGTCTCCTTTGTTCATCTTGTATCTACTGGCGTCTGGGATATTCTTGCTCCACCGGGCGAGCGCCTGCATTACCACAGCGACTCTAGATAGGTAGCATCAGGTTAATAGAATATCATCATCATCATCATCATCATCATCACAAAAAAAACACTGACCATTCAACTCCGGATCTTGACTAGTGTACGCAAGATACAAGAACACGTCGTGATGTTTGATCACAAACTAGTGACTTAGGCTGCTCTCAAGAACAAACATGCAGATGCAAGCTACAAATTAAGGCAACAAATGAGCTATCAAGCCGCCCATACCCTTACTCTTCTACACAACATACATACCAATAATCGAAATTATCGTAAAATTATTAACTCTCATAGGTATCCTGAAACAGGTATGTGCGGTGTGATAACACGTGGAAGGCCCGGACAGGACAGAACGACCGAGCGGTCTGGATATAGATGGAACCTTGGAGAGTGATTCCTGTGTATGTATTACCTGGTATTTCATCCTTTCATAGGGACGCTTCCAGTGATAGAACGAATAGCCCCTTGGGATTTAGCCTTGTAGTTCCCTTTTTGGTTTGGTTTCCTTGTATAGATATGAGACCATGATGTTGTGGAAATAAATTCTGGACTGAGGGATAAATTACAAGCTGGTATTAGCTGTGTGAGATCATTTTCATTTCTGAATGGTTGAGCTCTTCATCTCTCAAAGTCTAGTTAGAGGCCAGAATCAGCACATGCGCACCGCCCTCTCATCACTGCATGGAGGAAGAGCACAACTTAAAAGTTGTTACCCAGGAAGTTGAAACAACTAATCTGATCTTGCTCTTTGCATATTTACCTGCCTCTCAGATTGGGTGAGCTACCTCGACGTGATGAAAAATCTTCTATCGCGGCGAAAATGGCGCAAGAGCCCTCCTAATGTCACGCAAGAGACAGCCCTCGACCAACCTGCCACACACCTCGAAGAAGACGCTTCTACCCCTCAAGATCTTCCGCAGTCTTCCTTCCCGGATGGAATAGAAGTGTTACACGACTCCATTGACGCCACTGTTGACGTCTGTTTTGTCCATGGCTTGACCGGTGACCGAAAAACCACCTGGACTGCGCCTGGGAAGTCCACGCCCTGGTTGAAGACGCTCCTTCCACTGCATCTTGAGAAAGCCCGTATAATCACCTATGGATACGATGCATATATTATGCGAAAATCTGTGGCCTCGTCAAATCGGTTGATTGATCATGCTACAAATCTCCTGAGTGACCTCACAAACGACCGAAGCGACTGCCAGGCACCATCTCGTCCGCTGATCTTCGTCGCCCATAGTCTAGGTGGCCTGGTTTGTAAGAAGGCCATCCTTCTCTCGCGACATAACCCGGAACCCCATCTCCAGGATGTCTTCCAGAGCACGAAAGGCATTATATTCATGGGCACTCCCCACAAAGGAGCTTGGGCTGCTGACTGGGCCAAGATCCCAATATCTGCTCTTGGCCTTTTTAAGTCTACAAACGTTATGCTGCTGGATGTCTTGAGACGAGATAGCCAGCTTCTTGAGTCTATTCAGGGTGACTTTTTGGCCATGGTGCGAGGGCTACGAGAAAGTCACCGAGGTATAGAAATCACTTGCTTTTTCGAAGAGCTTCCCTTGCCAGTGTTTGGATTAGTTGTATCCAAGGATTCGGCAACTCTTGAGGGATATACCCCCCTGACTATTCATGCAAACCACAGCGATATGGTTCGCTTTGCATCCAAAGAAGATAATGGGTTTAAAAGACTACTGGCAGAGCTGAAAAGATGGATATCACAACTCGAGGCGAACAGAGACGGTGAGTTTCATATGCTAACATCATCCTCAAATAATTCGGAGCTAAATTCTGTTTGCAGGCCAACAACTACCCATTAGAGGTCAGCCAGCGGTGGTCGGTCGATATTTAATTGAGTCCGATGGCCAGAGTCACCTAAAAGAGCTGCCGACGAGCAATTCGTGCGGTGAAAGTGGTTCCAATGAAGACATTAAGGGGAGAGGTCTTGGAGGAAGCCGGAATCGTTTCCAATTGCCTCATGAGCAAGACGGACAAAACTCTCGGGGGAATGGAACTCCCTACAAAGGCAAGATAACCCCTCCTATATAGCTGCTATGTGGCACTGGCACAGTCCATAATCGAGAATACAGTTTCGAGCTCTTCTCTGCCGTTTCAGAGCTAACTTCCTCGTAGGCAAATGGCCTCAACGGTCTCATGGAAACATTCATGAAGAAAGTAATCAAAATAAGTTGAGTCAATCTCATCAAGGTTTGTCGCGTTACCCATCATGAAATATCGCGATCGCTAATACATGTATGACCCTTGATAGTTCTCGCATCCCGTATACAGTTATCTGAAATACTCACCAGTGATGGCGTGACATTCGGCAATAGAATACGCAACATAAAGCTTCCCTGTCGCTTGATAAGGCCATATCAGCAAAACATGGATTTTGTGGGTAGGGACGACATCATTGCACAAATAGGTGCCGTCTTGAATCCCAAGGCAAGCAAGCAGTCCCGGCAATCCACTACTGCTCTCACTGGGCTTGGAGGAATGGGAAAGACGCAGTCAGCCTTAGCATACGTTTTCAAGAGTTGGGACCTCTTCCATGCCATATTATGGATCCGAGTCGACTCTCGGGAGAAGATTCTTTATACCTTCGCAGATTTCGCGTTTGAGCTGGGTCTAGTCGAAAATAACTTCACCGATCAAAACACAGCACTAGAAGAGGTCATGAGATGGTTCGAAAATACAGGTAATTTTTCTGTCAACACCTATCTAGATGAGTAGAATTTGGCTAATATCAGTATGAAGATGTCCCCTGGCTGGTTGTGTTTGACAATGCCGATGCCGAGGACGACAGCAATATGACGCTAGTGCAGGAATTCTGGCCCAGAGCGACAGGCGGGTCCATATTGATCACCACACAGGATAAGAAACTTGCAGTTACTTTTGCCCAGAAGAACATCATTCAACTCGAGCGCCTTGAGACCACGGAGGCAATCAAGCTACTGTGCAGAACCTGGGATGAGCGTACCCTGGATTCAGAGGCAGAATCAAACGCGAGTCAGATTGTGGAGCGTGTCGATCGTTGACCCCTTGCTATTGACCAAGCAGCTCGACTGATCCAAAGTGAGGGGCTCACCTTCAATGAATTCCTCCTGCTCTACGATAAAACCACTCTGATAGACTCATCTGACCCAAACAGAGCACCGTCACTTCGATATGACCACAGCCTTCAGACAGTGTGGAATGTGGCATTTCAAATGCTGAAGAAGGACCCCTTAGTCGGTAGGCTGGTCAACATTATCTCATTCCTGGATACGGAAAGAATTCCCGAGAAGTTGATATCTTCTGGAGTAGATGTAAGCGATGATGAAAGGCTCAGTTTCTTGAAAGGCGCGAAGAATTTCATTCGCTATCGCTCCAAACTAATTTTCAGTGCTCTGGTCTACCGAAACGAGGACCTGAGGATGATCTGGATGCACGGATTGGTCCAGGAAACTTGTCACATGCGGATGACTCACGTTCAAAAGCAAGAGGCTTTTGAGCTTGCCACGGAGATATTGCAAAATGTTTGGCCGATTCCAGAGATGCACAACCGTAGGCAAAATAGTCTTTGGCCAAAGCAGCAGGATCTTGTATCACACGTGGTTTGCCTTGGTCAATTCTACAGAGAGTCCCATTCAAGATCCTCCGATGCTGCTAAGCCCAATGGGTTGCGGCCAGATAAAAAGTTTGCACAATTGCTGTATAACGCGGGATGGTAACTTGCTCCCTGAGAGACATTGTTTTTGAATCTAGTACTGACTTTTCATCAGGTACTTTGTCGAAACAGATCTTCTGTCCTCGGCAGAAGCCCTGCTAAGTCTGGCGAAAGAAGTCTGCGAGACGTCAATCAAAGATCCGGAGCTGATTCTGGCGGACATATACGGTGCCTTCGGAGGAATAGATTCTGAGCGAAATGAGCTACGCAAGACATTGGAGAACTTCCGGAAACAGTACAAGTACCTGCAAAGGGCTTTCGATAAGAAGTTATTAACTCGTCCCAACGTTCGAGAAGCCCTCGCTTTGGGTGGACTTGCACAAGGGCATGCTGGGCTAGATGAGCTACCGGAAGCCGAGAAATACTTCAGGCAATGTATTGCCGTATGGGAAGAGTGCCCTGGGGACTCCACAATTTACCAGTCTCATCTTGGCACCTGCCTTGCTTTTCAGGGGAAGCTGGATGATGCCGAGAAGCATTTGGTTAACCTGATTGAGGCACGAGCAATCAAGTTCGGACCACGAGATACAACATCGTATCGGTATTCTTCTGCCCCAAGATAACCCTGAGAGCTCATTTGGATGTACTGATGAAGCTTTAGAACTGGTCTTCTTTACTATGCGCTCGGAAACGTCCTTCGAAGACAGGAGAGATTAGATGAGGCCTACGAGATAGAGAAGGCTTGTCTCATGATGTGGCTTACGACTTGCGGGCAAACCCACCATTACACAGCTGAAGCTTACTACAAGGTTGCATGGCATCTCCAGCACCGAATGGAGTATCAGAAGGCCAGGTAAGAGAAATTCCTATGAATGGCGTAGACCAATCTCGCATCAGATATCTGACTGGTGACACAGAGAAATGTATACGAAGGCGCTTGACATATACAACAAGGATGAGATGCTATACACAAATGAAATTGCTCGGGTTGAGTATATGCTCGGTACAACCTACCGGCAATGTGGCATGACAGAGCTCAGCAAAGCTTCGCTTAGGAAATCTGAGGCTCTAGGGAAATCCATTAAAGGTAAAAGCTGGACGCCTACTGGCGAAGAGAGCTATGATTCGATAGTTAGCTTTTGGTCTAGATGACCGGAGCAGCAATCGCTGTACATATCTTCGAAATCTTGGAAATCTTAGCACTGATTCCGAATAAACGAGGGGGTAAGGTAAACACATAATTTGGTAATTATAAGTGTAATTAGTGCTAGCTTCTTATAATAAATTATATCATCTTCTTATTCCTACTCATTCTCATACCATCGTGTGTCAAAAGTCTATGTGCAAGTTTTACTTCGTAGTCCCACTCACCCACCCACCATTTCTAAAAAAATCATATCACCACCAAAATGCGTGTTTTTGGCACTGTAATGAGCGGAAATCGAAGGCAAGGGGGCATATTATCCGAGTCAACACGCACAGCTGTCATTTTTGCGTTGATTACAGGTCAAAAACCAGGTCAAATCGCACGCGATTTGGCATTCACTGCAATACCATTTCCCGTATAAAAAACACTTCGACACGCGTAATGATCTTAAGTCTATACCTTGGAAAGGGTATCTAACAAAATTTAGTTGTAGAGCTCAACGTTACATTTATCGAATATATCGAAAATACCCTAAAATAAGTTAGGGAGCCCTCGTTGCTGTTTCCCTGGACCAGATATCCCGATTAACGATCTAACATGTATTACGCAAAGATAAACTTGGAGAATAGAAAGCTTGCAAGCGTATTCTATTGAGAACAGATAACGCTCAGGAAATCCAATTTTGTTTAAGAAGATGATCATTTTACTAAGTTATCGCGATTTTACTTTTTAGATAAATTATTCCACGTTGGTCCAATTTAACTACTCAATAGGTTTTCGGTATAGTTCTAAAGCCTATCGATAAGATCTTATTGATCTTATTAATCATATTAAGGATATTGTATAAATATTGTAGGCTTTAGTATGGATTAGAGGCTATATAGATTTAATAATTACAGTATGATCCTAAGGCTCCATAAGCTGGCTTTTCCTCAAAATTATATCAAAAAGGTCTTGAATCCGGATTTTTTCACCACTTCAAGCTAGAGAAGATATTCTAGTAGGGCAGTACCAAGATTTATGCCTCCAAGACCTCTCAAGACTTTTTTATAGCTTATGGAATTCATATTATAGAGTGGCCCCGTTATAGCCTGGATCTCAGTCCAATTAAACCGCGTTAGGGCCTTTTGAAACGCAAGGTGTTTAAATTAAGTCCTAAACTACGATATACAGGTCAATCTCTTATTGCTTAGACTGACTATCTAGATTTTTTAAAGAGGGTATGGTGGAATATTCTACAAGAAACTATCGATCGGCTGATCGAGTCTTTTCCCCGACATTGTGAGGCTGTTTACCGTGTACGAGGTTAGTACACTAAATATCAGTGTTGGGACAGTGAATCACGTTATTTTACTATAGTCACGCCCAATATTAATGAATAATATCAATATTTCGATTTTTAATTAATTATTCCCACTTGGGGGTGGGTGATGGGGCTAAATCCTTATGATGCTTTACAGCAACACACACCTCGAGTGCCATCCTATAACGGAAGCTTGTGTTCTTGTTGGGATATGACATTCCATGAGTTGATAAAATCTCTAGATGTACTTTGTGTCTTGATACGTTGGGCTGATCTTGAGAGCCAAGATGTCTGGGTTGAGCTACTTGACCCTAATGGACTCATATGGCCCGGAAATCTAGCGATGAATGTTGATTCAGCAATGAGACTGCTCTTTGATTACGGAGTTATTGAATTTGCTTCATCCTCAGGCGACGATAGTATTGGTTCTCGTGGGTACAACATGCAGAGAACTTTTCACGCCTGGCTACAGACTCGCATTCGTTATTTGACACACGATGGGCCGACTAATTCACTAGCACTCTCAGCCGTCATAGATTGTTCCCAGAATTTGATCAAATCTGAGAGGTATTAGAAGGGTCTGTTACGGCTTCTTCCTCATGCAAACCGGTGCGCCGATCTTGTTATGACGGAGCAAATCCATGCCGACATCCACCATCTGACATTCCTTGCAAGGGTGTTTGAATATGCAGGGTATGGAGAGTCACGGAATTTTAGCTTCTACTTAGCTATTCTGCATTTGGTCAACCCGACCAAGGTGCATTTTATGACATCTGAGACGCTGCTACAACACGCCTTGCGCAAGATTGAACAGGCACCTGCAGAGGCCCCGGGCAGAATATCAAACCAAATTTCTCCCTACCAATACAAGATGACAGCATTAGGTGGCTTGCGAATATTATACAAACACATACCTGAGTCTTCTAAACGGCTGATGGTCACATCGCAGATATACACGGCACACAGAGATGCAAAAAATGAAATAGAAGCTCAATTGGAAAAGTCGAACATGAGCCGCGAGTCCTCTCGTCAGAAGCACCGTCGGATTCTCCGTCGGATAGTACTATTCACACATGGGCCTCTTACCGTTCTAACTATAGTTCTATGCATAGTCACTCTCGAGGATAGGATGGAAATGCTTCCAATCATGGCTGTGGGGTTTACTTTGACATGCTCATGGTTGTCATTCATGTATAGTCAGAGACATCGGAAGAAGGCACTTGTTGTCTTGATTCTTTCCCCAGTAACCTTGGGTTACCTGTTCAGGAAATTTGGGCCGTTAATGCTTCTTTGGTTGGGGTATCCTTTTACACTCATGATTTTTTCTACTCTTCCTGTTTTATACTACCAGGGCTTCTCTACGTACGCTCATTGATATCACATGTTATTATTGTTATTATTGTTACCGGTATTATATGTAAGTAGCCCCTTCGGGCTCATGAAATCTATACAATAAAAAGACACGACAGTATCTCCCAAGTTTGCCATGTGAGGTTCCGTTGCAATAATTTAAGAAGCTTGAATTCTTTCCTCCTATAAATCGGTGCCACTGAGGATCGGTGGCACTGAGGTCTTCTAGCACTGTAGGCCCGGGGCTATAGTATGTAAGAATTCCTTACTGAATTTAGACATACGTAGTACTAGTACTCCTACACGGATTCCAAGTCGGAGTATGGCAGTGAGCGACCGTAGGGAGTGCATATGGTATACAAACTTGCCCAGGTGCCCAGGTGGGATTTAGTATGTAGTAGCGCCCGGGCGAGCTAGCAAGGATGGATTAAAATTGATCCGGCATTGACTAATTGGCTTTATTTCCACTTCAAGTTGTTGGTATGCTGTAGTCTCAGTCCAAGAACGAGGTACAACGCAAATGCAGAATATTCGTTCACAACTTGAATATCTAGATCAATATGTATATCAATTTCTTTTGGTATCAATATTTTGGCTGTAATATGAATTATTCCAAGGTTCCAAGGTTCCAAGGTTCTAACGTTCTAACGTTGGTATATGCGATCTCAATGGATGATAAGCCAAAAAATGCAACATTTGAATATGATATATATCAACTTAAACCTTGAAATATGTGAACTATGTACAGCTGCATGTGAGCTCAATTATTTTGTGCGTATTAGGTACTAAAGAGGGGAACCGTGAGGCACTGTATTTGAGATACACGGGTCGATCCACCTAGACTGAAAGAACAACACCAACCAACAAAGACAATGTGTCCGGACTACCCGTAGGGGTCAGATCAGAGATGTGTAGGAGTGTGTATTGTCTTCTAGTATCGAACGCCAATCTTGTACATACAATAACACAACATAACATAACGTAAGGAATGAACAATACCGAAATATCATACCCGTACGGTACGTGTAGTAGGGGACAGGGTACCCCACTACAGTACATAGTGAACGTGGCAGTTCACTCTATATCTGCGAACCACACAATCAAGAGATGCAGGGTCAAGGAAACATTTTAAAGAGACCAGATGGCAGAGGGAGAAGAGAAACAGGTCTGATATTACCTGAAAATATGGGGCATCTAGTATGGATATACAGTACACTAGATAGACTCGGACCTCTAACATATTTGATTAATCTAAATAAGGGTCCGATGGTGGCAAAGGTAGAGTATAATCAGGCGTCAAGAGTAAAGTCTAGCTACTATGCAGTGGGGTCAAATATGCGGGTCTCCTTTACCGGATGAATCATGATAGTGAGAGTCGAGACTGAAACTTTCACAAGAATTTAATCGCTAGAAACCCCTGTGAGGGATCAGATTAACGTAGATAGTCAGCTGATCCTAGGTTTTAGTATTTCTCAGCTTACATACCAGCTTCATCCCCTTTTCACACCTCATGCTCGTGTTACTATAGTTTCAACTTCCTAGCTACCACTTCCCGCACTTTTAGTCTTTATCATATCTCGGCGATCAAGGTGAAAAGTGACGATTTAGAATAAAACAAATTCCAGCATTTGACTGTGCTCGAAATCTATGGCTGGTCCCCCATATTTGTCACTAAGTTGCGTAAACTGCCGAAAACGCAAAAAGAAAGTAAAACTTACCCCGAGGCCCCTGATCATAACAGGAACTAACACCAAGTTCAAGTGTGATGCCCAAAAGCCAGAATGCAACAACTGTGTGAAAAAAGGTATCTCATGTTTAGGATATGAGTCGTACAGAAATTTTCTTCACCACCAACTACGCTACAAAAAAACGCACGGCGGGGAGACGAAACGGCCAGTTCGTCAGCTTACTTCGCATTTAAAGCCTTTATCCTTGCCATTTGCTTTCAATGAGAAGCCTGAGATCTGTAGCCAACTTTTCGCAACATTCATGCACAGCTTCTTCACATCCAATACGAATATCAATGGCAGAGACGATAGTCTCTACTTTCTCATGACACATTTCCCCACTATTGCCGGTGACTCTGAGGTCTTCGATCGCTCTGTGATGTCTTTAGTATGTTAATTTTTGGCAAAGGCTTCAAATGATAAAAGCTTGGAATACAAAGGCCTAGAGATCTATAACAGTGCGGTCAATGCGATGTCTCGTGACCTACGGCGAAAGTCAAAATCAGGAACGGAAATGCTCTATTCGAACGTCATACTCCATACACGCGAGGTGAGCCTCTCTGAAATTCCATTGATTTACGTTGATTATTAAGAAGAGTAGACCTTTAATGGTACCAATCAAGCCCTTCAAACTCTCTTGGTCCATATCAAAGGTAGATCAACTATTCTGAACAACTATGATTCGATGGGCGCTGATACTTTGACTTCTTACATCTTGAGGAGACATAAATGGACACTTGTAAGTAAGCTCAGTAACGACTGAGAATTTGAAGTCTATTCTAATCTATAATAGGCATATTGCATTCTGAACACAGAATATGGATCGCAAGAAGACTGGGACTGTCTCACTACAACACGGAATAAAACTCCTGTCGATGAGCTTTTTGGAATGATCGCGGATTGTGCTCGTCTCCAAAGAGATTTCATTGCTTCTTTAAATCTCTCTGGTCCCACAAAGGAATTCGCTCTCCTAGGGCTTTTACAACGTTGCTTTCAGCTTAAAAAGCTTCAAGCAGACTGGTATTCGCGCAATGATATTGAATTGAACCATAAAATCCATGAGAATCTTGAATTCTCGGTCAACTTTGATTTCAGTCCACACGAATTCGAAAGCCTTGAAATCGTCAAGACTTACATCCTTTTTGCCATAAATTTAGTCGTGGCAAATCGTGTGATGGCCAAAACTCAGGGTTGCTTAACAGGGTATTCTGACTCTACAAAGGTGCTATATTCTGCTCAGGAGATTTGTCGAGCTGTGGCTTACTGCATGAAGCCAATAAGAGTGGCGTCGACGGGACATGTGGTTTTATTTGCAGTATCACAGGCTTCCAAGGGCTATATTGACTGCGGGGACTTTGAGAGGTTCAAATGGTGCCAGAACATCTATACACTTATTCAGTCACGGGGAATTGGCCTCGCACAGCACCAGAGTGAGAGGGACTGGAACCTTTGGCATCACATCCAAAGCCAAAGAGCTTCTGTATCACAGTCAGGTCTGGTCTTAAGAACGCTTCATCCCTTGACATCATTGAATGAGGTGTCTAGATCGGCATAGAGCTCTTGAAGGAAATGGTTCCAAATTGGGTTCGGCTCGGCGCAAGAATAACGGTGGAAATATTCACGGAAGTTCAGAAAGTGAATGTCGATCTGAATGATTCCTGTCCGATAGCGTGTGGCTTAACAACACACCATTGGATAATTCAGCTCGAGTTGCTTTATTATCTAATTCTGGCGTGAAACTCTCCTTCAATTCTTGAGGCTGCACCGGTTTTTCGGATTTGGATAATCCTTCATGGCGTTGACGGCGTCGCATAAAAAGCCAGAAAATTCCTACAACAAGCGCCACGCCAAGGACACCGCCAACTGTTCCGCCAATAATAGCACCTTTATTCGAAGCCGACCCTGAAGGTTGCGAAGATGTTGTTGAGGTTGAGGTTGAAGTTGAGGTGCTTGAAGATCTTGTTGAAGTTGCTGTCACCATTACAATGGTGACTAGAAGAAGAATTTCAGTTGATGCAAATTTGTGATGATTTGAGATAAATTTTCCATAATCATTTACCTGGATTGGAACCATCATCAATTCCTTCCTTCAAAGTTTCCTCTGTAACACAGCCCTTGGAGTAGGTTGATATGTTTGAGAAGCCGTATAACCCTGAATCGCAGCAAAAATATCCTTTTATATCGGACCATAGTATCAAGGTGGAATTCGCACATTGTGTCAGATTGATCTGAACCGTATTGCTGAAATCACACCGAGAGTTGTTATCGGCATCTACACTGCGTATCATGCCATATGGGCAGCATGCCCACTAAACATCCCAAGTATGGGCTCCTTGTTCACTGTTCAAACACGCTTCTCTTCGAACCGCCCAGCCCGCTTGACCCACATCAGATATTGTAATTGTTGTGGCTTACTGCGACCCGCGTGCTAGGAATACTTCAATAAGATTTCGGGGACGGCGCGTGCGTAAGAAGGACGTTTCGAAGATAAACAAACACTTGGGAACTCGTGTCGGTAAAAGGCTTTTGCAAGTATCGAGATGGATGGAGGAGGTAATGATGGAAGATGTGCCATGTGTGATGTGATATGTGTAGGAGAGAGTAGGAAGGGAATATCTGCAGGGAAGGTGTGGACCACAGGAAGTGGTCCCAAATTCTAACAGCAGGCCTCTCTACATATGACATGTTCAATAATTCTTATCTTGGGCTTCTAATACAATTTCCAAGTCATTTTCCAGAGTCACATAAATTGATTGTTCAGATCAAGGCCACAGCTCTACCTGCACTAGTAAATGCTAGGCCTAAGTGGGCAATTTTTGCGAAAGGCCACCAGGGGCTGCATGAACGAATCATATACCTCGAGTTTCATTCTACAACATGGATGGATTCAGGAGAAGGAGGGTAGGACTTGAAGCTTGAAAGATAAATACTTGTTTCCAAGTTTGTTTTAAGTAGTTTTGCGGCTCAGATTGGTATGTAGAAAACATAACCTTGGAATTAACAATAATTCCAAGGGGGCGACTGTATCCGGCGCTGCTTCGTCTCGGATGATGTGCACCAGCCTCGTACTATGCACCACAAAAGTACCAGGTAGTATGCCCAGCCTCCAGGTATGCGGGTAATATGCGGGTAAGCACACGGACCCCTACCTATACTGGATATTGACCTTGTGACTATAATAGCCCTGGAGTGTACTTTGGTTCCTGGCCGGCATGAGCCTCATCTCAACAAAGTTAAGGTGGACGTGCTCAGGTGATCCTTCGGCGCTCTCTACAGTTGAAACTCGTTCTGTGATTCGTCATTAGCACATATTTAACGATTTTTCTTGTGGTAGATGGACCAGGTGAATACCACCTGAGGGGAGCAATGTACGCAGTCTGCTTCAAGTTCGGACGAAAATATTTCTTTTTCTATTCTTCGATCTTATATCATGATGGACTGTAGCTTAATTAGTGATCAAAATTCATGTCAGGCATTAAATTCAAATAGCACTCCTTCGAGCACTCAAGTTGGGATTTGCTGTTTTAGTATCTCCATACTCTGAATCAACAAGATGAGGCCCATCTATAGCCATTTCAATATCATCAGGTAAGGTTCCGAGACTGCCTTGCTGTACTCGGGGCTGTGAGACTTCACTCAAAGAACTATATCTTTGACTCGTATCTTTATGAGTGTCTTTTGGTGCGTGATGACGGAAGAATTGGCGGAGATAGGGGGCTGAGCCACACACGATCATAAAATTGGCCTCAATGACTCTATATAAACGAATGTTAGTAGGACCAAGTACACAAAAACATCCTTACCGGTTGAAATGTAGAGTTAGCTGAATGCCACATATAACTTACACGAAAAGACAAACAAGACCAATGTGGTATGGTTGATCGTCGGATGCAAGGAAAGGGACCAAAGTCACCAGGCGAACTATACTGGTTACCACAGTACTACAAGGCCAAAAAAGAAGAATCAGAATTTGGGCTGTTAGTGTTCAATTCTTGGATTGCGGATTCACGAACAGACACCCAATCCCAAATATAATCAATGCCCCGATCTTTTGCAGCAGCGGTAGATGCATTCCCCACATAACCTTGATAGGTATCATGATTAAGACCACATCACTTGCTGTATTCGCTATCGCTGTTCCTAGATGAAGACCTGTCCGATGGATGCAGGCGCTAGGATTTGACAGGCTCCATCCAGCCGGGATGGGATGGCAAGCGAAAATAAGCGCGAAAACCAGCGCGGTGCTATATGTGGAGATTGCAGCGGCAATAGAGTAGAGAATGTATCGCCACACAGGAACGGATTGAAGCAGGCGATAGTAAAGCATAAGGACGGCCAGCTTGGCGAATGCGAGCGCCGGGAGATATATGACTGCCAGGGCGAGGACGGTCTGGCTTATTCAGTCAATCAACAAACATCAATTCAATGATCTAGCGGCGTATTTGAATTAGTCAGTTACCTTCCTATAGGCGACAAGATCCGATAGAGGGATGTCCCAAATATGGATCGCGAAGCTGGAGTGGGCGTAGCCATCTATATCCATATTAGTCTCCTGATATCATGAAATGAACCTTTGATTCTCATACATAGAATCGTTGCTTGTGTCCCGATAGAGAGTATCTATCACATCATCAGATCCAATTTTGTTTCCGTTTCTCTCCCATTCATACCCAAGCAATAGTAATCAAAACTAGAGGTCATCAATTAGAACTAACTGAGTATACTCAATGAAAGGACTCACCATCATCCCACCAAAACTTGCCCATAATACATGCTTTTGTATAAATTCGCATGATGAGCAAGAGAGTAGACAACGTTGACCCAACACCTACTGCAATACGGTTGGCACTAAGTAGCCACGGTTGCGAATGGAAGTCCGGGGAGACTCCAGGAGGGGGAGGACGCACCCCCACAGTATGATTCATTTTAAGCGCATAGCCCCAACTTCCAAGTTGGCGAAAGAGAAGTTGCTACTTCGATAAATTCAAGTTTCTTTGCTCCGTTGATCTTTATTTAAGTCAGAAGGGAGCATGAATTCTTTAAAGGAGGCAATGTATAAATGACTTACGAGTCAATCATGTCAGCGGCGGAACTCTAGGTACAGCGTTCCAAGGATCTAGACCAGTCTAGGCAGAAAAGTGGTGCGGACTGGACCCACGAGCGGTCAACTGGTATACCTCGGCAGAATGCGAAGTTCCTGAATCCTGACATGATACATCTACTTAGATTCAAATGCATACTTTTACCACTACGAATTCAAGTCCGCAAATACGAAAATTATGAAAGACCATTTCCAAGGTTAAGTCAGCATTTCAACTGGATGTGATTTACTTCCTCAGCTGCTTGTTCTTGAGCACGCCTTCAATAACCCGGATTTGACTTTACTTCCCGATCTTCAAAATGCCTCGGAAGGAGGTCCCTGTCCGCCTGGAAGACTTTAGACCTGCTTGCCCGATTCCCTTGGTTATTCAGCCTCATGGACGTATTGAATGGCTGAAGGAACGCCTAAAGGAACCTAGAAATCAACGCCAAACAACTAACCTTTTGGCACTTATTCGAATGTATGAGACTGGGGAACTCGGGCCCCTTTCGCCTGGTCCTATAATCTTCATCTGTGAGGGGAAGATTGTGGATTCGCCACTTGGTAGTGGGAATCATCCTTCCGGAGAGTCTGCTATATGGGCTGAGGTTAGTCTCTATCTTCCTTGAATTTAGAAAATCTCTCAAGTGCTTACCAGTCCTCCAGGGCATTGCAATGCAAATGACGCAGCAGGTTTATCACAAAACAGCTATTCCAAACAGGGTTAGGATTTAGTTTCAAGCTGCTCGCAGAAGAATCATTAAGTTAGCTAATAGCACCCATGGAACAGCGACAGCATAATCAATTGATATACACCTCTGAGTCTGCATAAACGAAGCCATATGAATATACCAAGCGCAAGAACATAGCACACCACAGAAAGTGAGAGAAGAGACCTTGGAACTTCCTCAAGGCTGAAATATAGTTCTTGTGCATGAGAAAAAATTGAAATTGGAATTTCTACTGCTGGTATGATCGGGCTATTGTAGAAGGCGTAGCTCATATTAACACCTGGGCATTCAGATATCTGAAGGGAATACTAATAGAGGGCGGGGACCGATATACCTAACCATAGAAATCTCATTAAAAAGCCGAAGAGAGTGACGAGATATGTTCTCACACCAATAGAGTGAACAACTCTCTGTCATCCACTAAATCCTGAACGAAGTTTGTGTGTAGTCCAAATGACTGGTGCCCCCATGAGAAGACATTTAGCAGCATTCCAAGGTTGAGATCGACTTGATTCAGCATATTGCTCTGGCAGAAGTCAGGACCGAGCTTAAGACGGTAAAACTTGTACCTGGTCATATTCTTCAGTAACCACAGATAAGATAGGGAAGTCCCATTAGCATACCAGTGAAATTCCAAAATTGTTCTACAGCTGATATCATATCACGCTATGATACAGAACTTTCAAACTGAGTGAGGGGAAAAATCTGGCTTGATCAATGTGTACTAGCCCTTAGAGTTGATCTTTTTGTGCAAACATAAAATGAATCTAGCTTTAACCAGAGGCCGCGTACACCGGGCGCTAGCTAGTGCTGAGATTGGTGAAAGTACTTAAAACAGCGGAGCCGAGCTGGGCGCTAGCTAATACCAATGCGGGCAAGAGAATTGCTTAGTGAATTCGGTTCAGGCTGAGCCCATGCATCAGCATACATCCATGCAACGATATAACTTTCCGGGCTTTGCTATTACTTGCTGCTCTGAAAATTATGACTGACCGATTGACAGATGACCTCGGGATAAGTCCGAATTTGAGTTCTACTATTTCTTTGTCTGCATTGTATGCAGCCCTGGAGTGCAATTATACATACCCTAGTGCATTATAAAGTTTAATTCCACTGCAAGTCGGCGATCATATCTTAGCATACCAAGCTTAACCTCGATTGCTGTTCTTAGACTTGAACAACATTTCTAGCATGAAATTGAAAACTCGAGTCGGACTGCTAGATCAACGGATTCTGGAAGATACATACATCTAGCAAAAGACTGGTCTCTACCTAAGTAAAATTTAGACACCTCCAGCTTTCACTAGCTGGCAGATTCGCCTTGCCAATGGAAAAAGAAGAATTTTGATACAGTTTGCGCCACCCAATGAGTTCGCCATAGATAAAATAGAACAAATGAATAGAAGAAAAAAATTGATTGCAACTAATACAAGCACGAAAAGAAGAGAGAAAAAGAACAGGGAATAAAAGAAGAGGAAATTAAATCTCAGACAGCATCAAGCCAACAAAGATATCATTTCCGGCCTCATCCCTAGTTCAACCAGGTAAGAACCGGGTAAAAGAAAAGAAAAGAAGAAAAAAGAGAAAAAGAAGAAACTCGATGACACAAATGAATGCATCAAAAGTCGAGATCAAGGGCGCTTACACCATGCGTCAGAAAGGAAGAAAACAAAATTGAAACCGCGGCAGACATAAGAATTGGTAAACTCCGGAGCCAGTTGGGGAAAACAATGTCAAGAACGAGAGAAAAAATGCGCGGTAATCAAATTATTACTCCTGTCGGCTGCGCTTGGCACCGTGTGGGTTCCAAGTTGCGTCATTTCCGCCTTGGTTATTGAAGAAACCCTGGTTGAAAGCTGGGTTTTGGCCTTGGAAGCCTTGACCTTAAAAGTGAGAAGTGTTAGTATAAGAGCTTCGAATGCAACAACTGTAAGCCAGACAAAAAGGAGAAAATATAGAAAAAGACCAATAGCTAACCGCCAGAGGTCTCATAGTTACTCACCCTGCATACCCATGTTTCCGCCCATACCGCCCATCATCGGGTTCATGCCTCCAGCCATTGGGTTCATACCCATGCCACCGGCCATAGGATTCATACCGGGCATGCCCATCATGTTTGAGCCTCCCATATTGCCTCCGCGGCCACCACGCATGCCACCAGGGCCTCCACGCATACCACCCATCATGCCGCCTCGGTTGTTGAAGCCATAGTTGGGCATGCCACCCATGGCACCACCTTGGAAGCCACCCATCATACCTCCACTAGGAGCACCGCCCTGGAAGCCACCGCCCATGTTGTTGTTAAAGTTGCCGCGGTTGTTGAAGTTGCCCATGTTGCCGCCCATTCCACGGTTGTTGTATCCGCCGCGGCCACGGTAACCGCCGCCACTGCCCATGCCCATACCACCACTGTTGAAATTCATGTTCTGGTTACCAGCGTTGAAGCCTCCGGTCATGCCGCCGCGGTTGTTCTCCTTGCGCATTGGGGCATCCTTGGGGAGGGTGCGGAAAGGGTTGACATGTGGGTTGGTGTAGTTGACTGAGTACTTGCGGCCACTAGCGCTGAGAGACTCGATGGTGTTCTTGGTAGCTGTAGCTGACTGGGTGGTGGTGAATTCGACAAAAGCTTGGCTATTTAAGATAGGAAATGTTATCAGTTTTGAGGGAGATGGGACGAAGTGCGGGGTGATGTAGGTACAGACGAAGAGGGAGGGAGAAGGTCGGGGAATATTAAAAACTGTATAAGACGAATCAAAGCTTACCCCTTGCTCTTTCCATTAACCTTGTGCTCGCTGAAAGTCACATCTTTGAGGTCACCCTCGCTGTTAGCTTGATTGACCCAACCACGGATATCATCGTCGGTAGTCCACCAGGTGAGATCGGAGATCAGTAAAGCGGTTGTAGCGTCAGGGTCCGAGGGACGATCGTCATAATCCTTACGCTTGACCCCGTGAGGAGCAGCGGGAGTTTCCTGGGCGATTTGGTGACGTGCCATCGTGTGATCACCGTTGGTGGCGGCGGCAGGTCGAGAGTCAGGAACAAGTGAGGGCTTCACTTCTGGAGACTCATTGTCGCCTGCATTGTCGCCTGAGGATTCGGGCAACACACGCTGGGGAACATCTAGATCCAATTCTTCATCATCTGGGTCCACCTTGAAATCACCTTGTTCGGCAGTGTAGCCGGCATCTCCATAGATGTCAATATCGAAGTTATCATCTTCCGTTGCCATTGCGTACTAGGGGTCCCGAGTATCGGGGGCACAGCAGGCTCAGAGCAAAGAATCGATTTCTGGATAATGTGGGAGAGATGTTGGATGTACACAAGGGTCTTTTCTTCTGTCTGTTTTTTTGCCTTCTGATTCTTCAATCAAGTAGAGAACATGTCTGTCAATTCAAGTAATCAATTAGCATGGAGAAAGAATCCAGCGTTCAGCTATGGAGACAAGAATGGTAGATTCGAGAGTGGTGCGTGTGAGGCCTTGCGTGGCAATGTAGAGATGCGGAGAGATGAGACGTGAATAGATGAGACGTGAACACATGAGACGAGTGAATAAACCGGACGCAACATGACAAAATAAAACAGGTGGGCAAAAATAGACACGACGATACGTACAATCCAAATCTGACTCCCTGTTTGTCCTTGTGAATCAGAATCGCCGATCTCAGGCGCGTACAGAGAAATGCTGTCTGGGGATACAGGGAAATGAAAAGGGGGGGTGAAATCTGCCACAGACCAGCCGTAACAGGCACAGAGATATAAAAGTCCAAAAGGGGAACAAAAGGAGATCAGTGTAGCAGTTATCCTACCATAAAAACCTGGGGGGTGATGGAGCGAGAGGTGTTGAAGCTGGCGAAGCTGCGAAGCTGGGGAGCGGAGGACGGAAAAACAAGTTAATCCGGAGTTTCCCCGAGTTCAGGCCAAGTCACCGATTGAACACGCCAACACCAACTCCAACTCCCGCTTTCTCTCCCTTTAACTTCTTTTACTTTCCTTACCATCTTCCACCTTTTCTCCTTTTTTAATATTCTACTATCATCATGTCTGATACTTTCCAAGAGCTTGCTGATATCCCTAAGGACTTTGTCCGTGAGGGAACCCTGTTCGTGCGCCGCTGCACCAAGCGTATGTTCAACTTCCCCAGGTTCCCCATGCGACAATTTAATGTAGTTGCTGACTCTATTTCTAGCCGACAAGCGTGAATTCATCAAGATCAGCCAGGCCGTTGGCATGGGATTCCTCGTTATGGTATGTCCCAGCTCCTTCGCCATCCATGCAGTCTATTGTGCTGGTGAACTAACTGATTCAATCAGGGTGCTATTGGATACTTCGTCAAGTTGAGTAAGTAAAGCTACTGTTGGAACCAGATTCCTTACTACTGGATATGCGAATCCATGAAACTAATATGTGTGATTGTTCAGTTCACATTCCTGTCAACCAGGTTCTGGTCGGTGGCGCCTAAGCGCATCTTTTCGAATCAATAATAATGGCGCTACAACGAATCGGGAGTTGATAAAGAAGAAACAGTGCGAGCGGGGGGGGGGGATGACCGGAGAACTTTCCAACAAAATCAACACCTCCGGTGCACAAGACAATACCAGGGGGTTCTGGAATACACCAGGACCCCTCTTTATCAGATACACTAGGTTGATATATTTCTATCTTATCGTCGGCTTTCATGGCTTAGCTGCCATGATGCCTCTTTTTTTGTTTGGGGTGCGATGGCAAGGAGTGCTTCATCGCTGCCCTTGAGATACCACATACCACTATTCTTGTACCAATAGGGTTATATTCTTCTTTTTTTTGTTTTTGGATTTAATTGATGAACCTCCATACCCATCTATTTCCCCTTTCTTTTATCTTATGTGACATTTTGACAAAAACAAAATGAAATGCGACGTAATTGCGTGTTCGTGAATCATTATACTTCATAACCAATGTGACCTGAACCCTGATTTAGGTATGGAGCGTCTCAAAAACATTGTGGAAAATGATCACATTCGAGTGCTTTTCATTTTGCTCAATCCCCATTACCACTCTTGACCGTCTTCGTTTGCATACATTCGCCGCACAGGCCTGCTGCGCAGTTGTCGTCTCAAGTGTGCATTCTCTCGGTAATGATTGAACTCGGGAACAGATCTCAACTTTTCGTCATAGCTCTTCCCAATCGAAGGTTCTCCCTCATCTCCATCAACACCGTCATTCCATGAATGTAAAGTGCAGGTGCCAGTAGACAGGCCCCATCCATTCCATGAGGTCGCTATTGTTGGTTAAGTCAGTCAGCCAGAACAACATAAGAGTAATAGTATTGAGGGCTTGCTTACCCGCAAGGACTGGAGCATTCGGATGCCAGCTAGCATCCCGAACACATGTCCTCCATAACATCTCCCCGCTCATTTCATACGCGGTTGCGGATACATCTGGCTCACGGGGTCGCGAGTTCATGGTGGCTGCCCCGACATCAATGGTTCCAGCCAGCGTGGCATCCATATTGTACACGTACACCTTACCGTCTTCACTGCCGGTATAGACATAGCGAGAATTTGTACTCCCTGGGGGCGAGAAATGGCAGCGAATAAGAGTCTTCAGGACACGGTGGCCACGGAACGTAACAACCGAACAGTCATGCTCATGTGGCTCATAATAGTCATCGGGATACGGCTCGAATCGATAATCAAAGCCGGTGGTGTAGCTATTAGGGTTAACTGTATCGAACTTGGCTGTTGACATCATCTTGCGGAGGTCCCACAGTTTCATCGTCTGGTCCTTGCCATTGGAGAGAACATATCGGCCGTCGCCTTTACTGTCGACGTAGGTCAGACCCTCGGTGTGGCCCATGAACACACCAGCTTCGCGACCATCAGCCATAGAGCGACGATCCCAAACTCGTAACGTGGTGTCGTCGGACCCGGAATAAAGGATATGAGGAGAGGAGGTGTCGCCGAAACAGACTGCATTCACATGATGTTGGTGTCGTTCTCGAAGATTGAGAACGGGTTGTTTAGTTTCAAGATCGTAGACGATGACAGAGTCTTCGGATGTTCCTGCCACAACTTCACGGCCATCTCCAGAGAATCTAAGAGACCATATCTGAACGCGAAACAATGTTAGCAATCTTGTTAATACCACATCGAGATCCGATTCATGAAACATACCCCAAAATGTGAGCTGCCCCAGCTTCGCCGCCGCCGTTGACCCGGTGGTAGAGAGAAATCCAACACCGTTGGATCTGAATCATTGTCTGGGTCTGTTGGAGCTAAGTATGCTTGACTGCGTATTGAACTGTATACGAGATGACGATTATCTGGACTCAGAGTGGCATCCGTGATGGTCCACTGACCAAACGGGTAATCGACGGTCTTGTAATACTTCCATTCGTGCGGATTGGACGTGTCATACATGCGCACTTTGAAGTCTTGCGCACAGCAAAAAAAGAAATTCCCGTCATCCGAGAATTGACCCGAATAGCTTCGAGAATCATAATGGATGATCTTGTCAGCTGCGGAACCCGGGATCATTTTCTAAGTCATAACAGAATTAACCAGTGTACCAATGTATGTGAATCTCTTCAATAAGACTTACCTGTGATAGAGCTTGGTTAGCTCTCTTGCGCACTCCATAAGCGTCCACTCCAAGCTCTCGCCACATAAGGTTCGTTGCGAACACCTTCTTGCGTTGTTTGAGGCGATCTACAAAGTGATCGTCTGTTCCAAATTGTCCCTCGCCCATCAATTCAATGCCCTGGTCACTGGGAACCTTGGGGAACTGATCCGGTCGAGTAGCTCGTCGCCTTCGCATTTGACCTCTGAATCCTGCAGAATAAAAATCATCTTCCTCGTCGTCTTGCTCATCCTCATCTTCATCATCTTCCATGTTATCTGAGAAATTGCTTGTCCATCCATTGGAGCGCAGGATATGCTGTAGACCGCTAGATGCAAGCAATTCGAATAATCGTGACGCGGGAACTATAGCGAGCGCAGTTAGCTAACATGGATCGCCGATCATCGGAATCCTTATCAGTGACATACTGCGGGTAACACCATCATGTTCCTCCTCTCCTTCTGGGGGCTCGTCTGTGGTCAACTCGATCTGGAAATCCCCAAGATTGATTCTTGGATTCTCTGCAAGGGATTGAATTAGCTCAGAACCTCATTTGAATGGATGATCAATGCGCGATCCATGCCTTCTGTAATGCCGAGGTCTATTTGATTCCGGATGGCCTCATCTTCCCAGTCCTGGTCGTCTGCAGAACCCCCAAGGGCTGGGTGATAATCCATATCTAGTTCGTCGTCGTCTTCGTCTTCTTCAAGCCATTCTTCTGCAGGATGCCATACTGGCTCATCCCTGGCCTGCTCTCGTGATCCATGAGAGCTCATGATGTAGTTGGTTGATATGGAGGAGTGCTTATCGATAGCGGAGTGATGATAAAGTCCAGGGCCCCGGGGCTGAGGTCACCAGGTTAGTCAGCGCCGGCTTTATGCACTTAAATCCGAGAAGTTATGCATACGGAGTATACACCATGCTGACAGGCTATGACACACCTGGAGCTTGCATCATCATCAAACAAGATCTCTGGTAAGGTCTGCAGTCATGTATCTTGTTTCACTGCATAATTGGTTTTTACAAGTAAGGGGCGAGGCCTTGAGGCCTGATAATCGATTACTTGCCTGGTCCTTATTTCAAATTGAGAAGGGGTTTTCAAATAACTCTCAAATAAAACCCACAAATAACTTGATCATTTTCATAATCTACAGTTATCATTCCCTGGCCTCTCTGGGCCGAACTCGCACATTGCACTCGCTGTTTTTCACGAAGAACCCTTCCCGTACCTCTGTCTCCAATTCATTGATCCTCTCGATCTCAAAGAGTCTAAAGATTGTTGCCAACGTTTTGAGCATTTCCATCCAAGCAAAACTGTGGCTAATTAGCTTGGAACACGACCCTTCAGTATATCAGACTCACTTTCGTCCAATGCATGCTCGGGGTCCCGTCGAAAACGGAAAGAAAGAATCAAGAAGATCCGAGGAGCTCCCATTTGTCCATCGAGAAATATCAAAAACTTCTGGGTTCTATATTCCGGTGAGTAGTTGGATCTGCGAAGAGCCTATTGGGTAAGGCACACCCACTGCAAAAACACCAGGATTATGGTGGATGTTAAGCGTTGGCACACTTACTAATGTCTGTTGATACGATGCACTCAGTGAATATTCTCATTATATAGGTATAGGTGAAGTATGAGATCAGATTGGAAAGAGCTTACTCCTTCTGGAATATATTGTCCAGCAATGATCTTCCCTCCAGCAGGAGTGACTCGTTCCAAGCCGGTGGAACTAGTGGGCTTGAACCTCATGGTCTCTCGAACAACAGCGTTCAAGATAGGAAGTTGATTAACAGTCTGAAAGTCAGCGACCCAATTACCTGGAATCGGGCTTGGAAATGCTTGGTCCAGCTCCCTTTGAAGTTGCTGCTGAATCTCAGGTACTCGCGATACGATATCCACAACGTTGGTCATGGTAGAACTAGTCGTATCGCTTCCGCCAACAATGAAAGAGATTGACTCGGCGATTATCTCGTTCTCACTGAGGGCTGCTTCGGTATCTGGATCTTTGGCGTTGAAGAGAAAACTGAGGAGATCCTTTCGGCTGCTCTCTTGGTCTCTGCGTTGGAAATAGGCATTCTTTCCAATCCATGCCAGGTTTGAGGTTGCTCGTAGACCTCTGGGCCAGAAGGAGTCCAAGAAGAAGTACTTCATCATTGGTCGAAGGAATTGTGGGATGTGTCCAAGTGCGTTCAGGACTTCTCCTCTCGCATCGATGATTGCTATAAGGTTGAGGTGGTCTCGCTCATGATCGAGGAAGCCGAAAGACTTCCCAAATGAATAGTCGCCTGCGTATCTTGTCAGTTGTAGGACATACGTTGAAATTCATTGCAATATGCACTTATAACGTCAAAAGCCAGATAATTCGCTATTCATGTTAGCTGTTTCCAGATCTTTTCTTCTGTCTCATATACTCACAGTAGTCGTTGAAGTCTACTTCAGCTGACTTTTTATCCTTGGTATGACGATTAAAGCACTGCATCAACTTGGAGATTTGTTCAGTCATATGAGGCTCATATTCTTTGAGATTCTTGGCAGAAAAAGCCGCACTTAGATATCGCCTTTTGCGTTGATGAACTTGCACGTCTTGGGTATTAAACAGAGCAGGTTCAACTTGATGAAATGGTAAAGATCTGTTAGTATCGGGAGATTCCTGTTGGGCTGATTGCAAGATTACTTATCTTCGTAAAATGGACCTTTAGTAAATCCAGACTTGTGTCCATATATCGTTTCCAATGCTTCCTTGTTTGAGATTGAGATATGCTTTGGCGCAATCCGGACAAATTCCCCATGCATTCGATGCTGGTGGAGGGTTGAAATTGAACGCTTTGCTTGTCGGCATTGTAAAACAACCCATAGCGATGAGAATTTTGCAAGAAATGGTCCAGGAATTTGGCTCAATGGATCAAAGAGTATTCTGTAGATGAGATGAAATAGAACCTAATAAAATTCATGTCAGATCATTAATATTATTTGACGTGGTTATACTGGGGAGTTCATCCATATTCCGCTCACCAATACTGAGAACCCTAGGAAATAACCAAAGATCGTAGTGTTTTTCCAAGCCTCTGTAAGAAAAGACATTGTTGAAATGAAATTTGAATTCATAAACTTGACTGAAATTTTGGGATTGTTCTTAATATAATGACAAGTTATGTGTAAGCGCCGACCTCATATTATGCATGCACATAGCCGGGGACAAGTCGGGATACCAGGGATCTCCAATCCCCGCAAAACTGTGCAGTTACATCCGCGAAGTCTATTTTGCGGAGTGTTTTAGCAATTCTTCTGCATTAGGATTATCTGCATTTGAGATGATCTAATAGAAATATAGACTGGAGATTCCAGTACCTCGGGGCGAGGTCGGAATCTCCAGATGAACGGCAAATATGGTGATTCAAAGTACCGATATGCACGTCAAGACTTCCAGTTGCAGTATAACTACCTGTTCACAGCATTGAAAAAAAATTTCATGTGAGAATATGCCTCTCATTTGAAGCTTATGGCTATGTTCGTGAGCAGAATCAAGATTAAGCTCAGCTATGTTAGCAAATCATCACAACGGCCTGTTGCATCCTTTTGGACTTGAAAGGATACAAAAATGCCTTTTATTCGATCATGACTCGTTTAAAAAAAAATGACGATAATCATCATCATTGAAAATGCGACCAGGCCAGAACTTGAACATACAGGAGTCTCATTGTCTGAGATACTACACCTACGGAGTATCGGAATGCGAGTCCCACTGATAAGGCGGATCAACCATTTTTCCCGCATATCAACCAAATCCCCCGCTTCTCTCGCTTCGTATGCGGAGTCCTCCTAATCTGTTCTAGACGAATCCCATTCTCCCCCTTTTTCGGTACTTTGAACAAGTACCTTAAACCTTGAGAGGTTTCCAAGATTTTCCCTGTTCTGTTTCTCTCTTTTGAATCTCCCCCACCACCCCCACCATGCAGCACGTCCCAGAGTCACGTCAACAGACCTTCGAGGAGATCTATGGACCCCCGGAGAACTTCCTTGAAATTGAGGTAAGCAGCCACACCTCATATACCACAAATGACCTCTCGCTTCCCGAAAATGGCGATCAAAATTATATGTCGCGTGCTCAGCCACCATCTGCACCGTAATGCAGCCCGGCACCGGAGAACCAGATCACCCCCTCACACTACCCAAAACCAAGAGTCAACATCAATAACCAAACTAACCCTGAATTCTAGGTCCGTAACCCTCAAACACATGGCACATCACGAAATATGTACACTTCATACGAGATCGTCTGCCGGACCAATATTCCTGCCTTTAAGCTAAAGCACTCTGTTGTGCGCCGCCGCTACTCGGATTTTGAGTACTTCCGTGATATCCTCGAGCGAGAGAGTACGCGCGTTACTATCCCGCCATTGCCCGGAAAGGTCTTCACAAACCGATTTAGCGATGATGTCATTGAGCACCGTCGTGAGGGACTCCAGCGATTCTTGCAGATTGTAGCGGGACATCCGTTGTTGCAGACAGGGAGCAAGGTGCTGGCTAGCTTCATACAAGGTGGGCTCCTTCTTTTGGCTTTCTTGCTTTACGTTTCTGTCTTTCCCGGGGAACCTCTGGTTCAATTGCCTTTGAATTATAAGGGCTTGTTTATGGTCGTCATTTACTAACGTGTTTCTTACTTAGACCCCAATTGGGACCGCAATGCGTGGTAGAATCGCATGTGTGGACCATTGAGCATCCAGTTTGATGTCACAATACCTTACAGTTTCGTCTTCTTTTTTTGCCTCTCCTCGGAGTAATTTGAGCGCAATTGGGCTTTAGCCAAGAGTTTCCCGTTTCCATTTCCCCTTTTTATTCCTTTCTTGATATTGGTGTCCTCTGCTCGATGGTTAAAATTCGGATATCCCTTATTTTGCAGTCTCTGTGCTCGGTCATAACCGCATTCCAGATTCCCTTTGGTAAACTGACCTTGTTTATGCATGTCTTTCCAGGGAGATCACGGTAGATAGTGTACGTTATGTGATGGTCTCTGATATCCATTATCATTTTATTCTTCTTGCATTTTCTTTTCTTGTATCCTTCCGAGAATCATGGATCGCTTTTATGTAGATACAAATGTGCATGATTCGAGTTAGTCATTCACTTTGGATGTAAAGATTAAGTTTGTAGATCGGACCCATCATCGTCTGAATTACGAGGATATCCTCATTGAAAACTATTAAGGAAAAACCATCGTGTACTGCGGGATATCGACTGAAAACATGAAGCACCGAAACAGAACCAGCCCGAGAGAAGAAGAGGAAGAGACCGAAAGAAAAAAAAATAAGAAAAAAGAACACCCGAAATGCTGAATAAAACCCGAGATATCGATATAGATCGTACCAATGAAAATCATAACTCAAAACTTTTCTGTTGCTTTTCATGTGAGGGACAGCCCTGCATCATCCTAGGTCATCCCAGACCATAGGAGCCAAGGTATTATCCTCCCAAGGCGAGGACGGGGCGGCGGTGTTATCGTCCAAGGAGAACGAGAGTGTATTTGCCGAAGGTTCAAGAAAGCCCTGTGGCGGTGGTAAGAACGATGGGTCGAATGAAGCACTGGTAGCGTGGGACACATTTGACGATTGACGACTGTGTACATGGGGATCGGAATGGCGATGGATTAAAGGAGGGGCTTTGGTGGTAATAGAGCCGCTGCTCGCAGGCCTTTCTTTCGGTGGGCCAGGGTCGCTGGTGTGAGATTTCAATTCCGGAGGATTGAGTGCTTTTCCATTAACAGAGCCACCATCACGATAGACATGGGGAAATTTTGTGCGGAAGCGGTCTCGCAGGTCTGTTGCTCTACGGTGGCCGAGGCTTAATCTTTTATCCTGCTGAATGAGAGTCCATTGAAAGCCATGGACTGCGTATCCCTTCAGAAGGGCCTCATCTTCAGCAGTGGTGAATGGGCGACGGGAGCGGCGTTTTGATTTGGCTGTGACGTGAGGCTCTGGAATACCGAGGGATTCAAGAGTACTGCGCGTCTTGTTGGAGAGGGCCGGTGTCTCGCTCGCTGGCGGTGACTGCTGAAGAGGAGTTGGACTTCCTACATCTGTGTCGAGTATTGTAGCGGACAGGCTGGGCGTGGATGGTTTATGGGAGCTGGCGGATGGGCTACCTGCCCCTGAACCAAGTTCAGATCCCAATCCTGTGGGAGTCAAGAGTGGAAGGCGGATTCTACCAGCTGCATCAGGCCCCCCCTTCAGCTTGAGCTTTGAGAAGAGCATTTGCTAGATTGTCACGTAATTGCTTCGTGGCTTCGTTTGGATCAGATGCGCTAGTTTATGATATCAGAAAATCAAATTAACTGCATCCTTTTGACGTATCAGCTAACTTACCGGTATGCCCAAGGACAACAAACTCGAAATCTTTGATTGCAAATTTTGTATCAGCATCAAGTTAAGATAGAAAAATGAGTCGTATTTCCGTTTTCATACCTATCCTTCAGATTGGAGGCCGTTCGCTTATTGAACCTAAGTTCTGGCTGGGCCAGGATGGCTGTCCAATTACCAATTCCACATTTCACCACCCCTCGGATGAGATCAGTGGTTTCCTCCTCAGTCCATTTTCTCAAATTCTTACGGGATCGACCACGGGTCTTCGGAGACAGGGGCTCATCGCCATCTGGGACGGGACTCGGGGCGCTATCATTTGGAACGATTTCTTGGTCACGGATTGCGGACTTATTACTTGGAATTTCGGATGGAGTAATTCGTTCGTCTTCATGATCATGTACATCGTCATCTTTGTGGTCATCAAGAGTAGCCCCAAGCAGCTCTTCGATTCTGGCTTCTCTCCTTTCTACAGGTTGACCCTCAGAAGGAGTGCCACTGGTCGAAGCTAAGATAGCAGGATCGACAGCCGCTGCTTGTCCATTGGAAGGCTTGGATAGAAGCTGTGTGATAGTGCCTGCTTCAATAGGCGGAAGAAGTGCGGCATTAGGAGGAGGTTCATTCAGACCATTCAGGATAGCAAAAGGGCCAAATGGAGGAGGGCGCTGTTCTTTTTGCGCCTGTGGTATAGGAAGCTGTAGATGTTCATTAAAGGATTCAGCCTGTAGGTCTACGCGACGACGTTTGCGCGGACCATGCAGGGCATCGTCATCAAAGGAGGAAGAGAAAGGAAAGCGCTCCAAAGCACGTAGATTTACAAATGCTGGGAGAATCGGCTTTGGCAAGGGTTCCACATTAGACTGGGGATCTGCGTTCGACTCGGCCTTTTTTGTTCGTGCAGCATTGAGAAACTCGGTGACTGTTGGCAATCCAGGTTTTGAATTGGAGATATTCCCTGATGCAGTAGATGATGATTTTGAGATTTGGCTGGACTCTCTAGTACCACTGGCATTGGGTTCTAAAGGAGAAGGAATGCTTAGCGTGCGGGAGGAAACTGGTTCCCGCAGAGGAGCAATGCGTAAAGAGAGTTGGGGAAGCTCGCGGAGGAGAGATTCGTCCAGGGGTCGCAACGCCCCGCTCGAATCCATACTCTCTCATCCGAACTCGCGCTATCTTTCTAGATGGATCCGATCCATGGAGCCATGACGCACGACTTGCATAGGTGGGAATGAGAGGCTTTTCGATAACGAAATACGATAACCTTGTTGGGGCGGTGAGATATGCCAATAGTGCAGCTACGTCAGACTTCAACTTAACATCAACAACAATAAATCCAGGCCTAAGTGTTAGTGGTTCTTTTTTGTACATATGAGATACCCATTAGGTTGTTTATATCCATCTGAGTTTGAGCTCATTTGAGATATTCATTTGAAGTGAATCCAATACATTACCACTGCAGTATGCAACTCCTAGTCCCTGCCAAGCCCCAAGCTCCACGCTTCAACCAAGCTAACATCCTCAATCAGAATTACTTCACCAAGCGCCAGTACCCTGAGGACTCAATCTCTCATAACAAAATGCCAACCATATTTCCAACATGGCCTCATGTCCTCTTCGGCATTCTAGAGCCGATCTCCTTGTACGATTCCCCGTACGAGCCTCACCTCCACCGAACACCAAGCTAATCAACTCTGACATCTCCGAAACAGGGTAATGGGCAGTCTAGCTCCTGTCTTTGATCTCGACGGATTCATTAATGGTCAAACCCCTCACCTTGCCGGTCCATCAATCCAACACCCAAGCAGTGTAGCACTAGCCTACCAACTCGGCAACCTCTACCACCTCCTCTTCCTCGTCGGCGTCGCCGTCCTACACACAAGTACAGAACCCGAGGTCCTCCGCAACTACTTGATTGCCCTCACCATTGCAGATGTCGGACACGTATACGCTACATACGTCGCTATGGGATTGGACGCATTCCTAGATGTGGGAAGTTGGAACGCGCTGACATGGGGGAATATCGGCGCGACGGGGTTCCTATTCGTGAATCGGATTCTTTATTTCCTTGGATTATTTGGTCAGGCGCGAGCGCCCAAGGTAACACACAAAAACGAATGAATATTACATTCCAGTTACTAGCCTGGAAACCCAATTCCGGGCTACTGGAGTGTTATTGGACAGTTGACTCGGACTACTTACCGATAATAGAACTACATATACTCCAGTTTAATGTATCCCAACTATGGCATTGTCTGACCCATCTGACTCATTGTTTCAGAACTGTCGCATGATGGGACGGGACGGGACTATTATCATTGATTTGACGCCCAAGCCCGGCGGTTCGGGCGTAATGGATTAGATCTGATTTGCCAGGAGGATTTCCCAGTCCAGACCCCAATGTCAGCCTACTCTTATCTAGGGTTGGAGTAACCCGCATGGATCTGAGTTTCATAGCAGGCGCCATGAGTGACACTCGCTTACGTTGACCAGTCTTAGAGGGCTTGTTATAGCCCTGAAATTACACCAGTCAAAACAAAACAAAAAATAAAAATAGTCGAGATCGGGTGACAGGGATTAAACCTGGAAATTGGATTGAAAAAAAGTACCGTGCGCATGAATTCATGCAACTCCCAACGCCCAGCACTGCGGACACTATCTAGCATGGGTATAGCGAAAGAAAAGAACATACACATACCTAAAAGACGAAACCCAGCGCAGGAAGCCAAGGAAATCACAGAAAATGCAGTATCATCTCATCGTCCTTCCAATGAAATCAGATCAAAAGCAAAAAGAACCAAAAGAACCAAAAAAGCAAAAAAATAAATCGGAAAACACAAATGTGAGGGATAGAGAGAAGGTGAATAAGGGTCCAAGAAGTATCTGGAATCCAAGGGCTAGAGCCATAATTTCAAATATTTTCAGATATCAGAGATGCGCAGAGAGTGAAAAAACCTGATCACCTGCATAGCATGCACGCCACGACCAAAATCAGGGCATTCTGAGTCTCCGGGTTCGGCGACAGACATAACAGGTGATGATCACCACTCGCCTCGCGAAAACGCAAGTGGATTCTGCAAGTAATCGAGAAGAGGTTGGATTGCCGGTTCTCCTTGTTGCTGGTATTCACGGAGATGTGGGAAAAGGAAAGGGAGACCCGGGTTCTCACGGTAGTATTGCCGGTATGTGGCATAGTTATGGGATGGGTTTGTTAGGAAGATTGTCTCTGGTGGGAGGAGAGGGTCTAGAACGACCATTCCACCGATAGTACTGTTTAAGCCGCGGGATGGAGCGGTTGCGATGGCGTGCATATGTAAACCATTGAGAATTGCTGTGAGCGAGTGGTAGTTTCGCTTTGGGAGGAGGTCCTGGATTCTAAGTTAGAGATTTTGTCTTTTTTGTAGATTTGGTAGACTTGCCTTTGCACATTCCCCTAAATAAGGAATCAGGTCTGGCAAGGCGGTGCAGCACTCCCAGACTGATATACTGAGGGTTTGCCAGTTGGATAACAGCGATTTTACTGTCGCGTCTCCGGTCATGATGCCTTGTCGAGAAAGTGACGCGAAGTCATACTCATCAGTACCTGTCAAGGTCCGAGCAAGGTCCGTTGCAGATGTCGATCCTATACATTCTTCTAAGAAGAGGATCGTGGTGTCGAATTGAGTATGCCAGTCCATTTTGGAGGCATGATTATAATGTCGACGGAATCGAACTCCCAGCACGCTAAATACCTTGAGAATAGTTGTCAAGCTGTTTGGCCGGCTAAAAAGAGTTTGAATGGGCTGAGCGATGAACTCGAAGCCTGGCTTTTTCGAATATGGAATGCTGTCAGCTACCTCTGGTATGAGATCCTGCAAGCATTTTATTATAGCACGACGAGCAAACGGGCTTCGAGAACGTAAATGCTATAAAATGTTAGCTGGTGTTCTGGTAGAAAACCATATAATAAACTGTAAATGAAAATAGAGAATGATCAAATATGAAGTATAGTCACCACGCACCTTCTCCACTTCTACGTAGATAGGAGTCTCCTCTGGAAATGCCTGTAGGTGGTCCTTGAGATGAATGTATAGAGCAGTATGCTGTAACAAAAACCACTCTATCGAAGGTGCATTGTATCCCAGAGCTGCACGAACGAGTTCCTCAAATTCAATCTTGGTGAACTGGAAATGGCTCTCTGTCTCAATAGTCGCTGCAATACTCCGCGCATCCAGTGAGTGGTCCGGTAAAGGCGGGAACCAGCTCCATGGAATAGGTCGAAATGGAGGTATACTTGAGCGACGCAGGATCTCTTCCACTCTTTGCATATGAGACAGAGTAGAGAGAAGCTGTTGATCCCGCGGTTCACACAACGAGACCAAGAACGCTTCAATAGTATCCGCATTACGGCTCATGAGAGAATTTCTCGGGGAATTATCATCCCGAAACAATCTGTATCGGATAACTTGACTGATTTCGGGGATGTTGAAAGCCCATAGAACCGTGGTGGCTTCATCCTCCCACCAGCGATACGAGATGGCAAAACGGGGGATTTCTGCGCCCAGAACAAACAAATTCTGATAGGATGGAGACCCGTTTTCCATCGTCGGTTGAACTGGAACTTCAAGTTGAAGATGGCTTGAGTTGGACATGATGGAGAGTGGAGAGGGCCTATCGGGTATGTATACTCTGCCTCCAGGCTCAAAAGCCATCTCTTGGAAGGACTGCATTTAAACAAATACCACACCACCCGGCCAGGATTTTCCAAGCCAACACATTGAAGTAATACACCAGCTGAGGTACATGTGACGCGACGCTTGTGCAGACGAGGATAGGACCCGGGAAGGAGGCAATATAAGGGGATTTTATTACAAGGAAATTTTCCAAAATGGAATCTCCGTACGGGAGGAATTATATGAAATAATAATAATGTGGGTAGTTAGAAAAAAAATACATAATTATTTATTTAATAAAAAAAATAGAAAATAGAAAACAAAAAAGAATTCCGGAGTATATGGTCAAGACGATGTGGGTGGCGGAACAGGAATGGAGACCGGAGAAAATCATGCATTTACCCAAAGCTCCCCTTTTCGGGTTATTCGGAGGCGTAGATGATTGGTTTTTAATGTATTATAATTGCTATTATTATTTCTCAATATTTATTAAATATACTTTTCAAGTGCCATCTCCCTACTCCAGTGGACTCATCACGAGGTAGAATCATAAACGGGAGCGACGGCAGACGATGACTGGCTGCATTGAAAACAGGGGGCGCCAATCCTAGTTCCAACCTACTGGGAATCCCAATAGATAGGAAAAGATTGGGCAAGAAAGTGAAAAAGGTGGAACAGGTGGAAAAAGATGGAACTTCTTGAAAAAAGGGGGTAAAGATTGTCCATCATAACACACGTATGCTTCCTTAAACTGGCCCCAGATCGGCCGGGGAGGAACCTTTGGTCTCCAGGGCTCCACCATAAAGAATGGTCCCTGTATGGGGTATGGGTAACAGTCGCACTTTTTAGATGGAAAGGAATAAAAAGAGGAATAAAAAATCATTTATATTAAATCTGGATTTTCAAACTTCAAGTTGATCATGATGTGCGTATCATATCGAAATCCCGTTCTATGCCGAGCACCCGTTGGGGCTGCAGGCCAGTTCGGTTTGTAATATGACAGGAAATAAAGATGAAGATGTCTTTGGTTGTTAGATAAATCGGTTGGGAAGCGGTCTACGATTCAACCTTCTGGAAGATTCATACGGAGTATACAGAGTATGATTTGTTCTTTGATTCTAATTGATCTAGTATCATCTTAGTCGGTCTAAAAACTTAGTATATGTGGGTAGGCATGTTACGTTAGTGGCGGCCTTGGGGTATCAAGGATGTCAAAGAGACTCGAACTGATTCAGATCGATTCTTTCAATCTTCAAGTCTCAAAAATTTACCATTTACTCCTAGATGCGAGTACATCATTTAACTTTTATTCTTCAGATGAGAGTTCAAATTACTTTTGTTTCATACTTCGTACTCCAAACAGTACTTACTATTCCGCCTATTCCTAACCTAATCGAGGATGAAAAAGGAAGAAATGGAAATCCAGATTTCCATGATTTCATATGCACCAATAAGCCACTAGTCCTAACCAAGGGGCTCGATGGATGATCATGAACCCCCCGGTCGAGAACTCGAAGAACCAGTTGCAGTGAGGCGTCAAGTGGGTCTTGAATCGATTGCGGAAATTCCAGAATTTCTTTTTCTTTTTTTTTTTTCTTCTTTTTTTCTTTCTCTTTGTTTTCACTCTGAATGATTTCATATGGAATGGGTTCTTTGTTCATTACTCAATAAGTATCCACACTATCTGTAATTCTTGATTTTTGACATGGGTATACTTGTACTAGTAGTTTTAAGTACTTGGAATCTGCTTGATAACATTTTAAACCTTGTCATCAACATCGTCATCGATAGATGCGGTCTGGTATGTATAACGGAAACTATCCACACCGCTGGAACATCTTAACCTTGAATAATCTGGGGAGAAGTAGAATTCTGATCCGAAAAATGAACAGTCGTGTTGCCCTAAACTTTGTTCCCCTTGATCGTCGCGGTTATTTCTCAATTATTTTTCATACGAAAAGTACAAGGCTTGAACCTTACAGTGGGGCTATATCGGGAATCGGAATCGCGATCAATAAATCAGTTGATTACTGTTTGTAAATAGCATAGAAAATCAATGCTGGACTAGGCCAGTGTAAACTTGAATCAGGAATGTTCAAATGTTCAAATGTTTGGACAAGTCCAACAAACCATGCACACCGCTGGAATGAAGTATTCGCCTTCGCCCCTGTTAACCTAGTACTTCCAAGAATACCATCAAGAAAATTCAAGTTATACCAATTTCAAATGAATAAAAAAAATTAATTAAATCAATATGTAGGTGCTGCGCCGTAGTACATTACCCCGTAATTGTACATCGTACCTGATTAAGCAAATCCCGATCCATTCCATACCTCTTTAGGTACACTGAAGCGCGTAGGATGAAAAGCCCCGCTGAATGAATCCACTCTACGAACTAGCACATACATACAGAAATGAAATAGGAAGACCCGCTTCATCAGACCGACAATTCGACAATTTTACAAAATATTATCCCATACAGTATGTGCAAGGAACGTCATTGAACTCTCTTCGCCACGTGAAATGTCCTCGAAGCTCAGGAATTCAATGAGAACGGCTACAATAAACCCAGGTCCAAGGCACTGGGAAACGGGATCTCGGTAGATCCACATGTTCCAGAGCTTTAGGTGGATCTTGGGAAAGGCATGGCAGTTGCTTGACATTTATAACGGTTTTGATTTCCATGTCATTTGAACTTCAAATTTTCCATTTCCTCCAATATCCAGTTTTTCTTCTATGGGTTTCAATCCTCCATATTGCGGGCGCAGGATGGCTGACGCTGCTTATCGTCATGAGCGAGAGCGAACCGATCTAGACCCGCTCGCCACCCGCTTCACGCACTCATTCCATTATTCATAGGGTGCAGTAGTAAATGTTCAAGGGTTATTGGGGATCCATTATCATTCAAACACCGGGCAAGAGTGGAGCTACGAAGACGAAACTCCGTATTTACTCCCTATGCACTTCTTTCCATGTGATGGTATCACTGATGTACCTTCGTTAGTGGTCGATCGGGGTAGTATCTGCACGCATTACACGAACTGCGCCATTTCCCACCAGGGATAACTCTCCTTCGAAGGCAAAATGGGAAGGATCCCGTCTCATGAAGATCAAGATCGCTGGTTCGCTATGCAGTCGAAAAAAAAAGTACCGTGAAGATTCTTGCAACTTTCGATCATGCATACGATGTAGCATACTTAACTCGGTATTCGGAACCCTGAGATTCCAGGAAAAGCAAAAGCAGTGGTCTGTGGACATGATCGTCAAAATCTCAGGTATCACCAGATCCCTAAGTAAGGATGGACCGCTAACTAAGGCAAAGCATGCGATGCACGCACTTGCAGACTATTGGCGTATGAATTGCTGATTCTTTTTCCCTTTTACCCCTCCTTCTGCATGTTGCATCGCCGAGCCAGTCTGGAATCCACGGGTGCTATGCTGTCGTGCATATTCCGGTTCTGTGGTCCTGGAATCCGGAGTTCTTTTCCAGATGTTCATGATGGGTGGGGATGAATCTGATACATCTAATTAACCAACGCCATGGCCATAGGCTCGAGCACAATCATAAATTATCGGAGAAAAAAAAAGAAAGGAGATTTTAAAAATTTAAAATCTAACTTTCAAGGTCGAAAGAGTTAATCGATCTACAGTATCATCAGTACATGTATGGAGTGAGGAGAACACGGAACACGGACATGAGAAACCCTTTTTTTTCTCCCTTTCCCCTCGTGATGTACTAGTTACGTGTGTAATGTGTTATCCTAGTGTGATTAAGAGGGTCTGTGTCTTACTCTGTACACATCAACAGTGGAAATTGCAGATCAGAGAAACATCTATCATTGCGATGTACATTGTATACTTGCTTCTCATACGTTGATCGGGCGCGATCCATGAGGGTCTCTCTGCGACCACGGGAGCCGGTCAGAACCGCTCTCTTCCTTCAAGCCATGCTAATAATGAATTGGTTCCCTCCTTTTTTTCTTCTGACGATGCAGCCTCTCGTATGAATTGGAGTTTAATTCCGAGCTATTGTTCTTATCTAACTCTTGGCCTAGATCTTTTTTTTTTCATTGTCTTCAGACTACGGAGTACGCCGGAATGTCTGTTCAACTTGATGGATTCCCCACATCGGGGGGTTTTTTCACCGTAGTTCTTCCATACGGAGTACTAGTAACGTAGAGTCTCCATATTGTGGAGTTATTCATGGCCACGGGGTCTGGAGTCGACTTCTTTAACCATTCATCGTTGATTTCTGAAATAGCTCAGCTGGAGTCGTCCGGGATCCTCTTTGCATCCTGCAATGTTCATCTCCGGTTATATAGCCGGAGATATCCTCGGCAACCACTAGCATTCAAATTTTATAAACTTTGGATATTAACCTGAGAACCTTGGAGCTAACCTTGGAACTTGAATCTAGTAGCTTTAATTCAGAGCCCTGGAGGTCCACTGGCACGTGCACATGCGCATGGGTGCCAGTGCCGGTGTGCACTGACACTGCCCAGATAGTGGTCACTGTGGATATACTACAAGTATAAAAGGGCTTCATGGGTCCAAAATTGAAGGTTGAAGCCCTGGAGTTCACTGGCATGACTCAAGTGTCTCTGAGTTGGAGGTGGCATCTGCCAGTGGGCGCGTACTCCACATCCAGCCTGGCATGTGCCGCGGCAGCACTTCAAGGCCCACTGGGTACTAAATTGATCCATAGCTTGAGTAGTATTACTATTCAAATGTTAATGTATCCATGATGTGACATTTGAACAGAACTCCAGGGCTCCAGCCCTGGAGGGTTTGGATATATAGTATGTACCGTGACATATGTATGTAAGTAGTAGTACACACGTGAAGTAATGCCAGTGGATGAAAAGCTCCACGTGCATGATAAAATAATTCAAATCAGTCAACTGGTACTAGTTCTTAGTAGTAGGTAGTACCCACCCGTGGACCTAGTAGGTGCCCTGGCCTGGACTCGGACCTCGGGAGTACTACTAGATATATTTCAAGTCGAACTTGAACCCACCTGCATGTGGGCACACATGTGCAGCACAGTGATAATGTGCATTGGGGCAGATGTCCACTAGCATGAGGTAAGTAGGTACCTAACGATATGTTGTATTGAAATGTCCACCGTGTAATCCGAGTCTGTGTTAGATTGATATCAGAAATTGAACGGACCTCAAGAATGAAGTATACGAGCGTATAAATTCTAAAATTCCGAAGTTAGCGCTAGCTGGAATATTCAATCAAGTTTAAACCTTGAAAGCTACATAAATACGGAACTGCCGAGCCACTAATATCTGAGAAACCGACTCTCAAATTAATGATGGCAGCTCAAGCTGAGTTCGCTTGCAGAAAAAGACCAATCCCAGAACAGCTGGAGTTAATATCAGGTGCCACGTTCTACGCCATCGGAGACTTTTACCGGTTTGGTAATCCGCACTAGTCAGGGCTATTGGGCCAGTTTAGAATGGTGGATATCAATAGCACCACTCATAGCTCTAGGTACACTCCTGGGTTCAAGGTTTACGAGTACACAATGTGATGATGTGGCAGTGGCAATGGTTATGGGCTGATTACAATCTGGGTCTGGAACAAAGCCTGGGCAAGGGGATCAAGGGAGGAGCTTCAGCAGTTTCATAAAGAAAAGGACCCAGGAAGTAGTACGGTCATTAAATCATTCGAAGAAAAAGTGTAACGTTAATGGTATCATATCACTCGGAAACAAGATGGTTGGTCCATCTCTGTTTTGTTTGCTATGGTAGATCTACGGAACGATGCATCATTCAAGCTCCCAAAAGCAAGACAAGACGCCGTTTCCCAGCTACTGTTTTGGTTAATAATTTTTTGAAGCTACTTGCCAATGCCAGAAGACATTTAGTTGGCAAGAGCGTGGGCACGGCGGCGGTCACGCTCCTCAGCAATGGAGAGCTGTAAGAGAGAAGTTAGTTTCTGTGTTCAAAAATGAAGCATCGTAGGATTATAACATACCTTGACACCCTTGCCCTTGGGGAGGGAGATCCAGGGCTTGTCCTGGCCGATGACGAAAACGTTGGACTCGCGGGTGGCGAAGGTGTTGTCAATAGCGTCCTTGACGTGGACGATGTTGAAACCACCATCGTGGCGCTCACGGTGAGTGACGACACCAACACGACCCATGTTACGACCACCGGTAACCATGCAGACAACACCGGAGTCGAACTTGACGAAGTCGGCGATCTTGCCGGTGGTGATGTCAACCTTGACGGTGTCGTTGACCTTGATGGAGGGGTCAGGGTAACGGATGCTGCATGGCAAGTATTAGCAAAACCTTGTTCTATTTCAATTGGGGCTTACTTTGTTCTGTCGTCCTCCGCCGATCAACCAAAGCTTGGTCCAACGACTGAATTGACACGGAACTTGTGGAGAGCATGCACTCACGTTCGCGCATCGTGCGTAACCAAGAATGGGATCCCGCCCTTGCCAAGCTGGACGCGCTTGACCTTGCAGAGCTTGAACTCAGCCTCCTCAGCCTGGATACGGTGGACGGTGAAGCGACCCTTGGTGTCGTAGATGAGGCGGAAGTGCTCGCCGGTCTTCTCGAGGGAGATGACATCCATGAAACCAGCGGGGAAGGTGGTGTCGGTGCGGACCTTGCCGTCAACCTTGACCAGACGCTGCATCATGATGGCCTTGGTCTCGCGACCGTTCAGGGCGTACTTGAGACTGTTCATCGAAAAATTGTATTAGTTTCGCCCTGGTGAATCACACGTTGCGGATCGAAGTCGTAGGTTGTATAGCGTACCGGTTACGGATGAAGACAATCAGGGGCAGACAGTCCCGGAGCTTGTGAGGACCGGGAGAGGCCTTGGGCGCGTAGGTTCCGGACATTTTGTCCAGGAGCCAGTGCGAGGGGGCGCTAAGGCGCTTCTGGTGCTTCTTACTAAAGAGGCATTCGAATTAGTTCCTGCCAATCGTGCATATTTTCGATCTCTCCCATCATCTGCAAATTTTTTCCATGTCCACGATATCGAGGCAAATGGCGACTTGTGGTCGCGCAACTCGCCAGTAATCGATTGTTGAGTTCAGGATAATTGCGAGCGATGATGAGAGGTACGACAAGTGAGCTGACACTTACGGTCCACGGCCCATTTTGATGGATTTGTCGGTTTATGGTTGGGTTGTCGAGGAATCACGAATCTGAGAGGAGACGGGTCGCGGTGATAACCCCGGGCAATTCGCTTAGCGGGTCGTTTGTGCGTTGAGCCCTAACACGCTAACCCCGAACAAGTATGTCACATGATGCGATTATATCATCATTCCGCCTTCCTAATTAGGAAATGTAATTGATTTTTAGTATTCCAGATCGGAGTATCAACGATTTGATGATTTACAGGTCTATTGATTTGTAGTGTTCATGTCTAATTCTATTGAATCTGAATTTTGCAGGTTATGTACCTAGGTATATAATTGAACATCGCTGAGAATCCCACTTTTCGTATCTACACTTAGATGTAGCCCTTGATAACGGCCACTTCGGCGTTAAGGATCGATGATCCCGCCGCGCCAATAACGGTGTTGTGTGAGAGCGCGGCAAAGCGGATATCGAAGAAACCGCCCTTGACTCCCTCGCGAACACGTCCAACACTGACGGTGTATCCGCCAGAAATGTCACGGTCCAGGCGAGGCTGAGGGCGATCAGGCTCATCGAAGACCTTGATGGCGTCAGCAGGTGCCGAGGGGCAACCGAGCTTCTGAGCCTCAGACTTGTACTCGCGCAGAGCCTGCACGACCTCCTCCGCAGTGGGAGTAGTGCGGTTCTTGAAACGCAGCGACACAAAGGCCATGTGACCGTCAGTGACGCCAACACGGGTGCAGGTAGCACCGATGCGCAGACCAACTTGTTCGTCGAAAGCGGTAGCCTCGGCGTTCAGACCACCAAGGATCTTCTGAGCCTCGTTCTCCAGCTTGTCCTCCTCGCCGCTGATGTAGGGAATGACATTGTCGACGATGTCCAAACTGGGCACACCGGGGTAACCAGCACCGGAGATGGCCTGCTCAGTAAATACCTCGACCTCCTCCACGGGACCGAACTTGGCCTGCAGAGCGGCGAAGGGAATGACAATACCAATGACGGCGCAGTTGGAGTTGCAGACAAGGAAACCCTTCTTCAGACCGAAGTGCTTGCGCTGGTGAGGGATAAGATCCATGTGGGAGGGGTTCACGGTGGGGACGACCAAGGGAACGATGGGGTCCTTGCGGTAGTTCTTAGCGTTGGAGAAGACGGGGATCTCTGCCTTAATGAATTCCATCTCTGCGAACAGGGTCAGTATTGATATTCTTGCCTTCTGCTATTGGTGCTACCTACCAGTCTCGCCGGCAATGTCGCTGTTCAGGCCGGAGAAGACAAGATCACAGTCAGCAAACTTGCTGGCCTTGCATTCACGCACAACTAGGTTGCTGAGCTTCTCCGACATGGGAGAAGACTGCTTCCATCGCACCGCATCCTTGTACTTCTTGCCCGCGGAGCGCTCTGAGGCGCCCAGAGCATGGAGCTCCAGGAAAGGGTGATCGGCGAGAAGGAGAATGAATCGTTGACCGACGGAGCCAGTGGCACCGAGAACACCTATAAAATATCAGATCTGATCTAAATGAGGTCATCAAGTAGAATCTGCCTTAAGGAACATACCGCACTTCTTCTTGGAATATGAGGCCGCCATTTTATGGTTATGTGGGCTGAACAGGATGATCTTGAATCAGGTCAGTACTTCCAGTCTGATAAGGAGAAATATTTCAAAAGATCAAATTCAGCCCATTCACGTATCTCATTGAGTCCATGGTCCATCGAGATCTTATGAGTCAAGGCTTCGTTCGTGCCCCGCATTGTGGATTAAGGCGGATGAAAGGCACGGTGAGCTCCAATTGTCCTCATAGATGTTATAATAGACTCGAGGGACTTCGGGCACCATGATACCATGAATGTGACTTGATAAGATCACATTTCTACTTACCAATTGGCGTAATGTTGAAGATGAATCACTTGTGGCAAACTGATCCGAATGCGATATCGCTCAAGGCCCCGCGCTGAGTCAGCCGCCCTGAATCGCCCTATTCTCATTGGTTGATTCAACTCTACATTATGCTCCATTTTACGGTTGATTCCGGAGTTGGTGATTTCCTCCGATGATCTTTACGCTGAGGAGCAACTAAGAGATTTGAAGTATATTTCTAAAATTGATACTATGGCGATGGATTACTTGAATGGAGACAGATGAACGACATCAGTTCTGCGTCTATCTTCAGACTAGGAACTCACAGGCACTCGACAGCATTCCTTTCCAAGGTTTACTGGTATGAATCCGCTAACTTGAAGAGATACCACTTCAGAACAGCTAAATTTCTTGGAGCACCAAATCCAGTCTGCAGTTGAATCACTACTAGTATCATTCTGATGCTTATATTTAGAAGTTATCGTCTTCCAACCCTTCCAAGGTTGCCTTCCAAAACAGACTGATCCTTTTCGGGCGCCAGCATCAATTCCCGAGTCATGACAATTCATAGCTTGGTCTGGTGCCAGCCCTATTTGCATCATGATTTCCTTTTCTTTTGTCACCCGGAACACAGGAAGATTCCGTAGCATTGCCATCGCCGCTGCCAGAGTGCTTTAGCGCCAGATTGTGTGAAATCTAATATGGATTTGGATCGCGTTCAAACTGTGGGAGCAAATCGACTGACATAAATCCATTCTAACAATAGGATCAACCGTGAGTAGACAGGCAAATATTCTAAGGTTAAACTCACAAGCCTCCATGTAGAAACATACACATGGTTGATACTCACCTGGGCACTGCAGGTGGCACTGCTACAGACTTGCATGTAGACCCCAAAATAGCAATTCTGGTACGGCCAGAACATGAATCAACATGTCTGTGACAAAATATACTGCTCCCTCATCAGATAATCCTACTTTGACATTGATGCAATGTTCTGGAAGTGCCCGAGCGAATGCCTTCGAAACTGGAGTACACTGCCCAGGTGAAAATTGCGGAATGACTAATTGAAATAACTCCCGGCCCCGGGGGCCAGGCAAAGGCCCACGCGGCATTTCTCTTAGGACCTCAGGAGGATGATAATATTTTCGATATCAGGAGCGGGAATCACCCACTGGCAATCGGTCAGAGACACATGGGGTTTGGTGTTATAATCGAAACAGAAACATAATTGACAACCAATACAATTTTCTGGGAAATTATTAGCACATATCACTGATTTGAAGTGGGGAACACGAAAGAGAAAGAAAATAGACTTACGAGTCCCACAACCAGGGTCCAGTGATCCACTGCCTGCTGAATCTTCAACCTGTGTCGAGTGGGAACCTTGGAAGTTGAAGGTGACAAAAGACCACAACCACAACAAGCATCAATCGCCGAGTCGCTGCAATATCATCCATATTCATCGACATCAGTACTATATCATTGCTCAGGTGTTGAATTCGATTCATGAGCCCAAGAGAAAAAAAGAGACGCCAAGAGACAACCTGCAAACTCTATGAAACAATGACTATAGTGACCAATTGAAATGCGGCTTGAGGATTCTAATCCATATGAGCCCTGGAGAGTGGGTTATCAAATGTGATGTTGATAGGATGGAAATACATACTATATCCCGTCGTGGTGGGCCTGATTCCCCAGACTCATTCTCACTGCTGCATAGTATGGATTTTGACGGGCGCCACATTGGTGGACCCACATTAAGGGCTGGCCACACTGGAACAAGGTGAGAACTTTGACCATGCTTAGTCCTAAATGGGCCATTCCAAGGTCCATTTTCAGGCCCCAAGCGATCCTTGGGATTTCTTCCTAGAGAGAAGAGGGGGAGGAGGACGACGCTAGTATACCAGTATGGCCAGACAACCCGCTCCTGAGTCTCAATGCTGTGTTTTCAAATATTCACAAGGCATATCATGAACTTGCACCGAAGTCTTTCCTCTGAATCTGATTTACAATCTTCAAAAATTTTCAAAAATGAGTAACCCAACGATTGTCTTCTCCCTTGGAGCCTGGGTGATTCCAGCTGTCTTCGACGCTACTCGAGCCCGCCTGAACGCCGCCGGTTATCCCTCCGAGTGTCCCCCGCATCCTTCCATCGGTGCCGAGCCCCCGGTGAAGACATTGTCTGATGATGCTATCTCTCTGAGGGAGGTCTTGATCAGACTTGCCGATGATGGCCGTGATATTGTTGTCGTAGCTCATTCCTATGGTGGCATTGTCGCTTCATGTGCAGTCGATGGATTAAGCAAACAGGACCGTGTGAGAGAGGGTAAGGTAGGAGGTATCATAAGGGTTGTTTACCTTGCTGCCTTCACCTTGGACAAAGGACAAAGCCTCCTGGGTATGCTTGGAGGAAACTATCTGCCTTGGATGAAGGTTGAGGTGAGCTTATCGATATCTACTGGGTTCTCCATGAGTCGAGGGAACCCACGCAATTCATATTTTCCACTACAAGGCTAATCATATATCAGGGTGATTACGTTCTTGCAGATGGAGTAGGAGAGGTTGGATGGCATGATATCTTCTTTGATCAGCAAGAGAAATGGAACTCGTTAACTCTGCATACTTCCCGTGCAGTCTTTTCGGGAGAGTCCACATATGAACCTTGGCAAGAAATTCCCTGCGCCTATATCATATGTGAGGAAGATCGCGCCTTGCCTCCAAGTTTCCAGGAGCTATTTGCGTCTAAGATGGGCGGCCCAGAAAATACCTATCGCTTACCAAGCTCACATTCTCCCTTTTTGAGCATGCCTGATCGTCTGGTAGATGTTTTGAAGAAGAGTATCGAAGTTTAAACCTTCACTTTATGGAGTGATATCAATATAGCTTCAATTTAATCAGAAATGTGAATTCACGAAATTTTCAAGATCAAAGTAATTGGGTCTCCATATAGCTACAATGCTGAATGCGACCACATTGATGAGCTGAACAGCACCAACATCTTGAATCATGATCCACGGCTGTTTCTGAAGACATTAATGCTCATTAGCACTGGCAAGGACTCGTCATCAAGATGGATCATACTATTCTTGAATCATTAATGATAAACTTAAGGGCCGTATACAATGATCCATTCCACTATTACAGTGGCAAATCATGAAGCCATGTCTGGGTTGAATAGTTGGTAGCGTAGAATAGTTGTAGGTATTGATACTATCTGTCTATACTATCTCTAGGTTAATAGAGCAATCTAGTGCTTTTGTAATAGTTTTCTTTCTTGTTCATCATTCAGAGGAAACCCCCAAATGATGATGTAAGATCTAATGATATAACGGGTTCTTTGACTTTGAATAGGAATGAAATTTCAAGAATATTTCTCCAAGTCGAAGATCTTCCCAGGATTCAAAAGCCAGTGTGGATCAAAAGAGCGCTTAATGTTCCGCATGAGATCAATCGTCTCTGGCCCAAGCTCTTTCTTCAGCGACTCTTTTTTACCAAGTCCGACTCCGTGCTCGCCCTGAACAAAATAAATTAGCGATCTTGTGTTTAATGTCTTAGTGAACGCGAGCCATACCGTGCATGAGCCTTCCATTTCGAGAGCACGGTCAACCATTTTGTATACGACCTCCTCAACGCGCTCTGTTTCTTCTTTATTCTGACGGTCAAACATGATACTGGCATGGAAATTTCCATCGCCAATGTGTCCCAGAATACCGGCGAATAAGCCAGAATCAACCAAGTCCTGCTTAGAGATTTCTGTGATTGTTAGCTTCATCCTTCGATTAATCAATCTGTGAAGATTCTGCCCACCAATAATTTCTGGCAACCTAGAGATAGGAACGGCGACGTCTGTTGACCAGACATCTGATCCCCCAGTGCGCAGGGCCATCATACTCCAAAGCGCCTGCTTACGTGCTGACCAGAGATCGTGAGCCTCCTTTTCATTCTTGGCAAACTGTACAGACGAAGCCTTGTTTGTCTTGGCAATCACTGTAGTCAAATTGACACTATCCGCAACGCCAGCAGTAGTTCCAGAAAATTTGAAAAAGAGTGTAGGAGCAACAGCCCACTGACGACCAGTTCCACCTGCACGATTAATCACATCCATTTGAACCTCATCCATGATCTCCACACATTGCACAGGGATTCCCTTCCGAATCAACTGCGCAGCTGTAGCAGCACAGTCGCGAACAGTGGGGAAGGCCACAACTCCAACTCGAGTCAACTCAGGGATAGGAGCCAGCTTTAATGTAGCCTCGGTGACGATTCCCAAAGTACCTTCGGATCCAACAAACAGACCAGTGAGATTATATCCAGCTGAAGTCTTGCGAGGTCGTCTTCTAGTCTTGATCACCCGACCATCGGCCAGGACAACAGTAAGATTAATCACCCAATCCTTCATTGTTCCGTATCGCACAGCATTTGTACCACTACAGTTAGTACCCACCATACCACCAATCATCGCTGAGGGACCAGGATCCACGGGGAAGAATAGCCCCGTATCCTTAATCTTCTCATTAAGATCCATCCATTGAATAGACGGCTGAACGATGATGTCCATATCGTCCTCGTGAATTGTCAAAATCTTATTCATCATGGCAAAGTCGATCGTCATTCCACCGTGTGGTGCAGAGAAATTGGCCTCTAGACTAGATCCACCAGAGTAGGGGATCATGGGCATTCGGTACTTGTGACAGATTTTTGCTATCTCCGAGACCTCTTCGGTTGATGTTGGGTATGCAACGGCAACTGGAAGGCGATCGGCGTTGAGAGTGGACCATTCTGAGAACCCGTGTTGTTGAAGGTCCTCTTCGTCTGTACTGATAGAATCTTCACCTAGCTTGGCTCGTAGTTCGGCGATCGCCTATTGTAGGTTTTTATTAGTTATTTATTGGCACATTAAATCTTAAGATTCAATTGTCTGTATACCTTGTCAAAATCGCCTGTCGATCCATATTGCACCGTTTTTGACAGCTGTGAAGCCTGACTGTTGTTCGTAGCATAGCCATAGCCCAACCCCGCAGTAAATGCGGAGAAAAAAAGGGTCCGCAACGGCATCCAAAAAGAAGATCTCGATGAGGATCCAGAGTCTGAAGAGCCACCTTGCTGGCTTGAGCTTGTACCGGCAGCAGAACTATTAGCTCGAATTCCTCTCCCAATCAATGTTCGCTGAGCATTCCGGAGACAATAATGGGGTACGTGGGGAGTGGAGAAGCCTCTCCGGGGTAAGAAAGCCGCTCTCATTGTGATGAAGATATTATCGCTGTTGTTGGAGGAATTGAAAGTAGAGATTCTAGCAAAAAAAGAAAGCTAAAAGCAGGACATTTGGCCAATTTGTGCATCCGCCGGACAAAAGGCCCTCGGCTTTAAACCCTGCTTACGACATAAGCAAGCTCTATGAGGTATGTCCTGATCGGGTTAAAGTGTTGCGACTTGAAATCCCCCACTTCGGACTTCTGCCGATACATCTGGTTCCACCGGAAGAAAGCGTGGGGAACAAAGGTGGGGGTCTAATATGCAAAGAGCTTCAACAAGGTGTTCATGGATCAAACCTGATCAATTCAAATGAATGAAATTCAGGCGACAATAATTAGTCCCATTATTATGAATGAAATTGAACAGATTCTATATATGCCTAATGTTAATAACATCAATTTCTGTCTTTTATATAGGCAAACTTATAGATCTCACATTTCCTAAATAGGAAGGCGGAACGGGCCGTCCATATAGAAAACCATCAACAACTTTAACTTGAACTGTTCCTCACTGTTCTGCCGCTCACGCAATTTCATCACCGACGATGACAGAAGAAAAAGAAGTCGCTATTGGCGTGTCTCATATTTCAAATACAGTCATGGAGGAAAATAATTTGAACCTGGTTCAGGAAATTGAACGGGTTGTGACGGCTTCGTACATCCCGTCACTGCAGGTAAGTGGGCCATCGTCGAGCGGAAAGGCGGAAACTCACCCGCTAATACTCATATATTATCAGGATTTGCTTAGACTTGTTCGAAGTGGAGGGCCTAGCGCAATAAAATATTGGGCTATCCAAAAGCCTTGTCAGGTTGGCCTACTAGCTGATATGCTAGTAGAGGGGCTGTCGCGATCGAAGACAGCCCTTCCGTTACTCTCTTCGTTTTGTGAGGATCCACAGCTCTATACCAAAGACAAAAGACAAAATATCAGTTGCTGATTATTTCCAGGTTCTGAGGTGATCTTTAGAGATGCAGTACTACTTCGTCATCCAGCACTTCTAGATGGCGTCTTAGAGAAGGCACTCACAGTTGAGGAAGGAGATCATGAGGTAAGACCTATACACACACCCATCAGCATAGCAATCGCAGCAACTAACAAGAAAATAGTTTCGCCAAGCATGTGTGTCAATGCTATTAAACCCACTTTCACCAACAATAGTTCCGCCCATTCGAATTGCCGATTTGATCACAACACTTGCCTTGAACATAGCCAAGAGCCCATCTGAAAAGACCATTGCGCCAGTGCATAGTTTGATGAAGGGACTCTGTGGACGCTCCATCGTTCACTATGAAGTTTCCACTGAAACTATGTCTCAACTCCAGCTAGAGTTGACCAAGATCCTCCGCAACTTCAATGACCACATGCTCGTTCTCTTATCCCTTGCGACATTTTCCCAGATCGTTTCCACCGAAACTGATGATATGGGTAACAAAAGCGAAGCAAACACACCTTCTTGGCTCATTAACATTGAAGATTTCTTCGGTCCCAAGCGCGGACTTAAAACACTGGACCTGGTTGTTCTCCGTGTAATCCTTGCATGCTCATCATCGAACAACGAGTTGACGCCGTCTCAGGCCACTGAAAGCATCGGTCTGGCAATCAGTATTGCAGACAAAATCGGCCCAGAGCAGAAGAAGGCCTGGATGACTGCAAATTCATCGAAAATTGCGAAACTTTGTGATAAGGTAGCACGTGATGAACTGGATCGTGAGGTGCAATTTATGGTAAGATATGATTGATCCAACTTGTCTTATGAATTCTAACCCTTTGTTCAGGGAACCACCTTTCTACTCCTTTTGCTTCCGGCAGCTGAGCTGCCCTCTCATATCCGGGAGCTGGGACTGCATGTCCTTGTCTCCAAGGGAAGCAGAGGAGCTATGGGAGTCGTGCCCCATGATCTCATTTCACGGATTGCAGAATCACTAGCTGTAGGATCCCCCTTGTCCTTGACGTCTCCCATTATAACTAATTGAGAACAGGGATCTGACGAGTCTGTCATCCACCATCTCTTGAGACTCTCATTTGAAGCTGTGAAAGGAAGCGACCTGGCCAACCAAAACATACTCTCTGACTTGCATCTGTCGAATCTGATACTCAAGGGATTTCAGGCAAACCTCATAGTCAATGGATCTGAGGCTCAATCCACAGCATTAACCGCTGCTCTTCTTGACTCAGTTTCCACAAAAGATACAATCTTTAGTCTCCTGAAGAATTTTCCAGTGGAGTCTAAGCATTCGGACTGCAGAGGAATGATTGCATGTGCTTCTGAAAAGGCGATGCTGCAGAACAGGCTTCTAGCCAATATTTGCGACGTCTACTTCACGGCAACACTTACTCGGCATGGAAACAATGCAGAGGCCCTGGCGTTGAAGGCTTTTATTGACCGAGCTATCATGTCACACTCCAGTTCCAGTTGTTCTTTTTCTAGATCCGAACTGACAAATTTCCGACATTCTGTCCACCTGCGTAGCAGACAAGACTTTTCTCCTCCGCGACCGCCAGTCCGAAATTGGCAGTCTGTCATTTCCGATGCTCTCCTTGGAGATTCCGCCAACTCTCATGAAATTTTAATGAGAAGAATTAGCGATGCATGTATCGATTTGGAGCGTCGCTGTCACGATGTGGAAGGTCCATTACGGCGGGTGGAAGAAGAGCGTGATCAAGGCGTTCTTCAAATCAGCCACCTTAACCAAGAGATAAGCCAGCTCAAGCACGAGAGAAAGGAGCAGGAAGAATTGCTGGAGTCATCTGCTCGACAACGCGAAAGTCTTCAAAAAGAACTAGCTGAGGCGGAAGATCATCTGACCGGTCTTACCGAGTCCCTAAATATGGCACAACGGCAGTATGAAGACCTGCGCCTGGAGCATGATATCAATATCCAGAATGAACAAGAAAAAGCTCGAACTCGAGAGTTGGAACTTACTGCTGATATCACAATGCGATCAGAGGAGATCGACAAGCTGCGTGCCAACATACAAGCGCTTCGTACCAATAAGGCGGCCGCAGATTTACTGCATGCGGAGATCGCGAAAGCATTCGATGCTAGGCTTGCACAGGTCAACCAGGTGCTGGAAGACACCAAAGCTACCTGCTCCGTAAAGGAGGAAAAGGTCCAAGCACTTTCAATGGAAAAAAGAAGAATAGAACACTTAGTAGGTCTATGATCACCAAAAGTATTGATTTCTCCCAGCTTACAAATGAATCGAGATGACCAATCGTGCGTCAGAGATCAACGACATGCGAGCCAGCGCGCGAATCTCACGAGATGAACATACTCGTGCGATGAGGTCAAGTGAAGAAAACCATGCGAAGGAAGTCTCCAGACTTTCTTCAGAGGTAAACCTTCAGAAGGCGGTCATTGAAAGGCAGGAGGCGGAGATGAAGTCAGCCGCGGAGAATGCGGCTAATGAACTCCGGTCAAAGGAGATGATAATCCACGACCTGGAGATGAAGGCAAGTGCATATCTGATCTAAAACAGCTAGTCCCAACTCTAACGTCAGTTATAGCTTCATTCTCTGCGAGAGGTGCTGAAGTGAATGGCGACGCGCGGGGCGCGGGGCATGGGGGAAGGGGTAAGGGGGTTGGAATTGACTCACTATCAGCCCGGGAGGTGAAAATATTTTTCAGAAAAGGTGGTTAAATAAGTGCTTTTTCTGAGAGATATCTGTATGAATATGATGGGGTGAAACGTTCTAAGGTTACCCAGGTACATATTAGAACATGGTATTTTACAAACTGATTATTTCCAACGTTTTATCCACTGTAAAGTCCCTATATGTACTCTAACGCTTTAAAAATTGTGTCACAATGTTCTCTATTTTAGGTTGAAGCAACCTCCAGGGCTCTAGGGCTAGACTCCCAATGTCTTCTAACACATCCCAGTCTATATGGACTCCCCAGCAAGGCATGAATGAGATTGAGAGAGGAATCTTGGAAAGACCCGATGCACACCAATATGACAAAGTTCTCTCATTGTAATGATGGCTTGCTACCCCTCTAAGCTTCCAGCTCGCTCACCTCTAGGCCAATCATTGAATTCAAATGTCACCTGCAAAGAACAGCAAATCTCGCCTCCGAAGAATACAGAACTGGGTCATCCTGGCCATTGAAATATCTTGAGTTGTCCAAAGACTTCAAGTTTCTTTTCACCGGCACTGCATTCTCACGGTCTAACGACCAGCCTGTTATGCAATAGTCAGATACTTACGATCCATAGTTACTACAAGGTTAGGGAATTGAATGTTCTTTTAATGAACTCTTTTATTCTTATGTTCCAACTGATCTCTTTTTCAAGGTTTATATCCCTCTTTTTGGTTTCTTTTTCTACCAAGCTTTACTTCTTTGTCTCGTCGTAACTTCGAGGGTATCTTGTACTCGCTTGTCAATGCCTTTTGTGGAGAGCCAATCGCTGACACACCTGCATATTGAATTCATAAGTCAGCATCTTTCACTACTTTCCATCTTCAACTTCCGCTCTCTTCATCACCCCTCCTTCTCTCTCATTTTTCCTGCTTTTTTCCCTTCATCCGATCAGTTTCCCCTTTAAAAAGCACCTTTCAACGCCTGTCTGCGCTCCAAGTGTCCTGTTTATATCTGAGCTAACATGGACCCCTGCAGGAGAGGTCAGCTGTGCTTTATCCTCATTATTGGAGTTCTTTTGATATACAAAGCATTATGGCTTCATTTTTCAGTCCCTATGGGTATGATCATACAAAAACTGGGTAGATAACCTCATCTACTATTCCTCCGCCAAGCTCCTCATTTTTCTTTTGTGTTTTCCATGAACTAATAGATTGGATAGGTCACTGGCTGCATCTGCCCTATATCCTCATTTCCAAGATCAAATATCACGTACTATCACAAGCTCCAACTCTCCATTTCCTAATGGAGAAGGCACGTTTCAGGACTTTCGGGACGAGCACCTTCCTAGTGAGATTCTGCCCGATCCTGGAAGCGCTCTGTCGCTTCCCTCACCAGGAAGGAGCTCTTTCTCTTTCCCTCCTTCCCTCTTTACCCCATTCCCGATTTCATCATCCATCCTCACCACACATCATCAAATTCCCATACACTCAACTTACGAACACTCTTCCAATCCTCAGTATCAGTCTCCGACCATGACTCGCCCTCGAACAAATCAGGCCCTGACTTGGTCACCCGATTGGCAGAGCTTCAACTCAGTACTTATCTTGCTCAAGGATCTTCCATGGACGATCAACACCTACAACCTGTGGGACAAATTTGGGAAAGAAGGAACCATCACTTCCATTGACATTATTCAAGACCATGACAGACGACGAAAGCCTACTGCTCGAATTTGGTTCACGTATGTACCATTCCTATCTCATGTTTCACTTATAGGCTTTGTGGTTTAGGACTTGGATATCAAGAGAGAGATGTTTAAGTGCTAACTTTGCCAAAGGCCCCCACCCCTACGCAATTTCTGGGCAGGTGGCAGATACCAGATAAATCATGCAGATCGGACCCATATCGTTGAGATCTCAGCCAAGGGAATTAGAGACGGGCATCATGTTCCTAGCCCAGTCCGCCCTGAGGTCATGTACCCAGGAGAGATCGTAAGCCGTTTTTGCTTGTCTTGTAACATGAAACACAGTTTGAATACTTACAATTGCAAATAGGAGCTGAGTGCGAGCGAATTGCATGTGGGAGTGATGCTTGGCGATAATGTATTTTCGCCAATGCACACCATCAAGGCAGCGGCGGCTCCGGCAATGGTGGTCGATGTCAGACAGAGGACACTGATGTTCTACTTTCACCAAGTGGTTCGCTATGCCACGCCGGGCCAGGGCCCAAGCAGTGAGGAGATGCCTTTTGTTTTTAGGCTACGCCTCAAGTTTCTGGAGCTCTCTCAAGTATGGGAGTCCACTGACGTGAAAGAAAGAGGCCTTTCACTCACCATGGTGGCCAAGTCACCACCACAGCTCCACCGGCAGACCCGAGATTTTGCCTCCACCTTCGAGTCAGATGGTGGTAGCTGGAAGGTGGGCCACACCTGGTTTCGTCAGACAGCCCTCGTTCATATGCCAAGGTTGCAAGCAAATATGACTACCAACCTTTGCAAACATAGGCAGATCATTGACATAGGTACGTTGATTGCCTTACTAATACATACTTTAGTGTATCAACGCTATTGGTATTTCTGAAACTAACATTCTTCACTTCACTGCAGCCCGCTGGAACACATATCAAATCACTTTCTCCCCTGAAGTGGTTCAGACCGGCATTGTTAACACCCTGCGTGATATCTTGACGGACCATAATGTCGTTATTCAACCTGGGGCCCACCTCGTACAAGCTGGAGAGCGCCCTGAGCCAGTCTGGGAATTTATTGATGCCAACAGCTCCTCAACCACTGACTCTCCTTCGCAGATTCTCGTCACTTTGTGGGGTAATAGTGACTACATTCACCTGCCATTCCCTGTTCGGTACCAGCTGGAAGTTTGCATCTCTCAAGGTCTTCTATCTGAGTTTACAATTACCAAAGAATTTCTCTTGAAGTTGATTGGGCTTGGAGAAAGTCATGCACTTAGACTGCTTGAGCATATTGCCACTAGCAACTTGAAGGAGACCTACCTTGATCCCATGCAGATCTTCAGTATCCTATGTCCTAAGGGCGTAACCGATGCGAAAATTCCCAAGTATTGCTGCTTCATGCGTACTGCCCGAGTGACTCCAACCACGGTTCTCTATAGCACACCCACTGTTGACACTTCAAACAGAGTTACTCGTCACTATGTTGAGTTTGCGGATCGTTTCCTACGCGTTCGATTTACAGATGAGACATCACTGGGCCGAATCAATTCTTGCACCGACATGACCAACGACGAGGTGTTTACCCGTGTCAAAAGAACCTTGACCAACGGAATCACCATCGGAGACCGTCATTACGAGTTCCTTGCATTTGGTAACTCTCAGTTCCGTGAGCATGGTGCCTATTTTTTTGCTCCTCTTCCCGATCTCACTGCGGCCAATATCAGAGGTTGGATGGGCCAGTTTTCGCACATCAAAAATGTTGCAAAGCACACTGCACGTATCGGTCAGTGTTTCTCAACCACTCGGGCATATGTTGGCTCTTCAGTGGATGTTCATCGATGCCCTGACATTATTCATGACGGCAAAAACTTCTCTGATGGGGTTGGAAAAATCTCCAAATTCCTTGCTGACATGACCGTCAACGATTTAAAAATCGAAACAGTGACAGGGCTTCATCCGTCGGCCTTCCAATTTCGACTTGGAGGCTCTAAGGGATTACTAGTTGTCTGGCCAGGTGTTCAGCCAAGAGAAGTGCACATCCGTGATAGTCAATTCAAATTTGAAGCGGATTCGACTGGATTGGAGATAATCCGCTGGTCCCAGTTCAATGCTGCAACCCTAAACCGTCAAATCATTCTGGTGTTGTCGGCCCTCGGTATCCCCGATGAGGCAATCCTCAAAAAAATGACCGACATGATTGACAATATGGACGAGATCACACGAAACGATTTCCATGCAATTGCCCTGCTGCACAAATTCGTCGATAGCAATGAAATCACCTTCAAGCTCGCCAGAATGATCTCAGATGGATTCAGAGCGGCAAATGACCCTTTCGTCAACTCGTTGCTCCAGCTATGGAAGACATGGAACTTTAAATATCTCAAGGACAAGGCTCGAATTCCCATCGAAGAGGGTGCAAATGTATTTGGCTGCGTGGATGAGGTAGGAGTTCTCAAAGGCTATTTCAAACGGGGCGCCGAGTCTGCCAACGCCAGAAGAGACCCTGTATCAGCTCTTCCCGAGATCTTTCTCCAGGTATGTCGTTTCGATAATACCGCTTCCCCGCAGATCATTGAGGGTATATGTGTCGTGGCCCGAAATCCTTCTCTTCACCCAGGTGATATTCGCGTGGTACGTGCTGTCGACAAGCCAGAGCTCAGACATCTTCATGATGTAGTGGTTTTTCCGCAGACCGGAGACCAAGACATGGCCAGTATGTGCTCTGGTGGTGATCTTGATGGAGATGACTTCCTAGTCTTCTGGGACCAGGATTTGGTTCCAAAGAATCCGAAGTATTGGTTTGAAACGCCCATGAACTTCAAGGGCCGGGTGGCGCCAAACCTAGACCACGATGTCACCGTTAACGAAATAACCTCGTTCTTCGCTCAGTACATGAAGTTTGACTCTCTTCCACGCATTGCACATGCTCATATGGCCCAGGCAGACTGGCGAAACAGAGGAATCCGTGATGAAAAGTGCCTACTTCTTGCGAAGCTTCATTCTGATGCTGTTGACTACAATAAAACAGGCGCCGTTGCAGAGTTTAAGCGCGATGTGATGCCAAACCGCTGGCCACACTTTATGGAGAAGAAACACAAGCCTTTGCATCAGATTTACCATTCCAAGAAAATTCTGGGACAGCTCTATGACAGAGTGGAAACCAAGACATTCACACCAAGTCTCAATCTGCCGTTTGACTCCCGCATCTTAAACTGCTCGTTCGTTCCTGCCAGCAAGAAATTTCTTGAGTTTGCGACAGGACTGAAGCTTCAGTATGATGCGGCGATGCGTCGCCTCATGGCACAGTATGGAATCAAGACTGAATTTGAAGTGTGGTCAGCCTTTGTCCTGGACCATACTTCACTTTCCGGTAACTACAAGATACATGAAGAAGTTGGCCATCGTGCCAGTATTCTCTGCAATGGATTCCAACAAGCATGCTTTGAGATGGTCGACGGACGTGCTTCTCGGAATATTGCTCCTCTGGCCGTGGCTCTGTATCGCGTGACTAATGATGCCACAGTCGAGGCATTGAAAGAAATACAAAGACAAAAAGAGAAAAAGGAAGCCGACAAAGTTTATGGGGATGACTGGGATTGGGATGAGGACTCGGAGGTCAACGAAGAAGCAGGACGTGAGCCACTGATCAGCTTCCCATGGATTTTCCATGAATGTCTGGGAGACATTGCCATGGGTCGAGTCAGGGAACGAGATCCAGACAGTTCAGAGCCTGAAATTCCTTCTGAGGCTTTTCCAAATGCCAAAAAGTACATTCGGGCGGAGGTCGATAAAATCCTTACCGATTTGGTAGAGGAAAGTTCCAGACATGGCTCTCCTTGGCTGGGCGGCCTCGGCTCACCTACCGCAGAGCCGTATCGCCCTATCATTACTACTCCGGAAATGCCTTCTCTTGCCACTCGACCTCGAATTTCTGATTCTAAAACGAATGACTTTGGTCAAAAGTCTAGTGTTGGTGTGGATGCTCATCAGGCCCTTGGCACAGTGGACGTCAATCGTCCTGTTGGTGGTGGGAGTCACCAGAAAAGCTCTGGAGTGCAGGGCAAGGCAGGTGAACCAGAAGAGATTATCGAGGAGGAAGAAAACGTCAAGCCAAGTGCTACTGACGATCTTCTCTCACTGCTGGATCTCGGTTAAACACATCCTTTTGACTTCACCTACAGCATGCGCGTGGTGGCGATTGATCTAGAACTTATGGAGAGGAGCGGTTTATTTTTAACCCTCATTTATTCTTATGTGGATGAATGGGCAGAGTAATGGAGGGGATCTAACTTGAACTTGAAGGGGAGATGAAGGATGATCAGCGAAAATGAGCGTCGTCGTTTGGGTGATTAGCACCTCAAAGAAAACAGAAACTACAAAAAAAAGTAGCCACTTGTGGCTCATGATATCTAATATAGTCATTACTCTTTACACTTCAATTTCCAATTACTAGTAATACTAGTAGAGGAACTTAAAAGATTTCAGTATTGTGTAAAAGTATTTAAGAAGTCAACGTTTCAGGTTCATTACTGAGTTATACATATCATGAAGGGTATCTGCAACGCCATCCCAATAACCAAGTTGAAGTGCTCATGCCTTCATTGCATCACCAATCCAACCCCTCATCTCCCTTCTTCTCCAAGATTTCAACCACTGGTTCCAACACAGCTTTTGAATGACGCCAATGAGTCGCGTCGCGGCTGCGTGCATAGAAAACAGGACAGTCCAAGCTATCACACTTCACGTCATCAACGGGTGAGACGCCCATACAAGACCGACACACAGTCTCAAGATCAACAACTCGCTTCTCAGCGCGTTGAAGTCTTGAAACAACATCCAGGAGCGTCAAATGTGGACGCTGAAGACATTCATTACAAAGAGGAACAGTAGCATCCGCCAACTTCGCCCTGCAAATGATACACGACGATGACCGCATATACGATTCCAGCGTCCGTTTCATAATTCCCATCTCCTTATTCCTCGAAGAGACATCAACTCGCCGAATCCGCTGAAACTTGGGCATCTCATCATACCACTGGCGCACGTTCGCACCGACAAGGTTAAAAATGCGCTCGAGGGGCGGAATAATATTTTTCGTGATGTAGTACTCTGCGTCAAGATCAAGCTGAGCATCATGAAGCAAGGTCTCAGGTGCTACGCAACGATCCACGAGTCGTGAGCCTGGCGCGCCGGTGATAACCACATAAGGAACACGTTCACCGGACTGTGGTTCTAGACGTGGATCCTCAATCATACGCTTAGTACTAATCATCGCACCAGCAGGGAGTGTGCCACGATCACTATACGAGCCCAGACGAACTTCCTTTGCGAAACAGAAATCCTGGATGGAGACTCGACCCTGCATTATTTTCGTGCACTGGCGCTGGAAATAGGATTTTACTTGACTCAGGTCTGCAGTGCGGAAAAGGATCTTGAGGGCTTTTTCCTCGATTTTCTGTTCTGTTGGTGTTCCATCACGGCGAACTGTCTCGATACCCTTGGCATCGAATTCGGGCTCAGTCTGATTCCGATGTTCGTATTTGAAGCCCACGTAACGTTTCTTCGCGAGTAGGACGCAAGAGTGGTAGACTTTTTCAAATTTTAGTTTGATGGGTCGTGGGTTCGTGTCTGTGACTGCTTGGGCGATTTCTTCGCCGATGTCGAAGGCTTGTTCGCGGGTTCGGCCTTTGAGATGGATGAATAGACTGTCTGTGTCGCCATAGACTACTTCTGCACCCCATCTTTCGACGGAGTGAATAAGTGCTATGGCTTTTTCGAGTGTCTCACGGCCGGTTTGGACGATACTGTCTGCGATTTCAGAGCACGGCATTCGCCCGGAGAAAGATGCTGATGTGTACCCGTATGTGACATTTGCAATTAACTTGAGAGCTAGTTGACGGTTGTTAAGGAGACGTTGAAGAATTTTGTCGTCCTTGTCGGCCTTCATGCCTGTTTTCACCATGACTCGAGTTTCCAGGATTTCTGTAAGCATCTTTGCTAGCAAGGACTGTCGCACTTCTTGCTTGGCGTACATCATGCCATTGGGCGAGATGTTGATTTTATCTTTGAAGAGTTCCAGGAGTCGTGGCTGTCGCTCATAGTCAAGGAATCCCATCTTGCTCCGACCTCGCCAGGATGCTACCCTGCCTAGGAATGTGGAGTAGCAGTAGTTGTATGCAATCATGACGCTGGGATAGAGGGACTGGAAGTCCAGAACCAAGACAGGGCTTGTGTAGAAGTCGCTTTGCGGCTCCATTACAAGTGGGAGACATTCAAGAGCATTTTGTTGCCCGACTTGTCTCCTGCTCGGTGACACAAGCAGATAGTTTTCTGGTTTGGCAATTCGAAACATGAGCGACTCAACTTTGAATTGAGACCCTCGATAATAAACGGAAGAGAAATCAATTCCGAGTAGCCGGGCTTGCTCACTTGTACGTGGGATCAACTCATTGGCTTCGAGAATCTCGAGGTTCATCTGTGCACGAGACGTGAAATATTCAAGGACTTTCATGATATCTCGAGGCTTCCCACTGCGATACCATTGCGTCAGGTCTTTGTGGGAGTAGTGCGGGATCCGGCGGTGCAGCAAGTGAAACACGACATTTTCCATTGTGTACTTCAGCAGATTGCTTAACTCGCTGCTCATGGCACGCCAGATATTGATCATGTGTCGACCAGTTATTTGAATCGAGGAAGTGTGACCATGTCCCCATCGATCATCTTCTTTGCCGAATTTTCCATGCGACTGGGCCTTGACTCTGGAAATCTCTTCGCAGATATCAAAGTCGTATTTCTTCCGAGCACGCTCAATAACGTACCCCCAAGAGGCATTGTGGACTTCGTATCCAGTGATGATGTCCGGGTCATAATAACGAACGTGATCTACAAGGCGATTGATCAGGTCCAGTTCAGAGGGCTCGTACTCCATCTCGTATTTCAGTGCTTTGGAGACTTTCGCTTCGGGTCTTTCGTCTTCACCCTCACCCTGGTAGATGATGCCGACGTGAACGCCAGGGAGGTGGCTGTTAACTTCCATATCTTCGTCTTCGGACTGGATGCACCAGAAGATGCATGAAATCTCATCTTCCACTGGATTCACCGACAGATTTCCGCGGGTATTCACATGTACCTCCAGACTCATTGTGCTCATGTACTGGGCTTGATGCTCCACGCTGGTCTTTTTGCTTTTCTGTGAATATTTGAAGCCATATGGGTTTTGAGTAGGTCCTTCTATTTGCGAGAGCAGCTCCTGTCTTCTTTCAGGCTGTGGAGCAATCGCCACGGTTTTCGTATCCTCACTGGGCGTCTCAAGCTTTTCGAACCATTCAATAACTTCAGATCGAGTTGGTGAAACGGCTGCGAATTCCCATTCCCGAATGGTACATGTTTCTCGCAAGTGCCGATCAATCTTTCCTTGCTGTTCCTCGTCGAGGGAAATGGGGAAGTGCTCTCCAAACATCCCCGGTAGGTTTCCTGACGGGTCAAACTCTGGGAGAAATTGGATAGTATCACTTTCCAAGCGGAATTCCCGTCCGGCATATTGTCGAGGTCTCTCAGGTACGTCTGACTCGTTGCTGTAGTATGCTTTTTGGTAGACCACTGAGGGACGATCATAATTATTCATTGTAGAGACCACTTCGTTTGTTCCTGGCCCTGCAAATCGAAGTAGGCGAAGGCCGTTGTCCGAGGAGAAATTGAATGAATCAGAGAGTTTTCCTTGCAGTTCCGCAACATGCCCCTCAAGTTCAGGCATCGGGACCACTGTGGATGAAGAGTGTGGCAATGAAGAAGATGTTGTCTCGTCCCCATTTTCCTGATTTTTTGTCGCAGAACCAGATAGAAATGAACTTGAGATATGTTGAGAAGATTCTGACGCTTTCTTTGGTGATTGACTATCAGATTGACTAAATCGAAGAATTGTGAGCGGATCATTGGGATCCTTCACGACTGGAAAGTTCAATCGAGTGTCGGATGTATGTAGCTTGGGACGAACTGTTTTCTGAGAGGAAGATGACTTTGGCTCTGATGATGAGCCAATTTTGGGTAGGGTATCTTTAGATCCTTCGTTTTCGTTTTGTACCTTGTCCTTGAGACCTGTTTCCTTTGACGGCTCATAGCTGCTCCAGAACCGGGGTTTCTTGATAAATGACTGTTCAGGCGAATTAAACTCGTCATGCTTGCGTTTGATGATAATTTGGCTCTCGCTGATGCCATTTGGTCCAGCTTCGTGATCCTCAGCCGAGGCTGCTGATAAGGAATAACCCTTGGTTGAAACACTGTTGACAGGTTCTTCAGGTCTTTGTTCGTCGGCCTCATTATTGGTGGGAGCGTTCACATCAGCAAAATCATCGAATACACCGTCATAGAAACTTTCTTCGTGAGCATTTGCCGACGGTTTTAGACGTCCGACTTCGATGCCCTCTCCTAGAGCTCCATCTATGTCATCATGATCGTCAAATGGACCATTCGGTTGAGAGAGAATAAATTCTTCGTCGATAGAAATATCAACTGGCACTTCAGGATTCTGGGAATGGGTCTCAAAGGTTGCCTTCTCAAGTCTCTCTGGAAAGAAATCTTCAACACTACTCAAGGCAGTTTTCACATTGGCAGCATTCTTATCATCATTCAGGAAGGTGTCAAGTGAAGTATTCTTGTCGTTTTCTTCACGCTTTTCGTCTTCGGCAATCTGAAGCGCCATCTCATGAAACTCGTCTTCGTGGATCCATCCTCCCCTGGCCTGGTTTCTGGGATCGGCGGACATCGAAATCAATTCCTCGGGCCCAAATGGAGTACTCCCAGGGTCAGTTATGCCCATTCTCTTCTTGCGTCTCCGCGTCTCGTCCTGCCATAGCCCAGCTACGCTAGGAACGAGTCGCTCATTGACGGCGACTGGTTTAAGGAGCTCTGTAAAGTCATGATGTAGCGGACGTTCCCTAATATCGTGTCGATTGAGGATGTCTTGCACACAGACGTCAGCCTCCAGAGGGCAGTGGCTCTGTTTCCCAAGAGCGGGATCATCGGATATGCTTTCAGCACCAATAGACCGGTCATGCCATCGATGATCTGGATCATTCAATTCCAGATACTCAGGTACCGGTGCTCGAAACTTGACTTTGCTGCAGTTCATGTAGCTGCAACCGTACAAATTGTAGTCGCACATCCATTGCGGGACGTATTGCATATGACTTTCGTAAGGCTGCAGCGGTCGTTTCATAACCGCGCCCTGATGGAGGAGATCGGCTAAACGGGTGATGTAAAAAGGGTTGAGAACATAAATCTTGAAGAAGAACCGATAGCCCACATGATACCCATAGAAAGGTGTCCCCTTCACAAGGGTGATATGCGCGACATACGCGACCTTCTGATCATAGGCATTACGCCGGTAACTGACAGCCAGAGCATGATCAATAGATAGATGAAGTGTACGAATCGCCGAATTTACTTTAATCTGTCAGTATATAATGAACATAAAATAATATACTATTGATCTCATAGTCGTACCTGCTTCGGGTTCGAGTGACCCGGTGTACTCGATGTACAAGTATGGAAACGCGCCATGAACATGAACGCATATCTTTTGGCCAGTTTCTGTAGCACCGAATACTCGAATTACCGGTACTCGAGGCCGATAGGTTTTCTCAGATGCGCCATCTCGAAAGGGCAGTGGAGGGTCCAACTCGGACGCGGTAGCCTGATAATGGTCGATGCAGTTGAGGCGCACACGAAAGGGATCCATCAGTCCGATGCTGATGCACAGATAGCATCAGCGACATTGCGCAGACGTAAGAATAAAGGGCTATGCCATCAAATGGTGATGCGATGTTGTTAAATCTTCTCTAAGTTCTGGAATCCTGACGCGCTCATCTCCGCGCCCGGGCGCGTTATGCCGCTTAGTAAGGTTAACATCGATCAGGCCCTTACTGAATAGATCAGGTGAATTGCTACAAATAATTGATATGAGTCCAGAGCCGTTCCTTAGGATGAAGTCACAAACAAAGACGTATATATGATGATAAGTGAGTCGCAAAGTTGCAAACAACACCTAAATTAGATAGATCGAATTTGCCAGTCAACTGGTGGATCCACTCTGGAGAAGTCACGTGTATTCAATCTCGAGCCTCAACTTGAACATCATCGACTTCTTCAGCTTCTCTTATCTCTCTCAGCGCTACAACATTTACCACTTTTCCCCTGGGCTACGACACTCAAACTCAGTCAAATATTACACGCTTGTCCTCTGGAGAGGCTGATTCCATTATGTCGTCACGAAAACCCGCCGAAGTGGCGTCCAAGGAGCGCAACGAATACATTCCATCCTTCATTTCAAAGAAACCCTTTTATGTCGATGATGAAACTGGAAATGATTACCTGGAGCATCAGCGTCTACAGAAGACTAGTGCCGATCAATCAAAATGGTACGACCGTGGCAAGCGCGCCGGCCCTGCGGCAACCAAGTATCGGAAAGGCGCGTGCGAAAACTGCGGCGCAATGACACACAAGACCAAAGAATGCCTCAGTCGACCTCGAAAGCAAGGCGCTCGCTGGACGGGCAAAGATATTCAAGCAGACGAGCTTGTCCAGGATGTCAATATGGGTTGGGATGCGAAACGAGATCGGTGGAATGGATACGACGCCAGCGAATACCGTGAGGTAGTGAATGAATACGAAGAGCTTGAAGCGATGAAGAAAGCCGCAAAAGATGGAGCCAATCTGAAGAAACTTCTGGATCAGGAGGATGGAGAGGACGCCGATGAGGATATTCGTTACGCAGAAGAATCCGACATGGGACGACATCAAAGCACAGCCACCCGCAATCTACGTATTCGAGAAGACACCGCCAAGTATCTATTGAATTTAGATCTCGATTCCGCCAAATACGATCCGAAGACTCGCCGCATGGTGGATATGGGTGCGCAAGAAGATCAGGCCTCTGCGCTGGTTGCGGAGGAGAACTTTGTCCGCGCTTCCGGTGATGCTGCTGAGTTTGAGAAGGCTCAGAAATATGCATGGGAATCTCAGGAGAAGGGCAATGCGCAGATCCATCTTCAAGCCAACCCGACATCAGGAGAAGTGCTTCGAAAGAAAGAGCAGGCTGAATCCGAGGCCAAGCGTACAGCCTCGCGGAAAGCCCTCTTGGATAAATACGGAGGGGGTGAGCATATGGAAAAGACTCCCTTGCGTGATACCATGGTGGTCGAGAATGAACGATTTGTGGAGTACGATGAATCCGGTGCCATCAAGGGTGCGCCCAAGAAGGCTACCAAGTCCAAATACGCAGAGGATGTCATGGTCAACAATCACACTTCAGTCTTTGGCAGTTGGTGGTTTGAATTTAAGTGGGGATACGCATGCTGTTGCTCTACAGTTAAAAACAGTTACTGTACTGGCGAGGATGGAAAGAAGGCTTTCCAGGAGGAGGGCAACATGCTGCTGCTTGATGCCGAGGAGGCGCCAGATCATGCTGAACCTGAGCCTGAGCCCACCAGTGATCGCAAAGATGAAAGCGCTCAGGCAAATGTTAAGAAGCGCACATTAGAGGAGTTGCAGTCTGGAATCACCGAGGAGGAGCTGGACTCCTACAAGCGAAGCAGAATGGCCGCTCAGGATCCAATGGCGAACTACGTCGACGAAGAATAATTTGCATAACTGTTATATGTACCAGGCGTTGAGCTTTAATCAAAATACCCCTTGAATATATGCATTGAAAAATCATTTATTAAATTTGCGCACCAGCCCTGTTGCAAGTCAAACACAGAGTAAATGTTATACACTAGTTAACGGAGGATATTTAATGCCCAAAATTCCAGGCCTCAATAGACTCGTCTTATCGCATCCTTATCAGTAACGCACGGACCATTTAATTATCATGTGACGATGGCTAAGGCTAAGCTGACTCATAAGGGCTTGTGCCCTGAATCCCGTGATGTCCACCCACTCTCGCTTAGGCCCGACACATCACCCAGCGGGAAGATTTGATACGCCTAGCGACGACGACACCGACAACAGCCCTTCAACGGAATTCGCCAGGTATGTGCACATATTGTACTTTCGCGACACGACCGTTGCCCCCGTATTATTCTTTACTAACCTCTTTCACCTTGCAGTTCCCTAATTCAAAATGAGTACGTTCCATGTCGAAATATCGCACCGCGAATCTCCGCAATCTCGAATCCGTCCAAACTGACAATCACCACAGCCAAGGGTACCTCGAGCTTCGGAAAGCGCCACAACAAGACGCACACTCTGTGCCGTCGCTGTGGTTAGTATTACACCTCCCTTCGAATGTCGATAATCGAAACCCCGGGGCCCAAATCGCCAAAAATCTCTGTACGACTGAGTGATGGAGTTTGAAACGATCTCGGATAACCCAGGGGCGGGAATCATCGACAACTATGTAACGCCGGGCACCAAATAACTGACTGGTTATCTTTCTACGACTTTAGGCAAGCGGTCTTTCCACATCCAGAAGTCCACCTGCGCCAACTGTGGTTACCCTGCCGCTAAGACCCGCAAGTGTACGCATTACCCTCCCTTGATCTTTGGTGGAATGAATGAGAATTGGAAATTGGGAACGACATGAAACCCTTTTTCTTGGGTGGATTTGAAGATGCTCGCAAATTGTTGGAACGACTTGGGCTTACGAACTTTTTTTCCAATATAGTCAACTGGGGTGAGAAGGCTAAGCGCCGCAAGACCACCGGCTCCGGCCGCATGCGCTCCCTTCGCGATGTCCACCGCCGCTTCCTGAACGGCTTCCAGACCGGTACCCCCAAGGGTGCTCGCGGTCCCCAGGTCGCTCAGTAAATTTCCCGTTGTCCAATTCGGCGTCGCGTTTTTCGTTCTCGGAGTGGCTGGAAAAGGAATGAGGGGTGACATCCTGGCATGACATGGGCCTAGCATTACGAGATAGATATACTCGAAATGCAAAATGGCAATTCCGGAATATTAACGCTTTCCCGTGGAGTTGGTTGTGTGCGATCGTCGATCCCGTCCAAGAGGCGCGGAGACGGGAAAAGTTACGTTGGAATGTGTTTGAGGAGAAGTGGCATTAAAATTTTAAGGGAAAGCATGCATGAATTTCCTTTTTTTCTTCCTCGTTTATGGCTGGCGAATATCCCCATGTCGTGACAGATACAAATGTGAAGATCTCTCTTCCTGACAATTCGGTTCTATTGCATGATCTGGTAAAGCAGTTGCATTGATATCAGAATTCATACTACTTCGTAGTTGATTCTTTTTTACTAAACTATCAAGCCTCGAAATCTCATACAACCGCTGCTTCTCACGACTCTCCACGACCAAACACCTTGACACCACCATCCCGCTGGATATAATACAGCAGTTCCTTCTCATCCAATGTGTCCGCGCCGGAACTGATTCCACCACCTCGACTGATTCTCAGCACACCACTTACATCTCTTGCGGCACCAGTCTCCAGAGTCCGAAGCTGCATAACCGACCTAGCCCGATGCGCCAGCCCAATAGCAAAAGCAGCATGTTCCCCTTCCACCGGCGTAGCTCCCTGGTTCCCAGAGACAGATGCATTGTGGATCAGCGGGGAATCAGCAGCGAGCGTTAAAACCGTCGCGCCCACATTCTATGACGAGTTAGCCATCGTTATCGGATAAGGGTCAGCCACCCGTAGATAAACTTACCAGCTGTAGACCTGTGACCCACTCGCTCATCTCCGTAGCTCCGATCCCCATACTTGTGCCTGTAGCAGCAAGAAGGAAATCTGGTTGGTCGATAATCAGCAGTACTTCTTCACTGCTGTCACCGGATGCTTTGAGCTGTTCGATGACGGCAATGATATCCTTTTCCAGGATATCTAGTGCTGCGGTGCCACGTCCCGAGAAGTGCAGTTTCTTTGCAATGCCTGGCTCACTGGTAGCCGGACCTCCTGCCACACTGCTTGTATTTGCTGACATGGGCGTCGAGATAGCTGAACCTCTTCCAGGAGGACCTCGCAGTGGAAGTGAGGTGCGGGATGGCATCCCTGTAGGAGATGGAGTGGTAGGAGCGGCATTTGCTGATTGAGGTGCAGAAAAGAGTTCAGATAATCCATCAACAAATGCAAATTGTTTCTTATCTGCTAGTCGTGCAAGATCCAAGCCCTGAAAGATATCAGTATGTGGTTTAAACAATAACCGCCAGTATTGGAACGGGGTTGAAAGGGATCCCATGTTCGGTTCACGGTGAATATATCAAAGAAAAGTCAATAATGAAAAGCTGCAACTTACCAATCGCTTTGCCTCTACCTTCCAGAATTCCCAACCGCGTAGGAAGCTCACTAGGACGACTTTCTTCTTAGAGCCATCGTGTTCATCCAGACCAAACGTCTGATTTGTGGATGTGCTGAGAGCCGAGTATAGAAACCTCAAAGCAAGCCAATTGGATGTTGCGCCCAGGATAGAGGAGATTAATGTCAGTGAAGACTCAGGCTGAGACGATAGATATGGAGCGAGGAGGGGTGGTAGTGGGGGTTGCGATGGCATAATGACGTCTCCCAAGTTTTTTTTTCTTGACTGATCTCTGATGATGTCTCAAGACTATTAGGTGTGCGTAAGTCCCTGAGCTAGTGCTCTTCTTTTATCCCACTTTTGAAATGGAGCTGGTTGAAAGAGTTGATGTTGATAATATTCAGAATGTTTGAAGGGAAAAAATGTATTAGTGTTGTGATTGGCCCACTGTATCCGCGCCAAGCGGAGTTCAATGTACAGTGTTAGATCTTGATATTGCAACTTACCACTTTTGAATGTATTAAAAATAGTTGATATAGTGGTTTAGTCTAAAGTACTATTTATTCGGATTAAAACACTCGCTACTACTACTAGATTAGTGGTTATTACTATGTAGTATTGTAGTATGGACTAGTAGAGTCACGGTCACAGCAAGATCCCAGACTATATATAGTTCGAATGAGGTCTTAGCACTATTCCCACCAATCAGTTCCTATTAAATCAGCATTCAAGAAGCTTGAGCCAGTAAAATGCAGAAGATAAGGAACATGTCAGCTAGGACCGAAATTTCCTCAACAACACGTAAATGTATCCCAAGACCTCAACTGTCATATGGCCCGATCTGCAGGAACAAAGTACGAGAACTTGACTGCCTCAGGCACCAATGCAGTTTTTGCGCGCATCACATGACCATTTCCCCACCATTGCGAGGGGAATTGAATGCGACATCTCATCCATCGTATTGCAAAGCTGCTCGGTCGAAGTGGATCAATGATTGCTCTAGCGCCGATCGTGAGTTGCTGACCCGTGCAAATGCACTTGTCGTCTTTCTACCTCATATATGCCCGATGCTTGGCTTCCCGTACTCTTTGTTATACAAGCATCGCAACCCCACGTATGCTGCATAGCATCTCCAGATGTCACCATCTCATGTCGATTTGGTAGAACTGAGCTGACTCTTTATCAAGATGACTCCCGTTGAGTGTCATGTTCAGAGCGCATTGAACACTAAATATACGCGACCTGATTCGCCTCGATAAGATGGCTCATAGGAGTACTCGAGATTCCCATTCATTCGCTGTATGTATCATGACTCTGGCAAATAGGCTTGAAACTAACATATATCTAGTGCGATGAATGTCGCCTTCGGAAGTCAAGAGTATGTGACCTCAATGGGAAGCTTGCTTCTAAAATATGGGAAGAACCTCAAACTTACTTTACCATAGTGCTCAAAAGATCGGCCAGTTTGCATACAATGCAGCCAACTTAACAAGGAGTGCAAGTACAGTCCGAAGGTTACAAGAAGTCCTTTGACTCGACAGTAAGATCTATTCAGATGTTCGGAGTTATGCAGGACAGACCGCTGATTAATGCAGGCACTTGACTTATGTTGAAGATCGGCTACATGCATTTGAAACAGCCTTGAGCAGGCTGTTCCCAGGAGGTGATCTGGATGCTACTCTACGCTCTCTTTTGCAGAACCAAGATACACCCAAAGCTCCCTCGTCTAATACATCATCAAGGCACTCAACTCCAGCTAGGCCTGAAGCCGAACGAGCAGAGCCGGCACCTGAAGCTCTACCCCTGCAAGCTGATGGCTTTGACTGGGCAGAGAAAGAACTCACCCTGGGTGATCTGACAGATGGCATGGCAGCACTCTCGATCAAACCCGAAGGAGCTGGCTACTTCGGTTAGTGATTCACATATAAGCTATTCTATTCGTCGATCTCTAATTTCAATTATAGGCGCCTCATCCAGTGTAGTGCCCTTGCGAGCACTCTTCGACCATGGCTTTGATTTGAATATCCCAGTCCGCTCAGCAAGTTCCGGAGGAATTCCTCTCAAAGCACAGCTCTTGGAGAGCGCACCATCCGGCTTGATCGAGCAAGCATTCATCGATGCATACTTCCTTAACTACCACACAAGCTATCCATTCGTTCACGAACCTACATTCCGGGCTCAATTCAATGAGCCATCTCTGCGTCCCCATGGTACCGCATGGCAAATTCTCCTCAACACCATTCTAGCCCTAGGTGCATGGAGTATTGGTGACGACAGCTCAGATCTTGATGTCACTTTCTACCAAGAAGCAAGAGCATGCCTACAACAAGCATCTGTATTTGAGACTGGAAACCTAACACTAGTCCAATCCCTGTTATTACTGAGTAATTATGCTCAGAAGCGAAATAAGCCCAACACAGGCTGGAATTATCTTGGTCTGGCCGTTCGAATGGCCATGAGTTTGGGACTCCACAAAGAGTTCCCCGGCTGGAAGATCAGTTTACTCCAGCGTGAGATCCGCCGAAGATTGTGGTGGGGTGTTTTCATCTTCGACAGTGGTGCTGCCAAAACCTTTGGTCGACCCATCTTGCTTCCAGAAGAGTGTGTCATGGATGCGAAGCAGGTCCTCAACATTCATGATGATGTAAGTGGAAATCAATGGACCAATATGAGTAGTCTCGATGCTAATGCAATTCCTACAGGCCTTGACCCCAGCTACAACAACACTTCCCTCTGAATCTCCAGGACCAACGCTCTACTCCGGCCTGATTGCACAGGCCCGCTTCCATCTTCTCACGAACAGTGTTTACCAGCGCCTGATTTCGAGTCCTACTGTCACCCCAGAAGAAACACTGAACCTGCAGAAACCAATGGAAGAATGGTATACTGGCCTACCTTCTTACCTGCATTATCCTCTCCAGCCACTTGCTGTGCACCCAACTCAACCCGACCCAGACAACCTCGCTCTTGTGCGAAACCGTTTATTATGGCGAAACTGGAATCTTATCATTTTGATTTACCGCCCGATTCTTCTCCGCTGGGCAGCACGACGCTGGGCACCACAAAGTGGAAGCTCAGATGGGTCATCCGTTAGTTCAGATGCGGGGATCGAAGATCCATACGAGACAGAATGCCGGGTGCGTTGTTTACAAAACGCACGATTGACAATCGCTTCTATCTCGGAGTACATGGACAACTATGTCTGCACGAGAATCGGTGCATGGTATATGCTGTAAGTAACTTCGGCCTTCAAGAAGACAAAGAATACCCCCTAACATCTTACAGTTACTTCCTCTTCCAAGCCGGTCTAATCCCGATCGTCTTCCTCATGACCGACTCCTCAAACCCAGAAGCGCAAAGCTGGCTTCGAGATATCGAAACCACCAAGGCCCTTCTCGGCCACCCATCCTTCGCGAACACCCGTTTCGCTGCACGGTGCTCCGAAGTCATCCACCGCCTCTTGGGCACCCCAACAGGTGTGATGTCCGGGCTACCAGGGGGAAACCAGCACACCCTCCAGCAGCAATCCTTCCAACAGCCCCCACAGGGCTTTATGCCATTCCCCGAACAGCTGTTTAGTGAAACAGGGTTTCCTGGTAGTTTCTTTTCGACGGATCAACCGATGCCTAGTCCGGCGGGCATGGACTTTTCAGAATGGGTGACTTTTCCCGGACAGGAGCAATAGTCTTGATGTATAGGCAGTCAGAATGGATGTATCCTAGTAATTAGCGATTGATTCATGCATTCATATTGGATCATACTGAGTTATGTAGTACTAGTTGAACTTAGCACGCAAATGGAATGCATAAAGACAATTTCAAGCAAATTGAAGCCAACGGACCCGAAAAATATAAGCTCGTAGCCTAATGTGATAATGAACTTTTACAACCCTTCTCTGCATGTATAGTTTTCATATTCCAGGTTGATCATGATCGGCATCCAAGACACGAAGTCAACCACGAAAACCACCCAGATCGTCTGCGACTCCAATCCTCCTTCTCATCAAACTCCTCCTCATCTTCTTGAGGGTTATCCCTATAGCGCCCCATACGCAACGCAGCAATAGAAATAACCCCCAACTCAAACGAACCCTCCTGGTCTCCAAAGAAACTAAAAAAAGTTAGCCAAAACCCACAATCCAAACCCAGAAATATAATCCCACCTCCGAACCATAATACCAAACCTCTTAACATTCCTCAAATCCAAAGGTTCCGCATCCTTCTTATCCCTCCCACGATACGTCGCCCGGAAATCACTCCACTTAACAAAAATGGAGTTCCGCACCCCCTCCCCCTTGAAATCATATTCCCAGCTCACAGAGCTCTGCTCCCTCCCATCTGGTCTACGCGGCAAGATCTCATCCTTAAGCGTAAGAGTATAGACCTTCCCATCGGAGGGCCCGAGAATAACCTCCAATCCGTCGTACGCGGATAAATCCCAGACACGGTCTGTGCCTGTTGTGCGTTGCGAGGCAAAGCCTGCACCACCGAGGGTTTGGATGTCCAGTTCACCGTGGAAGGTTGCAGTTAGGGAGGAGGCGGAGCAGGTCAGGGTTGAGTGGGAGGAACCGCCGCGGACACGGTCGTCGGAGGAGGTCCAGTCGTCTTGGGACCAGGCTCTGGGGATTTTGTTAGTTACTGAATTGGGTTGGATGGTTGGTTTATTACCTGGCGCCACCGAAGAGGGGGAGGTGGGATGGCATGTTGATATTGGGATCTGGGGTTTGAGGATGATCCTAGGTACTAAGATGTGGTGAAGGATGTTAATTTGGTGGAGGCGGTGGGTATGCGGGGATGGCGTCATAGGAATTAATAGATCGCAGTGTTGATATTTGTACTTCTAGATATCCTTGCATATGACATTATGAATATTACGTTATGTTAACAAGGGATATCCATTCCAATATATCATCTCACTGGCATTCCTGGCGGATTTATCTTATTTAAGCTTAATTACTCGGGGGCATAATCATCAATATCGGATGAATTCATTGGTTGCTCACCAGCCACTCACCCAAGTTGAATTACTATTTAATATAAAGAAGACGACCAGAGAAATCTGAATCAAATAAGACACCTGGTCATTTAGATGACCCATTCAATGCCCTTCAAAGTGTCACAATCATTTGAATTCAGTTGTATCGAACATTGAATTGACAAGACCCTGTACAGGCACATCTCAACCTCCAGGGCTGGAATAGTTCATAATAAGAACAGCTAGCTATACTCAACTTAAGACCACAGAACTTCCCAAATAAGCCCTACAAGATACCAGCTATCACGAATATAATATTCAAATCAAGTACCTAATACTAATACTACATAATAATAATAATACTACGATAACCTCGGAAGAAAACCTCGTGAACCCCTACGTCATCCCGAATACCTAAAGCTCACTGGTCCAAGTGGAGGAAATGATATCCTAAAACACAATGATCTGCAAATAACCCAGCAGAATCCATGCACCTGCATCCCTCTACCTCATATCCCATCTATGTCAGGGCCCATTGACCCTACCCTCAAACTCCAATGCCCACCACCCTCTCCATACTCGTCTTCGTCGCTTCCCCGCTTGATTACGCTCGGTATAGACATACGGCGCTTTATTTTGAATTCGAGCAGGAGGGGGAGAAGGGGAGGGATTCCAATACAGATGATATTGCGCAGATAAGGAAGAGAGGATATATGAAAGATGGTACGGTGGGGACAGACACACTGGCAGCAACGCCTACAGCTACAGACCAGTCCAAACGTGAACTTGAGCCCACGGGGAACATGCACGATTCCCACGCGAATACCACGAATGTCCCGGTGAGATCCTCAGTAATGGAGGTAGTAGGATCCCCTGGATTCTTCACTTTCTCAGAGCGTCTAAATCTGGGAGTTCCTACATCAGCCAGTAAGTTCAAGTTACATCAAGACATGTATAGACATGCCAGTGTGCAGATCTATGCTATACTGCATATACCTTGAAACTGAGAAGACGTATCCTAATTATTGACTTAGACCTAGCACGAATAATCACCGTCTCAAAAATTCCCTCCTCAATACCAAGTTCCTCGATCCGCGACACAATCTCTCAAACAAGGATACTAAATGGGGATGGAGACACGGATTGGAATAGTCAAAATTGGGTTGGGGATGCATTGGCGAGGATGGTTAAGGCGGGATATCTGAATGAAGAGGTGTCGGAGAGAGGGATTGACGAGATGGTCGATGCTATCTTAGAAGCGAAGGATGAGGAGTTAACTCGGAATTAACCCTTGAACACAAGGCGCAGTGGAGGTTATTTGAATTTTTGTCGGGATTTTTACACGTCCATCCTTTTCGCTTGTAAGTAGTTCCGATTATTATCTAATACTGTGTTGATATTTGATGGACAAATACTATAGTATAACTGGACGTGGACTGTCTTCATTGGAAATAAGAAAGATATTCGATTGAATAGTAGCCTTAGAACTATTAATGGACACAAAAGGATGTATCCGATGCTAGAATCCAAAGGAAAGAAAAGAAAAAGAGAGAGATATGATATCCTAAGAAATGAATAAGGACCATAGCAATCTGGATATGGGACCTGAAGAAGAACTTGAACGGGGATGCTCAAACCATGCGACGCACTTGCACCACGCTAAAAGACAATCAATGAGATATTAACTGGAAAGTAAACATCGAGGCTGTGTAGCCTTTGTGTCGTTATCAGAAATGAAGGTAAAATAGAATAGAAGGTACTTGACAGGGATAGCAGTGTTGGTAGAAAGATAGTGCGCTAAGTCCTTTCGTGGACACATCATGGAGGGTTAATTTGGGGACTAGTTCAAGATTCGTGGAAGGTTTTTTTTCTGGGTTTCTTTTTCTTGATCTTTTCTTTCTCATAACCTCTGCTCCGTAGTCTTTTCGATTCAATTCATCGTCGCGAGTCGCTCGGTTCCCAATGAATGGGTTCAAAATCCGAATTTTGAAAATGCGCTTGATTGTACGGTGAACTATGGCCAGTCAGTGACCCGATTGGATAACAAGGACAAACTCAACTCACTTCTTGAAAGGCGTAGTCACTGGAAGCGAGTGACTCAAATTAGGCTTCATGACTAACGGATTCAGCCGGATCTGCGGCCCATCAGATGACCGACTCGGCAAGGAAGTCATAGGCGGTGGCGCCGCAGACGGAATAACAGGTGGAGGCGAAGAGACAGGAGGCATGGATGGTACCGCTGCATGACTCTGCATGGGGGACTGGTACAGGTCCTGTGTGGGAGAGACTCGGAATGGACTAGTTGGAGCCGGAGAGACCGAAGAAATTGGGGACATTGGAGCACCCATTCCGCCAAATGTGGTGTCCGCCATGAGGTTTGGAATGGACATCAAGTGTGGGTGCACGTCGAAGGAGAGAGTGCCTTGATCCCAGGGGGTATAGTTAGAAGTCATTCCGTACTGGTAGTTAACGATGGGGCTCATGTTTATCGGAGGGGGTTCGGGTTGGTAGAGAAGGTCATAATGGCCACTGTGAAGTCAGTATTTGAAGTAAGTTTGAATATGACGATGAAAGACTCACGGTCGATACAGCAGGTGGATGGTTGCCCCACTAGGGCAATTTTGAGATAACTGGTGAGGTGTCACACTATCTCCCTCGCTTCTGTCGAGGTAGAGAATCTCGACTCCAAGCCCAGCATCTTCGATCACACCGCTGACTAAAGCCTGCAGTCCCACTTCATCAATCTCGGTCCTGACAGGCTCTATTCGTGAACTGCAGTATTGGTCTATTGGCAAAGACAGGAAGGCCTGATATCTGTGTGGATTCAGTTTCATCCATGCACTCGTCAAAAGCTGGGTTAAGTCAGCATACAAAAATTCCAAGATTCACAAAGAATTAAATAGCATAAAAAGTAAACATACCCGGAAGTGAGTAATGACAGCCGTCGAGCTGTATTCCACGTTGAATGCATTGACCAGATAAGTTTCATCGTGCTCACCATTATGAATGGCTGTCAATGTTTGCGCGAAGAGCTCTTCTGTCGCATCGACAAAGATCTCGTACAATTCTTGCTGCTGTCCGACCCGATCCAAAAGACTGTTGAGAGACTGGAATCGTCGAAGTTCCCGCTCTACACGAACGGTATCTCGCAAATTGAATAGGGTCTCGAAATAACCAAATGCGACGGCTGCATGGTTAGATTAGAATATACAATGGTTGTGTTGGACGACCTACCTCTCCATCCACAATTCCCATCTCCCTTCATAATCCGAGTCATGGGGTGGGTGATCGCAAGAGCCTGTCATGGATCAGTATGAGATCCCGGTGATATAGAAATAAAGATAGGGTCACTTACATTCGTCTTCGTGATAAAAGTAGGATCCGCATCGGCATATTCCATGGCAATTCCATGACTGGATTGTTTGGGGGAAACCAATGGACCCTATAGATCTACTTAGCCAGATGCTTCGTGCTGCATGATTTCCGGTAACCACATCTCTTACCTGGATCTCGGGCTCATAGTTATTGGACAGCTTCTGGAAGCGCTCCATCTCATCCGGCGAGAGAGCATTCATATTGGTAGAGTTACTCATGGTGGAAACCGGGGTGAAAACCGCGGGAAGGGAAAGGCTCAATGGGGGTAGTAGCGCAGGCGCAACTAGCGAGTCCCTGTAGAAACTAGTGAATTTCTGTTTATCGGGGAAGGGATGGTGAGGACCGAAATGATTCCAGGGAAGTTTTGATAAGGACATCGCATACGGTGAGATAAGGGGAGGTGGTAGATTTGAAAAGAACTTGGAGGGTATTCCTCAAGTATTTTAAAGGTGAATTGAGATTTTCGACTTTATAGACATCTATTGATAAGTTAGGAGAGGATGATCTGAATAAATAGAGTAGCATTCTCAATGAAGAGGGGTAAAGAATTAAAAATAAAATAAAAAACTCAGGGAAGAAGCTATAGCTCACGGACCTAAACTCCAGATGTCATCTCCCTGAAGATTTCCCGATTGGGCGAAGTATGGAAACCGTGTGAACAAGAATGCCGTCCTTGTGTGACAGAACAGACACCCAAGGCCCGGGAGTTTGGGTGAACTAAAAGTTATCACTTTTAGTCAGGTTCAAATATGCATGGAGAATCACAGGTTGAGTTGAGAGGCAATAAAAGAAAAGTGTAAAAAAAATCCTCAAGTCCCATGTCTTGCACACCACCATGAAACTCGGAGTTGCCTATTTGGGCTTCCTCTAAATGAAGATGGTGGGCAGTGTGCTTCAAAACCAAGTCTCTTCCCGAGATGACTGGAGGTGATTGGACTCGGACACACTCACAAGAATGTAAGAGAAATGTGATGAAAAGCCCAGAATCAAGGCTATGAAAAAGCAAGAGCTAAATGAAACCCGCAATCTGTGAATGATGTCAGGGATGTTTTTTTTTTCTTCAACGGTGTTCCCCTCAAAAGGAACCACCACAGGGCTCCACTTTATGGGTAGGGGTTAAGAGGAAGATGATGAGCGGATGTGTTCTCCGTAGACCATCACCTGATCTCGGATAAGGGGGGGTAAAGAAAACAGCATCAACTTAAAAAAGAGACCTAAAAAAGAGAGGGGAAAGCTCAGACCTTGAAATCAAAATTGTTCTGGAATCGAGAAAAAAAGAGGGGGAGAAGGAAGTGGAGGTGTGGTGTTGTGTTGGTGTTCCGCACCAATTATTATTAATGGGGGAGAGGTCCAAACGGATCACTTATTTCCAAGGTTATTCGAGGGGATTTTCAATGTTAATGATCAACTTGAATATTTGAAGATGGTAAGGTCAAACATTTGAATTGCAGGTAAATCAAGATCATAAAGAAAAACAAAATCCACGGGGCAGAAACTCTCTAAGTAATGAAGGAACGGTGCACCGTGCCCGATATCTGCAGATGCTGATCGATGCCAGCACAGCATACATCTAGATCAAACACGCATCCACATATTATTCTATATAGATAAATGGGATAAAACATTGGACATTTCCAAGGTTCTAGTACTACCACGAGGTCTTCTACTCTAAGCATAGATAAACTTGAATTGAACAGCAAACTTGATTATTATAAACCTAGAATAAAATAGAATAAAATAGAATAAAATAGAATAAAATAGAATAAAATAGAATAAAATAGAATAAAATAGAATAAAATAGAATAAAATAGAATAAAATAGAATAAAATAAATACGGAATTCAAGTTGAAGCGATCAACATAAAACTCGACTCCAAGCGCGCGCGAGACCCCCACTCCCTAACATTGAAACACTAGAACAGACCAAACTACATACTAATTATACCAACTACTACTAGCAACTAACTAACTACCTATATTAACCATGATCATTTCTACTTAGACATAGTACTACTGAATATACTGAATATAGTGCTAATACTCGTATAAGATAAACCCTTTTTCCGTTCAAAAGCGGGGTTTCCAAGACTACTTTTGTTTGATCGTGATTCCGTCGTGATGGTGTCTCCTTTGATTCGCGGATATTCAAGGCCCCATGCACCGGCAGTTTGGTCCGCGATGCGGCGTGAGATTCTCTCATTTTCAAAGTACAGTAATATGGAGTAGAAGAAATAGTTCGTACTTTCTCTAGTACTTTATAAAGTACGGAAAATACTACATATACTACTCAAACAATACTTCAAGTTTCAGGGATATCTCCCAGGGCTGAGATACTAGTTCATCTTGAATTAAAGACTTTGGCCCCTCGCTTAGACCTCTTATCATCACCTGGGCACATTCATAGTGACACATAATATTGGTTTTCAGCTTGAACTTTCTAGACAGTTCCAGATCACCATACGGATACTTATTCAATACTAGTAATCTTTGACTTGATCGAAAATGGTCTGGTCTGATCGAGGCTTTTTTTTCTTCTTTTTTCCCATCACCCGACTCGGCGCTAGGATATCATTCATTCATACATATCCTGGAGCTGGGGTTTTCATTCGACGATCGTAAGCTGGGGACGTGCGAGATGCAGTGGACTGGATTTCTTTTTACGTCACTGGGAGCTAGGGCCAGCCGCATACCCAGGTGCGGTCCAGGCTGTTTCTCGTTTCTCACCTTTTCTCACCGGGGTCTTTGATCACGCTATGAGCATGGGTATTGATTAGTTGTCAGTGCGTGTGATTCGAACTTGGATTTTGCGATTGTCTCTCAATATCTTGTTTATTTTTTATTTCTATCTATTTGGAATTACTATGGAGTATCATTTGATCGGGACATCATTTTAAGAATCCAGAAGTATGTACTCCCCGTACCTGCTGCAAGTAGATCGAGTATCTAGGCACCACGAACTCAAAGATAAGGAGATACGAGGTCTGACATCGCTTAGCGAGTGATAGTATTTAGAATTTCGAGTTATTAGTATTTACATTTTATTTTCCCTACATCTGTTAATCGCCCGGGACATTCACATGCTCGACGACACCATCACCCTCTTCATACCCCTGGACACACCTGGGCAAGCACCCGGGGTGGAATACTAATATCATATCATGTGGATAATATTAATCCCTACTTCTCACACAGGTTCGGACAAATCCCTTTCTGAGACGCACAAATCACCGAAATGTAAACATGAGTCAGTAAGCCAGCACCAGCGGCACCCATTGACCAACCAAAACCACGTCTCAGATGCGCGGATATTATCATATAATAATGCTAGCTATTATATCCCCCAACTGACCAGGGTTCGCAATATAACCTCGCTACACGCGGTAGATGTCCCAGCGACATAGTGTCCCAGTAGACTGGAGACGGCACTCGAATCAGTTTGTTTGGACCCATGTACCGGGGTAAGGAGTACTAGTAGACCGCCATGCTCCACTCCCCCCTTAGTTCAGTTCCTGGTCTATAGCACTAACGGAGAGTCGGAGACGTGGAGAGGGGTAGTTAATATCACGCCACCGAGTTTTAGTCTGTTCAATGTTTTAGTATAATTCAATTGGGCAATTGGACCGAGGTATTTTTATACATCTATGTGAGATTAGGTGAACACTACTCATGCTTATGCTATTCTAAAACTCCGGTAAAACGTGGTAGAATTCATCTTATCATCATATTTTAGCGTCTTATGTCACAGCAACTCTAAATTGCGGGGCGTAGGGCCTTTTCACTTGATCTCTAGGCAAAAAGGAAATCAAATAAACAAGCAAAGAGGGGAAAAAATAACTTGGCCCGCTCAGGATTAGAGAATCAGACTAGACCGCTTAACTGTCAGGACCCGGATCAAGTGGGCCTAAGACTAGCCTAATACCAGTCGCAGACTCGCAGGCAACAAAGAATCGGTGTGAGAATTGTTTCGACTTGTCATCCGTCACCACGTGGACAACGGACAACGTTTCCCGGCCCTTAGCTCCCGTTGATCCTGGTGTCATTTCTTTGTTCGCGGCTCAACCGCCAAAAGCAACAGAGGACGGAATGGCCGCAGTTACCTGCACACGCAATTGCAGGACCGGGTAAAGATTAAAAAAAGAAACAAAGAGAAAGAAACAGAAAAAAAAAGTTACTAGGGAGGGAGAAAAGGAAACGAGAGGGGAAAAAGACCACTTAGATAACGGCTTTGCGTTGGCACAGCCTTCCCCATTACGCAGCTCCGGTCAATTTGCCCCCCGAACCCTTTGCCTCGCAAAACCCGCGAGACTCGTTGGTTCAAACGCTGGCTCACATGTGACGCCTCGTCACCAAAACCTTGGGTGAAAATTGAGCCTGCTACTTGGTTTCCGTCATCCAACCGATAACCGTCACCTTGGAGAGTAGTGGACCAAAGGCTATGCAATGATGAGCTCCACTCCTGTAAGGCGCGCAATCTTTCCCCATCGTTGCAGCTAAGGACCAAGACAGTTCCAGATTCATGATCGACGTGAGCATTCAGTTTCTTATCGAGAATCAAAAAGTCCAGAATGTCGGAGACGTCGGAAATAGATATCTTGATTTGCTTGGAGATGAACTGGAGGGAGAATCGAGTGTATGGGGCGATCAGCTTAAGCACAGCCTTGGTGCGCATGTTGCGGCTGACCTCATCGATGTTCTCAGCGATGAAAGAGTCATCCAGCATGTCGGGGTTCTTGAGGAGGACACTCTGGTAAACGTGGATATCATCTCGCTGGTAGGCGTCTACCAAGTCGGTCATGGCTGAGATGCGCGGGTCGTTCTTGTATGGCTTAGTCTCTTGAGAATCGAATGGGTTGATGTCGGACTTCATGAGCATGGTTGTTAAGACGAGGTACTTGAGAACTTGGATCCGTTGCATCGAGCCCGCCTCATCGTAGTTTCGGAATGACTCAAAGAAGTCACTTTGTGCCTCCTCCCAGTTCTCCTCGCTCATGTGCATCTTTCCACCGCACTCTCGAATGATTCCCATAATCCTCGGATGGGGCACCGCAGAGCGCACTCGCAGAGCCTGCTGGTAGAGCGCCTTGAGGCGTTTGTTATTCTTCGTTTCGGCGTACATCTGGATCTCCAAGGCGTAGAGCTCGAGTAGGTAGGTGCCCTTGCTGGGGTCGTCGGATCCGTCCTCCTTCCGGCATGATCGGTGAAGTTCGCGCATCTTCTTGGTGAGCAGGGTGTACTCCTTTCGATCGAGCCATAATTTAGCCAGTTTAATGTTCGTCTTCAGCCATAGTCGCTCGTTATTGGTGTTTTGGAATGATTGGAGGGTCAGAGAATAGAATTCTTCCATGCATTGGTATGCCTGGGAATCGTCGGATCCCTTTTCGATGTAATCGAGCATATTATTGATGGACTTGTCGGAGTAATTGCGGGTTACGGCGGACTTCGTGTAGGTAAGGAGTTCTCGAAAGTGCTCAACGGCCTGGAAAGCACAGAGGTTAGCTCAGATTAATATTTTGGTCCATGAAAAGCGCGTACATCGTTGTATCTTCCGAGCTTGAATTCTAGCTTAATGGCTTGCTTCAATCCTTTGAAACCCCTGGTAGTTGTAAGTATGCTATTTGCGCGGACTTTGGGGGCAGTGCGAACCAGTCGCTTTTATCCATCTCCAACGCTGGTATGCCTAAGAACTCATCGACTGCTTCTTCTGGGTTCTCGCCTTTGATCTGTTTGGCATTGTAGTATTTATTCTCAATGCCGATATCGCCGGCTTGTTCGTCATCGCCAGAGCCTTCATAGTCAAAGTCATAGCTGTGGTTCAGAGTGTCAGTTCAAGTCGTGAGAGGGCAGAGGGGGCACATACTCCTCGTCGGCAGAATCTTGCATGAAATCGTCGTCAGACATGTTGGGTGTTTTTAAAAGTGCGCTTTTAATGGGAAGTGGTTAAAGAGGAGCAGAGAAAATGAAGGTCGTATCGTCGCGGTCTTGTCGCGCGGGGCGTAGTAGTATGGAGGAGCTTGAGATGGTAAGTGCAAGTGAGAGCTGAGCTCCGCCTTCTGAGCTCCCCGCCTGACCGCCAACTGGTGAAGGCAGTATAATCAAGAGATAGGACATGCAAATGACTTCAACTTGATGTTTGTTCTTTAAAATTCACTTTGTTTATGCTGCGTTCATTGTGTAGCAGTTATAATATTATAACTACAAACAACCTTGGTAAATAAACGGCAAGCTTGGCAGAATTACTATGCATGATAGGTATAAGCCGAAGCCCAGGGCCCAGTTATGTACTCCGTACTAATAGTAGGACTTCTAAGAGGGCTAGCAATCTATCTTCTCAATTCAAAATGAAAGCTTCTAAGTGGTACTAAATACTATTAGATATAATTGACTTGTAATTGTATCACAATGACTTTCTTTCACACACTGCATGTACTCCAGGGCTTGATAAGAGAATACCAACTGGCGAATATTAAAGTGGATCCTATTGAACCAATCGAATTAGTTGATCCCAATTCCAGTCACATGATTTCCAAATCGGTCAGTCAATAATTACGTCATCTTCTGTATAGGTTCCAAGGTTGATCTAGTAGAATAAGAATACAGTAGTAAGATAATAATATTGAATGTTCGCTAAAACTAGCAAATTGCAGACCGCTTCAAATGTTGACATAGGAATCTTGGAAATGGTCTAGATTCTTAAAGACTCAAGTGTGGCATATCCAGAGTCAAGCCACATATGATCTGTGCCCCGTTTAAGTAAGAATTTAGGCCCATCTTATGTGCTCTGCACTCCGTACTGCGATACGATCCAATTCTTTCAATCTAAAATTGATGACTCGATATTCTGGTTATTTTTTATGAGATAGGGGCTGTGTTTATCTGTGTTTACATCGACGCAAAGAATGTGGAGTCCTTCGTCATGGCCATTGATGGGTGGCGATCATCCGCGATCAAAGGGATATTTCACCACTCCTAGATACTGCATTTACACCGTATTGATTATCAACTTAGTCTTAGATATCATTTTGGGATATATTAATCACATAATATAATTCCTATTATTCAATGTTTCCATATTACTGTAGTCACTTATCGTGATACATCATGTCATCATTACCCCAGTGGAGCCTAGTAAAACTGGAGCTGCACCTTTCCCCGCACATCCCCAGCTCTCTCATCCACATCCAATCCAATCAGCTGGAAAGGTCGGATGAATTCTACTCCTGAAATATTGAAATAACTGTGGGTAAATTACGCATTCGACTGGCTCAATCCTGCAGTTGAAACACTGCAGTTACTCATCTTACTGGTCTTCCGAGGTCTTTCCTCTTTCCCCGGGTTCTGTGTCTGCTTTCTGTACTCTCTCTCTCTCTCTCTCCTACAGGGAAGATCTTTCTGCAGGATTCCCCTTTCCTCCATCTCCATCTCCTTATCCCCTCTTTCCTTCCCCAATTACCCTTGTTCTATCACTCCTCTTCCCCCGGTCACTCGAGTGACTTTATCTTCTCTATCTACCTCCCTTGTTTCTTGCCACCCCATTTCCGCTTTCAACCACACTCAACCTCCACCCCTTGGGCACATTGTACTGTTTTCAAAAAAACCCTCCCACCACCAAATACACGATACCTCGGAGTGAACATAATGTTGGGTCCGCGATTTCTCCGCCCAGCTTCATCGCTGGTGCGGCCCTTCTCCTCCTCCGCCGTGTTCTCTCGTTCCCCCTCCATCAGAGATGTGACATCTAGCTCCGCCGAGGAGTTCAACCGGAGACAGAAAGAGTTTCGCGAGAACCTCGAAGAGGCTCGCAAGAGAAAAGAGCAGCAAGAGAGTCAGTCTGTCAATGTTTCTGCCTCGTCCCCTTCTACCCGTGAGTCTGCTCCCACTGCTCCGCATGTGAGCAATGCGAGTACTTTGGATCGAATTCGTCCGGCCTATGATGCCGCTGAAGCTCTAGACCATAAGGCATTGGGCTCACTCGCCATGCACCGCTATTTAGGAGATGAACAAGCCCAGGAGAACGTGAACAAGCGTGGTCCGCTTTCCTCGCTTATCTACGGTACTAAAGAAGGCCAGCACTTCGATAAGGATATTGAGCGCTCGTTTTCGCAGGTGCTTGCCCGTGGCAAGTACGTACACTCCGTCGTTTTTCACGATGTGAAGCCCGATAAAGTCGATGAATATGTCGACCTCGTGGGCCAGTGGTACCCCCGTATGGCGGGTACGGAAGAGAACAAGGTCAATCTAGTGGGCAGTTGGCGAACACAAGTTGGCGACAATGATACTTTTGGTAACTTGAACCTATGGAGCCTTTCTATCCTCCATTACCGTGGAGACAATATTGAGAGAAGCTAACCATCGATTCTTCTGTAGTTCACATCTGGGAATACCAACGCTACGAAGGCTACCACACCTCTCTGCACAACATCTCTATTCATCCTGAATTCCGCGAGTTCGATCGCAAGCTGAAGAGCTTGATCAAGAGCAAGAAGACATCCCTTATGCAAGAGTTCTCATTCTGGCCGACCACGCCTCCACGCCGTCTGGGTGGGCTTTTCGAACTTCGATCATACACCCTGCACCCTGGTAACCTACTTGAATGGGAGACACACTGGCGTCGTGGCCTGTCTGCTCGCCGAGAGGTTATGGAAGGCGTGGGCGCATGGTTCGTTCAGATTGGAGACTTGAACACTGTACACCACCTGTGGCAATTTGCCAACCTGGAAGAGCGTAAGATCCGCCGTGAGCAGTCATGGGGCGTTGAAGGCTGGGCGGAGACCGTGCATAAGACTGTTCCCCTCATCCAGTCGATGCAGAGTCGGATTCTCGTCCCGATGCCGTGGAGCCCTGTGGGTTAAGTAGTCTCGTTTTTGCTTGAGGGCCACCAAAACCAGGTGGAACCCACTTTTCTCTCTTACCTTTGAGTTTATCCGCCTATCGACTTCTTTTTGTTTCTGCAGTTCCATGCCTCTCTGATGCAGAATCAGAAGACTTGATCTTTACTCTAGATTGAGTACGGGGATTTCAAGGAAGAGCATTCATATTGTATTGTGTACCTAGGCATGGCATCTCGTCGCATACCAAATCAAGCCTGTTTCGATCAACTATTCTTAAATGTTCACCTCTTTGATGCTTTATAGATTATCCGGTTACTGTCCCTGAGACTAGCCGAAACTGATCTCCTCGGGTAAAACCCCACCTTTTCCAGGGACGATCACTATTGGAAGTCTTGTTGCCGCGGGCATGCGGACGTGTCCTGGTGATTCTTGCATGTGGGCCACCTAATAACACGAGAAAGAATCAACATCGACGTGGTGAATCTTGATCAACTTGAGCAGCCCTAGAGGGTAAGATGTCTCTAAGGCTATAGATACAGTAAAGGACTAGTGTCAGGGTCATATCGAAGGCGGTAAGACAAAAAAAAATAAAAAAAAATAAACATAGACTAAATAGACCAGGATCAACTTGAAAGAGTCATAGAATTATGGCATAAGAAGGGAATGATTCTCAAAATTCCTCTCTAATCCACTCCAAATTGGCCACTTCATCCACTTTGTCCTCGGAACGTGAAAGCCACCTGGACCTCGCCGATCAACGTTTCCCGCTCTGTTTTCCCCAACGACGGGACCCATAAATAATTCCGCGCTTTTTCTTCGACTTTTTTTTTTTTTACTTTTCTAAACCTTCACCTTCCTCCTTTTCTACCAGCCTGGAATAGGAGTCAAGTTCAACTCCTTGTACGACTACGCATAGAGCAGGGATATATGCGTTAACGAGTCTAGACGAAACGAGAACCAAACGAGACGAGACCAGACCAGACCTCCTTCACGCGCATAACAGCATAGGGGAATCGATTTCCATTCTTTTTCCTTATTCTTACCTCGATCCGAAGATATTCAGCATTGAAGAATTGAATCGTCGATTCGCATTACACGCGCAAGATGGTGTACATTCGTCAACACCATTTGCCTAACCTGCGCAACTACAAATATGCTGGTGTGGATCATTCGTTGATTAGTCGGTACATCTTGAAGCCGTTCTATAATAAATGTGTTATTGGGTGTTTTCCTATGAGCATGGCGTGAGTTTTTGATCTTTCTTTGCTACGGTGATTATTCAAGATTGGGTCTAGCTGTAGCATTCAGGTTCATGCTATAGCTTCACCTGGATTCTTTGAATGACGAACTGTGGTTTTTGGGTTTGAATTCTTGACTAACTGGTTTTTAACATGTAGTCCCAATGCCGTAAGTCCTACCTACTACCTCGTTCAGCGCCGTCGCAGTTGTGGGAATATCATGATACTTGAGGATAGGTGTTGACTGTCGTAGATTACCCTGACTGGATTCATGTTCGTGGTGATTAATTTCATTACTGTCATGTGGTACAACCCCAACCTGGATACGGATTGTCCACCTTGGGTCTATGCGAGCTGCGCCATAGGTCTGTTCTTGTACCAGACCTTTGATGCTGTGGATGGCATGCAAGCGTGAGTTTCCTGAAGGACTTTCTGTTGAGATGCGATATACTGATATGAATAAATTAGGCGGAGGACGAGACAGAGTGGTCCTTTGGGAGAACTCTTTGATCACAGTATGTGTTAACGGGACCTGAGCCCAACATGTATGAATAATAGACGAATACTAATTGTTTAGGTGTCGATGCTTGCAACACTGGATTAGGTGTTCTGATCTTTGCGGCTGTTATGAACCTTGGTCAGTCATGGGCTACGATACTGGGTCTCTTTGGATGTAAGTGGTCCTGTGACTTTCCGACTATGGTTCTCTAATAATCACCAGCAACCATGACCTTCTACGTGCAAACCTGGGACGAGTACTACACTCAGATCCTCACCCTGGGTGTCATCTCTGGTCCTGTGGAGGGTATTCTTACCCTCTGCACTGTCTACGGATTCACTGCCTACATGGGCGGTGGCAGTTTCTGGCACCAGCCCATGCTGGAGACATTCGGTGTGTCGAAGCCGAACTTCATCTCGCAGCAGGTATATGAGATGCCCTTTACCAAGTGGTACTTGGTGTACGGAGCTATCATGCTCTTCTTCGCCACCAGCTCTAGCATTTGGCATGTCATGCAGGTGCGCCGTCAGCGGGGTCTGGACCCCATTGCGCCGCTTTGTGGCTTGTTGCCCTTGATTGTGATCTGGACCCTTGTCCCCGCTTATCTCTACCTCAACCCGGCTGTCTTGGAGAACTATACCATTCCTTTTGGTATGTATGTTGGGTTGATCAACGCTTACGCCGTGGGTCGTATGATTGTTGGACATCTCGTGCAGTCGGGTTTCCCATACCATAACATCTTGCTGTACCCTCTTGCTCTGGGAGTTTTGGACAGTGCCGGGCCGGTTCTCGGTCTTTGGTCCAGCCCTGTTTTTGGCGAGGGAACTGGACAGACGACATTTGTGTTTTCTTGTCTTGGTTTGGCGGTTGGGGTTTATGGTAGCTTTGTGGTGGGTTTGCCTTTATCCCTTCATTGATAAAGCGTTTCGCTGATGTTTTTCCAGTTTGACGTTATCACTACCATCTGTGACTACATTGACATCCGGTGTTTGACTATCAAGTACCCGTATGTCGAGGAGACAGATAGCAAGAATGGCACTTCCGTCAAGGCGCAAGTTGAAGGCGCGATGAAGAAGACCAACTAGATCTTCTTTCAAATTGCGCAGTCGATATGCGCAGCTTTTTTCGAATCGGTAATGAGTTCGTGAGTGAAACCTGGCTCAACTTTAATTACCACGACCGGTATAGCTCTGCGATTTGCTTTGCGATTGGCGAAATGCGGGGATCTCCACGGTTGTAAGGTACTATTTCGGGAAAAGATAAAACGGAATCTGGGGTGGTAATGATCTTGATTTTCAGCCAGTACATATTTTTCAACGGTTGCTCTTTGAGTGTATAGAGAATATGAGTGTAATGTGAGATGTTTATGAGAAAATTAATATAGTATTGAAAGAAGTGTATAGATTGCACCTGACTGCTTGCCCGCTCTGGTGATTACCTCATCCAAGTGGTGGCAGAACCGTGGAATCAGATTGGATGGATATAAGCAGGCGGTGTGATTGGCGGGAGGAGCACACGAATTACCACCCAAAAGAGGTAATCAAGCGAGTCCTTGTGGAGGGCTTTAACCCTAGACCGCCCCAGTTCGACAAATCCCTTCAAACTTCTCCTGGGTTCCATTCCGCTTCACACAAGGCCATCGCCATCAGCGCCATACATCAACTCCCTCGCTGATCTTTAATCGCCAAGATGGTAAGCGCCCTTTTCGCTCGTCTCGCTCGATCTGGAATTTTTTGAGCCCTCGATTTCGACCTCTCCAAGCACATATCCCGCACGAAACCCCAGAAGGGGACTTCTCCGCCATCAACACATCGTCAAATTCTTCTGGGTTACAGGTCGCTAACCTAAGCCTTTTTCTTTTCGTTATAGGTTCTCGCGATCGACCTTCTCAACCCCACGCCTCAGGCTGAGGCCCGCAAGCACAAGCTTAAGGTATGAATTTACCGAAATCTCCGATACGCACCCGCACACGATCAACTTCTCGATTATGGAAACGGGTATTGTGGAACCACGGGGGATGATGATATGGATGGCAAATTGGCAACAACCTACCGAAATACATCGATCCTTCCGAAACCACAATTACTCGAATCCTTTTCGATGAAGATATACCTCCGATCCCTACCGAGCCTCTCGAATACACTCGAATATACTAACAGAGTTTTTCTGTATAGACCCTTGTGCCCCAGCCCCGCTCCTTCTTCATGGACGTCAAGTGCCCCGGTTGCTTCACCATCACCACCGTCTTCTCCCACGCCCAGACCGTCGTTATCTGTGCCGGTTGCTCCACCGTTCTGTGCCAGCCTACCGGTGGTAAGGCCCGTCTGACCGAGGGCTGCTCGTTCCGCCGCAAGTAAACGAGACGCTACGAAATAACTTCTCTTCTTATTTTGTCTTGTTGAAACGCACAGTGGGGAAATAGCATGGAGCATTTAGGATGAAAAATACCACTTCCGGGTTTTTTTGACCTTGCACTACTTCGGTTCGGTTCGACGAAAGACCGCCGTTCAAAATGTCACATACCAAATCAATACCTTTTTCAATGGACGACCCTCTCGGACGAAATGCGATTCTGTGATTCTATTTGGCCCGTGGAGGGTTGGTTTCTTTGAGGAGGGCAATGATATGATACGATTCCATACCTTACTTCCTCTTATTTCTCCTTATTTCCTCTACCCTACTACTACTATCCGCTATCAAAAAATGGGATCTCAAAATGTGGCTTTTTGAATCTGTTTTCCTTCGTTCCAATTAACCCGGACTCTTACTTGCCCCTACGCTATTCTTTTGCTGTGGTGTTTTGCATTGACTTGTTCAATAAACACAGCGTTTTTTGTTTCTTTATGATTTCTTGCGTGATGACAGATAGAAGATGGAATACCTCGCCCAATCCCCAAAAGCATTCGACACCAACGATACCAAAAAAAAAGCAAAACGCAATACGCAGCATCCAGCTCAGGGAGTTCCGGATATCTGACACGATGGCACTTAGCAACGCTCGGCATGTGCCGTTTTGATTTGATTTATTGATTTATATGTATCTGGGATCTCTCAATTGAGTTGTACCATGTTGCAGTTTGGCCTGGCCAGTAGATGGCGGTAGTATCGTAGACCGTAGTCTAGACCTAGTCTAGACCCAGCCTCATAGACTAGCTTGACGACCCTGCAAGACACCCTTCGGGCTTCGGTAGTAGTCCTATAAACTAAGGCTCGTCAACGCCTGCAGTCCCATAACACCAGACTCAACTAGACATGCCCCACAACTCTATCCTCCTATATCCTCTTCTATGGCAACCATAACCCCCAAGCTGTCTTGTCTGACCCTTACAGTTAGGCTCTGTCAGTTGTTCGAGGTAACCTGAAACTGAAACTGTTTTGTAGAGGTCTCGACCTCTGATAGCATTGATGGCATAGCCCTCATTTATCACATTGCACAGAGATGTCATCGTGCATCTACCGAATGTTCGCTTCAGGACAAAGGTACACCCGCGACACTCCCCGAGGCTATCCACGCCTTACCAGTACGTCAATTCTACCACCCCGTTACTAGTACGTGTGATCTACAACTAATATCCTCTGCTCATATTCTAATCAGTTCTCCGTGGTCAATTGACTTGATAATCTATCGGTATCTTAACATACCAGAAATAATTATGTTCCATCCAACGTTCAACTTGTTTCGATCCAAGACATCGTGAACAAAATATCCACACTTGAATTGGATCGCATGCAAATATTCCCCATTTCGCACCTTTCTCCAAGGTTCATATCTAATGAGTTCCATACCAATACGGCCAGTCTACCACTGGGTAGGTACAGACGCAATTACCCCACCGGCCTAAATCAAACATGCAACATGCAACATGTGCATACTAGTACTTCAAAAGGGCCACTGAGGACCTCTTCCTGTTCCCGGGTACTAGTATGAAGTGGTAAATCTCAAGGTCCAACCGTCATATGCAGCCTAAGCCGCTCCTACCCGTTACCACCAAGTTCAAGTTCAGTGGAGTAAAGAGGCTGATGGTGTGGAAGAAAAGCAAAGCAATTGAGTGTAGTTTGTCTGCAGGATCCACTTCATATGGGCTACGTAACCGTGCACTGCTTTTCCCGTTGATCATCGAGGCAGGAACCGATCATCAAACATGACATCATTTTTGATGGCGAATTTTGATGTTCAGGGTCTATGATGGTTTGTCTTGGATTTCCTTTTCATTGGGGATATTTGAAATGTTGCAGGTGGGTTCAATTACGAACATTTGAAGAAAATTGGGATTTCTTAATAGGCTCCTTCAATCAATTGATTCAAACGTTCGAAGCACATAGTACATACATACAAGTCCTTGAGAGAGTAGGATCACGTATTTAGATGAGAAATTTGAATACAGTTTTCGTGGTAGTACATCGGTAACGAACGTTTCATGTAGTAAAGACGGAATATAGGACAAGAGATGAAGCATCAAACAAAGATAGACAGGGTCATGAGAGAACAAGATCAACCAGATACTTATTCTCATTCAGGCATTGAGAACTGAATCCAGGTCCCATAAAACAATAAAAGAACCCACGCTTGCAATTGAACATCCGAACCAATCCTATATAAATTCCAAATGCTCATGAGATCATGCAAGCGAAGTCCAAAATCAACAAACATCAACGCACACTCGAATCAAAGACAAAGAGTCCAGGGTACATGCATGGTACTCCTTACTCTGTCAGAGATCGCGCCTTGGCTTTGATATCCGGTCCAAAGTCGATGGGGTTCGATGGGTCACCACCAGTCATAAGCGACAACTTGCCGGATGAGTCGTTGAGGAGTAGATTGGCGAACTGGTTACGACCAATAACCTCTTTAACGGTCTCGTTGGCTGCAGAATCACCGGAGGCGTACTGCTCAGCGTTGACATTCTTCAGCATCTTGTGCGAGTTGCGGATGAAGTCGAGGAGGAAGAACGCTGTAGGATGTGGGTTTGGTGGTTGCACCTGAGGGAGTGACTCGAAGGCACTATATTATAATCATGTATGAATATCTGAGTTTTGCGAGAGATATGGATCTTCAAATTTTGTTCCCAGGGACCTTTGTGTCTTATATATCTCTTTTTTCCCAATGTTTCTTTGAAGGACAGGTCCATCCGAGGTACAATGACCATGACGATGTGCTGCTTAGGGTTTCTATGGAAAGGTAAAGACATACTCAATCAGGGCGGTCATCTTCTGATCAAGCTGCTGGAGCCTGTCGGCGTTGCTTTGAGAAGCCATATCGAGAACCAATAAAAGATGATTCCTTTGAAATATGCGGTAGTTTGTTGATGTGACGAAATGCATTCAGGGACCGAGGGGCGTTTTTTACTTGCGCTGCTTATCGCTTATCGCGCTCCGCCCTGATTTCGACTCTTCACAATTCCACTTGATTCTCCCCGCATTGAGTCACTATAGATCTACCTTAATTCTGGTGGGATTGTACCAACACGAATATAATCCTCCAGGAATTCAATCTATACCAGTGTTTCACAATGGCTCCGACCCCGGCCGCGGCGCGCCAGCCCCTTAAACTTCTCATGCTACACGGCTACACGCAATCGGGAAACCTCTTCCATGCGAAAAGTCGCGCCCTGATTAAACACCTCCAGAAAGCATTCCCTCTCCACGAAGTCTCCGCAATCTACCCAACGGGTCCTATTCATCTCAAACCCAGTGATATTCCGGGCTATGAGCCCTCCGAAACAGCAGAGACGGAAGAATCAATCGAGGCATACGGCTGGTGGCGCCGCTCCAACACCGCAAACCCACCATTGTACACTGGCATGGAAGATGGTCTCGCAAGTGTCGCCAAAGTGCTTAAGGAGGAGGGTCCCTTTGACGGTGTGATTGGGTTCTCGCAAGGCGCCGCAATGGCAGGTATGGTGGCTTCACTACTAGAACCGAGTCGGAAAGAAGCCTTTGCGCACTTCGCAGCAGGTGAAGGAGAAGAGAAGGGACTTCAGTTCCCTGCCTCATTTGGCGCAGCGGGGTTCTCGCATCCGCCGTTGAAGTTCGCAGTTTGCTATAGTGGGTTCCGGGCGCCGGGAGCACGGTATAGAGGGTTCTATGAGAACCCGGCTATCCAGACGCCTGTGTTGCATGTTCTCGGGACCTTGGATGCGGTTGTGGATCATTCGAGGAGCCAAGCGCTGGTTGATGCTTGTGAGGGAGATCCTGAGAAGGAAGGAAATGTGATTTGGCACCCTGGTGGTCACTTTGTACCAAGTCAGCGGCCTTATCTGGATGCTGCGGTGCAGTTTATTCGGAAGCAACTTGAGAAGACTAACGGTGTTGCTAAGCCCGAGGAGGAGGAAGATGTGAATGACATGGATGTTCCATTTTAAGATGATACCCACGATATACAATGGTGTCTTTGTCTTTATTGGGGGTTTAGCATTTTCTTTCAGCATTGAACGTGGGTTTCTTTGGGATAGAAATAGAGACAATGTCTTGTTTACATTGTCTTGCATATAGATACAAAGAGGCATTGTTCGAGTCCAAGACTTGAACCTGGAGCCTCGGTCGAGTCTTTTTTTCCTCGATTTGGGATTCCATTTTAAGCATTGGTGGCGCGGAAATGCTTTTGTTCTGACATGAATATAGATCAATAGAGCTATTTATTGCATTATGAGCTTTGTTTTCTCAACAATGGATTTGATGATTCAGATGAACCAAGGGCATTCATCATGATTACTCGAGGGTCTTTTGGCATAAATACCCATCTTTGACCCATTGTATACTACTCTCATCAACAATCTCTTGTCTTCTGTGATCCTCAAGTACTCTGAAGTATCTTACACGTACAGAATCTCTTTGAGAACCCCAAGCATTTATTGACCCCAAGATTCAAAATGGATTATCTCATGGATATCTCAGTGGCAGATATTGACATGTGCCTGGATGGTCCAATGCCAGTGCCCACTGATGACCTCTCCTCAATCACTAGCATCTACACCAACTTCCCTCGACTACGCAACCAATTCGTGACCAAACTGGCCGAATGGAAACTGACCCTAAACTACAAACAAGAAAATTACACATCAGGCCAAACCCTCATCAATAACCTCATCAGCCTCTCAGCCCATCTATGCAAGTCTTTCCTGAAAGTAGAAGTCCTGTACTTGCCAACCACGCCCATCTGTTTCTGCTATAGGGCTAATGATATGCATGCCGTGTTAATCAAACTGATCCACCTGCTACGGTCAGATCCTAACCTCGTTGTCACGGCGCCTGATTTCCTGGCTGGTGCTCTAGGTATGATTCTCGTCCAGGTTGGGAGACTATCTATCACCGATGTCTCTGATGAGAATGCTCGTAGGATGGATCAGTTGGCGGATGTCATTGATGCGCAGGTGGGTATTGGGGCGTATGCTAGTATTGATTACTGGAATACTCGCGAGCAGCAGATCCTGAAGGGAGTTTGGGAGCGGATGCATTATAGCGATCCGTCTTGTCGGTGTACCCAGTGTAAAGTGAAGAACCTTGACTTGTTGCAGTTGTCCTTGGACTCCTGTCACTGGCAGCTATGAACTTGAATGCAAATACATCATGATTTTCAACTGGTACATCCACCGTGTGACATAACTTGAACTTGCATTGTAATCAACACACCATGGATGTAGTATGTAGATCTCAAGTTCTCAGATCATGATGGTACGTATACCTTAGACGCGGCCCTCTTTGACTACTACCTGGAGGTTTTCTACAGCGCATTATTCAAGTTGACCTCTTCAGGGTTACCAATCAATGCACATGTGGACAGTAGTGCTCCAAGTCACTCGAAGGATTGTTTAGTTTCATCACGCATCTTGAAAAAATTGAAACCGGAAACATTTACTAGTACTAGTAATGTAAAGACTACATAAGCATACCACATGCAGTGGATTCTTCATAAGGGTCTACCAGTGATATATTACACGGAGGCAGTAATCCCCAAACTCCACATACCCAATCATCACAATTAACGAGCCTTGGCCTTCTCACCGCGAGACGGCAGGATACGAGCCATCATCTCTTCCTTGGTGATGAGATGATCGATCCGCTCCAGGAGACCAAGCAGACTCTTCATGTCACTGCTCCACTCATTCAGCACATCGTCTGCATCGCGAGGCTTGGCAAAGTTGACGAGTCGAGCAGGACGGTCAATCTTCGCGTAGATAGTCTTGGAGGTGACCAGGTCACTGATGTACTTCTCCGTCTCTTCCTCGGTCAAATCCAGGAGCTGGGTCAGTCGGCCCATCTGGATACGAGTGTAGTATTTGGCGACCACCCGGACGTTATGCTCGATGACACGCTTGCGCAGGTCTTGCCATCTTCGGTTGGCCTCGTTGTCGGTAGTCTGTTTGGGCTGGGCGTCGAACACATCGGTGCCGCATAAGTGAGGACCGAACTGCTCTGCGACCATGGGCCAGCGCATAAGCTCTGGAATGGTAAACAGTTTCAACAAACGGGCTTCCTCGGGGACTTGGGATAGTCGCGAATCTTGTTGGATGCGGTGCAACAGGTCTGACTGCTCGTTGTCGTAGGGAGACAGGACGATATAATAGACGATGCGTGCGAGGGACTATTCAGTCATTGTTAGTGTTTCTCCATTCATTAGCGTATCATTTAAACTTACCGCGCGCAATTGCTCTGGGTTGTTCTCAACCGCCTCGGTGTCCAAGACTTCTCGGTAGTGCTTGCACACATCAAGGTATTTGTAGTCGTGGTTGGCAAGAATGATCTGCTGGTCATAGTAGCGCAGCTTGAGATCAGTCACATCATCATTCACCTCCATTGGAGGCTCATCAGGACCACGGGTCTTCTCTCGCTCCTCCGCCTGCTTCTGGAGCTTCTCAATCTCCTCGGCACTCTTCTTCGGCTTACGGTTGAAATACCGCTTGTTGATCTTGCGAGTGAGAATCGATGCCTGTGTCCAGTCTCCACGTTCAATGCACAAAGAGACCTGCTCTAGGATGAATTCGGTCTTCTCACGTCTCGTCATAGATCCAAATGTCTCTACCTGCAGCTCACAGAGGATATCTGCGGCCGCAGTGAGATCACCTTGCGACTTCTTAATATTCGACAGGATTCGTGTGACGCGGGCTCGTTCAACTTCAACAAAGATCTGCAACAGTCAGCATCGCCCAAAGCTGAGATGGTATAGGTCGGCTTACCTTTCCCTCGGTAACTGTTCGCAGAGTTTCGATGACAGAAAGCTTGACATCCAGATTTGGGGTATCGTCCAAGAACTTCATAACCTCCTGCACCATACGCGTTGTAGCCTGCTTGAGCTGGGCATGTTTCTTTGAGAGCAGGAGGACTTGGTCGTTAAGAAGGGTCCAGTCGCCGGAGTTCTTGCTGACGGTGACGATGGTAATCAAAAGACGCGATGTAGTGGCCAGATCCGAAGCCTACAATAGAAAGTGTAACGTGTTAATGTGAATCTCCATTATTCGAGATACCGGGGAGACATACTTGTCGTGCTTGCTTCTCCAAGACCAACAACTTATCGATCGCACCCTGCACATCGGTCTTGATAACATGTTAGCTTTGTTTTCCTATCTGAAGACGATTCCTGAATCCCACCTTAGCAAGTGCCTCAGCCTCCGGGATAAGCTTGTCAGCGTCCTTGGAGAAGTCCTTCTCGGGCTTCAACAAGGTCTCAGACATGATGACGACAGCGGGCGGAAAGCTGATTGGGGGTCCAAGAAGAAAGAAATGAGATGGCTAGGGAGTATCACAGTATTAAACACTGCAATGAGGCAAGCAGTACGTTGGAAAGAAGACTGGAGATGAGATGATGATGATGCTGAAGCTGAAGCTTGGTGGCTGTTCCGCCCTTGAGCTGCAAGCTCCGGCACGTGATCTTCCCGATCATCGCTGGATTTGACTTGGACTTCGACACTCTCTACGGAGTACACTATGGAATACGATACACTGCAAGTCCAATTAATCAAATTTCATTAGGTAGCGATCAATCTTGTATCATAAATCTAATACACACCAATTTAATTTCAACAAAACATTAAACATGGCCTTGATCAACTTGAATTTACCCCCTTCAGTGACATATTCCGTTATCGATTGCCAAATGGTTCTGACTGCTGTCTCGCTGACTCGGAGTTGAAGATACTACTAGGTTCCAATTTTTCCGAGAATATGGATCCAGCACGTCGCGCCGAATTCTTAGACGCCAATGCTCCAAACCCGCTGGGAGCCACTGAGCCTCGTCTAGGAGACGCAGAAGTTCGTGGAGATGGCGATGCTGAGCGCCTCTCCTTTCCATCACGAACCTTTAAGCCACGCATTCCTTTCTCGATTGAATCAAGTCGCTTGTTGATGATCTCCGCACCTTGTCGCATTTCTTCCAAGATCACGGACTTGAGTTCTTCTAAGTCATGATGACCATCCTCATCAGCTCCAGATGGCAAACGATTTGAACCGCCGCTGGCTGTAGCGAGTGCACCTTTGACGCCAGGAAAGGGGGACTCATAACGAGTTGAGGTGGTTGGATCCCGTTGAGAGTTTCCCTGACGGGTTGAGCGCGTCTGTGTTTTCTTCTTCGATGATCTATCGACTTTGCTGGCTTGGCCCTCGCTGTCAATATCATCTTTTCGGGTCAACCTATCTCTCACGTCATGCCAAACCTCCGATGGACTGTCTGGGTGGCCATGTCCCACGTTTTGGCCACTGTATGGAGCGGGCCATTCCCGAATTCCTCGCAATCTAAGTTTCTCCTTCTCGCTGGACCGCCATGCCTTCAAGCTCGATAAAAGGTTATCCCATTTGATGGTGTAGTGAGTCAGATATTTCTTGTCAATATCGATGATCAAGCGCCATCCTGGCAAAATATCATCCAAAACTTCGCCCGACAAATATCGATAGCCATTCTCATCACTTGCCAATGCAACGGGCCAGTAAGGGGGTCGAACTCGGCCTTGGTATTTTCCACCTCTTGCATTGAAAACCTTGGGATAATTCCTCCTTTCCGGTGCATCGTTAGACGCCATAATGTCTCGGACGTCGCAGTCTGGCATATCCTTCATCTCCACATTCGCCGTAGGACTCGCTCTTGCGTGATGGTCCTCTGAAGATACAATGAGGGTGGCTGTGCCATTATCACCAAAATGGAACAACCACCCGTCAGGGTTCTCCTTCACTTTATGGTGCCAGAGCGTGTAGGCAGGATCCAGCTCGTTGAGGAGCTGCCGGGCGCCTTGAATGGCAGGGCCGTTGAATACCCGTGTCTTTAGCAACGCTCCATATTGCGACTGAACATGTTCCAAATCAGAAAAGTTGACACAAGCTCCCATGACCAGCAACAAGAGGCGGTACTGTGGAAGTAGCTTTTGCTTCTCCGTATGGATCAGCTCTGCTGATGCAATTAGGAGTTCCTGCGCAGTGAAATACTCCCCGCCCTCCTCGAACCGATTGAGGACGTTGAACAAAATGGCCGTCACCTCTTCTTCTGGGGTAATGGGAAAGGAGTAGGATTGGGGCTCATCGTCTCGCAAATACAATACATTGTGTCCGGTTGAGAGGATTCTCCTCAATGCTGCTTCCTCATGCTGTTGTTTTATTTCAAACACACTCCGCCGATATTCAAGCGGTTTGAGATCTTTCAAATCGTGGATTTCTTGAAGCAGTTTACAATAATCCGGTGGATCGCAACGGCCACAGTCGCAATCCTTGGGATGCATTTTGAGTAAAAAACCGATAAAAGTGATAACAAGATTATTATGGAGATGGCTGAAGAACAGGTTGAGAGAGAAGGAGAGGGGGAGAGAGTGAGAGAGAGAGAGAGAGAGTGTGTGTGTGTGTTTGAAGAGTGGGATACAGGCCCTTATATGATGACAATACCTCATCACAGCAATTTGCAAGCAGACAATGCGACATTGCAAACGGCAACTTTGCCACCTTTCAATTCAAGCTCAAGCTATTGATACCATTGTGTTCTCACCCTTGTCTGCGTATTTGGTCATGCTGATCTTTGTGTAGTATATGAATCAGATGCCGCAGTAAGCTCCTGTTTGAAATGCAAGAAAGGAACATGCAATGATCTTGGAATTTGTTTTTAGTATGACTCTACACAGTGCTTTATATTAGGAATCAGCCTTTGAACAAATTTCTACTAACTACTGTACTGGAGGACATGTGTCTTGAACATGGTTATTAGTATTTAAACTATCCAGATGGGTACGAGCCAACTGGTGGGTAGATCCGGTAACCACCTGGCAGCGGGTCCTTATCGTGCTCCAACTCCATAACTCCACCTCATCCATTGATCATCCCAGTTCAACCCACATCATGTCTTCCCAAAAGCCCCAAGCAACATATTTCTCAAATGGCCAGGCGCTATCAAGGTAAGTAACTTGATAATAGACCCTTCACCCGATCAAGATACTTTGTGTGGCCTCATCTGACTCTTAACAGCCCGCCGTTCTCGGTTCGTCTGATGCGCTTCTTCGAAGGTGTCTATGTCTTTCTTGGCTTGTATATCGTGAGCCTGTTCTCGGTATGAATCTACTTCCCAGCTTATTACGCGATCACTTCCTTCTTCGTTTATCCCTATCCATATCTGCCTTGCGCGTTGCTGTGCTGATGCTGACATGTCATCATTCCTAGCTTGATCCATACGCCGCAGCCCAGAACTCACGGTTCAATATCCATCGCCCTAAATCATCATCTGGATCCCGCAATCCCCGTGATGGAAACTCCGGTTCCTCTGGCTTTGGGGGTGGTGGCGGTGGTGGCGGCGGCGGCCCGGGAGGTCCAGGAAGGCGCATTGGAAGGGTGGACGATATTCGAGGACCTGAGTGCCGCAGCTGTCGATGATAGTATCACAAAATCTCCCCAAAATACCCATCGCGAGAATTGGAAGAGCCCGGTTCTTCGAACAGAGTTATACTCCTGGATATGATCTCCATACATAATCGTATAGTGTCTCAGATACTATTGAATGACACGCATGGATATCCACTTTCTAATGCTATCCTGTTTTTAAATCACTTGTTTAGCCTAAATTGGTCAGAATAACCTAGTATATTCTATCAGCATGGCCTTGAATCGATTTTCTGATAAGATAATATGATTAGTGCATATATGAGAATATCACTTGCTATACCAACCCATAGCCACTATCTCGCCAGTACCAGCCTCAACGCCACCTCCCCGCCGCCTCATATCGTGTCAATATGAATCAACAACTCGTCATGATGATAAAACCTACAAAACACTCACGTGACAAACCCCTCTCAGCCCCTCCACACAGACGCTAGTGCTTGGAACATTGAAACCACACCATCCGGTGACGTGGATGTCACCGAACAACGAAATTGCGGAGAATCCAGCATGTCGGCCGTACCCTCTAATGATGCCGACTGGGCGGCTCTGATTTCCAGTTTGAAAGAACGCATTCCCGATAGATCATCATCGCAGCCGCCGATCCCATTAAACATTCCTCAATTGATAGACCATACGCTCCTCGCCGAACCATCCGAACCAGAGCAAATCGATCAGCTCTGCGCAGAGGCCATAGAAAACAACTTCGCTAGTGTCTGTGTTCGACCGAACTATGTTGCCCGCGCCGCTGCGAACCTGAAGGATGCACCGAATACGGCAGTTGCTTGCGTGGTCGGTTTCCCAGAAGGCACGCATGATACCAGCGTAAAGGTGCGAGAGGCTACAGAGGCCGTTGCAAACGGAGCAGGTGAATTGGACATGGTCATCAACTACCCCATACTCAAGGATGGGGGTTATTCAGCAGTCTACAGAGACATCATGGCTGTACGCAAGGCGGCACCACATCCGATCAAACTAAAGGCTATCTTGGAGACTTCTCAGCTGGACAGAGACCAGATCATCGGTGCTTCTATTGTGTCCTGTACCGCTGGGGTGGATTTCATCAAGACTAGCACCGGATTCCGTGGCGGTGGCGCTGATATTCAGGATGTCAAAGTTATGCATTTTGTGTCTACCTTGTGTTTTGACAATGGGTGTCAGGTCAAGGCGAGTGGAGGGATTCGGACTGCGGGTGACTGTCTGCGCATGATCAAGGCTGGTGCAATGCGTATTGGGACTAGTTCCGGGGTAAAGATCATGCAGGAGGTGGATGAAGGTGAGCTTCTGGAGCAAGGAGCCAGCCATGCAGTGTCTTAGTGTCTTGACTTGGCATCTTTCCATCATGTCTGTTTCGTACTTCTTAATAAAGCCTATCATTCGTCATAAGAGATGCAGAGAAATTAAGCTTATCATTTTCTTTCAATGAAAGATGCTATTTAGGCGAAAATTAATTGCAGTTCTAACCAACCCACCGTTTGATGCCAGTGGGCCACGATCTTTCTTACTAGGGACTAAATCCTGAGCCAAATTATAGAGCTTTTCAATCACTGCACATGCGTCTTTGTCAATTGTATCATCTCGCAGAAAACATCTATATGGGTCTATTGTGTCATCCAGGCTATCTTCATGAGAGCCAGGAGTCTTTAAACGTCATGCGACCATTATTTTTTGCATGCAAATCCTCAAGCAGATTATAATCCATGACCCATTCCATCCGCTTCATCAGGGCGTCCGGGTTGAACTTTTCACTGAAATGATCCGGGTCGTCTGAGCTGCCAAGTTTTCCAGCCTCGTAGCTGGTCCTAGTGACTCCATCCGTACGGGGCTTGCGTATACCCTGGTAGAATTGGAACGCAGCCCGAAGATCATTGCTTTGCCAGTTCGCAAGAACTATGGCTAGTGCAACACCGGATTCGATAGCCATAGCTACACCCTGACCTGTAATCAATTAATCACGGATTACCATAGCCTGGGAAATTGGGAATTACTAACCCTGATGAGGAAGAGTTGAGTGAACTGCATCTCCTAAGAGGACAATACCAACATCTTCTTTATCATCCTTCATCTTATACCATTTGTCAACTGGATCTCGAACATAAAGCGCCTGTTTCATCATGAACCCATCAGGCGAACTCTGGAATAGCCCATGAATGATATGTTGCACTTGAGGACACCACTCCGAAAGATGATCTTGAAGATCGCCAATCTCAGATCGAGATACCCAATTCTCCGAATCCCAAGTTTCGAGCGACTCCGTCATGAACCCAATAAACCCGATTCGATCCGTCTTTGTAGATTGGTTTCCGATAGGAAGGCATATAATATGACGTTTAGGTCCTCGAAAATTGACCACAGTCCGAAGAAGGTTCGCCGTATCCTCAGGCAAATCCTTATAATCAACATAACCACGGTATACAACCTGACCGGAGTAATTAGGCGAATCGCCAATGCCCATTTCCCTCCGGACTTTTGACTTGATCCCATCGGCTCCGATAATAATATCCGCCTCGGTGGTTGATCCATCCCCAAAATGTAATGTGTACGGTGCCGACATCGGGTCCGGGCTCTTGTTTTCATCGATCGATGTAAGATGTTTATGATAGTGTATTTTGTCATGCGGTAGGAATTCTTTCAACGCTTGCAAGAGATGACCTCGATGAATAAGTCGAGCATGTGGTTCGTGTGCTTCTTCGATGTGGCCGAGATAATCGCCGGACTTGTAGTGGTGGTACTCCATGAAATAAGGTAGCTTGGGTGAGGAGTATCGCAATAAGGTCTCTTTTAACCCGAAGGCGTCAAGAACCCGGTTCGCATTCGCTGTTATGTCGACTCCTGCGCCAACTTCGCCATTCTCACGAGCCTGCTCGAAAATCTCGATGTTGGTCATACCGCAGGTGAGGGCAACGTTCATTAATGCCAGAGCACCTAGACCACCGCCCACGATGGCGACTCGTTTATCTCGGAACGCCATGTCAAAATAGAAATGAGAGATCGGAGTGGTTCAATTGATTATGACTTTATCTCTGTCAAGTCTGGACTGCTAGAATATTTCCGTGAGTATGATTAAATCTCTACGTCATGCGTGCTTAAGTGTGCTGTCCAGGAGGTTCTTGTATGTTGATGCATATCTGCAGTTCAAGTTCATACGGCCTGTACGTGACATCCATGAAGATTTTACTCTCTTCCAACGATATTTGAAAACTTTTACTTTATTCAGTCGCAAGAACTCCACTCCATATAAAACTACCGAATAGTCAGGCCTTGGCACATACCCATTGCTCGTTTCTTACAGGGCAGTAATACACAGGAGCAGTGGAAACCGTGTCCTCAATCTGTGATATTTATGAAAAATGAGATTTGACTTTCCCAGATTTTTAACCAGGAACTGCAATAAATTTGATTCCAAATGCTTTCTATACTGCATTGTATAGAAAACCTCAGCTTCCAATATACTACATGGACTCGGACATCTGAGGGTGGGCAATAGTTCAGGTCTCAAGTTTGCAAATATTCTACCGATTATCTGTGAGTTCCATTCAAGTTCAGTTCTATTCCAGAGAATAAATTGTACACATGAAAACTCTGAATTTAAGTGTCCAACTTGAAGGTTATTCATACAAATCTTGACGGTCCAATCATGATGTTGGAATATGGCCGCTTACAAAGCGGGTATCTGTGGACCCGGGAATTCCAAGCACCGATATCTTACATGTGCAGGAACTTGGAAGTTCTAGAAGCCGAGACGTGGTCGAGTGTTTCAGGTTATAGAATAATATGGAGCATAACGGCCGGTTCAATTGAACTCTCCGAGTACCGAACGTTTGTGGATTGTCGTGGGGCGTAAATTAAAACCCCTATGTGGACACTGGGACGGACACGGAGCAGTTGAATCCCACCCGAACAGCATAATTATGCTGCTTATGCACTTATCTTTGGCGCAGGCTGTGGCTGAGAAGAGTTATGCAACCTAAATTTTGTTCGGAGGAACATTTTGAATTACATCAATGTACCTTTAAAATTTAGAGATCAATCGCATGGCATATGCTTACTATCAGATAAGTACATCATGTACGGAGTACTACATGAGGAGCATCATGATCCCAGTGCACGTGGATCTAATACTAGTTGTCGATCACTACTAGCGTGTTGTACAATTATGTATGCCCCAGAACGAACTTGATGCCGCTCGCGGCCTGAGCCCCTTTAGGTACGTTACTCGAGATCTCTCTTTGAATCATGTAGGGCTCCTTGAAATATCTCCGAGATCTTCCAGTTGAAAGGATCAATAAAAAGGGGTGGGTGCATGGTACGTATGTGTGGGCCCTGTTAGGATTTTCACATGTATTTCAATGTTCAGGCTCGGGAATATCAGGATCCGATTTATACATAAGTTTCTAGGGTTGCGAGTTTAGGTGGGCCACTAATGCCGATAAAACGGCCCTGGGGGTTCTATTGAAATAGGGGACTGAGGAGTCTGATGTTACATAACTTTTAGCGTAAAAATAGATGCATTTGAAGATTGTGAAACTTCATTATAATGTAAATTAAATAGTGGCTTCCCGGCGAGATTATGAGATTATGATTTTAGGCTTCCAACATTTGAAGTCCTTCAGGGCTGGGAAGGATCCTGATGCCCAGCCTTGCCACATCATGATGTAGCTATGCGGTTGGTTCCCCTCACCTTGTACTTTGTAAACAATGAATGCATGATTGACGTAGTGATCAACAAGGAAGCTTCCCATTTTTCATCCTTTCATCCCAATTGGTCTTTATATCAATGTCAAGGTTCTTAATGTTTTGACATATACAGAGTCAGTATACTCACTACTCAGTACCCCGTATGTGCACAAATCACTTGAGTGGGTATCTAGGGCTGCAGCTGGAGCCCTGTCCATGGTGGAGGTGGCCCTATCTGCGATTAGTCAGCGCAACTGTTAACTAGTTACCGCAATGAGACATTCCTATAATGCAGATCTTTGATCTTCCTACGCCATCAAGGATCAAGAAATCTGAAATTGATCCACAATTCCCGGATCTGGCTTGGTCCGGGACCAATTGAAGTTGACTCCTTTCCAAATTATCCAATTACTCCGGCTTAGACCGGCACCCCGATACTCCGGTCATGATCTCCCTCCTCCATCCGGACCCCCGAGTGATCCACTATTCCAATAGAACTTCCGGAAACACTGGATTTCAACTCGCTAGTCACATCTTGTCACAATTTACTAGTTGTGAGGTTGTCTTGGCCGTTCATTTAAGTTTTGCTGTGTAATTTTTCTTTATTTCAAAACGGTCGTTACAGTTATAGTCATGAATCATTAAATGAAGCCTATTTCCCCCTCTCCCCAGACTTCTATTGTTATTGTTCCTGAGCTGGAATTTTCATACTCCAACTTTGGAACTTCCATCATGTCGGCCTCCTCTCAAGAGGAAGACAAGATTCAGAAGGAGCTCCCTCGGGAGCTCCCCAATGAATATGAGGAAGACCATGAAATTACCTATGAACCTATTAACTTGATCGAGCCCGAAGAAGTTGATACTCTTACACGTATTGCTACTCAGCAGTCTCGACGCCAATCAACAGCTCAAGCTCACCGTCTTGCCTCTGTCGCCGAACATGATCCCTTGCTGGACCCTCAATCTGGAAAGTTTGACCTGAAGAAATGGATTGTCGCTGCCATGCAAGATGTTGGCCGCGAGCGCGAGCGCGGCCAGAAGATGGGAGTTGTGTTCAAAGATCTCAATATTTATGGATCTGGCTCGGAGCTGCAGTTTCAATCGACAGTGTCGTCTATGCTCACGGCGCCCCTCCGTATTGGAGAGGCATTCCGGAAGACTCCTAGCAAGCGCATTCTGAAGAATTTCAATGGTTTGCTCAAGGGTGGAGAGCTATTGCTTGTCCTGGGAAGACCTGGAGCGGGCTGCAGTACCATGCTGAAGTCCATTTGTGGAGAAATGCATGGTCTTGATATGAGCGAGGAAAGCGTTATCCACTACAATGGTAAGTATCAATTCATCTATACTGTTTTCCGGCTTTCCGGCCGTGCAGAATGATTAACGATGATCCCAGGTATTACTCAACGTCGAATGGTCAAGGAGTTCAAGGGTGAAGTGGTCTATAACCAGGAGGTAGTCTTATCCAACCTTGACTTGTATCCTTCAAGAGATATCATGCTGATTCCTCTATCTATCTAGGTTGATCGCCATTTCCCTCACCTCACCGTTGGCCAGACCCTGGAGCATGCAGCAGCAACGCGAACCCCGGCTCATCGATTCGAGGGCATGAGCCGCGCCGAATTCGCGAAGTACATGGCACAAATTGTGATGGCAGTATTTGGACTCAGCCACACTTACAACACTCGCGTGGGAGATGACTTTATTCGTGGTGTCTCGGGTGGAGAGCGAAAGCGTGTCAGTATTGCTGAGATGGCACTTTCGGCAGCTCCGTTAGCAGCCTGGGATAACTCTACCCGTGGATTGGACTCTGCCACTGCATTACGGTTTGTTGAGTCTCTTCGCTTACTCTCGGACTTGACTGGTTCTGCTCATGCTGTAGCGGCTTACCAAGCCAGTCAAAGCATCTACGACCGCTTTGATAAAGTCATCGTTCTCTATGGAGGTCACCAGGTATTCTTTGGGCCTGCAAGTGCTGCGAAGCAATACTTCGAAAACCAAGGCTGGCATTGCCCTCCCAGACAAACTACTGGAGACTTTTTGACTTCAATCACCAATCCTTCAGAGCGTCAGGCCAAACCTGGCATGGAGTCTCAGGTTCCCCGAACCCCGGAAGACTTTGAGGCCGCATGGATCAAGTCACCTGAATACAAGCGGCTCCAGGATGACATTGCCGCTTACGAAGAGCAGTTCCCCGTGAGTGATGATGCTGCTGCTGTCATCGAATTCCAAGAAAAGAAGCGTGAACATCAAGCCAAGCACACCCGGCCTAAGTCTCCATACATCATCAGTGTTCCCATGCAAATCAAATTGAACACGAAGCGTGCTTACCAGAGATTGTGGAATGATGCTGCATCGACTGTGTCGACTGTGATCAGTCAAATTATCATGGCACTTATCATTGGATCTGTTTTCTACAATGCTCCCGACAGTACTGCGGGCTTTACTTCCAAAGGCGCAGCACTGTTCTTCGCGGTTCTTCTCAACGCACTGACGGCCATGTCTGAAATCAACAGTTTATACGCACAACGACCAATCATCGAAAAACACAACTCGTACGCCTTTTATCACCCGTTTACGGAAGCGATTGCTGGTGTTATCGCAGATATACCGGTCAAATTTGCACTTGCGGTCTGTTTCAATATTATCCTCTACTTCCTTGTAGGTCTGCAACGAAAGGCAGGGAACTTCTTCCTGTATTTCTTGATCACCTTTATGATTACCTTCGTTATGAGCGCTGTCTTCCGAACTCTGGCAGCTATCACGAAAACGGTCTCTCAGGCGATGGGTCTAGCAGGTGTCATGATTCTGGCTCTCGTCGTCTACACAGGTTTTGTCTTACCGGTTCCATCAATGCACCCCTGGTTCGAGTGGATTCATTATCTCAATCCAATCTACTACGCATTCGAGATCTTGATCGCGAATGAGTTCCATGGAACGTGAATTCCCTTGCTCATCATTCGTTCCATCCTACGCAGATCTGAGCGGAGATGCGTTTTCCTGTAGCACAGCTGGATCCGTGGCCGGTGACTTGACCGTCAATGGTGATCGTTACATCTACCTGAATTATCGATACTCCTTCTCCCATGTTTGGAGAAACTTTGGAATCCTCTGTGCCTTCTTGGTTGGCTTTATGGCAATCTACTTCATCGCTTGTGAGCTGAACTCATCCACTACAAGCACCGCCGAGGCATTGGTCTTCCGTCGTGGTCATGAGCCTGCCTACCTGCGTCGGGGATTCAATAAGAATAGTTCGGATGTCGAGACTGTGGAGGAGAAGCCCGTGGAACAGGCTACCTCGGAAGGAGAGGGCGAGCATGGCATGGGATCTATCCAGCCTCAAACTGATATCTTTACCTGGCGTGATGTGTGCTACGATATCGAGATCAAGGGCGAACCCCGCAGACTTTTGGATCATGTGGCTGGCTGGGTTAAACCAGGAACACTAACTGCTCTTATGGGTGTTAGTGGAGCTGGTAAGACAACTCTTCTGGATGTACTGGCCCACCGTACCTCTGTTGGTGTTGTTACTGGTGATATGCTTGTTAATGGACGTGGTCTGGATGCAAGTTTCCAACGCAAGACTGGCTATGTTCAGCAGCAAGATCTTCATCTTGAGACTGCTACCGTGCGTGAGTCTTTGCGATTCAGTGCTATGTTGCGCCAACCTGCCAGTGTCTCGATCAAGGAGAAATACGACTACGTCGAGGATGTCATCCGTATGCTTCAAATGGAAGAGTTCGCCGAGGCTATCGTTGGTGTTCCTGGTGAAGGTTTGAATGTTGAGCAGCGTAAGCTCCTGACTATCGGTGTCGAGTTGGCAGCAAAACCCAAGCTTCTTCTTTTCCTTGATGAGCCCACTAGGTAAGATTTTGTGGTATCTTTTTCGCCTGCGATATATGTGCTAATTTGAATATACAGTGGCCTCGACTCTCAAAGCTCCTGGTCTATCGTTTCTTTCCTTCGTCGTCTTTCCGAGCACGGCCAAGCTGTTCTTTGCACTATTCACCAGCCTAGCGCTATCCTCTTCCAGGAATTCGATCAACTTCTGTTCCTCGCACGAGGTGGAAAGACCGTTTACTTCGGACCGATCGGAGAACAATCGCGAACTCTTCTGGACTACTTCGAGTCTCACGGTGCCCGCGAGTGTGGAGACAGTGAGAACCCTGCCGAGTACATGCTTGATGTCGTCAACGCTGGATGTAATCCCCAGGGTGAGAACTGGTTCGATGTTTGGAAAGCAAGCAAGGAAATCCAGCAAGTCCAGACTGAGCTCGATCGCATCCACAAAGATCAGCAAGAGAAGGTTCCAGTCGATAGTTCCACTGAAGGCCTTACTGAATTCGCCATGCCTTTCTGGTTCCAGCTGTACCAGGTCACCTATCGAGTATTTCAACAGTACTGGCGTTTACCTTCTTACATCGTCTCGAAGTGGGGACTGGGTATCGCGGCTGGTTTGTTCATTGGTTTCTCCTTCTACCAGGCTAAGACGTCACTCCAGGGAATGCAGACGATTATTTACTCTGTGTTCATGTTGTGTACTATCTTTACTTCCTTGGTTCAACAGGTATGTTTCCCTGCTCCAACCCATTCAAGAAATATCAACTAACTTGTCTCTAGTTAATGCCACTCTTCGTCTCTCAACGATCGCTTTACGAGGTCCGTGAGCGTCCCAGCAAGGCTTACTCCTGGAAAGCATTCTTGATCGCTCAAGTCATCGTGGAGGTCCCATACATGGTCATCACCGGTATAATTATCTTCGGCTGCTACTTCTACGCTGTGGTTGGAATTCCAAGCTCCGCGACTCAGGGCACCGTCCTCGTCCTCTGTATTCAATTCTTTATTTACGCTGGCACATTCGGACAAATGGCTATTGCCGCTCTCCCGGATGCTCAGACCGCTAGCGCGATTGTCGTGCTGCTCTTTGCCATGTCACTTACCTTCTGTGGTGTCATGCAACCTCCATCCGACATGCCCGGCTTTTGGATTTTCATGTACCGTGTCTCGCCCTTCACGTACTGGACTGGTGCAATGGCCAGTACACAGGTCCACGGACGCGAGGTTGTTTGCTCCAGCGACGAACTGTCTATCTTCAACCCTCCCTCTGGTCAGACATGCTGGGAATATCTGCAAAAGTATGCCACCGAAGCTGGTGGCCAAGTACTAAACAAGAACGCAACTTCGAGTTGTGAGTACTGCTCCGTCACTGTTGCGGATCAGTATATCGCTGGTTCTGGTATCTACTACAGCCAAAGATGGAGAAACTTTGGTATTGTCTGGGCTTACATCGCATTCAATATTTTCATTGCGGTTATGACTTATTACCTTTTCCGAGTCAAGCGCTGGAACACAGAAGGGATTAAGCAAAAGTTCGCTCGCTTCTCTTCTAAGAAGAATTAAATGAGTGACAAGGATTAGATTTCCTATTCTGCACTCTGTTTTTCTTGTTGGTGCCCATTTCAGTTACTCTTTCTTATACTTCTTTGTTAATCTCTCTTTTTCTAGACACTCGCCCAGGCTAGAGGTCTCTTTGTCTTTAACATCTTCAACGCTGTTTTCAGCAGTGACATTCTTTCTTAACTTATTTCCTATCATATCTCAATACATACTTTAATTCCTCTGGATTCGCTTTGTTTGTACAAGAAAGAAGTTCTTTTCATAGTATACAAGCATGGTATCAAATAGTAAAAGGAGGCTGAGGTGAGATGATCGGACCTACTACCATGTTCAGTCTTAATATAATTATTGAATTATTGAGTCCATATTGAAGTATGATCCAAGTTCTTTACATCTCAAATATCAAATATCAAGTTCCATAACATCCAATTCTTCATTCCATATGATCCTCTTCCCTTGACTCTCAACTCAACCCAAAACCTGAAAGCAATTACCCTCCTTTCCTCACTCAAACATGTCCTTTGATCCTCAAACCTTCTACCACCAGCGTGCAGAAATCATAACTGCCCTGGACACCCTCAGAACAATCATGATCCGTTTCCTAAAGCTGGTGGGCACACAAGAAGTAACCCCACAAGATCCCTTCGATGACCCAAACCTCGGCAAGTTGATTGACAACATTCAATCTCAAATCATCAACCTAGTGCCTCCGCCAAAAGACCCAACCGCAAAAGATTCGAACGATGCGCCTACAAAAGAGCCATATCAACACATCTCTGGTTTCCTGAAATGAAGATCGGGCTTCGAGACCTCTTTCTTCGTGACTGGGGTGATGCCTGAACTGCTTTTGATGATTGCTATGCAAATTGGAAGAATTAGATTGCGTGGTGTCGTCGATAAAGAGGCTGATGAAATGGATCGTCAGGCAAGAGATGTTGATGTTAAGTATCAATCGTGGATAGAGCCGGATATTTATGCATATTATCTTTTGAGGACGATTTGGTATGGCATCAACTTTTATCATCCGGGATGCAGTTGTCCTCCTTGTTGCAGTATGGTTCAAGTTGAGACTCGGAGTTTGGGGGAGCTTTATCTGGGGGAGGCAATCCAGTTGATGCATAGATGATAGCATGCATCTTCAATACTACTGAGGTTCTTCACTATAATAATCCCAACTGTATTCTCATACTTCGAAATTCTTCCAAGACCTTTGATTCCATCTTCGCTCAAATAGAATATAGATTATTTATTTATCCACTTAGTCAACTATGTACTTACTGTGTAGTAATAGAACTCATTGCACCATGTATATCCACTCCATCTTATCAAGACGCTCGGACCACCCATCATAACCACTGACACAACTCCAAGTAACTTCAACTTCATACCTCCTAATTGACTCCTCCATAAACAACCATGGACCCCAACGCCAGTATCCCCACCGAACCCGCACCCTCCGTCTTCAACTACGTCCTCTCCTTTCTCCTCGTCGGCGTAGCATGGGGTTTCACAACCCCCTTTATCCGACGCGCCGCGGCCGACTTCAACGCCCGACAAGAGAAGCAATCTAGCGACAACACAACACGTGGAAGATCGCGCCAGGGTCAAGGGCCCGTTCAGGAAGAACAAGAACTACTTAGTTCAGAGAACGAAAGCGAGGATGAGGGTGTAGGACGGAGTGGGAGTCAGGAGAGACAGAGAGAGGATACTCGTGCGGCGAGACAACTTAATGCGGAATTGGAAATTGAGACGGAGGTTGATGATGCGCCTTTACCAGCTTGGAGAAGACCTGCTTCGCAATCTTGGATTAAGATGAAGATTGTTTCTGTTTTTTGGACCGTTGTTAATCTTCTGAGAACCCCGGCTTATTCTATTCCTTTGGTTATTAATTTGACTGGGAGTATATGGTTCTTTTTGCTTGTTGGAAAACATGGTAAGCCTTTGATATGTGGTTGGATGGTATGTCTTGATTTTGGCTAATTCTTCATAGAACTCTCTTTGACTGTCCCGCTTGCCAACTCGAGTGCTTTCTTATTCACGGTTATTGGGGAATGGTACGTCGAGCGCAAGGTTATTGCTAAGGAGACGTGGTTGGGCCTGGTTTTGGTCTTGGGAGGAATTGCGTTATGTGTGCATTCGAAGAATCAAGCTGCTTAGATGGATGATCAGTATATAATCATTATAGCTTCCATTTGCGCCTGTTCCTGCTCTTCGCGTGTCTTTCTAATCCATTGTATTCAAGAACATGAGACTGAAATTACTCATGACCTCTACTAGTACGTGAGAATTGGAAATTAGATCTAACCAGTTGACACTTCAGTCCATTCATCTGTACCATCATAAGAAATCAAAAAAGAAATACCCCATCATATTTACAAATACAACGCCGTGGAAGTCATACATGCATTACATCCCTCTCCCCGAACAAATAACATAAACATAACAATTGTACCATCGGGCACACATACATTACATGGAAGCACCATCATAGAGAGATAAGAAATGGTTCGTCACACATAGTACATGACTCTGACATGCATCCTATACCAGACCGGACCTGCCGTGGTATGAGTTTCAACTTCAAGGTCGGTCGATCAAGTTCAATAACGTTGTGGGATATATTGAAAAGACAATCGGATAAGGCTGGAGATCAAACAGAATTTTAAGTCATGAGATCAAACGCCTCGGAACTGAATAAGACGTTAGTAAGTTTGATTATAGAAAAGAAGATAAGAACGGGTCAACTCACGGCTCGAACAACCAGGTACCACATGGCACCCATGAATTTAAACGTCGAAAGACCTGCCACACTCCATAGAACAACCTCCATGTAAATCATAGACCGCTCATTTTGTGTTTCGTCCGTGGTGGTTCCGTCACTGGTGGTGGTGCTGTCGAATGTCTCGAGACCCGCCGCGCTCAGCACAACAGCGCCCAGCGCAAAGTTACAGAACACCCAGGCCAACACGACGGCACTACGGAAACCCTTGTAGTAGTCTGCCTGGCGTTCTTCTTCCGTGACCGCCGGGACCTCCTTGGGTGGCTTTTGTGCGAACTTCTGTAACTCGGCTTCGTACTGCGCGTTCAGGTCACCATCATCTTGAGGAATGTTCACGTCGACCTTGCCACCAGGCTTCAGAGTGGCGGATGGCAGCTTTTCGGCCTTGTCGTCTCCCTTTGTACCCCAGGTAATATCGTGGGTGTTACAGAAGGCGTAGATGTTGAGAACGTTGATGTAGGTCGGGGTCAAGAGAATGTATTGAATGAACTAGATAGAGAGTCAGTAAAAAGAAAAGCAAATCGCATAAGTGAAAGATAGCGATGAACATACCGATGTGAACATGTGCCATGGGTCCAAGAAGATGAACGACGCCACAAACCACATGACATAAGTTGTACCAAGAGACACAATGATGGAGAAGAAGGTCTTGTTCGTAAACAATTGGCTGACGGAGAAAGTTTTCTCTGCTACTTCTTCTTCGATCGATTTGACTGTGACGTAAATGGCCGCAAATGACAAGTATATCATGATACAAATCCAGAAGTAGACCATTGTCATGTAAAACTTGTTGGAACCACCAGGCCGATTACCAAGAGCCAGAACGAAACAAGTGACCAGTGTCGCGAGGTAGAGCCATTCGAAAACAATTCCCAAAACTTTGCCAGCAGTACCGAGTAGATCGGAATCACCCAAGTACGCTGTCAAAATGTGGAAGACCAAAAAGAAGTTACCGATTCCGAACCAGGCAAAGATCATAGCGATTGTCTGGTAAATGAACTCAATGAACAAGGCGAATTTGCGGAGGAAGCTGTGGTCACTGCGACCGATTTGATAGAAATGTGCGATGGCATAAACAGCAGCGAAGAAGCTACCGTTCAGCCAACGACGACGCTGTAGAATGAACTCGGCCATTTGGTCGGGCACATCAGTCTCACCGGTCGAAGACTTGACATACTGTAAGAGCCAGCGACACTTGCGCTTCGAGACAATCTCGAAACACAGAATTCGATCCTCAGCGAGGTACATGTTGGCAGTGAAGATACCGGCATTGGCACCGTGCATCTTCTCACCAGCAAAGTATCGCTCAAGGGGACCCTGTCCGTTCTTGTCGTTTTGTAGGGCAACAAATCGGTATGCAGAGAAAGCACCAGGCAACACAGTAATAAATCCGAACGCAGACTCCAGAGGCTTGTCGAGAATGTTACTCAACTTGTACTCGAAGTTCTGACCAGCCACCAGTGGGTTCAGCAATTTCTTGCCGTGAGACAACATGACCTTGATCTCACCACAAGCACCACCACACCTAGGCTCCACATCAAATGCCTTCCATAGATGGTAGATTGAGTCTTTACCGGGCTTGGTACCGGCATCCAGAAGAACACAAATGTTAGGGTCTAACACGCGACCAAACGCCTGGAAAAACCAACGATGAGAGTTAATTTTCTTCTGATTCTTTTCCTTCAAACAGAAAATCATCTGCACAGGAGGACCTGAACGTGGCTTCAGGCTAACCTGAGTGCCCTTTACCTCCAACCCAATCTGGGTGGTGTATTCGTAGATATGGGCAGTCACATCCTTTCCATTGACCTGTTGCTTGGCGATTCCATCTTGATACACACCCAAACCAGCCAACACACCGCGAGTACGTGGGTTGATCTTGGCACGACCGTCGCTGATCACACAAACCACGATCTTTTTCCATGAATCCTTGCCCCAGGTCTTACTGCTAGTTCGCGAGCACATGTGATCAATGTTCTTGAAAACACCGGACATGGTACGCGCGAACAAAAAGTCATCCTCATTGTACATGGTCACAACGATGAAGAGCTCTGTATGACGCGGCTTCGCGAACAGCTTCTGACGAAGAGTGAATCGCTCATCGAAGAAATCGGCAGGGTCGCAAGTTGCGGCCGAGTATCGCATATGGGTAAACTCATCACGACCTGGAGGGTCTGCGTGTGGGACCTGGCTCAACAATCTTGGGGCGATGGGACAATCAAGAACCAAGTTACCGTTGAACAGTTGCACTTCCTTTACAGTCTTCCAGCGACGAATAGGAGCGGGACTGGGGGTCGGCCTAGGCTCATCCGCGTACTCTTCTTTATAAGCAGCAGCGTCCGGCCCAAATGGGTTGTCGCCATGTTCCAACATTGGCGCATTGTCTTCAAAGGGAGTGTGACCAGCTTCGGGATACTGGCCTAGGTCGTAGTCATCATGGGGTGTATGTGAAGGCTCATAGGGTTGGGTATAGTAGGCGTCATGGTGAGCTTCAGGGTCGACGGAGTACTCGTTGTAGCCATACGGTTGCGGGGCGTGGTCTTCGTAGGCCTCCTGGTGGCCATAGGAATGTGGGATATTTTCAACAGAGTACTAAATGAGAGAAGAAGAAAAAAGTGCGCCATTAGTATTCGTCCGACTATGACAGCTTTCAAATCTTGCGCCCGCCGCAATACTCACAGTTGGTTGATCGGCAAGGCGATCGCTTGACGGCATCGGCAAATGGCCTGTCGGCGCATATGGATTGTCCTGAAGTTGATATGTATCCAGGGGTCGACCAGGTGATGGAGTGCGGCTGTAGGCATTTGGATTAGGCGGATTCAATGCATGATGCTCATCCCCAAAGGGATCTGGAGTCCTCAGATTAGCTTGTTTTCTATCCATGGGTGCTTTTGAACACTGAAATTGAGTTGCGAATGTTTTTATTTCCCACGTCGTACTCCGCAACCATGCAGTCTTTGTCGCAGGTAAAAAAAAGTACAGCGGGAAGGGATATAGATACATTCACAGCGGGAGAATGGAGACCAAAAAGAAATAGGATCAGGGAGAGAGGATACTAACCGAGTCGGTTGTAGGACATGGCGCGAGCTCTCGAGTTAATAATTTGAGTTCAGGTAAATTGAGCTCGGCCTTTGACCTCGGTCGAGGAATGGTTGACTGGAGATTGCGCCAGGAGAGTTCAATGAGAAAGGATCAGTTTCGTGGATGAGCAACCACTAGTCCGACAAACAAATCAGGGTCTCGGCGGCCGTTTCAAAGTAGTCCGCTTGTTTAATGGGATGACGAATAGGCAAAGAAGCTAGGGACAGGTCCCAGGGAGAACAATGTCGCACGATGCAAAGTCCAAGATGAAATTAGAATAGCAGGAGGGGATCTGCCCCCTCTTGTTTGGTGTTTACGAGTTCTCTCTGACGATCGCCAATGACGGGGCAGACGAATCGGGGTGTATGCGCCTGACCCGCTTTGTGGATCCAATGTGTCCTGGGTGATATCTCTGCAGGCGAGAGTCGGAGAATTTGCAGTTATGCAAGTATTGAAAGTATGGAAATGCCTTTAGAAGTGAAACCTCATTAGAAATATCCACAAGTCAAATAAAAATCAGTTTCCAAGTCTGAAACGGATGATCCATGGACACCAAGAAGAAGGGCAGATGAGGTTGACTCCACTGTTGCGTGGTCACTGGGCCAACGGGAGACATTCGTCTTATGTCATCTGTGGCTAAACAGATGACATAATCACGTGGCGCAGTCAGGTACTTCGTCACGTGATGGGATATGACGAGCATGTTCTTTTTATAGATAGGCAGAACCATAGATATCATTCAGTGTATTAATAGATATCACTTGATATAGAGTACATCCGATCTTTTTTTTAATTGGGACGAATACATCAGACGAATTCAAGTTTCAATTTCCATAACATGTGTATGAATAGTAAGCTAGAAGTTCAAGTTCAAGTTGTTAGAAGTTGAATGTAGCGGGAGCAGATCCCCATATATATCCGAGTCGTCATTGATAGATCTCTTGCAACTTCAACTTCAACTTGAACTTGGAATCTGCACATCTCGAGTCCGAGTCACATCCATATACTTCCTCATATATTCCCTCAACTCAATCATGGCATCTTCAAGTTCAGAACCCCGCCAAGTGAATGTTTTATTTGTCTGCCTGGGAAACATTTGTATGTGCCTACCCTCCACTAGTACCTCTGGCACTGCCCCTCATCACCCCGCCACGCCCTGCGCCTTGCACTATGGCTGCTCCTATGGACGCCTTTCAACTAACTAACCCTCATTAGGCCGGTCGCCCATGGCTGAAGGAGTCTTCCGAAATCTTGCCAAGTCCAACCCTGCAATTGGTGAGATCGACTCCGCCGGTACAGGCGCATATCACAGCATGGAGCCGCCCGACTCCCGCACCATGTCCACACTTCGCCGACACGGGATCAAGAACTACTCCCACGCCGCCCGCAAGGTGACCAAAGAAGACTTCTTACAGTTCGATTACTTGTTAGCAATGGATAAGTCTAATCTACGGGATCTGTTGGACGTTCGGGAGTCCGTGGTGGCGTCAGTGCAGCGCAAATCCAACGCCAAGTCCAGCGCGAAGAAAACTCGGGCGGCAATCGAGGTGGCAATCGGTGAACAGGGTGCGCATGCTCAGATTGCGGAAGTCCGTATGTTTGGAGACTTTGGAGCGGGAGGCAAGGTCCATGAGCGCGTTGGAGGCGGCGAGGTCGTGCAGGATCCATACTATGGCGGTGCCAATGGGTTTGAGGAGGTATATGAGCAGGTTGTGCGCTTTTCACAAGGCTTCCTGGACCATGTCGCTGGTTCAGAGGAGTGAAATAGACACTTCATGGCTATAAACGGACGGCAAGTTACCATAGACTAGAGGATGAGGCTCTGTCACAATATACCAATTTTGAAGAAACTGAAATGAAAAAAATTGGAAGTGATCTCAGGAGCTGTCTAGAGATATGACGGGTAGATGATCATTTTTATGTTACACGTTATGGATAGAAGACAATACTATTTATACAACGACATCAGGATTTGCTCAACACCATCGCTCAAACCTTCTCACTGATCTTGATAGCAGTTCGACACCCTAAACGAATCATGTCCACAAGCGGGTCATATGGCTTCGCTTCCTTAGCATCATGGGCTACCGCATGGTCCAAGTGCTCCAACTCCTCATCGCGAATTCGCCGGAATGTAGCCAACATCTCCTTCAACTCATCATCCAACTCCTCTCCTCGACGCTCCGCATCCGCCTCCCATGACAGAATCTCCCGGACCTGATCATTGTAATGCGAACCAATCTCCGTCTCCACCGCTTCAGTGCACGCCATAGCCGCTTCACGGCCCAGGGCAGCTGTGGACCAACCCAAGAAGGTAGCTGCTACCTCCCATACGGGGTACATGGCAGTGGGTCGGATTTGGTGCTTGGCAACGAGGTGATTGAAAGTCTTAAGGTGTCCTGCCTCCTGGTCGTACATGTGTTTCATCAAGGGCCGAAGATGAGGATGGGATCTGACAATGTGTGGAGTTTGCGCCGTGTAGATGAGGGTGGCGGCGAGCTCACCAGCTTGATTAACTCGTAGTGCGCTATCGAGGTAATCGCGCTGCTTCGGACTCAGGACGTATCGAGGCTTGGAACTCCGTGTTGGTCCGGTTGTAGATGCATATCGGCGCTGAGCGTATAATGTTGTTGGAGCGAGAAAATCGAGGAAAATCGGCGACGAGGCTCGATGGGACCGTCGGCATTGGGCCAAAGCTGACCTCCGGAGCGCAGGAAGACACTCCATTTTGATTTGAAGGTATAGATATGTAGGAATTCGAGGGATCAAAGTAGCGTTCTATGATCTCCGGGATTCGAAGATGCCGAAGCAAGTCTTGGCGCAGGCGCGCGCTTCAAAGTCTTGGCATCGGGAACGTCATGAAAGGCGAAAGGCCAACTTTGCGACGGTTACTTATTTTACCAAAAACCCTCATTATTCTCGCTTCCACCTCTTTAGCCTGATCTGTACAGTTTGTTTTGTACAGGGCTTCTCAATATTTGGTATACAGGTCTTTGGTGACTTTGGTACCAGTCCGTTCCCTTGGGCCCTTGGATCTTTCTGAGCCTCCCTGGTTAGGAGTGAATTAGCCAGAGAAGATCCATCCTCAACGCCTAGAGGGTAGCTTTGGAACCCTAAATATATAATAATATTGGCTGTGGAAATTGTGGAATTTTAAAGAGGGACCAAATCAGGCAGCTATAGTCAAAATGACGGACGATTTGGATGATGAGCTTCTGGCACTTGCCGGTGACTCTGAGGAGGAGCACTCCCCTGCCCCAGAAGAGAAAGCTGACTCTCCGACACATTCACCTTCTTCCCATTCACCACACCGTTCTGAAATGGGTCGCAAAGGTACCGCTAAACCCGTCCGCCGTCCCCGCAAGACTGTGAGGGACGGTGATGATGAGGAAGATGGGGAAATGTGAGGCAACAATTCACTTCGCAATTCACTGTGCAATCATTCACTGACACAAAACCCGCCATACAGCTCCGATGCAGAGTCCCACGACTCACTCCAATCTGCCCCCATGTCCGAATCCGATTCTGAAGGTGCTGCCTCTGACGAAGAGGATCGTCCTATCTTTCCCTACGATAAGTTGTACTACTCAGCAAAGGAGAAGCAAGAAATCATGGCGATGCCTGAGATCCAACGAGAAGAGCTCCTGTCTGAGCGCGCGCAACAAGTCGATCGCCACAACCAGGATCTTGCTCTGCGCCGACTGCTAGCTTCGCGCGAGCGTGAGGAGAAGCGCGCTGCCGCAAAGCAGGCCAAACGTAAGGCTGGCTCTGCTGGCCTTGATGAAAACCAGCGCAAGAGTTCCCGCCAAAAGACTACTCTAGGTGGCCGTAAGGTGGGAGAGACGTCTGCCGCCATCGATGCCTACAAGCGCCAGCGTGAGCAGAAGGGCAAGCGCGATGAACTCCGTCGCCGAGATCCAACCGCCTCTCGCCGCCGATCCCGCACGCCCGGCTCTGGAGAATCGGATGAGGATGCTGAAGCTGAAAGCGACCTGGAACTGGATGACCGCGTGGGCCGATCGCCTTCTATCCCCAAGGATGACCCACCTGCTGAGCTTCGAGACTTCAATCGTGTTCGCGTAGGCCGCATGAACTTCGCCCAGGTCTGCTTCTACCCTAATTTCGAGGATTCCATTACTGGCTGCTATGCCCGTGTCAACATTGGGCCGAATATGGAGACCGGTCAGAACGAGTACCGTCTTTGCTTGATTACAGGTTTGTCTCCAATGCACTTTCTTTCGCAGGACATGAAGAATCTAACATTTGGGATCAGGTTTCAATCAAGGAAAGCCCTATGCTATGGATGCACCGAATGGTCGTCCGTTCGTTACCGATCAGTACGCTAAGCTGGCTCATGGAAAGGCCGTACGAGACTTCCCATTCGTTGCTTGCTCCAACGATCATTTCACAGATGTATGAGAATTATTTGACTACTTGGTATCCACGATCATCTTTCTAACAATTCAAACAGAGCGAGTATGGCCGTTACCGAAAGACCATGGCTGTTGAGGATTGCAAGATGCCCACCCAAACCCAACTGGCTGTTAAGGTTACCGATATCAACCGCCTGATCAATCACCGTTTCACACCTCAAGAGCTTTCTGAGAAGCTTCGCCGCCAAGGTGCCCTGGATCAGAAGAGAAATGTTCGCCGCCGTGTTGACCTAGAGAAAGAGCTGCAGGCTGCCAAGGCCAATGGCAACGATGAAGAAGTCGAGAAGATTCAGAAGGAATTGCACGAATTAACCAACCCTAACCTTTCTTGGGGCACCACGATGGATAAGCCGGCTGCCGACAAAGCGCTCAGCGAGGCCGAGCGTGTTCATCTAATCAATGTCCGCAACCAGAAACTCAACATCGAGAATGTGCGCCGCGCTCAAATCGAGGAACGCAAGGCTGCCCGAAAGGCCGCTGCTGCTGTCGCCCGTGGCGAGGCGGTGGCTGATCCTTTCATGCGTGTCCGCACAGTTGCTAAGACCCACCACGATGTTAACACGAAAGCCGCTGATGGCACTGGCTCGGGTGATGCTACCCCTACAGATAGCAAGGACGCCAAGCCTGCTACCGATGGCACCAAGGATTCAACTCCTATTTCAGGTCTCTCTCCGAAGAAGAAGGGTAGTTTCATGATCAGCTACCGTAACACTGATGATGAGAACATTGCTGCTCTGGATCTGGACATCGATATTGACATCTAGTTCTGAGTTCTTCAGTCCCATTTTCTCAACTGGGTTCTATTTTGTTCTCATTTCAAGTATGGCGGCTAGTTCTGGCTAGGAAACCTGAGATGTACTGAATCTATGGACCGGAGCTATGGGCATCTCTTTCTTCTTTTTTCTTGTACACATAAAACAATATCTAGCGGTGGCAGAGGATCATGACCTTTCAAATTCTTGCTTTTGTCATTTATCGGAATCGGTGCGGCGTCTAATTCAATTCAATTCTCGGAGACTGTGTATTATGAGCGGGACATGGTGCACGAGAAGCACAGTACTCAGAAATTCAACAAAAATACAACAAAAAATACAACAAAATACTGGTAATATCTCATTGCTCATATTAATTACTCTTCATGTATGTGAGTACCTACAGTGATCCTAAAGGGACATCTGGAGGAGAAGGCTAGCTGTCATGTAGTTGGACACAGACAACTAGGTAGTGGCCCTAAAATGACCCAGGCGCCCTCTCCTACACGCCGGTTATTCAGCTAAGTGGGAAGCACCACTCATGTAAGGGGTCCTGGAGGTCCTAGCACTTCCTGGTACCTATCTTAGACCATAGGTCGGATCCTGCCGAGATTCAGCTACTAACCCAACCGAAAATTGGATTAGCTCGAGCTAGACTCAGGTTCAAACAAGACGAGTGGGGTCTGAGCGGCTCGTAGAATGGGGCACAGCCAAACATGTCAATGAGGCTACGGAGTTACGGAGTTATATGAAATAAGGATCTGGAGTGTGTGAGGTTCAAACTAGAACGACATGTCCATCTGTTTGATGGCTGGTTAACTTATCGTAGTCATTGTTATACGCCACTTGGGCGAAGCGAGCTGATTGCTAGTATGAATTAGGAATTCTGTACGCGAAGACGGCATCAATAGAGTTCACTTTTCGTATTTTAATGTCGATCTCTAACATTTGAATACTCCGCACTGAGGCTATTCTCAAGTTAGATGCATATACGAACATTGTATGTTTGAACCGGTTGGAGATAATATCTGAAGGGGCCAAGGACTCGGAGTTTCTCATAGATGAATACTCTTGCTCGAATGCTATTTAAAGCCTTGAGACTTCCATTGAACTTTGGACAGAAGAATCCTCATTCTTGCTACAATACTACCATTTGTCCTGTTATAGTCCTCTTTCTGATAAAAAACCAAGATGCATTTCAAGTTCATTCTACCCGCTTTTCTCCTCACCTCCTCAACTCTTGCCACGGAACTCCGCTTGCTGAAACGGGACGCGTGCTCGTCAGAAGGGTACGAAGACTGCTATGCAGACTGCATGCCAGTCGGTGCTGTTTGCTGTTCCGATGGAAGCGGCACCTACTGCAACTCCGGATACGCATGTGTCACCGACGGCTGTTGTCCAGAAGGAGAAACTTGCGTGGGTGGTGGAGGTACATCAACCTACACGGACTACATCTCTGAAGAAACGACATCCGCAGACATTGGAAGCTATTCCACCAGTTCAGTTGTCTATGTGGGAAATCCTTATACCACGTCCCCTGCCAATGCGATCAACTATGATACTACCTCTGCCAATGTGGTCAGCCCTGATACTACCTCAGCCGCCGCTGTCGGAAACTTTGCTACTAGTACTACAATGACTTCTTCGTCTGTGAGCCAAGAGACTACTGCTAGTAGTAGTTCTAGCTCAGTACAGCAGAAAAACATGGCTCCAAAATCGAGTTATATGTCACAGCTCTCTGCCTTGTTCTGGGAACTTTTATGCAGGCCATCCTTGTCTAATATAAATTTGTCTCTGATCTTTCATGATTGATCTTTTATGCGTCTAATGTTTTTGATGCTCGGAATGGATGGGTTTGATTTTTCAGATGACTCGATAATGTTTAAAAATCAGTTCAAGTTTGTTTAAATAGTATCAACTTTTTGCTATCGATAGTTCGTTATAAGTAGTAGTTAACTTCAATCTTCAAGTTAACGGAAATCTGAAAATACCCCAAATAGTCTCCAGGCTTCTTTGCATATTGTCAAATTCAAAGTTTTTTAAAGTTTGCCATGTCAGCCGCACTCGTATTACATCTGGGCGCTGCAATAGAAGGACCACGAAGGACTCGGAGTAGGGCTACCCTAGACTAGTAGCACTTGAGTACGAAGGCCACATGGATGACAAGGATTCCTCTGCACATGTGTAGTCGGAGATTAACGGGAGCCTGCATGTAAGTCGTTTCTTATTTGTCCAACAATGGGTAGAGATGAATATGATGAGTCAGGTCTATAACATTTGAGCCAGATCCTGACATGACTGCACCCTGATAGCATGGGAAATAGGGACATCCAGGACTGCTCGTATATCCCCAAACTTTGAAACCAGCAGATAAAAGAAGGAAAGTATTGGCCCAGTAAGGCAGATGCCGTCCCCTCGCTACGAGTAGAGGAACAATATCCGATTGATCCTACCCATCTGGTGGGTCCCACCGCCTGTGACGATAGGTTTGACCAGTCGAATAGTCGGAGACCTCGGGAAATTGTGAGCTTGGTCATCACTTTGCTGTACCTATGGTAGTACTCAAGTGCTGATTAGGCACCGCAGCCCTGAGTGTGTAGAGAATGCCCGCCGTCCACGGGTGGAAAGAAAATGAGGAAAATCATGAATTATAAATGCAATGCTCTGAATGATATGATTGCCCTTGATAAAACCCATAGCCCTTTTTTGACGCCAAAGACTTGAGACCTCCCATGAAAAATGAAAATATGCGTAAAATGTCTAATGTATACCTAGAGAATGCCAGGAATCAATGCCGTCGTGCTGTAATATATCGAGCGGCCAATTAGAAATAGCATCTTGATCCCGAGGTCGGAGATAACAATGAAATCAACGTTTGGTAATCCGATTTGCAGTGCGTCGAGTCTTCGAAGATGTTGTGATCCGGTTGTCAAGAGATCCTCCAGCCGCCCGAGCCCGCTTACTCCGAGACTTATGCAAAGTGCGTCGAATGATGGTAATTTCCTCTTCAGATCTGCCTTCCATACGCCAACAACCTTCTTGGTGATGCCCAAGCATATTGCAGTAGCCACAAAATGGCCGACCACGGCGGTTCTTAATTGGTTGAGTCGCGATATTCGTCGTCTCCGCAAGAACAACCTCATGCACCTCAGCCATCACAATCAGGTCCGTGAGTCCTAGGTTTCGACCTTCGGTAGTCGCGTACTCCTCATCTGTCATGCGATCTTTGAAACTTTCCCAATCTCGACCAAGACCTTCAAGGAATAACGTGTTCACCACACTTTGAGAAATGGCACTGGGACGGACCGCTTCCATCTCGCTTTGCACGGTAATGAATTTGTTGCCATATTCGTGAATTGATAAGCAAGTGCTCAGTCGGAGACGAGAGAGTGTTTGGAGTAGTCGGGAAAATTGTGGGCCTGGCTTGGGTTTGTAGTTTGTTCGCAGGAATTCGTACATGGCATCGATACTGAGATTCTTGGGAACACTGGCGAGAAGAGTCCTCTCCACTGTCATGCCTAGTAGACCGCTCAGACTTTTGTCGAGTCGCTGCCAGTCTTTGTAGGTTTGGGAGAGTGGGGGATCCAGTGCAAGGAGCGGTTACTCAGTGTCTGTCACCAGGTCCCAGACTCCATGGTCTTGCAATGCGGTGCAGATTGATTGGTGCCATTCGTCGTAGTTTTCGGGTCCCCTGAGTTTGACAATCTCGGTAAACTGAGAGATATCAAGAGGGACGTTGTATCGGTCGGGACGGGAGGAGGGATCGAGAATTTGGGTTTCTTCGAGTTGAATCCCTTCAAGGGGTGATTGGAAGGCTAAATTCGGTTCCATTGTGAAACGCGACGCGACTTTATGGGTGAAGAGGGTAGATGAGAGGAGTTGACGCGCGTGAGTGGTTCGTGAATCGCGATAGCTTATCGAGCTTACCCCGCATTATCCCATTTTGGTACTATGGATCTTGACAACCTAGGAAAGAAAAATAAAATAAAAAAATAACAGAGAAATCTCACAGACAATATCCCGCGAGTATTCAGGTATTATAGCTTGAAACCCAAGTTATATGGCTGCAAATGCCTCACATAGCATATTCTCGAACTGACGCTGCTGCACCTTGAAGCTGATACTATGGCAAGAGAACTTCCAACACGGACAACTCGATACCATTTTGGAGAATTCAACACGTCTGAAAAGACCCATCATTAAGAACCTCAGGCGCCCTGGAAACCTATTGGTTCAATACCTCTCAAATTATGACGGAGGTAAAGATCATGGCAAGGCTACAGGGATATCAACACAACATCTCGCACTGGATCTTGAGGCTGAATTAGAAAAGGTGACCATGGTAATCATCGCTGAGGAAGGATGCGAGTCATTTTCTGATTATGACAGCTCAGACAGCGGCAACTATGAGGGCTCACTTTCAATCATCATTCGCAACAATAGCCGATTTGGTCGGCTTCACAGCTATGTGAATTGCTTGATGAACCTTGCTCCTCTTATTCAAAGACGCTCTGACATTATGCGAGAAATGATGAAGGCTGAGCTTTATAGAATCGAAAACAGATTTCGCTTATCTGAAGCTGCAAATTCACATGCCATGCGCATTCGAGATCGGTAAGTTGAAGTGTGCCAAAGAAAGCTGTATTCAGAGCTACACTCATAAGAGAAAAAGATTTATATTGGCGCCAGCTCCATTGGTTGAGCGGCTAGCGGAAGCAAACTTTGCAAGATCAATAAGAATTAGAGAACAGGAAAATGGCGTAGGAGATGGACATCAAATGGCTGATGGTATCCTGGAAATAATCAAGTCGTCTTCAATGTTACATGATTCAGGACTTTGGGCTTCCGTTACCGCAACGTCACATTATGCCCACACCGCTGCCTTTCATACTTCCTTCCTCTTAATCATCCAGTCCCTTGACTCAATTTTAAAAGAGGACCCGGATTGTGAGTATTTAAATCCAAGCAACTTGAAACCTTCCAGCTAATGCCATGTATAGGGCAGCACTTAGTATATCATGATAATAAAGGACCAGAGTCACCAGTTTATGACCAAATGTCGGAAAAAAGCCAAGATGCCAAATATTAGGTCCAAGAGAAGGTGATGGATAAGCACGCCACACCTGATTCAAGCCCCATGGTGCCTGCGGCACCTAACCTCAAGATGTTTGCTACTACCCTGGAGCAGGTAGCAGCAGTGACGGGGTATCTCCACAGTACACTCATACCATTGTGTGATGAATACGTGGTCAAGCCGCCAATCGAATCTAGAAAAAGGAAGTTTGAGTACCAAAAATTAAGCGAAACCATCCTGGCACAAATCATGCTCAAGGCCAATAATCGAGCCCGGCGAAGACGTTGAAGCGCGCAACGCGCTAATCAAGGAAGCGAACTTGAAGTCTCAACTGAGCCGGTTTGACCAGATCCGAGAATAACTTACGATTTTGCTGCAGTGCACATCATCAATGAATGATATCGAATCAAATGCCCCTAATTTCTACCAATTTTGAAAATGGATATTTGTCACGCTTCACGAAACCCTGTTGAAATAACACAAATCGACTCGAATAAGATCTTGTTGGTTTCATGCATCTCCCACTTTCCCGATGTTTGGAGAGTCACTGACAAGAGCCTGTCAGCTACTTCGGAGTGATAGCTAGTATGTTTCCGATACAAGAGTCAATATTTTGAATGTTGATCAAGATGTCTATAAGGCTCACCTGGGCAGAGCCAGGGCCAGCCACTATAACTTGCGCTATTGCAGCGCATCTTCAAGAATCCGATCAAGATCTCCAAGCCGAGATCCTGCAGCATCATCACGACGTAGAATGATTGGATATAGTTTTCCACCTGGGCAGTATATAGATCTACAACTTATTGATAGTATTTTCTCTGACCATATCTACTGGTATTTGTCGAATGTCTGGAAACTTTGGTGTTTGGGTCACGCCGGCGGTTGCAGAGATCATACCTATTCAAGGTGCAACAGCGTCACTTCGACAAACATGCTACGAGAGGCAATTCCAGCCATATAACTTGAGTTCAAGCTCCAAGCTACCATGCCTGAATATTTGCAGGATCCATTAGACGTTTCTTAGAAAATTTGGTTATTTCATTTTTTTTTTGTTTTTTGTTGCAATGTCGCTAATGAATAGTCTGTCAAATTCGAGAAGAATGGCTGTGTAGAGCAAAACGAACCAGCAAGTACATGCTCATTCGATGATTGTTCAAGACCTCAGGAGAGCTACTGATCGTCGAACAATTTCCCCGGAATTGGCCCAAGATGGTCATAATCGATGGTTAATTTTGGGTATTCAGGGGGTCTAGGCCATTCAATTGCACCTCGGAGCGAAAATTGCATGTCATGTCCGACGTCCCCTTCCTCCTGCAGTTGCTCCTCCACATGTTCTGCCTTTGCTACTTTCCATTTTTGCTCGTTGTCATATTCATCGCGGAATCTGCACACGCCGAAGTCAATCAAGGTTACCTTGAACCCTGTGGCCTCTTCAACGTCAAGTTTCACGATAAAGCTTCTTGCGTGGATATCCATGTTGAGTACTCCCATATCTTCCATGCGATCGATGATCCGAGCAGCATCATTGCAGATGAGTTGCCAGAGCTTTCTGGGAGCATTGTAAGGGAGTTCCGACATGAGAAATCCTGGAATGTACTGCAGAAGAACTCCTGGATGGCCTTGTTCAAGTGGCTCAGGTAGAGCTAGATCACCAGCGGGTAAGACGACCTTCGCGAGGAGGCGTGGAATATCCGTTCCTTGCATGTCCTTCATCAGTTTGTATGACTTGGTCTCAGAGTGGAAGATTCCAGTAGTAGTGTATTCGAGAAATGCCTCATCCTGGGATGTATTCCATTCGCTTCGTGGTGGCTCTTCAGTGCCTTCGGGAAGCGCACGGACAAACTTGGACCCAATCTCACCACTGGCAAACTGAATAAAATCTTTCTCAAGCTCCAAAGACCAGGGCTTCACATCGCTGATCTCTCTAGAAGACCATGAAAAACGCCGATCAAAGACCTTTAGCACCATGTCCTCATTACCATCCATAGCTAAAGCAGGACAGTCAATTCGAACTACCATTGCACAGGAGAAAGTGAATGGTTCAAAGAGACGGATTATTTTGGCCTCCACCATAGTCTCATGCTGGGGCGTCTTGACTTGCAGTGGAATCGAGTTGCCAACTACATATGGAAATTCGGCACACCTGGGAGCGGGATCTTCTTCATCAGAGAGAGGGATTACTTCTTCATCAGACAGAGGAATTTCTTCTTCATCATTGATAGAAATTTCTTCTTCAGCATTGAAAGGAATTTCTTCGTCATCAGAGGAAGAGGTATCTTCTTCATCAGAGAAAGAGGTATCATCTTCATCGTCTTCATCGGGGTAAGAAAAGGTTTCCGGGGTCTCAAGGTGCCAGTCGTCCATTTTGCTGGTTAGAGGCGGTTTATTCGGTGCGGTGACGGTTGTTTCAAAACAAAGAGTCGCGTTTATTCAGCGTAGTGACAGTTCTCTCAAAAGAAAGAGTTGCGTTTTTTGAGCGCCGTGATAGTTGCCTGAAAGGGAAGAGTTGTGTTTTTTGAGCACCGTGATAGTTCTCTGAAAAGGAAGAGTCGCGTTTTTTCAGTGGTGGAGGTTCTGAAAAGAGTCGCGTTTTCTCAGCTCAGTGTAGTGACAGTTCTCCAAAAAGAAAATGTTTCGTTTTTTCAGTGGTGAAGGTTCTGAAAAGAGTCGCGTTTTTTTTCAATGTGGTGATAGTTGAAAATAAAGAGTCGCGTTTTCTCAGCTCAGTGCAGTGACACTTCTCCAAAAAGAAAGTATTGCGTTTTTTTAGTGTGGTGATGGTTTTCTGAAAAGAAAGAGTCGCGTTTTTGGATGGAAATGTTTGACGGCCCGCCGATTGATGGGTTTCGTTGAGGAGTAGTAAATGATACACACAGAAGTCAACCTAGGCAGAGCGGTCAACAGGCACCAGCTCCAGTGCGTATTTAAAACCAAATTTACACCGCAGCTTTAGAGAAACCAAAACATCAATATTATGATTGATACACTACCTAGACTTGGAACAGGTCAATATAGAAATGAGTCGTATTAGCGCCACGACTATGCCTACATAGGCGGTTATGGTATCTGTAATCTTTCTAAGGTTAGGTCATGATCTTAGGATTCCAATTCAGAATGGGGCTTTGTCAGGATTTTTGCTCATTGTAATTTTTTTTATATTATTATGAAGAAGATTGAATCGCGAAATGTATAGAAGAACCTTAATTATAGTTGAATGAAGCTAGACCTAATTCGGCTTAGTGTTATATAATTGTATTTTGACAGAAGTAAAAGGGCGGTGAGTTTGGCGGTCTATATGCTCGGCCTGAGATATCCATGGTTTGGTCCCTATGCTAACTTGGAAGGTTCCTCGGATACATAGGCGCCAAACTCTTCAAGCAAAAAGAGTCAAAAGAGCAGAAATAAAAAATGCAAAAACATACAACAGCATGTCTAAGTTAGTGGTCACCTAGCGCCCACGATTCGGGCGTGGGTGGCTCGCCGCTCTATTTAGCCCTCTCTAGGGCACTAGCCGATCCCCCACTCTTTTCAATTACCCTGCTCGTACTTCTCTGTCATTCAGCCACTCCCCAGCTCATCTTCAACTTGATCGACGTGATCAAAGTGTTAAATTTTTAGAAATGCCATACGAGAGGTTTCTTGAGCCACATCCGGAATGTGGGACTTCTATGACCTGTCCATCAATGGCTTCCTCTCCCGATGGGATTCGTCTGTACGAGGATGATCAAGAAGGCCTTCTTGCGTCAATAGTCATGGCAAATGACATAGTAAACTTGCATTGTTATGTTCAAGACTGTGGCCCGCCATTATTCTGTGAGCCTCCAGAGCGTGAGGACGACTATTTTTTCATGGCTACCGTGAATGGCAGCACCGATACCCTTCGCGTCCTCCCAGAGATTTATCAATCCGACCCCCGCCAAAAAGAGCCGCTCAGATCTCGACTTGAGCGTCGAAACATTCGACTTCTGAATCTAGCTTGTGCGAACGTTCAGCTTAAGACGGCTGAATATCTGATGAATTGCGGCCCGCCGTTGGGCTAAATGTTCAATGAGCGAGGGTACGCCGATGCACCTCTTACAGCCGTGTTAGACGCGCTCAAGTTCATCGAAGAGGCCCCCATTCAGAGACACGTTTCAGCTGTTAGCCAAGAAACTATTGAAGATTTTGTATGCAGTCTGCTAGACAGAGGCGCTTCAGTCCGAGCTACCAATGAACACCTTTCACCAACTCAACGACCTACAGTGCTAGGTGTAGCGGCAGCTCTGGGGAGCTACAACCTAACATGTCGACTCATTGCCGATAGACCTGATCTTCATGGAAAAGAGACATGGCATGAGATAGCCACAGGCTCTATTGACAATGTGACCGCGCTACACATAGCTAGCGGATCCTGGAACCTAGCTTTCGTTCAAGCTTTGCTTGAAAAATATGGTTCTGATGAGCTTGCGCAGGCTGCAACGGCACCTGACAGTAGAGGTCGACTTCCCGTTCACTGGGCTTTGCTTAATCTCGATCACACGTTCAATAAACCGTCGGACGAGCAAACCATCTCGACAGGTGTCAAAATTGTCAATTTTCATTACTTGATTTCTTCCCAGACGCTATCAATGTGCAGACCTCACAGGGAGCAGCTTTGAACTTCCTCGCAAATGGGTATGTCAGGGGTGCTGGAAGTCTGGCCCTCATGAAAGTTCTCCTCCGCCTTAACCCAAACATTAAAATTGTCAACTCACAAGATCAATCAGGTGCAACTGCTCTCTTAAAGGTATTATCTTACCATGAGACGCGCAATGTCGTTTGTAAAAGTTCTACTATGCCATTAGTCGAGCTTCTCCTCGCTAATGGGGCCGACAGGACGGCCTATGACAAGAAAGGTCAAACCGCGCTACACAAGCTAGCTACTAGCCCGTCGTACGACGACCCAATCAGTCCTGATCTGCTTGAGATGTTTATTTCGTTCGTTGATATAAATAGAGAATGGATGGACGGCCCTTCACTGGATGGCAAGAAATCTGCGGCAAGTCGGGGCGTCTCGTTTACTAGTCCATCGGGGTGCTGACGTAAATGCCGTCAACAAAAAAGGCAACACACCTCTCCATGAAGTGATGACAGGCAGGCTCATAAGGAAAGAGAAGGCAGATGGAACCCTTGATTACCCAACCCTTGCAGAGAAGATCCATGCTCTCGACGAGATCGTCTCGGTATTACGAGAAGCCGGCGCCTCAATGGATCAGCTTAATTTGGCACGCCAGACGCCCGCGCAGCTACAAGAGCAAGAGCAAAAGCTGGCAAGATGGGAGAGAGGTGGTGAATAGCTAGCAGCGATAGCAACTCTTGTCTGGTTAAGGAGCTGTCTGAGACTCAAGATCGAGGTCGAGCGATAGCCTGAGCTCAACAGGAACATGACCCATGATGTCATATCCATGCTTGCCATTGAAATAAACAAGAAACACCAATGCCCTCATCTATGCAGGTATATAGTGTGCGGAACTGAAAATAATTCATAATATTGACATATATTTGAAGCTTTAAGTGTGGTGGGAACATAGAAACTACTACACACAGCCTGTACATATGTTGAAGAACGATGGCCAATTTCGTTTCGATGATCTCTGACATGAAGTTGTAGTAGTTGACGCATATCATTATCCGAGTTACACTGTTTAAGTTTGATCTTTGGAAGAGGGGAATTCACAACAAGAAGAGCAAAAATATGGTCGAACAAAAACATAGAACAGTCAGGGTTCGAATGTGGTCACCCACCATATGACTAACTGACCGGCGTGTCGCCATCCCAATCTTGGACGTCGCGATCATATCGCGTTGAAAAGAATTCGATCTAAATAAGTGTCCAGCACTTGAGATGCTACGCTCAGCCTTGGAAGATTGCGTTAGCCAACTACTTATGGAAGACCTACAGACTTTAGAGCTGTTCTTCTGCTTTTCTTGCCGAGCTGTTCTCTTTATTTATTCCCTTCTTATTCTGTTTGTTAAATTTCATAAAATTATGTTTAATCTTAGTTAACCGCCCTGCCCCGCCCCTAGGTGTTATAATCACGTTTCCGGGTACGCTATTCAACATGGCCAAAAGACTACCTAGGTAAATATCATTGAACTCGATGAGTTCAATCAGCCCGGAACGGTATATCAGTATCGCACGGTCACGGCACCGTTGGTGCGCGTGACAATTAACTACCTCTCCTACTACTAAAAGAAACATTTAGCTAGGCTTAAGTATAAGGAAACAAAGCTTTTACACAAGTGCTAAGTATGCTTTTCAAAACCTTCCAATATTTAAGATACTATACTACATACTTGTCTAGCTAGGATCATAATAATGAACAACCTTGGAAGTTCTTTTGATATTGTCCGTGCATGCTTATTTTAGGTAGGTGTTTACTTTTCAATGTTATTTATATAGAACCGGAATTGCCAAATAAGGTTAACTTTTCAAGAGTAACCAATACTTTTTCTCTCGCTATGGGTATTATTTAGAACTTAAGGTCAGTGCATAATAGATAAGGTGAGAACATTTGAACGGGGTAAGCTCTGGAATCAAGGGACGGGAGCGGAGCGGCAGAACGCACTGTCTTTGCCCAGGTGGACACTGGACCCCGTTCCGAGTAGGACTTGGCAAGCCTCCTGAGGTCTCGACGCCATTCGAGTTCTGGGCCAGTAAAGCCCAGCTTGCCAGTGTCTACATATGGGGTTTCTGTGTTTGGTAATTACAAGAACGTTTGAAGAGCTGCCCCTTGATGGCTCACCACATAAAACATCCACCCGCCCACTGCTACTCTGTGGATAAATTGGTCCCCGCGATCAGTCTGAAAATTCCAAGACTGCCTGCTATAGGTATTGTTTATTTTTATCATACACTACGGTTTCGCCAAGCAATCCCTCTTTCGAGTGCCCCCTCATTCAATCAAGTTTCGGAACCTGAAAATGCTGAGCCGCATGCTGCACCTCTGAGCACTGTCCTGTGTTTTTTAGTCTTCCTTTTTACCCCCAAGATTTCGAAGCATTCAGTCTTTGGGCACTAGCTACTAATTTTCATGGGCTCCCAGCTTCAAGTTGTATTATCAGCCAGCGACAGTTTTGACGGCAATTCGCGGCTACATCTTCGGTATTTCATGCCATGGAGGAGTACACGACACTACCAGAGCCACCTCTATGGTGTCGAATGTACATTTACATTATTCCGTTCCATAAAATGAAGGCATCGGCTAACATTAGAACTTGTGAAGTATATTAACAATCATCACCATCGGCTCATTCCTACCTCAAATTTTACGTATTCAAAACACGCAGAACATCCAGGGAATACATCAACTCTATATCCTATGGAACCTATTCAGCGCCACTGAGCAGTTCACCAATTTTTTCTTCGGACTTATAAATGAAGCCCAATATGACCCATATGAGGGCGGGATATTCTTGCATAGTCCACCATCCAAAGGTGACTGGTACAGCTTGTGCCACTGTGGCATAGTCACAGTTCCTTTTTTAGTGCTGTGAGTCCATGTCCTCAATACAAGGACGATTCTATGAATTACAATTCTGACACCAGTTATTTCTGCAGGTTCATTCAATTTTTATTCTACAGCAATCGCAGAGTTTCGCTCGGTATCATTTACACGATCTATCTTCTCATCTCAGTGATTCCTCTATTTATCGGTGCTGTCTCGGAGTTTGATGATCCCGATGAAATGCTGGATCCCTAAAAATTGCTGGCTGCTATTTTCTTCGCCTTCCACTCCATACTCCTTTGGCCCATTATCTCAATTCTCGGCTGTTTGAGCATATATCATCAAGCCCGCAAGATCTTCAAAAGGCCATTTCCAAGTTCTCTGAGCTTTCAAGGGCTATTGCTACAGGCCACCGCGTTTCTGATCGGTTCGGTCATCTGGATATGGAGTCTGGCGTTTCCGTATGAAGAGGCAAAAGGACATTGGAACTGGAGTGTCTTTTCTATCTGGTATTCCACAATTGGCTGGATAATTGTTGACACTCTGATTATGGCTCTCGGTCAGGCACTACTTTGTGTGCTAGTATCGCGCCGTGCGCCCTCAGACAACGAGATAACGCCAAGGGGTGAGACGGAGCCGCTTTTAGGATAGACAAGATATTTATTTCCTTGGTAACTTCAATCGTGTTTCTACTCAGTCAACATAAACTCGATACAATTACGGAGCGGACGGGAACCCCTGTTGTCCACACCCTGTGATCGTATGGGGTATGGGGGGGATGAAAATGAATAGCTTAGCTTTCGAGCTTCTGCTCTATCGCAATGGACTACAACTTCAATGTTGCCTAATTGAGCCGAACAACTATCATAACCTACAACAGTTGTTGACTTGATCTTGTGTTAGCTTCGTCTTGTAAAGACTACTAGTCAACAGCACCAAGCTCGTTGCTGTTGGGCCACGAGACTCGGTGATGCCACGAAGCGAGCGCAACGCTCAACGACAGCTCGTAGAGCACCTACTGGCCTCTGCGCCTTTTGCAAACCTTGCGACACCAAGGGGCTCTCGCCAAGCCCCGTGCGCGCGAGGGGAGGAAGTAGGAGGAAGTAGGAGGAAGTGAAGTGGCAGGGGAAGATGACAAGGGAAAGTGACAGGTGAAAAGGGGAAGTGCGAGGCTCACTATTTATGCCCTGTGCCTCCCGATCCCAGATCTGTCAATTCACTACAAATTAGACCCAACTGGGAGATAAACAAAACGAAAACAGGACCGACATAATACTATTCCTACAATTTAGGCAGCCGACGCCTAGATTGGTCGACCGCTCCATTCATAGCTAACATTCATGCAGTTCAGATAAGGTCAAGTTTCTAGAATACTAGTACCTTCTTGCTGGTTGATGGCAGAAACAAGGTTCGGATGTAGTTTGCTTTCTTTCATCACTAACCATGTCAACATCTGTCTCGCCCATCAATATGAGAATTAACTTCAATCTTCAACCCTCCGTGTTCCCATCTCTTAGACTTCCAGACAGACATTCCAACAGTCGACGATATTCAGAACTGGCAGTCGGAATAAATTCCAAGTCACGACGATAGTGAAAGCAGAGAACTCAAACAGGACACCTGAGTCCAGGTGATGTGTGAGATATCCAAAATTTGATCCCCGGGTTACCATTCAGGTTTTAAGTCTTGATATGTTTATTTTCATTTTAATATTTCCCCAATTTGTCATGGGATGAAAGGTCAATCCCAATGATCCGATTGGTCACTTTGTTGACTCTGGGCTCGGGTTAAATAGAGGTTTAGATTACTTATTGATTATTGCACTGCTTTAATTCCATAATCCCTCGGATTTATTCTCCAAGTTTGCAGGATTTGCGCCTACTCTTATTAGTATAAAAGTATTGTGGTTGAGACGAGACCCTTAACTGATGATGAGTAGTATCATGCCGCTCACAATACATCATGATCTGATCCTTTTACTCTAGGGCTGCAAACACAGTGAGGTACCCCTTATTACACCAGGGCACCCATCATCATGAATTAATAGTATATATAGTATGTTGCAATATAACAGAACTTCCAAGAAAATCTACAAGGCCCCACGATAAACACCATACAAGGATAAAGGTTATTGGATCTGATCTATCATTTGGAGTTGGACTTGGTCTTTCTGCCAGATGAAGAGGATCGTAAGGGCGAGAGTAATAATATTAAGATGCTATCCATGAGTACAAAAGGGAACTAACGCAGCCGGCCGGTTCTGGCACTGCAGGACTTGGTAATCTAGAGGAATGAATGGACAAGATGATGAGGTGGAAAAGAAAGTGAGGAAATAGACACACTATCAACCGTCCGCTGCTGATAAAAGCTTTACTGCATCTTTTGAGATAAGGTAGCCAACGTTGGACTAGACAGTGGTGATGGCAACAATGTATCTAGACCATCCGTCAGCACTAGACCAGAACAAGACCACATGAGAAGGGTAATGTCAAAAAAACATGGCAGGTTTAGCCAAGTGGCCACGTCAACCGTTCAGGGGGCTTCAGGGCATTCAGGTGAGGGGCTGAACTGGCTGAAGAGTAGGGCGGCAAGGGGAGCCTGCCTAACGATTCAAGAAATAAAAAAAAATAAAAACATACAACAGTCAGGATTCGCATGTGGTCACCCACCATACTACTAACTGACCGGCGTGTGGCTTAAGTACGGCTGAGCGGACGGGAAGCCCTGTTCTCCACACCCTGTGGTCGTATGTACTTGATACAAGAAGATAAGGCACCATATACTAATAGCTTGAATACAGGCTCAACTAAGATATCAGTCAAGACTCAAGATACTATCACATTCATACCTGATCCAGATGGGATAAGTCATCGCAGAAAAATGTCTTCAAATCATCTAGATCGCGGCAATGATTCTGAATTGAGAGAATTTCATCGGCACGTACCAACAAGCTCAAGTACTTCAGGCTTGGAAAATGATACACTCTGGCGTTCGCGGTACATAACTACCAAGGATAGCGACAGCCATGGACATCAAGATATCATGCGGCTCCAAGGCCACATACCTGAATACAACGCCTCCCATAGTCCCTATTTGCAGATATTAGATTGGCTTCAGGACCGGAACAGTTAGACATCCAAGGTCGCGAAATATCCATCTGCGACAAGAACTTGAATTTGCAATCTACCGAATTCAAACTAATTCCGGATACAAGCTATCATATGACGAAATCACTATCAAAAGACGCAAAAGAAAAAGTGAATCACACGCCATGAGAATGTCATACCCTTGAACCTGACAAAAGAAATTGAGATTGCCAAGAATAAATACACTGACAACCTTGCCTATCCTGATAGGCCCCAGACTAATGCTCAGCCTCAAATATTGTTCGGTGAGAACATCGAAAGGATCCGTGACCGTGATAGTCACATAGGAAAAACTAAAACCACGACTATGGAAAAGCCGCTTCCTAACCAAAGTGAGGTAATGCCGATACTGGCGAATCGAGACGGGTTTCAGAAGATGGCGTATCCTGGGGCTTGTTGAACGCCGCGATCCAGTTATCGCACAGAAGAGGCCGCTTCTAATTAATTCTGTCAACACGGAATGGCTCAATTTGTCTTGAACCCTTTGTTCTTCCTCCATTTGGCTGTGGAGGAGATTGAGGGAAGGGCCTCATAGGCCGGGTCATAGCTTGAGCGAAAGTTCGGGACGGGGGCATAGGTGGGGAAGTCTGTATCATGAACTCCATTCTTTCCTGAGTAATGGATGGAATAGAGGCGGGGTCACTGACAAGGCCTTTTCCGTTGAAGCATTTAATGAGCATTTGTGCTGCGGAGGCACGTTCCAATGGCTCGACTATCGACATCTCCCAAAGTTGAGGAAGGCCCGGTGCCGCCCCCAGAACGGCTTGCCGAGGGTCCCAGATTAAATTCTGCTCGTGTATGGTTCGAAATCCATTGATATTTAAGGTCCAAAGCATTGTCACAAATAGCGACCAGACGTCGACTTTGTGTGTTTGAAGTTCAACAGGTTCATGTTTGCCAACTTCCGGGGCCTGAAACAGTGGTGATCCAAACGGTGTTACTGCATTTGCTGCATTATTGCATATACCGAAGTCGCCAAGTTCAAAATGGTATCGCCCATCTGGAAGCTGGGTGCAAAGTATGTTCTCTGGCTTCACATTCCTGTGGATTGAGTTATTTGCTGCAAGACAGTCCAATGCCTGAAGCATCTGGAAAAAGACATCGTGGGCAAGATCTTCGATCGGCAAAACGGATCCACCGCCATATATTAATGAGATGAAATTCCTGTCTTTGTGTGCCATGAATATTTCGGGAATTGGACATGGTCCCTCCCAGCCTTTTGAAGCGATGTAGTCAACAATATGAGGCTACAGTTATATTAGCTCAAGGCCTCACAGTAAGGGAGGAAGTACAAACGTGATTAATATGAGACAAGGCCTCACACTCGCGCTTCTTCGCAAGATATGATGCTAAGTTCCACTCTTTTCCCATATAGGGACCTTCAGGTCGCTTCAAGTTCAATACCTTGACCGCGAGGAGCTTTCCCGTGTCAACATCAATGCGCCCGTGGACAGCCCCAAATGACCCTGACCCGATGTGACCAAGCTGGAACCATCTCATTTTTGATTTTGCTTGACCAGGCGTCCCCATTCTGGGAGTGGGAATGATAGTAGATGGCAAGTTGGTTGTCAAGTCCATCACTGTTCATGTTCGCCGAGGGTGATCATCATACCGATTGATGCTATCATGCAAGAGCTTGATCTTCCGCAGCGTATTTTCTGGATTATCCGGCCAGACTATCTTGAATTGAATAATGCCTGGATTCTCCCCTCCAATTCCGATCTTTGTGTTGAATTTATCATGAATAATGACTACTTGGCGGAGACGGCCATGTTGGAACGGGAACGAAGTCTGGCCCAAAGGATACGTTGATTGAGTACTTGACCTGTCATATAACATGATCGCCATGGTTTTGCTCTCAATCTCGAAAGAGCAATGATATTTCGAAATATTGTGTCCCTCCATGAAAATGTCCACATCTTCTCCGCGACCCAGTGTTGCAATCGTGCCACCGGAAATCGATTTGTGGCGGCCAACATCGAGAACGAGAGTGCCATCTCTGAGTCTGGAAGTGAGATGTTGATTCAAAGAATGATTGACGACCTTTTTGGCTTCATCGGTGATCCGGAGGAGGGAGAAAAGAGTAGAGCGATGAGTACTCGGATGATGGGACATCTTCAGGTAAGTTGTATTTTCCTTGACTCACAAATTGATGAGAAACTCGAATCAGCTCTGACTGAGGAGAAAGTACCCAAAAACATAGAACACATCACAAAGAGGCTCTCTATGACTCAGGCGCCGTATCAGAGACATTTGATCGTTTGGTGCTTGATTGCAGTTTCAGATGGCGCAGTTGTTTTGAAACGACCGGCTGTCCGCTAGAGATCTTTAAAGCCGCAAAATGCCCAGGTTTCGAGTGTAATTTGTTAAGCTATCAACATATAGGCTGTAAAAGTCATCGGACCAGGGGTTCATTTTGCCCTGTGCCTGATCACCTTGAAAGAGAAAACTGACATTTTCATCAAGACCGACCAATTGCCACACCCAAGTCTCTGCAGACCCCCACTGAATACCGGACCCCACCTTATTTTGAGTCTCGGGAAGCGCGCGATAGTCTGGAGTTCCCAAGCAAGGGAATAGTATAACAATCCTGAGAAAGGTAGAAGGGTTGTCTATGCTATGGCAGCAAAGAAAAAAAGAGCCCAACCCGCCCGTTGCGAAGCAGTAGGAATGACCCTTTCCCCTAAATTCAAGGAAAGAAGACCCTATTCAAAGGCAATTTTTGAGACCGAGCAAAAAAAACCCTCACCATTCCTGATGTGCCATTGGACAAACCAGCAGCTCAACTTTTCAGCTTTGAAGCAGACCCAATCAATGCCAGTAGCATTTTTGGTCCAAGGGCAAAATCCTCAAGACAAACCATTTTTGGAACCATACCGAAAGGCCCAATTAGTCAGGCAACTCCTCTAAAGCGGCTAGCAAGCTCTTTGGTTCAACAAAGACAGTCAAATCTCGACCGGGAGGGCTATTTGGGACTGAGCATACAAAGTCCTCATTGTTTGTTGATCTAGCACCGCAAGGACCAAGAGCCCAGCCAGCTAGCCCTGATGCAAGACGACTCTCCGGCAAAATTCCAAAGGGGTCAATACCAAACATTTCTGGAGCCATTCCAAATAAGTACTTCCGAAATGTACTTTCCACTCTGGAGTCAAAAGACACAATTTCTCAGCCGACCTCCGTTGACAGGGCTAGGAGCCTCTTTGGCTCAACAAAAAAAAGTCAGACCTCGACAGCGAGGGCTGTTTGGGACTGAGTATGGCGCATCCTCAACAACCTCTGATGAGCAAGTAGAGGATAAAACACCCGATAGCAATGTGTGCAGCGATAAGAAATCTTCGAATCCAAAGGGATCGAAAAGAAAAGCAGCAAAGAAATCACACTCCAGAGACGTCAGCTTCAGAAACGAGCACGCCAGACGTTCAACTGACAACTGATAGATCAAATGTCCGCCGTCGCGTAGCCCAGCAAGGTCTTAGGCTAAGAAGCAAGCGAAGTAGAAATTCGCGATCCCAGCTCATTGAATATAGCACGGAAGATTTTCGATGACACCTAGGTTTTCAATAACTGAAAACCACTTAAGCCGCCTTATATGCACATTTGATAGGTTTTGATTTGGTCAACAGAATGATCTAGCAGTGAGGATTATGGACTCGGGATATTTTCATCAGGAAACCTACGTAAACAAACCTGGCGCCCGAGCTATCATAAGAACTGCATTCGCCGTAAATTGAGTTCCCTTTTGCCTTCCAATGTTTTTGTGCTCAATCATTCATAGTCAAATTTCGATCCGAAATCTTTTCTTTTATTTGCATCTAGTATTGATTTGGAAATTCATAGTTTGTATTCAATTTAATGAAATCTGCCAATGACAACCATTGTAAGAGACCGCATATTACTAGGTAGTACTGCATAGTATCACGGATATTTTAACAACTAGGTGCATTTGCCTAGACAGGCACTGTCAACCTGAACTTGAACTTCCAAGGTTAGCTCATTGATTCATTTTTCTGAACTGTCCTGGGTGTCTTCAAGTTGTTTCCAATGGATCATTCAAGGCTTGACCTTGCCCACAAATTCAGCCACATTCTTAGCTAATGGCTCCGTCCAGGTGAGATGAGCAGAGTGACCCGTGGGCGCATAGTAGACGGTAAATTCATTTCCCAGCTGCTTTTGCTCCATAACCATTGCCTCTTGATACTCCTTTGGTAGAATATAGTCTTCCCCGAGCTGTAGATAAGCACAGGGCAGGGTTGCGTAGGCATCATTAGTGAGAACACCAGTATTGATAGGTGCGGCAGTTAGGGTCACTGTCCACTTCTCAGCCTCAACCGCGTCCAGGCCGTTGAACATGAACTTTGGTGCATCAACAAGTGTACCAACACCAGCAGCTCCGTGTTTCTATAAGAATAGTAAGTTACTATAGTAATAACACGCCAGAGATTGACCTACCCAAAATCGTAACCATGGAGGGATAGTAAAGGAGCCATCCTTTGGTTGGAAGTAGCCATTGATTGACTGATTAAGAGGAATGGCGAAGGCTGAGTAATAGAATATTCCAATCAATCCTCCATTCTGACTCTGTGCTTGGCGAGCCTTGTACTGAAACTCTAGGACTGCTACCTGGGTTGCGGCCCAACCGCCAGAGGAGTGTGCCACTAGAAGCACTTGCTTGCCTTCCTGGACTATAAGCTGGTCTAGTACTTGGCGGAGCACTGCAACATCATCATCATCGGTTGGAAACCCCTCGGGTGGAGGAGCATTGTGAAAGTTGGGGGCATTTAAGTCGTTGCCAACATTCAGTTTGCTTAGATCAGATTTAGGCCTTTGAGGACAATGCGTTTCGAAGCCCAGAGCGTTGAGAGCATTCATGAACGGTCCATATGGGGCCGGAGTGTGGTAAGACCCATGGACGATAACAATAGCCGGTTTCTGTGTGTTGGACATCGTAAAGTTCGATGATCATTCAATCTCTTGTTTGAATGATTGATGATTCAAAATCTGGCAGAAATCTGTGAGAAATCTGTCGTTAAAAGGTCTCTTTGATTTCCGCGCTTTGCTTGGTCGTTTTTAGCCCCCGATTGACGACCCACAACACTCCATTCATTTGCGATGACAAACTACATACGCGCATGTTATGAGCTAAGCAGCTCATATGATAGGGGCCAAAAGTTTTTTTATGTCGCATAAATTACTCAAAGCGGGTGAAGCTTCAACCGAGTGCGAGAGGATCGTAACGACAGCCATAACTTCCTTGAATCTGATATACCATAATTGCACGATTCAAGTGGCGGAATTTGCACATGCATGTGGAGGGAAGAAGAAGTGAAACTTATTTGGTAGCAGTCCAAGTCCAGATTCAATTATCCTTCAATTAATTTTCATTGAGTTGACAGTGAAACATACAGCAAATCACTGTCGCAGAAATCCAATTGATTTATCTACTAGATGAGCTTGAAATTATCCGATGGCATGAAAATACAGCAAATCTGGGAAAAGAGCGACCATGAGACCACTGCCTATTCCAATAATCAACCTCCAGGACATCGCAGAATCATTGCTTGGTTCCCAGAATAAGCACCACAGGGAAGGTGACCTTCTGTTTCCCGCCCATGGCTGCACGGAGCTCTTCGCGCATTAATTCAATCTCTGGATATCTATCGCCAGCTTGCTCTTGGTAATGAGGGAACACTGATTCCAAGTAAGCCGCGACATCATCCGCGTCCCACTCATGGGCCCAGAATTCGCGATTCACGAGATCATGAGTGACCTCCCCTTCCGCTCGGCGGTCTACCGGCTCAACCACGAAATCGAACCCCTCGGGACCGCTGAAAAGTAGCGGGTAGTCACAGTTCCACTTATGGCGTTCCACGTTCTGCCACTGGCTCTCTGGCAGGGCAATATTGTCGAGGAAACTGAGAAGGCCTTCTGCGCCGCGTCGCCAGAATGGCTCACCAGGAGTTCCCTTGAACGGAAGCCCAAACTGACAGATACGGGTTGCCATCTTATCATAGATCGCGTCGCAGGTTGGATCTGGGAAGATGGGGCGTCCATAGAAGTATATGGCGAGCGTTCCACCGGGGCGAATCAGAGTGTGAAAGGCCTCCAATGCCTTAGGCGCATCTAGGAGAGGCATGCATTCGCTCACAGTGAGCAGATCCGTCTGCTGCAAATTCTCAGGGATACCAGCGGTGACAAGTGCTTCGGCGGGACTTTTGATAAAGGTCATCCTTGCAGCGAGATCCGGGGAGAGCAGCTTTGGTGCTGCGGCCAAGGCTCGCTCATTCACGTCTGAGCCTACCACATGGCTATAGTACGGTGCCAGTCTTGCCGCGATGTTTCCAGGTCCCGTACCAACGTCGTGGGCCACTTCCATGCAACCATCACTGTGCTTTGCATGGTATTCATTGATTATGTGGAAGAAATCCTCCGACGGAGTGGGTCGTGAAGCGACGTAAGATTTCCAGAACTCGGCATCGCTGTCCAGGGCAGCACTGGTGAAAGGCGTACTAGTCTCAAGACGAGTGGACGTCTGTGTTTCTGTCTGTGTCTGTGACATGGCTTTGTTGATGATAGGCAAGTGGAAAATAATACTTCTTATCCTGTACAGGCAAGATTTGAATAACAGAGGTAGATGCATCTCTTTTTATAGTTCCCGTGTCAATAATTCATTTGAAGAAGGTCTGGTGAACTGACCATCGTCATAATAACCACTGGCATGGTCTCTTACCAAAAATCGGACCCCGAAACGTGGAGTTCTGGCACCTGGACCAATGTCCGGATGTGGTTGGATAATTGTTGTCCGGAAGTCAATTCTACTGGGATTATCCATACCTATGCTGCCATCCTGTCTTCGACACATCTTCCCTGTCTTTTTTTCTCTAGTCGGGAAACTCGGATTTTGGAAATTCTACAACCATTCTACCACATGTGCGTGTTCCCGAGACTTGCGCATTTTCCTAAAGAAGACTATGGCAACTAGGGATGCATGACCTCGGATCCCGAATTACCAACATATTCTCTAACATAGGATCATGAATCTACTACTATTAGGGATTGAGCTCGGAAGTCACTTTTACAAAATTCATGCAATCGCTTCCACCTCGGAGCCTTAACAGATGTTAAGTGGGCCACCTCAGCTGTGGAGAACACGTTACACAGCTACTAAATGATTCAATGCCCCCAGTCAAGAGAGTGCTCAGTATATGGACTCGATATCAATCCGAAATATAAGAGCAGGAAATTTCCCAAGGCCTTTTGTGAAGAGAAGCTCGCGTGAGAACCTTGGAACATGCGGAGGTATACCGCCCTTTTATCTGATATCCCTGTCGTGCTCTTTCTTTGTCTTCCTCTTTCATTTTTTCCTCTCGAATTTTCATGCAACTACACTCGATGTCAAAGAGCCTGATCTGTGGAGATGGCACCTCCTCACACTGGTATTAATAGCTTAATAGATGGAAAGGTTATTTGAGCGGCGCCGCCGTTCTATGAGCACTCCAATCCAAAACAAGGTTGGAAAACAAGCATCTGCACATTAATGAGTTGATGAACATGAACTATCGCCAACTCACCCATAAGAGATAGATGCCAGAATCGTCGGCATTGGCATATGGCAAGACTCCTCCCTGTCATGGAAAATTTACCCCGATTGGACGGGTCCTAGTGTCAAGAAGTGAGTTCATCTTGGACGGCCACCCCGAATTTCGATCGGAGAAATCACTCGGCTCGCTAGAGCTCTAATATATTAACTGTCAGGCCCTTCCCTTCCTCATTTTGATTCAAACCAATCACACACCCATGGACTGCCTTTTGCGTGATGCTGGCACGCCCAAATAATCTATCCATCGGTCGGTCCATTGGATCCATCTGCACGACTATAAGGTCTGAACTATATAATACTCGCGTAGGCCCGGACCTACCTGGGGTGCATTGCCTCCGGGGCTGCCTGTCAGTGGTTGATGACTTGTCAGATCACGAGTCGGCAAGTTAGTGCTGCACTCCAGATTCATATTCTAATTTCTCGAACAATGGATCTCGTAAGATAAAAACTTACATCAAGCCTTAATGCTGGAGTTTTGAATTGGCGTCTCATTCTAATGACCTTGGTGTAAGAACGAAAATTCTCCGAATGGTATCATCCTGCACATGTGAACTTGAAGGATTCGGGGAGTTTATTTATGGCAGTTCATGCACAGACATCTACCGGAGTGGGCCCTCTCTGTACTGCCGGCGCGAAAAGGGCACCTGGAGCACCCTCGGGGTATCAAAATTTTGAATCCATCAATTGATCACTCCAGCTTGGAAGTCTGAAGAAATCTGGAGATTCCATAATACGTGAGCTCTGCGGTCACAGTGCTATCAGCACAGTAGCTAGCGACAAACTTGAATTTATGTTTACTCAGCTATTAGTACTACTAGGTATGTAGTCAACTGGTAGTAGATACCAGTCCTAAAGTTTGAACGTACATAGAGGAACATTGGAAAGAAATCAAGTCTTTGAATTCAAAAATGAGATTTTCACTACTCCATAGTACTAGACATCATGATGTCTAGCCCGTTGGTCATGTACGTATCTGTAGAGGACAACAGTTGCGTCACGGTATGAGATACTAGTAAATTCATCAAACAACTTGAAATTGAAGATTCCAAGGCTCCAAAGTTACTACTAATTTGAAGAAAGGGATTTTTTGCTACTAGTAATTCTAAATTGCTTTCCTGAGAGACGAATACGGGACAAAAGAAAAGATCGGCCTTGTAATAGGAGGATCAAACCCGACAAAATAAAACACACGTTCATAGTATTACGGTCTTTCCTCGGAAAACGACCTGTGAAGCGTGGAGGACGTGAATCTTTGGTCACCATGGTCGCTTGGTTGCCGTAGTAGACATCTGGACATGCACCGAAGCATTCGGAATTCGGAGAATTTGACCACGGGGACTGCCGCAGATGTCTTCTTTGCTCCGAGAATCGCAAATTCGAATTTGCTACTCTAGTGTATTAGCCGATGGTTGTAGCACTGAGAATCACTTTGCATAGTATCATCGTGTTGTTTTTCATGCCCGATGGTCCCGAGGTCTCGCATATCGACGTCGAACGGGGTCCGATCGGTTCGGCGAAAGGATCGTAGAAATTGAATTATCTAATAAGCTTGGTCCAATATTTCGATAAGAACCTAAATGCTCCTATCCCGAAAACATCATGATCTGGTTGGTGGAGAGGGAAATCATCGGATGCCGATACGGCGATACCTGAACATCGGAACCCGACATCGAGCATTTGAAGAAAAGAGATCTTTGTCGTAGGGAACTTGGTGATATGGAGACTAATCCCGAATGTCCAGCTGAGAGCGAAAAAAGATCTTCGCATGTGCAACGTTGCCTAGGTGGAAACGATTCGTATCATGAAATGCAAAAGACCTCGATTGGCGCTATCCCTATTTGAGAATTGGAAAATTACATGTATTTTAACAATCAAAATACAGCACGATGAAATTTATAGTAATAGAGAAATGCACACGACCTGACTCCTGAGAGGTCCCCGTTAGGCATGACCCAGCGCCCACAAAGCCCCTTTCAAGGTCAAAGGTACCTATATATAGGGTATTTCACAGGCTGAAACACTGTACTTGCTACGCATCCACTTCTCCACATGTGTAGGTGTAACTATGCTCTTGACAAATCTTTTTGGATTATCATCTTCTACTTATTCAGAAAAAATATAGTTCTCTGTATCATAGCAAGATAGGACGTGAATTAAGAATTTCAGTTTGATGCAGTACTATCAACAAGGGGGGAAGGGGTTGGAAGTTGGCGATAGCATAGGGTCACGGTGTATCATTGCAGTTGTTTTTTAGGCTACGGTGGGCACCTCAGGCTGCCAGCCTTTGGGCACTGGATGGCATAAAAAAACATTTCAATACTGGACTCTGTGCTATCAATTGTTTGATCGCATTCAAATACCGAATGAACAAATTTAATTCATAATCAGACTAAACAACCTCTCCATCTTTAACAAACTCGTACACCCATCCAATAGTCATCCTGCGAGGATTAGTCAAAATGCAATCAATCGGGAAATCAAACATACTGGCTCCTCTTCGTATCAGCAAAATTTTCATGGTCGCCAACCAGATGCTCCTTGTACCAGGGATCCTGCTTCATCCGCTTATAGTCTTCAATATCCCGAAAGACTGCCTGGCTAAAGCAATCATAGTCTGTCACATTTGCAAATTGGGGGTCGAAGATTTCTCCCATCAGGGCTCGGGTGGCGCTGGTATTGTGGATCTGTGGAGTCAGCCGGTGTCCGAGACTTGCAGTTATTTCTCCCCGGCCTCACCTGTGTCCAGCGCACTATTCCGTATTTGACCATCAAATCTTTTGACATGGGCGCCGAGATCTGTGTCATGTGGTGCCGATAGTCCTCTTCACTCATTCCGGCCTTTCTGTAGCCGCAGATGGTTAGGCAGAGCAGCTTTTCAAGGGTTGGGGCCGAGGCTGGATTCTCTTGGGAAGCCATTCTGATGGTGTGGTATGATGTGGGGAACTGTCAGTGGAGCTGAACAAATGCAAATAATGGCATTTAAATATATTCAACCCGGGGATCTCTCCAAGTCGCGGAACCCGATCTCGCCTGGGCAGTACATCATGATCCCGAGCTGGAGGTCATTTTTTCAGGTTGAGCTTGGTCCGATTCTTGAAATCCGGAACTTCTTCAAGTTACGGAGGGAGACTAATCCCTGATAGTTTACGGATAGACATCCATGCTGAGTGTTGGTTTTAAGACAAATTCGAAGTTAACATCAAATATGATCTATCGATTTGTGGAGCGCAATGGATTCCTCACATGCGGTGATTCAGAGGAACAACTTGAATAAAATTTCAATCTAATGATAATGATAATAAAAGCACGAAACTATACTCGAATAGCGAACCATTTCTTGTTCCCACCTCGGAGCTCAAATGCTACCTGACCGTCTTCGGCGAGTTTCCTCAGAACCTCATCCATGAACGGTTCTAACGCTTGCTGCTTGACCTCATCACCGACACCTGCTCCGTACATTGTAGTGACTAGCTCTTTAACGGTAACGCTAGCCATTTTGCGCCCGTACTGTCGGTGGATCTCCGTCAATGTCCGTAAGATTTGCGCCTCCCGCCTCTTCTTCTGCGCCAGCTCCACGGCAATTTTGCCTTGGAGATCGGTAATGACAACACCGTGTGCGGGGTAGCCGATGGTGCATCCTTGGGCCTGCATCTTGTTCAACGATGACATGTACACGCCAAGCTCTTCCACAGCGCTGCTCCCGTGGCCTAGAATGTTATCGCCCGTGAACATTGCGTTTTCCTCCTCGAGTACAAAACACATGTGATCATGGGAGTGTCCTTGTGCATGAACTGCACGGATTGTAGCGCCCTCCACTGTAAATCTCTGCCCATCATAGATTGGCTGTTGGTTTCGTCCTGGCGTATTTTTGTAAATACTCTGGGATAGCTCCGGGTAGAGTCGAAGGAGGTCCGGAACACCCCCAGTATGGTCACCATGCCAGTGCGAGAGAAAGACATGAGACAGAGAGATGGAGTTATTGATCAGGGTAGATTCAATAAGATCTGCCCATTCTGGGATGCCCTGGGCTGTGTCGATAATCAGTCGCTGGGGGCCGGTCCCTACGATATACGTGTTTGTTCCTTGAAGAGTGAACTGGAATAGTCAATATCCATTTTTCCCAGAGTGATTGCAGTAAGACAGAATAAAATACCTTTCCTGGGTTTTGTCCCAGAACTCGCATCACACGAGGACTAAGTTGCTCAACATTGGCCAGTTCAGGTAGTCGAGCATGTTGTGTAAGGAGATAATGCTCAAAGGCTTCAATGTTGAGCGCCTTGTTGATTTGACGATAGCCTCCCTCACCCATGGTTGTGTATTGAAGTGTTTGAACTGATGAGAATGAAACTTGTCGAAAACCCTGGAGAGAGAAATGCCCTTGTCGACTAATCCTAGCAGCCCGATACGAGTTCCATGCTGACCCGACGCTAAACATCCCCGATGTCCCCTGAAACCCGAATGAACAACAGAGATCATCGCGCCCTCGGAGACCAGTGATATCTCGTTATCTGCGATTCCCGAGCCCGAAGTGTGGATCCGTGCTTCACCTATCGATTTGATGAATTTGTGTGAATACGCCAGCACTGTGTATGTACCGGGGTACATATATGTACATTGAGATGCCCCTGCTATCCCATATACAACATTCATTGGAACTTCAACAGGTTCAAGTTGTTCAGCACTCAACCGCGACATTGGAAAAGCTCCCACACTTCATTGTAATATCATATTCCAAGGTTCCCCTGTCCCTCGTGGATGACCATTCAACCTGGATTCTCGTTCGCATAGTTGGGACTCGGAATCCCTTCCCACAATGGAAGTTTTGACTCCAAGCTCAAGAGAAGTCCGCCCGATGAAGGTCATATACTTTAGCAATGAGTTTCCTGCAGATGATCTGCAGGAGCTGCTTAGAAGACTTCATAATCACAGCAAGAACGTCCAACATGATCTCTTGGCACGATTTATCTATGAGGCCACCTTAGCCGTCAGGGATGAGGTTCGCCAGCTATCTACACCATTACGGGCTTTGCTTCCAGCGTTTGAAACCGTTCTTGAACTGGCAAACTACAGCGAGCTGCGCAAAGGACCTCTGGGAGGATCGATTGAAGGTGTTCTTCTCAGTGTGGTACAGCTAGCCTCACTTATTGGGTAGGTCCATCAAATCAATCCAAGGTTCTCGTATTACCTATAGAACGTTTCTGATTTTGACACTTGCAGATATTACGAGAATGCACCTCACGAGTTTGACTATTCCACAGTCAGGACCTATGTCGCTGGACTAGGGATCGGACTCATGGTTACCGGTGCCATGGCATGTGCCAAGAATGTGACGGATCTTCCTTCTACTGGTGCACTAGCCATTCGATTAGCCTTTCGTCTTGGTGTTCTTGTCGATGAGGTCTCGTGCACTTTGCAGCCCCGAGACACCACCGGCTCCCCGGACAGCTGGGCATATGTGCTTCCAGATGTGACAGGCCCTGAAGTTCAGGCAGAGCTCGACACACTTCAAGCCAAGCAGTCAACACCCGAATCGAGTAAAATCTTCATCAGCGCCCTCAGTGCCACCTCAGTCACTATCAGTGGTCCACCTGCTAGACTCAAGGTTCTTTTCCGCAACGAAGATTACTTCCGGGACCGAAGATTTGTTGCTCTCCCTGTTTACAGTGGCCTTTGCCATGCCAACCATATTTACAAGGCCGATGATGTAGCTCGCGTTGTGACATCAGATATTTTATCTTGTGTGCCTTGCCCTGTCCTTCCGGTTCTGTCACCTAGCACGGGCAAAGCCTATGTCGCAACAACAGCCAAGGAACTATTCGGACAGATTGTCTCGGAGGTTCTCACCCAGCCAATTATCTGGGACAAAGTGATTCAGACACTCGTTGAGGAAGCTGAAGACCACAGCTCAATTGACTGCCAGCTCTTTGTTTTCCGCATGTCTCTTGCCAGCCGCGACCTTGTCACTGGGCTCACAGAAGCGAAAGTAGAGACATCGACTGAGGACATCATCTCATGGACAAAGCAACCCTCAACAATCCCAGCTACACCTCGAAGTCCTTCGCAGGCCAAGATTGCCATCGTTGGCATGTCCTGCCGTATGCCAGGAGGTGCTACCGACACAGAAAAGTTCTGGGATCTGTTAGAAGCTGGGTTGGATGTCCACCGAAAGGTCCCCGCCGATCGATTTGATATTGATACCCACTTTGATCCGGCAGGCAAACGTAACAACGCCAGTCACACAGAATACGGCTGCTTTATCGATGAGCCAGGTCTCTTCGATGCGGCATTTTTCAACATGTCTCCCCGTGAGGCTCAACAGACTGATCCGATGCAGCGTCTAGCTCTGGTGACAGCTTATGAGGCGCTGGAGCAGTCTGGTTATGTTGCCAATCGCACGGCAGCTACTAATCTGCATCGCATTGGAACCTTTTACGGTCAAGCTAGTGATGATTACCGAGAGGTAAACACTGCGCAGGAAATTAGCACGTATTTCATCACTGGCGGGTGTCGTGCATTTGGACCCGGTCGCATCAATTATTTCTTCAAATTTTCTGGGCCGAGCTACAGCATTGATACAGCTTGTTCATCGAGCTTAGCAACCATTCAGGTAAGTTATCTTTCTGCCTGGCGAACACAAAAACACACGCTGACTGTTTAGAACGCCTGCACGTCACTTTGGAATGGTGAAACCGATACAGTTGTCGCTGGTGGCATGAATGTGTTGACAAACTCGGACGCCTTCGCTGGTCTCAGTCACGGACACTTTTTAACCAAGACCCCCAATGCCTGCAAGACATGGGATGCCCAAGCCGATGGATATTGTCGTGCTGATGGTATCGGTTCCATTGTTATGAAGCGACTGGAAGATGCCGAGGCCGATAATGACAACATTCTCGGCGTTATCCTCGGTGCGGGTACCAACCACTCGGCCGAGGCTATCTCCATCACGCATCCCCATGCTGGCGCTCAAGCTTACCTATACCGCCAGGTATTGAGCCGCGCCGGTGTCGATCCGCTAGACGTGAGCTATGTTGAAATGCACGGCACCGGCACTCAAGCCGGCGATCTTGTTGAGATCTCGTCCATCAGTGAGGTATTCGCTCCGTCCGTCCGTCGTCGCACTACCAAACAGCCATTGCATATCGGCGCTGTTAAATCCAATGTCGGACATGGAGAGGCTGTGGCAGGTGTCACTGCTTTATTGAAGGTTCTCCTTATGATGCAGAAGGACCGCATTCCCCGCCATGTCGGAATTAAGAACGGAATTAACCCTGGATTCCCGAAAGATCTCGAGGCTCGCCAGCTGAAGATCCCCTTCGAGGCCCAGCCATGGCCTCGCTTGCCAGATAGACGACGTCTCGCAATCGTTAATAACTTTGGTGCTTCCGGCGGTAATAGTACCGTTGTCCTTGAGGATGCACCTATCCGTACTAAATCTGGGACCGACTCCCGTACCCTTCACCCTATCAGTATCTCGGCAAAAAGCAAGGCCTCCTTGAAAGGAAACCTGGAGAGGCTCCTGGCTTATCTCGATGCAAATCCGGATGCCTCTCTATCGGATCTCTCATACACAACTACTGCTCGCCGACACCACCACAATCAACGGGTGGCCGTCGCCAGCTCTGACCTTGCTCAGCTCAAGAAGCAGCTGAGCTCCAGTTTAGCATCGCTTGAGACACATAACCCCATCCCCACAACGGGGCCTCCGTCTATCGCCTTTGCTTTCACAGGACAAGGAGCATCTTTCAAGTCGATGCATATCGAGCTTTACCTGGAATGCCCCCCCTTACCGTGACCAGATTCAGCACTTGGACTCTCTTGCTCAGCGTCAGGGATTCCCATCCTTCATCCCAGCCTTGGATGGAAGCCACGATAAAGATCATTCCCACTCCCCTGTGGTCACACAGCTGGCTCTAGTCGCCACAGAAATTGCTCTCGCCGCCTATTGGGCGACTCTTGGTATTACCCCAAGCGTGGTCATCGGGCACAGCCTCGGCGAGTATGCCGCTCTGCATGTGGCTGGTGTACTTTCCGCCAGCGATGCCCTGTTCTTAGTGGGTTCTCGTGCGCGACTCCTAGAGCAGAAGTGCACAGTGGGTAGTCATCGCATGGTCGCAACACGAGCGTCACTGGAGACCATAGCTGAATATGTCACCTCACCCTACGAAATTGCGTGCATCAACGGACCTACTGACACGGTTCTCAGCGGTACACAAGCAGAGATGGATGAAGTTGCCACACAACTGTCTGCCAAGGGCCTTCGCTGCATCAACCTGGACGTTGCCTTTGCGTTCCATTCATCGCAGACAGACCCGGTTCTTGAGGACTATGAAACCTTAGCTGCGAATGCTGTCCTTTTCCAGACACCCACCCTGCCGATAGTGTCTCCTCTATTGGGCCGTGTTATCTTCGACGGGAAGAGTGTCAATGCATCATATGTCCGACGAGCCACCCGTGAGCCTGTTAACTTCCACTCTGCTTTGGAGTGTGCTCAGGACATGGATCTCATCGATGACACAACCGTCTGGGTAGAGATTGGACCTCACCCAGTCTGTCTCGGCTTCGTGAAAGCAACTCTTGAAAGCGTCTCCGTGGCGGTACCTTCATTGCGTCGTGGCGAGAATGCTTGGTGCACCATGGCACAGAGTTTGGTTGCTCTCCATAATGCCGGTATTCCCGTCGGATGGAGCGAGTACCATCGTCCGTTTGAGCGCGCCCTGTCTCTTCTGAACTTGCCGGCTTACAGCTGGAACAACAAGAATTACTGGATTATGTACAATGGTGATTGGGCTCTCACAAAGGGAAACACTTGCTATGATGCCGAAAAGAAGGCAATCCAGACCTCTGTTGCTCCTGCAGCTTTCATCACATCGACAGTCCAGCAGATTGTTGAAGAGACTATCGAAGGAGCAGCCGGTCAGATAGTCATGGAGTCGGACATGATGCAGACTGAATTCTTGGAGGCGGCTAATGGACATCGTATGAATGACTGTGGTGTTGTTACATCGGTGAGTATTCTTTTATCTGTCATGTTATACGTGATAAGAATAAGCTGACAAAAAGCTAGTCTATCCACGCCGACATTGTCTTTACACTTGGTCGTTATCTCCTGAAGAAAATGCGGCCTGATATCAAAGACCCGCATATGAACATTGCGAACCTAGAGGTACTGCAAGGACTTGTCGCAAACAAGGATCGCAGCAAGCCACAGCGTATTCGCGTTTCCGCCGCCACCTCTGATATCAACTCGGGAGTTGTCAGTCTCCACTGGTACAACCTGAGCAAAGAGGACGGTGACGCGTTCGCCAGTGCAACACTCTTTTTCGAAGACGCGAACGTATGGAAGACTTCGTGGTCTCCACTGGCGCATCTGATCAACAGTCGCATTGAGGAGCTCAGCCGTTTGGCGGAGTGTGGCCAGGCAACTCGATTCTCACATAACATGGCATACCAACTCTTTGCTCACAATCTGGTCGACTATGCACAGCAATACCGAGGCATGAAGTCGGTGGTGCTGCACGGCTTTGAGGCGTATGCTGATGTGGTTCTGGCCAATAATGACCATGGGTCATGGACTGTGCCACCTTTCTACATCGACAGTGTTGCCCATCTGGCAGGTTTTATCATGAACGTCTCAGATGCCATGGATACCAAGAACAACTTCTGTGTCACTCCTGGTTGGAAGACTTTGCGTTTTGCTTGTTCCCTTGTGGCAGGTGCTTCTTACCGTTCTTATGTCAAAATGATTCCAACAGTCGAGGATCCCTCCGTGTATCTTGGTGATGTATATATTCTCCAAGAAGGTGTCATTGTTGGCATGGTCGGCAGTATCAAGTTCAGAAGGTACCCGCGCATCCTGCTTAATCGCTTCTTCTCAGCTCCCGATGCAGGAGCATCATCTTCATCTACATCAACCGTGGCAAAGGCTGTCAAGCCAGCTGCTTTACCTGCGCCAGTCTCTGCACCCAGTATTATAGCAACTGCAGCTTTTGGACTACCACCTCCACCTACTGCTCCAGCTGCCTCCACAGTGGCTCCGGCTCCGGTTCAAGAGACAGTGAAACCAACGGTGGCGCCAGCACCCGTAGCCGCAAATGCCGCCCCAGTCAATCTTGACAGTACCACCACAAAGGCGATTGCCCTTATCGCCAAAGAAGGTGGTCTCGATTCCGCCGATATGCCGGATGATGCCCTTTTTGTCAACCTGGGTGTTGACAGTCTTATGAGTTTGGTGATTTCGGAGAAATTCCGTGACGAGCTGGGTATCACTGTTAGTGGTAGTCTGTTCCTGGAGTATCCGACTATTGGAGATTTGCGAGCGTGGTTGATGGAGTATTACAACTAATTTTTATCGCGTCTGATTTTAATTGTTTGAGTTAAATTGATTTAGTAGTATATCATGACTTGACGATTTCAATTTTACAATCATCTCGGTTTGAAATAATATCATGACAAATCACTCGTACAACATGGTTCTATCTCAGGCTATTCAAATGTTCTCATCCTATACACAGGTTTTCAAGGTTATCATGTACTAAGATATACATATAAAAAAGTAATGTCTGCACTAAAGCCTATCTCACAATAGAGATAATACCTAGTTGATACATGATTTACACGATGATAAAACATTGCAAGTTAAGCCATAATTCAAATATTCCAGTATAGACAGCTCAGTGCTCAAAAGTCCATTCCAGAGTCAAAGGAGTCAACTGGTATGTTTGTGCCTGAAAATTCTGGCCTGAATGTCGTTTCTCAGTTATTAACGTAATTCCCAAGCGAGTGGGTCACCTACCGCCTATTACACTACTTCAAATAAATTATTAACCACCATAACGCCAATTTATTCAAATAATTATCTAAATATCACAGTTATTTGATCTATGTCCTTCTCCGCACTTACGGCATGTCGGTAGCTTTCTCCTAGATGGTTGAGGTGGTAAAACAGGTGCTCTCCGCGGTGGTACGGGAGGGGCAACTGGCGCTTCAACCACTCGTAGAGCCTGTTGTATAGCCTCCTGGGCCTCTTGAACTGCCATTGCACCCTCATTTGGTATCTGCCTAGTAGACCGTTGGCGCTTCTGTTTCTGCTTCTCATGGGCAGCGTGTAGTTTGCGTGTTTCAACCTCTAATAAAGCTGTTGAATACATCTGAATTTCACAGGCTTTAAGAACTTGATCGATGTGCTGTTTGAGTGGGCTTGGAGGGGTCCTTAAGTGTTGTTCTAGGAGAGCTTTGATTGAACTAGCTTGCCGTTGAAGCTGGATAAGGTTCTAGGGTGTCTTTGGTGAAAATTGGCTTGATTGACTAGTAGGGCGGCTCCCTGGGGGTGTAGGTGTTTGAAGAAGAATATTAAGTTTAGATAGTACCTGTTCTGGATTATATGGTATTAATCTAGTTACTGTAAAGCTGTTTTGAATAGTTTAAGCTTAGAAAGCTTCTTTATGAGTGATTGGATAAGCTTTAAGAAAATCAAGCTTATTAATATAGTTAAAACCAAGCCGTATTTTGTTCTTAATAAGCTGTCCATAAGTATATTTAAGAGGCACAAAACATCTAACATTAAGTGGCTGATAGAGATAGGATGAATAAGCTAATATATAAATTAGAATAATATTATTCTCTTTGTAAATCTGATTAAATTAGGGTGTTAGATGGCTTCCATAGCCATCAAGAATTAAAAGTCAATATTTCCTAAGTGTACATTTAGTTATTCCTAGAATAAAGTGCTTTTAAAGCCATTAAACTCCAATTTCATTAATTATCAATCTATTCAGACTAAATTTAAATCGCCAGTGAAGTGGAAGGCTCTTAAACCAGCCCTGAATAAGAACTTTACCTTTGAAAATAATCACTAATGGAAGGACCCATCTAGATCTACTAATAGTTTCAATAGCTGTTACCTATTCACAATTTCCAGGCTGTAAAAGTACTTGCTGACTGTAATGAACTTGTCAGATTAGGGTGACACCTGTGGGCTAGGCGAGATATACTAAGGAGAGCACGAGGGGGGTAGTTCACTTAGATACAGCGACTAACACTTGAGGAGTGTAAGTCGGACCCTACAGGAATCCCCCTCTATGTGTGGCCGGACTTGGTGCCGAATCCCGTAGACAGTACGGCAATAGATCTGCATGATCCTCAATATAGTGTTTCCTTTGTCTTCCTTGACACTGACCATAGAATTTAGAGTATATAACAACTTTAGTAGTTACTATAAGCCCTATTGTGAATCCAGTCTTATCAAAGTTATAAATATCCTCTGAAAGAATACCATTCTCTTGAATTATCTGAAAAATAAGATTAAACAACTGTGATCGTAGATGGTAAAAGGGCATGTTTGATTAAGTATAGAATATGAGTAGTTTATATACAATCAAACATGATGACATCAGGTGATGTGCGATCATAACCGTAACATGATGTAAGCAAGGAAAGATACATGGTTAATCTTAGGGCGAATATCACACCACTCTTGAACCATTTTTGGATCCTCTGTCTTCACACGCTTATAATTATATTGTCAAGAAAAACGGTTAGTAAGCTCTAAATGTCGTTTAACAAAGTTTGTAACCCAATTCTTGCTAATAGTTTGAGGGGGGGGGTCTGGCCATACGCTGTGAGTAGAATATTGGCCATTTCTTGGATAGTAGCTAGGCGGGGCAGCTCCACGTATATCCATAGATATCACCCATTGGAGAAGTAAATTCTCTTCGTTTTCGCTTAGTTTATGATTGTTTGCGCGATATTCGGAGCGATTGGGATGGCCGGCGAGGCGGCGCTGTAAAGTGGCGCGAGGTATATTAAATTGGCGTGCAGCTTCACGGATAGAGGTAATTTGATCGTTTTTAATAACCTGTATGGCAAGTAGTATTTGGCCCTCTTGACTGCCATTTTTTTCGGGCCGAAACAGTACGTTTTGGTGGCATGGTAGGTGGTTGAAGATGGTTAGACGCGTTCATGACGCGATTCTTTGGTTGGGTGGCCCGCTCGCTTGGGAATTACGTTATAGGGGTAAATTTGGGAGTCCAGATAACCATCCGCATCCTAGTAGCTCAGCGGGCTATCGTGTCTGTCCCGATTTGATTTGATACTATGATACCATAAGACTAGAATGCTGGGACTGAGGGTTGTCAAGCAGCATCAGCGAGCGTGAGACTTGCCTAAGTGGAACACCACCGTGAGAAAGCATGCAGCGGACTATGTGAAAGACTTCTGCGGAGCCTTTTTCTTTTTGCTCTTTCTCCCTATAGTACTCTTATATTTCTATCTATTCTATTAGATTTGTTATGATTTTTTGAAAGTTGAAGCTTTCATCGTTTTCTCATATCGACGCCTCACTTGGGAAAAACATCACGAAATTCAAAAGTCGGGGGTTCGAGACCGGCTCCCCTCATCCTTTTTGGTCAAACACTCTAAGTTTATTTAATGTTCAATATTTTTATTCATAGTTTCTAGGTTTAAACTATGAATTCTGTAGTGGAAAGAGATCAATACATGATTGAATATTTGAAGGGTCTATTCATAAATTCACCAACTTAAAGTTTTACTGCTCATGTTGGAATCTTTCTACTCCGTGCTACATAGTAGCTAGGCCCGCTGATAGTGCTCCGCACTCTAGTATGTGAATTCAAAAGCTACTAGATGACTCCTTGGTGCAATTCTAGTACTATGATACAGAGGACCCTGAAGGTAACGGAAAATATTTCCAAGGTTTGAAAGGATCTTCTGCATCACAAAATGAGCGATCAGTGACGCTATCAGCTGGATTGACTGGAAAACCTGATATGATATACGAACCTGAAATAGCCTGCTGTGGCAGAGTGCGACCCATGGAAACCAGCCGAGAGCCCTGAAGGAATCCGACAGACCATCACATTGTCCGTGGCGAATGACTGACTCATGCCTGATGCTTTATGACGAAGCATCCTTATCAGTGAGAACACATTGTCGATGATATTGGAACTTTGATCGTGCACACCACGGCCATCCCTCCACCCGACAGTCCGCCGATCCGCGTCTGCAATCTGCAATTTCGTTTCCACCGCAGCAGCCGATGTCAACCGATCTCGTCGAGGAGCTGCCTAGGCGCCTAGGCATCTTTGGCAAATGGCTCTTCAAGAAAATCCCGGACCTTCCGTTATGCATTGGCATATGCAAATTTAATATGCTGTGGTCACCCCCTTGCGTCGGCCGGAGGTGTCAGATGCGGAAAGAACTGAGTGGATGTAATTAGGGTCATGGCAGGTTTGTCGGCACGTCTCGGTCCTGTGAAGAATAAATTGGCCCTGCGAAATCAGCTTGGGAATCAAGACCACGCTATTGTCGCGTCACTCGTCCGTTGAACTACGTAAAAAAGTGACCTGGCGCTGGGTGAATCCATTCTTTCATAATCCCCACTCTGTGGCCATCAGGCATGGCGACGAAACTGGCTTTGGATCTTCCAATGTCGGGAATTGGAACATGTTGTTCAAGAGAGATACACCAGCGAGGAGAAGGGGAGTCGAACTTGGGAAGGAGAGAATACCTCACTCTGACATTTGACAAAAGAGATTATGACGTATTCCCGTCAATTACGGATTAGCGTGGAAAAGGCGGGCCGGGACGTCCCGGTACTGAAACCATGGAACCATGGAACTATGTAAAAGTTTGAAACGCGACGTTTGATTGTCCTCGATATTTTCTATATCGGGAATCTCGTCAAAGAGATAATTCCAAGGCTAGTGCATGCAAGCTACTGCCGGGTTATCTATGCCCCGACACAGCCCCTGCTCAATATCTGCCAAGATGCCAAGAGTCCATGCTGATCATTACCTGGTGTCACTATTCATTGCGGACCTGGCAGCCATAGTGACTAGCCGTTTGGTTTGAATTCGATCTTGAAGAAGGTTCAATAGGGCTTCAACTCACATTTTGGCTGTGGTGATCTTTATAAAGTGAGAGCCCCCATCTCCCCACTCCTTTCCCCTCTTTCGGGCTCCGACGATGTGTCCGAGAGCACATGCGCAGTGTCGCTATCCGGCGGGGGCTAGTTGAACGTGAAAAGTCAAGTTTTTCATGGCTGTCATGATATATCTACTACACTGCCAAGTTGACATTGGCAATTAGGAGTGAGGAACTATGGACAGATTCGAGGGACACGCTCGTCAACTCTCTGACGCAGCCCAAGCTCTAGCCACATATTGCAAGTTACTCCATGGTCAGCCCTTTGTCTCCGCAAATGCACCATCGGAAATCCAGCAGGCGCGACAATCGATACTCAGCAGCATCACCCAGATCCAGACTCTCCTCAACGAGCCGGCAGACTTTCTCCAACAACTGGCCATAAAGGTTGCTTTCTCTTCTCTCCTTCCAATCCGGGCCTCCCTGAAGTTCTAACGATACGCAGAACCAATATCTTGCATGCATCCATTGGCTGGGTGAATTTCAGGTCCTTGCCTGCATCCCCCTATCCCACAGTGTCCCATTCGAAGATGTGGCTGAATTGGCCGGCATTCCCGAGCCGCATCTACGTCGAGTCGTCCGTATGTTAGCGACGACGGGATTTCTGCAAGAGCCCGAGCCGGATCACGTTGCGCATAGTACAATTTCATCACAGTTTGTCACGCGACCCTCATACCTCGATGCGGCGATGTTCCTTGCGGAGACGGCCGCCCCAGCTGCGCTGCAGATGCCCGCTGCCAGTCGCGACCCCGCCCAGGCGTCTTTCCCGATGATTACCGCTGCTGCACCGCAGCCTAAGGTCCGACGCCAGTGGCAAGCCTATTTACAGTATGGGTTGGGCCACTCCGATTCCAATATAGGAGAGCTCTTGGAGCAATTTGATTGGGTGGGTTTAGAGGGTGGAACTGTTGTGACGGTATTTCGCTCTCCGTAATCCCCCTTGCAGTCGGGGTCCTTTTGCCTACGCCGAGACCTATGTAGAGTGCTGGATGCCTGAAAGAATCTGAAGACTGACAGTTTTAGACCGGAGCCCGCGCCATTCCCGTGGTTCGCAATCTAGCAGATCGATATCCGACACTCGGACAACTTATTCTCCAGAGCGATGGTGATCTCCAGCCTAATGGGACATCCCCTCGTGTATCCTTCCAAAAGCGATGTCTTGGCTCATTGCAGAATGTTCCCGACGCGGATGTCTACGTGATTGGCCTTCCATCACCATCGCTTGCCCTCCCTGTCTCGGCCATTCTCGATCAGATAGCATCTGAGCTACGCGCCCATCTACATATTCTGCGGTCTGACCGACGGCCTGCAATTTTGCTCCTCGCAACTCGACCCATGTCCGATCATATTCCGGGGACCGACTCAGCGGGTGAGCTCATTACTCGGCTGCACGACTTGTCCCTTCTGCAGCTCGCCAATGAGCGGGCAATGGAGATGACCGAGTTAATGCATGTTGTCAACGGGATTGGGGATACAGCAGGCTGTCTTGGAGTGGTGCGCCGGATAACTATCCCTCATATTACGGATGCGTTGCTAGAAGTGCGATATCATGCGTATGCTAGCGACCAATAGTTTCACTCTTCTTTCAAACTACATATACCATACACCATGTACCTTCTCTTGGCTTATAAAAAATATTTTCATCACAGCATAGAATGCATAGATTCAAAGATCTTTATCAAGTCGCAGACCGTGACCGTTTACATACTATGCATACTAATAAAAGCAGCTCGAGTGCCGGGAAGACTAACAGTTGACTAGTCATTGAGTGATTCATTAAAAGAATTTGAAGATTCGTATATAGTATATTCTAACCTGACCCACATAGTGAAAAACAGACATCCCAAATTTGAGTTGAATGAGTCTAAGTCCCCTTGAAAATCATCTCTTCAGAATATCAATAATCTCCAACGATAACGCCCGAATCCGCTTTCTCAAGTCTAGCTCTAACTGATGCAGAACCGCCGACGAGAACGGCTGGTCCCCAGTATTATCGTCCGTTTTATACCGCCCCACCTTTGCAGAAAGTGCGTTGACAAGCTTTTGCACACGGTGTAATTCACTAAACACAGATTGTGCCGTCAAACGCGCGGGATCCTCTATAAGCGATCCCAAAGAATGCAAATCATTCCTTGTTAAATCCGAGTTCAACCCCCTTGCGGCAGTGCCATACCAACTCATCACTTTGAAGGCCGCCATAAACACCATAACTAGTAAGAATCCATCATTCGCACATGAGCAGTGAAGGGTTTGTGTGATAGCGTCGACAGTCCGGGCATTGGTGGCCACGATGGATTCCGTTGTGGGGTCTTGTTTATATGACGGCGAGATATGTATTCGTGTACAGCTTGCTGGGTGAGGGGGTATTAATTGGCGAAACAAGTCCAGAGAAGCTGCAAGACAGCCGCATGGCCACTCATTTTGGTTGAATCGTTCGTTCGTCAAATCACTTAGGTTGGGGTAGGTCGTTGATAACGAGTCGTTCGGGATAGCAGCAAATTTGTCCGCAGAGAGGAATGAAGCTTCAAGATAACTTCCATTGGCGCTCCCCTGTGCCGACAAATTGGAAGATGCAAGCAGGCTATCTGAGGAATCGAGGAGGGGAAACGAGCTGGGTGAGCCCAAGAAGGAGTCAAAGTCGACCGTCAAGTTCGTTAGGTCGGCTAACTGATCCGAGCTAAATTCATCTAACCTCGGAATTGGAGTACCCGACACCGACCACTCGGGGGTATACAGGGGCGTGCGCTGAGGTGAATTGCTAGATGTAGTACCGCTTCGGGGCCGAGCCTTGTCGTGCTTACGTCCGGCACGACGAGTGACAAGATACTCGCAGACCAAACCCCGTTTCGCACAGCGAAGACATGTTGGTTTTTCCCGGTTGCATTTGACCTTGGACGCCGAGCAAGCATTGCAGCTGTCCCGCAGCTTGGGACGACCTGGGATGGGAGCGGTTGGATTAGACGCCATGGTGGTTGGTGAGGAAGAAGGAGCATAGATGGACTCGGATGATTCCTCTAGAGATCTGGGCATATGCTATCACTTGACAGAGATACCAAGTGTATCTGAGTCTAAACTAGAGTTTTGGCATGTCGTAAAAACCTTGGAAAGGCTCTTTTTACCCGCCAATACATAAGAGGATATGAAATCCGATAATCATCACGGACAGTGCATCGATAGGTGCATCATAGTTGGTAAAAGGATATTGTGACCCCGCTAAGAGGGTGTTAAATCAAAATAAAACAAGCAGGGCTGACATCTTATTTGTTAAATTGTATTGCAATGCGTAATACATCAGAAGAACAATGCTTCATGCCTAAGATACAGGGATCCTGGCCTCCATGTATGCGCCCTGGAAGCAACGTGTGCCCACATGTGCAGATTACCAGCTCTCCACACTTTTCCAGGTTGAACGAGCAAATCCCGCCAGTGAGAATGCATATACGACATTTTGAATATGTATAACATAGAGCAATTATATAACTGGCAGAAAATGACCGTGAATAAACGAGCAGTCAGAAAGTCATCCAAATAATACATTGTCTTAGTACCCCTCAGTGATGTGGCAGTGGACAATTGTCAAGCGCTGCACCTTTTACGACCGGGCAGCGCAAGCGTACCTGAGATCTTCTGGTTCACCTTGCCCAGTCGAAAATCTGGAAATTATTTCCCTCGATCGTCACAAAATAGCTAGGATCTAGTACCTAGATGAATCAGATGTAAACTTTACAAATTCATAGCTATTGCTTGTCTATTAATGCTAGTAGTATGCGTCCTATCCTTGATGAGGTACCGGATGCTGTTGTTGCGTATGATGAGAACTTTATTCCGTACTCTTCGAGACTCTGAAGGTTTCAATTGTTTGAAACGTAGTAATTAATAATCTCTAAATTGCGACTTTAGAGTGAAGATTAACCCTCAATGTGGATTTGAATGAGGCATAGTAACTTGAACTGATGATGATCAATAGGACAGAACTGCGGAGTGCCACCCTGGCAAAGAATGAAAACGCATATCTCACTAAATATCATGTCAAATTGCGAGTGGAAGAACCAAATCGGGTTATCGAGTTTGTATTGAAATAACGCAATTGTTCAACCTTGAGAGTAAAGAGGGGAATAAAAACGTTCAGCCAGCCATCTCCTTCAAAGATGGTTCAAACAGGTGTTGAAAAGTTTAGGAGACCACTAGAAAAGTGGAGTCCATTCTTCCGCATCGTACTGGCTGCCTCATTCGAGTTTTGAAACATTTTTAAATAGGGAGAACGTCTTTGGCATGACGATAGCTGTGAGTGAGTGGAATAATCCGCAGAACATACGGCATGCGATCCCCACGGCGGCCCGAATGGATGAAAGAAGGCGAGAAAACATCCTTGATGTACAAGATAAGATATTTCATCCAAACGGACTATTTCTAGACTTCCGCGCATCGCAGATCGTGAGGATTTTCGCCACCTTAGCAGTTGAACTCGGAGGCTCCCTCGGTGCTAGGGGTTTGTACAGGCCGAGCACTTGAGAGTACATACAGGAATCAGGGAACCATCCCATGTTTCTTTTTGTTAACCTCAATCAAACGCCACAAGAGGCATGAATGGCAAGTGAGCCATTAAATTATCTCCGATCAAATGGGACCACGAGTTGATGTCAGAATTCTATCTTCAACCACTCACGTGCTATTATTTAAATCGGACTGAATTGGGGACGAAGTAGACGCGTCAACCCTGAAATAACTCAAACCTGCATGAGGAAGCATAAACTATTGAAATTGCTTCTTCCAAAAGACACCTGGCATTGACCTAGCATCCATACCGCAAAGGATCACATAAAATTGAATATCTGAACTGCCAAGGATAAAGCGAGGCTGATGCAAATTCTATGGAGTCATGTTTACACTTATTGGGACCGACTACCCGGATAAGCCTCAGCGTTGTTTAGGTGATAGATTTAAGGCTAATAATGTTCTTTGCTTTCGTATCAGGTAGCGCTGGCAATCTGCCCAAGTACCCGTGAACGATCCCGAGTTCGGATTCCGAAACGCGAGAGAGGCTGGCAGTATGAGACAGATGCAGCCACCCCGGTCGCCCGTGCATCACCGGGAAAAGCCGAATCCTGCTCGGGTAATTTTTCTTAGATTATAGATTTCAGAGCACGTTCAAGTTTTGGCTTGTGGTTCTACATTCTTCAATTGGAGATCACTTGCATGAACGCTCCCGCAATATGACACTACTAGTGGTACTAGTAGGTCTTGATAACGAGATTCCTCGGACAAATGCACATGGGTAAGATGGGAATAAGTTAAGACCCGCTATTGAGATTAAGATACATAGTTCTGGGCACTAGGAACAGGAAAATTCTGCACTATCGCGCCAATATGCTGGCTGCACATTGAACGAAGGAGGCCAAGCTCTTGAGACTTCAGGTTCGTATAGAAGGCCTACAGTCACGATGAGTTTACACACATTGCCAGCCCCACAGTCGGACAACGGAAGATCCGGGCTTGGAAGAGACGATGTCGATCTGCCGAGATCTCACTCCTGAGTGGGGGTATTATACAACCCAGTGGGGCCGTCCAATCTTCACGGTGTGACCTGGCCTCTCTCATGCTAGCACTCCCCTTGGCAGTCCTGGAAGTACACCTCGGGAGTCTGTCACGAGTCCTTGACGCGACCGATAGATACCTTAAAATATTCCTGGATGTGTCAATATTGCTGTTCTCTTCATCTTGGATGGATGATCAAAATAGTTCGCTTGCAATGACCAGTGAGTTTAATCATATCATAAATTGCAACCGTTGCAGCTATTAACGTAGTTCCCGGCCGACCGGAACAACCGGCCGTGCGGAACACCCCATCGAAAAATCGCGTCTTTCAACCATCCTCCCTAATTCAAACACCTACCATGCCACCAATTCGTAACTTTCCGGCTGGAAAAAATATCAATCAAGAGGGCAAGGTCCTATTAGCCCTTGACGATATCGAAAATGGCCGTGTCACGTCTCTCCGTGCTGCAGCGAAGCTATACGAAATACCACTTATCACACTACACGCACGTGCCAAAGGCCGAACCTCACGCGTTGATAAACGCCCATCTGGTCATAAACTGACCCAGCTAGAAGAGGATTTACTTACTGAATGGGTTATCTCTATGGATACACGTGGTGCAGCGCCTAGGCCAGCTGCTGTACGTGATATGGCCAATATTCTATTAGCTGCACGCGGTAGCGACCCCCCCACCTACCGTTGGCAAGAATTGGCCATCAACCTTCATAAATCGACGTGAAGAGATTCGGACATGCTTCTCTAGGCGATATGACTATCAACGTGCCCAAAACGAGGATCCTAAGTCTATACGGGAGTGGTTTACATCTGTACAGCGTGTTATTGATGAGAATGGTATTCAACCTGAGGATATTTATAACTTTGATGAGACAGGCTTTGCAATGGGTCTTATTTCAGCACAGAAGGTTGTAATACGAAAAGAATACTACGGTCGGCGATCCATTTTACAACCTGGAAACCGTGAATGGGTGACGGCAATTGAAGCTATCTGTGCAGATGGCTATTCGTTACCACCATGTGTGATTTTTAAGGGAAAGGTTGCTATCGCTAGCTGGTTCGATAACCTTCCAAAAGATTGGCGATTCGAAGTCTCAGCTAATGGCTGGACTACTGATGAGATTGGTTTACGATGGCTAGAAAAGCTATTTATCCCATCAACAAATTCACATGTCCGTGGTCGTTTTCGGCTATTGATTCTTGATGGCCATGGAAGCCATCTCACACCCCAATTTGACCGAATCTGTGCTGAAAACAATATTATCCCACTATGTATGCCTGCACATTCATCACATATTTTACAACCATTAGATCTTGGTTGTTTTGCAGTGTTAAAACGTACATATGGTCGTTTCATAAGCGATCTTGCACGTACAGGCTATAACCACATCGACAAGCTTGATTTCTTAACTGATTTCCAACGTGCCCGGCTAGAAGCTTTTCAGCCAAAGACTATCCAAAATAGCTTTTTAGCTACTGGATTAGTACCAATCGATGCTGAAAGAGTTCTTTCTAAATTGAATATTTCTCTTCGAACACCTACACCGCCAGATAGCCGACCAAGCAGCAGATCTAGTCAATTTACACCTAAAACACCTAGAACTGTGGTTCAGCTTCATAAACAAGCTTCGATGCTTAAAGGTCTTTTGAAACAGCGATCTAACAGCCCTCCAAGCCCATCAAAAGTCATGCTGGATCAGATCATCAAAGGCCACTCCATAGCACTACACAACACCGCGTTACTAGCGCATGAAAACGCCAATTTACGTGCAGCGAATGAGAAGAAACGACAGAAACGCAACCAATCAGCTAGACAGATACCATGTGAAGAGGGGCTGACCGTTGAAGAAGGCCTACAGCTACTTGCGCAGGTGGACTTACCTGTTGAAGCATCTATGGTCGAATCACACACCCAGGTTGAATTACCTATTCAGCCGAATCAGCCAGTCCCTAGGGCTCAGCCTAGGTGTATTGGATGTAGAGAGGTTGGACATAAGATCAATGTATGTAAAAATCGTATTTATAACTGAATTTATTGGTGTTGGGTTAAAATATTTGAATTTGAATTTGTCTAATGGTGGTAGGTGTTCCGCACGGCCGGGTGTTCCGGTCGGCCGGGAACTACGTTAGTTATCTAATCAGCCAGGCCGCTAACATAATTCCCGGTCGAGCGGCACACCCAGTCGAGCGGCACACCCAAAACACATAGTAAATGCGATAAATTACTACCGCATATCTCCACAACCATAAGCTATTTTTACTTGAATAATAAGGTATATACTTTTATAAAGCTTTCAAAACGATCAACCTCGGTCTTTAGTCATTTAGATGATTATTACGATGCTTTACCATAAAATACGACGTAATCTTGACATGGGTGCCCTAAATATATATATCTCTGTTGACACTTGCACTAATCTTTCTACACTTCACTAGTACGTTAGAAATGCTGTCTAGATTATGTGCCTCTGATACCTTATTATGAATAGATATGGTTGTGGAGATATTCGGTAGTAATTTATCGCATTTACTATGTGTTTTGGGGTGTGCCGCTCGACTGGGTGTGCCGCTCGACCGGGAATTACGCTACCAGTGGGAGATATATGAGGTGCAAATGTGAGAGCTTTACAAGAAAGTATCCCCTGAATAGGTCGGAGCGAGCCCTATTGAAGAGATCAGAAGATGTGATTGCCTCAGACAGCTGGAACCACAAGTCCACTAGTCATGGTGATCGTATGCGAGCTCTTTGCGCCAAATACCGACTGGTTTACTGTTTTGATCAATATGTACTGGAGGACGCTCCGACAAGTGGCTATACGGAACGTGTTTCTCTATCTGTTGGACAAGGAATTAGTCGACATCGGTTATCTCCAACTCCCCATCGGAATAATGGCCTGTAGCGATGCGAGCTACTGGTTTACTCGATTCCTCGGTTGCTTCGATGTCATAGCTACTCAAGCGGATGAGGGGTGGAGCGGAAAAATCCCGGGTCAAGGAGTGGAATGGTTTAACTGACATAAACTGGTATGGCTCTTTATCTAGCACCCAAATTCAATCTCCATGATGCAAGATACTAAACTTTCTTTTTCAGGCTGGCTACTATCATGGTACGGAGCGGATCAAACTTCGCATCCGTTGTTCGTGCGATTCAGGCTAGTGGTATTCTGAGTGATGTGCGCCAGGAGAAGTACGAGCGCTTCCAAGAGGACTTTTCATACGAGCCCGATATTGAGAAAGACCCGCACGATCGACTAGGAAGTCTTAACCCAGATGGAAGCACGCCCCCGGGACACAATGTCTTTGCGTTTTGGTTGCCCCACGGTCTTACCAATGATCACGACGTCCGTATTGAACGACTTTCCCGCTCCACTCAATGTGCGCACGATATCGAAGACGCATTTAGATAAGTCGAGAGTCCTCCTATCGGCGTGCTTATTATTGACTTTCAATCGGTCATGGAGCCGACACCTACCACGCAGGATGACTCTCATGTTGAAGACGTGTCCGATCTGCCAGGCATGGAGAACAGCATTGTTATCCGGGAACAAGATTGGCAAAACGGATCAAAAAATCAGGATTTGGGAACATTCTGAGGTGAAAACAGGGGGTCACCGGCAAAATAATTTGAAGCGAGAGGGAAACAACATTCAGACAAATGTGCACAACCGTCTAAACAACAGGCATATTTTTGATTTGGGGCTCACAACAGAAAATCGGGAAAAAAACGAGGGAAAAAGAAAAGAACAAAAAAGGGAAAAGAGATTTCCGCCTGAGGCTTTCATTTTGTCTTTGGAAACATGACTTCCAATATTGATACTACTAGGAGTAGCATTGAATGCATGGAATATCATTCATAAATCCGTATATACTACTAGATATAGTGTAATCGGCTAGATCTGCTACTATACACTCACTTTTTGAATGCAGGTGATATCCGTGTATTTAGATGGACCAGTTCAAGTTCGCCATGGTATCTAGGTGTGGGGCTAATATTCTGTTTCTCTTTTTGTTTGTGGTGGATAGTAGGGATAATGCAATAGAGAACCTTGGAAGATTGAACTATGCATATTTATTCCGAGGTTTACTCTTCGATGCCAGTGGTGGGGCTCTCGGCGTGGGCCTCAGCGGGAGCACATCCAGGGGCAAATCAGATGGGGAAGAAATATGGCGAGTCATGAACGGAAATCAAATACGTGCATCTCGTGAAGATAAATTCTCCAGTTCAAAGTTCATGTGACTTAAAGGTCCCGCACGAGAAAACCAGCCTTTTGAAATTCCATCGTCATCCCTGCCTTCCGTTCCTAAACGCGCTTACAGCCCCTCCATTCTTGGGGAACAGTGCCATCCAAGTTCAACAAGATATATTGATCATGCCCACGGAATACCTGGCCGGGCCTGAAGAGCCCGATGCCTTGAGCGAGCAGCAACAAGGACAACAGTCACGCCTCCCCACCTCTCAAGGGGAAGATCATCATACCTGGAAGAATCATACATGTGTGTACTGCGGGGTTCGAGCCCCGTTGACAGCCGATAAAGGAGGATTCAAGATCGACGTGGAGGAGTTACAAAGGGAGATTGCGCGGACAAAAAAGCTCGTCCAGTCGATTCTGGGGAATATTAAGAAAACCAACCATGTTATCTCTATTGGCGATTTCGATGATTCAACGACTACACGTGCGTCGACGAAGGGGAAAAAAGAGGAAGAAAAAGAATTGGCTTCAGATAAAGCTTCACACGTCGTCCCAGCGACAGCGGAACTTGAGCATGAATCGCATGAGGCTCAGACTCCGCATTTTGCTGAGGAAGGTGTGATTATAGAGCCACAAACCGAGGTTCATTCTTTAAGGGAAAATAGTACGAAGCTTGAAAAGGATTTGAGAGAAAGGCAGTCCAAGCACGAACATGAGAGACAAAATTGGAAGGAAAAAACAGCAAAACAAGAAGCCGACTCTCAGAGCCTCCACCATCAGCTCCAAGGGTACAGTGTCAAGCTACAGGATGCTGAATCAAGTTTGGAGAAGCTAAAGGATATCGTATCCAAAACAAAAGGAGGAATGAAATTGAAGCGAGGCTATCTTTGGTCTGGAAGCTGATAATAGAGCTTTCAAGAAAACAAACACCAAGCTCGATTATCAAATTCGTGGACAACGACTAGAAATCTAGTCTTTGACGCGGCGGCTCATAGCTGAAGAACAGGCAAATAAAGAATGGAAGTACAAGTACGTGGGGTCAATCTAGCCGGTTGCCTACTTTGCTACGTAGTGTTGGTTTCAATCCTTCCCCTGCACCAACCACCCAATTTGGTCTTGAATGCAGCTATCTTGCCTCACTTATTTGTGGCCTCACTTATTTGCGGGGAGTCCGAAAGATGGTACCAAATGGGCTGGCTGAGAAAAAATCTTAGGTACTTTTTACAACTGGCCTATCTTTTACTTTTTATGCAGCCTCGACGGCTATGCTACCCCTCCAACTTGGGCGATACCCAGACGGGTGCTGAAGTGAGGAGAATCCGCAAGTGCCTTGCATATATATTGTTGCTTCTCGTCTGGGCAGTCGCAGTACGACCGATTGTTTACCTCTCAGAACAATAAATCCAGCCCCGACGGATCTCCAGGTCTCCTAGTATACATTTGCCAAGAAGATCGACCCTACTAGTGTCCCCATGGCAGGTTTGTAAAAGCTCTCACCCATCCTTTCATTCAGCTCAATTCCCAAAATTTAATTTCTAACCCAGTAAAGAAGAAAATCCCCCCCCACAAGTACTGGAGATGGAGAAATCGATAGAGAAGAAAAGATTCAAGAACCCCCTCCAGTCGCAGATGCACCGGACGCTGGTTCCTTGAGTAGCAACGGAGCCAAATCTGAAGGAAACGCTAGCAGGCAGCCCAATGAGAAGGAAATCGAGCCTTCAGTATTGGACAAGGTCAAAAGCTTGAAGAAACAGACCACAAGTGTCAGTGGAAACCTTGTACCATTAATGCGCGATAAACTACGGTAATTGCAACGCGAGAAAGTCGAATGGGAGAAGGAACGGCGCGAACTGAAGGAATATATTGCTGATCTCGAGTCAGCTGTCACTGATGCTCATTCCCAGCTGAGCAAGATCAATGAGCTGCTGGCTTAACATCCAGGTTGAAGCAATCTCAAGCTGCCTGACGTTGTTATAACGAGGGGATTAGGTATGGTTACTATTGTATGGTCGGCGGCTAAACAGCTACGACCTCCTGTAAATAGCCGAAAGTCTCCAAATGTCACAGCTACCAGATTATACTCCGTATTTTTATAAATAAAAATTTTGTTGACCGTATTTCAGGCGCAGGATGGGTTAGATGATTCGTTGGACTTTGTTGGCTCCCGAGAGATCTGCATTATGCATGGCTGACGTGTTGATCAAAAGTCGCTGCAGACGGCCCGAGTGATATTAGTGGCTGATTCCAAGCGGAACTGCATTTGTTGCATCATGATGGTTTGCTAGCAACACGATGTGTTCTATGCCTTGAATACTTTTGGGCTGATCCGGAGTCAAGACTGTACTGGCCACGCACGGCCCCATTAGGAGAGCCGATCTTTTTAGAAGCTCTTTTCCACAGCTTTTTTATTTTGAAATTGATCCATTATAGGCAGACTGCTTTGGATCTGGAAAACATCTTGTATGATCAGAGCCACGAAAACGCGGAGCAGACGAATCAAGGGAGCCATGATTGCTAGTACAGTCAAGCCATACGCTCCACGCTCAAGAGTCTGGTTTTCGCGGGATTATTGGCAGAGACGCCAACATGCATTGCTAGTACCGCAGGTGTAATGCATGCTGCTGTCGCAGTCAAGGTGGCGACCCACATATCACTGTGGGGATATTACGGAGTACGTCTCAGTGAATTCCAAGTCGCGTTCGTACTGAATTAACACGAAATAGACGTCAAGTAGTCCTCAATTGTCTAGCTTCATCTGTTTGTTTGGATATTACTCTCAGAGCTTGCTGGAAATAGCTGCATTTGTTGCCTTTTCGACAGGTTGACCCCACAGGTACAGGAGAATGGCTTAGATCTTGATGTGCCCGACAGGAATTTCCCCACAACGGACGCATATAACTCATTCAGTCAGCTACACGACTCGTTGAAGCAGGGATCTGGTGGATTGGTGCTTGGGAAAGAACATGCCCGCCCATCAAAGATGATTCTGGATATCATTTACTAGTAATAGTTACACCCCGTTTTGTCATCTTGGCTTGGCTTCCAAGGTTCTTATCCGGCCCTCAGACTTCTTTTTTTCTTTCTTCTTATCCTGATCGCCCAAGCAGTTGTTTCAATGAGCTATTCTAACATTACTCTCCAAACCTTTGATCACTTCAATACTTGTGAATAAATCGTCAAAAATTTTAATTCTTCCATTCTATCCTCGACCTGTGATACGCTCTGCAAAATATCAACAACTCTTGGTATGTTCCGTGTACATAGACTACCTCTACCGAGTCAAGTTTCCCCTATTCTGCCATTATGAACAGCCGTGAATATGGCTTCAATTCAGTATACAGTCGGGAAAGTCAAAGTGGCCAGAAGATCAAGTTGCAATCCTGAAAATGATTAAAGAATGGGATTTCTGACCGCTTGCAATAGTATTGTGGCCATTCATGGATTGGATACTAGGTCGCCGGAAACATGGACGTTCATCAAAGAGAATGGAACCTCCATAAACCGGCTGGAAAAGATTCTACCCAACGCTTGCAAAAACGCCAACATCTACACCTACGACTGGCAGGCAAATTTCCGGAAGGAGAGTTTGCAGGCGAGTTTGAGAGAGCATGCAAAGACTTTCCTAACACTACTTTGTGATAGTGAGCTTGCTAAATCTAATAATGAATCGTAGGGCCCCATTATCTTCATTGCTTCCTGCTTTGGAGGGTGACTATTGGCTGAGGTATTTTTTCTAACTTCTTGCAAATTTCCCAGCAACATTTTGAACACTAACCTCATTATTCGTTGTGTCTTCAAATTAAGGCAATATCCCGTGCTCAATTTCTAGGTCAACTCGAGTCTGAGAAATCAATGTTGCATTTTTTGAATGCAACATGTGGCATCCTTTTTCTTGGGACCCCGTTCAGAGGATCTGGCGCTGCTCGTGTGGCGCGATGGGCTGCTCATTTGAGTCAACCCTCTGGCAAACTGGCATCGTTGAAGCTTATCCGAATTCTGAAGCAAGAAAATGAGAAGCTGAATGAAGTGCGACCCAATTTACTCATTACTACAAGAGAGTTTCAAATTCCAATCTCTTACTATTACGAGTTGATAAAAACAAACTTGCTTAAGAAAGTCTTATCATCCTTCCTTATCCCTTGGACCCCCAGGATTTGGTCGTTTTTCTTCAAACCCATGCTCGTAAGACCAGAACTAATTCCATGTGACTTCTTACGTGGCATGACACTGATAGTTGAACAAGTTGGTTGAAAAGGGATCTGCTTCCCTGGATGACCCTAACGCTATCGGACTCGGAGTTAACCATGTACGCCTCAACAAGTTCGAGAGTGAAACTTCCCACAACTATCGCCTCGTCAAATCTGAGATTCTGAAACATCAGGAAGGTATAAGAAGCCTCATGGAGAGGCGTCATGAAGGTATGTCTGCGGCTAGGGGTATACTGGACGAGAATTAAGCATTGATAAAGTAATGACAACCACAAGCTTCCAAACAGCTCATTCACTTACCCCACCCTCAAAGTCCTCAGTTCGTTGGGCGGGTCGAATTTCTGAAGAGTTTGATCAATTCTATTTGCGCCAAACTCCTCCGGTGACAAGGACACACGAACGAGTATCTGGGGCCTTGAAGGGATTGGTAAAACGGAGGTTGCATTGGAAGCCGCGCATCAGCTTTTTAAAGTGGAAGATGACATTGGAAAACCAGTTTGGTCTATTTTTTGGGTTTCGGCCAGCACCGAAGAGAGTCTGAACGAGGATTATCGCGCTCTCGCTAGACGTCTCCATCTAAACATGGATTATGACAAGTTGAACGACAAAGACCTAAGGAAACGTGTGAATAAAAAGCTTGGTATGAGACCGACAGAGTGGCTCTTTGTTGTTGATGATGCCCGAGACTGGCTAAAAGACAAAGATTTTCCACAGGGCGCAATGATTATATACTTGTGACTGCTGGAGATCAGAGGGTGGCACAGGAGATGGGCAATGCTCGGAAACTGGAGAACTTCAACGAGCAGGAATCCCTCAACCTATTCAAGCAAGCATTCGAATCTAATTGTCAAGAGAAATTACGCTGAAGAACTAGTGAAGGACTATCTCAAGCTCCATCCCCTGGCTATCAAACTGGCATCGCAATACATAGCACGACAAGGCATCCGCATTAAGAAATACATCCAGACTTGGGATCTGGGCGACCAGGAGAGTAGCGATAACTGGGAAATCACACATATTGTGAAAAAGTGTTCGCTATCTCGATCAACAGAGTTACGTCCGAAGACCCTGATGTCTTTGCAGTTCTCGGAAGGATTGCATTCCTCGATCAGAAAAATATCCCCATATCGCTCCTGAAGGGACTGCAGGACAAGAAAGGTTCTCTGATCAGTTTAAAAAAAGTATTAGATGTGCTAGTATCCTACTCATTCATCACAAGGCGTCAGAATCCGGAGTCGACTCCAAACAGCACCGATTCAATCAATGTTCATGAGCTTGTCCAGCGTGCCATTAAAGATCGCTTGAAAAAGATGGAACTCATGACCAGAAAGTGACGGCAGAGGTCATTTCACTCGCAGAGCGGCTCAAGTTGCCAACTGCGCATACTAAGCACGAATGGAGCATGGAAATAGGTCATGTGAAGTCCGTTCTGCAACATGCGGAAAAGGCCTATCAAAGTGCAGAGATGAATTTTATGCTGCCCAGGATCTTCAAGTATGGAAAGCCTGGGTGGTATCTATATTATGTCGTTGGTCAGATGCATCTCTTGCTTGGCGACCAAGAACAGGCAGAGCACTATCACCAGAAGGTGTTGCACTTAGAACAACGAGATGTGACAGACAAATCTTTCCAAGCTCCTGTTTCGACTGAACATGTTAAGCGCATTCACGGGAAAGGAATAAACCAAAACGCGACTCTTAAGAGGTCGGACAATCCGTGCTTAGAAGACTACCTTTCCAAGCTCTCAAACGCACTGTCTCAAGCATCGGCACGTATAAGCAAGGGCTCCTACCTCGAAGCAGAAGAGCTACTCAGGAAAATATCCCAGGAAGCGCGAGAAGAATTGGGCAAAACTCACCCTCTTGCAATAACTGCTTTGATCCGTCTCAGTCAAACACAAAGTGTTCGAAGTTATTTCAAAGAAAGCGCAAAGACATTTGAAGAAATTCTCAATTTGCAAAGGGAAATGCTGCCAAAGAGCCACCAAGGACCACACAATATCTATCGTGGTATCTTCACAAGTCTAGAAACCTTAGCCTTCACCTATCAAAGTTACGGCGACTTTGTATCCGCCCAGGAGAGGCTAGAGCAAGCAATCAAAGTTCTGAACGATCATCTTAATAATCCTTGGGCTATAAATTCTTGCAAAAAACACTTGAGACTCGTGCTTCAACAACAGGGACGACAGAAAGAAGCCGAAGAGTTGAAGTGAGATACACTGACAGAAAAGAACATTTGAATTCTTGAGCATTTGAGAATGGCCATGAGAAAATGTGAAACGAGTTGATTAGACCATATTCTTACATCCTTCCCTGGCATTTGGTTGAAGCTTTATATCCATGAATTGGAGCGGGTGCCAGCCTCTCCCGAGGTCGTTCTCCTATCGAACCATTTTTGTTCCTTTCTCAATATTCACGGATAATACAACGTAACCGTACAATGTGCTTTTGGAAATTCTCGACTGGAGGAGAAAAAAATATAAAAACATACAACAGTCAGGATTCGCATGTGGTCACCCACCATACTACTAACTGACCGGCGTGTGGCTTAAGTATGGCTGAGCGGACGGGAAGCCCTGTTCTCCACACCCTGTGGTCGTATGTACTAAACAGTAGAAGACGAGGAATCATATTTCAACTAAAAAGATCATCTGGGTAGCACAAGCTCAGTCTGAAGCCCTACTAGTTAGTATCAAGCTATGAATACCTAATAAGTGTGGGACCCTGATGCATTTCCGTGTGCAAGGCTCAATTTTCTGATAAACTCGAAGGAAATATACACCTGCACTCGATACTCCATATATTCTAAGCGTCGCCATAGCAACGAAAACATGCCAGAGGTACAAGTGCCGACGAATCAATGATATGCGCAAACGCCACACTACAGTGGATTCCTTCTCCCTTTTCTGATCTGTAGTGCTCCTAAACCATCGAAAAGTGGCGTTTCGGTTCCAGATAATCAAGGGTACGGAATCGAAAAGCGCCTTAAATACATAAATTAAAAAGAAGAGAAAAGAAAAGGAAAGAAAAGGAATAGCGAAAAGGGATAACGAAAAATTGGGATATTTCTATTGAAGTAAAGTCGACTTTCGACTTCTCTAACATGAAACTACTCGGCCCCAACTGTTTTTAGGCATTAGCAATGAATTATATGTATGTATGGATGTATTTTCCTTCAGCTGACATTGCGTCCCTTGCTGTGGACCCCACAAGACCTCGGGACTTGTCTTGCCGCTTACGCTGAATCCACCAGTCTGTATATACGGAGACAAGACGTATGGCTGCCCATGTGGCTGAATGGGCTGAATCACCTGGGTGAGGAAACAGTTAAAGCAAAAGTTTAATCAGTTTACCACTCAGCCCTGGAGGCGTACATAGTACTTAAAGATCGCAGAACTCGTATCTTTGGACTCAGAGTCTTCACAGTACATACATCCAACTTTCTCCACTCAAAATTGCTGTGACAGCCTGAATCAAACACCACAATGCCACGACAGCACAAAGCTGATGCAGGTGATGTACATGACCCCTCCCTCTGTCAATCTTAGGCTCCATCCACTGATAATGATATGAGCGCTAGGACACCTATATCTGCGATACCGATGGCTACCGGCTGCAGGCGGGTTGCTACTACAGTATGCAGTTACCTGACGGGCGTGCCTTGTGTATGCTACCTCCTATGGACCCCACATATAACTACTATGGCTACGTGTGCTTCGGACCCTACCATTCTCTCGCCTTCTCTATCGACACCGAAAATTGGGCAAGTGGACAAGATGTGAAACCAAGAGTGAAAAAGCAGCCCCAAGATACCGAAGAACATGGCTTGTACTGGGGTGTCGAGGGGGTTGTTTGGCATTTGCTTAAAATGGCGATGGCTTTCCGTGCCAATCGCGCGTCGGGACGAACATTTCTCTGGATGCCCTGTTATGAGGGAGGTCTTAAACTGGGTGATACACCTTGCCTTGTTGACGAAAACTTCGGGGACAAGTATTATCCTTTGCTGCATGTAGACCGCCCCAGGGCCGACTCTGCCGCAGATGATAAACAGCTTCCAGAGGACTTCGAGGTGCAGTTTGTGTATCAAGGGGATATCGAATAGGTTTTTTGATCACTGGCAAATGTGCATGCTTGAAGAGGAGAGTACCTCCGAGGCTGTGGTCACCTAGCGCCCACGATTTCGGCGCCGGTGACTTGCCACTCGATTCAGTCCTCTTTAGGGCAGTCTGGGCAGATATTCCAACAACCTAAATCTTCAGCTTGCATAATAAAAGGGACACTTCCGCAACTTGAATAGGTTTTCGCACCAAAAACACTACCAGGACTTTTTATTCCCTTCCACAAGCTTGGAATATCATTTCTTCAAATTTCAGATTTCTCATAATAAGACCTATACTAATCATAAAACCGTTCTTCGCCTTTGATGGAATGGGGTAATCTTCTGCTTGCTTATCTAGTCCAGTCTGAACTTCTCTGGATCTGCCATCGCCCAAATATTGTATCTCTCGGATCGATGGTGGATTATCATGCAATTTGTTGAAAGAATTCGCATCTGTCAATCGAGAGATGGACTCTCCAGTCAATACTCCGGCTTTTTTAAGCTGAAAAGCCAAGATAGAGACTGTAGAACTCATGGCTGGTTTCTGGTTCTTATCTCTCAACCAAGGTTGCAATGTGCGGACTAGTTGATGTGGGCCACACGGATGAATGATAAATGCAACATTGGATATCTCTTTCTTGATTGAAGCTGCTTTAGACACCATTGAGGTGCGATGAGAGAGCACCATGACCAATGGATGATGGGCAGTGTGGTTAAGCAGATTAATATCATTTTCGTCGACCAGTATTACATCTGCGTCGGCAGCAGAGTCAGCAATCCGCATATCAAACCATTCAATCATGAAGCGTTCGATTGACCGAAGAGAAGGGGACAAATCTCAAGTGCTGTGTCAGACTGGATTTTTGTGATAAAAGACAGAGACATCCCGGCAAGTTGAGATCTTGAAATTTGTATATACGTAATTGCGCCCCACAACCTTTGAGGCATCGGCTTTTTGATACAACCCCTTCCAAGGTTCGGGGTGATCACCATCGCAACAATCTATACTGTCCATCGTGAACGATTGACTAGATCTTTTGAATGCTTTAGGGTATTAGGTCTGAATATCATCAAAATGAGGTTTTTTTTTCTTTGCAGGAATACCTTATCGCTGTAAGCTAGTAGTAGCCAGTGACGTTATTCAATGCATGGCCAAGGAGTCTAGATTCCGGTGGCTTGAGGTCTGGAATCTTGGAATTAGGCTATGTAATTCTATAATATTAAATATTGGTCTCAATATGATTCTTCATTTATCTTTAAAAATACCTAACTATACATATTGAAGCAACCTCGGTATATTGGGTGAGGCTCTAGCGCTTTATTCTTTTAGTGCACCTGTGAGGCTTGATGTTGGCGAATAGCAATATTGGGTGGCATTCACGTCAAATGTCCTCTCAACCAGGATTGTATCCATGTTAGAGATCTCAATTCCACTTAAGATGTTTTCAGAAGGCGTAACTTGAACTCCAACGTGATATGTGTTTGTGCGAAGGCGCAGCATATCGTCATGGATCAAGGTATGTGTGAGATTGATATCAGTCACCGCCGGCGGCAGGCTGCTATCCTTGTTTCCAGCGATACTGCCAGACATTGAAATTGCTTTGGAGCAGATCCCACTCAAGAGAGGATATATTGGTGGCATGCAAGCGCAGATGATTGCCACGTTAGCTTCAATAGAAGCCAGGGCTGATGTTCTTTCCGTATGCCCTACCCATTTTTAGAGACGATCAGCATTTGGTGTGATAGGTCAAGCGAGCTGAAGAACGGAAAACTCACGATTCAAATCGTCATTTTTTAAAATATTTGTGACTGTGAGAATCTGCAAGATTCCAATTCCTACCACACTATTCAAGTATAAACTTTGTTAGTTCGAGCTGTTATATCAATCAAGAAGGTAGGGCAACACTTACATAAATCCAAAGCCGAATAGAATTAGAAGACCAAGCTTTTGCTTTTTATGTAATGTGAGTCGCGGAATCATCATCAGTGGTAATACAAGGACAATAAGATGCGTCACGATTTGGATGACACCATTTGATAACCAAATCTGTTTTTGAGGAAAACAGTGTTTCGCCCGATCGTTTTGTGAGGACGTCCAAAACGCAGAGACGGGTGAACAGAAGAAGATAGCAGTGAAGACTATCCAGAGACCAGACAAAACAAGAATGATAGAGACTATCCAAATAAATATTTGGATCCAAGTTATGCGGAAAAGGCGCTTATAGAGGGCAAGGGCTGAGAGTTTTGTCATGATCAATGCCGAATGATAGAAGGGCAGGGAAAGCCATAGTAACTATCGAATTCTTTTAGTCTCAAGTATAACCGATGCTTTTTTGACATACTTGGAGTTGTGCCTTGTAATTTCTCTCGCTGATTTCGGTCTTTGGCAACCCTAGTCCATAATGAATTATAGCTATTCAGATTGATGTTAGAGCTGATCAAAGGAGAGGTATACTGAGAAAACTTACATACTGCTTTGCAAGTGCAAAATCCTATGTTGGCACCCTTGAAACCAGTCAGCTTCAGATAGACGCCCAACTTGCAGGGAAATGTCTTGGGGGTTGAGATACAAAGGCCAACCCAATCAGGATATCATCGGCACCGGTGCCCCGAAGCCTCAAACGAATATAGATCCGGATAGCGGTGAATATAGCAGAGAGGCAAGTGAAGGAAATCAATAATGATAGGTCTCCCATTTCTCAAACGATTTCCGCGAATATTTCAGGCACCGATATCATATACTTGAGGATCGGCAGGGATAATAAGAATACTAGTATGGGGTTTCCTTCTCAATTTGGAAGAGCGTCGTATGATCATTTAAAAATAGGATAATAGATGAACTCTTATCAAAAGGAATTTTAAGCAAGAGGTTGATGAATCTAAGTCAGTTGTATAAGCGAAATCTGACCTGGGCAGGACGGTGGTGGGCTTCCAAGGTTTGCAAGGTGGAGATAATCTGGCTACTAATTCTTGTGCCGTTAAAAGCATGACCAAGGGGCCTTCTGTTGAACCACATGGGATACCTATATTTGCCACTGGCAGTGGATAAAAACTTGAAATGTTGTTCAAAACCACGGTGGTAGTCGAAAAGACTATCTGAAATCTGAACGACTCAACACAACTCTAGACTACATCCGAGATAGAAGTACTTTCTAGGCATGAATAAATATGCATTGTACTGGTAATTCACTATCTCCCAGCTTGAATCATTGATGCCGAGCGGAAATGATGCTTAAGCTATTTGCTACTGGTATTCAATTGACACTACAAACAGGATATGCCCTTCGCCTTCCGTATTATTGATAGGGAATAAAAGCAGCTGTAAAAATCCAAAATTAACTTTAATAAAGAAAGTTTAGAATTACAGGTAAAAAGGCAAATGCCGCTCAAATCCCGATGCGTCATTTTCACGTTTTGTTGCGCTGGTATGTAGATCTATGACGAGTTGATCGGGGGGTGGAAACATTATTGAAATTTCTCGTCTTTCTATCCATCAACGAAAGAGCATCATCGGAAATATCCCATGGTATAAATTTCGTGGGCCATCAGTCTAGGAATCAATTGAGGTCGAAATTTCCTATTTCAAGATTTTGAATCTTCAATGTTTAAAAGGATAAAGTTGAATGGATGGAAGGTTTTGGTAATCGCCGCCCAGCTTCCGGGCCCTAAGACTGAATAAGGCGATCTATTGCTGCTAAAGGTCACACTACAGGCTAGAACCGCCAACAAAGCCATTGTTTAGGGCTCTTGCAAATTTGAACATTGTCTCCGGGCTATTAAATTTTTTAATTACTGTGCCTCCAAAAATACCTCGGCCCAAGATGCATTGTAGGGATCACAATCACATATAAACTGTACAGGTCAGCATGGGCTGAATTGACTGAATGGTCAGGCGGCAAGAGACAATTTCCGAACAAATAAAAAAAACGGGAGAACAAAAACATACAACAGTCAGGATTCGCATGTGGTCACCCACCATACTACTAACTGACCGGCGTGTGGCTTAAGTACGGCTGAGCGGACGGGAAGCCCTGTTCTCCACACCCTATGGTCGTATGTGCTTAGTTTGTCATTATTGTGGATAATATAACAATCCGATGATGGAAAACGGAAAATCCAATTCGGAGAAGTTATGGGCCCTAGACCGCCTAGCTGACCGCCTAGAATAAAACCACATTTTCCCCAGTTTCTCAGCCGCGCTATCACATCTAAATTTCTTTTTTTTCTTTTTTGTTATGACTATACATATTAGTTAGCCCCTTCAGATACCCCTCTTTGTATCATCTAGATCCTCCTGTAAGTAGGCCTGCAGGTACCCACTTCCATACCTACTAAGTCGAGAGGTAGGTAACCATCATTCACCTACAGAGACAACTACTAGTAACAATCCAGCCCAGTAATATATAAACATATACCTTCAGCCAAATATTTGAACTGTTCTTCTCATGCTACAACCTTCAAATGTTCGAAACAATCCGCCATTAGGAAGAGAGAAAAAAAACGCCATCCATGACTGCTTCCAGTGAAGGAAAGAATCTCCAGGGCTCGAGCTGTACGGGATGGAACAGCAATTAATAACGATACGCCAATTGTCCTACCGAGAATTTGATCAGTGTCATGCACTTTACTTGGTCTCTCCGCCTCTTCCAGCTGATATGTCTGTGATTTTTTGATATTATCAGGCATGATCAAGGATGGTGTCATCGCCCATAAGGTCAATTATGGTCCCCCGGTTCGAAGTCTCATTTTGGGGTCGATTTCCGATGACTCGAACTCCGATCTCAGTGAAGTGAAAGAAGCCCATTATCCAAAAGCCACCCAGACAAATTTGGAGAGACAAAGTGCGTCAGATCACACTATATAATCGAACAACTCTACCTGTTGTGCTGTATACTATATAGCAGTAGATATGGTGGGAGTGGGCCATGCTTGCTTCTTTCCACCAAAGGAGACGACCAATGGGAGTGAACCACGACAATGCACAATACTAAGCGATCGTAGCTTTCACCCCACTTTCACCGCACTTTTTCCCTGGCTTGGGCTTGATCCATTGACTCTGCTACTTGGACAAACTCAGATCAGAAAGGATGCCGGTCAGGCATCGGCTCAAAGGGCTCTTGGGGCTCGATCGGTCTCCTAGTAGGCACAAACCTCCACCAGAGACTGTTCCAGAGCAGAATAAAACTGCCTCCCTACACTCAAATTCCTATGTCAATCCATCAGCAATTCCTGTCACCGATCCACAGCCTACAATACCAGAAGGACTATGGCGAGAGGTATACGAAAATCTTCGTGCTGAAAACGCGGAGTTGCTGAACAGCTACGAGAACATCCTGCTATTGCATTAGCACGCCAAGAAAAATGACACAGAATGGAACGAGTCTACTAACGCGCGTCTTCGAGCACTTATCAAGCATCGGCTTGAGGAGTTGCAAAAATCACGATTGAAATTCAATGTGGCGGGGAAGGAAGTTGTTGTGAAGGACCAAGTTCATCGGGCTCTCAAATCAATCCTTTCAGTAAACAATCTGATCACGACCGCAGTCAGCTCAGAGCCGCACGCAGCTTTGGCGTGGGCTGGTATTTTGGTGATTCTGAATCCGATTGCTCAATCTGCCACACAGGATGACGACGCTATGCAGGGGTTTGAGCGCATTGCAGGTCTCTTGGCTCGCTATCGAGTTATGGAAGAGTCTCAGGTGCAGGTTTATTCATCCACAACAACAGTCAATCAACAAGGTTCGATCGAGAAGCTCAGCCTGTCTATAAGGAGCCAGACTGTTCGGCTTTACACCGCAATTCTGAAGTTTCAAATGCGACTCGCAAAACACTACTTGAAGTCTGGGGTTCTTCGATTCTTGGAGGATGCTATAGCTGTAGATAACTGGAATGGAATGATGCAAACTATCGCGGGTCTCGACAAGTGCATCACTGACGATCTCAGAGCTCTCAGTGACCAGACACTCCAGAATATTGAAAACACGATAAATGATCTCCAGAATGACGTCGGCGGACTGCTTGATGTGACCAGCGAGGCAAGGGACGAAGCAAAGGTGACTTTCATATTTGATATTTGTTTGATCTATGACACCATAAAACTAATACTTCTCAAGGCAGCAAAGCAGGCAGAGCAGTTGAACAGTTTGTCGTATGCGCAGAATGCAGCATTCAATACTTATGCGTCTCAACAAAAGTCAGGATGTCATCCTGGAACTCAAGTAAATATTCTCAGAAGAATCAAAGCTTGGTGCGAGTCTCCTGAGGGTGAAGGTATTTACTGGCTACATGGAATGGCTGGCACTGGCAAATCAACGATCTCATATACCCTTGCCGCTGCTTATTGCAACGGAGAGGCTCTTGTGGATGATACACAATTGTCTCATACTGTGTTCATTGGAGCAAGTTTCTTTTTCAAGCAGGATGAGCCAGACCAGAACAATGGCAAGAAGCTTTTTACTATTATCTGCAGGCAGCTTGCAGATATGCTCCCCGAAGTCAGAGGTGACATCTGCAACTCGATTTCCAGTCATTCCAACATATCAAACGAGGTTATGAGCAACCAATGGGAACATTTGATCCTTCAGCCGCTTTTGGCTCTAGACAAACAAGGATTGGTGCCTCTGAATTTCATTGTGGTGATCGACGCACTTGACGAATGTCTACCCGAGGACGCGTCTACGTTGATCCGACTCATCACAGAAGCTGAGAAGCTCAACAACATTCGCCTGCGATTTTTTGTCACTAGCAGGCCAGAGTCGCATATTAACCAATGGTTCGAGAGTTGCCAGAAGACCTCTGTCTCTAAAAACGAACTTCCCAAAGTTACGGTGCAGAGTCGATCTCATTCGCCAAATTTCAAAAACGATATAACGAGGTTCTTGGAGATCGAACTGGCTAAGATTGGCACTAGCCATGCTGTCCTAGGGAGCTGGCCTGAGGAGGCCACAGTCCAGAAACTAGCCTTAAAATCGGATGGGCTTTTCATTTACGTGGCAACAGCTTGTCGCTTTCTGAAAAATTCGGGCCGAAACCAGAGAAGTCTACAACTCCGGATGGATGTAATCTTCGATGACAGATTGGTGGCAAAGTCGCCTCGAGGGCATCTGAATATCATGTACAGCAAAATCCTGATAAATTCGATTGGAGAAAATTCGATTGAAGAGGAAAGAATTTATTTGTACCGAAAGTTCAAGCAAGTGGTTGGATCCATAATCATGCTCTTCGAGCCTCTGTCACCGACTGATCTTAGTAATCTTTTAGTTTGCTCAAAAGAAGACATTGATGACACGCTCGACGGGCTTTCCTCGGTTCTGTCAAAGGGAGAAGACGACAAACAGCCTATCTACCTGCTCCACCTTTCGTTTCGTGACTTCTTGCTTGACCAAACATGCGATGAAGAGTTTCGAATCAACTCACAGATATCCCACGATGCTCTGTTGAACGATTGCTTGAAGGTTATGGTCGGAAGTTTAAGACGAAATATCTGCGGCCTTGAGGATGAATCAGTCCTCGCGGAGTCTGTTCAACCTTCCGTGGTGAATCTGCACATTTCCGGGCACCTTCAATATGCATGCCGCTATTGGGTTGACCATCTTCGGAAATCAGACATTGTGACTCTGGGTGACGATGGTGAAGTTCATAGGTTTCTTAAAGAACACTTTTTGCATTGGCTTGAGGTCATGAGCCTGATGCGAAAATTGCCCCAAGGAGTTCATGCAATTCTGTACCTCCATGAATACATATCTGTCGTACTACCGGTGAGCTCCAACCCCATTGGAAATTTTATCTACCCAGCTAATATTGAATAATAATTCAGTCTGAGGAAATTTCAAGTCTTCGTGAAATAGCTCATGACGCGCGGCGCTTTGTGCTTAGCTTTTCGGGGATCATTGGCCATAGTCCACTTCAAGTTTACACCTCAGCTCTCATTTATGCGCCCGAAAACAGTGTGATTCGGACACACTTTCAACACGAGATTCCGAAATCCATCATTGGTTTTCCGGAAATTGAGAGAAACTGGAGTCCCTTGCTACAAACCCTTCCAGATTATAGAGAAAGAAATTCGTTGAAGCATTGTGCCAGGGCAAATATTGCTTTCTCGCCAGACGGAAAACTAATTGCATCTCCCTCGGTTTGCCTTTGGGATGCAAATACAGGAGTTCTTTTAAAGAGTTCCCACCTGGCGAGCCAAAATATGTTTCTTTTTCGGACGACGGGGAGCGAATCATCTCGCTATCTATGGAAGGAAATGTCAGATCATGGGATGTTTCCTCCGGGGTTCTTCTGCACGAAGTCAATGTCGTCCATACACGTCGCTGCATTTCAAGTCTTTCTCCCGATAAGACCACTATGGCCTATTACCTTGGGGATACTGTTCAAGTTATTACCATTGCAACTAAAAAGTGATTTTGTCATTTAAGGTTCACTCAGGGAGAAAGGGAGACCTTAAATTATTCAAAGACAACAAGCTTTTGGCATGCGGGTTTGATGATGGGTCAGTTCAACTCTGGAACACCGATAAAGGTGAAATAAAACACGAATTCTTCTATGAAAAGCCCTCTCCGGTGGTACATGTGGCCTTTTCTGATGATGGAACATTCCTATTGTCTTTATTCGAGAAAGAAACCCTTCTCTTGTGGAACACACATACAGGAATTCATGTTTCAGCGCTCGATCAATTATGCCATGTTCTCATTGGAGAGCAGAATTCTGATATACACAACCAGTCGATCTGTCTTTCATCGTGATCAGCCCCATATTTTCTTTTGGGATCTTGAATCTGGCACACTTCTGAAAAACATCCCAATGGAATTTAAAGGAGTCAGACTATCGCCGGATGGTAGACTTATGACATCAGTGCCATTTGTTTGCAAGGAACTTTATGGTGGCAGTTTCCAAACGTTCCGGTCAAGTTTGAAAGTGTGGGATACTGCGAGTGGGGAATTGGTCAACATTCTTGGTAGTCATTCCAGTGATGTATTAGATGTGATATTTTCCCCAGATTCAAGATTTCTGGCATCCTACGGTTGCGATGAAACTGTTCGACTTTGGGACCTGTCTGCATCATCATTCCTAGACAGACGTGAGAAACATGACTCTGGTGTCATCTCGATGATCTTGTCAGCCAACTCTGAAGTGATATCTCTGGCTGGCCCTGATAACTCTGATAGCACAATGTACAAGTTCTGGGATGTGAACGCACGAACTCATCGACAGCTAACTTTTGGCGCAATCTACTACGCGCAAGTGAGCTTTACCCCCGATTTTAAATTTTTTATCGAAAGGGAGAATAAGGAGATGGGTATATTGGAGATAGCAAGGCTTACTTATGTCCACATCATCAAGCATGAAAAATCATTCGGGGATTGCTTTGCATTTTCCCTTCAAAAAAGGCTGTTGGGCAAATCGAATTCATATACACGTCGGGAAATGCCTCAGGAGATGAACGAAGATAACGGGTTGGGAGAGGACATTCCAGTAGTCAAAATTTGGGACTTCGATGACGGCGCACTTCTACACACTCTCTATGGTCCGAGGGAGAAGACTATTGAGTTGAAGTTTTCTCCTGATGGGCAGTTCCTAGCCTTGAAACGTTGTTCGGAAGACATGATTGAGGTGATTGAAATTTGGGATGTCGAAAGCTGGCAGCTGCACCGAACCTTCCAACAGAATAAAGAAAAACGAGGTTTTGATTTTTTCTGGTCCCCAGATGGAGCAATGATCGGCGTTTTGTTCAGAATAACATATCCAGACGACATCAAGAGGATTTCAAGTTGCCAGCTTGATATCTGCGATGTGAACTTCGGGAGATCAGTGACCCTATTTGTGCAAAGGCTCGATTTGGATCCAGAACAAGATCCAGACATACATTTGATCGTGTTTTCAGTCTTCTCTAGGGATGGGAAAGTAGCTGCGACTAATGTTTCTCAGTCTTTCATCGAGCTCTGGAATTTGAAAACAGGTCAAATAATTGGGAAACGTCAGTTCACTCCGCTGGAGAGGGAACTATACTCTATGAACGAAGATATCCCGATATTCTTTTCCGAGGATAGCCAAACACTCATAACTAGGCATGGTTGTCTAGACGTTCGATCATTCGATCCCAATTGGGACGAAGTAGGAAGCCAAGACCTGTTTGTGGATGATGGCTGGATCTTTCAGGGACTGAAGAAGATAATGTTGCTTCCTCACGACTATCGGCCTATGTGTATCCTGGCTGTGGACAATACCCTGGTTATGGGACACGCGTCAGGCCATGTCACATTCCTCACGCTGGCTCCGCAGGATTTCAGTACATAATATCATCTGTGCAATAGATACCAATCAATGGCAAGGATTAAGAAAAAATGAATACAAAGGAAAAAGAAAATTCGCAAAAACATACAACAGTCAAATGTAAGGTTGTGATCACCTAGCGCCCACGATTTAGGAGTGGGCGGCTCGCCGCTCTATTCAGCCCTCTTTAGGGCAATCCGGGCGGATCTTCATCACCTGAATACTCTTCACCCAAATGTTCAGCCTTTGAATCACAACGTACCTTCTCGCATATTGTGTAAGTAGTAGCCGCCCTTCTTTCTTTTTTGTTTCTCCATTTCCATTTTTCTTTCCTTTTTTTTATTCCACAATCCCACTATTCTTCCATCTTTCAAAGCTTACGTGACCGCCAAGACAGGATGCGTGCTAAGCGTGACCCAACGTTGAAATTCCTGAATTATGTTGTGAACTTTAAGGAGCACACCAACAGCAAAATACACGGTTGGGACTACCATAAATTGACTTAGGTTATAGTGAGAAATTGCTTTCATTCGATACGTGAGCAGCGTCTCTCCTAGTAGGAATGTCCGTCATTATTGAAACTAATGTCCTTAGGTTTCTCAACTTGTATCTACAGGCCGTTGATCCCCTAGATATCTAAACGTACTGGGTATTCACAGAGTGGATCGGAATAGGGACGGATAGTCAGATTGAGGAATGGCTTATAGATTTACGTAGATATACTTTAAATGTGACCTGTGGTTTACAGACCAGGCGGAATGCCAGGTGGCAGGCTCATTATCAAGAATATCTTAATAATACAAACGATTTGCTACGCTGTGATCCCCTAATATTTCGGTATGCACCTACATGTATATAGCCAGGACTCTATTTATTCTGCCTAGGTACCAAAAAGAAACCGTCAAAAAGAATGGTTTAATTTATAGTCTCACGAGTATTCTACGAGGTGTACAGCTCGCTTATGCATTTCCTTATATTCGTGGGCGCTAAGTAACCACTCACTTACGCATGCTGTTGCATGGTTTTGTTTTGATTCATTTTTTTGGCATTTGCTCAGAAAAATTCTCTTACTGCCCTAACCAATATCGTTTTGTATCTGGTTTTCTGCATTAAGGGCTGACGTGGCCTTCCCCTCCATTCCTGTCCCTTTGTGTGGGTGTATTGTAGGCCCTAAGTTTTGCTTTGAATATTAAACAACTGTAGAACTTGAAGGTTTGGGTAGTGCAAAGGAAACATTTGAAAAACAGACCAGTACTTTCTGACAATAAAAGGCGAGGGCTTTCACTCCCCAGGAAGCTCGGCAAATGCTTCTCCATTACCTAATTCTGCTAGTCGACATTTATGGATGTTTTAGTGCGGGGCACTCTCTCCCGATCGCAGCACTCTGGTCAATCAACTACAAGCGAAACTGATATAACAATGAACTCCACCGAATATAACCTTCGCTTGCGCTGGTCGGACCGGTTAGGAATAGAGTTTCTCGGACCGGTGGAGCCTGATCTTTGGCCACAAGTTCACCAGAGACTCTTTGCTGATGTACAACAGCTTGGTCGACGGACATACGAGAATTTTGTCGATAGTATTTCAATTGACTCTATTAACAAACCATGGAGAAATTCCATTCGAAGCCGCGCAGACCGTTTATCTCAACTGTCGCTCAATGCTTGTAAGGAACGGAGAAATGAAAGTAGCTGGAGGTTCGCCGTCGAGAATGAGATAATGCACCGATTTTCGGTCGAGGTTGCCTGGTGAGATAATGAGATTGAGGATGAGGCAGACCGAATTTCACTAAGAAAAAATCCCAGTCCAAAATGCCGTAACAGGTTGTGGGAGTCTGAGATACCTGCCGCGACAGATGGAATTCATGTGCGAGCGGAGTTTCTCGAGGTCCGTCGCAAAAAGCGCAAGCCATGCCGATGTCCTCCTCTTTGGGGACAAAGCCAGTATGTCCAAATTCTTTCTTTCTGATTTCACTTTATCCATAGACGTCTGACTAGCTAGGACTAGGTATGATAGTGGCATCAATATGCTCTTCTCCGACCGAGCAGAGCAACAAATCAGACATGATCCACCTTTACCTGTGCTCTCTCAGCGCGAGAAACGAAAACAGTCAGAAGCGCCCGATCGGGTTTATGGGTTAAAACAGACAGATAACTTCAAGCTCCTCTTGGACTCAGATGACAGGCGTGGTGCTGGTACTACGCCTAGTCGATCGCTATACGAAACTTTAGAAGTCAGTCCATTTGAGCCTGAGGGTGAGCCATTACTCTATCCTTTTCTTGTTATGGAAGCAAAGTCAAGCAAAGGGGCAGATCGTAGAGAAGTCAACATGCAGACTGCGTTTGTCATTAGGCGTCTTCTCAATGTGCAGCTTGGCCTCAAAGAAGCAACTGGCGAAGAATCACAGTGGGAATCCGGGCCTCTTGTTTGGTTTTTAGCATGGCGAGGTGAAATCTGGGAAGCATCCGCTGCATTTGTGTGTGTAACCGGGGCCGATTCTCTTAGATATGTGAGTACCTTTTATTCATCTGTTACACGGAAAGAAAGACTAAACTTTTTAAGCATATTGTTGATTTGTGGACTGGCAATATTTGCGACAAAAATGGGGCTTTGCAGGTCCTCTTGATCATTGATTATATATTTGATTGGGCACGAGACATTTATCGACCTGCAATCTTGGATGAATTAAACACTCTATCTACAGGCGATGTTGCAGCAACGGAGGCAAACGTATTTTCAACAACTTCTCCCACCCGAAGGACCTTCAATTGGTTGAATCATTCACAAGATACATCATCATCGACATTTCAAGCTCCATTATCTACTCGTGGTGCTAGTGATCCCTTCAACTTGGAATTCTTGAATGTGACTTGCGCAGAAGGAGTTATTCGGGATGCGTCCATTCTCGAATCAAGATATCTTGCTCTTCATCTTGTGGAAAGCGACATTGACGACTTTTTGCTCTCATTTAAATCGAACGAAGAGGCCGAAAAGTGGGTTCAAGGCGTGTTAAAGTGTCTCCCGAGTTTCTGGAGATTCAGCGCAGAAACACTGGGCATATTAGAGAGCACCTGGACGGCAGAAGCTCGACTCCCTCGGGAGGTAAATCAACCTGGAGAAATTTTCTATGTTCAAATTGCAATCCACATGTTTGTTTCCCATATTTGGGAGCCTACTCGTCAACTTACATGTCTTTGCATCTCTGAAGGGGCTCTACAAAAACTGTTTGGATCTCTCCTTGATCTTGAACTGCACTGCAACCCGATTATCTCTTCGTTTGCAATCGAGATTTTGCTGAATCGCATCTTGAACCAATCAATACTCGATAACTTGACAGCTGCAGTTTCTATGCTATGTATTTCCAGTTGCTTCTATGAAAGACGTGGAATAATCTCGGAACAGTTATTAGTGACCAGGTCTAATGGGTTGTACTCTGGGTTTCGTCCCGAAAAGTCCCCTTCCCTCATAAAATCGGTATCATCCATCTACCAAACTCACAAAATTGGACAAAGGGAGCCGCGCGACCCATATATCGCTTTTTCGCATCTACGGAGCAAACAAACCCTCGTGTACAGAGGTAATGAGATTCAGATGTGGCCTAAACTACCGCCACTCGTCCGTGAAGAAAAATGGAGGTGTGTCTTGGTCGATGGACTTTTAGAGGACAACGCATTCCCTCGATATGGACTTTTTGTGTTTGACAGGTCACCAGACCACGAAGAACTTCCTGAACTTCCTGTCATAATGTGGAAACATGGATTATACTTCAAAACTGTCCAGGGCTGTGTCAATACATTGGATGAAAAATATTATAAATACTTGAACACTCCAGTCAAGCTGGACGGAGAATGGACCTCCAAAGCCGAGCTGAAAGCTTTCATTCAATGGAGGCAAAACTTGAGAATGCAGCCAAATCAAGAGCGACAATCCAATCGCCCCGGCGATACTGCTTTTTTACCTATGACAATATGTGATGACTAGTGCACTGGAGGCTATGGATATTTGAGCTTTATCTGTTCTACAATAACCTTTGTTGAATATGAACTTGTGACTTTCTATATGAAAAATTTCAAGCCATACATATCATTCAGTCCCTTCTAAGAGCCCTGGAGGCTTTCTTCCTCTCATCCATCCAATAGGATCATTTTGAAACGGTTTATCTTCTCTCAAAATATATCCGTCGAATTTAAATATTTCGAAGGTTGGTGTACTAGTGAGTGCCAGTATAAAGAGAAAAGAAATCACAATTGAAATGACGACAGCAAAATGTCTCAGGAAAGCGTAACCAAGCTAATAAAAAAATAAAACATACTCGATGCAAAGGAACGTGTAGAATATCAATCAAAGGAGTATTCCTCAAAACTCGTCACTTCCAGACACTGATTTAAACATTGACCCCTCAATTATCCCGTGCCGGGACGAAAACAAGCGGCAACTGCAATTTCCTTGGTGGCTTGAATTTCCCCCCCGGGAGGATAAGCCACAGATACTTTCAAATTCCGACCATGCAGCTCCACTAGGAGATCATAATGAACCTCATAGTGCTTATTGTTCTCTCTGCCCTTTAATTTTAATGGATATCTTTCTTTAGCTTCGGTAAGGTCAAAGACAACCGTATCTGCCCATCGAGAACCTATTCATTGCTCATTTTAGCTTTCATCATTCGTGAATAAGAATAGCAAAGTGTGTTATGAAGCAATTTCTCATAAATAAGTTATGTGACTAACCGGCATTTCTCTCATGGTCCACAGGGTAGTGGTCCTCAGGGTTATCGATCAACGTGTTGTAATATATAGACTGCTTGATCTCCCAGGCCTCGTCCGCAGAAAATACGCGGTGATTTCGCTCTTTCGCCAAATCATTAAAATCTGCAAGTTGCCCCTAAATTCATTGAGAATCAAGTATCCCCCAGGGCTTGAGGTCATCGGTGAAATACCTTTTTGATGATCCACTGTACAGTGTCATAGACATATCTCTTTTTGTTCAGACTGTTTCTGTCTGGTGGAGCCTCTCGGTGAGAAAGAAACTTTTTGGGGTCATATGGCTCAGTCTGGAGTATACCAATGTTCGCAATAGTATGGCGTGAAGGACCATTGCTCTTATCTAAAGCACGGTGTACCGTTCCTCGCGATACAGTTGTTTCAAAAGCACTGAAAGGTAAAAATCAGTCATAATGTAACACTTTACAGGTAAGGTAAAAGAGAGGTGCCCAGAATCATACCGAGACTTAGGACATATTATTTTGGGACGCTGAAATCTTTCGTTCAAGAAACGTTGGAGAGTCTTTGATTGAGAGTAACCTCCGAAGAGAATTATCTTCTTTTTTAAAGAGTTAGGAATATTGACTCTTACGCGGACTGTGAGAATGACGAAAGTTACCTGTACCCTGACATGTTCAGCCGCGCAGGCATCAAGCTGTTTATGAATGAGGCTGGTAATGCCTTTAAGGCTTGGTAGAAACCATTCCATGACCCGTTCTCTGTAGGACGAAAATGGAAGTTTTAGTGACTGATCTTAGGGCGAAAACGCAAATATGAATCAATTTCTCATACCTCTTAACTTGAATCATGCCTTTTCCAAAGCCCTTAGCAGCATTCTCTTCCAAACCAGGCAGGCTCAGATAGGCGTATCCATATAAATCTTCACCGGAATCAAAATTACGTTTCAGCTCGTTCTCAAAACCCCGAAACAAATTATGAGAAAGTTGGTGTTCCATCGATTTTTTGTTGTTGAGAAAGCATGGCTCATCTTTCAGCAACTCCCCTAAGTCATCTTCCATGGCCCGATTGACACAAGTTGAGCCATAGTCTCCGCCTAGGAAAGGTATAAGATTCGCAAGAACTAACTTTGGAAAAGAATTTTGCGCAGAAGAACTCTTACCTAATGGTGGGATTGCTTCTTTTAGCCTGAATGGGCTTTTTTTTGTCACTGTGTATGTCGTGATATCCTGTTCGTCTCAATATCATCTCTCATTACACAACAACTATCCGATTTAAGCTTACCACTGTACCACCCCCAGCATCACATACCATGAATGTCTCGTGCTGCTGTATGATTGAAATTTTGAGTCAGCTTTACGAAAATTCCACCTCTCAGGGCTTGCACAGGGACTTTTACTGACCGAGACGTTTGTATCGCCTACCATAAGATCTAGGGCAAATGCAGATGCGGCTTCGGGCTCATTTATAATAAACAGGCTGGATACCTGACCAAACCTCACTTCAACTGCAATCTCACGCACGATTTGTTGCAATGACCACGAAGCTTCAATAGGCCACGCTGCAGGAACAGATAAGCACAGCTCAACCTCACATGACTCAGTGAATTTCACTTGATCTTTGAGATAGCCCTTTGCAAACTCAAACACCCGGACCAGATAATCTTTCACAGCATCAAATACTGTTTTACCTAAGGCAAGCAGGGTTTTCCGGGTTTCTCGAAGCTGACTGTCTCTTTCATCTTCCGGTTTCAAATCAGGCTTAGAGAACAACAATTTTGTGAACCTAATGAGCCTAGCCGTCTCATCTGACTCTGCTCCGCTATAATGGAACTGCTGAAGTTTCTCGCGGGCTTGATAACCCCAATAATACTCATTGTTCAGGTACAAGCTTTCACTTGGAACTTCTCCTCTCTGCTGATCCCGGCCTGCAGATGGCCAGTCGGTAATATCCTTGATTTTCTCCCGAATCAACCTTGCAGGACGCTTGCTCGACTTAAAATAGCAGTATGATATAGACGTCATGGTTGTACCAAAGTCAAGGCCCACAATGAACGTCTTCTTATTGAGACCATTCTTCTTCGGGGTTGAAGTTTCAATTTGCTTTGCAGGCCGAGGACTGTTAAACTCGCTGTCGGACCCAGATGGAGTGACTGGGGCTTCATCTGTTTCTGAGATTTCTTGGATTCGCCGTTTTCTGTGCGTCGGGTTGTGAGAAGATCTCAATCTTTCTGTCATTTTTATGACCACTTGGGGAGTTTAAGGAGGATGCTGGGAGGAATGATTGAATCAGGAGCAACGGCAGGAGGAACAACAGGAGCAAAATAAATCACATTTTTCCTCGTCATCACGTGTGGTTGTTTGTACTAGCAGGGATCTTGCTGCTACTAGTCGTAATAGGGAAGTCAAGTCAGCCTTGCCTCCGCCCCCTTGCCTGGCCCCCAAGTCACCCCTCTCCTTTTCTATTTCCCTCAGAAAAGTAAGAACTTCAAGACTCGACTTTAATTCCTGTGTCATCAAATTAGAACCAGAGAAAATCATCATACAAAATGAGCAAATTAGAAAGCCCCAGCAAATCTCTCTCCCCAGCCAATTCTGAACAATCTCCCTTTTCGGAACCCAGAACGCCAGAACGGTGGTGGCATTGGGGTTCCGAATCAGCCAAGCATGCAGATTACTTTCAGTCTTCCGTTCTGAACCAAAAGCGGAATCGAAAACAGTCGAGACGCTTTCCAGAGCCGGAGCTTTATTCTGGTGAAGCAGATTCTGATGCTCGAAAGAGAATGCGACCACTGGAATCGCATTACAACAACCGAAATTCTAGGGGTCAGGTTTTACCAGACTCGGGCTCAAAGGTATGAAAATAAGATTTCGTATAATCCCTCTAGCTAGGCTAATAATAATCATTATTTAGGCGCGGGTTGGTTTCTCTGAGATGGATGAAAACTCGAGAACGATGAATGAGATTGGCGAAGGCGTGGAGACGTTTGAGAGTGGAACAGCCTCTCCGGTAGCACAAATCAATGTCAAAGACGAAGCTGCATCAAATTCAGAATCAAGCCTCGGAAAGAGGATCCAGCTGATGAAAATGGAATTGGAGCTTGTGAGAACACACCACGATAAGAAAATCTTGACATTGGAGAAAAACATACGACACTTGCAAGAAGAAAACTTCGCTCTCTGTGAAACGCTACATTGGTACAAGGGACAATATGAGGCTAGAGAAGGGGACTCGAGTCCTTTAGACGAAGTAAGAACACTCAGAGCAGAGCTAGGAAGGAAGAACATGGAAATTGAAGAGAAGATCAGGCAAAATTCATCCCTCGAGGAACAAATTAACACCGCAGAAGGATTAAGTGGTATATTGAAAGACTCACAGGCAGCCAATAACGTGTCAATGAGGATTTCCGAGGATCTTTCCGAACTTGAGACTGCAGTGAGTCAAGCTGCTTTGCTTCTTCTTCAATGTCTTTCCGACGAAAAATTTTCAAAGTTACAAAAAAAGCCTTGCAAAAAGCCAGAATTATGCACGCTGATTAGGTCAACTCTTGGGGATATGAGTATTATATCTTTTGACCCGAAGATTGCATTTTCTGCACTGCTATTCGGGTTCATAAGGGAACGAGTCTGCCACTCAACTTGTTGGCTTATTTTGCAACGGGAAGGTTACATGCTAAAGGGATACCAGTCAGCGATTGAACGCATCAGTAAGTCTCATGCACAACTTATTCGCTCAAGGCCGATTCTGATATATGACCAAGCTCCGCAAGGCACTCTGGAAGGATTCCACAAGGCAGCAGTTGAGCTTATGTTGGAAGAAAACCATCCATTCCTAGACTGTTGGGTTCAGTTACAAGCTGAAGAGTCTCAGAGTGAGCTCCTCAAACTTTTCAGCCCATTATTAAAAATTCCCAAATTTGGAAGCTTTGAAAAAGATATTCAGAATACCCTGAAACGAGTTTTTGTCAAGGCGTTTCAATTCCGTGCCCGCTGCGTACCCCCTAGAGGGACTCGCTATGAGCTCATTCAAATGAAAGCAGGGGACATATTTGAACCAAAATACATGGAGGCTCAAAGACCTGATGGAAGCCTTGTTTCAGTTCCCAGCGGAGAAACACGTCGTGTCAAAGTTTGTGTTCACGGTTGTCTTATTTCTCACATATTTGAAGGGAGATCACTCAACGGAGAACCACCAGACACAATCACCGAACCATTTGTGTTAGCTGAAACCAAGCAGAGTGACGGAGTCACCAATAAAAAGGGACGGGGAATTCTGAAAAGTGGAAAGGCAATCGTTATATTAGAAGATTGAACTCATGGTCGCTCTTCAAAATCAAGCTTGGTTCAAGTGCTTAGAAATCTATTATCTCTACGTAATTCGATATATCTGCTACCAGGTATGCATTTTGCCTTCATAGCACTAAATACTGAAGAGGGGAACGCTCTATGGCATGTGCACTCTAGGGTACACGGGTCGATCCAGCTATCAATGAACAAAACCACAACCAACAGACTAGGATGGATGGAAATGAGGATGCACCCTGGTAGGGTTACTCTTTCAGGTTAAGAATTTTAACTTCAAGGTTAGCATCATGAAAGTTTGCATTACCCCGAAGAGGGTAAACCACCTTTGCGAGCTGCCACGCCCGAAGCGTGGGCGCTAGGTGATAATAGCCTTAGATTTACTGTTCTATGTTTTGATTAGGTTGGAAACTTTCTCCTGCTGCTCTAATTTTTAGTCTCTTCATCCCATTCACCTGAATGCCTTGAACACCACTATTCTATCCTGAATATGCTGCACGCTAATAATCTAACCAATCTTTGTTAAGCTCTAATAGTGCTCGGGTAAAGAGATCCTATCTAACTAACTGCTGCTGCTAAAATGAGGTGCAATTTTGCCTTTATGGGATAATTTTCAACTCGGGAAGGGATGTATTATGTAGACTAGAATCCCAAATCTATGACGTACTAGTAAATCTTCCTCGCTAAGATCATCTCTAAAAATACCTATGATCCTGATTGGCCAAGCGAATTGAGGGCGAATCGCCCATGGTTTGCCCCTTAAAATAGCAGCCCTGAAAATTTAATATTTCTTTTTCACTTTCACTTTCACTTTCACTATTTCATATTTCTCTAATTCTCAAGCTTTTTTTCTTTTCTATTTAGATAGAGCAAAATCGATGTACACTCTTCCCAAGAGCTATAGATAACTTTTATAGTAATGGAGGCACCGCCACTTATCTATCACTAGGCAACGGAGATACTGGTCATGTTAATCTTAATTGATACATTACCTTTTGAAGGCTTATAGTATTAGCGTCTGCATAGGCTATAGTAGATTCATTGAGACCTTGGAGTCTGCCATACAGCTCTTGTATATAACAATATATTTGTCTCCTCCGAAGGGAGGATCAAGATTAGTAAGTACACGTATGCATAGATATCCTCCTTTGGGATAAATTAAAGCCAATATCAAAAATTTGAACCTAATATAGCAGTATACCTTGTTGAAAGGCAGCAAGGATCAGAGTAATTTGACCTTAAGTGTATCCAAAATAAATATTATAATATCATTCAGCTGGACCTCTCCACTTATAGTCTACATGCCTTTTATATTAGCCTTACTCAGGGAAGCCATAGTCTACAGGTATTTTTAACCATGACCGCGAGGACGAGTATTTTAGCTCTTTCACGGTATATGATTTTGTTCGAGCGTCAAATGCTTCTACTGATTTAATTTTAGCCCATGTTTATCTCCCTTTAAGCTGCTAAAGGTTGCTTAGTGACTCCTATTATGAAGGTTCGAGGGATAGTTATACATGGCCAATTTTGAAATTTAGTTCGAGTTCGATGTGGTGATAAAATTTGAAAAAATCAAAAGTATTAGGAATAAATCACACTCTTTTCGCACCCTCCTCCTCCTCCTTATTATTATTATTCTCCTCGTTCTATAGCATCTTAAGTTATCCACATCCATAGCTCTGAGTTTTCATTAATATAGGACCTATTTAAAATATAACTCACATATACCTCTATGAGTAGCAGCCATATGAAGACAATGATCCATGTTTGGCTTATGCTATAATGGACGACCATGATATGTACCCGCTGAAGCCCCATTTTTTCGTGCGATTTTACAAAGAAGACGCATGATTGATTCAGGAAAAATCGTAAAGCTTTGAAGTTTTATCATTCAGCTTTCTTTGGATTATACCTCAAGTAGGGTATTGCGGAAGGAGCATATACCTTTTTTGACTTTTGCGCTTTTGCGCTTTATGACGAACTGTCTTAAATCCGGCTAATACTGACCACACCAAAAATTATCGGCTCGAAATGATAGTAAAAGGATAATTTTATCTTCGTAGGAAAATTAATGGTCTTTGAAGTTGTTAATGGTTCAATAATAATGGCTATTAATCTTTGCACCCTATAGTTTTTCTGCCCACTTGAACATTGCAAAGGAATCATTTTGAAGAATCAAAATATTCGGCAGGCTAGAAAATTACACACCTTGAAAATTGAACAACTTAAAAATGAAGACGCCTTAATATTTCAGACTCGGATCGATAAAATACCATGTGCTACAGAATTCAACCTTGAAAGATGTCCGAGCAGAGACTTTTTCAGGAGCGAGAGAGCCGCTGTAAGGGAGGGCGAAGATATACTAGTATATCAATCACTTCGCAATAGATGACTCAGGGCCACGAACAATTCGATTTACATATGTCGAGCGTCTGCGCACAGAATTCCAATCAGAAGGAGGTTCACAACTCTTCCCCGAGAATTACATCAAGGTTTTAATGGATAGTGATGTTTTATAGGACGCTGTCACGGGCTGAACCCAAACAGGACTCACCTTGACAAGTGCAAACGTACGGATCAAACACATGGATAAGTGTTGGAACATTTACACTTCAATGAGGGTTCCTGATGAACCCTCACATGATCATCGCCGCGCGTGACTGTACAGGCACGTGATCCGTAAGGTATACATAAACCCTTATCATGTGTAATAACCTATTATTCTCTCACCTTAAATGTAAACTATATATTGACTTCTATCGTTCTACTTCAGTCTTTAGAGAGCCCATGACAGACGCTCTTATCTTCGGACACCAGACCGAGGCTGCCTTGTAAGGCCTTTTACAATTACTCCATCTGCCGGACGATATACGACTATTCAAACCTCCATCAAACATGTCAAGAACTCACAAAGCTAATTTGAAATTAAAATCATTTCCTGGTTGAGGCCTTTCTGACTATGCGAAAGCTCATCTGTCCTAAAGTTTCCAAATGATAATTATAATTTTTATTCCCTAAGTAGTACATCCAGAATCCATCCAAAATGGCTAGGGAGAGTTATTAGCGTTATTCATAAGATGATAATAGTATTAATTATAGCTATAATTTTATCATGGGAGCCGCTCAGAATTCTTCTATGTTATCTACCAAGCTATAATCTAGTTACCATGAAGTGAGTGTTACCCTCTTAGACCCCTTGAATGAGCATACTAGGATAATATGCCTGCTAAGACCTGAATGATGCGTCTGCTTTACATCTAGCATATCCTCTAGTATCAAAATTCTTAATGTAGCAAAATGTCTAATATCCTTCATAAAATTAATAATGGGGTCGTTATATTGGACCTGTTTGATTGAATCTGATAGTTCATCAATAGCTCTGGCGTAGAATATATTGGACAGAGGACTTAGTATTCGCAACGCCGGGCTATGACAGCAGGGTTTATAATCGTAACTATATACTAATATAAGTATCTCTTTTATAAATCGAAGCCAACAGCCACTAACCGGACTTTATCTTTCACGTAGCCTTGAAGAGATTCATCAGCATCTAACGTATTAGATCTACGTATAGACACTCGGCTTGATTTGATACTCCCACCAAGTTCTTGGCTGGCGACCTACCTGATAAAGGCGTTAAGAATTCGGGATACTTTAGGCCATTTATAAGATTGATTTTTGTGCCGTATATGGCGGTGTAAGTAGGGGATTAAGAATTCTCCCTGGTGGAGTGGAAGGGGCTCCTATTTATAAACAGCTATTCCCAGACGCCTAGTAGAGTACACTAAAGAGGTAGACGTCTCACACCAGTAAAAGATTGGCGGGATATAAAAAGCCAGCAATTGAAAATATGAGGCAAACAAGGCCATCCAAGGAAACGCAGGGCTCCAGGAAGAGCAAAAGGGTTTCTGGAAGCCGGCTTCCTGTTCCGCGGGCCTCATTTCCCGCAAATTCTAGCCCAGCTAAGTTACAAGCTCAAGGGTAAAATCAAACAGCTTGAATCAGCTAGAAGAATAAATATTGCTTGAATATGCTTACAATAGTACCTCTTATAAAAACTACAGTCTGATTAGTGTTTTCAACGCCACCCTCACTTAAAACTACCCTCACATAATATCTCAGAGATGTCGCACCGCTTCAACACCATCAGTTAGTCATCCCATTCAAATATTAGCTCGACCGCTGACCTTTTGTTCTGGCAGCCTATTTATCGCCCGACGATAGATGTCCCGCTGCTCTCTATAGCAGATAATCTAGTCAGAAAACACTGTTCTTCGCAATTGCTTAGGGTAATATGCACGCTATGATTTAGCTCCTCCGGCAGCACGATATCGATATCCATGAAAGCAGATAGAAAAGTCAGCCGCCGCTCTACACCGCTCTTTTAGTGGATACACTAGCCTCTTTCCAGGATCAATTGACTCCTGAGGTCAAATGTTACAAATCTTTCTACGCTTAATTAATTATAGCATTACAAATCAAATTTTCAAGGTAGATAAACCAACTAGAACAGATCTGTTTCGAGATGGAATTTAGAGGTTTTCAAGTTACGGCTTGGACCCTAAGGCTATGGTTTGTTCCACATATGCATCAAGCCACATGCCTCTTGAATAGATAAAGGTATTTGTAACTTCTAATCACTTGTTTCTCTTGAATACTTGCTACAGCTTGTAACGATAATCATCCGACTATAGTAATTTGAATTGTAATTATCGAAGGTAAGGGAACGCACTAGTTGGTAGTCGAGCAACAAGGGCGGGGCTGAGCTCAACCATATAAGTAAACAGTTAAGTATATCTGCATAGAGTATTCCTATATGATCGATGAATATACAAGGCTACTCAATTTTAACTTTTAGGTTGTTTTTATTCTCTTGCAATATGTGACGCTAGCTAGCGACGGCGTAGTATATACCAGTATTCAACCTCAGGCTGACATGTAATAGTTATTTCCCCCTCCATTATGTATACATCTGAGTAGCTGGTTCAGTACATAAGTTTCGATTTTGAA